TTTTTTTTTTTTTTGGCGGGAGTACTCTGTAGACGTTAAACTGGGTTATATTGCCTCAGCTAAAAGTCAATATGGTCAATTTTGGTTCGGTCATTTTGTACTTTCGTTACCCTATCAAATCAATGCTCCACAACCTTTTCCTTTTCTAGTCAACGATTGGTGATATGACATCCACGTATTCTCAAAAAGTTTTTTTTTTAGAAGAGAAGCAAGAGCAAACCCTCTTGGTAGGACATGGAGGATCCTGGCCTTGCCAATCTCGATACCTTTAACACCTCACCTAGCCAGTATCTCGTGTTTGTTGACATCGTTCTAGGATCATTGATCATAACTTATTTGCAACTTCCGAGTTCTCGCTCACCGGCTAACCAGCCCCTTTTGATCTCGTCCATATTTGGTATCGGTCAGTAGTCTCGTCGAATTGGCTTTCACCCCCACTTTTCGGGCTCTTCAGAGCTCTATGTCAAAGGAAAGTCAGAAAGGGACATTCCTAGGGGCAATCTCTCCCTGGAATGTCTCTAGAAGTACAACGCCTCAGCCGGCCAGTGGCTCTAATGACAGGCCAGATTTCTTACAACGCTCTCAAGGCCAAGATCATACTGTCACCCACAGACATCGTCTAAGTTCACATCGCTATCCAAAAGACTGCCCTCTCCTACGAGTGAGGTGGTTCTATGCCGTGGACTCCCCGAAATGGAAACCGGAACTTTTGCAGCAAAAAAGGGACGCATCCAAAGCTTTCCCCCCCCCAAAAAAGTTCATACCGTTTTCACCCAAGGATTCACTGGCCATAGAGACCGCATTCCAACACATATCTGATGTTGAAGATGGAAAAGGAGGGAATCAACCCAACGAAACCATTGGCGATACTCCGGAGGTCACAAAGATACCCGTCAACGAAGATTATCTTTTCGATGTAGATGTGGAGTCAAGGGAGCTTAGCCCGGCATATTGGATAGGTCCTGTATATGAAGTTCGCCGGGGGACATGGTTTGTCCAAGACGGCTCGGCGATCAAGCCATGTGAAGAGAATCTCGCGACCCAACTGGAAGAGGGCTATCTGAAAGTTAGGCCGTGGCGTTTCGAAGAAGTTCAAGGTTCGTCAACCCGACCATAAGTGTTATTCTAAACCTTGTCCAATTATCACTTCTTCACACAGCACAGAAGCAAAAGCTCACGAGGCCTATAGAGCCTAGCACTTCGCGCAGCCGTCCTGAAAATTCAGGGCAAATGGCTTATGTACCTGCCAATGGAGCTCACAGTTATCGCCTGTTCGGCGCCTACATGAATAGCTTAGTAACATACCAGGATTCCTCAACAGCATTACTGGTAAATGATGATTTCATGTCCCGCGTGAGTACTACAGTGTATCAGAAGCTGGGTGGCGTTCCAGGTACAAGATTAGTACGTGGTTTTGCTGAAATCAATCGACAAAGGGAAGCGTCAGATGTGAAAAATCCTAATCGGAAATCAACCCAAGGCCCAGTTTCTACTCTTGAAACGCACCCTCCAGGCTCCCAAAGTCACCGTGCATCAGAAAATATGGAACATAGAGTAACACATTCCCAAGATTCTCAAAGCAAGAGCACCTCTGGAGTAGACCAGAGATCAACATTCGAACGGCAGATGTCCTCTCTTACTGGCGAACCGCGGAATGCAGCTGAGATTGAAGAGCAAGCTCGTAGGCAGGAAGAAAAGGAGATGGAGGACTCTCGACAGACTGACGACGATAATAGAGAACGGGAGATTGATCACTTAGTTCTCGTTACACATGGGATTGGGCAGCGACTTGGGTTACGGTTAGAGAGTATCAACTTCATCCATGATGTGAATGTCCTGCGGAAGACCATGAAAAATGTGTACAAAGCCTCGCCTGACCTTCAAGCCCTCAACTCAGCATTTACTGATAAGCACGATAACTGCCGTGTCCAAGTACTCCCTGTGTAAGTAAACCAGGTAGATTCAATTGGCTGTGCCAATGCACTGATCCCCTAGCCCCTTCGCCAGCTCTATTCGAGCAAGCAGGGGTGCAAGAGAAGAAGAGCCGAAGAATGAATGCATAAGCAAGCCTTCGCTAATTTCTCTGTTCTAGATGCTGGAGGCATCTCCTTGATTTTCCATACCGAGGGATGAGGCATAACCGCAAGGAGCTTGATATTGCAGACGCAGACAATTTCGAAGATGACCTCTACCCCGGCTTAGCTGATATAACACTCGATAGCGTCCCTGCGGTTCGGAACTTGATATCTGATTTAGCAATGGATGTGCTTTTATACCAGAGTGCTTACTGTGAGCGCATATCGACTATAGTTAAGCAGGAATGCAACCGAATTCTCAAAACTTTCAAGAAAAGGAATCCCTCTTTCAAGGGATCAGTGAGTCTCTGTGGGCATTCCCTCGGTAGCGCCATTCTCTTCGATATTTTGTGTCGTGAGAGTTCCACAACTGATCTACAACGGCCATCGGACTCGATGGGACAGCGAGAAATGCCGCCTACCAGCCTGCAAGACGAGCAACTGGAGTTCGAGTGCAAGGAGCTATTTTGTTTGGGTTCTCCAATCGCACTCTTTCAAATGTTGAAAGGGAAAACTATTGCTGGACGATCCGTATCGGAAAGCAAGGCCCCTAGAACTATGGATGGAAAAGAGACTCTCGAAACACCGCCCACTGTCTCTTCGAGCAATGCTCCTCATATCAATGCAGGGTTTATATTTAATGATGACCGCTCTCATGTCTCCTCTCCAAAGTGCGAGCAACTTTATAATATATTCCATCCTTCCGATCCCGTCAGCTATCGCATAGAACCCCTTATATCCCCGGCAATGTCTTCGCTCCGACCACAATCATTACCGTCGGTCAAAAGAAGCCTCTGGGCAGCCTCTGGGCAAAGCCTTTCAATAATTGGAAGCCGCGTCGGCCAAAGCGTAGGGTCTCTGTGGAGCAATTTCACGTCAGGCGTTGCGAGCAGTTTACTCAATCGCAGTCTTGGCCTGAATTCCGAGGATATACCCCTTCAGAGCTCCTCGAATTCTGCCACTCAGCCACAACCCTCCTTAACCACGGATGTCGAGTCCATGCATATACTTGATAATCGGCATCCTACCTTGATAGATTCGGACTTAGAGACGCTTTATGAGGGTTTTCCAAAAGCTAAAGATGGCCGCACAAAGGATGTTTCAGTTACTGCAAGCGATGATACCGCTGAGTACCAAGAAAATGAGGCTCGCATGAAGCGATTAAGGATCGAGGATGCGAAAGTAAGGTGCTTGAATTCCAATGGGCGGGTTGACTATAGCATACAAGAGTAAAGTTCCTCTTATTTAACTTTCTGGTCTATTCATTTAAGTAAATGAGAATGCTGACCTGGTGATATTAGAGGAGCCTTCGATATATCTCTGATTGCCAGCATTGCTAGCCATCTAACATATTGGGCTGACGAGGATGTTAACCATTTCATGCTTTCACAGATGCTATCTAGGAGAACTCCATCATGAGAGACCTAGTAGAGCACCTTGCCTGGCACAATCCTCGCGCCTTAGTTTCTCGTATGTACAGTGTCCTGGCAAACATAAATGGTTTACAAACAACTACCAGACCGCACTGGATACAGTTATTTACATGAGGAAACAATAAAGCCGAAGTGTAGATGTTTGCTTGACGTAATTCTCATTTGTTTCATGGGTGAGAATTTCTGCCTTAATTGAGGGCTTGGGAGCAAATAATAAACCCGAGGTCAGACGGGCTCACTCTTCTATAGCTACCAGGAATATACAGGGGGTATGAATCTAGAAAATATATTTATTCCAGGCTATCTGCTACTTGCCTACTTAACGTATATTGACTTCCTCAGGCTGGGTTTTACGGGTAGCTACTATCTAACGCCTTATTGTCTGTATGCATTATATATATATGTACATAAATACATACACAAATACGAGGTAGCCCTAGGCACTATCCAGAACGGTGTACTCTGTATTGTCACGGCGTATTTTTGCTTTGGGCCCACATACGAAATAAATATTTGTCCTCCCCATTCTGCAATACTTCCCTTTTCCAATTCTTTCGCGAGCATAGAGGTGTCGAGCAACCAACAAAAATATATCATGGGTTCAGAGCTACGACGAGTTCAGCAAGCTTGGGAACGCATCCGTGCTAATAGCCCTATATATGCTTTTCTCCTCAATGACATCGACATCTACAATGCTGAGAGAGGGGTCTTTCTTGCCCAGATCCAAGTTGCTTCTCACCACCTTAACTCAAAAGGCACCTTACATGGTGTTTTCTCCGCCTGTGTCACTGACTGGGCAGGCGGGTTAGCAATCGCTTCCTGTGGCCTCGACTCTACGGGTGTGAGCACGGATATTCACGTTAATTATCTTTCCACAGCAGCCATTGGTGACTGGCTGGAGATCGAGGGTCGGGCCAATAAAGTGGGGAAATCGCTCGCTTTCACGACTATCACCATCTCTAAAAGGACGGAGTCTGGACAAACAGTCATTGTTGCGCAAGGAACTCATACAAAGTACATTAAAGTACGATGAATATGGCCTGTCTGTGTGGAAAATCACACAGCAGCATGCATATTGCAGCCTTAGAATCCCTCAAAAGCCAGAGCGAGCCTGGAGGGCAGCGAATGAATTAGAGGCTTCATATTGACTGAGCCACACCGCCATCTTCTTTACATCTGGCATGAAGCGCATATACTTTGAATGCCTAGATTCACTCGGATAGCGGAGAATAAATCCATTCTATTGCTTTAGATACTTTGCTCTTGAGCAGTGAAGCAAAGTAATAACGAATGGAACATTTCTTAAGGCCTTCCAAGTCTTGCGCTAGAGGCTTCCAAAGTAGGAGCAAGTCATCGTGATGTCACTGTACAGTATGTACTCTGTAAAGTTTTCATTAGTGTTAATCGCATTACTCGGTATGTCTAAAAATTAAATTTCAACTATAAAACTTCGACGGTACGTAGGAATCAAAATAAAGTTGTTGATCGCATGGGTACTTACATCTCCCGTCGGATTTAGCCTACCCAGGTAACCGGCGGTCCAGGTCAAGTGAACTCCGGAGTACTATTATTACCTTACCATTAAATTATCTAAAAACAGTGCCTGGAAACGAACACGTAACTACGCCTACACAACCTAACGACTATCGATGAATAAGTTAAGGTGATCAGTTCTTCAAGGCTTCGCTACTTGCTTACGACCATACCACGGCGAGAACCACATTTCATGGGGTCAATAGCTATGAATGCCCCCGGTGATGTCCCTTCCCAACCAAATGAAACCGAACACTCGGACCAAGCAAGTGTTGGAACTTACGCAGCAGAACAACAGAGCAGCATCGACAACCATGGAATTAATGCCACACAATCAAGGGAGCTTGTTGACCTCGCCATTAACTTCCTTTCTACATCCAGCAATGAAACTCTGTTCGGTGTTTTTGTTTTCCTGGTGGGCGCAACATATATTTTCCTAGGAAGATTCGGACTGCTCCTAATTGGAGTAGCTAGCGGCATTGTCCTACATGCATCATGGGAAGGGATGAGCACTCACCCTATCGGAAGCGAGCTAAACTGTCGATTTCCCAGTAGGAGAAGGGAGATTGCGTTGGATATAGCCCATAGGCTGCTTGATTGGCCCGAACGCAATCTCGCAAGAATCGAACTAAAGCACGATGACATTCAGAAGCTTTCCCAGGATGCTTCAGAAATAGAGCTGGATTACTCTTCTTTCCGCCCAGAGACAGCTGCCGCGCTGAGATCATTGACCGACGCGGTGATCAAGAACTACGTGAAGTAAGATTTCGCCTCCAAACATAAGATACGAGCTTACCAAAGAGAAGTTATTGGTATGAACCCATATTACCGTCTGAGACGACGTTTCCACTCTCCTGTCGGAGGATATTGACTAGCTTTATCACCTCTATCTCAACACACCTCTCTCGTAAACGGACAGCAGATACATTCCTGGAATTCCTCACGAACTCATCTTCCTTGGTAATTGTATTCTTGAATGAGTTGTCTACTGCTTTTGAGACCGCTGGGTCACCTATGGTGTCGGAACAGGCTATCCAGCGTTACCTAGACATGTTTCCGGAAAGCAGTTTGGCAAATGTCCTAGCGGGCCAGCAGCAGCGCAAGAAACTAAATTTGATAGCCGACGATATATTGTCAAGTTTCCTAGAACCGAAAGCATATGCGCTGCACCCTCTAAGGGATTTCCTCCGTGAAATTCTAGCTGGAGTTGTCCTCGAGTCCACTATCTCGAGTCTCTCACGTCCGGAGTTCATCAACGGCTGGATCATCCATCTATTTAACGAGGGCAAATCTGAAATCATGAGCGCAATTGATGCTGGTGTTGAAGGGGCTCGGAATCAAGGTGTAACCGCAGCCAAGGATTCCGAGATCTTGAACGCTTCTCTCTCGACGCCTGCCAATGGAAAGAAGTTGAGCTCGGAACACCCCTCTGGGCTTGTCCAAGGGGACTGTGTTGCTATCGATAAAGCAACTGAAGAAGCCATGGTGGAAGCCAAACGACTAAGCGCCATGATTGCAGCACAAGACCTGCAGCATCAAAATGCGGGGCAGTCAGGGGACGATAAATCATGCTCTTCTTCAAATGATGAAAATTCTACTTTGCGCTCTAGTCACGGGGACGAAAGGACTGACGATCATGCTACCATGCAACTAGGGTCAGAGACTGCAAATGCCAAGTCGGTTGAGAATATTCATCAGCCTATATCTAAAAAGGCCTTGGAACTAAAGACTGCAAAACGACCATCGTCGCCGTCCTCAGTGCTTTCTATGAGCTGCCCCTCATCGGAACAACCACCGGAGAACGACTTACATACTACCTTGACTCTCCATCGTGCATCCATATCGGTAGATGATGGCTCAGAGCCTGGAGACAAGGGACTATTACGCTCAAAACCTACAACGAGTTACTTACTCCAAATTGAGCCCGCGTCTTCGCGCTGCACTGGGTGGATGATTTTTAGAAAATATACGGATTTTGAGTCACTCCATGACACTTTGGGAACGATTTCGAGATTGAACAGGGTGCAGATGTTTACAGATGATCATCCTTTTCTGCCCGCTTGGAAAGGCCAAACAAAACAAGCATTAGCGAGGAATCTAGAGCGATACCTCCAGGATGCCCTTCAAATTGAATTACTCGCGGAGAGCGAAAGAATGAAGCGGTTCCTCGAGAAGGATGGACGTCTTGGCCCCGAATCGGCGGGTACATCTACAAAGACTGGGTTTTCCTTTCCCAGTCAGGTTTCTCTTGAAAACGTGGGGAAAGGAGTACTGGGCGTCTTAACAAATGCACCTAAGGGGGTTTCCGACGGCAGCAGGGCCGTCTTTGGTAGTGTGACTGGAGTATTTGGAGTGGCTTCTGTTAAGAAGACATCGTCAAACTTGATTTCAAATAGTCATCCTCAGAATGACAATACTAGTGTCCATCGGCAATCGAACGAGTCCTACCCTCGCAGGTCTGGGGACGCTGGATATGCGCGGCGGCATAGAGCGTCCCTGGAGCTAAATCACAGGTTAGATGATACGCAATTGCCTTCTAGGTATCAGAGGCATAGCTCACCACTGTTTGAAACTGCTTCTGGCGGGGTAGCTGAGAATGGAGCTGAGCCCTTTCAGGACGTACTTCTTGGCAGCCCGACAGGGAGCACAAGTCAAGCAAAAATGGAGCAATGTACCTCTTCTATCTTAGACTCTAGGGACTGTGACTTGTCAGAACAATCAGTCTCTTCAGAAGAACCCCGAGCGGCGGATACCCATACCAGACGAGAAGGGCAGGCGATCACTGTGGCTCGAAATAGCTCTGAAAGTCGAGGTCGTCCCATTACTCAAGAAGAAACCCGGATAGCTGTGGAACTTATTTTTGCCGTTATAAATGAACTATATACACTGTCATCCGCCTGGAACATCCGCCGAACTTTGTTAAATGCCGCCAAGTCATACATATTACGCCCTGGGAATCCAAATCTGGAAACAATTCGTGGCTTATTGCAAGAATCAATGATTGAGGCCAACACGTCCGACGAAGCGCTTGGCTTGTACATCACCAAACTCCGTGAGAATATTCTCCCGACAGAAGCGGAGTCGAGGTCTTGGCCGTCAGCACCGAACGATGCTGAAAAGGAGCGTCTAAGGGAGACTGCACGAAAAGCTCTCGTACAACGGGGGCTGCCGCAGGCCTTGACAGGTGTAATGGGAGCTGCTGCCAGTCGGGAGGCTCTCGAAAAAGTTTTCGATAGCCTTCAGGTTCCAATTATTGCGCGAGGGCTTGTGTTCTCCTTTCTTTTACAAGCATTGAGGTCTGTGATCCTCTAGCATAACCTTAATAACTGCCCTTCAGCGTGCTATATGAGTAACTAGGTTAACTTGTAGAATACGCACATCTAAATCACGTGATGGTAACAGTAAATGGGAGCTCTGTGTCCTGGCTCTATCATAGTAGCTCTGTAACAACGGTCGGCCTTGTTCACCAAAAAGAAAGAAAGACAGAAAACCAGGGCAACCTTACCCAACAGAAGCCTCTTCTTATTTCATAAATCTCAATTACTTTCGAAAATCAGCGCTGGCCATGGCTTCTAGTTCTAGGAAGCGCGCGTCAGGTGCTAATGAAAGTCCTACTGTAAACGATGAACATTCCCATTTGAAAAGAACAAAGATCACCCCAAGCAGAAGTGCCGCGTCTTCTAATTCCCACAAAGATTATACAAGTGCCATAAAAGGGATTGATACAAATGGAGATAGCTACTGGGAGATATCGAAGATGCGCCGGGTCACTATTTCCTCATTTCGAGGAAAAACATTAGTCAATATCCGGGAGTACTATGAGAAAGATGGCCAAGAGCTCCCCGGCAAAAAGGTTGGCCCACTTCGGTTGTCTTTTGATACCGTTATTGTGTCCTGCTGATGATTCTTCTAGGGCATCTCGCTGCCAATAGACCAGTTTGCCTCCCTGGTTAACTTGTTGCCTGATATTGAGCTTACACTCAAAGACCTGGGTGTGTCAGTTCCACGACCAGTCTATGCCAGCGGAAATAATATCACGGATAAAGAGAACGATGGAGTTTCAAGTGGTGGTGAGCTTGAAGGCTCACGCATGCCGAGAAAGAATATCGAGGCTACAAGTGAGGAGGATGAGAGTGAGGAGTAAATTTTCGAGCTAGAACAGGAGCCTAGACGCTTTCAAATCACTTAGTTACTGTAATCTAGGTGTGATTGTCTCATTAGAGAATGATAGGGCTTTGCTGTTAGGATGCCTTTGGGCCTTTATTCCGGTAATAGCATCATGCCTATAAACGAGGTAAAACTAAACCGTTTTCCACACTCTTGCCTCTTGTACCACAATTCGAGTCGTGACTGAACCGCTAAGCTAGCCATGGCGTGCTATTGAGCGCGGTGTCCTACTGCAACTTTGCTCCAACCACCAAACCCCAGGGTTTTGGCGACGGCAGCACTATTCGCCTTTCTAGCCATTCCCCGTTTGCCCTCTCGAGATTCATAACCCATAGGATGCCACCACTTCGCGCATACTCACCTCCTTCTAGGCAATATAATCCACATTCCAAAGGTCCTGAAACATTGTCGAGGGGTCCATAACCCAATCTCTTGACCCTATCTCTACGGTGATACTGTCCGTTGTGCCTAGGACCTGACCGTAGGTAAAGCTTCCCGGAGGATCGCAGGGTACCGTTGCTGGAAGACTTCTGCACAGGTGACACGTTTCTTGTCTCTCGTGTAGAAAGTTGGACGCCTGATGCCAGCGCCGGGGCATTAAACTTTGTCATGATCATATCAGTTATATACTGACTTATTATTATTGTTAATCAAGTTTATCGTCCATATCGAGCCATTGGCTACGACAGACACATGTGCCTAGGCAGTGGCCTAGGACACTACCTCTAGATAGTCTTTAGGGGCTCTACCGGCCCCCTTATCATTAGTGTGCTCATTCTAGTCCTTTTCCTCGCCCGAACCGCCTATCTGCGCCAGAGCCTTTGGGCTATGCCCTCCTCGGTGTTTATTACTTGTTGGGCGTCATCTAGGCGTGCCTAGATTGCCCTTTCTACTACCCTTCCCCTCTACTTTCTGCTTCTTCTACCAGCTCTAGGCCCCAAAAGTTATCCCTAGAGGCTCTATTTATCTTCCTAGCTGCTTCCCCTGGAAAGTATCCGATGTTTGTTGTTGCAAGGAAGATCATCAGGACCTTCATGGCCCTCTGATTCTTAAAGAGACGCATTCTGGGGCTGTTTCCCCCATCTGGATGGTGATACTCCTGCCTTGACTAGGGTCCTGTGGAGCCTGGCAGCTCTGACGTATAGGTAAGTCTTGGACCCCTATTTGACTCAGGTAGGTCGGTATTGCTGCGTGCCCAACCTTTATCTGATAGTGTCGACGAGCATTTTGGTGCTGCTCCTACTGCCAGATCTAGTTTCCATCCTTTCTGGGGTCGATAGCGCTGTTGAGCCCAGTAGGATCATTTCTCCAGGGCCTGTACAAGCCATAGTTGTCTCTGGGCCCGGTTTGTCTCAGTGCATGTTCTGCGTAGATACGCTAGACTGGGGTTCCTGTCTATATCTCTGGGGGCCTTTTCTGCAGCTATCTTAACAGCTTGATCCGCCTTCTCATTCCCTAGTATACCTCGATAGCCTGGGACCCATTAGATAGTGGTTTGGCATCCTTGATTCTCAAGCTTTCGGGCTGTATCTTGGGCCTGGATTGCCCAGCTTTGCCCTGGGCCAGCTCTATTGTCTTATAGCCGAGCTATAGCTGCCTGGGAGTCTAATAAAACCCTGATAGGGCCTTTATACCCCAACTGCTTTGTTATTTCAAGTGCCTTGTAAGCGCCTGCTAGCTCTGCATCAAAAACCTCTTCCCCCGCCCTAGCGGCACCCGCTTAGTCTTCCAGGTGTCTGAGGGCTCTAGCCATGCAATGCCTGCGCCGGTCCATCCATTCTCTAGGCGTAATCCATCTGACCACATTGTTAGGCCTTTATAGGGGGTCATTGCCTGCTTAAGGGCTTCTTCTCTGGCGTCTTTCTAGCAGGACTTCCGCTGGGTATAGAGCTGCTTCTTTGATAAGTGGCTCAATTGGGGTGGCTTTTAGCATCCCTGTGATTGAGCGTGCCTGTCGATTTATTATATACTGATTTCTAGTATAACGATTTGTGGAGACTCAGGGTTGATATTACATAGATTGGTAGTAAAGGCCCCAACCGATATCTAATCACAGTGAGAATATTTCCGCCTGCGAATGTGAAACGAGGCAACTCTGTGGGATTTCGACTCTAGTCGGGTTTCAATCTACCTGGTTTAAAAGAAAATCGGAGTAGAAGTCGGACACTGTAGACATGTGTGGGCAATAAGATACGAAACTACCATGGGGCCATTGGGTTGCCTAACACCTGGTATCAGTTCACCGAGACCCCAAAAGAGCGTTTATCCATACCATAGGTCTTCTATTTCGCCGAAAACTGGATCGCCCTTCTCGCTGTACATGAACATATTTAACTTTCATACGACAACCATTGTCTTGTGTATGTAGCGCTAGCATCCTGTGCTGTAGGAGGAGAGGTGTGGGGGATGGCATCTGTGGCAAGCTCACTAGATAGATAAAGTATATGGATACTCTGTGGTCGAGTCTTCTTTCACAATAGAATTCACAGTTGTTTTCCGCAATACATGTCTCATCTATCCTGCGACTGCTAGAAGCCTATGTACATTCGGCATGACACTGTCTATGCCACTTGCTCTAGGCTTGTCATTCTGGAAGGCGGATTCCCCAATACTTGCGTGTGCGTGTACTCTAGTAGGTAGTACTCCACTCTCGACCCGTCACCGGCCGCTGTGAATAGATATACCTGACATCTATCAAGGGGCCGCTAGTTTGCTCAAATTCGCAGCGCACTATTCTGTCGTCCTCTTCTTGATCTATTTCGACCCCAAACTACCCTCAGAGCCAGCCTGGAAGCCAGTTGTATATCTTCCCATGTCATGAGTTAATTACATATCGGCACACGTATGATTCTAGTCGTAGAATATCGGGTTTGATCATTACAAGAAACCCTCCCCCTCTCTCCTTGCCTTGCCATTCCAACTGAGTACTGTTTCAACAGACTCCGTTGGTATTGGTATATCCATAGTTCGAGGACTACCACAATTCATAAACCTGGAGATAATGCACCGGATATCTTCTAGGGCAGTTGGGGTTCCACTAGATGCCCCGCTTCCCCATACGGTCTCATGAAGGTGTCACCATGCTCAAGGAAGGTACAGTATATAGCATATCGGTCAGCAACCTGTCTTATACATACATACTTTGTATCATGTGGCATACTGGGGAGACCGCAGCCTTGAAACTAAATACACTCCAATTATGATGCTATTGTTGGTTCCTTTTTGAGAAACAAATTCTCCAAACTAATTTGCCCCTGCTGTGGGCAGTACTGGTGGGTCGAGAAATAGCTCCTGGAAGTAAAAGCTCCAAAAAAAAAATAACTCTCAGGTACCAACCACATGTGGGTGTTGAGCGATTCACTATGGTACAGTACTTCACATTAGAGGCGGAAAACCATGTGTGTGTCTATAACTATCTTCAACCATTAACTAGGATTTATATATATAGTATGGACTACGCAGTGATGTAGGTTGCATGAACTTGACAACCCGCCATATTGCCACCAAGGTATTGGCTATATAATATGTACGGGATATGTACAGTACAGTACTGTACTGTACAGCGCTCGCACGCACACATACACACATATATATTTGTACATAGACAAGTACTCGGAGTTGCTTTAGGTTATTTTATTGCATGTTAGAAAGAAAAGGATACAACTTGTGTATTAGACTACTATGAGGTAATATCCATTCGAGCTAGTACTTTGGCAAGGGCCATCTGTCTTCCAGATAGTGAGGATGTCTGGATTTTTGATTTTTGATGATTACACACCTATGTTGTAAGGTAGTTATCCTTGTTAACCGTTTACAGAGAGACTATTATACCGGAAGACCTACAATAGAAATATATACCAAACACACACAAACAATGTCTTGAATATTTAAATTTAATCATCGATTTATGCAATGGGAAGTGAGTATGTCTGAGACCCATACAAAATAGTACATACATACAATATGTATATGAGGCCGATCATCAAAAGCCTTCGGGAGGTTGAAGGTACAGTACATACACAGTAAGTATCTAACGCCCCCCTTTTCCCGCTGTCTCCAAAAGAAAATCTACCACGGGATCAGCCCCTTTTCTTTTTCCCTTTCAAGTGTCTCCTCCTATGCAGTCCTCAGGTATCCTCCATCTCTGCAACTCATTTCGATTGGCCATTTTTATCGCTTCTAAATTTGGTGGTTGAATCTACGGTTTTTATATACTCTCAACTGACTTTCTCCAGCATCTGCGGCGAAACGAATTCAAACCAACCCCACATTAGCTTCTCGTCCCCTGTTTAGCCACCAGTAAACATATTACCTCAGATCGGTACGTGTTGCCCTGTCCACGGACCATTCTGAACGTAAGGATGTCAATGAGATGTGTCGTTGGCGTCCTAACGCAATCACCATCTGCTTACTCGTATCCCTAGTATTTGAATTCTGACGTCCTTCCTAATTATACCTAATTATACCTTCTCCGCGCTTGTGGTACAGTCTTACTCATCTGTCTACGCCGGATAGCCACATTGACGAGAAATCGAAACGACGGCGATACTATCCTCGAGGCTTTGATAAAAGTTTAACAAATAGCCGATATTTTCTTTTCGAAGTGCTTGCATAGCGAAATTTTCAATTACAATGTATTGCGACTAATGACAATCATCTACTCTGCTCTGATCCGAGATAGTTATGCGCTTCTCCTAGGAAACCATTGTGTCAGAGTAAAACGGGTCATGCGTTGAAACAAGTGCTTGCCAATAGGGGAGCTAGAGGAGCCGGCTTACGAAATTTCATGCAAATCCTCCAGAGGCTACGGAGAAGTCCTCATACGACGAGCTCCTAGAGTGCGAAGAGGATGATCAGATCGCCAGTCACTAATATCTTCGAAGACTCATTTGCAACGCACCTCGAATCTTGTAAAGCCTGAGGTCTTAGATCTGCCTAGAACCACCTGCTTTGCTCTTGTCGTGCTTACCGACCTATTTATATTGGACTCGCTGTCATACACTGAAATCCAAGGCGACATTTACGAAGGTACACCGAAGGCACACTATCAAGCACGTCGTGTTCTTTTTTGGAGATAATTACTCGCATCATATCTCTCTCTATCCCCTCTGTCACGACGATTCTTTTCGTTGGGATCTGGTCATTTTCATTCTCGTCTTGTCAGCACGGCATTGATCATCAGGTTCTTACAAACATGATACATAACTCGACTTCGGAAGGATATGGACATCCGTCTAGGCCCATGTCACCAGAGTGTGCGTCCACGACACACTGTGCTACTTCACGTTTGTCCAGAGCCAACTCTCAGAATAAATCTAAAAAGACTGGCTCCGATACCGCAGAACTTACTTCTAGATTGGGAGCGGTAACACCGACGATGCAGGGGCCCGTCTCAGGGATGGCTACGGACTCTCCCTCAAACAGTCCAGGTGATAACAATATCCAAGAAGGACTTTGTAGTTTGAATCGTTGGTCTCAGTCAACGACATCTAGCAAGAGTTCGCCCAAGTATGTTGACTATAACCGAGGGAATTTCTCTAAAGCATCCTTCGACGATGATTGCACCTCGCCCAAAGGCCGTATAAGCCCCGAAAGGAATACCATCCTGCATGTTTCTCCTCGGGTCGCCGCGCCGATGGATGATGAAAGTCCACTGCAAAGACGTCGTTCTCCCCATTCCATTGCCACAGGTCACTACATGCGAACCCTTGAATTCGGAGACCACGGTGAATCACCGGCCTTTTCAAAAGATGCTAGAGATGCGGCTCCGTCGCATTGGGACCCCTTGCCACCCGAGTCTACGTCGATCGCTGCTAGCCTCTTTCAAAACCCGTGGTCAAGGCCAAGTGTTGATCCACAGCCAGTCAACCAGAGCTCACAACCATATTCTGGGAGGGGCCTAATTCCCGGGAAGCGGCGACGAGGCCACTCCCAAAAAGCTATGCTGTCCAAAGCTCTACAGAAAGCCAACACTGCTGTACTTCTGGACAACGCAGCAAACTTCGAAGGCGCAATGGAAGCATACAATGATGCCTGCCAACTTCTACAGCTCGTTATGCTTAGAAGCAGCGGTGGTGAGGATGAAAGGTCAAAACTTCAGGAAATTGTAAGTCTTGCTCCATACCCCCAATACTAATTAAGCCTAAGGACTAAGTTTCCTAGCGAGATACATACATGATTCGTGTAACGGAGCTGCAACGTATGGATTTCTCCTTTGCCGAGCCCAACAGCAAAGCTCTTCCAGAGCGCCCCCTCAGCCAGGAGTCCTACAGTGAGATGTTTCAATCGATCGAAGAGGATGGGAATGAAACATTGCTCAATGAGAACATGAATTCGTTGCGGCACATTTCTAGCAATCACCATCCAGTGCTAGATGAACCAACGGCATTGCCTTCCAATCAAGTCACACCAAGGCGCCAGTCGCTATTGCCTTCCGCAATAGACGATGACCTGCGTTATCTGACCCTATCACCGACTGCCACCAAACAGAACGATTATGCCCAGACCGAATCTTCTAGATCATCTGAAGATGAGCATTTACGAACAGAGCATGTCTCTGGGTCATTGAACAGAGAAGAGCATTCAGCTCACCACCATCGATATTCTGAGTGGACTGTACTGGGGGCCCATGCGAAGGATGCTTACGAGTCGACATCTTGGCTTGATACCATCGACGAGTCTGGCGCATCTTCACCGGCTTCCATGCGCTCCAAAGTATCATCTGTGTACCTACGAAATAGGACGAGTTGTCGCCTCAGCCACGGTACAGAGGCTGAATTTGATGCTGCTCTTGATGCCGCTGTCGAGGCTGCCTATGATGATGGACTTGAGCCAGTAACAGAACTATGTGGCCAGTATGATGGTGGCGTTGATATTGGTATTGAGAATGACATCGTGGCGAATGCTCGTAGAAATGTTGAGTTGGCGAAGCAGAAAGTAAGGGAAGCCGAGCGTGAGGCGCAAGTGGCGATGGCGCGAGGACGGGAGATGCGACATTTGCAACAACACACCATTCTTGATCATTCCCATGCGGTAGCCTCGGAATATCTGGATGAGGAAGCCGAGGAAGAGGAGCGTTTACTGGAAGAGATGACCAGAGGTTATGTAATGGATGACTTCAACTTTGGTCTTCAGTCCAAATCAGCTCTGCCTCGACAATCGGATTCTAGCAGCTTTTCCGGTAGGACTTGGGAGAGCTCGGCTGCATCCAATACAACAACTCCCGGAACAACATTGTCGCCACTTGCAGAAGATACCGCTCTGCCAATAGTAGATTCAATAGCGGAGCAAGGCTGTGAACCTTGCTCTGTCCATGCCAGTACTACTGCTATATTGCCTAAGCCAAGTCTTGTCTCAGTGCCAGGTCCAAGCGTACGTGCGCGAAGAATGTCGGGTCAGAATCCCACGGAATTGAAGATCGAAACGAAACCTCGCTTTCGAGCCGACTCAGATATATCTAGTCATGGTCAATCCTCTGACCCTCCGACCTTTCGACCACCACCTATTTCAAAAGATGAAAACCCTACAAACCTTTCTATGCAAATAAACAAAACCCTAGGACCTACTCCCGCCTTGCGCGCGGCGGTGCGTTCAACCAAGAGGAACACATCCATTGGGTCCTTCAGTGAAGACACTTGGATAAATGGCAGTCTGGACAAATCTGCGACTCAAGAAGAAGACAACAACTCCGGCACTTCAAAAATGCCATCACCAGCTCGGCCGATCGGGAAAGTCCCTTCGGCACCGGAAAACCTGGGAAAACTGAACTCAGGTTTGAAATCATTTCGTGCAAGGAATGTTTCAGTACCAGGGGCTGATCCCATAACCGACTCTCCAGACACTCCAGGCAGTGCATTCCCCTCTTTTGATATTCAAAAAGGAGCTGGGGCTGCCGCAGTGCCGATCATGCCCACTCCAACTGGCGCAACCTTTGCCCCTAATGGTCTCCCAAGTGGGGGCCTGTATTTGTTCGACAGCCATATCCACTCACCGACAAATCTAGGCTCACCAAATATGACAGCTACTAACGCCCCTTTACCCTTAGAGCCTTGTCCAGAGTCGTTCCTCTTACGTCCATTTTGGCTAATGCGATGTATATATCAAACAATAGCCCACCCCAGCGGTGGCTACTTGACTACCAAGCTATTTGTTCCGCGCGATGTCTGGCGTGTAAAGAATGTTAAAATTAAGGCAGTGGAGGAAAAAATCTCAAATTGTGACTTGTTGACGGCGGCGTTGCTGAAACTGGCTAAGGTTGATACTTACGATGCCGACGCCGTCTTGGAAGAAATGCAGTCTCTGGAGACTGTTCTTGACCAGGTACAATCGTCACTATCCAAAAAGCTGAGCAGTGAGGTTGGAGTTCAGGGAGCTACGGCCCTTTTCAAAGCCTCTCAAGGTTCGGACGACGCGGCAACTGTCGATGCTTTGCCTTCGAAAACTTCCAGCAGCGCCAGCAAATCGTACTTGACTTCCTGGCGCAAACTGCGATCCAAAAATTCTGGATTTGGTGTGACACCATCACAGTCTAGTTCGAAAGAGACTAGCAAAGATACTTTGATAATCAACTCTCTGCCGATGACCTCAACGCCAAGCCCCCAGTCTATTAAGCGCAATACACCGCAGTTGCAGTTCAATGGACCCAATGCGAACTATATGGGCGCGTTGGCTCGCCTTTGTGATGCGGTCCAGGTACTAGGTGGGCATTATCTATTCCTATGAACGTTGTTGTCACATTTCGTTTACTCACTTCGCGATATCAGATCAAATCGCTCAGCAAGTTGAAGACCCTGGCCTGAAGCATTCTTCACAGACTCTTGTTGGCCTGGAGTTAAGCACTCGCCATGCGGCAGAATTCTTTGGCTTCTATGTTTGTCGGTTTGCCTTGAACGATATTGCCACGATGCTCGATAAGTTCATCAAAAGGGGTAGTGAATGGGTCCTTATCTAAACGCCTGAGAGCCCAGTGCTTCGTGCTGTTTTAGAAAGACACATGTGTATGATATCTCCCTAAACATGTTCTAATCCTATAGTGCCCGGTTCTCATGTCTAGTTTTATGAGAAGTATCAGCCACGATGAAAGTTTTGCTCCGTCAGATAACGGTTGCTTTGGCTTTTTTTCTTTTGCTTCCTGATGTTATGTAGGGGATATCCCTGGACTCTTGAGCCGTACATATATATCTTATTCTCCTAAGATCTGCACTAACCATCACAATGTCCCTTTGTCACCACGCTAAACGTCTGGTACAATACCTTTCACCGCCATTTATTAGTCTAATAATATATACACATATATCTCTGTGTTGACGCCGTGGGAGTGTATATTCCACGCACATCAAGCTCGCCTTCCTGTAGACTTTAAACAGATTTGTCGTCGTCTTTCTGCGTCCCGGATGATCTCCGCTGATAGCTTTAAGCTCGGGGCAAGGTGTGAGTATGTCCCGACCTCTGCAACCACACTTGATATTATTCCGTCTACCTGGTCTGCAGGTGGGAGTAAGACGGAAAGCGCTGGAGACATAGTAGCCCCCATAATTAATAGTGTCTGTGAAACCATGGACAAAGCTCCCTGCCAAAGATATGGTAGATGACCCTCGCGATGGCTTGTTATATTTTCCAATTGGCGCATTGTTGCTTCTAGACACCGCCGGCAGCATTCCTTGACCACCGGATCTGAAGATGCGTGCTCGTTCTGAAAGACAGCCAGTATATATGGGCGGTAGATAATTGTCCGGCAAGCGAAGTATCGAAGCCGCAGTACAGTTTGAACAGAATTTGACGCTGGTGTATGGGAAAGAGGAAATTGAATAGGTTGAGGCAGACTCTCATACCACTGTGACAGTTGGAAGTCCAGCTCAGAAACGATAGGTCCAAGCGAGCCGAGAGTGAGTGGGCTGTCCTTTTGGTATACCATGTGGCTGACACGGTTCAGCAACCTTCTCAATGCAATTTCTGCCAAGAAGTACCAGAGTTCATCGTGACCAACATGTTCAGTTTCAGGGGCGATTTCACCACGTTCGTCCTCGACCTCGTCATCCTCCTCGTCGTCCTCCTCAAACCCACCAGGAAGATCAACCAACTCTTCAAAATGCACAATTCCCGAATGTGGCAGATCTAGTTCTGCTAGCAAATCGCTCTCGTAGAGTAGCGCGTTCCAGTATACTCTCACACTCAACTCCTTCCACTGAAGAGGAACACGAGATGTATTACCAAAAAGTAGCTGTAACTTTAGGCTGGCGTTCGAGAGAAGTGTCCAGGCCTCTAGAGGTCTGACTAAATAGAATAAATAGGCTGAGGTCAGTATAATGCACTGCGCAGCAAGCACAGAGTTGCGCATTATGACAAGAGGTAGAAGGCCCCAGGCTGCCGAGAAGTAGGCCAAACCTGGAGCCTCGTTGTCTGGAGGAACAGAGGAGATGCTTCCGTATTGACTTGCGCATCCAAGAGCTAAGACTAAGAGTACCAGGCAGCTCTCAGGCCCTTCACGGAAGCCTAGTGATATCGCGGTACTGTAGTACCGAGACCATGTATATGGATTGACGCACGCGTACCAAATATTGACACGTTGAAAAAAAGCCTTGATATAGGTGGTCGCATTGGATAAGTCTAATACTCCTGGAGCTCTCATCCTGAGGGGTTCACGAGCCATTTCTAGTTGCAACAGTGTGTGAGGGTCATAGGGGCCAGCCACCAAGTCTCGAATTAAGGGCCATTGTAGGAGGTGTAACGCAGGGGTAGTATGTACCTTGGGCATCGTTGAAATACTCGTGGGAGGGTTAGCCCAGGAAGCGAGTCCGACAACAGACGTTCTCACAGGCATAGCGAGCGGACTCGATGTTTTGACTAGCGCATCATCACCGCCATTATTAGTATCGTTACTGGTAGTCGGTGAAGCTGAGGACAGTGGACAAAGGGCAGCTTGATTTGCTAGGCTGGATTGGAGTAGTCCCTCGATGCGGTTAAGCCTTTCAATGATCAGCTTATCACCGGCATCGAGCTTGATGCCAGGTTCTCTATAGATACAGTCGGCATCTAGTTCTGTACAGAGCTGGCATTTTGGGCGTGCCCCGTTGCACCTCGTTTTCCGCAGGCGGCATATCTGACACTATCATGCTTACCATTGTTCTTGATCAATGAACATCCAAATAAAGGAGATGCAATCGTTGGGGAGAGTGGGTACACAGAGAAAGAATGTGGGGAGGAGGCGGAGGAAGGGCAAAGAACAATAAATAGGAGACTCATACAGCTATTGTAGCGCGCCTTCGGGGATACTCGGTCACTTCAGAGTTGGATCGCTTTTTCTTGCTCATTCGAAGGTCATTAGAAATAGTTGCAGTGCTAGCTGCATCAATGATATCTCTATCTCTTTCAGGCGAAGAAGACATGGTTTTGGTCTAAGAGATTACAACACGAATTGATCTCCTGAGAGCAGGTACACCCTACATGGTAGTCTTCATTCGCCGTCAGCTTGTCTGTTTACCCAGCGTCAGTATCTTGTTTGAATGGCTATATAATTAGGTTGCTATACCTCACGAAGAATTCATTAAAGCGTTCATCTTGCAAAAGTCATATTTACGAGAGAGAAAAAGAAGCAGTCGAAGTGATCGTGCTAATATACCTGAGAAGAATTGATTATTATGTATGTACTTAAATCAAATGCTCGGAAAAGCGGGGAAGGTACGGAGAGAAATCTACTAACTGATTTAAGTTGCTTTGGCTTTTTTTAAATTCAAAATGAATTAAACCGATGGACTAGTACTTCGTAATTACGGTATTCCCATATTCGATACTAGCCCATACAGTAGTACATGGCGCGGGACGCGTGGTTCCGCGAAAACAACGCGACCGCAATGATCAAGATACCACTCACCTCCGCATCTACTCAACATTTCATGAACGAGGGCGAGAAAAGACGCGCTACATCCCAAATTAACGAACATCTTATGGATGATACGGTGACCATTGGAAGGACGATTCGGATCTCTTCCAAGCATGCCGCGTCCACCTACGAAGCGCAACCGCCTGACATTAAAGGCTGCCCCCGCAAACTCCAAGGAGAAGGCACAGCGAGATGGTGAGGATATAAGCAAGGCGAATCCTTCCAGGTCCCCGGTACTCGATAACCAGGATGAGAGCAGCGCTTCACAGTTGGCATTCAGTGCTCAACATGCAAACACCTTACGGCAGTTAAGAAATCAAACACCCTTGGCCAAAACGCATGAACATGCGATCGAGTCTTCTCCAATGGGGGAACGAGGTGCTACGGGCAGCCGACCACCCACCAGGTCCCGAGGTTACTCATCTACCCTCTCTATGGCTGAACGAAAATTTGATATGGGCTCAAAGGTACCCGGTACACCAGCCTTTGAGAGCTCGATATTGAGTAATTTTAGACGGCGGCCTCGCCAAGCGAGTATCCTGCAAATGATGCAGGCAGAGGACGGATCATCTGAACTAGACGATGATGACTTTCTGGGTGGCTTGAGCCCGGAAGACGAGTCCACCCCCCTTAACCTCTCCAGAGGAAAATCGCTTCTAGTTAGAAAATCTGTATCCCCATCTCCATCGCAACTTTCGTTGCCTTCTAGTGATGGGTCCCGCAAGCGGAAACGGTCTGTCGAAGAGTGCCGGGTCCCCCAGTCGCCTTTAACAGTTGTGGAGAACACACCAACAGAGTCACCTAATCATAGAGACTGGGAGAACAAATCGCGTGGCTCTTCTGAACCATGCCAACCACTGAAGTCTTTAGAAATGATCAGTCAGACCATGGCACCGCCTTTGAGCAGCAGCCCACCATCCAGTCCCGTCCGCCCAGCTTCTACACCGAAGCTAGCGCAGGCATCGGATTCTACTGGAGAAGGCACGGAAACGTTTCCAGTCGTGGCTAGCAGGGCGATTACCATCCCCACGGCAACTCTACAAGATCGACTCCTTCCCCGGCGTCGCCAACGGCATCCCAAATGTCGCGATGCGGCCAGAATGGAGGTTCAAAGCGATACAAGTGAAGACGGTGCTCCTGCTGTAGATCAGGATGATGACGAATTAAGTTACTTACACCCGAGGAGGCGAACTACCAGATCGAAGCGGAAGCCCTATTCTGAAGCTCGACGGGCAATTGAACACACGGCTGGAGTAGTGGTCAACAGGAGTAGCCACCCAAAACGTTCAGTGATTGCGAAAATCACAGAACAAGTTCAAGAAAACCCTCATGTAACCACACATTTATCCCAGCCTTGTGAAGATACAAACATCGACAAGGAGAACCAACCGGTCGACACATCATCACCATTATCCTCGCCGCTTGATTCGGATGCATTTGAGTCTGTATCGCCGCCAGAGTCACCGCCATCAGTCAATTTCCTTAGCGAAGAGCTGAGGTTGCAAGCGAAGAAGTTTGCCGAGATTGATAAATGGGAAATGGAATTCGAAGAGATCCCTGGGAGACAAAGCAGTGCATTGGAGTAGACCCTAATTTCCATGTCAATTTAATTCTAATAATTCGTTGTGCTCTATATGTTGTCACCGTCAGCGGACGTTGTGGGCAACAGAATACCGAATGATTTGTTGACCTCATCTTTACCCGATGGTAAGCGGTGCCGCGTGAAGTAAGCCCCGCAACTGAAATAATCAAAAACCCCACCTGAAGTTGATAATTGTCACTCGCATTGAATGATCTCTGCAGGATAGGCTATTCCACAACTACTTGATAACCCCAAAGTCCTAGCACAGGTTCTACTGATTTGCAAAAGCATACTATGGCCACCGTTGATACTATCCTGGCTGGTAAATATCCTGCCAAATCCCATGCGCGTCGGGTTGCCGAGCTTCTCCAGGCCCATTATGGACATGATGCTCCTGGGGTGATATACTTGGAAGCCCAGAAAACTCGTCTTATAGAGGATAACGACGAACCAATGCCATTTAGGTAATGGTTCTTTTGCTCCCCTTTCTCATCCCTCCACATGTTCAAAGGACTTACTAGCTCTGCTTATCAGACAACGCCGTTTCTTCTACTATCTATCTGGGTGCTCTCTTCCAGATTCCTATGTGATTTACGACATCAGAGCCGACAAGCTTACTCTATTCATACCTCCTATTGATGCGGAAGACGTGATTTGGTCAGGTCTTCCACTCTCCGCGGATGAGGCTTTGAAACTCTACGATGTTGACAGTGTGTCGACGACAACTGAAGTCAATGCTGCTCTTGTTTCTATTGGCTCAGCGTATAGTGGCAAATGCGTAGCTTTCGCCATCGCAGATCAGGTTTCTAGCGACACGACGTTCCAAAGCTATGCGGAGACCAATCTTTCCGTCTTAAAGGGAGCTATTGAAACAGCGCGTGTTGTCAAAGACGGATATGAAATCGCTCTCCTGAAGAAGGCCAATGATATTTCCGCGAAAGCTCATATTGCGGCCATAAAAGCTGCCAAGACTGCGACAAATGAGCGTGAGATCGAAGCCGCGTTCATCGCGACATGTATTGCTAATGGTGCTCGTGAGCAATCGTACCATCCTATTGTTGCTTGCGGTGTGAATGGGGCCACTCTTCACTATGGGAAGAACGATGATGATCTGATCGACCCTGTGACGAACCAGAAGAAGCAGAATGTGCTCATTGATGCCGGGGGTGAGTATCGTGCGTATTGCTCCGATATAACACGTGTGTTTCCTGTAGGCGGGAGATTTACGACAGAGACTCGCCAGATTTATGAGATCGTCCTACAAATGCAGACAGAATGCATTGCAATGCTTAAACGAGATGTCCAATGGGAGGACGTGCATGCGCATGCGCACCGTGTTGCCATCAAAGGTTTACTTGCATTAGGAATTCTGATCGGTTCCGAAGATGAATTGTTCGAGAAGAGAGTTAGCGTAGCATTTTTCCCCCATGGTCTCGGACATTACCTAGGAATGGATACGCATGATACTGGTGGTAACCCAAACTATGGAGACAAAGATAGCATGTTCAAGTATCTCCGGGTTAGAGGCCGTTTGCCTGCAGGCTCCGTCATCACTGTTGAACCAGGTGTAAGTTCATACCGTTCTTTCCAACTATGGCAATAGATTTTCTCCGTTTACTAAACTTTGTATTGTTATAGATCTACTTCTGTCGCTTCATTATTGACCCTTATACCCGGTCTCCTGATTTGGGGAAGTACATTGACACGAATGTCCTGGAGCGGTATTGGAGCGTTGGGGGAGTTCGTATCGAAGACAATATACAAATCACCACAGATGGCTACGAGAACCTGACCACGGCGCCAAAAGCCATAGAAGAGGTGGAAAGCCTGGCCTTGTAGAAAGCGCCGTCAATACGAGGGACACGAACGCAGATATGATCGCCTTGAAAATATCGTACTCCAGAATATCTATTTGCTGGAAATATGATCCTCGCAGCTATCCAGCACCATTTCAAGCGGAGAAAGTCACTTAAAGATGTCGATTTGTTTTATTTGAATACAAGGTTAAAGTACAGCATCATAGTACAGTTATCGTTTGCCAGGAAGTAAAAGAAAGAAATAAGACACGTCAACCTTGGATAATATCAGTTACAGAGACTATTTTTGCCTTAGGTGACGTTGATTTCAGTACCCAGCTATAGACCACTCCTAAGTCTTTTCCTTCCACTTCCTTTGACAGCAGACTCAGATTCGGCTTTATCTTGGGCACGCTTTTCTTTATGGTCAAGCACCGTATTGAGGACATCAAAGCAGAATTCGGGAACCTCGAGGCACAGGTTCCTGAATGCCTCTTCAGCTTCATGCCGTAGAACATGACTTCTTAAAGCCCAGAACGATGCTACAGGCTTTCGAATCGACACGTCATCAGCTGGGGTGTGGGTGTATACATATCGAGCGTATGCAATCTCACCGTGTGAAGTGCTACTCACACGGTGGATCTTTGAGTGGGCTAATGTCTTTAGTGCTGGTATCCCCAACTTCTCAGCCAATGTGTACACCCGTGCGTGTTTCAGTAGTTGCTCGCCACTGTCGTCGATTTCACCTACAACTTCTTGTCCACTGGAAGAGTTGGCGAGAGGACTAGCATAGTTGCGGGTATATTGGAATTGAAGAAAAAACCCGAAAGCTTCTACGTTTTCGTTAGGAAGCTCAATGCGGCGCTATGAAATATTAGTATCGCGGTGAAGATATCTGGTTCCCTTAGCTCGACCTACAGGGCCCGATTTCTCAAATGCTGCCACTCGCTCGGCAAGGAAGGGCGATTCCAACAGCAAGTTCTGGTGAGCTGATAAAGTGGTTTTCTTTCCCCCTTGTCCTATAACAAGCTCCACGATAGGCGACGTCAAATACCTAAACCATATAAGCCGAAAGGCCTAGAACAGGGAAAGAGAGCAATGTTGCGGCATCAGATATAGCAACACGGGCCTTACTCAAGATATTGAAGGCCAGAGTTTCTTTTCAGGGGTATATCCTGCTCCTCTGATCTTGGTTCTGACTCCGTCGTTGCACCTAGTAGGAATATATCTTGTGTTATAGCGTCGTTCGCTGTCTCTACTTGTTGACCTGAATCCATATTTACATCGCGTGTTTCCGTATTTTGTGTGTTCTTGGCGCCATGAGAGCCATCAAGCCCGGGAATTTGCACCCGAGGGATATTCATTGATTGCCTATGTGATTCGGGGCCAAAAAGTGAATGCGTAGCAGGAAGATATCGCTGAAGGGAAACAGAGATACGTGGAGGGCAGTTGGAAGGCTGTAGAATAATTCTTTATTATTTCAATTTTTTTTTTATTTTTTTTTATTTTTTTTTTATTTCAAACACCTTAAATTTGATCAAAAGGAACACACTTGAGGTACAAAGCAACAATATGTGTGAGATATATCTTAGATCCTAAGTATTGCGTCACGCGTCGCACAGTCATTGAACTACCGTATCAAATGAATTGAAAGTTTACTTCTAAGCTATGTTCATAGCTTTAACATCGCTGATTCTACATCTCGTTGAGATCAACTGAAAAAGCATCCCTTATCTCAGTATTAATCCTGTAATGTATGAGTGAAGACAGTTACGACCTATGAACGTTTGGATTATTCTACTTAGGGTACATACTACTAGTAAGTATGTGTACTAGTAGTATGGTACTATATATATGTATGTACTTCGTACAGGAGGTATCTTTTGCCAAAGGGTTATTAGTATTTTTGTATCGGCAATACAGAATGTTCCCCACCTAAAGAAGCCTTGCCTATGACTTCCAAATTAAATTGGTGTTCGCCCAGTATTCTCAATTTATCTCACTCACAGAGGATCGGAGAGATATATGATCTGTGTTCCTTTGTCTCTCTTCTGGAAATCTAGCTTCCACCGAGTATTTGTTTCTCGTAACTATCTGTCACCACCTTCCCAAGCTGCCATACGATTTCGCTGCACCATTCAGGCTCTAAGACGAAGCATGGCGACTGTCATCCACCCACCCCGGGATCCCAACACCCTGAGCAACTATAATAATTGGGTCTCTACTCATATTACTGCGAACTTTGATATTCTCTTTGAGCACAAGAAGCTCGTAGGGAACGTTGTTCATAAACTCAAGTCTATTACCGATGCGGAGTCTACCGATATCATCTTGGACACGAACCATGTGGACATCGGTGATGTGAAAGTTGACGGCCGGGTCTCTCATTGGGAGCTCCTCCCCCGGCTGGAACCATATGGTGCTGCGTTGAAAATTAAGCTCCCTCAGGGTGTGAAGTTGAATGAGATAATTGAAGTTGATGTATGTTGTTAACCAGTCTATGGGCATCGCCATCCGTGCCAATCTAACTGAAGGCAATTAGATCTCTGTTAAGACCACCGACAACTGCACTGCTCTTCAGTGGCTGACGCCGGCCCAAACGTCTAATAAGAAACACCCATATATGTGTAAGCTAGCCCTACTCTGCATTCGGGAAGAAAGGTCGTTCGCGGAGCTCCTCTAACTCGGCTTTCTCTTACTTAGTTTCTCAGTGCCAGGCTATCCACGCACGGTCAATTTTCCCGTGTCAAGATACACCCGATGTTAAATCTACTATCGATTTTAATATCACTTCGCCTCTTCCTGTGATTGCTAGCGGATTGCCTGTTCGCGGCATCATAGAAAACCCCCAGTCTGACGGCAAAGCGTTATATCGTTTCCATCAACAGCTGCCGATTCCAAGTTATTTGTTCGCACTGGCAAGTGGGTATGGAAATCCTGTACACCTGCTGCATGGGCCATAAACTAACCGACCAACCACAGCGATATCTCGGAGGCTACAATTGGGCCCCGGAGTGTTGTTGCAACTAGCCCTGACAAACTTCGAGAATGCCAATGGGAGCTCGAAGCGGATACTGAAACTTTTATAAATGCTATTGAGGTTGGCCTAATTCTGAAACATGGAAATCTTCCAACTTTTAACTTAAGCATAGAAAATCGTCTATCCTTATGCTTGGGGAGAGTACAATGTCCTCATTCTTCCCCCGAGCTTTCCATATGGGGGCATGGAAAACCCAATCTTCACCTTTGCGACACCTAGTATTATCTCCAAGGTATCTTCCTGAAGTCAATTAAAGTGTCAGCTGTCGGTCTCCCCTTAACGTGAATGATTAGGATCGGGAAAACGTCGACGTTATTGCCCACGAACTTGCCCATAGCTGGAGTGGTAACCTCGTTACTAATGCTTCATGGGAGCACTTCTGGCTCAATGAAGGCTGGACTACTTACCTTGAGAGACGTGTTAGTTTACTGCCCCTTAAGCTCTATTGATACAAACGACCCTAGTGATGTATATATATATGTACTGACTATATGGAAGATTCTAGCTGCGGTGTGAGTCTAAATGTCGGCGTCTTACGAATTCATTTGCTAATTGAGGCCATAGACATGGTGAACCCTATCGGCATTTCTCAGCCATCATCGGTTGGAAGTCACTTGCAGATTCCGTGGAACATTTTGGACATGACCATCCGTTTACTAAACTGGTCACTGATCTTAAAGGAAAGGACCCTGACGATGCTTTTTCAAGCATTCCATACGAAAAAGGGTTCAATTTCTTGTTCCACTTAGAAAACCTAGTTGGAAAGGATAAGTTTGACCGATTTATCCCTCATGTAGGTTCTTGTTTCCGCTTAGAATCAGGGCTCACTAATGTTATATTACTTAGTATTTCACGAAGTTTAAAGGGAAGTCTCTTGACTCGTATGAGTTCAAAGCGACTATTCTCGACTTTTTCCAGTCTGACCCGGAATGCTCCAAGCTCCTGAATAATCTTGACTGGGATGTATGGTATTATGCTCCTGGTTTACCTCCAAAACCACAATTTGACACATCCCTCGTCGATGTCGTATACGAGCTCTCTAGAAAATGGAAGTCCCTTCCTGACTCCTCTTTTCAGCCTCAGCCAACCGATATTGAAGGGCTGACAGCAAACCAAATCGTGGTTTTATTGGAACAAATTCTTCTGTTCGAGCGACCACTTAGCCCTGAACTGTCGAGGGTTTTGGGCCATGTCTATGGTCTTGCCAAGAGTGAAAACATAGAGGTCGCCAATCTCTATTGTCAAGTAGGGTTAAGGGCCGGAGACGAAACCGTGTATAAACCAACGGCAGAATTGTTGAGCAGGATCGGTCGGATGAAATTTGTGCGACCTTTGTAAGTGCACCTTGTCTATCACAAGCCATCCACTAAGCTGACCCCGCCATGCAGGTACCGCAACCTACAAAAGGTTAACCGCCCACTTGCGATTGACACTTTTGAGAAAAATAAGGATTTCTATCATCCGATCTGTCGGGCGATGGTTGAGAAAGACCTCTTTGGAAAGAGGGAGTAAATTTAGATAAATACTTTAAGGAATAGCAGTTGCTTGTTCGGCTACTCTATCGTATATGAAAATCCGAGACCTGTACTTGGTCTCGTATGGGAAAAGAAGATTCCACGACTGCCCAATGCCTGTAGTTGCGTCTTCTTGTGCAACATAACTGAAGTGATAATAATGATGAAATTTCTAGCTAATGTCAGTCCTCCATATGGATAGACGTAGTATGATACAGTAGGCTATTGGGAACAACACAAATATGAATCGAAACGAGCGATGAAGCGAAGAAGGCAAGTGAATCACTACCCAAATAAATTGTTCGTACAATTACCGCTTCCCATCGACCAGTTTCTTGTCTAGATCAGCGTACCCAAAAATGCCGGGCTTGCCGCCATTTCGCTGGCTTAGGTGGAGGATGAGATCCGCCTCGTTCACCCGAGAAAGCTCTGAAGTCACTCGCCGCATATATGCAACGACTCGGGCTATTTTTGACCAGTCCAACTCCTTCCCATCCGGTCCATTTTGGCTTGCTTTCCACAGGTTTCTCCAAACGGCGGCACCTAGCACGGCATCCCCCTTCACAAGACCCTCATCATAGGCCGCAAGAACACCTCGCCACTGAATGAAAAGATCTTTAAGAAATTTGTTCCGAATAGTACGGCTCGTGAATCCATGTAGTACGTCCATTCGATGCTCAGCATTGTGCGAGAAGTGGTCGATCAGATGCCGGGAATAAGTTTGAAAACTTGAGTACGATGGCAAGGCTCGTAAGCGGACAGTTAGGAGGTACATGTGCAGAAAAGTGATTTGGGACCAGGTTGAAAAGGTAGGTATGAGGCCAAGGTCTGTTGTTATTCACAAGTATTAGTTTCACTACCACCTTTCGTTAGTTACTCAGGTAACAAACCTTCATACCACCATCCTTCCCCAACTCCAAGATCTTCACCAGCTTCAGTTTTGGGGATTTGGGCTCCCTTCTGAGATACTTGTGGTATACTATAATCTGCCTGACTAGAGCAGGCCTCGAAAAGCTTCTGTGTCATTCCGTACGCCACATATGTCTCCGCAGTAGTACCGGGACGGGGCATAATCGCTCGGGCTAATCGCGAAGCCCGGCGACCCTGTAAATAAGGTCCGGGGCATGAAACAAGTGTCCGCGGTGGACGTTGACCAAGATAATAGCTTGTGATAGGCTCGGGAGTGGAGCCCTGAGAGGAAGCATTAGGTGTTGTGTATAAAAATCGTTGCAAAGCTGCGGAGGAGACAGATGGTCTAATTGCGGTTAATGCCTAGGAATTCTTGATCAGTCTGGTACTATCCCGAGTTTGAAGGGGAAACTACATGGAGTTTTGAGCATCGAGGATTGGAATATTCCCTCAGCCTTGTAATGCATAGCTTGCTGGGAGGCATGTCTGATGGAGCAAAGCTGTGTTCAACTCAGATTTACACGGCCGTTCGCAAAATTGCGATATTGGATTTCATTGTACTGTACATACATGAGATTACCGAGTAGGTAAGTTACAGTTTGCATTGTTTGCTGCCTGATGTAATGAGAGCATTGCCCTCCCTGATTGGCTACAGGCTGCCTCCTACTTAGCCTTAAGTAGTAGGTTCGTACACTATGGAGGATAGTCGAGTATGTGGTATGGTGACGTTATTTATCGCCTTATGATAGACATAGCACAGACGTTCACCGAATCTGGAATTGCTTGAATCGCAGTGCCTTCATGAAGAAGACTGGCACCGACCAAAAGTTAACGTACTACCCAATCGCCGGAGTCCGATCACGGCTAACTTTGGGCAATCAACGATGTGTCGTGCCAGCGGGCCTGTCAGGGAGTTAAAAAAATTGCTTGCCAAGACAACTGCTTGGCAAGCACTTCCTTACAACAAGATATTGACTGCCGAGCCGGTCCGATATCCCCTCTCTTTTTCTTTTCTTATTTGGCGTGAAGGGAAACCGGACTTGTCTCTTTTGCCCCTTGTTACATCTTTTCCAGCCCATGTGACGTGTAGCAGTAAGGTCGATCACAGGTAAATACTGCTATGATATGATTGCCCTTCCTAATCTCCAAGAACGATTCTCTCTAGACGCTTTTCGTGAAGTGGAAGAATCTCCGAAAGCCTATTTGGATCTCGCATAACGGCAGGTACATCATCTCTCGTAGTTGCTAGAATCTGTAACGCAATGGTCAACCGCCTTATCACTTTAAATCCACCGGCGGTAAGTGTATACCTGTCGAACGGCCTCATATTCCAATTCTTTGGACTGGAACTCTCTGATGACCTCCAAATTCTCGAAGTCGACATAAACCCTCGTGTCACGAAGTCGGAATAGGACATTATCAAGACGCAGGAAGAATCTCGATAGCAACAGCAGTCTGGCTGGCATAACGCGAATTTTACAGGATAGCATAGTGATGCCATTATCAGCAAGTTCATCTTCGTATAATATGACCTCATCGAAAAAGAGTATAGGATCCGGGCGTTTTAGCAATTCTAAGGGAATGGGTTTTGTGGTAGGCTCAAATGACCGACTGTTGGACTGAACTGTGCCTGTATAGTCCGTGGTGTAGGACCAATCAAATGGCTTGACAACATCTTTAATACCTTCATGCGTTTTTTCTCTGTTTACCGGTGATTAGCCTTTCAGAGAGACTCTTCTAGACCAGGAGTCCTGAATACCTGCTTCTCTGCCACTCCTTCGAGTAAGCGACTTTGAGCATCGATGCGCCCGTTTTGTCCACGCGATCCAAGGCATCAAACGCATTGAAAGTGATTGTCCAATTGCTATTTTCATGTTTAACGGTGACAATATTGTCGCCGAAGATCATTTCTGGGGGCGCAATTCCTAATTTCTTTGTCATGTCTTCAATCGCGTCAGCTTTTAATATGGGCCGCTTCTGCGTAGTGATCTTGAAGCCTTTCACGGAGATAGTATTAGGGTTGTGGACCGCTGGGGACACGGCGGCTGGGTTCCCCATGGCGGATATAGGCATATGGTAGTTGGTAGGATTCATGTTGGTCGTAAGAGATTGGCAGAAGTTCTGTTGCTTATATGGACCTTATCGATATCATTGATCACCCGGAGGATTAGTTAACCCCGCGCGGTGTCGGAGAAAGAGGCGATCCGATCCGTTGCTGTGGTGATGTGCTAAAGGAGGGCAATGTCAATACTTCTTCTATTTCCATTTCAGCAGCGCCAGCAGCCAGCCTCTACCTACCATCTTCCCCTTACATTTATTCCAAATATTTCAGCTACATCGCCCAGACTGGATGATGTCCGCGTAGAAATTTCTAACCGCTGCACAATTGCCGCATTTTCTTCCCACCTCCTGTTCAATTCTTCCTGCTAGTTCACAAGGTTTCACTCTCAGTTACATCTTAGCCATGTCCACAAAGACCTTGGAAAGCCGCTTTGAGCATCTCTCAGTCAAAGATGGGAACGTATCGACAATCAACTGTAACAATCATGCAAAGAATAAGGTGAGTAGTGCCGCTTCACCGCACAGTTCCGAGACTGTTGGCTTACTCACTTTGCTCACCAGGGCTCCGTATCGACAGCCATCTCCCTCTCTGGGCTTGGGTCCGCGGCACAATTGAGCAATGGCTCCAATCGGTCGAACCTGCTCAAACTGGCTTTGCAGAACACGAATGACAACAAAGTCAATGCAATGAATGCCGGCACTTCCCCTAGTAAGGGCACACCACAGCATCGTAACGTGGATGAGAATGGAGAGCAACGCCACCAATCATCGCTCTACGACCAATCATCACCGAAGAAGCTACACCTTGGAATGTTTGAAATAGGAAAGCCCCTAGGCAAGGGCAAATTTGGCCGGGTTTATCTAGCCAAGGAGCGTTCATCCGGTTTTGTGTGCGCACTCAAGGTCCTGCATAAGTCTGAATTACAACAGGGTGGGGTACAAAAGCAAGTCCGAAGAGAGATTGAAATCCAGAGTAACTTACGCCATCCAAATGTTTTAAGACTCTATGGTCACTTTCAGGACAGCAAGCGAATTTTCCTGATTCTGGAGTTCGCCGGCCGGGGAGAGCTTTATAAGCATCTCCGAAAAGAACATCGATTCCCTGAGTGGAAAGCAGCTCAGTATATTGCCCAAATGGCTGCTGCGTTGAAATACTTGCATAAAAAACATGTCATGCACCGCGACATAAAACCGGAGAATATTCTTGTTGGTATTCATGGTGAAATCAAGATTAGTGATTTCGGCTGGAGCGTTCATGCGCCCAACAACAGGAGGCAGACGATGTGCGGAACACTCGATTATTTACCACCCGAGATGCTGAAGCCAGGCTCGCAAGACAACTATTACAATGAAAAAGTCGATCTATGGAGCTTAGGTGTTTTAACTTATGAGTTTTTAGTCGGAGAAGCTCCATTCGAGGACACACCTGTAATGACGCAAAGACGTATTGCACGGGCAGACATGACAGTTCCTTCTTTCGTGAGTCCCGAGGCGAGGGACTTGATCAAAAGAGTATGTTATAATCTCCGGAGAATGACAAATTGTTGCATCACATGCTTACTCCTCACAGTTGCTCGTGCTTGATCCCGAGAAGCGTATCTCACTTGATGAAATCCAAAGACACCCTTGGATCCTAAAACACTGTCTTAAAGATGACCGAGTTATGAAAAGGAGTTCCGGTTCGTCAAAGGAAGTTAAAGCATGAAGCGTTACCCATGCATATGAAGGAGTGTTTGGAGTTCGAACAAGTTTCGGTTACTATACAAATACCTATACAGGCATTGAGTTAAGCTCTTTGCCTTTGTTTCTTGCTTTTTGTTTTTCCTTGCGAAGGAGTTGACTAGGATGATTGGCGTTACTTGTGCTCATTTACTTTCTGAACAGAGTGAGAAACATGGGTGTCAGTTGTCATTTCTACACTGGTTCCATTAAATATAATACACGTGGAAATTTCAAGTACAGAAATAGAACAAGGAGTAGGAGTATACAAGAGACCATGGTATCATCGGTAGATTTCATCAAACGGCCGCATATCTCTGAAACAGCTGTCCCAAACTTCATTTACAACCTTCTCGGCGTGAGCTTCATCCTTGCATGTAGGCCGCGCCCGCACTGACAAGATCGCTCTTCTTCTTACACATTCTTGATGCTGCTGTGTGAATTTCCATTGACCTCGTCGGAAGAATTCCCGTGCCCATCTGCACTCTCCACTAAGCGAGCTGGCTCGAATCTATGACGGAGTCAGTAACGCCTTAGACAAGAACTCACATTTTCTCTCCTACCTCAGTACAAGCTGCATGCCTCAGGTTATCCGTCCAGTTAACTCTAAATCTCAAGTGATCATAAGCGTGGACCATTTCATGGGCCAGTGTGTCCTCAAGATGTCCCTGGTCTTTCATCTCATTTGCGCAGAGTAAAATTCCGAAATCAGGATCAAATCCTCCCGCTTTTCTATTCGTACACCGACGGCAGTAAATATTATGAGTAGAGAGATCGCCTCCAAGTTGTCGAATGTTGTCGCTCAGATAACGAATTACGGGACCTACATCGCAGACCTCTTAGTCGCTGTCGAGCTCTCCAAAGGCGGCTAGAAAAGGGGTTAGACGCTTACTCCACTGTAGTAGATAGTCTCGTTGATCCTCGCAGCGCTTGCAATCTGCGGCTTCGTTTCGAACGTCCCTCGCGATACGGAACTGTTCGATTCCTTCATTTGACATCTTCCCCATCATAATAGCAAAGATATTGCGCCATTGTGTCCAAGTATCATTCCCTGGTATAAACCCAGAGTCGCAATTATCTGCTGGAGGTTCTGAGGCACTAGACGGTTGTGATTCTGACATCTTGAAAAAAGAAATGTTGAGTCCATTATTATTCCCAGTACACCTTCCCTATCGAATTCCCCCAGTATGCGGAAGAAAGCTTCCCCGAGCCCCGACAGTCTCCGCAACTAGCGGTGACAACTGGCGGAAAATAAGTCGACACACGAATGGCTCCGACCTTCGGACCATATTTGTTGTGCACGCCTTTCGGCTTTCAAGGGAAGCAAGCGGTCGAAATAGAAAATAACTTATTCTCTTGACTATTTCGCTCAACAAGTACCCTTACACGTAGATCTTTGCCTACATTTCGGGTCCAAATCACAATGGTCTCTCAAAATCTTACAATCGTCATCAAATTAGGTGCGGGGATCACTCTAGCTTAACATGGCACCTATCTAAAGATTGCCAACTCATTAATTCTCAACAGGCACAAGTTCCATAGTAGACGAAAACACTCATGAGCCAATTCTCTCAATCCTTACCTTGATAGTTGAAACCGCAGCCCAACTTCGCCGCAATGGTCACAATGTCGTCCTTGTTTCTTCCGGCGCTGTAGGAGTGGGACTGCAGAGGATGGAGGTGGAAGAGAGACCCAACAATTTGCCTCGCATTCAGGTACGGATAGTCGTCATACTGTGCCAATTGGAAGCCATCACTTATAAAGTTTTTCAGGCGCTAGCGGCTGTTGGACAGTGCAGACTAATGAGCCTATGGGATGGTTTGTTTTCGCACCTTCGCCTACCGGTAGCCCAAGTTCTCTTAACAAGGAACGACATAGCAGATGTAAGGCCCGAGAGCCCACGAATTACATAGTAAGCAATTTCTAATTTGCACTCAGAGAACACAATATGTCAACGCCCAAAATACCTTTTCGCAGCTTTTTGAAATGGGTGTGATCCCCATTGTTAACGAAAATGATACGATAGCCGTTTCTGTAAGGTTTTGGCTCACTCTTTGTATCAGTGTGGTGGAATCTAACTTCGAGCTTTCTTTAGGAAATCAAATTTGGCGATAACGATACACTGTCGGCCATAACAGCCGCCATGGTCAAGGCCGACTATCTCTTCCTGATGACGGACGTTGACTGTCTCTATACCGCCAACCCACGCAACAGCCCTGATGCAAAACCCATCGAAGTGGTTTCGGATATATCCTTACTGGAAGCCGATGTATCTTCGGCAGGCTCATCCCTGGGGACTGGGGGTATGAGCACCAAAATTGTCGCTGCGAAATTAGGAACTAGCGCTGGAGTAACAACAATTATAACGAAAAGCTCGAAACCGGGGAACGTTCATGAGATTGTAAAATATCTCCAGCGAGTTAATCAAGGAATACAAACGCTTACAACGACTGGTGAAACCATCTCTGAAGTGCCCCCTCTTCATACGCGCTTCCTTCCTTCTGATCATCCAGTCCAATCGCGAACGTTCTGGTTACTTCACGGTCTGAAGCCACATGGAACCATATATATTGACCATGGCGCCTACAGTGCTCTGCAGAAGAAAGCCAGTCTTCTTCCGGCTGGTGTTGTGGGTGTGGATGGTCATTTTGCGCAACAGGAGGCCGTACGCCTGGTCGTAGTGCAGAGGCTCTCCCCGGATTCATTAAATGGCGACTTCCTTCATCACGGCCAGGAGCCGAAAGAGGTTGGACGTGCACTAGTCAATTACGGCAGCCTCGAAATTGAACGCATCAAGGGGCACAGAAGCACCCAAATCCAGACCTTACTAGGGTATGCAGATAGTGAATATGTCGCTCTCCGAGAAAACATCTCTTTTTTCCAGCAGGACGATCCTTCGCGGTAGTAGCCAACTATTAGTTTACTAAAAGGAGTTACTACTCTGCAGAGCTTCCGAACCATAACATGCTTACCTGCAAACTATGCAACAAAAGCGATTCTGCTGTCTTATGAATAATACGATGGTACCTCCTTTCCTTTCAAGATCATGCTTACAACAAACAGTACTGTATATAAACATGGGTCTTGAGCTTCTATGAGCGTTGTAGCTCTCATAAACATTGCAAGAACATCACATCTAACTAACCCAATCCCAGATATTGTCATACAAGCCCAAGTACCAGAAGCAGCTGCTTCCGTACTGTAGAACGCCAGAGGAAAGCCAACTAACCCCAAATCAATGCAAAAACACATGACCAATTGGACTGTTCAAAATTCACGACTTGCTCATCACAGCCTAGCCCCGTAACTCCAGGTATGATACCAAGTTCAATCCTTCCACCGTTCCAAGAATCTCTTCATCTTTTCATCATGAGGATGTGGCGCTGGAGATGCCTGTACAAAATTAGACGATGATTAGTTGCCGGTAGTATGAAATAATGAATCAAGCCTTGCTATACATACGGTATTCTCAATACTAGACACAGAGTATGTCAAAGAGGCCGAAACTGTGGTCTGGACGGTAGGTACTGGAAGATATGCTGTAGCAATATCGTATGCGCTGGTTGGGTATTGAGGAGTAGGCGACTTATCCGTTGGGATTGTCGACCCGGGCTTCTTGGCCATTGGCGCGTACCTTGTAGGCCCAGTCTGCAATTGATATGGGATTGTATAGGCTCCAGCGGCTTGCCTTTTCCGCAATTCTTCTTGCTCATAACCCATATTTAGAGAACTAATCTCATTCTCCAGATTCGACGAGAAAGCACCAGTCATGCCGGTAAGCGTGAACCGATCGGAATAGTTTTCAACGATGGTGTCGGGACCGGAAGCAACGATTTTCAGGAAGCTACAGATACAAAAGGCATCGTTAACAGGAAGAAAAGGTAATTCCCAGAAGTAGGCATTGTTCTTACTATGCGTTTGGTTCGTTGCCACCGACCTCTGGATCAATTTTGAAAGAGACCGAATTGCCACGGGCAAAGACACCGTCCTTGATGAGAACAGCTACATCTTCCTATTGCGATTTCTAGTGGTCAATAGAGGTCTTCACTTAAGATGTGATGTTGTTTACACCCACATGGGAACCCAACGTGTCCCCGCCAGCACAAAGATAAAGGTCGTATTGTACAAGTTCAGAAACCCGAGGAGACTTGCCAGAGTCTTTCCAGTGCGCTGTTATGACATCTCCGGACTCAATTACTGTGCCACGCGTTGGTGCCGTGAATTCGACATCCGCCAGCGCTGTCGAGAGTAGGGAGAGGACCAACGGTATGAGTTTCATATTGAATATAACTGTTTGACGGGGGGTGAGGGAGCTGAAAATAATGAGAAGCCACTAAAAGAACAGCCAAGGATGGACAAGGACGAATGCGTGAAATGAAGGCGGCAATTGACTCTCTTGAGACCGCGTACAACAATTAACGACAGAATCACCAACACCCCTGTGAAGCAAAGGTATGTGAGGCTGGTTTGCTTTACCTTGATTGCTTGTACAGTATTGCTGTATATGTATATACAGCAATACAATGTATTCAATATAATACAGACCAAGACTATCGTATCATGTTATCTACTGTACTGTATGCACTGTATTCTGTATACATTGATACATTTAATACATACATAATACAGAGTACCAGCTACGGTACGATGGTAGATCCTCACTTGAAAGGCGGTGGCATGATTTAATGTTTACAACGGTCAACTTTTCTCCATCAGTTAAATACAACAAGATACAGACATAGTACATACCTAACCTCCTACTAAATTTCGTCCTCTTAGCAAGTTCCTACCGCGCTTAGCTCTCTCTCTCTTTCCCCCTCAAAAATGATAGTAGCTTACGCTTCTACTTAAATCCCTCATGCTTCCTGCCTAGCTCTTGCCTGTTCGTCATTTCTTCGTATGAGATAAGCCAAATTCATCCTATCCGCTAAGATGGGGACACATACAGATTGGAGGTCAGTTGGCGGAATTGCTACCAGTCTACTCGACGGAAATCCCTTCGCTATTGCAATTACCACGTTTATTGCCTTTGGCCTGCCAGTACTACTGCATCTTATTTTCTATCGAACTGCTGCTTCCCCAGCATCTAGCAATTTCTTACTGCTTGGACCCAGCGGAGCCGGCAAAACTGCTTTCTTGTCCCTGGTAAGCTCACTCGATCTATTAGATTCTCCCAGTCTGCCACGGTTTCTTTGGTGGGAAAACAAATACTGACATAATGCTTTTCTAACTGATAGCTAGAAGCGAAATCATCGCCTCTCGCGAAGAAGCAGACCCAGCTCACGCATACCTCTCAGACGTCGACTTTGACCACAGTCAGCCTTCCCGCCTCTGTTTCGACTGCCTCGAACCGCTACCGGTCTGTCAATGACCCTTCCTTAAAGGACATCTCCAAGAACCCAGTCAAGTACCGCGTGATAGATACCCCTGGTCATGGCAAGCTACGGGGACCTCAGGGAATTTCTCAGCTGCTCTCAATGTCAGAGTCGAAAGACTCGAAATCCAAACTACGCGGGGTCATTTTTACGGTCGACACCGCAGCTCTGGCCGACGCCGAGGTGTTACGCGATACGGCCACTTATCTGTACGATGTTCTTCTTATCCTCCAAAAACGGGCCCTGAGAAAGGGCAAGTTATCCCTAAGGGCAGCTTCAGAAATCCCCGTTCTTGTAGCCGCCAACAAGCAAGATCTTTTTACGGCTTTGCCACCTGGTTCCGTGCGAGAGAGGTTAGAAACCGAGATCGATAGGATGCGCAAGTCGAAGAGTAAGGGCCTCATGGATACCAGCGTGGATGCTAGCATGGGTGATGGCGAGGATGATATCCTCGGAAGCAGTCAGGCACAGGATAAATTCGGCTTCAAACAATTGGAGGGCGAGATCGGCTTGAGAGTTGATGTTGTTGGCGGCGCTGTTAAAGGTGATGAAAGGAGCGAGCTCGGATCTGGTGTCAGGAGGTGGGAAGAATGGATCGGTCAGTGTCTTTGACCAATTCTGTGCTTTTAACTACACTCTTCCTATCACAACTTTACAATATGCTTTCAATATGAAAAGTAAGAATAAATCTTGCTTTGTAGACTGAAGAATAGACTGCGAGTACATTTTTACCAAGCTAGGACGCCACTATTAAGGGACACAAAAGAAAGAAAGGAATGACTTTGTTATTTGTATGGCTCTACCTACCCACGGTACGAGTTTTATCGTGTCCATCGCTTAAAGCCTCTGCTGATTTGGCATCTATCCAATCCTGCAGGGGGAACAGGCTGTGTAAGTAGTGATCTAGTATGGCGAAAGGAGCAGCCTATGTGGAAACAGAACGAATCAGTAAGAGCATAAGTATAAGTGCTTACGCAAAGATCACGCCCGAGTTTCATATCGCTAGCAATAGGAGTTGTGCCGTACGGCTTTGCAACAGGAATAAAGTACTGGCCACGAGCGCCGTTCTCTGCCACCTTTGGACTCGAGGCTAAATATATGGCAGCTGCAGCCCCATCCTCTAGACTGTCTATTCGTTGAGAATAGGCGTCTCAAAAGTGAACCCAGAACTTCCCCAACGTACTTGTCCCAGACACTCCACTGATCAGTGACTATGTTACCCGGGAAAGAGGCATCAACGTAAACCTTGCTACTTGCAGAATCCTCTTCCTGTAGTAACCGACGCTTAAGTTCCCTTGTAAAGAGGATAGTCCCTACTTTCGCGCGAGCATACCGCCACACACCATCAATAGATGGCGGTTTAGGGTAGGTAGGTGAGGTGAGAAGGTTGAGGTCGAGCTCACGACATAATGAGTGCAGAGACGAGCTAGCTACCGCAATCCTCCCTTTGCTAGCCTTGCCCTGGGCGATGGTACGCTTCATGAGGGGCAGTAGATGGGTTGCCAGGACTTGATGACCAACGCAATTCGAAGCATAAGACCTGCTCAACATCTTGTAGCGATCGTTTATAATCGGATTACACGCCAATGGCTTTCGCAGAATATTAACAGCGAGCCTGTCATGCATATATGGGGGACAGAGGAAGGGGCGGAAAGCGTCTGGTAGGAACAGGACAAGCCAGCAAACTAGTGAAGCGCTAGGCGTACTAGCATTACATATTAAGGTATCAAGTCTGTCAATCCGCTGCTCCAATTCATTGGCGGCATTCTTGGCAGCTTTGCTGCCTGCGAGGTCGCATTGAATGAACTGGACTCTCGTAAGACCCTCGCCTAAGGAGATGCCAGTACAGTATTGCCATTGTTCCTGCGCCCGCATTTATTTATCGTTGCTTCGAGCCAGCACAAAAGCCTTCTCAATGGCATGCAGAAGGAACTGTGCAGTGATTTCTAGATCGACCGCAGCAGCCCCAATTAACAAATGTGGCAACATAGATCTTGAATGGAAACGATAAGCTTGTTACTTGCCCTTCCCTATACCTGCTTGGCCACCCAGTGTAATGAAATTGGTTAACATCGAGTGTTGGAGATGGCCAGAATTGAATGGATACAAAGGCAATATAATATTTGTGTCCGCGTAACATGGGCTTGATACTTACTATTACAACGGCCACTTTCCCAGTCAAGGGAGCCTAGGGTAAAGTCCCGATAGGTAAAAGGCCAGACATTCTACACTTTAGACGTTATGGGGAACAATGCTTCTCTTGTCCTTTGCATGGTCTGGATTCCAGAGTTAAATATGTAGAGAGAAGTTGGAAAGGTATGACATTATTAGAAGTTTTACCAAGGTTCAACGCCTATTTATAACCTGAATACGGAGTATATCACATTTCATTTTTAACGTCATCATGCGGTGCCTATCAACTCCATGCCGCCTCTATATAGAGGTTCAAAAATGAAATGAAAAGATAAGAAAAATGTGTTGAACACTGTCTAATCGTTGGAGGGGAGTTTCTCACTTTCTGCCTTGCGCCTTAGTAGTCGCACAATCGACATAGAGCGTTATCCCTCTTCTAGCGTGAAGGGGCGTGGGCGTGGAATTTGAGAAGCATCAGGCATAATACAACATAAGCAATTCACAGTCCGGCGCTTTATAAAGACTGTTGTTGACGTATATCATGCCGAGTCGTCTTTATTATGAAGCATCCATGTTAGTAGATCGACCTTTGTCGCAACCGCCACTGGTTTCATTGCCCCGTGTTCGTCCTTCTCCGTGACAACCGCAGCACTGTTCCACTCGAAGAACCGATTCAATACGCTGAGTGGTGTGTCCATAGTGATCTCCACAAACTTCCGGTCTTTGATCCGGGACTCCGAGCTATCTGCTGCATTTGGCCTGGAACTGGCCAATCCCATATCTCTTGGATCGGTGACCACCTCGGAGATTTTACTGAAGTTAAACATAACATCCGATACAGAGCTTTTCCCTGTAGCACGTCCGTGGGTAAGCCGACTGAGAACATTTCCTAGAGTTACTAGCCCTACGAGCTTCTTGCCAGAAGGCGCAAGCACAGGCAGTTGGTCGAAGCCGCGGTCTCGCATCATCTCAATAGCAGTTTCGCATGGAATATTGGACCGGACTGTTGTGATAGGTTTTAACCGCAGTGACTTGACCATCGATCCAGCGAAGGCATCCCTTTGTTCTTGGGGTTGCAATGTTAGAGGTAAGTCCGCAGCTTCGGCCGAGGACGATACCAGGAGTCCATTGGCAGCAAGCCAATCATCGTCAGCGAACTGAGATATAGTTAGCACGCCAGCCAAGTACTCAAACAACTAGCGAATTCAGTTACCTTGGTTAGATAGCTTCTTATGCTGTCGGGCAAAATGACGACAATCACGTCATCCTTCCCGAAGTTGTAGTCCCTCGCGGCTTGCGCCAGAGCCGAGATGGCGCTTCCACTGCTTCCACCGACAAGGAGGCCCTCTTCAGCGATCAACCGCCGAGCGTATTGAAATGACTCTTTATCTCCAGTTTTGTACCAATGGTCCACGGCCTGCTGATCGAGAACTTGCGGGATGAAGTCATACCCAATTCCTTCTACTTTGTATGGTTCATTTACATGATCTTCATTCATAGTCGGGGGTAGGGCCAGGATGGAGCCATGGGGGTCTGCTGCAATAACCTTGATGTCGGGGTTATGCTTCTTCAGTCCCCGAGACAGCCCGGTGATTGTTCCACCAGTTCCCGCGCCGGCAACAATGGCCTTGATTTGGCCGTCTGTCTGCGCCCAGACTTCTTCTGCTGTTCCAAATTCGTGAGCCATCGGGTTATTTTCATTTCCATATTGGTCCAAGATGTGCGCGTTTGGGAGTTCCTTCTCAAGACGCTTAGCGACACCAATGTGGGATTCCGGTGAATCGTATGCAGCTTCATTGGGGGTACGGATGATGGTTGCATTCAATGCTTTCAGTACGGCTACTTTTTCGGCCGACATCTTTTCCGGGAGGGTAATTATTGTCTTGTAGCCTACAATAAGCAAGAAAAAAGTAGAAACAGTTAACAGTCCGGCAGAGGTAGTTTAGTAGATGATGACCTACCCTTTACGGCGCCAACGAGCGCCAACCCAATACCACTGGTTGGGTGAATTAGCAGGTCATGACATACAGAGTAAGTAAACTTGCTGGTAGACCTACGTGTTACCACTGGTAGGTTCGATTAGAGTATCACCAGGCTTTATGCGCCCCGATCGTTCGGCCTCTTCAATCATGCGCAAAGCAATTCTATCCTTCACACTTCCCCCAGCATTGAAGTATTCCAATTTCGCATATACAGTTGCTTCGATCCCGAGGCTGTGAGGAAGTTTATTCAAGCGCACAAGAGGCGTGTTACCGATGTGCTGGGTGATCGAGTCGAGAGCCACCGGAGGAATGGCTGGCGTAGGAGCAGAAGACATTTTGATGAATTCGAACAACCGAGGTTCTGGGGCGGGGGACAAATAAAAATTCTTGTTTGAGAAAAAGGGAAAGAAAGGGAAAGGTGATAAAAGAGCAAGAGGAAAAGAAAGAGGGAAAGGGGAGACAACTAAAGATGAATAAAAATCCCAAGCGAAACAAGGCGCAACAAAAGGAAAAAATCTCGTAAGATGTTACGACCCCCCGCCCGAAGGTAACCGTTGCCGCCACATTCTTATGGATATGGAATTATATATATCTAATAGTAAAGAATCATGAATTGTCCTGGTATAGAGGTGGAAATATACATTGGGTAATGACTATATATTGTATCCTACTAGTATCTTCTTATGAATGATTATTATTACTTCTTTTTTTTACTTATCACAATTTGTTACCCACTACATATATATCTATAACGCAGTATGGTTACAGTACCTATGAGTATATGTACTATTGTTTAATCACATGGAGAAGTTTAAAAATTAAGCTTCTAGTCCAGACCTTGTTCTTTTTCTTTTTTTTCCTCTCCTCCTAACTATTCTAACCCCCGATTCCCCTCCTTCCATAGATAGTATTAAAGGTAAAGAAGTTATTCAACAAATCCCCCACTCCCCTGATTTTTGCCGCATATGCAGAGAAAGATAGTGCTCCACTATGTACTATGTACATTTATTAGATTGACGATACTTCTGGAAGTTAGTATATCCAGGAGAAATAATATCCTCGGACCCCCTCTTCCCTCTTCTGATTTATTGTGTACATCGTGTCGTGGCTGTGTATCTATCGGAAGTCATGACTGCAAGTTCTCCACAATCCTGTACTAATAATGCACTGCAGATAACTCACACTCCCAATTGAATTGTCAAGGATGAGGGCAACAGATAACAACATGCTGAGAGAATCCCTTTCATATCATTGTGCATATGTTCAATTGCTCTCTTGCTCTCATATCTATCACCCAAACACAGTTCAGGATCAAAGAAGTATCTTTGGCTACATGAGAATGAACAATATCTACCTGGTATAGACAGAGTAAGGGTTTGGCCAAGTGGTTTCAGACACATCCAGCTGGATGTCCATTGGCGTGCCAAGAGTCCACATTGATCATCGATCAACGCCTGCGCCTCCTTTCCTTTAGTACTCTCTCTCTCCCCCTTCCCCCTGTAAATCTTTATATATCATACCTTAGGTTCTCTTCTCTCGTTCCTACTACTAAACAGATTACTCATATCACTGCATTAAATTAAAAAAAAGCAGCCCCATAAACTTTAAGAGGAAAGAGAGAGAGAGAAAAGGGCCCTCTGCGCCTCCGTTTCATGCTTATAGTGCATCGGCGTTTGTTTCCTTCAAGTCTGTCACTTCTTATTTTCCTTTCCTATTCCTTTCCTTTCTTTTTGTTCTTAGAACTCTGATTGAATATGTTATAGTCCAACATTTTCTAAATGCTTATTTACCTTTCCTCCCAATCTCAATAACACCCTCCCCTCCCCTCCCATCCTCTTCACTTTCTTTCTCTCTTTCTCTTCCTGCGACGCCTTTGTTAAACGCGTCTGAAAAGCTGAACGCCAACCCCACCATCGTAATACTCTCCGAGTCGGAAACGTCCAGCGTCCACCTAGTGCCTCAGGTTACAATGGATAGCCTAAAGCAATCGTCCTCTACGCGAGAAGGACAGAGCAAGGAAGGCTCCCCAATACTGAACGCCGGCCAGCCGTCGGGATCACATAATGATTCCCTACTCCCTACACATAACGAGAAAGCTCCACTCCGCCGCCATAGGCTGTTCCGCATCGATACCGCTGGCGAGAGTGGACGAAGTGGAATACACCCAGTTCACTTTTTCGGAGTGTGCTTCAAGAGCACCTGTACTCTGTCAATGCTGGTAAATGTCCTCTGGCCGTTTGTTCCGGCGGCTATCGCCATCCACTTTGCTCATCCTGATCTTCACATCTGGATCTTTGCTCTTAATTACATTGCAATGGTCCCTTCAGCGAACTTACTCGGGTTTGCAGGGGGAGAACTCGCGAAGAAGCTCCCCAAAGTCCTCGGTGTTTTGCTTGAGACAACGTTGAGTTCGGTGGTGGAGATCGTTCTCTTCATGGTCCTGATCCATAAGGACAAAAACGGCAGCCTGATTCCGGTCATTCAAGCAGCTATCCTCGGTTCCGTGTTGGCAAATCTCTTGCTTTGTTTGGGCCTATGTTTCTTCTTTGGGGGTATGGGCCGTGAGCACCAGTCGTTCCACGAGGCCGTGAGCGAGGTAGGCACTGGGCTCCTCCTGGTCGCTGGGTTTGGTCTCTTAATCCCAAGTGCATTCTTCTCGGCATTGAGTTCAAACAGCTCGAAGACAACCATCACCGAGGAAGTCCTGTCCCGCTATACTTTGGTAATTAGCAGAGCCACCGCTGTTATCCTCCTAGTCGCTTTTCTGATGTGGGTTAGCAAAAGCAAGCATTGTGTGACAAATCACCGTACTAACCCCGGTTCTCAGGTATCTATATTATAACCTACATAGCCATCACAGTATATTCGACGAAGTGCTTGAATTGGATGAACATAAAGATGAAGATCGGGAGGAAGAATTGAAACGCGCAAAGCTCACGCTGGTCGAGTGCTTCGTGGCCATCTCAGTATCCGTCGCATGCGTCTGCATGTCCGCTGTTTTCTTGGTCCAGGAGATTGAACATGTTGTCGATGAAAGAGGCGTATCCGATAATTTCATGGGCCTGATTCTCGTCCCCCTTGTAGAGAAAGCTGCGGAGCATTTAACAGCCATTGACGAAGCCTGGTAAGTACATCACCACGTTCATCCAGGGCGGGGGGAGGCCGTCATCGTCTGACTCTGCGCAGGGATAATCAAATTAACTTTGCACTCTTCCATTGCCTCGGCCCTACCATCCAGACTGCTTTGCTGAATGCACCACTTGCGGTCATTGTCGGCTGGGGCCTTGACAAGGATTTGGGTCTCAACTTCGAAATCTTCATGATTGTCTTAGTAGTTTTGTCCATTTTGGTCGTCGGGAATTTCCTGCGGGATGGTAAGTCCAACTGGCTCGAGGGGGGACTCTGTGTGCTTATCTATGTGATCATTGCGGTCACTACGTGGTATTACCCCCAAATTCAGCATGAGGGAGCGTCCACTCATCATGAGACATAAACATGCCCGGAAACTTAGGTACTGTATATAGACTTGTAGCAAATCAATTTTTAACCCAGTAGGATACGATCTATCTGGATGAAAGATAACATTAGTCTAACATTAAAACAAGGAGTGGTTAGCAATGAAAGAGGTTAATCATATAGCTTTCATTAAGCTTATAAGATATTGGGGGCCTTTAGTGAATTTATACTTGCCGATAATGTAGTAAGTTTATTTGTATTTATGAGCGGTGACGGCATTTGTCCCGAACGTCGCCAGACCCAACCAAATACTAGCAGTGAACAGACAATCCAACAATGGGCCACTCAAGCGACCCAGCAACTATCCTTCTAAACGCTTTTAAAGATCATGATATTCCAGTCAAACGCGTCGAGGTTGCATCGGCTTTTACCGATGGGAAAGAAGCAGCCGGGAACGCAAAATGGGTGATGGAGTATTTGAACCATGACACTCTCTTGTCACGAGAAGAACTCACACTGTGTGTCTACAGAGCCCTTTTCGTGTCATTCAAAGTATCCAACGATTGGAATGCTAAGTATCGACTTTATGAACAGGTATACAAAGCTTGAAAGTGCTGGCACTTTGCGGAATTTTATCCGTAAACCTGATACCAGTGAGGGTCGGCCGTTCCTCGATGAAGACATTCGGAGAGCAATCAATTCACTGAACGCCTCAACTGCCGTGTTTCAAAAACAAACAGGGATATTAGCGTCTCTGTGTGAGGATATAGACAAACAACTTCGCCGGGAAACTGAACGAGGAGCCAGACACAACAGGGATATAGAACGACTGCGTCAGAGACGTGAATTGGAAAAGCAAAACACAAATGCCGCGGTAACAACTGCCCCCGGTTTTAATACATGAGATTCCGCTAATATTTTGTGCGCATAGACCAGGGAGTTAGCCGATAAAGTCAGCGCAGGCTTGAGGATCGAATCGGAGAATGCAGCAGTCGATAGTAAAAGAATATTGTCCTCTCTCGCAGCTTGGCTAAAGGAAGACGATCGAGTATTGGCGGACCTAGGGCGACTTGTATCTGGTTTAAAACCTACTGGCGATGATGCCCTTGCTGTGAAGCGAACCTCTGAGTTGAGCATGATACTCGCACAGTGTCTTGCAGAGGAACTGCAGCACCGACTCGATCGAATGTACTTGGAGAACCTCAGGGCCGGTCCATTCAAGGCCGCCCAGGTATCTGACACGGTCGATGATGATATTTTGATCGCATTGGAAGGAGAATTAGAATCTTTGTATCCGGAGATCGACATACTGGCTGAGATGTATACGAAGCAACAATACGCTACACCCATACTACGTGAGCTTCGAAATCACCACAGCCATTTGCGCATTGCCTCCCATAGGAAGCTCGACTATGTAAGTCAGCCTTCGCTGCCATGGCTTAAGTGACTAACCCCGGTACAGATCTTAGACCTAGTCACCGAGATGAAGTTATCTACCGACCGCCTTATCAGATCCCTACAAGATCGCGAGTCATTCTGTGGAACACTTGAAGCTCTTAACACCATCTATCGAACTAAAATAGGCGATCAGTTCTCCGATCTTCCTGTACCAAGACGAGGACCTTCTGCAAGACGTTCGAACCCACCAACGTTGATGTCTACGTCTTCCGCGACACGCATTGGTTCACTTTCGGAGCCTCAGATCCTGGCCGCTGTCTTGCGCCGTACTGGTTTAACTTTTGAGTCCTTGTTCCAGCCCAAAGAAAACGGCAGAGATGTCAATGCGCTTTCCGAAAAGAGGCAACACATAATAGATTGTCTGCATGATTACGGGATAGCCGCAGATACACCTCTGGTGGCGGACATGATTTCAAGCGATCGGGCAACCCGGCTTCTTTCGTCCTCCTTGCGCGCCAATTCACACTTTACAACTTTGCTTACGAATGCAGCCCATGAGGCCCAACTCTCTGAACTTGAGTCAAACTTGGCCCGCATACAGAAAGGAATTGAGTTTCTCGACCTGGACGTACTTTTTCGACATAATGAGGACCGAGAAAAGCTCACGGAAAGGTGGGGTTGACATAAGGCAGTGGATGCTTGAGTGACTAGCTTCAAATACAAATTGTATGGCTGTAGTTACAAGGTGGGAAGGAAGCTTGTGGAGCCTGGAGCCTTGCAGCTGGCTGCCTTTTTGGCTAGTAAAGTCAACCTGTTGAAATAAGGAGCCAAGGGATGAACAAAACGAGGTTCTGCTACCTATTACTATTAGCAGTACAGTATAAGGGCAGTACAACGACTAAACTCGACCTCGGTTGTCAAAATAAATATGTGGCTGGTGCAGTAGTAATTGACCCTGCGCCACATAACGTTACTATCAGCTGCAGCCGCCATCATCTCATCATCAGCTGTACATGAATCATGTGGTCATTGTTCACAGGGTATATACTGTGTAGGGAGCCTTGGATGCCCTTAAGCTCACTAGCCAGGAACTAAGTCCTTATAGGTCCCTCTATGATATTGTTCAGGCAGTTTCGTTGCCGCAGCCCCTGCATGTGGAGGCTCTTGTATCACTAGCGAAGAATGGTTACAAAAGGGCCGTATTTTCTAAAAAAGCATCATGTGATGGCATCTGTTCTATGGACAATATCCTCTCTCCCTTATTGTCATTACTTATCGTTTATATTTCTCGTTGCTTTTTGTTTTGCTTTTCTCCGTACTACCTGCCCGGCTGACTTCGAATGTGCCCTGTGACCGTCAACCAGCCACACTTACGATGGCTACAATGTCCACCACGAAGTCCACTGCCACACCTTTCTCTCATCCTATGAAGTTGTTAGAGCTGTAGTAAGGGTCGTTGACAGAGGTACAGCCTTTCATCAGTAGAACTAATTAGGCTGCAATATAAACACACATACACACACTCTCTCTGTCTCTCTAACTATGATATGACAGTAGTATATTCTTTGTAAATGTCGAGCACTGGATGTTCTGATATAAATTGTCTGGCCCACATCATCTCATTGTTACATCCATGAGTAGTATGTGGCTTACTTTGTCTCCTTGCGATGTTTCGTGAGCAATAAGATAGAAAAAGGGTATCATTTAACGCTTTGTCTATACAAAGCTATCCGGATGCTATAACATTTTATGCTTTGTCTTTTTCTTTTCTTTTTTTTTTTCTGAGAACAGACAAACAAAATGGCCCTGTGTCCATTAATCAGGCGCCTAGAACCCATGACTCCAGTCACTGATCTCTTGTCCATGACGTTGTTGGGTTGATTGTTCACTTGTTTTGCAAGCAAAGGAAACCCATACCCATCTTGCTGATCAGCCTCTATTATGTACAGCATTTGCTTTTTGTCAGTCTTTTGTTCGAAGAGGACGCCTACTTGAAGAGGAGAATACTGCGCGCTCAAAGGGAGGTATCCCTATACATATAACATTTCCGGCTCACCTCAAGTCAGTGGGGTTTTCAGAGTCCACCAACGCTGTGCACCTCATCGCGGTGCCTCATCATACCGGTCAAACACTATAGCGTCTTTTAGCATTCTAAGGTAGCTGAAGCTCGATTTGCTGGAAGCTTCATTAGCTTCTTCCGATGGAAGTCCGAACAAAAGAATTCATTCGTACCCGCATCCTCGGCAAAGCGGCGTGCAGTCGCCCTTTAGGACGGGATCCCACGATACTCTATATTCAACATGCCCAACCAAAAAGTTCACGAAGTATGGACTCGCCTCGATATAAAATCATCGAGCCAAGGAAGCCTAAGCGACCAAGAGTACCCTCGGATAGTACCATAAGGACATCTTCGCCGATTCGAAGCCGGCCACTGAGATTTAGGTTTGCACTCCTTGGTAGAATTGGAGAATTAGAGCAAGAGCCAGAACCTGAATCAGAAGTGGAGTGGGAATCAAACTCCGATACCGATACTAGCACAGTCTCGAATGGAGAAAGCACATGCAGGCCAAGAGGTCGCGACAAATCCCGTCGTCGGTTCGTTGTCCATAAGCCTGACGATGAAATACGGATTGCGCGGAGAACTGTGCAGTCATCTTCCCCAAAGTTACAATCCACTCGATCCCGAACAAAATTCATGTTCGAATCGGACAATGGAGCAGATGCATTTGACATTTCTTCTCGCTATCCTCGATCACGGCAACTGTCTAGGGGAGCTCGCAAGCCGAGAGAGAGGACTCCAGTTTCTGATCGTGAACCCTCAAGACGGGGGCCCCGTATAGTGAAGATACATAATGACCATCGGGCTAGTCCCTGCGAAAAACGAGCACCCAGTCCAGGCCGTCATCGACGGGTTCGTTTCGCAAGCGATGTAGAATACGTGAAGAATACCAACAGGGCCAGAGACTCTAAAGTCAGCGACCGAGAACGAGAACGATACCACGTTGAATCACGTCATCACCACAGTCCCTCCATCGGTGGTCTCAATAATAACTATGGTTCTGGGAATAGCGGTGCAACCTGCCGTGTTCGAACCCCAGAAAGAACCTTCAGTGAACATGCCCGACCTCGTATCATTCAAGATGGCAAACGGCAGATGTCTGAAGCAGCCGAGCGCATCCGCAAAGAAGCCTGGAGGCAACATACACGGGAGGGTTTACTGCGTAACTTTAAGTCCTACAGCGGAAGGTGTCGATGTACCCGTCGATCTGATGAGCGAATAATTTATGGAGGGAGTAACCGGCAATATGACTGTAGTTGAAGAGGCTAGTTTAATGTATGTACTAGTGAGTATTAGGGCGTGCTGGATTCTGACATGATTCCTTTGAGCAGGCGCATAGATAGCTTCAGTTCAGTTGATCTTCGACCGTTTTTGGTTTATAAAGTATGTTGCAGGTACTAAGTAGTTTCCCTCTAATTGAGGGCATTATTATTATTTGTTTGCTGGTCGGGGTTTGATTTAATACATTTCATAAGAGACGTCCTGTAAATATTATCATGTGATTTGCCCTATTTGTATCTATTTTAGTCCAGTACATAGCAGCTCAAACTTCAACTTGCACCACAGATCCCCTCCTCCCAGCCAAACACTTGCTCCGTGAGTCTACTGCCGAAAGATTGTATGTGATCTTGAGTTGAATGCACTAACATACATTATACTGATAGATCATGGACGTATTTAATTAAATAGACCGGTCTACATAGTGATTGCACGCCTATGATACATGCCTTCGTTTATCGCACCCCACCTACGTGGCTTGAATGTACGGTCTTACCCCTCTTCACTTATTTTCTGGACGTTTGTATGCCATCACGCTTAACTTGACTCGACTCGGCGCCGGCATCGTAGCATCTTCACCCTGGGCTTAGTCCCACAATGCCATACTCATCCGACCGTTTGGTATACTCCTGTAGGCCAGGTGTACCTTCCCGCGTCGCTACATTCATTCCATCAAATTTCTGCAACTTATCGCGATGACAGGGTGGGGTTCTAAGGATGAAGGATCTCAGAGCCCGCAGACGGACACGATCTCTCGGTGGGTACAATCAGATCTGGGGTCCTTGAGGGAGGATAAGGATGGTAACCCGGAAACCGCCAGTATTTACCAAATGACGCCAGCTGCAGCATTGGGCCTACTCTGTGTTTACATCGAAGTGCTTGCTAAGCAGAATATGGATGGATTGAATGACACGCGGGTAGATGCTGCCTCCGTGGTCAAGAATAGGACTCAATGCGATGGCATCTCCAGTGGGGAAGCCACCCCAGCAAGTGGCACCGAGATACATTGCTGCCCTGCAGGGTATAATGAGACAGGACGCGATCGTATCCAACTAGGCATATTGTCCAAGAGATTCCTCTCAAAACGTGTGCCTCCGATTACAATACAAGACTACCTCCTGCGGCTTCATCGGTACTGCCCGATGTCAACAGCCGTCTATCTTGCTACAAGCATGTACCTCGCCCGAATGGTTACGGTTGAAAGAATCATATCGCTGAACCCTAGGAACATGCATCGTTTAGTCCTTGCTGGTCTTCGGGTAGCGATGAAAACCCTGGAAGACCTTAGTTATCCCCATAGTCGCGTTGCGAAGGTTGGCGGAGTGAGTGAACGCGAACTGTCGAAGCTGGAAATTAGCTTCTGCTTTCTGGCGGATTTTGAATTGCGAGTCGATGCCCACGCGCTCGCCAATCAGGCAAGTATTCTTGAGAAGAATGTTGGCTGTCACGGTCCTATCGCTGGTTAAATCCCCCTCGATAAGGGTGTTTTGATGTCTACTAGTTATAGGTCAATAGTTCTCATGGAATTTTCTCCTTTATGTCTCCAATGTTATAATGGATAATATGGATAATTCACCCTGATCACCCTATTATTGTATGTCAATGCGGCTGCCTAATTCGACCCATCCATCCATCAATCAATGAGCTAGTTATACTTTTTCGGTAGCTGAGTAATCCTTCACTTTTTAATGGGATGGTACGTTTCTGAATAAATTTAATGTACAATGAAGAAATATTCATATCTATGTATATACATATGCCTAGCACTTCTGATATGCTTCAGAGTCAAAGATATAGATTTATTTATCCAAATATTAGAAAAGGCCTCCACGCGCAGTCGTACGGAATAGGTTTGTAGAATTTAATTCCGACTCAAGGCACTTCACATCTCTCGAGTTTCCCCGACCAAGAAAAATAGTAGCCTCGTTTGTCCTACTCCCTTTTTCTCCCCTCCATTTATTCGTCGTTCACTATATTTCCTTTTTCTCCCTCTTCGAAATTCCTTTTCTTGCTTTACGAGCTATTACCTTCCTTTTATGAATTTGTCACCTGTTGGATCGTTTTTTTGACTTAGCAATGCTTGTTTAGATCGAGCTGTCACCGCCGAACGAGTTTCCACGTACACGCATCCTCACCCAACCTACTCTCAAGAATCATAACAGACGCCCTTCCTCCTGGGTACATAAAGGAAAAAGGAAGAAAGGAGAAAGAAAGAAACACCCGCAATCGTAGACAGAGATGTCCTCAGGGAGTTCCTCCACAGAAGCGCACACCAACGGCAGTTCTGCAACGAGTCCACCCTCTACCCTCAGCGGCAAAGGCCGAACCATCCCTCCGAAAGTCACCCAGGAAGATGCCAGCGTTGAACTCAAGACAATGAACTCAGAGCGTGGACCGGTCAAAGGATCAATCCCACTTGGTGAAGATATCATGCAGATTGCCCGAATAGGGGAGGTCTCTGCCATGCAAAGATTATTCGACGAGAAGAAGTTCAGCGCCAATCATAAGGATGAGGAAGGGATCACTCCATTACACGTGCGTATCAACGTCTTCGGTACCTTTCCAGCGTATATGACACCAACAGTTAGAAGGACACCTACTGACCTTGTGGCTTCGATTCCCTTTTAGTGGGCTGCGATCAACAACCAATATGCCATGTGCAAGTTCTTACTAGACTCTGGTGCCGATGTCAACGCTAAAGGAGGAGAATCGATAGCTACGCCGGCAATGTGGGCAGCTCAGCGGTGTCACTATTATATTGTTCACCTTCTGCTACAACGCGGTGCCGATCCTCTTCTTACTGATGTCCAAGGCTACAATATCCTTCACTTGGCCACTATTGACGGAAACGCCTTCTTACTGGTGCTGCTCTTACACCAAGAGATTCCAGTGGACGTCATCGACCAACAGGGACACACGGGACTGATGTGGGCCGCTTACAAGGGATATCCGGCCTGTGTGGATTTGTTTTTACGATGGGGTGCCAATGCAAACGCGGTCGATGACAGCGGGCTAACTCCCCTTCATTGGGCCCTCGTTAAGGGATCCTTGCCTTGTGTTCTAAAGATGATCGAGTATGGTGCAGATAAGTTTGCGAAGACCCGAGACGGCAAAACGCCGGCCGTCGTGGCCGGGGAGATGAATACCACGCGTGTGTGGTACCGTGCTTTGGATGAATGTGGTTATGACTTCGATGGGAATACGAAGGTTAGTTCGTTTGGGTTAACATCTTGGATACGAAACAAGAGCTTGATGTCCAAATTCTTTTTCCTTTGGCCTTTCGCCATTGTTTTTGCGGCTGTGTGGATCCTAAGCAATATGGTCGTCTACGCTGCTATTCCTGTGATGCTGGTAACCGTGTTTGGCCTACAATGGGTTGCGCAGAAGGCTGCCAGCCAAGGTCCAACCGAATACAGGGTTCTCCAGAAGACGGTATGTTTGGTCTGTTTCAAAGTGCATGGTTCCGTTGCTGATCCACAACTTAGCCGTATCTATCCGGTGTCTTTGCAGGCACTCTGTTCTGGGTGGGCTTCAGATACGTCTTTAATGTCCTACCAGGTAAGTTTTGTCTTGAGAATACGTACAACTGTTCAGTGGTTGGGGGCGAGAAACTAAACGGTAAACCCATTAGTGACGTATTCCACCTCTCCAATCTTGAACGTGCTTTTTACCATATTCTTCTCCCTCACAAGCTATTTTTATATTTACGCGATGACCGAAGACCCCGGGTTTGTTCCAAAACTTGGCAGTAGAAACCAGCAGAGGGCAGTAATTACGGAGCTCTTTGAACAGTGGAAATTTGATGAAGAAAATTTCTGCGTTTATTGCATGGTCCGAAAACCCTTGCGAAGCAAGCATTGCAAGCGTTGTGCGCGCTGCGTTGCAAAACATGATCAGTGAGTATTCACTTGGGCACATATTGTAGGCGGTCGCACTAACGCAAAAACAGCCATTGTCCCTGGATTGACAATTGTGTCGGGGCAAATAATTTGCGCCATTTCGTTCTGTATATTACTTGCTTGGAGGTTGGCATTATCTTGTTTGTGCAGCTGACGTTGAATTGTAAGCTTCGTCCATCCCTTTCCCTAAGATGAGCAGGAATCTTACCAGGTTCGCTAGATATCCACAGCTTGCCAGCGCCCGCGCAGCCCCAGTGTAATATTATCAATGAAGCCCTATGTGACTTTGTGCTTCGTGATACGTTTACCCTTGTTCTCGATCTGTGGGTATGCATTCAGCTGGTCTGGGTCACCATGCTTGTTGCCGTTCAGATGATCCAAATCTCTCGGAATCAGACGACATATGAGAACATGAGAGGTCATTCAATTGACCGAAGCTATCCAAGCTCGCGGGCTTTTGCTTCTGCCGTAACTGCTGGGACAACCTCCCTTGATGCAGCTGGCCTATCATCCTCTGGCCAAGGTCCGAATCCCGCCCTTGCGCGGATTTCTCCTCGCCATCGGAAACATGGCTGCTTGCAGCAATGGTCATCTCTTCTTGGAATCGATACGTTCTTTGCTACTGCCCGAGATGGGTTGCGAGATAGTCCGCGTGCCGCCCGACCCAAGAACCCGTTTTCGCGGGGCGTTGTCACCAATTGTCGGGATTTCTGGTGTGACCCGGCCCCCTACTTTGGGAAGCGAGAACCGGGTGCGGGTATGCTTGGTGGTGAGGTGATCAACTATAACCGCATGTATGAAAGTCCTTCACGGATGCATAGCGGTGGTGGGTATCGGAGTCTGGCAGATGAAGACCCTGAACAGGGTGTCTAAGCATGTCTCCGTTGCTTAGTGGCCAGATCCTCCTTAGCATGTGTTCCTGTGGGCCGTTATATAACCACCACGTTCTGCAAACGCAAATATAATGATGTCGGACGACGCCGAACTGATACGCCTAATTGTATCAAATGTTCATGCATGGTGTACCTCTTTATTTCTTTGCTGCTTTCCTTGTATTATGTTGTGCATAACCATATCATGCCGTACTTACTGTTAGAGTCTCTGCTGGTCATTTCCAGCTCATGTCAAATCTGTACTTGTTCAGAGTAAATACCAATGGACCTGTTGTGATTTAGTCGCAAATTACGTATCGGAAAGATCTTACTCACATTGAAGACTCTAACTACAGTATCACTCTGGGTTGAATTGATCATCACATTTGACTCTGTATTTGTTCCAAAGCTGGTATCCTTGTCCAATCCCATCACTAGGAGTAGAGCAGATGGATATCATGGTAGAGCGGAACTAACGTGCATACCGCAGAGCAAACCTGGCAGAGTGCAATTAGGTATGTAGACGAGCAAATAAATACAACTTGTCTAAGTAATCATCTTGGGCGTACTAGGTAATTCTCCGGTGTGACTTGCCCGGCAGCAGACTCGGCGTCTCCCCAACCTTGAAAGTGATGACGTTTGGCTGTTCAAGAAAATCAGGTACATTTCCAAGTCGAAAGCCGAAAAGCTCTCAAAAAGATTCAGCAGCAAAGCACGCCAAGTAGACAAGGGCTGCTATCATAATAAATCAATCGTAAAAGCAGCGTACAAACTATAGTATAATTATGGTGTACCCTGAGGAAACCTGGGTGAAACCTCGATCGTCAAACTTGATCAGAAGCTCTAGAATTGGTGTATACTAGAGATTGAGAGACCTTCTTAGCCCTTCTAACCCTTCTAACTCTAGAATATGGTCCTATAGCTAATATCAAATCGGTTTTATGCAGTACCTTCGTATATTGGTTATGAGGTTCTTGTAGGCATCATCAGCTGTATATTGAGCCATATAGTTATATAAGCTGTCTTATTCGCTTGTGAGAAAGTAAGTTCATGGATGTAATTTATGAGTATCTATGTACCTAAGGTGTGTGTAATCGAGGGCCTCTCCAAGGAATATCCCCATTATTCTCCTTCCTCAGGGCTCCAGCTCCAGATGTAGTAGTAACCGTGTATACCCACCTTAGGGAGGCAATTTACAGCTGAGGTCCACGGTACAAACAATTCTGGATAGGTTAAGTGTCATACCATACTTGTCAATACGTATACATACCATACGTACACTGGAAACATCCGATGTCGCAAGAAATCCTAAGCGCGAAATCAAATTTGCTGCGCTAGGATCTTATCTCGGATGGAGTTTGACCGGCTTTTCTCATTTTTTATTTATTTTTTTTTTTTGCCTCCCCCCTTTCGGTTTTAATTACTTAATGTAAAATAGCTACAAATCCCGTGAGGAATCTGTGAATAGTCTTGGGTCTTGTTTGATACTCGGTTAGATTGATTAGATGAGTCTTATCTGATGCTCTCTATCCGTGGTTACAATATATATCTGTGTGCACTGTGTACGACCAAATCAATCCACTGGAACCACATCACTACTAGTATCAGCCTTAACTATACGGCGTAATGGAACCCATGTCCGTACTGGCAGCGCTTTCTCTATGCGATCCTCAATGCATCCCCGTTGAAAATGTAGACGGATAAATGTACACTTAGCTACTGGTCTAAGGAGCTCCAGGACTATGTATGCATAACCGAAGGAGACCTGCAGCAAGACAAGCGCGAAAGGGGTGAAAGACATGAGGGAGGATTAAAAAAAATAAGATAAAATAAAATAAAAGAAAGACAAGCCGCCAGGCTTAGCATCGTTGCCCTTGCCCCGAAGCGAAACAATGCCGGGAATTCTCGTCTATGATGAGAACAGATCACCATTGTCGCTCTGGCCCAACTCATCCAAATTTCCCTATTACATAGAGAAAATGTGATCATCGTCGGAACATCTGAGACAGGCAATGTTCTCTGAGGTAAGTGTGGGTGGCATGTTGGAGTGGGTGTACAGCATTCCTCTCGTTTTCATAAACGATCGAATGATCGAGTGCTCTGGGCAGGAAGAAAATGGGTCTAGTTAGGGAACTGGATTTAGGGGGGGTCACCTCATTTAAATTATCAATCAATAATCATTTAGTTACTAAATGGTTGGAGTGCATCCCCGAGCAGAAGTCCTCGGAAACCGAGTGAGAAGGGTCAATTGAATAAGGGAAAGAAAGGAAGATAGCATTAGCCAGAGAATAACTGACTAGAAACCATGACAAAAATACAGGATAGCGACCTATGAGGAATTCTAAACGGGAAAGCTATGGGGGCACACACTTCTCTACAGGACCACCGCACACAGAAACAAAAAAAAAAAAAAATCATGGTCCAGCTTTCAGTCATCACTCGTCGTAATCAATCAGTGGGTCGTGCCTTTTCTAGCTTTTTCCTTGGCTCCTTGGCATCGGGGGAAGACCAAGGAACGATGAGGGAAAAAGAGCCGGAGGTGCGTCAGTCTCAGCCGTGGTTAAGGGCCTTTATTAATTTCTAGCTGGCGGAACCGATTCGTATTTGTGGGATGGCGCCATCTGATAACAAGTGAAAACTTTTATCTGATCAGATTATCAGGCGTCTTGGTCAAAATTGTCAAAATTGCCCACTCTCAGCCAATGTTTGCTTTTTCTGCCTCTCCCTAGAAACCTTTTAAAAAAAATTTCATCATCGTAATTAATCCATCAAGTAATTTGAGTCCCCCCCTTCCCTATACTATCTCTTTTTCATGGACTAGTAAAATTCATGCCATCAACGTACATACATACAAAAATGATACATACATATTTTATCCCTTCTCTCTTTTCCGAGTTCCGAGGATTTTCAGGGTGTTCTATGCTGTAATGGATATCACGAAACGACCAATAAGCCTGACGCCAGCGGGTCCGTTCCGGAGGGAGGTTGGTGGCTACTTGTTCAGGCACACGGCTAGAGTCGCAGAACAAATTTCCGTTTGGTGCCATTCATTTTTGCCATGAAACACATGGAATAAGCGGTGAAATTGTTTATTGATGCTACCATGCTCTCATTCCACTTCGGACATTCGTTGTGAAAAGATACCAATAACTACATAGCCAGACAAGATCAGATCTATGGTATAGTATATAGTCTATGCTTAATAGAACAGGTATCCAACAAATAAAATAATATATACCAGTATCAAGATTACTTTGGTTTGCTTCCCTTTTCATTTTTACCCCTCCCCTGCCGTTGGGTTTCGGCTCATCCTTTCGTCAGAGAATAATCTTTAGCGCCAAAAACGCGCGAAAGAAGCGGATCTAGAGGGTCTCCGACCCGACAATCCCTTTTTCCCTTTTTCCTTTTTTTTACAGCATAGCGCGGACGTGAGTGGTCTCTGGCACCGCCGTTCCCGCCGCCTCGCCTCCAAAGATCGAATTCACCATCTCGCCACCGCGTGATGCCAGGATCGACAGCAGACTATCACTCAATCCATGTGTTTGCTCATTGCAACCTTGTATCCAAATTCCTGCCTGGGCGCTAACTTTGCTCGGGTCCATCTCAACACGGTATTCCCTGTTGGGAGTCCAGTGTTTCTGGTCCGCCGGCCGCAGATGCTGCACGTTCTTCAGTAGTTGCTCGTGCGCATTACGGTTGTAGCCTGTGGCCACCATGAGTGCATCGACTTCCAATGTCTCCTTGCCATCCCCGACAAGGCTATCCTTTTCGTCCTTTGCAGCCCGAACATGAAGCCGCATCCGCCTGTGAGGTCCATAATGCTCCACTCGAGTGATCTTGCGGCCGGGGAGAATGCGATGTTGCCATTGCGTCTCATCGGGGTTTTGGACCCTTTGAATGTACATGTCATGGAAGATCTGCTCAATCAACTCAAGTCGAACAACACTGTAATTGGTTGCCTTATCGGCAGCGAGCGAGCGCTGGCGTTCGGCAGAGGAAAGGTTGAAAAACTTGTCGACTCGTTCGGGGTTGAACAATTCGTTGACACTGTATCTCTTATATTAATGGTTATCGTAGGAAGGGCGTGAACGGTCTTTCTACTTACAATGGTGAATCATCACTAGGCCGCATAGCTGTATCTCGCATAATGAGGGTCGTTTTCGAATTCGGGTATCGTTTTTGAAGGTCGTGGAAGATCTCAGCAGCACTTTGGCCGCTGCCCAGTACAGCGATATTGTAGGCTTCTCGGTCGTCCTTCAGCATGGCTGGTAAAGTAGTGCAGTACTTGGACGAATGCATAATCCTTGGGTCCTGGGGTAGCTCCTTGGGTAATTTCGCAGTACCACCAATAGCAACGACGACTTTGCGCGCCATTCTAGTGGAGATCTCACCAGTCTCTACGTTCCGAGACTTGACTGTAAAGAAGTCGACCACCGGGCTGCTTGGATGGGTCTTCCCAGGGGTCACTTCGATAACTTCTTCGCCGTAGCTCACCACATTCGCGAATCTCTGTGCACACCACCGCATATAGTCTTCAAATTCCAGCCGAGCCGGGAGGAACGTACTCAGGTTAGTGAAATGAATCAAACGGTCTTTCTGGTGAAGGTAGTTCAGGAAAGTAAAGCTGCTGCGGGGATCCCGCATGGTTGCTAGATCCTTAATGAAAGAAATCTGCATCTTTGAGCCAGGAACCAACATGCCTGAATGCCAGGCAAATTGCTTCTGTCGCTCCAGGAAGCAAACCTTGGGCTTCCAGTTGGGGTTGGGAGCGGACTTGTTCAGGCATGGATCTAAAGCATCGTGAAGTGCAATTGCGATAGCCAGGGAAGCCGGTCCAAAGCCCACACACAGAAGATCATGGAGTTCGTCTTTGGGTGCGGCTTTTAGGCGGGGTGGCTCTCCGGAAGAGCGCTGTTGCGTGAGGGGCATTTTAGGATAGCTATGGGAGCCAATCTCTAGCTTCCTCTCTACCGGTTCCATGGATGAAGATTAATTGAAATAATAATATGAAGACGATTGATAAAGAAGAGAAGAGGAAAGGAACAAGCCACAATGGAAGGTATAAGACTGGGAAAACTCAGGGGAAAAGAGCTTGAGGGATACTGGGACGGAAAGAGTAGCTTATATGTATAGTCCGGGGGTCAATTGATGGCATGGGACCACAGCTCTAAATAATTCTTCTTGAACTAAGGGAAAAGACCGGGAAAAAAAAATAGATAAATAAAATAAAAAATAAAAAGCAAAAAAAAGGAAAGAAGAGAAATACTAGATTAGCTTCCATGCAGCGGACCCAGAAATGTGGTTTTTTTAATTTCTTTTTTCTTTTGAGGGCAAACCAAATCGCCCAGTAGTTCTACTGACAGCGGGCCGGGAATGGCATAGGATGAGTGGTTTTGGGTTCCACCAGCTCAATTGTTGCTGGTCGAGTGGAGCAAAACATGTAAAACCGAATTTTTTTTATTGGGAAAAAAAAAAGAAAAGGATTAAATGAATAAAATTTGTATAATTGGGAAAGAGCCCATGGGGAAAAAAAAAGTATGTGGTATCAATTTATTATATATACATACGTATGCATTGCAAATGCGTAATACAAGTACAAAGTTTCACTAAGCATATATGTACATATGAACAGTATGTACCTGCCTGTGTACTCTCAGATACCTTTGCTGTACTGCAAATCACGCATGCGGATCAAGTGTTTATTAGGTAGGAATCTATTGTTGTCGTCTTCATGGTCCTCATCCTCATCTCATTTACTTAGCTAAGACATTGGTAGCCCACATATCACGTACGATTATGGACTAATCATTGATGGAGCTCCCTCCCAGCCGGAACACGCCACACCATGGATTATCCACCGACACTATATAGTAAAGAAGGTGCTATACACTTCAATTGAACGTTTTATCAGGTTATTACTAGTAGTATTAGACGAAAGTTGTAGCAATTTGGATACGACCGGTATCAATCAGCCAAAAAAGACTTACTCGATTCTATAGACAATGACAAATTTGACTTGATATATGCATTGATATTCCTGAATATATATACCAGAACTACCTGATGTGATAATCGGGTATCCAAAAAAGACACTCCACCGCCGGGTTGGCCCATACCCAGAACCCCAAGACGTGAAAAGAACAAAGACAACGCTAAACCGCAGATTTCATCCCAGAATTATGTATATAGGTGAGTCTCCTATGTCGCTTATAGAGCTATGCAATTATTCCTCCTCTGACTCCTCGTTAGGGTCCGTCCAGCCTCGAGACATCTCGACGGCTTTGGACCATTTGTTATACATCTTCTTACTCCGCGCGGCGGATATGTGAGGTTGGAATGTCGTCCGATTGGCACGGTTCATATTCTTGAGTTCGCTAAACTCCTTCCAGACATTAATGGCGAACCCTGCTGCGATTGCGGCTCCCAGGGCAGTCGTTTCGTGCATCGCCGGGCGTTCGACAGGGATCTGGATAATATCTGCTTGAGTCTAAGGGAGGACGTTAATTTCCGCTGTTTATAATAGGTAGTATGCGCGACATACCTGCATGCAAATATCGGAGTTGCTCATCCCGCCATCCACGGCGAGTTCCGACAATGCGTGTCCGCTGTCCATCTCCATGGCATCGAGAATCGCCTTAGTTTGAAAGCAGGCAGCTTCCATAGTGGCCCGTGCGATGTGTCCACGCTGCGTGTGTTGAGTGATTCCGACTAAGCCGATATTAGTACCAACGACACCATACAAATACTTCTCTCTAACATGGGGTGAACTCACAGATCGTTCCCTTGGCATCATCGATCCAATAAGGGGCGAACAGGCCACTGAAGGCCGTAACAAACACGCAGCCTCCACTGTCAGGAACCGTCGCGGCAACTTCACTCACTTTCCGCGAATCACGGAAGAAACCCATGTTGTTCATCAGGAATGAAACACCACTTCCGGCCACAGCCACACTACCTTCGAGAGCATACACGGCTTTCCGATGCTTGCCCAGCTGGAAGCCAACCGTGCTAAGCAAACCGTGTTTAGAGACAACTGGCTCCTCGCCAACATTATAAAGGAGGAAACATCCTGTGCCGTACGTATTCTTGGCCGACCCCGGGGTGAATGCGCAATGACCGACTAAGGCCGCCGACTGGTCACCAAGGCAGCTGGTAATCGGGACACCGTCAAGCGGTCCTCCTCTGACCCACCCGTATCCGTCCGGGTCTGATGATGGGAGGATCTTGGGAAGTCTGATCTTTTTCCTGTCGATACCGAAGAAATCCAACAAATTTTCATCATAATCAAGCGTTTTCAGGTTCATAAACATCGTCCTTGATGCATTTGTCACATCGGTGACCAGGTGACCCACCTCAGGTCCTCCGTTCAGGTTATACAGGAGCCATGTATCGACAGTGCCGAAAGCGAGCCTTCCTTCATCATATGCTTTCTTGACTTCCGGTAGATTCCGAAGCATCCATACTAAGGTGACGGAGGAGGGGTAAGTCGAGAGGGGGAAGCCACAAATATTCTTCAGGTCATCCGCTCCAGGTTGGGCCTTCAGCTCGCGCACCAGACCCTTTGTCCTAGTGTCGGGCCACGCGATAGCGTTATGCAATGGCTCGCCGGTCTCCCAATCCCAGACGAGTGTAGTCTCGCGTTGGCTGGTGATACCAATGGCTTCGATCTCGGACGGTGAGTGGCCAAGAGCCATGAAGGACTTCATCGCCTCCTCGATACACGTGTAGACCGAGTCTACCAAGTCGAAAGGGTCTTGTTCGTGCCATCTACAGAACCAGGGATCTCTGGTCAGCGGGGGGATTATTGTTCGACAGTGAAGTTCAAGCGATGACTTACCCCGAATGCTCATGGATCTGGCGGAATTCATTCTGATATTTGGCGACCGGGACACCGGTACAGTCAAAGATGATAAACCGGGAGCTTGTGGTGCCGGTGTCAATGGCACCGATGAAGCGATCCTTCAGATTGTCGCCCCGACGACTTTCATTCGGCTGCAGAAGAGAGCGATTGCCGTCATGCGTTTGATAGGCGTGAATATCAATGTAAGGTTGTTCCTGCTCTTGTTCATCGACCAGAGCGTCGAGGTCAGACATATCAAAAGGATTCCTCATTGTGATATAAAAGATTTGTTCCCTTTTTGATTGTGACGGCGCAGAATTCTATTCCTCGATTCGGCCTCTATAAGGAGAGAGGGGAAGGGTGGCGGAAGAGGGTTAAAAAAAAGGAATCGATTGGTGCGAAAAATAGTGGTGGTTTGAAATATAAAAGGGGGAAATTTACGTCCCTATTCCGGTACTTAAAAAAAGCGGAAGAGGGGAAAAAGGAATAGGTGGGATGGGGGAGAGATGATGGAATTGGACTACGGAAGCAAATCGTGTTGGTGGCGGGGTTGATAGTAGAAGTGATACAAGTCCAAGTTCGATGATGACGTACAAGTGACCGGAGTTCGGGTGGAGTGCGAGAGAAGGAGTAATGTTAAGTAAGAGAGAAGGATCCGATCAAAGAGAAAGAAGAACGGAAATGCGTTCTTGGTAAGTCGAAGAAGGTGGAAGTGGATTGGAAGATCGAAGGGAGTATGAGGTCACAGACTGGGCGGGAGTGGAGTGGCGAGTTGAAGAGGGAGAAAGGGAGGGGAGGGGAAAAAAAAAGAAAACAGAATAGTATCACTGGAAGAAAGGTCGAGAGGAAAACGAAGACTCTTTTATCCAGCGCGGTGGATCTTTCCCAGCCTGGAGGTTAAGGGTTACTATTAGGTGTGCATAAGCTTGGGGATAATCCCTCCATTTTTATTTTTTTTCCCTCCCCGTGATCTCTGTTAGTTCCATGTACAGGTACCTGTTGCTGTTGCTGTTGCAGGTCCCTCACTCTAGAGTCAACAGCGTACGGGAGTCACTGATTCCTTACCCGGTTGGGTATTCCCTAGTACTTTCCTTTCCATGAGACTACGACTAAGACCCCCGTTCGTCCATGGCGGAGAAGTGGGGGCGTGGGGGAGGGAGGATGCACTTTTTTTTTCCCCTTCTTTTCTGTTTCTCTTTCTCCTTCTCTCTTTTTTTTTTCTGATCAGACGACCACTCGCCCGTCGTCAGCACCGACATCCTTTCCCTTCTTGGGTCTGGTCCATGATCCTCCCTTACTGGCTTTGCATTCCCCTTCACCATCTGGACCTATTCTACCCCTGGTCCAGAATAGCTTGTTACCTTTATTTTAACCTTTCTTGGCTTTTATTGTCTTTCCTTTTCTTTTCTAGTGAGAGTTCATTTTTCTGGGATTTTCCCATGGCATTGATAACTTAAGGACTGTCAGAGGATGTACATCGTGTGCATCGGCAAGGCATCCGATCCTCTCTCTTGGCCAAGTCGCAGAAAAACCAGACTAAGAATAGTCACTAGACTTCCACATGACATCGATCATGGACCCATCGTAAGGGAAATTCCATGGAATTCTCTTGTCCACATTATCAACTAGTTCAATGCCTAGACCACTCCCGCAAACAGCCTGCCTGCTACCCGATAAGCCATTGGAGTCCAAAAGGATGGAACAATATCATTGTCTTAAAATCAATTTATCTCTTCTTCTCTCTCCTTTTAGGTCCGGGGTTTATCCTATTTCGATGGATCTATAATTTTTACTTCGAAAAGGGAAGAAGAAAGTAAAAGGGAAAAATAATAATAATAAAAAAGTACTTCGGAAATACTAATGTAGGGTCCAATGGAGACAAGAGTTAAAAGGCCTCTTGATCCCACCCCTCTTCTAGACGTAGATCTGGATCCGGAATCCCTGGAATCTCAGCCATTGTCGTTCTCCTGTACAATAGATCTCGGCCAAATCATTGAAAGAATCGATAGAAAGCACGCCGAAAGAGAGGGGCCCTGCAGCTTTTCATTCAGACTCCGCTATGTGGTTCTTCTACTAGACGCTTGCAGATCGAGCACATGACAGTGTTCATTTTTCTCCAACCTTTCCCGTTTAACGCTCTCGCCCCCCTAATATGGATCTAGACCCAGGTCCTTTTTACCCCTGGATCAATTTCTTTTTGATCATTCGGATATGTTGCCTCAGTTCTTCACTCTGCTCTACGAATTATTAATTATTATCTGTTGATTATTGTCTTTTCTTTTTTTCTTTTTTTTTATTCTTTCTATATGTTTGGCCGAATAGTGGTCTATGCAATCTTGCTTATCTCGCTACATTTTGTAAAAGTCTTCGATTTTTAAATGGTAGATCTTCGTCTAAATCATTAATACTCATAATAATCCAGAAATATTTTGCGGAAATAGAGGGCAATGTCCTGTTCTTTTTCCTTTTTCCCCTTCCCTAATTTGATTGCATTCTTCTAGCGTTATGCGAGTCCCAGAATAGGTTAAATAAATATACTATGCTCTAGTCATCTAAGGAGCCAGAACAATCGACTCCGTTCGGCCCTGTGATTTACGGAGAAATTTTGCAAACCGGATACTCGGTTCGGCTTGGCTCTGTTGCCCACGGGATCTGTTCCACCGACCAAAGAACGGGCGTGCGGCTTTCTCTCCTACTATCTGTGCGGCGCAAGGGAACACCCTCAATCATGACAAGAAGGGATTGTTCAATTCCACGATGCCGATACATTAGCTCCACGGTACTGGCTTCAATCTCGGAAGATACATATGCCATTGTTCCCCGTCCTCATAGGACCGGGAGAAAGAGATCGAGAGAAACGAGAACTGGGTTCGCCACGATCCGGTTGAGTGCGGGTGGTGACGTCGCCAACCAGACTTCTTCTTCCACCCTCAGGTTCTTCCAATCTGTTACTTTCGTCCTAGCTCTTTTTTTCTCTCTCTCTTAAAACTCGGTTCTAGCCAGCTGTTAAGCACATGGGTCTTTGTTCCATCGCCTTAGTGTCAAACCTCTCAAGGCCTCGGCATGGATTACTTTCCTTTTTTGGGCATGAACAACTGTCAGGGATCGTTGTTCCAATTGGGTGGTTGACGGATGTACATTAACATAAATCATGCAAGGCCAGTCGATCGTCAAAAACGACTCTAATGAGATAGTGTAGTACCTTGATATTAGTATATCTTGTTATTAATGCCCGTCCAATGGGTTATATCAATGCTCCTATACAATGGTGTATTAATTATAGTAAGTATTCTTTACGTTTAATATTTCTATAACCGAGGTTTCGTTGAGTATACGGAGTGTTTTCTTTCTCCTAGTACATACTAGTAGTAACCGGCGCGTAGATGGAAGCAAACAATAAACTTGATGACTTAACCTAACAGGTACACTGATCTGAGTTGGCCGCCATGGGTCAAGGATCAGATAGCAGCAAAACCTGTTTCGATTCTAACGTCATCAGCCTCCGGATCTGCACTGGATGACTTGTACACAGCACACAGTGCTAGAACAGCGGACTACTTCCTACCATCTTGTGCCCTGGTTAGAGTTTGGGGATGGCCCTGTTAGCCCTCCTCGTTTGACTTTCCCTGGATTCTATTCTTGTTACTAGCCTAACTCCATTTTCTGGATCGTACTAGCCCTTCTTCCTTTCTTCATATCCCCACACTCGAATGTGGCTGTCGGCTGGCCTTATTTATACTTTGGCAGTAACGTGGTCTCAGCCTGGCCCTATGGACGGTGGGGTATGTATATATAACCCTTTTTGCCTGTGTGAGAGCCACGCTTTTTCCTTCTTTCTTTTCTCCTTCCTTCCTCTTTGGTACTCGGGAGAAGTATATCAGATCAGATCAGATCTAAACAAAGGAGAGTACCAGCGTCTGCTGGGTTCTTGATTTCCGCCTGTAATCTACAAGAAAAATCGATCCACAAATGGTAAAAGAAAAATAAAATAAAAAGCCAAAGCATAATACATCTACTATCACAGCTCGCTGCCGCGGACAGCCCGGATCTCCTTCCGCTCTCTGATAATTGAGCCTTTTTTCTTTTCCCAAACACCCCACAAACATCTCGACTATACAAGAGTATCATACGCTCATACAACCCGGTTCTTTTGGGAATCATTTACTCGGAGTCCTCCTCACCGAGCTCGGCCTTGCGGCGGGCCTCAGCCTCCTCCTTCTCCTTCTTCTGCAGGAAGAGGAGAGCGTTGATCTTATCCTTGAAGGTGTGCTCGGTGACGGTGTTGGTGATCTGCTCACGGCCGACCAAGCTGGCCACAATGCTAGCTCCGACAATGAAGGTCAGGACGAAGCGGTACATGCCGTACCAAGCGGGGGCACGGCCGGCAGCGGCAGCACGAGCATCGTTGTAGTACAGGAAGGTGAAAGCGAGGAACTGGCTGATGAGAGCGTACTCGACGGGGAGCAGCAGAGTAGGCCAGGCGACAGCCGGGGCGATAACACCAGCAGCGTAGCGCTTGTAGCCGAACTTTCCACCGTATCCGGCCCACTCAAGACCCCAGTGGATGGCACCAAGGAAAGAGAGGATCTATATCGATTAGCAGTCAGATCTCGTCTTCAATGAGACCGGGGATTTTGGTAATACTTACCACAGCACCGTAGCCGACCTGAATGGGCTCGAGCATGTGAAGAGCAAGCTCGGCACTCTGGCCAGAGAAGATGAGGCCGTCACCGAGTGTAGCAGCGCGGTTGATCTCGTAAGAGAGGTAGACGGTCTCAAGAGAGGTAGCAACGTAGGGGACAACACCTGCCATCCCGAGGTAAAGAGCCTCCTTGGGGACACTCGAGAGGCTGAAAGTGTCCTTGATGACTTTCTACAATCACATACCCAGAGTTAGTCGATTGCGAGATAATTCCCTCGGGCGCATAGTAAGTGCCAGAGATGTACATATCAGGGAGTGAATTTGGCACATACAGCCTCGCTCTTGATACCAGCCATCATATCAACTTCCTCCTCACCTTCCTTGCCCTCCTGTACGGAATGATCAGCAATTGACTGGAGATCAGCATCTCGACGGTGGTAATCCTCTCACCTTAGCGGTCGAGGCATGGCGGACAAGAGCAGTGGTGACAGGCTTGCGAGCGGCCAGAGCAAGGCTGGGAGAGGTGGTCGGGCGAGCGGGATAACGAGCGGAAGAGGTCAGTGGAGCCTTGAACACATTGTTGGCAAGGGCCGAGCGAGCCACCGAGGCATTGGAGCTAGAAAAAGCCCTGAGAGCAGATCGGGTAGCGATGTTACGGTAGAACATTGTCAACTAAGGCAGCTGATTTTTCTCCCGAGGTTGGGTTAGCAACGATGACTGGAAGGCCCGGATCAAGGTAAACGGAGGTGAGCCTACCCAATTGAGGAGAGAAAGTAGAGGGAAGAAAGGTATAAGAGTGGAGATGAGGGTATTCACCCAGGAATTGGTCGAGATAGACTCGTGGGAGTGGAGGTGAAAGGCCGAGGAGACGAACGATCCTAAAGATAGCGAATAACTGAGGTGATATTATGCTGAGGTGTGGTAATGGATGGGGATCGGGGAGACGGTAGCTACCTGTGCCGCAGGTGTCATACTCCTCTGCCTTAGGCCAGCGGGATCGGGAAAAGTCAGGCAGGCGCAAGGTCACCACGAGGGCAGGGCTGTAACCCTAGCTTAGGTATCTGAATGAATGCGGCCAAAACGCAAGACGCAATGAGGTCCAGCCATGGAAGGACAACCGACGTCACTGCTTGGCGCGTCAATGCGGTTTTGACGCAGCGCCCCCCCTTTTACTTTATCAGCCAACACATGTTTTCCCCAGGTACCTCCATTTTCGGAATTCTTTACTAGCTGAACAACAATTGGAGGAACCACTCCTCTTGGTACCCAACCTCAAAGCTTCCCTCACAAACCTCTTTTCTCTTCATAGATACTGTCATCTCCCTCCATCTCGAATCAATATCAATACCCAAAATCATCCACATTCCTCTTTTCTTCCATCCGTTCTATATTTAGAGTCTATATACGTTCCATCTCGCTACTTACCGGCCCGTATTGGTGTCGCGTGCGCAGTGATCTAACCTCCTGGATGGCTTGGATTCATTCACTTTGCGAGTGAATCTAGAGCTCGCGCCTGTATGTCTTGCTATATCTTAATTCCCCTTATACCGCCACTGCTTCCGTGCTGACCATCTGCCCCCCCGCTTCGTCAACTAGGCTGGCGTCACGGGGATAGACAATATTCAAGGCATTTTCTCTAGAGTCCTTTAACGCCTCCTTCCCCGCACCTTAGCGACAGCCGTATCTAGCCGTCATGTTGGAAGGTGTGGTTGCTAATTTGCTCAATCGCTTCCTGGGTATTTATGTCAAAAACTTCGACGCTAAACAGCTCAACATCGGTATCTGGTCCGGTGACGTAAAGCTTCACAACCTAGAGCTACGGCGCGAAGCTCTCGACCAATTACACCTCCCCCTCAATGTCGTTGAAGGGCATCTCGGTGAGCTCACCCTATCGATTCCCTGGTCGAACTTGAGGGGGAAGCCAGTCAAGGTCGATATCGAAGATGTGTATCTCCTGGCAGCCCCGAAGGAAGATGCAGACTATGATCATGAGGAGGAGGAAAGGAGAGCACATGCTCTCAAAATGGACAAGATCGAGAGTGCAGAGCTTATTAAAGAGCGAAATGCGGAGGGAATGAGCCAAGAAGAGCAACGCCGAAACCAGAGTTTCACCCAAAGCATGATTACAGCGGTGGTTGATAATCTTCAGATCTCCATCAAGAACGTCCATTTCCGTTACGAGGACTCGATAGCTTCACCGGGCCACCCATTTGCTGTTGGATTTACATTGAAAGAACTGAGCGCGGTCAGCACCGATTCCGAATGGAATCCGACTTTCATACAGTCTACCTCGAGCACAACACACAAGCTAGCAGTTTTGGGTGCTCTTTCGGTTTATTGGAACACAGATGCAGAACTCCTGGGGACAGGTAGGGGTTCCGATGTAGGCGCAGAAGCACAAGGCATTAACCATGCTGAATTGATGGAGAGGCTGAGGTCTGGTATCGACAATCAGGAGGACAACCAATTTATGCTGCGCCCTGTTAGCGGGCGTGCTGGCTTGGAGTTGGATAAATCAGGGAAGCATGATCGACCGGCCATCAAAGCACGTTTGTTGTTCGATGAGCTGAGCTTCGTTCTAGATGATGATCAATACCGGGATGCGTTGATGCTTGTGGACCTCTTTCACTACTTCATCCGTCATCAGGAGTACAAGAAATTTCAACCGAAGTGCCGCCCGAAAGAGGACCCTCGAGCTTGGCTAAAGTTTGCTGGAAACGCAGTACTCAGCAAGATTCATGAGCGCAATAGGCGTTGGACCTGGGACTTCATCAAAGAACGTCGGGATGATCGCATAGCTTACATTGACTTATTCAAAAAACAAAAGCGTGAAGGAACCTTGTCGGGGGAAGACGCGGGTGAATTCGACCGACTACAGCGGAAACTTAGCTACGAGGATATACGATTCTGGAGATCATTAGCAAGGAACCAGTTGCGCAAGGAAAACGTGGGTGTCAAGAAACCTGCGCGACAACAGACATGGTCAGAGTGGATCTGGGGCACTAAAAAGGAGGAGTCTGAGGAGGAGACCATGACCGAAGAACAAAGGCAAGAATTGTATAACGCCATCGATTGGGATGAAAAGAAAGCTATCACGGAAAGTGTCGATGAGCCTAGGGAATGGGTGAAACTCCAAGTCAACTCCAGTCTCAAAGCCGGTAGTTTCACGCTGAAGCGCGACCCTCATGGAAAGGCAAACGAAATCATGAAGCTGGTATTCGACGATTTCCGGGCCAAAGCCTTACAGCGTCCCGACTCCTTCTTCATTGATGTGAATCTCGGAGGACTCAGAGTATACGACGGAACAACAGAGGGGACGCTTTTCCCACAGATCGTCAAAGTTAAAGATTCTCTCCCGGTGCCAAAGAACCGTCTATCCCAGATCCCTGATAGCGAACCACTAGATGAGGGCATTGGCGATGGTATAGAAGACGAAGATAGTTTATTCCATCTCCAGCTCGAGAGGAACCCTCTTGAAAGTGACGCGGATTCTGTTATTAAAGTCAAGTTGAAGAGTATCGAAGTAATTTACAATCCCAGATTTCTTGTGGAGGTTGTCAAGTTCTTCGAACCCCCGGAGCGGCATATGGAATCAATCGGCGCTCTTCTGGACACGGCAGGGGCTACAGTAAAGGGCATTCGGCAGCAAACTCGAGCGGGCTTAGAGTTCGCCCTGCAGGAGCACAAGAAGGTCGATGCACAGTTCGACATACATGCGCCCCTCATTATTGTCCCTGAGAGTATAACTCAAGAAAGTTCACTTTGCTTAATTCTTGATGCCGGCCATATCAGTGTCAATAGTGAACTGGTAGACAGGCAGACGATGATAGATCTCCAATCGAAACAGAAGCGACAGTATGAGGAGGGTGATTATAAAGAGCTTGAGCATTTGTTGTACGACAGATTTTTGCTCAAACTTGACTCTACTCAAGTCCTTATCGGCCCAGGAATCGAAATTACGAAGTCACAACTTAGCTCTGATGTCGCCTCGAATAATCTGCATATTATTGACCGCATAAATGTAGATTTTGTTCTTGAGTTGTGTATTGTACCCAAGGTCACTGAGCTTACAAGAACTCGAATCTCCGGGCATCTTCCAGAGTTACATGCGTCTATCTCTGATACCAAATATAAGGGGTTGATGAAGCTGATTGATATTGCTATCCCACACTTTGATGAAGGCAGCCCGGAATCTAATATACCTAGCAAAAAAGCAGAAGAGGCAGCCGCTTCTAAAACCAGAGCAAGATCCTCATCTTTTCAACCGTCGGTTCTGAGGGAGCTCCCCGCCGTAGATGAAGATTCTGACGAAGATTCTGAAGATGAGAAAATGAGCAAAAGTGTTGAAGTTCCAACAAATCTTCATCGCCGGGATTTCGAGTTCAAATTCACTGTTGGTCGCCTTCGTGGTTCATTGTTTCGCTCCGACCCCAACGACCAACTTCGTGACCACCTGCTAGTTGAACTAGTTGCTGAAGAATTTGCATTGGACTTCTATATGCGCCCATTTGATATGGTCGCAGAGTTGGTCTTGAGGTCCTTAAGCGTGGATGACTATATTGAGGAGAACCCGGCTCCTGAATTCAAAAGAATATTGTCCTCTAAAGGGTTCGACGCAGACGAGGATAAGGACCTATTCCATCTCAAATTTGTTCGGGTGAAACCTGAATCTCCGGAATTCCAGTCAACCTATGAAGGAATAGCAATGAATCTTGATGTATCCGTCTCGACCATTAATCTTGTTGTCACTAGGAAAACGCTCCTCACTCTTCTGGATTTTATTCTTCTCACATTCACCAACCCAGAGCAGACAAGCAACCAAGCCCTTCAGTCGGATCAGGCAATCCAAGATACAAATGCCTTTGATGAAGAACCAGAACAGGCTGGGAAAATCCGCATCAAAGCGGATTTGAAGAGTATCGCGCTCATTTTGAACAATGATGGTGTAAGGCTTGCTACGTTAAGTCTCAACACTGCTGATGTTGGCATATTCCTTGTGGGCCGATCTATGCTTATACAATCTCGCATTGGAAGCTTGACTTTGGTAGACGACGTCAATACCGGTGCTTCTGAGAGTTCTGATCTTCGAAGGCTCTTGACAATCGAGGGAGATAACTTTGCCGACTTTAAGTATGAGACTTTCGATCCCGAAAGCGCAGATTACCCTGGTTATGACTCGGAAGTCTTCCTAAGGTCCGGCTCAATGAAGATCAACTTCATAGAGGAGCCATACCGTAAAATCATCAATTTCTTAGTCAAATTTGGCAAGATGCAAGCCATCTTCAATGCTGCCCGCCAAGCTGCGGCAAACCAAGCTAACCAACTCCAAGAGAATGCATCGAGGATGAGGTTTGACGTCGTCGTCATGACCCCAATTTTGGTCTTTCCAGGAATCGTCAAGGAGGATCGTCCCCGCGATACAGTGACGGCGCACCTCGGCGAAATTTATGCTAAGAACGAATTTGTTTCTTTGGAGGATGAGAAAGAGAGTCCTGCTGTCAATTTGATATCTACTGGGATTCGTAACATTCGACTGACATCTAAGTTTCACTTTGAGGGAGGCGCAGTCGAAGAACTTGAGATGATACAGAAAGTGAATCTCGATTTCAGCATATGTTATCTAGAGCACCAGCAAGGCAACCCGCGTCCTGATATGGAAGTGGAGGGATCAATGTCTCCTATCAATCTTCGCATATCGCAAAAACAGCTCAAGTTCTTATTAGCGCTGTCTCAGACGCTCCCTGGGGCCTTTGCAACAGACACAGAACAGCAAGAACTTGAAGCCATGCAAGCACTTCCTTCGTCTGTGACAAAGCCAACAAGGGAGGCAGAATCTAAGGCAGTGCAAAACAGAAATGACCAAGAAAGTTCAACACCGGAGGTAAAGACAGATGAAACATGGGTCCGACTTGATATGGTCTTCAAAGTAGATGGTGTTGGTCTGGAGCTCATCCTCGCAAATGACGATGAGCCAGTCGGTCGTTTGGAAGATTCGAGCCTCTCAAAGTTCTCCCTCAATGACACGAAGGTGAAACTGCGCATGTTGACGGATGGCTCTCTGGAATCAGAACTCCAGATCCACTCTCTCTCGATTCGTGATAGTCGCAATAAGGACACAAACAAGTTCAGAAAGATAATGTCCTTAATCAACAATGATATCCAACAGCAATTTATGGCCAGCATTTCAATGTCGCCAGGACCGGACAAGCATTTAATAGCGATGCTGACTATCGACAGCCCGCGAATTATAGTTGCTCTGGATTACTTATCCGCTCTGCAGTCATTTACCAATTCTGCGTTCGCAACGGAAGAGCCGGTGGAAGAAGAGGAAATCGATGAGACCCCGGAAGGGTCAGAACCTAGATCTAGCACTGCAGAAGATACCGATGATTCTGTCATTACACCCTCCAATGGCGACACTCAGGCCCCTGCTAGGCAGATGACGGTATCATTCCGACTGAATCTCGTTGACGCTCAAGTAATAACGATCGCAAATCCAGCTATCACTCATACTGAGGCAATTGTGCTAGGGACGAAGCAGTTGCTTTTCTCTCATCAGAATGTTTCAACCTTGCAAATTTCCAAGGTTGGCATGTTCTTGTGCCGTATGGACAAGTTCGAAACCAGTAGGCTTCGTATATTAGATGACTTCACCCTCGAAATGTCAATGGACAGTCGGCCGCAGGAGAGAGGTTCTGCTTTGACTTCCATCAATGTCCATTTTGAGCCTCTTGTCCTCCGTCTTTCCCTCCGGGATATCTTGATGGCGATACAAATTGTCAACAAGGCATCCGAGATGAGAGCTCAAAAACCTAATGAAGGGGAGACTGGCGAGCCGAATAGGATATCCGATGGAAAAGGTACTAGTACGAAGTCCTCGAAAAGGAAATCGGTCGGCAGACCAACCTCAACTGCGCTAGCCCCAAGGCCTCATCGCCGTTCTAGCGGGGCGGTTGATACTACGGAACCAGGGCTTATTTCGCATCGTTCAGCTATCCTCAAGAAAGAAGAAATGAATGCCCAAATAGATGGTGTCCGGGTAATCCTCATAGGAGACCTACACGACCTGCCATTACTTGACTGGAGTGTCAAGAAGTTCACTGTTGATGTCCGCGACTGGTCATCTACACTGAAGGCTGATACTAGCTTCGATACATTCATTAACGTGTATAACTTCTCCAAGTCAGCTTGGGAACCCCTCATTGAGCCATGGCAGTTAGGCTTCCACATGGCAAAGGAGGTCAATCCTGATGTCCTCTCGATAGATGCTTACTCTCATAAGACCATGGAGCTCACTTTAACGTCTGCCACAATCGCACTGGCGTCCAAGTCGTTCCAGTTCCTCTCTACTGATGAAGATGTTCTCTCGAAACCACGAGGTGCCGACGCACCCTACCGCATCCGTAACCACACTGGCTTCGATCTTCATGTTTGGGCCGATGTCAGTGCAGAGGAAGAAGGACCGGCTGCTAAATTAGCTGACGGTGAGGAGTATCCTTGGAGGTTTGAAGACTCGACCGCCATGCGTGAAACGCTAGCACCAGAAGGTCATGCCGGTCTTGTCGGTGTCAAGCTTGAAGGCAGTGGCTTTGAGAGTGTGAGCCGTATTCCCGTTGTTCGGGAAGGGGAGATTCTGTACAATCTGAAGCCAAGGAAAGATAACATTATTCATAGACTTCTTGTTGAGGTCAAATTGGGTGCGGACAACGTCAAGTACATTACCATCCGCTCACCACTAGTTGTTGAGAACAATACGCAGATACCAGTGGAGCTGGGCGTGTTCGATCCTCGTGACGGACATCTTCTTAAAATTGAGAAGATCCTTCCCGGAGACTCTCGGCCTGCACCTGTAGGAGCTGCATACATGCATTCTCTACTTATTCGACCTGACCAAGGTTTTGGATATGAGTGGTCAAACGAGCAGTTACATTGGCAAGACCTTATGCGGCGACCGACTCGGACAATCAAATGCATAAGTGAGAGTGGACAGCAAGCTCCGCCTTTCTATTTCCAGATGAATGCTACGTTCAATTCACGCGACTCTGTGACAAAAGTCTATCCTTACATGCGCATCCGGATATTCGCCCCTGTCGAGATACAAAATCTCCTTCCTTATGATTTCAAATACCGGATCTATGACAAGAATACGAAGAAGGATTGGACTAATTTCCTGCGCAAGGGAGGCGTAAGCCCAGTCCATGTCGTGGAGCTATCCCACTTGCTACTTCTGAGCATCGACTTGGAAGACACTGTTTTCAGGCAAAGTGACTTTTCTATTATCAACGGCAATACGCAAGACTTCAGGAGAGAGCATGTACTATCTTTGAAGGATGAAAGAGGCATTCAACTGAGGTTGAATCTTCACTACTTTAACGTGCCTGATAGTGGAGGCGCATTCAAGGTGTCGATCTACAGTCCATATCTCATCCTGAACAAAACGGGTCTCTCGATGGAGATACAGAGCAAGGGCTTCTTGCAATCAGCTCGAACAGCAGCTGGCCAAGGGCTAAGGGCTGATCCAAGGAACGGCGGACGAACGCTTCCTTACATGTATTCTTATCCGAGCGAAGATCAGAAGAACCGGTCCATACTGAGGATAGGCGAGTCTGCGTGGAGCAAGCCGCAAAGTTTCGAAGCCATTGGGAGTACATTCGAAGTCGTTCTTCCTGATAGACACGGCCGATCTGAGTTTCATTCAGGTGTGACGGTTGCTGAGGGTGAAGGCAAATACAAAATGACCAAAGTTGTCACCATTGCGCCTCGCTTCGTTCTGAAGAACAAGATTAACGAGGACATTTCGGTCCGAGAACCAGGCTCTTCCAATGTGCTTAATATCAAGAGTGGCGACCTTGTACCTCTGCATTTCTTGCGCCAGGTTCCAGAGAAACAACTTTGCCTATGCTTCCCGGGAGTTAATAATCAGTGGTCGTCCCCGTTCAACATTGCTGATATTGGAACGGTGCATGTTAAGCTTGCAAAGGCAAACCAACGTCAAAAGCTCATCAAAGTGGACATCATCATGGAAAACGCCACACTCTTCGTGCATTTCAACCTAGAAACGCGAAACTGGCCATATTCCATGCGGAACGAGAGCGACATGGAGTTCATCTTCTACCAAGCCGTAAGTAGCCGGATGATCTCAAAATAAAGTCTATACTAACTTTACGCTTTCTAACAGAATCCAAACGTGGAAGATTATGAGGATGATAGAACGAATGGCTGGCGGCCGATCCGCTATCGTCTGCCGGCTCGGAGTATCATGCCGTACGCCTGGGATTTTCCAGCTACGAAGAACAAATCTCTCGTGGTAACGTGTAATGGCAAAGAAAGGCATATCAAGCTTGCTGAGATTGGTAACCTGATCCCAATGAGAATACCGCCGACGCAGTATGGCGAACACCAAAAGATTATCGACATCAATATTGTGGCCGACGGTCCCACTCAGACTCTAGTCTTATCGAATTTTAAGGCATCAAAGAGTTTGTACAGGCAACAAAGAGGACAGACCTCTCAGAGCAGTTTGAGCACCGGGTTTGAGGTTAAGGAGTTGGACTCAGACGTGAACTTCAAAGCCCAGCTCCGCCTTGGTGGGATTGGTATCTCCTTGGTCAACCAGAACATGAGGGAGCTATTGTACCTAACCTTCCGCGAGATCGATATTAAATATCGGGAATCCAGGGTTTACCAGACACTGAACACCACAATCAAGTGGATCCAAATTGATAACCAGCTCTATGGAGGGATCTTCCCTATTTTGTTGTATCCCAGTGTTGTTCCAAAGACCGGAAAGGAAATGGAGGCACACCCGATTTTCCACACCATGGTTACACGCGTGAAAGATGACTCCTATGGCGTACTTTACATCAAGTATGCCACCGTACTTCTACAACAGATGACACTAGAACTCGATGAGGACTTTGTGTTCGCGATGCTGGACTTTGTCAAGATTCCTGGCGCCTCGTGGTCCGAAGAACAGGAAGGGAAGCTTTGCGATGAAGATCTAAGGATCCCAGAACCACAAAATGAAGGTGCTGGAAATGATGTGTACTTTGAACTTCTTCATCTGCAACCCATGCAGCTTGACATCTCTTTCATGCGGACTGAGCGCGTGAATGCTGAGGACACTATGCAACCATCGAATCCTTTGATGTTCTTTGTCAATGTCATGACCATGTCGATGGGCAATATCAACGATGCACCTGTCCGCCTAAATGCATTAATGCTGGAAAACGCCCGTGTGTCACTTGGGGTTCTTGTTGGCAACGTCCAGAGGCACTACACTCAGGAATTCCTCCGGCAAGTGCATGTCGTCCTAGGATCTGCCGATTTCCTCGGCAATCCCGTTGGCCTATTCAATAATGTCAGCTCTGGCGTTGCCGCAATCTTCTACGAGCCTTACCAAGGACTGGTTATGACTGACAGGCCTCAAGAGCTTGGCTACGGTATTGCCAAAGGAGCTACAAGTTTCGTCAAAAAGTCCGTCTTCGGGTTTTCGGATAGCATGGCCAAACTTACGGGAAGCATGTCTAAGGGTCTTGCTGCTGCCACCTTGGACAAGGAATTCCAAGACAAGCGACGTATGTCAAAATCTCGCAACCGACCGAAGCATGCACTGTATGGTATCACGGCTGGCGGGAATGCATTCGCAACCAGTTTAGCAAGTGGTATTGGAGGGCTTGCACGCCATCCACTGCAGGGAGCCGAAAAGGAGGGTATTCAAGGGTTTTTCAAGGGGGTTGGAAAAGGTGTCTTAGGCCTTGCTACGAAACCGGCCATCGGCGCCTTTGATCTTGCGTCGAGTATGTGCATTTATGCGGGTTAAACCACTCAGTTACTGACGAATCCATAGATCTTGCCGAAGGTGTACGAAACACCACCACTGTCTTTGACGCAGAGGGCCTAGATCGTGTTCGTCTCACGCGCTTCATTGCAACAGACGGCATTGTACGGCCATATTCGCAGCGGGAAGCCCTAGGCCAGTTCTGGCTTAAAACAGCAGACGATGGCAAGTTCTTCAGCGAAGATTACATTGCACATCTCGAGCTTCCTGGCAGGGACATGTTGGTCATGTTGACGTACGACCGGATAATGCTTGTGCGCACCAAGAAGCTCCAGACGGAATGGGATATTCGATTGACCGACATTCAAACAATCTCAAAAGAGCGTACTGGCATGAGCATTACGCTCAAGGGTGGCGCCAATGGTCCATTTATCCCAGTGCAGGATGAAAGTTCAAGGAACTGGCTGTACCGCCAGATAGCCATTGGTAGGTGAAACACTACGTCTACATAAGTTTTGACTATCGCCGTTGCTAATGTTCTTTGTGCTAGCTGTGAATGCATTCAACGAGAAGTATAATAACAGGGGCTAGAGGAGCTCAGCTTACGTCTTTCATAACGATGTTACGCTAAACATGGGTTTTATCCGTGAGGATAATGGGAAACCTAAAAGTGGTTTTGTTTCATGGACAATAAGGGACAGTCAATGGTTGATGTGTCTATTGGATGCAATGAAGTGTATAATTTCAATGATGCCTGTCCTGTAGCCCCCACTTCTTTTCTTTTCTTCTAATTATATTGAGATGTTTTTAATGTATGTATGTACATAGACATGGGTGTCGTCGGGTTCTGCAAACCTTCCGAGCCAAACATATTTTTAATATTTAAGGGATGACACTGCTCCTAAGTTGCCCATAAGCGCTATTGTTTCCAGGATGAGTCAGTATGAATAAAAAGAAAGAGAAAGAAAAAAGGTATTCCGATGCGGGGAATCGAACCCCGAGCTGCTGTGTGAGAGACAGCGATGTTAGCCATTACACCACATCGGATGACTTGCGGAGGAAAGCTTAAATAAGTAATATATCAAAGAAGCACAAATGAAGTGGCTGATTTTTCCCCTAATTCACACACATACAAGAAGCATGCACATACTATACTAATCAAGTTCGTATCAGTGATCTGCACCACTTTCTCTATGCATAATTATCACTGTGTATGTCATTTATATTACTGTATCAACATCTGCAGTGCAAGATATTTCAAAATCTTGGGGTATGATACCTTTATATGATGCGTCTCTTCGCCGCTCAAGCGGACGTATACTTTAACTATTTTCAAGACAACTACTATAAATGCTCCTGGATACTCTGTCCGATTGTATGACGGGTGTTAATCCACTTCTAAAAGTGTATGGTATATCAATGTCATCACGTCAAACTGGATATCTAACAACAAGGTATCGTGAAAACCAACCCAAAACTGTAGATAATGCTAATATAACGAAAATTCGGGATATCATCTGCTCTCTGCACGCTCCACAAGCTGATCTTCCAGACCCATCGGCTCCCAAGTATCCTTTGCTTTCTTGTTCTGTACCCAGACAACATCTCCCTGGACGAATGCGACGACACCACCCTTCCCGGTAGCGCTGGCCGTGATTCTGAACAGAGGCTGGCCGTTCTGCGGGTGCGCTTCTCGAAGGGGGAGCATGATGAGTCCCTGTTCCACGCACCACGTTTCGAGGATGTCTTTGAAGGCGACCTCTTCCACGACCTTGGGCTTGCGAGGGGCTTTTGTGGATAGTGCTTCCGCTGGTGCATGGGGTTTCTCCTCGGGAGTCTGCTCCGCAGTGGTGGATGATGGGGGTGGGAGCTCTGTAGCGGCGCGATCACCCAAGCGAGATGCTAGATCCATGGTCTGCAGACCCTTCTTCCACTCGTCGTCAACGATGGTCAGCTCGTTGATTTCTTCGGGAATCTGGGTTCGCCACCAGGAGAACCACTCGCCAACCTCTTCGTAGTTCGGGTCATTTGTGAGCCAGATATAGAGAATATTGTGCCACTTGGGGAAGAATTCTCCGACGAGGAGTAGGCCGGTGACGTTAGGCTTAAACAAGTCCTTCCATTTAAAGACGTCTTCCAGGGCTGTTAGATCTTGGTCTTGGGGATTCACTTCGAAATCTTCACGGAGATGACGGCCAAGTCGGGGTAAAAGGTGATTTCGTAGGCATACATCAAACTCCGAACCCAATGCATCTCGCCAGAGCTGGATGCCATCGACCAGCCCTTTCCTAAGGTCCCATGTATCCAAGACAACGCGAAATTTCCTCTTAGCATCAGAAAGAAGACCTGTAGGCTGCCTTGGGTTCGTGTGCCGTTCATCAAGATACTGTAGCCATGTAAATAACCACCATGGGAAACGAGAACTGTTATGCGGGGAGATGTGGCGTCTGCTGCTGCTTCTGGGCTTCCATTGTTTCAGACCATCGGTGAGCTTCGGTACCACAAGCTGATCAAGGACATTAGCTAGAACAAAGGGTGGTATAATCTCCTTCCACGCAACAACTAGCGATGTGGCTGATTTTGGATCATAAACGTCCCAATCGTTGAGAAGTGCTGAGCGCACACGAGGTAGCCACAAAGTGTATATCATGCTCTCATAAGCCGACGTTGATTGTCGCTGGACAGTTTGATCATCTTTCTTTCGCGCAAAAAGAGGCTGAAGGCGACGAAGATTCGACACAAGGAATGTTGGATCTCTCAGAGGCTCCCATTCCTCCATCGCTTGGCGGAACAGAGGATGGATGGCTGCAACAGCTGTCTCGGGGAGGCGATATTCATCTATTTCATTGCGATATTTGATTTCCAAAGATTCTAGTTTGCCGGTAACTTCGTCAAAGCGCCCCCGAGTACTGTCGTCTTGGAAAATTTCCAGACTGCCGAGAGTAGCGACAAGCTCCGTCAGCTGGTCCATTCGGAGTTGTTGTGTATCCATTTGTTCCACAATCTGAGCCTCCTCCAATTCGATAAACTTCTTCCTTTCCGTTAACCCTTTCCACTCATCTGCAAAAGCCTCTAGATCATGGCGCGCCCGTTGTGCAATCTTCAGAGCTTCACCTTCACCCGGTTTCACGAATTCCGACGGGGCCATTAAGCCGGCCGTGGAGGTCAACACCCTTTGTTCCTTCCCGGTGGCATCGACTAATGATTTCAAGACGTTTGGTACCTCAAGGCCAGCCATGTCCTCCTCCATTTCCCGGGCTGTACGGAATTGGGGCTTCGCTCGTGGCATCGGAGTGCCTGTACCACTTCGACTTCCTTGTTTGCGCGCTTCCTTCTTTTTCTGTCGTCTCTTTCGTTCTTCATCCGAGCTATCCTCCACCACTTCACCCCGTAATGCCGCCGCCCGTTTTTCCTCCTCTCGAGCTTGCTTTGTCTTTTCTCGAACAACTCCCAACCCAGCACCCTGCGGCCGGGCCTGAGCCTCGATCGGGTTAACGATACCCTGACCACTTGAACCGAGACCTTGCCCTTCAACATAGCCCATCTTAGCCATCATGCGCGCGGCGAAGGAGTTTCCTCCCGGCGTCCCTTTGCCTGAATTGCGGGCGCCTCCCCGGGCCGTTGCTGCCTGTGTGTTGTTGTTCCAGGGATTCCGACGAGCACTCCCCAAGCCTCCAAAAGACGGAGGTGACTCCGAACGAGAAGATGCCCTCGCAAACCCGCGAAATCCCATCGTGGGGCGAAAGTCATCTTCGTCAGAACTCATATCGGTAATTTTACGCTTCTGGCCGGCGGAGGGGGAGGTGGGTGGTGAATCCATGATCGATCGAGATGTCAGAGGCCAAACGAGTGTAGTTGCTAACGTGATCAGTAAGGCGAACAAGGCGGCTAAACGGTCCCAAAGACGCGTTTAGAAGCCATGAAATGAAGTATGGGGATCTCGATACGAGAAAGTTGACTATCGGTGGAGCCAATTCGGGCATTTCGGCGCGGGGAAAACTCAAGTCCGAGGAGCCGAAGCAACAATGACGTTTATTGCTCCCTTCCGGTTATTTTTCCCTCCTCTTCTTCTTTTCTCTCTTCTCTCTTCTTTCTCACTCTCCTCTCTTCACTACATTTGTATCTTTACTCAATTAGGTCATCCTGTATCTAAAACAAAAAATCATGGCTACCACTTTTTTCCGTACCACTGCTCGTACCGCCCTGCGCGCCGGAGCTCCGGCTACTCCTAGAGCTGCGGGCGTTGCGGGCTTGACATTTACTCGTGGCAAGGCCACTCTGCCTGACTTGGCTTGTATGGCTCTCCCCTTCTCTTTGTGTTGACAATCCGTGTGTCTGTTGCGTAGTCGTCTGTTTGCTCTTGTCTAGCTGTTCTCTGTGCAGATACGTTAATAGTTACGTTGATGCGCTGGGCGTACTTCGGCTCATTGCCCTTTGGAATCACGTAATACAATGGTTGACTAACTGAGAACCAGATGACTATGGCGCCCTGGAGCCCAGCATCTCCGGCAAGATCATGGAGCTTCACCACAAGAACCACCACCAGACCTATGTCAACAGCTACAACGCCGCCATCGAACAGCTCGAGGAGGCCGTCGCCAAGGAGGACATTACGACCCAGATCAACCTCAAGCCCCTGATCAATTTCCACGGTGGTGGCCACATCAATCATACTCTCTTCTGGGAGAACCTTGCCCCCAAGAACCAGGGCGGTGGTGAGCCCCCATCCGGAGCTTTGGCTAAGGCCATCGAGGACAGCTTCGGCAGCTTGGATGAGTTCCAGAACAAGTTCAACACCGCCCTGGCTGGGATTCAGGGAAGCGGATGGGCTTGGCTCGTTAAGGACAAGCAGACCGGAAGCATCGGCATTAAGACCTATGCCGTAAGTTCCTCCTTATCGGCACCTGAAGATACAGGTAACTAATCCCGACTAGAACCAGGACCCTGTTGTTGGCCAGTTCCAGCCTCTTCTCGGTATTGATGCTTGGGAGCACGCCTACTAGTAAGTATTTCGCCACTGGATTTCCATCGAGCAATAACTGATGCCATCTTAGCCTCCAATACCAGAACCGCAAGGCAGAATACTTCAAGGCCATCTGGGACGTCATCAACTGGAAGGCCGTGGAGAAGCGCTTCTCGTAAGTGTGTAAAAGTATAGTGTTTTGACACAGTCTTGCTGAGCGCTTTTGTCCCATTTGTGTCCAGTATGATATTGTGTAATGTCTGAACAGGCTGTATGTATAGCCCTAATGCAATTCGATATGTCTCATGTATGTATGCCCTAAAAATATGTAAATGTTTGGGTAAGCAGCACTAGCCACAGTGGCTGCGGTTCATTCCCGTGGTCTCCCGTGATTTGATAGATTTATTTTTGTACTCTGTAATCCCGCTCCGCCTTTTCCGGAACCTCTTATTATCTAGAGGCATATCGGACTCTCACAGTTCGCCTTTCATCTTCCAATCCTCTTTTAATGTCCGCAGAAAGCCCGGGAGAGAGGCGCGGAGGCTTTCGGGCATTCTTCGCCAGCGCCCTCCGGCCCAAAAAATCCCGTCAGGTACTCCGCAAGGGCTTCAGCGCATCTACGCCGAATCTAAGAGAAGGTCTACAAACCAAAGATGGTGTTCCAGAAATGCCTTCGCTGGCCCCATTGCAAGCTCATCGAATCAAATACCAAGAAGCGAATCTCCAGAAAGACGCACAGCTTGGTGAAAACCGCGACCATACCGCAATGCTGCATGCGATCGGCGTCGGAGAGCTAGATCCTTCCGACCCCAACGCGCAACTATACGAAGTCGACCATCGACCACCGGGTGAGCCCGTGATCGCCAGCTTAACACCGGAACTCTGGGCGAGGGTCACCGAGTATCTAAACCCCGCCGAAAGAGCTAGTCTCGCCTTCTCCAGCAAGACGCTGTTCACTCGACTGGGCCCCGAGCCCTGGACAACGATAAACCTCCCAGAAAACCACGACTACAAAGCGGACTTCCTCATCTCCCAAGACAAACTAGTCCCACACCATCTCCTCTGCTTCCCCTGCGGCAAATACCACCGTCGCACCCAAGAAGGCTACGAAAAACTCCAACCCGCAGACGTGGTCAACCCACTCTTCACATGCCCCAATGCACGCAACAACGCCCGCCCCACACCACGCCACCGCATCACCCACGGCCGAGTCCTCTACTTTACCTTCTACCAACTCGTCATGCGCGCCCACCGTTTCGGCCCCCGCTACGGCATCCCCCCGGAATCCCTATCCCGCCGCTGGCGCCGGGATGGGTGGTCTCACCAATCTAGATACCACATCCACCAAGGCCGCCTGCTCATGCGGGTCGTGAGCACCTGCTTCGCAGACCCGGGCCTCAGCACCTCCCAACAACGACTCCTCCTCTATTCGCGCGATGACTATTGGCCCTACTTCTCAGTCTGCGCGCACTGGCGCGATGGCGAACTCATGAACGTCTGCAAATGCGCCCTCTCCCACATCCCCGTCCCCCGTGCTACAGCCGGCCTTCAGGGCCTCGAGCACCGCGCAAAAGACATGTACCATGGCCGGTCCCACAATCCCAATGCGCTTGCCTCGCTCTGCGGCAAGTGTCGGCCCATGCGCCGCTGCCCCGAGTGTCCCTCCGAGTACCTGGTTGAGGTGAAAATCACCGAGGACCGGAGCAGTTCGCATGCCAACATGTTCCGGCATGCGATTGTAGTCACGCGGTGGAGTGATTTGGGGAATGGGCTGTCGCCGCGGCTGTCGAAGGAGTGGGCAGCTGTTAATGGGGATGAGGCGGGCGAGGGATACGACTCGTTTGCGCTCATGGGGAAGAGGAGTATTTCGGGGACGTTTGAGTCGGCTATTACGGATGACACGTTGCCCGGGCAGAGGATTATTTCGATGAATCCTAAGGGGAAGAAGTTGGGGGAGGCTGGGAATAACTGGTATTGAGGTTCGCAGTTTCTTTTCCTTATGGGCGTTAATACATTGGTGATGGGAAGGAGGGTTTCTTTGGGTTTGGTTTTCTTTATTGAATCTCATCACAGTTGGGAGTTTGAATCGGGTTATAGCGGTTGCAAAGACTGTATGGGCTGTATGGGTTAATATAGATTGGATTGGATGGCTAACTCATGGGCATGTATTCCTTATGTGTTTGAATAGTTCATGTGGTAATGGATAAGAATAGTCAATTTGAAACTTCACACATAAATTCATTACATAAACCTAGAGTAGATGATCAAACGCCTCTAGAGAGATAGAACAAAAGATGCTAACGAATGAAAGGTCCCAGAAGATGTAAACATGATTAAACATGAGTCATAGCGATATAGATATCACGTGCATATGCAAACAGTTATAGGAAATATAACATAAGGAAAATATCGAAAATGAGGGACTTAGGTGAGATCAAAAAGGGAAAAAGAAAAGAATGAATGAATGAATGACTGAAAAGAAAAGAGAGCAAAAGGAAGGATAGATGGTATCGTGTGCCAACTAGATACCAAATGACAAAAGAAATCCAATCCAGACGATGACTCCTAACTTCTCAGACATGCAAATACTGGTACAATCCATGCCATGCGTTAGGCTATAACTCGTGGGGTATCGTGACGCATTAAAACAAAGAAACAAAGATAGAGCGTATAGTGGTAAGAAAATTGTCGGTGCTGTTTTGAGTTTTTCTTTTCTTTCTTTTTCTTTTTGTTGTTGCTTTTCGTGTACGTCACAAGATTTGATTAAACTCGACGACGACGATCGATGTACCTGGGGCGCCATGCCTCGTCTTCGGTGGTCCAAGAGATACGTTTCGTACTAGACGCGAAGTCCTCAACTGCAATGTTCATGGATGCCAAGTGAGCTTCCCTGATCTCAGGGTTCACGACGGGAATCTCATAGACCAAGCGTGAAGTTGATCGGTCCTTGACTGATCCATTGGATTGTATGGACATCGTGGAGTCAAGTTCGGATTTCTTATTGGATGACCCAAACCCACCAGCTCCTTTCATCCAGCCAAAAATTCCGAGTGAGCTCCGTCTTTTGTGCCCTTTGCCGTGTGAGGAGGGCGGTCTGCTCGCGGTACTATGTGATAGCATATTGGAGTCTGTAAACGAGTGAGGAAGTGTTTTGTGTATGTCGTCACCTTTTGAATCAGCATATGTAGGGGCAGACGGACGGCCATTATCGTGTGAATTGTACATGTTATCATTTTGGTTGATACTAGCCGGTTTAGAAGATTCCATTTGCCTGGCCTTAGGGATCACTGGAGAGGGTGCTCCATCATGTTCATCCGCGCCATCAGGGATGGGTGATGGTTGGAGACGACGGTTTGCTGTTGAACGCCCAAAAAAGCGAGGTCGAAAACTAAGTCTTCGCCGTGGCTCCGGGTCTGGCTCGGGCTGACGAACGGGTTCCAATGCGTTGAGATCGAGCGTTGGTATAGCCGGAATGTCTTGCACAGTCGAGTCAACACTGTGCCGACGCCCAAGAAATGAAGACTGGCTAGGAGCTCTAGCACTAGCAAGTCGAGACTTAACAGGGACCGGGCCAGTAGCTGGAGGGAGGGGGCGACTCTTCCCATGGTGGTTGTCGGATTTCGCTGCTTCCACCCAATCTTGCGGCGTGAGGGGTGGCGATGACGAGGGCGTATCCTCCAGGGGCTCTTCAGCATCGGCACGCCTTGATGTTGAGTAGTAGTTATCGTCTATCTTAGAGAGAACGTTTTCGAGGTCATCTTCATTGAACAAGGCCCCGCTTCCGTAGTATCCAAAGTTGGAGTTACGAACTACTCCATGGCGCTGCAAGTAGCTGGTTCTGGACGATACACAATTCAAAGGGAATATAGCAGGTGCCTCGTCACCTTCGTCAGTGCTGAGCGGCGGATGCATGACCTCGCTGATATTAGTATCTGTCCCATCAGTTTGTCTGCTATTGCCAGAACTTCGCCTGGTGGTTAGCTCGTCTGCAGAGCGAGGGCGGCGAAGTCCCCGCTTGAGGGCTACAATATGATCAAGCTGGCTCTTGTCCGCACTGCTGCCATTGGACCTATTTGTGCCGAACGCATGCGCCGTACTCATTGTGTCAGGGGTAGGAGGTAGCCTTGAGCTCCCAAAAACACTATCAACCTGCGTCTTTTGGGCCGAGCTATCAGCATAGGAAACACTTTCAAAGCTCGGCTTATCAGTGTCTCTGAAAACATCCAGTGCAGGCCGATTTTTCTTTCTCGGGGTCTCCTCTGAGGCGGTATCTGGCTGCGCCTGGTTCCATGAACTAAAACCTAGCTGATCCCTTTCCCAATCTTTTCCGGTCAGAGATGAAAGTACCGAGCTCTGCGCTGTCGACTCTCTCTTGCGCATAGGTATCTCAATTTCATCGAAGCCGTTGTATGACCCGGTGATATCGTCCATGTGTAATTCACTACATTCACTAAGTGCACTGAGTCTCGGCGAATCGGGTTCTGCGGTCCCGTTCATGGAGTGGAGGCTTTCGGAATTCGTTAGTATGCTCATTTCAGAGCGAGACTGTTCGTCAGCAGGACTGTAGACGCTTCGTAGGACCGCGGCGTTTTGATTCTCGTCATGGAGAAAAGACGGTGCTCTCTTGAGGTGACGTGTGCCCGAAGACCTTCGGCGATACTGGTCAGTAAGTATCGTGCCTCTTCTGGAGGATGTCCGTTCTGGAATGTTGACAGGCGTAGGAGTTTTGGGCGTTGCGATATCTGGGCCTGGTCCGTCCCGTGTAGAAGGCCGCGCTGTAGAAGGCCTAGAAGCGTCCCCAGTCGCTTCTAACTCCTCCACTCTAGCTTCAAGCTGGCAGATCAATTCTACCGCCTCTGTGACTGCTTGGTCTCGTTTATCAATCTCTTGCCGTAGTTGCTCGTTGGACTCCCGTAGCCTTTGGTTGTCTTCCTCGGCATCCCGTAACTCCTGTAGCTCATCCTCCAAACCTCGCATGCGCTGGAGTTCTTCTTCCATCTCCAGCATCCGTTCCAGTTTCTTTTCCAATGCCATCATTTGCTGAGCACGGTGAAAAATCTCCAGTTTCAGGTCAAAGTTTTGCTTATTGATCTTTGAAATATACTACAATATGCTATTAGGCACAGTCGGGTAGCTGTAGGAGGTAAGCCGTAAAGGTGCCACTCACCTGATCCATTTCTCTCATTCCCATCTCCCGGGGTTGCTTAAGCCCCGCCGCCAGGGCATTGTTGATTTTTCGCTGCCTTTCAGAGCCCGGCTCTTCCTGGGATTGAGTCTGAGAGTTGGAACGGGAACGGCCTGGTGTCCGAGGTGTGCGGGGCGTAGGGGGTGCATTATCATCCATGTCCTCTGACGCTGTCCCCCGCGACCCTCGAGTCGCACGTTGCTCTTTCAACAGGTCTTGTAGTAGAGAGGAGGAAGGGTTCACCAGAGATGTTGTTCCGGGTTCGGGGGTTCCTATATTAGTCCAAGACATCAGCATGTCAGCCTTTGTGTAAAATCGAAAGCCTATCCAGTGATTGGGTAATGGCGGAACGACCACAGTTGCACACATACTTGATCTCGTACTTTGCGAACTCGGCTTGGGAGATCCGGTCATGACGGACGGGTCATACGGCCAGGACATATCTGTAGACCAATTAACATCATCAGGACATCGTGCGGCAGGCACCAGTCGTACCACTACTTGTTTGCGACGGATTGTCCATCTTTAGTCTTCTTTTGACATGAGTGAGCGCGGCAGGTTTAGGGGACTGGGAGTTATCTACCAGGACCCAGCGATTAGTTAGTATAGTGTTGTGCAATGGGGCATCCCTTGAATGATTCAAGGGAGGAAAGTGGCAGGTAAACGAACTCTTCAAGTTCGGGCTGTGTCTCGGAGATGCATTACCAGCTGGGAGAGCCGTGACGGGTGACGGGTATAAGCAATGTCGCAATGACGAAGGGGTGGTCGAGTGCACCGAGACGGTGCTTCGCCTTTGGGGTGTCTTGTCCATGTTGGTTGGAGATCCCTAGTTGGCCAGTCGAATGCGCATAGTTGACAAGATGCACGACACGACTTAGAGTGCAGTAGAATGGTAGGACCGTGTCCACCTAATGCGGGCGTTCCATTAGAGCCGGAGATTTAATCGACAGGTCGAGTAAGGAAAAAGCAATGTTCCCTCTCACTATTGGGTGAGTGGCGATGCGAGGAGCTTGAAGAAGAGGTATAGGTCAAGGGTAGATTCGCAAGGAACTGCAGGGAACTGGGGTGGATTGGCAGGGATAACTTGAACATACATACAGCGGACAACGTATAAGGAAGGCAAGTACGTAACCTCGTCGACGTGAGGGGAGAGAGAGAGAGAAAAGATTAAAAAGTGATGGGCGAGACTGTGACGAGTCGATCTTCGGGGCCAAGAAAGGGGAGTGACAGAATAGTGTAAATTCCCCACAGCTTGAACTGCACGATCCATTACAAGTCTCTTTCTGGTTAGACGGATTTTTGCGAATCCCTCTCTTCTTGACATATAAAAAAAAAGTTTTTCCTGGGTCTGGAATGTCTGGTTACCATGGAACAAATTGAATGGATACAATTGGACCCTCCTACCAACTGACCCCTATATGAAGGGTTGATAGCATTCCAATTCATTCCAATCATTCATCTAGAGTACCTATAGTAGTACTTGCTGAGTACTCTCTTACTTACTAACTTCATTCAATCGACAAACATGATAGGTTCCCAGCAAAGACAAGCACTAGGACCACTAAAGGCATAGTCGTCCCGCAAGTCGGTTGATCGTCCTTTTGTGGAAGGGATTCATTCTAAGAAAACGGCCAATCGGAAAGCCACCTCCCTCGGGTGTTTCATCTCTCACCAATGAGCATTGCAGCCTTCATCTAAGAAGGGCTGGAATCTCTTTACTTACCTCCCAACCTTTCTCTTCCCTTTACTCATTTCTGTATCCCAAAGAACAAGAAACCAGGTAAGAACACTCTACTCAGATTTTTCTGCTAACATATGGGTTTCCACAATCCTAGACCTACTTATCCTCATTTCGAAATGAAAATACTACAAAGAGAATTAAGCACAATTAATACCTGCCTAACTACTAGTAGTGCCTCCGTGCTAAGTTGCAATGTAAACAAAGCCCCACAAGAGGATCAGCCCACGATGGCCGCTTGCTCACCCCAAGGTACACCGCTAAAAGCATCAATAATCTCTTCCTGTACCTCCTGAACTTTGCGTATAAGAGCTGCATCCACTCGTGTATCACCAATCAACCTGCAGCATACAAGGTTAAACTTCATGCACATACCGTTTCAGACTGCACCCTTGGCAACGGCCCATGTAGCCTGGATCGCTAGTTTTGTGGTTATTTACTCCGTACACAGTTTTGATCCAGGCTAAGCCATACTGTCTTGCGATAGCTAAATAGGCGATACATAAATATATTCTGTAAGACATACAGTACGCTTGTAAGCTAAGGTTGACTTTAATTCTTTCATCTTGAAAGCTATACTTGTAGGAGCAATAAAGACAATTTCTCTGTATGTAAATGCGAATACCTTAACTCCGCCGATATAACAAGTCCTAAACAGATTAACCTAGTCATACTTGCATTCCGGGTAGCATAATAGACATGGCCCATATGACGGCCACAGCTCAGTCCGTTCAATTTTAAATGTTGATCCCGCTTCCCTCACGTCACCTCTTCTTCGCTTCACCGGCCCATATGCGTGTCTCCCTGGCACTATCATGGGCCACGCGGAACACTACACAACGCAGATTAGAGACAACCGAGCAAAGAAGACCCAGGAATCAGGTATGTTTTCCCACTTACGCTGCCTCTCCGTCTCATCCAAGCCCCGCAGGAACTCGACACCATCCCCAAGAGCACCCTTCGGATTGTGGGCATGATCGGCGATTTCTGCAGCCCGTCTCTTATATGTCTATAGGAGTGATGAGTTAAGTTATCCCAGATGTACAGAGGGCAAACTAACATTGATTAGGACATCGACCATCTCTTCTTCTTCGAAAAGCTCTAAGACTCGCTCGCTCAGGCTATAGAAATGCGGAGCTAATGCCCGTAGATCGACGGTCCGGGGATCAGCTTTCAAAGCATTCATTACTCGTTCTGATAATGCAGAAGGGATGTCAATTGAGACTAAGCGAGAAGTGCCCAGCCGAGCTCTTTGCCGAGTCAGAGTCTTTTTCTAATAGGAGATTAGTACACAGAATCTCACCCGATTGAGAGCATTTCACCCAGCCATAGTGGGAGGTCGATCCGAGTGCCGGCTTTGATCTGATGGTGTCAACCTACGGTCGGATTTGTTAGACAAACGACAAGTCCTATGCTTACATTGTCGCCGGGATTGCCCTCTAGGATGCCGAGTCCTGGTACCTCGAGTTCAAATGTGCATGGCAATTTCTATCACCAGGAGGTCAAAAACACGTCCGGCCGGTACATGTAGATCTTTGAGCGACATACCTGGGCATCTGTTAAAATAGAGTCGATATCATAGTATGACATTTTGGTATAGTTTATTTTTGCAATTGACTATTGTATTCAAATCCTGCGGAATCGCTTCACGTCGTTGAATCGCCTTTTGCTGAGGCGCGTCCCGCATTTCGCGGTGTCACGTGCCCTGTGATTTTAAGTATCCGGCAAGGTGACCAACCATTGCCTATTAATCTAGTATAGTACTTCAGTTGCTTATATACCGTGGCTCGCGGGGCTTTCCGCATACCTTTCTTTTTCTCTATACTTCTTATATCACACCTTTTTTGCCCTCCGTTCTCACACTATCAATACTGATGACGTCATTAACAACGGGGTTATATAATTCAGATATATGTATACACAAGTGTAGAGCAGTATTCCTTGAGGGCCCTTTTGATAAAATTAACTTGAGCCTGGGGAACCTTGCAAACGAGCGTGTGGGTTGAAGGACAATCAATATCGGCTCATTTGCGAGGAAGTAGATCGCTTGCCATACATCAGAACATGGATTTTACACCCACCAACGTACATGCATCAGTAATAAATAACTCGTTAGCTTCGATTTATTCTCCGATTTTCTGGAGCCTCAAGTGCATCCACAGACTTCTATCGGATATAATGTGGGCTGCAGGCGGCGTTGAGGAAGGAGGGGATCGGATATTTTGAGTCGATCTCGATCTTATAGACACAGATTTAGTAATACGATCCATGCGGGCTCAATGTGACTATCAGCCCTAAGATGCACCTTGCTGCATATATTGTTGGCCAAGTATACTATGAGTATACTATATGTACTGGAAGTCCTTGATGTTCCTGCGCATTTCTCCACTATTGCTGACCGTCTTTTGTTCTAGAATAGAACTAACCGCTCTCCCCAGTTCTAACTCCACACGACACCTCGGCTCCACTTACAAGCTACTAGTGTGCCGATAGCTTCTATACTGGAATCATCACCTAGTAGCGTAGTCCAGGGAGAAAGTAAGTGAGAACAAAACAGATGGCTTCGGTTCTGGAGGGGGGAGTTGCCGTGCGCGTTACCTGATATGCAATCTTGGGCTCCAAGTCACTGTCCTGTGTTGCCAAGGATAGGCACGTGAAGCGCAGTCTCGAGAATTAGAGTGAAGGGCTTCGATTGTGAGTGACATTTGATAAGACTACTCCTGATTCTAACCTCTAGAAGTGGTGTGGGAGGAGTATTTTCGTCAATGGTACTCTCCAGGAGACCTGGCATGATACTAGCAACTATATGAGGCCGATAAAGATTAAGACTCTTTTCCCGTTAGGCTCTTTGGGTCTCGAAATAAGTATGTATTGGGTAATCTTGTACATTAGAGTTCAACGTGGGTGGTATCTACCAATCTCGGCGAACAAAGGCCAGACAGACGCATAACTCCGTATGGTGGATATCGGCCTAAATAGGTACGAGTAAACCCATTAGACTATACTACTTATACTATAAAGAAATATCCATAGCCTCCAGTTCACCGTCTTAGACTTTACCAAAAGGTATGTGCATTATAACGAGCCCTGTTCTCTAGATTATTGCGCCTGGCATTCGACTCAATTAATTATCTGTCAGTCGATAGAGTTACCCGTTACTTCAGATGTTATCATGCTAATGCACAGGGCTTCTCAATACAAATTTAAAAATAAGGGTGCGGTAAAGACCCACGAAAGGAAAACGATACTATGTGACGCTTTTACTAAGTATTCCATGCATTAGGTCCCTGTAACCACGGGGTAGGTGATTTATGGCGCTTGAAAGTTGCGAACAGCCCTCTAGAACCTATAATATTTATTTGACACCTGTCGCATACGTCGGTTTCTATTCTATCATAAGCTCTTAACTAAAATCAAAAACTGAGAGACTAAGACTTGTTAATGTAATACTTGTACCCAAGGAAAACTGTGTACACAAAGAAGCTTGCCCGCTTGATATTATAGCTTGACTACATTACTAGTATGGAGACTGGAGTGATAGCTGCAATTATGATGTGTCTAGCACGCCTTTAGCCCATTTACTGGATTCCTGATCTGAGAATATCCTCTTTGGTCATGGCCCTTTTGACCGCAGAGCTTGGCTCAAGTTAATCTACAACATGAACTCAGTGGATATGTAGTAGTTGAATTAGACCTATTGATTTAGGTTTTTTGGAGGAAACTTTTCTATCCTTTACAACAGCTGGCTTGATAGTACCCTTAAAGCCGAGTACATAAGAAATCCGTATACTAGGGTAGATGGACTCTGGATAAAATTCCTTACACTGATGGTTTCCTTCCTGTAGCCCCAATGCCGTAGAATAATTAATATAATGGTCATAAATTAATCCTGTTTATGGTATATTGTCTGGGAGAAAAGAGAAAAAAAAGTAATTATATATGGGGTCAGAACCCTAATGCAACCAGTTATGTATATGTGAAGTTATTCACTACGAACATGCAATGGGAAAATACCAACCATGAAAAGGGAAAAACAGCAGGAGTGACCCTTGCAGAGCATACAATGTGGCTACAGTAGGTATCAGTAAGGACTTTGTTTCCCTTAGTCTACTACATAAAGTTGCAAATAGCCATATTTTGGAAAAATTCAAGAGTATCTTGAAGGTTGTTTAAGAATTGCAAACAAGAAGTTTGGTAATACAACGAATACTAGAGGGTCTAGAACCTGGGTCAGTGAGTATTTTTACCGTCGCTAGCGCCAAGCTAGTAGTGAGCAGTTTCTTATTTATTTACTGCACTAAGGCAAACCTCCAAGTGTGCCTGAGTTTACTCCATATTATATTTGAAATGTCTTTTGATAACAGACTCTATTCGTTGGATAGATTTTACAGTGTGAAACCGGTAGATATTAGCCCAATTTGGATGTTTACTACAGGACTGAGGCGTAGTCCTGCTCATATCCATTGTCTAGCTGTACTAGGGTATTTATGACAGTAAATTTAGGCATACATATAGATTTCTGCACCTTGAACTCAAGAGCCTATTATCGATGGAAGAGTTGTGGTCAACATGTAGGTGAGTATGTAACTGCCACATATGGCACTTCCTTGTGATGCATCATTTCTCACTGTGTTTTGTTAATCTGCAGAAGTACCTGCAAAGGTGACTGCTTCGAAGTATGAATAAGATTGGCTGTGAACCTGGATTTAGGGTTCATAGATTTATTGCGGTAGTTGAGAGAATTGATTTGAACGTGTACAGATGTGATCAAATAAACTAGTTAGTTAACTATGGTTTATTAGTCAGTACTTAGTAGAACATAAATGGAATAAATCAAGGTGGCGGAGATTTTGTTTGGCTCCCTTCATGATCCAAATTTAGCTCATTTGGAAAAAAAAAAGATTTGGAAATACACCAGGAACGGACAATACGATTACTTACTTTGGTACTCTTAAGGTTCTCATCACTCATCAGAACAGCTGGTGGATACATTCCACTTCCACCCATTACGAAAATAGGTACAGTACCGTACTAACCTAACCATGTTCGATGGACAACACCTACTCTTAAGTATTCCAGTATTTAATGGTATTATTGTATGAGATGATGATTTCATGCCTTGTTTTGTTGCCCTCCTTAAGATCCTTATCCGACCTACTGTTCCAAGTTTTCCTTTTCCCACTCTTTTCTTTTATAATTTTTTAACACTCTTCTCTCTTGTCATACTTTTTTTTCCCCCGGTTGTCTCAAGAAAATTTCCCTCCCCTTCCCTTCCACCCCTAACGTCAGGTTTGATTGCGATGACCTTTATCGTCCACCTTACTGCATAAGAGAGAGAGAGAGGCTTATCTCTCTACAAGGATTCGGAAGCCCTGATTGCTGCCAATCTCCCTTTCCTCCCCCTCTTTTTCTTTTTCCTTTTCCCTTTGGGGCGGATCACGCGACAAAGTACATTTCCCTTGATGGCCCTGGATTTCACCCTGACATCCTCGACCGTATCTCATAATGGCGTACAACGCCGTTTCTCAAGCCGACCTCGAGGTGGCCTCCAACGCGACCGATTCTGATGCTTCCCTGGGTTCGTCGCCGCACAAATCGACCTTCCAACAACTGCCTTTAGATGGCGATCATATTGGAGGAGGGAATTATCTGCAACCAGCCAAGAGTGCAGAGGACTCTAGTATTGGTCGGTTAGGTTCGTTGATCCGGTCGATGACCTCCACAAGCTACGACATGGTTGAGGAAGATGACTACGATATCGCCGATCCTCCGACAGACCGGAGGTCGAATAGTCTCCGTCGCCTTGCGCCGCTAGACACTAGAGCTGTCCACGTCGGCTCCCCTGAACCTCCCCTGCGATCTCCAATCACTGATACTCCTACTCCTCTCAGCCATCCTACCCCAGACCTCCAATCGCTACAAGGTGCCTATCTGAATAATGTAGAAAGATTGGAGAGGAGTGCCGAACAACTTAGCTCAAGCTCGGCAGATATCGGCAGTGAAATTCGCAAGATGGACCGTGAACAGAAGAGGCGCTCGGTTAGTTCGGTCTCCAATTCAGTGCGCGACAGTAACCCCATGAAGGGAACGGTACCATCCAGCCAAGGGTCTATTATTTCTGCATCTCGGTTGGCTCAAGTCTCCGAACATAAGCCCGAAGAACATTACGTCCCATCCATAATGCGAGTTACCAACGATCCTGCCCCCCCCTCTACTCAGCCTCCTATTCTCCCTGAGCCCGACTTCGCCTATTATGATCAGTATAGCCATATCCCGGATGAAATTCAACGACCATCTTCGGCTGCATCGGGCGACACTTTTCAACAAGCTAGAGTTCTCTTCACCGACTTTGATGGCGTGCATTATGTTCCCCAGGACAGAGGCCAGGTGCCGGGGCGACAGGTATCCTTGACGAGGCCGCCGCTTGCGAGCGGGCCGGAGTCGTTCAAGGAGCCGCAGACGGGGGAGGATATGGTTTATTATCCCGCTCCGGTACCCATGAGGCTTAATTTACCTCCCCGGCTGTCTCAGAAGCCTAGTTCCGAACGAGAAAAGCGTCGCACGCGATTACTTGGCCCGGTCCTAGCCGAAAACCGAAAGTCGGCTCCTTGGCTGTCTGGACAGGCTCTAGGCGATGTAAGCGATCACAATCGTGAGAAGCAGCCGGCGGATATACCCCCACAGCTTCGCGCCAGTGTCTTTTTTGAGCAGCCCGCCGCGCCACTAGACGTAGAGGTGAAACAGGCTTCGGCAGTAGCCACACTTGACAGCATTCTTGACGCCTCAACAAGTGCACCAGTTACCGCCTTCACCGATCACCCGTACGCTGGCCCCGTTGGCTCAGAAGTGTATGCCAAACACAAGGCATCCTCTAAGGACTTAGCTGCGCAGAGGAATAAACACATGTCGAGGAGTACCCTCCGAGTCGATCATCCATCTTCTGAATCAGATGTTAGAGTAGGTTCTTTCGCATCACATCACTTGCACAACCAAACAGAAAGCGATGCCGCGGACTTGCCCGAAGGCACGTCGTTACGTGACAGCGCTCATGATGGGCACAATGTAGAGCACGATTCCCAGAAAGACGACAAGGAAGAAGGCAACGAACAAGAGGTTCCCTTTACTGGTCCACCATCTACTCTATTAGCTGAACTTGAGATGAGAAAGCACGAGCTGCGCCAGCGACAGCGGACTGCCGCTACTTCTATAGGAATGCATTCGACGCTTCTCCAGCTTGATGCTGTTGCCCAGAAGCAAAGTGAACATAGGCGGCATCGGCCTGTCACCCTTGCTTGGGAAGATCCTGATGTTACCAAACAAGATGATGACGGCGACGATGATGTGCCCCTTGGAATGCTCTTCCCCGAGAAGGCTACTGCTGCCGATGACAACCGGCCATTGGGTCTTATGGAGAGGCGTCAATTAGAAGAGAGTGAGCCCTTGAGTAGACGTCGCGCGAGATTACGGGGCGAACCACCCCCACCTCCGGCACGCAGCCCTGACAACCGTCCGACTACTATGTACACGCAGAATCCGCAAGAGCCCGCCACCGACGATAGTGGTGATGAGGGAGAGACTTTGGCCGAACGCCTGAAGCGATTAAAGACTAAGGACCGCCGGAACACTGCGACAGGAAGTGAATTTGCCGATGAAATTCTTGCGGAGATAGATCACATGAATGGAGACGACAAGGAGAAAGGAGACGAAGAGGTACAAGAAGAGGAGACGCTGGGCCAACGTCGAGCACGCCTTCAGAAGGAATCGGAGTCGCGGAATTCAACTTTGAAGGTTCCCAGGTACCGAAGGAGTATGGCGGATCTCCTCCATGCCCGACGACCGGTCACTGATGGACGGCCAGCTTCCAAGGAAGCCGCACTACACCGTACTTCGACTTATCAACCGCCGTACGGCCATCGAATGTCTTTCCAACCCTCGACTCATCTAGGACAACCGGTGTCATCGAGATATCCTCAGTACCAAGGGAACGCCAGGGCTAGCTCTCTCGGCTATGGAGCCGCCCACCCCAATACATTCTACAGTGATGCTATACTGGGCATGAACCATTTGAGCTATGTTGCACCGACCAGTTACCAGCAAAAGGTTGCACGAGCTGGTGCTGAGACGGGGCAACGTGAAATTATTGACCGCTGGAGGCAGAGTATAGTATAGTATAAAGGCCTTTTGGAAATTTTTTTTTTTTCATTCTTTCATTCCCAACTTCCCCCCCCTCACTATATCTCTCTTAATCACCACGTCTTGAATTTCCTTGCATTAGTTAAAGGATTGATGGGTCTCTTGAGCGTATATTATTATTTATGACGGTTGGAAGCATGAGCCATTGTGGTTTCCTTGTAGATTAGCGAACGCTTTGCATTGCATGGATGTATAGTACTCATATTATCTTACTTTTCGGTACTAGTCAAGTTGAATGACTTAGTGGATGGGACAATTTTTGCCCTTTGCTATCCTGTATTGAGGATCCTTAGGATACGGACTTTGAAGTATGGCAAGCTTTTAGTGTCTGCCAATTCAGACCAATTTGTAATGAGACCATTTCCAGTGCCACTGATAATTTTTTATTTTCCTCACCCCTTTCTCTTTTCTTTTTTTATTTCCCCTTCCCAGAGTGGCATTGTGACAATTTTGAAATGAAGGAAGCAGTTAGGGTCAATTCCACCCGCATTCGGAAAGACAGACACATTGTTCCCTGACGTACCTTTTATTTTCCCCATCTTAACCCCTTTAAACTGAACCACTTGACATCAATCTTCGAGTTTTACGCGCTTGAATCTCCAATATTTTTTATCTGATTCCTAGACCTACCTACTATATTTATAGTAGTCTCCTTCCCCCCCTTCTCACAGAATTCGATCAGTGCCCGTGTTTCCAACTGAACACTGCATTGCACCGCCCTAGTCCGTGTGAGACAGTCCAATTAATTTGCCCCACGCACTGGATGGTAATCTTCTCCGCAGACAGTGCGTGTGAAAGAATTGCAAGCGTCATGGAAGAATTTTGTGGATTCTAAACGGAGTGCGCGCTCTTCTAGAAGCACTGTTTGTGCTTACGAGCTTGGGTCGCAAACCTCATTCTATCATGCCACCCTCTACCGTTTTCTCATACTGGCGCCGCGATCATCGCCGGTCAAGCGCCTCCCCCGTCAGGTCTTCCGCGAAACCCAACAGCATTGGCACCGTCCCTCAACTCCCACTTATTTCGAATTCAGCGGCACTGCCGACTACTTTTACTTCTGATGGATCAGGCACACATGTGTCAGGCGATTATTTACCGGAGGTTGACTTGAGTAAAGATGATGTCACTGTATCTACTTCTGCAGCCAACGCTTCCTCGTCTTCCTCAGCCAATCTTGCAGTACCATCCTCCGATAGAGATGCCCGCCCTCATTCGAGCCCGGAGGAACGGGAAAGAGACTTATCCTCCACACCGAAATCGAACTCCTCACAGCCGTCCTTCGCTGGTTCGCGCCCGGACCTTACCGAAGGCGAGTCTTCTAAGCCGAACTCGCCCTTCCGGCTTTCATTCGGAAAAGGACTATTGAACCCCCATTCGCAGTCTTCGGATAGTCATTTAAAGCGCTCATCTACCCCTGACATGGCGCAATCAAGTCATTCGCGTATCAGGGCGCCCCCCGATGAATCCTCCACGGAAAAGGTAATCGCGCCGCGAAAGGATCACAAACATGAGAGTACAATTAGCCGCCGGCAAGGAGATCGGGACGTTTCTGCAGAGCCTGTTCACCACAAATCTGGAAAGACGATGCTTCATCTCTTGAATCCCATGTCACTATTGGCCAGGCGCCGCTCATCCCAAATAGCAAGCATGCGGGCGGAGGACGCGAATATCAGGGCCCGTAACGTAATCCCTGCTATACCAGACGATTATGACCCTAGAATCCGCGGGAGCATCGTTCATGATTTCTCCGCGCCTCGACCTCGTCGGAACCTGTCCGCAGCACCTGTTCTTCTACATGGTGTGTCTAACCGACATAGTTCGCACGAATCGTCTTATGCCGCAAATGGGACACAAAGTCATCCTAATGACTTAGCAGTCTTTGCCAACGATCAAAGAAAGAGACACAGCGAATACTCGCCTGTCTTTAGAGAGCATTTCGAGGATGATCAAAAAGCCTTACAGGTTGAGAATAAGGCCTATCTACAATCGTCCTTATTAACTAACCCGCCTCATCATGATAACGATACACAGTCTGTTCCTGTCTTTGCCAGAAACCTCCCCTCAAGTCTTCCAGATCATGATATAGAATCTCATTCTATCGATAACAACACACCTAAAGGAAGCCTAGAGTCTGGACCAACGCATAGCAATGCACTACTGGATTCAGACACCGTTGAGATTGTACCTCATCAACCGTTGGGCCTACCAAAGCATCTCAAGAGTAACGCGTCTCGATTTAGCTTTGATATGAATGGCGTGGAATCCTCAACGCAGGAAAAGCTCCTAGAAGAAAAGCATAAAGAGAAGGAAGCAGCGCGAAGAGCTAAAGCCCAACTAGAGGGAGAATTAAGCGACGCAGATGATGATTTTGATAACGATCTCATAGACGACATGAACGAACTTGAAGAAAAGATTCCGGGAGTGAATGTTGATGCGGATGATGATTATGAATTCGATGACTTCTCCGGCCCGGGGAACATCCTGAACAAATCGTGGCTTGCCCCTGGCTTGTCTCCGGTAATTGCCAGTCCAAGTAGCCCTAATGCCCCAAGCATGACCCCTATCTCAAACGCTCCAGGCGGCCAAGACTTCGCTCCTGCGCCCGAAAAGAGTCTGGGATCTCCTGTGCATAATCCCATGTCTGTACATTTGAGCAATGGCCCTAATACAGGAAACGCAGCTGAAGGCTCTTTGCAGGCGCATGTGGTATCTCCGTCGGCGGTTCCACAAGTGCCTAGTAATTCTCACCTCAGTACCTCACAGCTACTTGATGACGAAGACGAAGATGACTTGTACTTTGACGATGGAGAATTCGGTGATCTTAGTACTGAAATCGAAGGCGAGAAGTTTGATGAATCAATATTTGACGATGAGACAAGTCATCTATATGACCGAAAGCCGGTAGTTCAAGGAACCCCCTCTGTCCAGCAAGAAGAGCAAAAGCCTGGCATTGGGGATGTCCTGAATGAACATGATGGATTACCAGGACAGGATGGGGACCTGAAACATGCACCAAGCATGGCTAGTGACTATCAAGAAGTGGCTCCCAGGAGCTACAGACATGACGAGGAATTAATGGCCAACGCGGGGCCAGCGAAGTCGTATGGTGGTGTGTTATCTGAACACAATCTTGAGGCATTGCACAACGCTCTGGCTAAGGCAGCCAATGACTCGGTCACCGATGACAGATTTGGATGCTGCATCAGTGTTAGTGAACAGTCTCTGGATCAAGGAAGTGTCGCACAGACTGTGGGTTCCCATCCAGGGCTAGTTTCGGACGACAGCCGTTTAAGCCAGCCGGCGGATGTAGTAGGATTCGATTCAGTTTTCGAGGATTTCGATTACGATGACAACGACACCGCTCTTTATGATGATCCCATTATTGCCGCCGCCAATGCGGAGGCATTAGAGAATGATGATGAAGGGTTCTACGGCCAGGAATTTGGGTTCTATGCGCAAGCATATGGAAACTCTACCTCGGAGCTCACTCATGGCGGATATTTTGGACCGCGTGGGGTTGAAGGTATTACCCGCAGCTTCAGCAGCCGTGGTAAATTCAGAGAACCAAGTTTAACGCCCATCACCGAGCGGAGCGAATGGAGTACGCGTAATTCGGTCATCTCACTAGCCGCTCATGGGGCGGCACACTCCAATCCACTGTCGAGCCCTGGACTAGCCCAGCTTGTGGACATGGGGAGTATCGAGGACGAAATGACACTGAGCGCTTTATTGAGACTCCGGCGTGGTGCCTGGGGCGGGAGCAATGGAAGCCTCCGTAGTAGTAGCGGAAGCCCACCTCCATATCCGCACCCTTCATCGAACCGTGGAAGTTTCATTTCAGACGTGAGCCCAACAGTCTATAATGCTCCTCCAGATGCCTTTGGCGGCACAAGCGCGACTGACTCTCCGATTGACAAAGGGGGATCGTTCCATAGTCTCGCTCAGCAACACAGTACTGTTCAGGGTGAATACGGCAATCCCTGCAGAGCCCAAGGTGACGGCTGCAACTAGTAGCCATGCCATTGCGACCGGTATATATAGCCGAATTATATATTATTTTTTTTTGGTCTCTTACGGCTGGCCTAGCTTAATGTTTTGAGAAATGTGACTTCGAAAGCGAGACCCTGTACTATGTTTAATGATTAGATGATTAATTGCATCATGTGTGTCTATCTGCTGTGTCAATCCTTTGCAGAAAGCTTGTCGAATTTATCCGCTTGAAGTTATCATAATATAAATGTACTGATCCTGGTATAGGACGTAGTTTCGTTCTCCTAATGACGTATGCCTGATTGGCAAGGCCGACGCGAACGTGGTCCTCCGCAATATCCCGCACCGGGAAATGTTCATAGCCGGCCGGCCAGCTGTGGCGGTGCAATTTACTGCTTGCAGCCAGGTAACTTCGGCCCGCTACGGCACATTCGGTTGGTAGGGTGAGGGCTGAGTCAGCAAACGTGGCTCCTGTAGGAGGAAAGCAGCCAGCCACAGCCACAGGCCGTCATAGCCGTAGATCTCGGCAAACCCTCGCTCTCTCGCTCTCATCCTGCTTTCCTGTTTCTCTCCTGTCTTCCGACACGAGGTTCTTTTGCAACCTAGCTCTCCTCTCCCCCAACTCACCCTTCGTTTCTTGCTTTTCTGTTGAGAGTGCGTGCGCTCTCTGATGAGTCCCGTTTTTGCGCAGGTGCTACGGCAATTCTAGTCGACACCTGTTTTCTGTGACACATCGTGCGTCTTTCCCTTGGCCCGTTTGAAATTCTCGGCAGCTCTCGCAACGACAAGTTGTGAAAAATATGTTAACGGATCTACTAGGTCTCTAGGTTTCATTTACATTTCTATATTCTGTCCACTCTAGTGACTTCATAGTCGAAGCGCTTCAGACTCCTTTTTTGCACCGTAATTCCTGATTTCTGTTGACGCCCCCCAAAAAAAATCCCGCAATGCTTCGTACCACAGCCATCAAGGCCGCCAGCAGCGGTATGCTGCGTAGTGCTGCCTGCACAGCCACTAAGAGGTCTTTGACTCTTGCCACTACTGCCAGAATTTCCTCTTCCAGCCAGAGCTCAAAATTTGGCTTGACGACGAGACGACCTCTCGCCGTTGTTGACCGTTTGTCCAATGGCAGCAGAAGCTATGCTTCCTCCGCAGAGGAGACAAGTAAGGGCGTGGTAAGCTATATATTATCCTAGGATTGACATACTATAAATTGGAATGGTTCCGACTGACCCGTTCGGCGCATATCGCGCGTGGTTTATGTAGGATCCCAATGATTCCTTCCTCTCGGGCAACACTGCAAACTATATCGACGAGATGTATCTAGCGTGGAAGAAAGACCCGTCAAGCGTCCATATCTCATGGCAGACCTACTTCAAGAACATGGAGGACGGTAATATGCCTGTGTCTCAAGCTTTCCAGCCACCCCCAACCCTTGTGCCTACTCCAACTGGCGGTGTTCCTCAGACAATGCCTGGCGCTGGTCTGTCGATGGCTGCCGGCACCGATGTTACGAATCATTTGAAGGTTCAGCTCCTCGTCCGCGCCTATCAGGCCCGTGGTCACCATAAGGCCAAGATCGATCCTCTGGGTATCCGTGGCGAGGCTGAGGCCTTTGGCTACAGCAAGCCCAAGGAGCTGGAACTTGATCACTATGGCTTCACCGAGCGCGATCTGGATGAGGAGTTTACCCTCGGTCCCGGTATCCTGCCGCGTTTTGCTACCGACGGTCGCAAGAAGATGACTTTGCGCGATATTATCGCCACCTGTGAGAAGATTTACTGCGGTTCGTATGGCGTGGAGTACATCCATATCCCGGACCGCAAGCCATGCGACTGGATCCGCGACCGCTTCGAGATCCCTGAGCCCTACAAGTACTCGGTTGATGACAAGCGCCGCATCCTCGACCGTCTCATCTGGAGTCACAGTTTTGAGTCCTTCCTTGCCACTAAATTCCCCAATGACAAGCGTTTTGGTCTCGAGGGTTGTGAATCGCTTGTCCCTGGTATGAAGGCCTTGATTGATCGCAGTGTGGACTACGGTATCAAAGACATTGTCATCGGTATGCCTCACCGTGGTCGTCTTAATGTCCTTTCCAACGTCGTTCGTAAGCCGAATGAGTCCATCTTCAGCGAGTTCGCTGGCTCCACCGAGCCCTCTGACGAAGGCTCCGGCGATGTTAAGTACCATTTGGGTATGAACTTCGAGCGCCCTACCCCATCTGGCAAGCGTGTCCAGCTGTCTCTGGTTGCCAACCCATCTCACTTGGAAGCCGAGGATCCCGTCGTGCTCGGAAAGGCTCGCTCCATTCAGCACTACAATAATGATGAGAAGGAATTTAACACTGCTATGGGCGTTTTGCTGCACGGTGATGCGGCATTTGCTGGCCAGGGTGTCGTGTACGAGACTATGGGCTTCCACTCCCTGCCTGCTTACTCTACTGGCGGAACCATTCACATTATCGTGAACAACCAGATTGGTTTCACTACCGACCCTCGTTATTCCCGTTCCACCCCTTACTGCTCGGACATCGCCAAGTCGATTGATGCCCCTGTCTTCCACGTGAACGGTGACGACGTTGAGGCCGTCAACTATGTCTGCCAGGTTGCCGCAGACTGGCGTGCTGAGTTCAAGCGCGATGTCGTCATTGACATTGTTTGCTACCGTAAGCAGGGCCACAACGAGACCGATCAGCCTTCTTTCACTCAGCCCTTAATGTATAAGCGGATTGCCGCTCAGAAGAACCAGCTTGACAAGTATGTCGAGAAGCTGATTGCTGAGGGTACATTCACTAAAGAGGACATCGATGAGCACAAGAAGTGGGTCTGGGGAATGCTTAACGATAGCTTTGACCGTAGCAAGGACTATCAGCCTACTGGCAAGGAGTGGTTGACCTCCGCGTGGAACGGATTCAAGTCTCCCAAGGAGCTGGCCACCGAAGTTTTGCCCCACCTCCCCACTGGTGTTGAGGGTTCTCTTCTGAACCACGTCGCTGACAAGATCAGCGGTGCACCGGATGGCTTCACGCTGCACCGTAATCTCAAGCGTATCTTGTCCAACCGCAAGAAGACTGTGGATGAAGGCAAGAACATTGACTGGGCTACCGCCGAGGCTCTTGCTTTTGGCTCCCTCGTTTCGGAGGGCTACCATGTCCGTGTTTCCGGCCAGGATGTTGAGCGTGGTACCTTCTCCCAGCGCCATGCCGTTGTGCACGACCAGGAGAACGAGACCACCTATACTCCTCTGCAGCACATCTCTGATAAGCAGGGCAGCTTCGTTATCTCTAACTCCTCTCTGAGCGAGTTCGGAGCGTATGTTTATAATCCACCCTTTTCTCAATTTTGTGCAATACTAACTTATCTGCCAGCCTTGGATTTGAATACGGTTACTCCTTGACCTCGCCCAACGCCCTCGTTATGTGGGAAGCGCAGTTTGGTGACTTCGCGAACAACGCTCAGTGCATTATTGACCAGTTCATCGCCTCGGGAGAGTCTAAATGGCTGCAACGCTCCGGTCTTGTCGTTTCTTTGCCCCACGGTTATGATGGCCAAGGCCCAGAGCATTCTTCCGGCAGAATGGAGCGCTGGTTGCAGCTCTGTAACGAGGAGCCTCGTATCTTCCCCTCTGGGGACAAGCTTGACCGCCAGCACCAAGACTGCAACATGCAGATTGCCTACATGACCACCCCTGCCAACCTGTTCCACATCTTGCGTCGGCAGATCCATCGCCAGTTCCGCAAGCGTATGTACCTCCCTGTTTTCTTACCCTTTTCCTCACATGGACTGCACTAACGCCCATCCCTAGCTCTTGTGATCTTCTTCTCGAAGGCCCTCCTCCGTCATCCGATTGCCCGCTCCGACATTGAGGATTTCACTGGCGATTCTCACTTCCAGTGGATCATCCGTGACCCCGCTCATGGCTCCGCGATTGATGAGCCTGAGAAGATCGAGCGTGTCATCCTCTGCTCGGGACAAGTTTACGCTTCTCTGGTGAAGCACCGGGAGGCTAATGGCATCCGCAACACTGCCATCACTCGTATCGAGCAGCTTCATCCCTTCCCTTGGGCCCAGCTCAAGGAGAACCTCGACAGCTACCCCAACGCCCGCAACATCGTTTGGGCCCAGGAAGAGCCTCTGAATGCGGGTGCCTGGAGCTACACCCAGCCTCGTATTGAAACTCTGCTGAATGAGACTGAGCACCACAACCGCCGCCACGTTCTCTACGCTGGTCGCTCTCCTAGTGCCTCCGTGGCTACCGGTCTCAAGGGTGTGCATCTCAAGGAAGAACAGGAGTTCCTCGAGGAGGCCTTCTCCGTTCACCAACACCGGTTGAAGGGTGAGTAAACTTGTGGTAGCTTGGGCAAGGGATATAATAGCCTGTAATAGGTGCCTTGTCTTCAGAAATATGAGGCAGCGAACACTCGCTTCAGTCTCCTTTGTACGATTCCATTTGTTGACAACATCCTATATTACTGTGGCGGAACATTTAGACTTCTGGTTCCTGGCACACTTTTACATTGTCCGGCCTGTTTATACCTAGCAAGTGAGTTTTGTGTGCATGTAAATTAAAGATTTGATATACAATTTTTTTTTCTATATTTGTTCTACAGACTTGCATAACCTTTGTAATTGAACGGAATGAAATTCACTCGGTTAGGGCTCGTATGACGTCAAAAGGTTAACTCACGATTAGTCAGCAGCCATTTGGGAGCCTGAGGTTTTCTCAGCAGGCACCAATCAGCTGACGCCGGCCCAAAAGGGAAAGTGATTCTGCCGTTCTCCGCACTTGGAGGCTTCAAAGTCCCTCACCTGTCCATGTCCCTGCGATATCGCCTTACCAGTCGGTCATCATCAGGGATTGCCCACTATTTCCCGACTGATCTGGGCCCTTCTCGGAACTGTGTCTCTTCGGCGCTGTCATAATGTCTTCCGCCGTCTCATCGTCGACTGTCAACCCCCGGCAGTCGGTGCGCCAGACACGGACAAATCCATCCAGAACTTCCAAGACCCTTGGGCGCTCATCCTTTGCATACGGCCATGCCTCAATGGCCGATACGCCTTCGACCCCGCCTGTTGCCCACGGCTTTTACCCTGCCCTCACGCATTTCACAGATGCCATTACCGCCCTCCCGCGAGAGTTCCGCCGTCACAATTCCCTGTTGAAAGAGGTCGATGCTAAGGCATGGGCTCTCGAGGATCACCTCCAGCAGCTACTTAAAGCTTCTTCAGAGTTACAAGCAACTCCCTCCGCAGACCAAGCGCCAGACGACACTGCGGTAGCGCAAGAAGATCTTCTAGCTACAGTAAGCCCATATAATACTTTTCACGGGCAATAGGTGCACTGAGATCTGTATACTAAGCTTCTCGTCTAATGTACAGGGTACTTCGCAAGCACCCGGATCACAAGAACACATGAGCCGGCGATATCTGCTCAGTCGAGTGCGGCAGACCCTTCAAGACCTGATGATGACCGCAGACGAGAAGAATCACGTCATTTCCAATGCGAACGATGAACTAGATCGTCAGCTCCTACGGCTTGATACTATCTTCCCCTTCATTGCGGGAGAGATCAGTGATGAAGCACGTTTGGGTAGCCTCACGCATTGGGCATATTCGAACAGGAATGCTGTGAAAACTACCACCAACGAGCGTCCTCGCCGGGAGGCTACATCTAATAAGGAACTAGCTCACGCCCTTCACGAAGCGGAAGCTGCTTCTAGGAGCGAAGCGAGACGTGAAGCTGTTTTGGCACGCAAGCAGCGCCGGACGCACGCTGATTCCGATTTTGACGATGCGCGCGCTGGCGGTCGTAAGGGACAATCCGGCAAGGTACGAGGCGCCGCTGCAAATGATTCTCCTGCAGTTGGTAATGGTCAGGTTGGTACATCGGGCCAGACTAAGAGACGCAAAGTCGAACGACCACCAGCTGTAGATACTAGTGCCGCGATGGAACGATCTGCTAGCGGTGCTGGTGCTTCTGGTCGTGCCGGTTCAAAGGATGCGCCCGACGCGACCAAGAAGAGGTCTCGCGCACCTAACGCAAATGCAGCCGGTGCACGGAAGAGGTATGCGCCATGTTTTGTTATGTTGATGCTTCCTCAGGCTTCAGATGGGCTAACTAGAGCGCTGTCAGAAACAACACCGCTACGTCTGCCGCAAATTCTCCTGTTCTAGCACCGTCCCCTCTTGTTGGAGCCGCTGCCATCCCAAGAAGTGCAGCCAGCCCGGGGCCTAATGCGGCGGCCCGTCCACAGACTTCCCGCGCTCAACAGAACTCTGCTCAGACAGCAAATGGCCGCCCAAGACCATCATCCTCGGCGTCAAACCGTGTGGCCAATAACAGTACGTTCTCCCGTCTCGTAACATCGGCTCCCGACGTCGTCTATTTGGATATCTTTATACTAATATTTGTCATCCAGGTAAAACCGCTGAAATCAGAACAACACCTAAAGAAACACCGAAGATGGAGACAGCCGCCATGGCAAACCCTGAGACACACCGGGAAGTGGAAGCGGAGACTGTAGAAGCAGCTGCATCAAAAGTGCCAGTACCAGTCAGTACAAAACGTGAGGACACGGATGGAAAGCCAGCCGAATCAATCGAGCCTGGGGAAACCCCAGCCGCTCCTATGTCGAACCCAACCCCTAAAGGCAGATCCTCCAAGACATCGACTCCCGTGCTCGCTACGGTACCGGAACCAGCGCAACGAGCCCGACCAACACGGAGCACAGACAACGCGCCGGCTAAACGTTCCCACAAGAAGAACGGCAGTGTGCCCGTTGTGCAGCAGAGGGCTGTATCAGAAGAGGAAGAATCCTATCACGAAGGAGACGATGAAGACGAAGAGGGAGAACCGCGATACTGCTATTGTAACGAGATCAGTTTTGGCGAAATGGTGGCATGCGATAACGACGCCTGTCCCCGTGAATGGTTCCACCTATCCTGCGTGGGATTGACGAAACCACCTGGAAAGAATGGTAAGTGGTTTGCATGCTTAATGTGTTGTCTGGTGAGCGTTGCTAACCGGTGAAGTCAAATGGTATTGTAACGAGTGCAAGGATAACATGCGACGAAGTCGGAGTGGCCGGTAACCTTCTAAAAATCATGGCTACGGGGTTCGGACAACGGAGGCGATTGAAAGTTGCTTTGTACAGGCGTGTGAGTACATAAAGGGATATGTAGAATGGAATTGCAGCCAAGTTGCTAGATTCAACATTAAGGCCCGGGCATCAAGCTCCTCTAGACCTAGAACACTAGTCATGGATCATCCAACCACTGGCTCACTCAAGCTCCCCTCCCCTGCCTCAACCCAACCCCAGAACCCTGCCGAGCAGCGGAAGAACCACTCGCCTCCGCCGCAACAGCAGCGGCCTCTCCCTCCAACCTCCTCCGCAGGTCCTCATACCTCTCCTCCCCTCCAGACGAACCAACAACCCTCCTCCTCTCCTTCTCCCCAACAACCCAAGCCGGCACCCTCCACCTCGCGCCCACCCCAGGCAAAATCTCCATCCTCCACGCCAACCCCACAAACCATCCCAGCACCGCCGGCAACACCATCCCAGGAAACTGCGACAGCGCCAACTGCCCCGCGACCAGGTACGTCGTCGACTTATCCGAGAAAAGCAGCGTCAACGACTTCGCCTCATCATCGGTCGCCTTCGAACTAGACGTTGAAATCCGGTAGCGGAACGTATGCGGGATAGAAAGGTGGTACTGGGCCAGGAGAGCGAAGATGGTAGCCGTCGGTCCGGAGGGCAGATAGTTTAGTTTTGAGAGGGAGAGCAGCCGCAATAGTGTTGTTAGGAGGAGGGGTGGGAGGAGCGTTGTATAGGGGGCTGTTGTTAGGATGAAGGTCTGGATAGCAGTGTTTGTTAATATCACATCTTCTTTTCTTCCCTCCATTTATTTCAGCTCCTCCCTCAGCTAATATTCCTCAACCTAACCCCGGATCGAACGGAACGGAACATAGCTTATAGATAGATAGATGGATGGATGGATAGAGATACGTACAGCTAGCTTCCTTGTTCCCCATGCGCGTTCAACGACGCGCAGGTGGTAGACGAGAATGGCGGCGAACATCGCCTCCGTTGAGTTCGTGAAACCAGCGAATTGCCATACTAGGGCGCGCCAGAATTGGCCGTAGGGCCAAAAATGCGGGGAGACATGGATCGAGGCGAGGTGTTTAATGTCGAGGATGGAGAGTGCGATGGAGGAGGCGACGGTGTAGATTAGGAGGGCTTTTGTTAGTGAGGTATGGGTTAGGCCGGAGGTTTGCATTGCTGGTTTTCTTTTCTTCTATTTTTAAATTTTTATTCTGTCTCTTTTTGGGGTTGATGCGCGAGGTTGGATGCGGTGGTCGGGGTACGAGTTTCGTTGGGATGGGTTTTTAATCAGTTAGGGATATTTTTGGGGTTTGTAGATAGATGCTATTAAGGTGATTGTTGCATGGAGGTTTGTAGACCCCCTCTTGGTTGGCGGAAGGGGGCAGTTGGTGGTGGTGATGGAATGCGATGGCGATTTGGAGATGAGATGAACACGTTGGTCAAGTTAAACGGCCCGGCCGAGGCTGCGGGTTCTGTGGGGGTTGTTCGGCATGCCGATTTCCAACGCTAATCAATATATGCATGTATGATTTGCAGAGTTAATTCCCCTTCTTGCGCTAGGCTTACTGCTGTGATGACGGTATTGATCTATATTTCGGATTTTTCCTCTAAGTAGCTTGAATTATTTCAATTGACTTGTTTTTCATTTGTGTGACTTATTGTACATTATTGGGTGGGGTTCTCTATCTCTTCTGCCAACGCCACCTTATACTTCGCCTGCGCTGTTTCTAGTGCATGAATAGTTGGCCCCAACAGTTGTGAGACCGCTTTCTCACCGCCTGGTACGCTCGAGAGGTTAAGTCGGATTTTCTTACCTGTGGCATCCAGGACCTCTCGCGCATGACGCTTCAGTCGATCCACCTCCACTCGTCGTTCGGCCTCTGCATCCTGTGCCACAGCCTTGATCCGCTCCATGGCCCGAGTCAGCGAGTCAACCAACGATGTTAGCTCTCCTGCGCGATCCGGGTTCCCGGACAGGAATGCTTGCCAGAACTGATGCAGGAACTCGGTCGTGGTAGCATGCGTCAAGGTTAAGCGGTCGTACAAGCTGCTCGACAGACCGTATGTGCCAGTAGTGGAGGACGCGTCCGTCTGGGAGCGGCGATCGCGAATCGCGGTGAGAATCTGGGCCGAAGATTTCTGCAGAGTGATTCGAGATCCAGGCTCTTGACTGTTTTTCTCATCGTCACTGAGTTCCTCCGGTTCGACAAGCCTACCCAGTGGTGCGGTACCATCATCAGGTAGACTCTGTTCGATTTCTTTGCGTAGTTCGCCTAGTATCTTTTCTGGATCTTGCTGGGCGAAGAGTCGATTTTGCTCATCTTCCGTATCTTTGGTTTGGGCAGAGAAGAACCGGCTTTGGTCTGGAATATTGAGCAGGACGCGGTTCTGCTCCTCGTCTCCGTGCAGATCGCGGAGTTGTAGCTCGTTGAAAGTATCCTCATTCATACCGATTGGCGCATGGGGATCGCCATCAGCTGGTGTTACGTTTGCCATAATCTTCTCACTCAGACTATTCAAGGTTCGGATAATGGGCACCTTGTCTGGTGCCGACCATCTCATGTCGAGGTCTGGTCGGTTTCCCTGGCGTTGACTGTTGTTCCCTTCATTTCCCTCCAAGTCCAGGAAGTGTGGAACATGCGCTTCCCGTGGTAGATTTCCGTGCTCGTCCACCGCCAAATATTTGTCCAGAATGGCATCGGTGGCATCCGTCTCTGCGAGACGCTCACCGCGCAGTTTTTTGAACAGTCGACTCTGGAAGAACCGGGACCAAAATTGCGCCTCGCTCAACTTGGGCACGTTCTCATCGTACACACGCCTAATGAGAGGGTGCTGGTTGAAAATCAGCTGAATCTGCTCTTTGCTGATGTTCAACTTTGTCACATTATCTTCCACTCGCGGCTTCAGCGTCGACAGCACGTTGTAAGACCCTCTCGTCTGCGATCTTTCAATAGCATGAGCGCGCAGCAGATGAATACGGGTCGACCAAAATTGTGACATGAACTGCCCCGCGGTCAACGTGTCGGGCTTAGTATGCAGCGACTCCATAAACATGCGTTGCAGATTCGCATCCGATTTGAGTAATGACTGTTGCAGTTCCACATCCCCCTTCAACTGCCTATCATCATCCCAGGAGCTTTTGGACGAAACCGCACTAGCAAACGCCATGGCTGTTGACATGCCTTCGCCCGCACCAGGAGCAGGAGATGGTGTCGGCGCAATTTGGGCTGTTTTTGCTGACTGAATGGCCGCGCTAAGCGCATCTTTAATGGCGTCCGCTTCCGCGCGCGCGTTGGCGCCAGCGGTAAAGTTGAAAACGTATTGCTCGGAAGAATTCGCCGGCGCGTCTGGGGGGAGGACAAAGATTTTCAACATGACTTTGGGATTACTCGCAGGGGTCTGTTGCAAATCTATACCAGAGTTCGTCAGTGCATCCTATCTGAAGAAGCTTCCGGTCGACAAGACTGTCTCCGGTGCAAAACGTTGGGTGGTGGGATGGTACGAACTCGTAACTTGAGCCACAGGTAGCGTGATCGTTCCAGTCGCGCCGCCAGCCGCCGGAATCCAAGAGATCGACTGGCCATCCTGGGACATGGTCAGGGTGCCATCTTTCTTCTTGTATGCCGCCGACCCGCTCGGAGGTGCCATCGTCTTCGAACTCGACAGCGTCCACTGTCCTGGGCGGCGTATAGGGATCCACCCATCGGGAGGAAGAAATCCCAACGGAGAATCCGAGAGCAGAAGGTCAAGAGCCTTCGAAACAGGGGACCACTTTCGGGAGGAGTGAGAAAAAAGTGAGTAGAGTAGCGGAGAAATTGAAGCTCCGCAGCTTGTTCATTACCGCATCGGCACGTGATTGCGGTGTGCCTGTCTCTACTAACCCTAATTAATCAAATTAATTAGCTTACTTACGGAAGTTCGAATCACGTCTAGTAAGTACTGCTACTAATAGAATCCAGATGTATTGTAAACTGACCAGAGTACAGGATATCAGAGACAGCCATCCTTCGCCTCGCCAAACAAAGGAAAAAAAATGAAACACAATAACAAAATAAAAAAAGGTCATACCCAAACACAACCATGCAGAAACCATGAAGAATGGGGATATCGCAACACCAGAAGAACACACAAAAGCAAGACCACACTCGAAATCCTAACGCTCAAAATGAACAGCATCGATCCCGCTATGCAGACAATTCAAGCAAAAGCTAATCGTGAGGCATACAACAAATACACCGACTTTTTTGTCGCTCATGCTTCCCTTGTACAATCTGCCCGGATATAGCCAAACAAGCGCCCATGATAGGAGAGAAACAAATGGACCGAGCAAACCACCAACAAAAGTAATAAAAGTAGGGTATAATCATTCCTTCCATGAGAAGATTAGAAGTCAAGAAACAAAATTTGAGGCTTTCCTGTCCTCTACCCGTGTTCATTTTTTGAACATGTAGTGACCGTAGATACCGCCTACGTCCCCAACGGCAACGGGGATCTTTCTCATTCCCCACCATCTGGCACCCATTTTCCAGGGGCGAGAGCCGTCATCAGGCGCTTGGAGAGGCATAGAAGCCGGATCACGGACGTACCATCCCCGCCGACCGAGCTCACGAACGGTCCAACCAAGAGAGGCCCGTGCATTCTTCGTTCTCTCGCGCAAAGGCGCAATCAATTTCTCGTGGAATTCGATCACCTGCAGCGGATAGCTTTGTTGCGAAAGTAACAAGCACGAACTAGGATTGAAGACAGTCCCTAGCGATAGCTGAGGAGCCTTGGTGAGGTCTAGATAGCAGAGCGTTGGCGGGACCCATTCCTCCTCTTTCGCCTCAGCTGACCCATCCACATCCATGGTGGACCGTTGTGGGGGAGTAAAGAACGAGTTCAAGTCCTGGGCGGATAGTTCTGCCGAACCCAGCCCAAGCTCCTCCAGGTGTTTGGTCAAAGGAAACAGCGCCTTGGCATGGGCCGAGGTAACCTTGGCGCCTCCAATGTTGAGCGAGCGAAGAGAAGAGGGTAGCGTGGGGAGTAGCGCATGGACGTCGTCTTCTTCCAAAAGCCGGTGCCGTGTGGGGTCCGTCAGCAGATTTAAGAACACCAATGAATCGCACACGGCCGGATGGGTGGCCAAGAACTCCACGACCCTGGATCCTTGCAGACGGGTACAACGGGACAGACTCAGATGGCTGATTCTCGCGGATTTTGGAATGGAGAACAAGGCCGCCTCACTAATCTGAGTGTGAGTAACGTCCAGGTGAGTCAAATTAACCAAGCGGGGCAGGAGGGTCTCAAAAACGGAGGCCGGGAGACTACTGCATTCATGCAGCGAGACCCGTCTCAGGTTTGGCAACGCCAAGGGCAGGCCAGGGCCCGTCGTCAAGGCCTCCTGGAAAACCGCCGAGAAGGACTGGGTGGAGCAACCACAGAAGTCGACGGCAAAGAGGTTAGGCAGGCCGGTGAATAACTTCTGCACAACCTCCACACTCAGGTCGCCCTCCACGTGCTCCTGCAGCAAGCACTCCTTCAGGTTGGGCAACAGGTCCAGACACTTCAGCAACGTCTTGGAGGTCAGGTTCTGGATTTCGGCGTTCATCTGCTTGGTGCGCCCCAATCCCACCGAGGTAAAATGGGAGAAGTCGAGGCGACGAACCAGCGTGCCCAGCGCCGGATAATGAGACATGTGGTTGAGCGCCTTCGAAAAGATGATGGAGTGCGGGAATGTCATGTTCCTGTACAACACACCTAGGGTGGCCGCGTGCAACGTCCGGGAGGTAAGCAGGCACGAAATCAGGTCTACATTTCGCGGCGTATACCCGTTGGGAGGCACGTCCAACGCCAAGTATGATATGATTTGGTCTAGAGGGTCCCATTAGCAGACAGGGGCCATGGCCGTAGGGGTAACCTCCGCACTTACCGAGCACTTCAGAAGGGAGGGTCTCCATACGAGACAAGCCAGCGGTCGGTTTCGGCTGTTCCACCTGCAATGTCTTAGTAGGGGGTGGATTTTTCACGGGCGGCGGAGGCGATTCCCAGGCCCAGCCGCGGGCATGCATATTACCGAGAGCCCGCAAATCGCTGTAGCTCCTACTGAGACTCTTTCCACCAAGCCTAATTTGCTTCCACCCTAGAAAGCCACCACAGGGGCAGCAGAAGTCGGGGGTTGACTGCATGTCGACGGGCGTCGGTTTAGGCTGTTCTTGAGAAGGCTGGTCGATATGCGTATCCACGAAAGACTGAGCAATGCCTATAGAGGAGTACCATCACACAATCAGCGACGAGCTCATGGCATCCCAGCGACCGAGTGGCGGTGACATACCGTCAACGTCTTCTTTGATCGAACCAACCGACGGACGGCGGCGACTGGTCGATCTGGAACCGTCGGGCGAGGAACAGACGGAAGAGTGAGGTGAAGAACAGCGAGATAGGTCGGAAGGAGAGATATCACCAGCACGAGTAGTTGAAAGTGCAATCGAGGGGGGCTTGTTGGAGCGGATCGCAGGAGGACCTGCGGCGGAGGACATGGTGGATAGCGGAAGCCTCTATATAGCTTTGTAGGGCACAGTCCCCGATGGTACAATGGGAGGGGAAAGGGAACAGGCGTAGGGAAGAAGACAGGAAAAAAAAAAAAAAAAATTCCGAAAGTCAGGCAAGGGAAAAAAGAAAGAAAAAAAGCTTTTCCTTCCCCGGATTCCACACAGACTTTCCCGGTAAGATTAAACGTAGAGGGGGGCTATAGAAGTGGTGGGTAAAAAAAAAGTGAAGCTGTTAGTCACAGAATGCTACGGATGGAACGACTGCCGCCCCCCCCAAGCGGGCAAATTATTGATGGTGACAGGATCCGTTCGGTAAGTGGATGTTAACTGACCGGCTCACGAGGTGAGAACTTGATTTGATTTGAAGAAAGAGGGATCTCCTGAGTTTCGTGGGTCGGGGGAGTTTGTTCAAGAGACAGTGATGGTGGGATCAGTGGTTGAATGGAATCAGGAAAGAGATGAGAAGAAAGGGAAAAAACGTCAAGTTTCCATTAAGTAAGGCGTAATGGGGAAAACAATGGTCCTGCGAGAAACCTTAGCGGAGCCCAGTGACATTCAGGATTATGGGTAAAACCATGAATAATGGAAATACTATATAGTACCATCAGAAAAGAAAAAAAAAAAAAAAAAAAAAAAAAAAAAAAAAAAAAAAGGGAAAAAAAAAAAAAAAAAAAAAAAGAGGTGATGAATGCGGCGAATCCTTCTTGTGCTGTACTTTTACTACTACTTACTTGAGTCGATCTATTAAAAATAGATAGAAAGATTTCGATCAGTGACTTAAATTAATCCTGCAGTGACCTGGTCTGGCCCCAAACTGCCGTTGGTGCCGAAGATCCTTGTCAGCCCGCGGAAATATTCTTTATTTTCTTATATTATATTCTATTCGGTAGTAAGTAGTATATGGTATTTTTTTCTCTGAACCTGATGTCAATGGCTCCCCATCCTTTAGGATTGGATTTCAATAGGACTGACTAGATACTACTAGACCGACAGCTCAGCAACTACCCCCTTTTTCCTGTCGAGTCACATTCATTAAACATTATTAAGATCATAAATTAAATAAAATAGCAAGCAGGACTATTCAGTTATAACGTTTTAGTTTTATTTTCTAATTCGAGATCGCCGCCCGGGCCATTCTATGACATAATGAAAAATCGCCTCTGGCTCGGGATGGCCCCGTGACCTCGATGTAGTCCCGCGGTTCGCAAAAAGGAAATCGAAAATTAGCTTGAATGCGATCATGATGCGTCGCAACTCGAACTATTTTATTCCTCCCCAATCGTACCACTGGGAATTCTTCTTAAGTACTTTAAAAGACTACTAAAAGAGAAACCAAATCAAAGACGAAGAGAAGAGAAGAGAAGTACTATCGAAGAATAGTGCCTTACTACTTAGTCACATAGTACTCCGAATAACTTTACTATAGTAAGTACAGTGTTTTTTTTTTTTTTTAATAAAAAAAAAAAAAAAAAAAAAAAAAAATTTTTTTTTTTTTTTTAAAAAAAAAAAAAAAAAAGAAAAAAAGGCAAAAATACCCCAGACATGCAAGCCACGTTCTTACGCGAAGATTTTCCTTACCTAATAGTAACTCCTCCCTCCTCCCCGATGATTGGCCACGAAAGACTGATCTGGGATCCCGTGACCGATGCGGAGAGAGCTAATGCAGCAGTTAATAACTTGATGACCTTTGAAGCTCGAAGAGACTCGTCATCCAGATGAATGATTCCGCTCCCATTCGGCCCAATTTGGTCCACGTCGGATTGGTCAATGATCCCTATGAGGGGGAAAAATGCTTGAAGTCAAACCCCCCTGTTCCCCGGCATATCTGACAAGTTTAATCACTAGTCGTGCTTTAGTTGACAAAACCCCAATCTTTTACCCCCTTCTCCAATCCCCCAAAGCATCCGACTCGATCCATTATGAACGAAATCCACAACTGACCCCCTCCTCCCCATTCAGGTTATTAATGATAGGACGTACTTTGTGTGACTCCTAGAGTAGTTTTGGCATCGTCTGATTCCTTCGGGCTTCGCTTTGCCCCTTGCAGTCCGTGGGTTCATATTAGGACGTAACACCATCAGAAATTTGGAAGGAGAGGGAGACTCGGCAGGATGAACATACGCTGAATCAAGGACCAATATTGGGACAAGGCTGCCAAGAATCCCGATCATGTACCGCCAGCTGTTGGAATTCCTGACCTCCTCCACTTTCTATTGGGTCGATCACCGCTGTTTGCCCAGACCCCTTGATTATTCCGAGCATGTCCAGTGCGACAGTGATTCCTGTACCGTTCAGAGAAAATACAGGGGATCCTCCCTGTACGACTGGAACCGACATCATCTGTATCACACGGGAGCCTCAATGCCCTCAAGTATTTGACACGTTCCCTTGGCGGGTATCGACATGCCGGCGTTGCTTCTCTGACGATACATCTTTTTTGGGGGGGAGGAGGGTGTAACGGTCTTCCAATGCTGCCTTGCGATCCTAGTATGTATTATGGAAAGGCATCATGTGTTCGTGGGCGATGAGTATCCACCATCACACCATCTCGAGGTCCAATGGCACAACCCTGACTGGCACGGATCTAGCCGGGTCAAACAATCGCGTGTCACGATTTTGCCCATTCTTCCTTTTCCACAATGCTCTCGGATGAAAGTACTAAATCAGGCTACCTAAAGGAATCAGGCTACCTAAAGGTTTTCCCAAGTTGTGAAAGGGATTCTAGGTAAGTATCGCCAGGTCCGGGACATTCCCTGTAAACAATGCATAATATATCCTATGGTCTATTGAGGCCAACTCACTGCCGTGAAACCTACGGTGCCTTTTCAAATATCAAGTATGCTGAGTTGAACCTCTCACTGGAATTGGCTCTTCAAACGTCAACGAGAATTCGAGGCACAGTCAAGAATGATGGAACCAAAGTTCCTATAAACTCACCAAGTGGCAAGCGCTCGCGATCATGGGGTGAATACGTACTTTCTTAGAAGTAGGGGACAGGTATTCAAGCTGTCATGGTAGTGTTTCCCCCTTGTCTATATTACAATATATCTTCATGTCTTCATGTCTTCATTTATCTACCCCTAACTCCATTGCACTATGTACGGCTCCAAGGTAGTTCTATTGGTAGCCTCAAAATCCCTGGATTAGCATAAATCAACTACTTATACATCTAATTTCACCCAGTTTAATTTCAAAATCCACTATATCCAGTAGTGTGAACTATTCGTCGATAGACCGACAACTCCTAGGCCGTCTGGGGGGCACCGTTAGGTCGCAACCGAAAGGCAACCGGACATATACACGAGTCATACCCGAGATTTCATGTTTACCTTCAAACAGAAGCAATGCTAGGCATGACTAAGTCAATGCAACCAGATACTCAATACCAATCCCCCAAAGAAGCTACATAAAGGAGTAGCATGCAAGTACTTGCCTATCTATATGCCAGCAAGTTTTCAACCCAGAGACGAATGCCCGAGAATACACCCAACATCCAAGGGGGTGGAAGAGAATGTCTGCAAAAAACCTGTTTCGCGTACTTAGTTCTTGCTTGGAATCCTTGCATGGTGAATGTTTGAGTTGAGAAGGTATCAGTCATAGCAGCTCAATATGTAGGCCAGGATTCATTATGTCCAAAATAATAATGTTGTTCTTTTCGAGTATGACAATTACGATCTTAGAAATCCTGTTCTGTCGAACTATGGTTGTATAGATCCGAATAAGGTCTTATACTGTGACTATACTTGGTGCCTCCCCGATTAGGTTATTGCCAGGATTTGAGGATCCTGTGTTCATGCACGGGTACGTCAGTGCTGCACCTTGAGATGCTTACAATAGTACGTCTACGGTCAATGGGTGGTGGCATTTACAATACCTTCGCATCAGATCGAGACGTTGATGTTAAAGCCTCATGACTTCATGTACCGCTACAAGTGTACATACTTTGAAATATCAAATCCTCACCTTGCTGGTGATAATACTCCGTGAAGACTCGTATATGCATCCTAAGCTTCAATACCATTGGGGCTTCACACTCAATTGATGGGATTGTTTGAGGATTGACCCAGCCTTGTGCTTTGGAATTTTCCTACACACAGACTACAGGACTTTCATCAACCTAGGCATTCAGTATTTTATTATATGTGCGGAGCCAATCCTGGTTTAAAATCCACATGCCACAACATATACTCCTGAGAACAACAGCTCCAGATACTGGAAGTCATGTTAATATTGACGGACCTGCTCAACAAGCGACAGATTTCTAAGATCGGGGTAAATCCTTATTGCTGTTCGATCGGCGAGACTATCAAGATGCTAGTCAAAGGGGATAGTCGCCATCTAGAGCAGGGAGTCATGGATCGAAAGGAGTGAATGTGATTGCAATAAGCCATGAATATAGAAAGTGTGATCTGTCCTATTGTGTAGGTACAGTACCAAAACAGACCTAGTCTTAATGTTTGCGTCCAACCACCGTTCTATGCTACATGTAGAAAGATGAAAACAATATCTACAGACCCAGTATAGTACACTAAGTATGCCCCTTCAAAATTGAGTCCAGAAAATCTACTCGAAGCAAGTCATGCGAAAACAACGCATCTCAATCCACGCAAACTACACGCCTTGACCCCGGACAGGACCTCCACAATCCTGAACAAAACAACCACAACCCTCCAAACGATAAACCGTACGTACTCACCTTTCATACAAACCCTATCTATCTATCTCAATCCTCCAGAAATCAAGTATGTACCCCTAGTCCCGGAACTTATGTCCTTACCCACCGATGATCCGAAATCAAGATTAACCTTGTGGGGGCGTAGATTGATAAGATTTCCATCGTGATCTTATGACCTTGCTAGCCTATTTCAGACTGCGTTATCGCTATCTTGCATGGCACTAATTGCAGGATCTAAACTGAGAACAGCAAGTCTCCTAATGTCATCTAAATCGGCTTGGGAATGGTAGCTTTGACAGGCTCCATACGGGTTTCGAATGAACATGTGATAATGTTGTATGTACAGTATGTATACGGGGTTGGATTCTTGGGGGATAGGGGGGCCTCCACTTTGCGCACTACGTGTATATACCGGAATTCGTTCGTAGGAGGGGATTGTGTAATCCGTAGGTTTATGAAAGTAGACGTCTTTTGGGTTTGAAATGAGTGAGTGGATTTGTTGTATACTGGTTTGTGTGAGGTATGTATAGTGCCAGTGTGTCATTTTAGTTGGGATGTATCTGTCAGGGGAAGTGAATTAAATACCCGCCGTATAGATGTAGTGCATATATTCTGCTTGAGACGATCTTCTTTCTCGTGTATCGATGATATGCGAAGTAGAGCAGATCATCAGTATTGACAAAGAGGCATGCAAATATAGCGTTCGAAAAGTGGACTCGCTAGAAGTCAACATCCAGAAGATGACACAAGTACAACTATTAGATATAGCATGACAGGATTCCCTATTCCTATGTGGTCTCTTTTACCCAGCCAAAGAGAGCAGTCTTGTTGAGCCAATACGTCCGCATCCTCCGACATCTTGACCTCGCCAACCAACATCCATATTTTATCCAACAGTCTATGTGTTTATAAAAACTTAACAATTATTCCAATATGAATAATTGCACAACATACTCATAAGCCCAGTTTACAAGAAAGACCCGTAATTTATAACTAACCATACACCGTATGTCCATTATCTATACTAGCATCACCTAACGATAATAACCCCCACCTGGGAATACCTACAAAGAACCGGGCAATCCTGAAACGACCAGATGAAGAAACAAGGTTAGCCACGACGAAAATCCCAATGCAACGCTGCCATTTCGACGAAAAATTCAGTCCTTTTCTTTTAGTGTTTCCGGTCCGTTACTCCGACCCGAACACGGGATAGCAAATAAACCCGAGAATCCTTCGGAGTCATGCCTCGAAAAGAAGAAAGTCTCGGATGTGGCTGTGGTTAATTTTAGGCCGGGTGAACATGCCATATAGGCCGATATCTCCCGTCTGTGAAAACTTTGCGGCAGAGTTTTCTTTTCTTCTCTTTTCTTTTTCTCTTTTTTCTTTCTTGTTGGATAGAGGGTGTAGAGGAGCACTTTTTGTACGTACTATACTATAGTGTAGGATGAGATGAGATGAGATTAAAGTATTTCGATCTATGGATCTACGAGTAGGAATTAACTTCGGATGTCGTCAACGACTCGAGAAAGGAAGTTCGAACCAAGTTTTGCATGCTCGTTGGACCAACCAGCAGACGCTTCAATTGTCAAACCTAAGTCAAAGAAATCTATCCGTGTATCCAATCCAGTTGAACCTCATCATGGTATGTTTTAACAAGACTTATTCATTGATGCCCTTGCATCATCACAAAAGAAATAAACCCAGTCTAAATTGCAGAATGTAAGGAAATGAGAACAAAAATGATCAACCCGTCTTAAGGCTGCTGGTTTTCAGCCTCGATGGGGACAATGGATATCAAAAGTTCAAACCCGTAAAAAAAAAGGCCCATGAAAATTGCACACGTCTAGCATCAAAATGGGAAATATACCGTAATGTCGAAAATAAAGAGAAAGGAAATCACCAAACGCCAGTTAAGGGTAAGTTCCTTGATTCTTTTTGAGTTGTTGGCATGATCGTCGTTTACTCGACAGCGGAGCCGCTGTCGCCGCCGGTAACGGGGTTGACCTTAGGGTTCCACTTGAACTTGAACTCCTGGCCAAGCTCCTTGCGGACGGCAGCCTTGACAGCCTCCAGGACGTTGGGGAAGACACCGAAATTGGCGGGGTTGTTGGTGTCGTTGTCACCGCCCTGGAACACACCGGTGCGGACCAAGCAGGTGTTCCAGCCGTACATGTTACCACCGCAGATGTCGGAGGCCGGGTTGTCACCAACCATGTAAATGTTCTTGGGGAGGCGGTTCTCATTGTGGATCTGCTCCATCCAGGACTTAAGAACCTCGTCGGCATAGGTGTAGGTGGCGCGTTCAGGCTTGCCGTAAACGACACGCTCGAGGTCAACGCCGGTGATCGCTTTGTACTGAGCCTCAATAGAGATACGGAAGGCACCCTGGGTGAGACGGGGAGGTCCCTTGTGGTCCGTGGGGAAGACCAGATCACCCTGAGAGAAGTAGACAGGAATTCGAGAGGCGACGGGGTCCTCAGCACGGGTCAACATCTTTCCGTCCTCGGCCAGCAACAGATCCATGATCAGCTGCATGTCGGTAGCGTAGTCGCGAGAATCGGCAAAGACCAGGATCGCGTCGAACTTGATTTTGGAGAAGTCGCGGGGCTTAGCCTCGGCGCGATCTTCCTCAGAGAAGCACCTCCAGGGGGAAACTGTGGGGTCCCAGGCGAGAATATCCTTGGGGTGAACAACGTTCTTGAAACCATAGTTCTCAGCAACTTCACGGATCTTCTGACCCTCACCACCGCACACAAGCACCGTCTCGTAGTACTCAGCCAATGCCTGCATTGGGGTGTGAGACTGGATGAACTGGTCGGTCGAAATGGGAACGCCGAGAACCTCGGAAAGTTGCTCGCAACGGGCAGCCTCAGTCTTACCACCACCGTTGGTGAGCAGGATGTAAGGGATCTTGATGCCCAGCTCGTTGTCGCCGTTGAGCATCTTCAGGGCCTCCTTAGCCTCCTCAATCGGCTCGTTACCGTGAGCCAAGACACCATCGATATCGAAGGCAAAGGCCATGTTCTTCGCCGCGTCCACCTTCTCCTTGGACATATCCTGGACCTGAGATGCCAGGATGTCACGGGAAACGGAGCCACCATCCGCGGTGACCACAGAAGCCAGGCGGGAGACACGAGGGGATCTGGGGATGGGCAGAGAGGTGCCAAAGGAGTTGCGAGAGCCACGACGGTCCCTTGTCGAGGGAGACAGGCTCAGGTTGTGCATGTACTGAGCAGCATCGCTGATGGAGCTGCGAGTTGCGGGGATCTCAATGGTGGCACCCGCATCATGAGGAATGGGCAGAGAACCGGCCATGCTAGCACGAGAGTCTCTGGGAGAGCGAGCAGCCGGGGCTTGAGCAGTACCCGGGGCAGCAGGGGCGGCATCAACCGCGAAGTCAGCGTCGTCGAAGCGAGGCATGATGGTCTAATGAATTCCTAGGCGAGGGAGGAAGGGGAAGGGAAGGGTGATAAGAGGAAGTATATGTATATATAAGAAATGATTATATCAATTCTGGACGAGTCAGAAAAAAGGATCGACGGCCAACAAGCTTCCACGAGCTATAGGGCAGTGTCCTGGGATGAGTTTGAGTTGGAATAGATAGAGAAAGGAAAGGATGATAACGGATTGACGATTGGGAGGGCAGCCTTGGATACTAATATATAACAAAGGACTCGTACCAAAGGTAGTGGCGGTCAATTCCAAAGTTGAGATAATAATTTAATTTTCCTTTTTTTTTTATTATTTAACCCTGCGAGCAGCCATCATCAGGCTCCACACACGAGGGGCGTATCATCACTCTGAATTCCTGAGAATTATCGTCATCATAGAATTTGGCATTTGGATAGACCTGATTCGAAGATACGCAGGGGCGGGTACAGCGGATCCCACTAGTCCTCCATCCGGTAAGTATGGTTACGAAAATGAATGTTACCCGTGGATCAAACCTCGTATGGTATTTTCCCTTACCTACCCAGGACCCTGTGGTATTGTGTATATAGTATTTCATAACGGAGCTCAGTCCTCCATCATCAACCACTCCATCCCATCAAGGCTGCAGGATACCTGCCTAAGGCTATTCCCGAACCGGTCCTTGACGGCCATTGACCGATGCCGTTCAGCCCATTGGTCATCGGCCCTTTCTCTCCCTCGCTCACACACACAACCCTCACAGGCAGAACGAACGACCATTATTCCCCAAAAACTGATCCCTCCAAACTCAGCATGAAGCTATCCTGCACGATGACTGGATAGGAGCATGATTAGTGGGCCCCAGCGTGGCAGGTAATTGGCCGTCAAGTATTTCCACCCATGGGAGGCGTCTGAGATCGATGGAGCCGATGACGATCGAGCGGACAGCAGCGGGTCAAACGCTCGCGCCGTTTCGACACCAACATTGCAGTAGGGTTGAAATGGGAGTGATGTCATGGCGGCTTTCTCGGCTGGTGGAGCTTTTTTTCCTTTCTGCCTCAATTTCTTTTCCTATTTTTTTTTTCTTTTCAAATATTATTATTATTATTTTTGCTGCAACGGATGCCGTCATGAGTGTGGGTATACGGAAGAACTAATAAACTAGTGGCATGTATGTATGTACAGTATGTACTACTTTACTTAGGGAGTAGGATTACTTACAGTTGCGAACATCAATTCTGCCAATATTAGTATATAAAAAAAACAGAACAGTTGAAGCAACGGAAAAAAAAAAGGGTCAAGAATTAGTAGAACTGGGTAAAGGTAGAAGGAGAAACCACTCAATAATCGTATGGTAAAAGAACTAGAGAGCGGAATGTCATCATAACATACTTCATCCATTCCATTCCATCGCAACCCCTCCTTGTTTTCCTTTCCCCTCCACCCCACTTGTGCTCGGAGCTTCTCTCGATCTTTTATTACCCCTCTCATCCTCTTGAACCTTGCAAAATATAGCTATCTCTCATTCAATATACCCCTCTCCAATTTCAATTCTATCACAATCAATCAACATGTCGAACGGAATCACATTCAAGCTGAACAACGGCGTGAAGATCCCCGGTGTCGGATTCGGTACCTTCGCCAGCGAGGGCTCGGTCGGTGAGACCTACAAGGCTGTCACCTGCGCTCTGGAGACCGGATACAGGCACCTGGATTGTGCCTGGTTCTATCTCAATGAAGGTGAGGTTGGTGATGCGATCCACGACTTCCTCCAGAAGAACCCATCCGTCAAGCGTGAGGATATCTTCGTCTGCACCAAGGTCTGGAACCACCTCCACCGCCACGAGGATGTTATTTGGTCCATTGAGAACTCCCTCAAGAGACTCCGTCTCGATTACGTCGATCTATTCCTCGTCCATTGGCCCATTGCTGCCGAGAAGGAGGACCAGGAGAAGCCCAAGATAGGCCCCGATGGCAAGGTATGTACTTTAATTTCGTGATAAGCTTTAGAATCTCTCCCCCGAAACAAAAGCTAACAGAACCGCAGTACGTGATCCTCAAGGACCTCACTGAGAACCCTGAGCCCACATGGCGCGCCATGGAGAAGATCTATGAGGAGGGCAAGGCCAAGGCCATCGGTGTCTCCAACTGGACCATCGAGGGACTCGAGAAGCTGCTCAAGTTTGCCAAGGTCAAGCCTCAGGTCAACCAGATTGAAATCCACCCCTTCCTGCCCAACAACGAGTTGGTCCAGTACTGCTTCAAGCACGACATCCTGCCCGAGGCCTACTCCCCCCTGGGCTCCCAGAACCAGGTGCCCACCACCGGCGAGCGGGTCAGCGAGAACAAGACCCTCAACGAGATCGCCCAGAAGGGCGGCAACACTCTGGCCCAGGTGCTCATCGCCTGGGGTCTGCGTCGGGGCTACGTTGTGCTCCCCAAGAGCTCCAACCCGGCTCGTATCGTCTCCAACTTCAAGAGCATCGAGCTGGCCGATGAGGACTACGAGGCCGTCAACAAAGTGGCCGAGGGTCGTCACTTCCGCTTCGTCAACATGAAGGATACCTTTGGCTACGATGTTTGGCCTGAGGAGACCGCCAAGAACCTTTCTGCTTAAATAGATGGGTTCGAGGAGGGACAATAGACTTCTTTTCTTTATGCGGGACATAAACAATTGGAGAGTTGTCGGAGGTTTATACAGTGGCTACATATATTCCCCATAGTATCAACGAAGAATGTACGGGTGTTACGATGCCTACGAACATCAACTTTTGGATAGGTTATTCTGGTTTAAGTAGGATACAAAAAATTTACCAGGTACCTTACAAGAAAAGCCAAAAAATTAAATAAATAATAGAAATATCTATTTCCAAAAGCCAAGCGGCAAGTGAAAAAAAAAAAAGATTTTCTCAATGGCCTTTCTGGTTTATTATTGTTATTTTACTATTATTATTGGTGTAATTTCCAGCCGCCAAGGACCTCCTTTGACAATCCAAGAGAACCAATCCTAGGAAATTGAAGCTCTATGGAACCGTGCCTCAGTTCAGTTACCCCTGCGACCTGCATCCTACTACTGTAATTAGCACAGGTGAGAAGGTGGACACGGAGGACTGTCCTCCATGACATGCGACAGGTCGGCTAGCGCTTTAGTAACTTATGTAGTATGACGCTATGCGCCCAGGACCGGAAAAGGGCAGGGTCAATCCAAACCTCACCACCTAGTATTGGATCTTACCTTGCCTTGAACCTTTCATTCTCATTGAGTTTCGTAAGGATTCAATTGAGTTTCTGATAGTGACACAAAGTTCTAGCTGCAGAGTTCTTACTATTGAGATGGTAAAAAGAAAATATTCGAGTCCGATCTAGACGGCAAAAGCAAACAAGATAGTTACGATAGGTACGGAGCAGGTAACATACATATTGATAGATAAGGTAGAAGCTCATACCTACCTCATACCTGAGTATCCTATCAATTATCAATACCTATCCTTAAAATAGTCGTATCAAATACCACATCCATACCCAGAATACCACCCTTCAACCCAAAAAGCCTCAAAAACTCGGGAAAACCCGGACACTCACCCCCCTTCCGGTGGGCAAATCCGGAAAAGCCCTAAAACACCGAACCTCCCAAACCAGCCTAGCGCGGGGCCCCAGTGGAACCGTGACCACCCCGAAACCTAACCCTATGATTTCGTACCCTACCTTTTTGGGGGGGAGGGGGAATGACGTGGGATGGATTGCAAAGGCCATAAACTCGGGTTATCGGTGGGGACATGCCGGGGTTGCTTCTGATTGGGAGGAACTAGAATGAGGAATAAAGGGTGGATGGATCCTATATCCACTTCGGGTGATAGGTATTGTAGTACTAGGCTAGGTAGTAGTAGTATAGGTTGAGGTTAGGTAGGCTACAGTACCTTTAGACGACATTTGGCTTACATTTAATTGCAAAGCTGATGATTTGCGATGATTTGGTGGGTTGTTTGATTCCCACCCGCCCTTTTTTGTTTGAGGGATTTAAATTTGAGATTTTTTTTTTTCTTTTTTTCTTTTCTTATTTTTAAATGTTTTTAATTTTGGGATGGATGGGTAGCGTCGGCTGTTTTACTGGATATCTATCTTGGTATGTACATTGTATGTACTCTAGTGGAGGGTGGTAGGTAGTAGATGAATACAATATTCTACATAAGTGGATCAGTTCGTCTTTGGTCTTTTCTTTTGTTCTCAGTATGGATCAGGAACCGACCGCTCCATATTCCTTTTCTGTAGTTCAATGCATTGTCCTTCTTTATTTGGGGGTTTATCTCAGGTAATGGATACCCCGGTGAGTTGAGATGGAAGGATGTTTCATCTTGGACAATTGGAGGCGTGCTATAGGTCCGTAGCATTTCCCAAGGGATTGGATCTTGATAAGCCCCCGGGACCTTGTTTTTGATAAAGGGGGTAACTGGTGGCTGAAGGTAAGGAAGGTAGTAGGAATGTACATACATACATGTTGTGCAGGTCTACGTATACTCTGTATAGTTGGTGTCCTGGATAGGTTGTCTACAAGGGTTCAGGTGAATGTTAGGTAAACCTTCCTTGGTTTCACTGAAGATTTGGCAAGAAGCCTGCTAAGGAAAGCCAAGTTCTCTCGTGTGAAGATCTGAGCTCGATAGGTAGATAGTGCCCGGTAGATGGCATGTTGAATGGTGGTCAGGTTTTGGTTTCTAGTTGGAAATATCTCGGTCGAATTTGGTTCGGAAACAGGTGGGGAGAGGATGATATCACTCTGCATCGAGGACTTTGATATTTTTCTAAGTGTTTTTCGTGCTCTCATTTTCTTTTTGCTCCAGTATATTTGACTATCATTTGGGGATGTAGCCTATTGATAGGTTGGAACTGGGAAGTGAGGTATTGAAACAAACTGCAGATCGGGTATCAGTACCAGTCCAGTATCGGTATTACCACCCATTTTATACCACTGAATATCAGTTTCACACCAATCTGCAGTCACTGCCATCATCAACCTATGATTGCACAGTCATATGGAGAAAGATGGAGTTCAGAGAATAACATTGGCTCCATAATAATATGTTGACTTTGGAACGATCCCACATACTCAGCCCCTCCTACGGGAAGACTCGGTCCCGGACAGGGAACAATCAATGCTCACCTGAAAGAACAAGTCCCTTGAAGGAGGTTAAGCGAGACCTTGAGAGTTGATCTGACAATGATCGGCAATATAGGGCCCGAGGCCTTGAAGTATCAGGATTCAAAATTGAGGGGAAAAGGGTGAAGTTTACATCGGAGGTAGTCATGGAATTCACATGCAGATCAAAAGCTCTGTGCGGCGTCTTTCTCCATTATCCCCCGGATTTCTCTTCATGTCTCCCCAGAGAGTTGTCAATTGACAAGCACAGTAATTAAAACAAATAAAAAAAAGAAAAGAAAAAGAGAGAAAGATCAACGAAATCACACCCTCAAATGTCTTCAAACTAACGCCTTTCCCAAATCCCGACATCATTAATGGTCGAATCAAATATTAACAGGGGTTTGTTTGTTTTTATTTACAGCCCTGCGGTACACAATCTATTACACTTTGTACCAAGGGAGCAAGCCGAAAAATAGCCTTCAATGAAAGATACGTTAAAAGTGCTCAGACGGTCCGTCAAGGTCGCGATCGAACTCGCCTTGGCATCGGGGTTGACCCGGCATGGGCCTTGAAAAGACTGGAGCTTTTCATCGAGCTACTGTCTGATGACGCTCGAGTGTCACTCCGGGTGCTCACACTGGAAACCTTTTTGGATGCACTACTTCCCGCTAATGCTGTCCGGGGTGACTTGGGTGCCAGCTTCTTGCGCGTTTCAGGCGGACTCATTCTGGTGGACGGTGAAGCACTGGCATCCACGGCTGCAGTAGGTTTCGGTGTTCCCAGCCGCCGCACACGCCGCGCTCGAGGTGTTGCAGTAGTAGCTGCAGTAGTCGATGCAATCGGCACCGTGTCACCACCATCAGTCTTCGAGGAGCCCTGTGAACGGGTAGTGCGGCTACTGGCTGCCCTTCTTTTCTCGGATGTTTTAGATTTCCCTCCCTGGCTAGTAACCTCGTCGCTACTCCCCACTCCACGCTCACCTTCGTACTCAACGAGTCGATCGTCGTTCCATGACACCCTTTTTGCCGATGCCCGTCGTCGACCGGGATCGCCTGCAGATTTGTCGTCATCGGAAGGTGACTCGGAATCTGATGATTGATGAGCCAGAGTCTGTAGCATGTACTTCGGTAACATCGCATCTCCTTTGTTCTGTCGTGTGTTCCGACGAGTGGTGAGTGCCAGCTCCTGCGCTTCAGTCCGCTTCAGAAAGACGAACTCGGTTCCTTTGGCACGGCGAAGCGTCAAGGTGTTGCGAGCCGCTGTAGTCGTAGTAGTCGTCCGGGGAGTGGACTTGACACTACGGGTTCGGGTGCTTCGACGGGGACTAGAGGGCAGTTGGACTTCATCTGCGTCAATGTCCTTACCAGGAACCTTGGATGGCGACAACTGGGCTTTCTGCGGCGAGGGTGAATTGGCATCCAAATCCTCCAAGACCCGGCGGCCTTGCGGGGTGGGAATATCGGGGATCTCCAAGACTTCCGGATCGGCCTTCTCCTCCACATCTGGCGTCACCATAGCTGATGATGCTGCTGCTGCTGCTTTGGCCTCACGTTTGGCTTTCGCCTTAGACAAGAAGTTGTTTAGCAACGCGGCATCCTCTCCGTCCAATGAGCTCCGTAGTGCCGACCGAACCAAAGTTGACTCCTGTTCTGCAGTCAACACCTGCACGGGTGCCGTTGCTGGCGGTTCTGTGACGTCCGTCTCCTGCAGCACATCATCTGAAGATACTGTCGTAGAGGTCCGTGATTCAAATTGTCCAGACTGTAGATCATCTCTCATAGTGGCATCCAAAGTTGCATCGTATCCTTGCTCCTCTACACCCGCTGGATGACCAGCTTCCGGAGAGATGGGATAAAGCAGATTATCCTGGGGTTGATCGATGTCATCAGCGCCCTTTATATCGGGAGTGGTTCCATCCATCCCACTTGGTGAAACATGTAGCGTGCGGGGATAGGCTGCGGTAGTAGCCAATCTTGTAGGGCTGTTTGGGTTAACAATCAACGATTCGTCCCTTTCAACCGGATTCGGTAAAATTTCCTCTCTTGACGTGGCCGTATCGTGTGTGTGTTCATAAGTCATGTTGTTGCCGCTGGATCCTTCGTCTATCATAGGCTCGGAGACGTCCACGAGACCATTATACGCGGGATATTTGCCTGCCTAAAAGTCAAATCCGGGCTCATCACCACAACAACGAAATGATAGAGACACGATATGGTGACTTACGTCTTCTTCCACTAGCCTCTGACTCCCATTTCGTCTCAAGGAAAGAACGCCCCCGGGATGCCTTCACCTCTAGTTCATCCTCCGAATCATGCCCAAGGCACTGTCTCTTGACGCCGCGGATATAGTCCTCATTTCGCGACGTATTGATTTCGGTGTATAGGTTGTCGCGATCATCGAGACCACCTTGCGAAGCAATCAATTGCTGCAGCGCCTTCATACTGTTAAACGAGGAGCGGAAGCGCTTCCACACCTTGCGCGATCTGGGACGCGCCAGAAACGGGGTCGACGGTTGGCGATCCCAGATGCGAGGGGCGGGCTTCAGGACCTTGACAGGAGTAAATCGGAATCTGTCTTCTTGGAACTGCTGGAATTTAGGGTTTTGAAGGGAACTGCGGTGATTCGCGACAAATTAGCGACTGTGCAAGTGCTCTGAGTATGTGTCGTACTCGGGACAAGTCAAGTGACTGGGGGTTTGCCCACTCGGGACAGTCATCAACAAGAAAAAGGGGTTTGATGTAAATAGGCCAATGCATCGGCTTGAGACAGGTAGAATTCGTTGTCTTCCTTATACTGACGGCGCCAGGAATGTGCGAATAAATGATACTCACCATTCTTGTGGATCTGGAGCAGCCTGTATCGCAGGCTTGTCGTTGGTCAACATTGTTTCTTTCACGAACGCGAGGAATGTGAACAGCCGTGACGTCAAATGGCGAGAGTTGAAGGCACTATGTATGTCTGAATATATCGATACACGTTCTTCTATTTACCAGAAGATCTGAAACGGAATGCAAAATAATACCGATTTGTAGTAAGCGATAGAGACGCGCGTGGAGACCAGAATTAAATAAATGAACTGAAATCAATGATAAAGTGAATTGTTTTCGTTGGGTTTGTCTTGGGATGCCGTTGCTGTGCCAACGGAGATTCCCATCCCTCAGCTTGAAGACCAATGCCAATGATTGGCCTTTCTTCACTTTAGAGAACCGTTTGCTCTTCATTGAACAGTTCATGTGATTCTTGTGGGTTAGGACAGTGTCTATGATATCATGGTTCATATAAATCCAAATCTCCATTGGATATCACGTTGGACTCCCAAGTTGATCACCACCCCGACTTGTACTGCAATATCAACCCTCACTTTGCTGACTCCAGTAGACCTCCATCACGCATAAGACGTTTGGCCGCAATGACCCCATCTCATCTTAAAAACAGCTTCAAAAGAGCCCGCAAATTCGACAATCATATCTCATAAATCATTCACATCTTACATAACTCAAGAACCACACCTCTAGTTATGTCCCAAGAATACAAGCACTCGAAGAGAAAGAAACACCCTAAACACCATACTCATCCGTAGCCCATAGCTCTAGAACAATTTCTCCTCCATATCCCTTTCATCAAACGGATCCCCGAACTCATCTAACATCACGACGGTCAGCCCCGATTCCAGAACACCACCACCAACACGACCGCCACCAAGAAAGGACGTAAATGTAAAAAGAAAAAACACTTACCCAGGCTAAAATCCTGATCGACCACATAATCCATGGCCCGTTGGTACTCCTCTTCCGCCCGTTTGTTCATCCACGATGCCCCCGGTTGTTGCTGCTGCTGAGCGGACGTCGTTTCCCCAGAGCCTCCAAGTGTACTAGTATTCCCCACTCCGGTGATTCCTCCGATATCAGTGGATATGGACTGTGTCTGCGATCCGGGTGGTGAGAGCTCGGAGGTGCCTGGGAATTGGGAGGTAGAGGTCCGGGTGTTGTTTGTGGGGGTACGGGATCCGACGGGGGAGTCTTCGGAGTGCATGTGGGAGGATTCGGGGGAAGAAGCCATTTGGGAGTCTCCGTCTAGATCTGGTTGGATCTGGTTAGTGGGATATGAGCTCTCGGGGTTGGGATGCCTTGGTGAGGATCAATGCGGGGAGCGAATGGTGAATAGGGGGAGAGAGTGGTGGTAGGGGTGGTAGTGGTGGTAGTGGAACAGGAGGTAGCGAAGAATGAATAAACATACCAGTGGCCATGACGAGAGAAAATGAGGGAAGCGACGTGAAAGCGGGTATAGAAAGGTAAGTAATTCGTGGTATCGTGAACTGGATTTGATGTGGTTGCAATGAATGCAAAGGCGGAGTAAAGCTTTCCTTAACTAAGCAACATCAGATTTTCCCTCTTTCTTTTTAATTTACGGGGCCCTACTCTTTCCCCTCTCTCGTCACTCTTTTTTTGACTCCCCCAATGCTCATGATCTTGGTTTAATCTTTCTTTTTTGGTGTAGACCTTTTGTATTTAACTATTCTTGCTCATCGTCTGTTTGCATACTCCGTCTATTCCACATACTTCCCCGTGTGAAGTACCTTTCTGCCATGAGCGCAAAGTCCTCCGCTGAAACCCACGATGCGTGGGAAGAAGATTGGGAAAGACAAGCTGATGTATGCATGCCTTTTCCCTGTCCACGATTGCGTCCGGGCATATCAACCGTTTTAAGCTCACTATAATTGAAACCCACTGATCTAACTGCGAACTCATCCGCAGACCTTAGCCTCCGACCCCACCCCGCCTCCACCGGAGAAGAAAGTATCCTCCAAAGTGACCAAGGCGCAGCGCAGAGCGCAGCAGGTTGAATTTAACCGACAATTATGGGCTGAAGCGTACGTACATCTGTCTTATATAGCATCTGTCACCCGTGCTGTTTGTGAACAATTGCCGTCTGACTAATCTTCTACATATAGTGAGTCTCCACAAACGTTCCATTTCCTGGAATCACGCTCCGACGTCCCTCTCAAGCAGGAGTTTAAACCGACAGTGACCCTCTTGAGTCGCAATCCGCAAAACTCTCGGCAGTCCTCATCTATCAACACAACAGCCGCCGGTCTAGGACGACTTGCCCTGAACGGCGAAAATGATGAGGAGTCGGACGATGAAAATAAACGCTCAGAGCCCACCCCCGAGGAACGACAAGCCATTGCGTTGCGAAATCGGGAGGAGAAGCAACGCAAGTATGAAGAAGTGCGTGAGAGACTGTTCGGGAGCCCATCTGCCACTACATCAGGAGCGTCATCACCGCGCAGTGGAACTCCGCCAAAGGTTGAAGGTAGAGGGAAAGGAAGAAGCCGTGGCAGCGGAAGAGACAACAACCGGGACAAGAGAGATTCTTCGGCGGCATCCGGAAAGTCTAGACAGCTTTATGATCCCGGATCCCCTAAGCCAAGTTATGTACAGAGGAAAGAGAAACAACCGATCAATGACCGAAATGTAAATGACCAACAGCCCCCCCGACAGCCTATCCGTAGCCCTCGGGGCCCGGACAGCAGTGGCAGGGGTGGTTTCCAATTCGGCAACAGAGGCGCCAGAGCGACATAGATCATGCAAAAAGATCCGCATGGGAGCGAGTTTGGCCACGACCCATGTGGACTACTAGTCACCTGATGGGTAGCCTTCCAGCGGTCTTGCGCATACCACCCCAGCAGACTCCCAAGAATTCCCTTAGAAAAAGGACTCTTGGTCTTACTGACACAGCGATCAAGGAAGACCTCGTCCGGAATTAATCGCGTTCGCAAGCTGAGAAGTGTTGGGTCGGTTTTCTAGACAAGCGTCAGCCTTATGGCAAACAAATTCCTCACGAAGGTAACTCACGAGCATATCGCTCATAACTGTCAAGATAGAGTTCGTCATCACTCGTCGTCGCCTTGACGTGCTCATTAGCTTCAATTGCATTGACCCAGGCACCCCACCGGCTCCCTGCTTCGGGTTCCGGCCAGCCCCGATAAGGCTTTAAAACGCGGTTCAGTCGAATAATCCAGGGGGCCACCTGGACATCCACAAAGGAGATGTTTTCTCCGAGGAAGAATGGCCCTTGGGGGTCGGCGGCGTTCACCAGCGTCTTGAATGCATCTCTGAGTTCTTGCGCGTTTGAAATCTGCTTTTGCTCATCCTGTTCCTGAAGAACACGGTAGAAATTGGGCACGATGTGGCGGTTAGTCTGCGTTTGTTAGCATGTGCTTCTCGTGGGCGTTACGATCGACAAAACCCACAAAGTCCGTCCAGAGTCGGCAATGGGCCCGCAGTTTCGCATCCCCTAGTGGGAGCAAAGGTGGGCCGGTGTTCAAGTCTTCAAGCTGCATGAAGCGTCAGGATCTCTTAGTACTTGGCATGTGTCAAGTTTTGTGGGCTTCATACATATTCTAGCAGAACAGAGCTCTCATACGATCCCCAGTTCCCATGTCGTAAGGCAGGGACAAGTCCTCTTGGGTTCACTTCCAATAAGGATTGGGGCTTTTGGTAGGGGTCTACTTCCAGATACTGATATGGAATGCCCTTGGCCTCCAGGGCTATCCATACACGCTGCACGAAGGGACTGGGATGATGTTAGTATTGAGGTACCCCGTAGTGTGGATGACCTCTATTCCTCTTGCACATACCAGAAGCAGCTGCCGTACAATTTCAACTCATTCTCGCTAGAATGACTCGTCACGGTCTCAGCAGCTAAGCCGGTGGCTTTTGTATGATATGTTTTCTGCAGAGGCTGGTTTTGGGTACTCATCGTCCTGGTCTTGTGCGGGTTGAATTAGACTCTGGGAATAGACTGTTGGCAGTAAACAAAGGTGGGGTGTTCGCAAAAGGTGTCTAAGCATTGGAAATGAATAATTCCTCTCAGGAAATAAAAAGAAAAGCGGGGGTAAAACGAAGACACAAAAGGAAATGATTCCTATTGATTATAATTTAATACTGGGAGATGTGACGTAAGGCATCCCTCTTGGTGTTTCTTTTCTTTTTGGTTCCGATAGAAAATCGACGAATAGAGAATTTCCACTTACCGAAGTTGCCTTCTTTTTATCTCTGGCCCCTTTCAATACATACCGCTGAACACTATTCTTCTTCACCCGATCACTCTCTTCTAGCGTATGCCGATGCCCCCCGCTCACCCCATCATTCTTCCCATTAGCACCATTCCCATTAACCCGTTGGATCGTAAAGAACCGCTGCCCATTGGCACCAGGATGTCCCTCAGGCAACGGCGGATTAGGCGTCAGCACACCAAAAGGCTGACGATCCCGCGGCACCGGATCCCCAGACGCAGGAAACACCGCGTCTCCGCCGGACAGGGAGTCCGGGCCAAGAGGCGTCCCGCTTCCATTGGCCGTCCCTACCGGGACCATCATTGCACCGTACCCGGGGAAATACTCGGTGATTTTAATCTTGACGTCGCATAGATCCCGTTGGCGGGCTGTTCGTTTCCGCTTCTTCTTGTTTGGATCGTCGGACTTGGGCGTGCCCGGAGGACGACCTTTGAGTCTGCAGTCCCAATAATGCGATATGAACGGTTTGCGTTTGTAATGCTGCGTAGACCGATGCGAGTAGATGTTGTCCACGTGTGGGAAGTAAGTCAAGAATCTACCGCGGGGTTTTTGTTAGATCGTCGTCTTCTATCATCCGATTCTCTACAACTGCGGCCGCCCTCATCCCCCCCAACCGTAACAATGACAATGCGATACAGGAAGGGAGAGAGTCAACGTACTGCTCCTCGCTTAGCACAACCGTCTCATCCACGTTGAATAATCTCTCTCTCCACCAGTCCAGATCAGGCGGATCCAAGACCGAGGTCATATCTCGGAGATAACCGCCTTGTTTGGATGCAAAGATGGAGGTCTCGGCGTCAGAACTGCTCTGTGGCTGCATGCGCAGAGATTGGGGGTCATCGCGGGGCTTTTCCAGTCAGTTATTTTTTTTTGGTTGAGTTTTAGATTTAATACCAGTTGCGAGTTGGGTTTCACGGCCTGTTAGTATACTTACGAGGAGGTTGTTGTATGGTTCCCGAAATGATCTTTGGTCCTGTTGTGTGATTGTGTATGATTCCAATGGCCCAACAGCGGTTTGCAGAGAGTGTAATGACTGGGCATCAGTGTGATCGGCACTTTGAACGTGTTGTTGTATATCATGTTGATGCTGTTGTTGCTGTGCTTGTGCCGCTGCCAGTGTGGACGCATTCTCGGCGACAGCAGGCAGCGAGTCGAGATGGAGCGGATGAGGGAGATCCGAGGATTGCATCCCTGTGTTGTCCATTCTGTTGTCTAGTTACACCACCTGCGAGATCGATGGTTGAGATAGAAGTAGAAGTATGGGGGAGATGGAAAGGGGTGCTGCTTTTGCGAAGGAGTGGATGGGGAAATGGCGGGAGTTTGAAGCGGCGGCAGCTTTAACTGGCAGAAAATATTAAATAATATTAAATAACAAACACTGCATAAATCAATTGATCAAACAATAACGAAGATCGATTTTATTTTCAATTCCATGTCATCTATTAAGGAATACAGAAAGATGGGGAAGTCAGGAAAAAGAAAGAAATCCAGCAGCAATTGGTTTTGTGATCCCTCCAATCTTTTGTACCACATGAATTTATTGAGTATTTATAGAATCAAAACAAATACCGCCAGTTCGTTTGACAACAATCGAATAGCCGCCCACTCATTCACACACTTTCTCGTTCAAGTAATGAAAAAGCACCATACTCTATACTCCACGCCTCCAAGGTACCCAAACGTACACTGCATCTTCAATATTCTCTAACATGAAAGGCACCAGCCCTCATGCTTAATACCCATCCTCGTCAACACTATGCTCATTATACATGCGTAAGCTGTACTTTGCGAATTGGCTCCTGGCCCGGATCTTCTCCCCAAACCGTGAAAATAGCGGCGGGACAGCACAGAACATGGTCGCAATGGCTGCTAGCACGGAAATAGCCATATTGTTCCCGAGATTTGTGAACATTGGTGGTGCGATGAGCGGCAAAATAGCGGACAAAACAGCTCGGACAAGACTAAGTGCAGCCAGCCCACTGGCTGCATAGCTGAGGTAGCTATCGGTTAAGTAACCGCCCAGTACGTACTCGATCTCGTTCAGGGAATATCCTATCAGCACCAGGCAAAGGACAGACACTATCCAGTGCAAGTTAGGCACTTGGGGAGGAATAGTCCAGGCGAAAGCCCAGAGTGCCACGGTGAGGACGAACGCTCCAATCCAGAAGCCTGTTAGCTTGTGCTCAGGCAGGAGTGGTTGGCCCTTCTGGCGGTGCTTGTCGATTATATGCAGATCGATATAACGGGTCAAGAACCCGAAGGTGAGACCAACCCCAATCGCAATGAAAGGGAGACATGATTGTCTTGTGGTGAAGTTGAAAGACTGATAGATTGGAGGTAGAGCTTCTGTGAAGAGGTAGACCAAAGCAACGGCAATGGCGCTAATCACGGACACAAAGAAGACGATGAGCTCGGTAAAGAAAAGCCGCACGGGCCGGAACAGTGCAGTGCGCACGAAGGTCTGTAGATCCGGCGTACGGTCTGGGTTCAGACCCTGAAGCGTTTCAATTCCGGTGACCTTACGCAACTGTGCCACCTCTCGCGCCAGTAACAAGGAGGGACGAGACTCGCGAATGGTCAGTAGGATGAAGGTCAGAAGACCAGTCACAATGGCAGCCACATAGAATAACCACCGCCTGTAGGTGGCTGTCAGCAAGAACTTTACGGCCTGGTCAAGTAGAGGAACATACCAGTTGAGATCCGTAATGATAAATGTACTCAAGATGGGCCCGGTCACCAAACCCAGGTTAGCTACTATTGCCCAGAGGCAAAGCACCCAAACCCGATCTCGAGAATTGAACATGTCCTCAATGCTGCCAATCACAACTGTGGTCGGAATCGCTGAGAAAATCCCACTTAGAAGGCGACCTATGATAACCCCAGACATGGACGGAACAGCAGCCACGATGGCACAGGAGATACTATATAACGCCGTACTGAGTACATAGAGGTTCTTGCGTCCGAACGCTTCTGAGTATGGAGGGAAAACGATAGAACCGAGGCCCTGGCCCAATAAATATCTGTTTCCCATTCAGTCATCAGAAAAGCAACACAGGCGAGACTCGATAGGGTTGTAAGGTGTTGAACAGACATTGATACAAAGACAAATATGGACAATTCCTTTTCGATGTTGAATTCACTGAGAGCATCCTTGGCAGCGGTAGACTGTGGTATTCAGTATTTCTTTTCTTATTAAAGCGACTGGGTGACGTACGCCTGAAGCACTGATGGCAGTTCTGCATGCAAGCTTTAAGTTAGCAAGGAGTCCAAATCTTATCCAGGGCAACCAACAGTAAACATACGTGAAAAGCTCAAGGAAGATAATCAAGCTGGTGTCATAAGCTTTCCGTATAATGCTCCAATTGCGAGGATGCCGCTGATTCCCTTTGGCCCATCGGATATGGAATCCGTCAGCCGCGACCTGCAGGCCATATTGTCTCAAATGCGATTCCAAAATGCCTTTGTCTGTCTCAAACTGAGACATAGTAATCTCAGGCATTTTGGCGTTCATTTTGGAGAGACAGAAAAATCCAATAAACTAAGTCGAAGGGGGGGGAAACAAGTTGGGATGCTGAAAGCAGCAAGCATAAAATATCAAGCAAGACCCAGCATCAGGGTTTCAACTTAATAATCCGAGCTACATCTTGCTGAAGCAAACAGACATACGTACCTCCAGGCCTTTTTTTCCCCAGAATGCAAGGGGTTGGGTGTGCAGATCTCCACCAAATGTCGAGCGAGGTATGATGTTATTCCCATGGCTCCAGGTCAGTCACCTGGCGCACTTTGTCATTTTGGGCGCTCCTGAAGTCATTTCAACGGCTATTTTTCGAATTCCTCAGTCCCTCACAACGTAAACTGAGACGACATAGGGTCCTCACAACTTTGGAACCGTAACCCCTTGGTGGCCATACCTCTCGTTTGAGTCCAAGATCTACATACCTGACGGAAGACTGACTAGTTGAATGCTCGGCGTCGCCAGCAATGTTCGTCAGCGTTTCCATCCCTTTTTCTGCCCTCTTTGCCCCATAATCCACGCGTCAGGAGAAGAGGGAAAGACTCGTGCTTGAAGAGAGCACCACAAGCTCTTGTACTAAGCCCGGTATTGTTTTTTGGGCGATAGGGCTAGGAAATATCAGGTTTTGGCATATCCCGCCGAATTCTTCTGGACTTTCTCTTTTTCAACCTCCATAGCTTACGCAACACGATAGGGAATGTCCCTCGGATGACATTGGAGACGAATTATATAGAATTTTGTAAATTAGCCTTACACCTATATATAACCTCACGCCCCTCCCCCCCTTTCCAAGTTAGCGCATTAAGGCCAAGGCCACGGGGGTTTCCTGAGTCGTAAGTCAGTATTATGTACAGAACTTTGAAACAATTTCAGTATATCCTTATTTTTTTTTTTTGAAAACCCTAAGACAGCCGGCAACTGAATTGTGTTGGTGTGTATCACAATAGCATATGGTTAGACAGACCAGCTGCCAATTAGGGCAGAAAGAAACCTGCATTTGAGCGTTAAGATGCATTTTCTAATTTCTATCAAGGCTCCCACATTCCTGGATAGGTGAAAGAATCTTTTCTCTCTCTTAGGAAATCTCACCAGTGCTGTGCCCATCCATGACGTACTTGTCGAACCAATTTCTTCGTATGTGGTCTTCACAGTACAGCATTTATTAACCTATCATGCGAATACTAGCACAACAGCTATAATGATTTCATTCCGCTCCTGATGATGCCACTCCAGAGATGGTACGGTTTTAGGGGTGGGATCGAAACAAGAACCGAGAATTCCACCTTGGCCATATACTATCTATGGCAGACAAACACCAGGGATCTTAACCAGATTGGGCGATCGTGCAGACTTTAAAAAGCGCGACGGATTCTTCTATGCATTTGGCTACACCTTGCAAGCTAGACAAATCTGAGAATCAATTATTTTGGATCTCATTTCTCTATCATATCTAGACCCTGTACATGGATCCAGAGATGATCCCGGTCCTTGAGCAACAGCCTATGTATCACGCTGTATGCGTGCCATGTATATGTCCAAGCCAACTATAATCCCCTTACAGTCCCGCGACGAAAGTGGATATCTTCAAGGTAAACCTCGTGCTTAAGCATTGCCGTTGTAGGCAAGCAGGTTAGGGCTGCCCTGGGGATCCTTGACAACATTCTTGGTGGCCAACTCCTTGATGCGCTTGGCCACGGCAGCGGGGCCACTGAGGTTCTCAAGAGCAGACAGGTAGAGGGACAGACCGACAATGTGGGGAGTGGCCATGGAGGTACCGGAGATGGTGTTGGTAGCAGAAGACGAGCCAATCCAGGCAGAAAGAATATCCTGGCCGGGAGCAAAGACGTCGACGACATCGCCGTAGTTGGAGAAGGAGGCACGGGTGTTGCTCTTGTTGATAGCGGCAACAGTGAGGGCATTAGGAGAAGAAGCGGGGCTGGTGTCGCTGGCATCAGACTAAAAGCATCATGTCAGTTGCAGATTCGCCTTTGCGTGAAGGAAGGGAGACGTGCGTTCTCGTTACCGGCAGCGACAACCGAGAGAACACCCTGCTCAAATGCACTCTCGACCGCATCGTTGAAAGCCTGAGAGTAGCCACCGCCTGTAGTTTTGGAGTCAGAGACTGCATATTCTGGGGAGAGAAGTATCAGTGGGAAAGAGCAACGCAGACTTACCCAAGCTCATGTTAATCGCAGCCTTGTTGGTACGCTTCTTGCTAACAATGTCATTGGCGGCCCAGTTGAATCCATCAAGAATGACGGAGGTGCTGGCTGATTGGCCCTGGAAAACCTTGACCGACAGAATGTTGGCCTTCTTGGCAACACCGAAAGTCTTTCCAGCAATGGTGCCGGAAACGTGAGTCCCATGTCCAATGCTATCAACGTGCTGACCGCCAGCAGCATTGTAGGCAAGGCTGGCCCGGCCCTCGAACTCTTGGTGGCCAACGTTGACACCGCTGTCCACCACGTAGCCATAGGTACCCGCGCCGGCATTGGTGTCGTAGATGTAGTCAGTGCTCGCCTGACCCTTGTGGGAAATGCTCCCCAGGCCCCAAGGAGCACCCTTCTGGGTGGTCAGACCAACGAGGTAAAAGAGCTGGTCCTCCTCGACGTAGGCAACCTATACCCAAGTTAGCCATGATTCCACATGGTGAGCGAGCGGGATAGTTACATACATCCTCGTTCTTGCGGATCTCCTCAATGGTAGCATCATCGAAGGAGCCTGCATAGCCGGCGAACTTATTGATCTTGTACTTGCGCTCAATACCGGCAGGGGGATCACCAGCAGCGACATCACGGCGTTCCAGGCTACGCTGGTGAAGATTAGTAGCCCAGGTTGTATGCTCCTGAATCTTCGCCTCCTCAAGGCCGGACTTGAAGGCAACGATGTACTTTCCCGGAAGCTTGTCAACATCCCGGCGAGCCTCCTGCACAGGGGCACCGAGAACCGCGGGGAGGACAGCTCCAAGAAGGAGCAAGGCACGCTTGATGGACTGCATGATAAGATGCTCGCAAAGATGATTGAGAGGAACTCAAGTCGGAGGAGAGGAACCAGAGGCTTGATGATGAATAGGAGAACAAATGAGGTATGCAGGTGGTATTTATAGGCTTCAGGAACACCAGGTACTCCCGTTCTTGAGCAATTCCTACGGCTTCGGATCACTTGCACGGCATGACAAGGATGCGCTGTACTACTGAGCGTGGTTGAAACTCACAGGGTGACATCGCATCTTCAGAGACGACGCCGTTGCGCTCCACCGGAAAATTGCATTATCAGCGGACATGATGAGGGCAGAAATGGCGATGGCCACCAGGGAAGCTGACCCGCTTTAGTCAACCATAATGGACTGTAAGGGACACAAGGCTATGGCAAGTTGTCGAGGCTACAGGGTTCGGTAAAGAACTGCATAGCACGCTTTCCCCAAAAGGAGTAACTAACGATCGGCGTACCTTCAAAGGGAAGGTAGTATATCCCGCAGCCAATGAATTTCTACGGTAGCTCGCTATAAGGAAACAAAGAAATGATATCTTAGGCCGAGAAGGCCTAACGCTGCGGACGATACCTGTAGGAGTGAAGATCATCCTCACGATGCGACAGAGATCAATGTGACCTCTTCCAAATGCTTGGCATCCTCACGCGATATCCGCTATTACCCACGTCTTTCATCGGGGATAAAGGGCTGTGATTGGGGAAGATGCCTTTGTCGGAATCCAAACTTCTGAGAATGAGCCCCAGGGTGTACCCAAATTTGGCAACGCATGGGGTTGCATGAAAAGCAAAAAAGAAAAAAAGGAATAAGTGTATGCGCCTATAATATCGCCCCTCGGTATTGGCGATGGTGATTGTATCTAGACGGGAGGGGAGGGGTTAGGTTAGCACACAAAGAAGTGAGAGATATGCGATAAGCACTTTCTGGCCCGTCCATGGACGAAGCTAAGCAATTCCTGGTGCTACGCCAGATTTTAGTATGCGAACACACATGTGCTTCAGAAGGTCTCCTGATAGTATCAGGACCTAGGCATATTCGCTATGTTTGGGGGTACTGCTCCCGCAGAAGAACCAGGGCAAGGGCATACACCACGGCAACTACCCCTGGCGTTACACAAAACCCCTGCAAGGCGACAATACTCCGAGTCAGTTGAGTGGCCAATGGCACGAGCAGACAGCCGGTCTTCCCGTCAACACTAGAGTAGCTCATTAGACACATCCCTCAATGGCCCATCTCCCTAAGCCGAAGGTAGATGGCAAGCCCACCGCCGGGAGTCCGAGCGACCAAGGCTCTTGGCATCAAGGGACGAGAGGGGCCAAGAGGGGAAGCCAAGGTGGCAGTCGACGAGACGGCATCGGCATTAGCAAAAGGGTTCGAAGTCCAACCCGTTAATCCGGTAAGTCAAATGATCATTGGCAGTGTTTTTCAGGTGCATGGGTACTTTGCAAGTAAGATTTGTGGTTCCGCACGCACCAGTGCCCACCTGTCTTCATGCATGATCCAGCCAAGCAAGTCCTTGGCATCTCTGGCTATACCCTGTGGGCTGACAGAACTGCAGGTTAATTAAAAGGAGGATGACGATGATGTTGGTGATGGTTGCATCCGATAGGTTCATTCCCTCAGTTCAAGTCGGGGAATTGGATATTAAGCCTAAGCTGCTTTTCCTAGCCTCTTCCCGGCAGACTCGGAAGATTTCAGAGAGGGAAAAGAGGGGAAGGAAGTAAAGAACCTGCAGGAGAGAGTGAGGGAGAGCCTTGTGAGAAGGTTAGAGGTGGTGAGCCCCAAGGCGCGATTGGGCGGGACTCAACCCATGGCCTGAGGCTAGAGGGCACTAGCAGCCAGGCAGCTAAATTCTTGGCATCTCTTGTTCCATCGGGGTTCCGTTGGCAGTCATTAATCTTTAATCTCAGTTTTAATCTCTTTCCCCCATCGTGGTCCTGGGCGTTGTCTCGGATTTAGAAGAAGAGGGAAAACCTCGGAATTCGAATGACCAAGAATCAGGGCTATATCCCCTCTGGCTTCAATTCGGCCTGAGCGCCGCATCCAACCAGGCAACGTGTGTTCGACAACGTCATTGGCTATTAATTTAATTCATGCAAATGGAGTACACACTAGCAGCGATTTTTCAGCCACCCGATAAGCGCCCAGGCTTGATTATCCGTTGGTTGCTGGCTTGGACCTCCATGACTCAGGAATAGGATCCAGAGTGCTTATTCATGAAATGAGCTCATTCTGCACCCCGATCACCCATAGAATTGCCCAGGCACAACGCCCCCTCCTCGAAAGGGCTCATGACCTTTTCTTCCAAGCATGCTTCTTTGCCGCCTCTGTGTTCTTGAAAGGAAATCCAGTCGTTCTCTTGTCTGCGCCCGTCTTCCGACTAATTTTCCCATTACTACTGGCGAAGAGCACACACCAAAGCCCAATTGCAGCCACCACCGAGTATCCGATCATTCCTATAGCAAAGGCGGTTTGATCCGAGGACAGGTACCGCGTATAGGCGTAGAACGCCGAAATTCCTTGGAAAAGGGATGTTACGATCAAGGTGGGGATGGCATACGGTGCCTTGGAGTCGTTGTCCTCCGTCGTGACTGGTTCTGACACCATGGAGTTCAAGGGGATGGTTCCCGTTAGCATGGCCGTTAGGATGGCGATGGTGAGTAAGCTAAAACCAAGGCAGCGTGCGAAGTATATCTCCATTTCTACAGAGGGGTTAGGGTGAGTATTCCTAACAAGCCACTTTCGCGTTGCCTTGAGGAGCTTGACTATCTTGATATGACACTCACCAGAAGCCGATCTTGTCTCGTCCAGTAGCAGAGTCGTCATGATCTGCGGGACTGTGATCAAGGACACACTCTGTAGCGAGAGCCATCCCGCCGTGGAATAGGTATAGACATAGAATACCTATTGGGTTGCGATCGTTAGCTAACTAGGACTTTAACGCGGGGCTTACATGTATTCATGGAACTTACATCCATGGTGGAGACTGAATCAATTGCACGACTATGAATCAATGGTTATTTCAAAAAGGCGATCAAAATTTCCCGATGCGAAAGAAGTTGATCAAGAGAGAGAAAGAGCAAGGCAGCCACCGCAGCTTCTGACATCATAAATCCCCGGTTTTGTCTTGTTTGCATAAATTACACACTTTTCTAACCACAACAATCAAAGGATCTATTCCGTTGATTATTTTCTTGCACAGCACGTTTGATGCGATTATTTATCTCGTGTCTAGTTCATTTATTCATGCATAACTGAAATGTAGCATTGAGGTGTCAAGGCTGACGCCGTGTAATAGACCAAAGCCCAGAAAAATCAATCAAGAAAAAGAGTAGGTAGGTGAGAAAATTGGAGATCATTGATTGATCTGACTTGCTCGCAAGTATCTGGCAAAACTGTTATCCTGATCGGACGGTCCTTGAGCATCAGCAAGGGCATTCTGATACCGCTGGGAGAGCCCATCACTATCAGCGGCTCGAGGAACACCTGACTCGTCATCACTATCATCATCATCATCATCTTCGGGCTCTTCGTAGTCTCCTCTCCTCTTTGCCGCAGCAAGTTCCTCTTCCTCCTCCTCGGCTTCGCTAACGGTTTCTGCTTCGTTGTCGGCAGCCTTGCCCTTATTGGACCCAGAGACGTTCATATCCTTCATCAACTTACCCAGTTCCAGCTCCCGCTGGGCTGCCTGAGTCTCCTCACGCTCTTGCTTCTTGCGCTCTAGTTCAGGTTTGTAATCACGCTCAAACTCTTGGCGCTTCTCCTCGACCGCTTGGAAGAACTCCTCGATGCCCTCTCCGGTCATTGAGCTGACACCCACGATATTCAGATGGCGGTAGAACTCTTCGAGCATCAGACTCATGCTGTTCAGAAGCGAGCCCATGTATCCACTCCCCGAGCCGAAGCCCCCAGCGCCACCCTCTGTTCCAAAGGCCCCCGATTCCTCTTCCTCGCGCAAAGCCTGCTGGAAAGCGTCGAAGTCGGTCATCCACTCCTTTGCAAACTCGGCATCCTGAACATCTGTCTTGTTGAATACAAGAATCATGGGTAGTTTAGTCTTATAGAGAATACTGCAAGCGTAAAGCATGTTGCTCATGAAAGTACTCGTGGAGCTCGCACGTGGGGTATCAATCACGTATGCAATCACAGTTGGGAAAGAGGAGGCCAGAGTCTCGAGTAGAATACTGCCCGATGCACTCCATACAAAAACTTCGATCTGTCCGGGTGTGTCGACCAAGATGTGCTCGATAGGTTTGGCGGACGGGCTGCTTGGGTTCGGGGCGGTGCGTTTCTCTAGCAGTGCGATGATTTGGTCAACCTTGGTTGCGAAAAGGTTCAACGACGTCAGGATACCGCCGTTGGGGCCGAGATTGTACTGCTTCATGACCTCTTTATAATTGATGGAATCGCGGATGTCGATATTACTCTCGAATGGTACGGAATAAACGGCGGGGTCCAAGTTCATAACGTAGGGGATCTTCTTCTGCGAGTGAAGGTATGAGTTGATTCGCTGCATGAAAGTCGTCTTTCCGGAGCCTTAATAGACAAGGGAAAAAGGGCATTAGTGAATGTCAAGGTATCGTAAATCAAGAAGCTGTGTCTCTTCGTTACCTGCCATGCCCACGCAGACTACAGACACAGGAGATTGCGCCATGATGAACAGCGTCAAGTAGACTTTCTTTCAAAAAGTACCGGTTTTTGTGTGTATGTGTGTGTGTGTGTGTGTGTGTGAATTCCCTAGGGTAGTAACAATTTTGGATAAATTCCACCCGATGGGAGACAAGGGAGAAAGAAGGGTACGCGATGGTTGAGAAGGATAAAAAAAGTCGCGCGGGGAGTACTTTTCTGAATCGAATTATCGGGGTGGAGTAAGAGTCTGGAAGTCAAAAAGATCGGTCAGACGTCATTAGCGCCTTTTCCGCTTTAGTCTTTTGTCCTGCCTTTTGAAGCCTTTACCCCCCACGACATCACTCCGTACGGATTACTCCTACCACTGAAAAAAGAGAATCAGTATGACTCTGGAGGATTTTGAAAAGTCCTTGGCGGAGGATCAGGAGAAACGGCGCGACAAGAGTGACAAGGAAAGGCATCGACATCGCGATCGAGACCGCAGCCGCGATCGCTCAAGACACCGCCGCCATCATCATCGTCGCCATTCGTCCCGATCGAGAGAACGCGAATCCGAAAGCCACAGAGAGTCACGGCACAGGGACGAAGACAGACATCGCCATAAACGATCGCGCCATTCGACTGACCACGATGACGATCGAGGTCACGCCCATAAACGCCGACATCGACATGAAAGCAGAGACGAGGAAGCGCCACCCGTGAAGGAGGAAGCCCAAGAGGTGCCAACTCAGCTAAAGAGAGATGCATGGATGGAAGCCCCATCCGCGCTGGATATCGACTATGTCCATCGACGCGATACGACGCGCTTGGAAGAGGAGCCAAAGGCTAAAATGCTACAGGCAGACTTCGAGCTTAAAATCCATGGCAAGGAATTAAATCAACACCTACACGATCTGAAGGACGGAAAGACGCTGGAGGAAATCCAGGAAGAACCGGCGGAACACGAGGTTGACTACACTTTCGGTGATGCTGGCTCCCAGTGGAGGATGACTAAATTGAATGCTGTCTATAGGCAAGCTGAGGAAAGCGGAAAACCCGTGGAGGAAATTGCTATCGAGCGGTTCGGGGATCTACGCTCCTTTGATGATGCACGCGAGGAAGAGGCGGAGTTAGATCGACGTGAGAGGTACGGGGAGGGCTACGTAGGCAAAGAAAAGCCATCAGGAGAGCTTTTTCAAGAGAGAAAACTACAGCAGGGCGTCCATCGGGATACCCATGAACATATTCCAAGCCCCAGGAAGGAACTGGAAGCTCACGGCCAAGGCAAACCGATGGATGCAGAACCGCCCCAAAATACTACTCAATATCTCGACTCAACAGCTCTCAACCGACTTAAGGCGCAGATGATGAAGGCAAAGCTCAAAGGCTCTCCCGATGCTGGTGAGCTTGAGGACCGGTACAATACCGCCGCGGCAGCCATGGCAAACCGGAAGGACCCTGGTGTGGTGGTATTGGGTGTCATGCAGAACCGGATGCTTGCTGGCAAGAGAAATGAAGTCAAATCCGTGGAGACTAAGCGAGGCCGAGAAAGGGGCCAGGTGGAAGAGAACGAGGATATGAGCATCGAGGATATGGTGCGCGAGGAGCGAAGAACCCGTGATCAACGGGGAGGCGAAGGGCAGCGACTTGCGGAAAGAATAGCAAAAGATGGCAAATTCGAGGTATGGACCTTAAGCGAGATCTACAACCATATCAAAGAAACTAACGATGTGTCCTAGAATGATTTGGAGTACATGGATGATAATGCCTCCAAACTAGCACGACGGGTACATCGGTCCGAAGTTAATCTCAAGAATGCGACTATTAGCGAGTTCCAAAAGATGAACCGAATCCTAGACAACTGCCCTCTTTGCCATCACGAGGATACCAATACTCCGCCTGTTGCTCCTGTGGTATCTCTAGCGACCAGAGTTTATCTTACTCTTCCCACCGAGCCAGAACTTAATCAAGGATGTGCCACCATTGTCCCCATTCAACATCGAACGAATCTTCTGGAATGCGACGATGATGAATGGGAGGAAATTCGTAACTTCATGAAGAGCTTGACTCGCATGTATCATGACCAAGGCCGCGACGTCATCTTTTATGAGAATGCAGCCCAGCCTCACCGAAAGAAGCATGCAACAATGGAGGTAGTGCCATTACCATACAGCCTCGGGGAGACATCTCCTGCCTTTTTTAAAGAAGCCATTCTCGCCGCAGACGCCGAATGGACTCAGCATAAAAAGTTAATCGACACGCTGGCGAAATCGAAGCAAGGATTGGGCCGATCTGCCTTCCGCCGTACGCTGGTGAAGGAGATGCCTTACTTCCATGTCTGGTTCGAGCTTGACGGAGGACTGGGACATGTAATCGAGGACGAGAACCGCTGGCCCCGCGGCGACCTCTTCGCGCGGGAGATCATTGGAGGAATGTTGGACCTGGCTCCGGATGTGATCAAGCGGCAGGGCCGCTGGCACCGTGGAGGTGACCGTCGAGTTGAAGGGTTTAAGAAACGATGGAGGAAATTCGATTGGACAAGGGTACTTGTTGAGGGGTGAGATTAAGGCCGTACATACCATCTACGACCATTTGCTCGTAGTCAGGAGCATCTTACATCTATCTTATTGCGAATCCATCCACGGACACCATTATGCCATCGCCATTGTAGTACACGCCCATTCTTGGGCTTAATATCTGTGTAGATCTGTCACCGAGAGGTTGTTTACCAGAAAGCATAGAACAAAACATTCAATCTGGAGAAATCTTACCTATCCAGATATCGATTCATATACCGCCGATCTTTCCACTTTTCGCCTCCTATCAGCGTTGATCCGATCCTTGAATAAGGCCGGGGAGTGGATTATTCGCTGCTGTATAGATTGGCCCTTTTACCCGCGGCCACACAATCGGCGATTTCCTGAAAGATTCATTGCCATATCGGCTATCTCCGACAAGGGTCTCTTTCTGGATTCTTCTTCTAGTTCATTCGGCAAACTAGACGGTAAGAACGCGGAGAAGGACAGGAGATGTGGTGTCAGATCAAGTCCCGTGTAGTTGGAGAATCAAACCAAGGGGAAATTTAACGATAAGAGAAAGAATAAAAGTGGGGCACGTGGGGGGAAGTTCATCGTTTGGTGGAGGAATTCTTTAGTAAATCCTTCTCTTTCCTCTCCCCCTTCTTCTCTCTTTCTTTCCTCAATTCCTTTATACCTCTATACCCAGGTAAAGCACGCCTCAACGGTCTCATATTGACACAAATCATCCATATCCGATTGTTGCGGCAACAGCAATTGAAACGAGACGCTCCTTCGGCCAAACATTATATCAACTTCCCCGCGCCTTATCTCCTCTCGGGATAATTCAAGTAATTCAAGTGTGTAGTCCAGTACATGACTCATTTTTGTCTCTTGAACCCCATATATCTGCCAATTCCAAGGCTGATATATAAGCAGAAGTCCAAAAAAAATGGCTTCATCCAATTCCAAACCCAAGGTTCTCCTCCTGGGAAAGATCATCCAGTACGCTAAATCAACCCCCTCCCTCCCCAACTTTATACTACTAAACATCCTTGGCATGTACACATCTAACCCTATATCCTGGTAACGCAGTGCACATACAACATGGCAGTCTCTAAATGACATCGCCGAGCTTGTCTCACCAACCGCAACTAATCGCGCCGACTTCATCCAAGAATGCAAAGACGGCAAGCTTGACGGCGTAGTCGCCGCATACCGGACCTTCGACTCCGTAACCATCACCGGGCTCGTAGATGAGGAATTGGTGAATGTCCTGCCAAGCTCGCTGAAGTACCTGGCTCACTGCGGTATGGCTTCCCCTCTGCTTCCGTATGCTCCTCTTATGATACGTAGGAGCTAATGGTGTTATCCAGGTGCCGGATACGACCAGGTCGATGTCCACGCCTGCAGCGCCCGCACACCCCCCATCCGTGTCTCGAATGTCCCGACGGCCGTCGACGACGCCACGGCTGACGTTAACATGTTCCTGATCATCGGTGCCCTCCGCAACTTCAACACGGGTATGCTAGCCCTGCGCGAAGGCAAATGGCGCGGACAACCGGCCCCTATCTTGGGCCATGACCCCGAGGGCAAGGTGCTAGGGATCCTGGGAATGGGCGGTATTGGCCGGAATCTAAAGAAGAAGGCCGAGGCATTTGGCATGAGCGTCATCTACCATAATCGACGGCAGTTGACGGAGGACTTAGCCGGCGGCGCCGAGTATGTGACGTTTGATGAGTTGCTGGCGAAGAGTGACGTGATCAGTTTGAACTTGCCCCTGAATGTGAGTTTTCTGCTGCGGCATTCTACCACTGCTACAATAAAATATATCTAGGGACAAGCTGGCGATGGGCTAACGTGAAGGGGTATGTTACAGAATAACACCCGCCACATCATTGGCAAGCCTGAATTCGACAAGATGAAGGACGGCGTCGTCATCGTGAACACTGCCCGTGGCGCCATCATAGATGAAGCAGCTCTCGTTGACGCCCTAGATAGCGGCAAGGTCTACTCCGCTGGCCTTGATGTCTTCGAGGAAGAGCCCAAGATTCACCCCGGTCTTGTCCGGAATCCTAATGTGATGCTGGTACCACATATGGGCACCTGGACTGTTGAGGTATGCTGCTATCCCCTCTCGGTTCATAATTGACTGAAGCTAATTCATGGCGATAAATAGACTCAAACTGCCATGGAAGAATGGGCTATTGAAAATGTGCGCTTGGCCCTTGAAGCTGGGAAGCTGAAGAGCCCGGTTCCTGAACAGGCTGATCTATAGATTTGTTACTTTTCCCCTTCCTTGGATTTCAATTGAGTTTGTGCATGAAATTATAGAGCTCGAAAGTCCGGTCCCGTCGGTATATACAGAGGGTTTGGTTACACGATGCGGCACAATACTGCCCTGGTAAAACTTTATGAGAATATGAATTCAAAGAGTCAGAATTGAGAACTGTACAAGAGATGTGTTATCATTGTATTTCGTAAGAACTTATGCAGCCGGAACGCCATGGTGCTTGTCCGTGCCCTAACTGCGGGCAGAACTGAGAAAAGCAATCAACTCCGATGCCATGACGTCCTCCGAACCAGTAATAACCAAAAGCAAATGATGATCATAAAAAATAATATAGTCACTGAAAGTGAAGGGATATGAGAAGGCAAGAGATAAGCACTCTCAAAAAAAAATTCTAGTTAAACATCGTTAAAAAAGCAAAAACTTCGCCAGTGCGAGGCTTTTTTTCATATTACAATTTTCGCCAAAGAGCCACCGAATGCAATTCGGATAAATCCCGAGGATTCACTCGCGTGATACAATCCAGGATCGGACAACCATGCCGCAAAGGCGTTTGATCACTTGAGTGGTGCCTTTGCCGCCCGCTTCTTGTTCCAGGAACTTTTGTGCAACGTAAAGCTTAGCCCCGGAGTCCTTCTCGCTCGTTGTAATAGGTTGGGGGAAGCTGCGCGGGAAGTCCGCCCAACGCTGTCCGAGATGACGCGCAATAGCGATCGAATAAATAACATCACGGTTTTCATACGTGTCCAGCAGCGTGCGGCAACGGCCCAGGGTATCATCAATCTCTTTAGCTGAGCTGGCCTCGTTGTCATGAAGAGTAAGAAAGTGCCCGATCGCGCTCCAGAAATCCAGCGACCTTTGCATTAGCTGATCTGGCAGAGACGGAGGGTTGGAAGGCGTTTCTCGCGGAGGAAACTGAGCCAGGGGATTCGAGTCCAAATGTTCACCCGTAATCAAGGACTCGATGACATCCAGCCGTTTCGAAGCGGCCAACAAATCGTAATCTTGACCATGGCTTCCATTTGATACATTCATGACGTGCCGACACAGTGTCATAGAACTCCAGACCACGGATGCTTCAAAGCTCTCCAGACGTGCGATTACATTCGGGTCACTGAGGTTCTGATCGTTGAATGCCTCGATTAAGGCAGAATACTCGGCCATAAGCTGGGCATTGGCCAAAAGATGTGCCAAAGCCTTCTCTTGAAACCAACGTGTCTCGAAGAACTTATCAATAGCAGGAGCATATGTAGCAAAGAACACCGCCTTGATTTCTTCTAGGCGGTTTGGGGCAATAGCGGTGATGGGATGAGGAGGTGGAGGAGGAATCCCTCTCAGCGCCAGCAGATCGCTGATTTGGACTTGTTTCACTAAGAAGAAATATGTAAGTCAAAGAGCGGGCGATATACTAGGGGAAGGACGCACCTCGGAAACTGGTAGGGTCCGACGACGCTGTGGTATTCACCGGATTGACAGTTGGCTGCAAGCCTCCCTCTACGGCATTTTGAACGCTAGCCATATTTGACGAGCTGTTCCCGTCCAAGGTAGGGTCGATGGGAGCACCGTAGTCGTATCTCTCGGTGGAGGTGCTGGGCGACTCGGACGGAGCAAAAGGTTGAGAGACCGCGGGCACGTAGCCAGGAGGAGCAGTAGGGTATGAAGGAGTCGACGAGGTAGAAGGGTCTTGCGGATTGACGACCAGCGATGGGTGTGGGTTTGGAGCTGGTTGTATAGCAGAAGGTGTCGGCTGTGGTTTAAACACCGGGTCGTAGCCTAAACATTCACGTTTACTTTTGACGCAGTTTCGGCAGACGGGATGGCCTTCGTCGCACTGAGTAGTAGGGAGGGGCCCAATGTTAGCTGAATATCGAATAAAGGAATAGAAGAAAAAAAATTCTTTCTTTCCCCCCAGACAGCCAAATAACCCAAACCCAAGCGAAAGAATTATTATTATTATAATAAACAGGATTGGGCTGTCGGGCGGGGAGGAAACAGTGGGCAACACAACAAGCGACACCGCGAATGGCGGGGTTTCTGCAGGCGAGCCGAAGCAGAGCTTGTGTCGCAAGCGAAACCACAACACATTTATTTCCTTCACCCAAACGCCCTCACCACCAAACACGCTGTTCAAAACTTCAAAACCCCCTGTCCAATAAAAGGGCTCCTTAATACTATATTTCGTATCACGTACCTTGATTCTCCGTTTTCGACATGTTAAACAACCTGTCTTAGTTCTGCGCTTCACTTCCTTCTTGTGTCTACCACCGGAGAGCATCTTGTTCGGATCTCCTGGGAGTTGATAACGCATTTGCGCGTTCGAATTCATTCCCATTTGCCCAACATTGTTGGGATACCCCGTCATATATTGGCCTATGGAAGCCATTGGGGGCATAGGCGATCCGATGGGGGCCTGCGGGACATGCGACGACTGCCCCTGAACAGCATGATGGTCCATTGTCTGCATTGAGGGCGCATTCATCGGTGCAGAAACCGCTTGATGGTTATGATACATGTCGGGGCTCTGATGCTGGTATTGTTGCGACTGCGGCTGCTGTTGCATTTGGCCCTGCTGTTGTTGTGGCTGTGGTGATTGATACTGCTGTGACGGCGCATGCTGCTGCTGTTGCTGTTGATATCGCGGCTGTGATTGCGGATGCGCCGGTTGGCTCTGTGGTGGAGGTGGCTGTTGCGAGTGTGTACCATTGGATGGCAGCTGCCATGAAGAATCGGGAATCGGTGAAGGCCCCGGTTGTTCGCCAATGTTACTGCCGGGCGTCGCCGATACGTGCGTAGTAGGATTCGCCCCAATTTCCGCGCCGTCATGTTTCGTATCTGTATCTGAAAACGAGAAATGCTCGTCTGCACCTAAGTCACCGTCCGTAGCTGGCAAGGTGGTATCTAATGGAGGTAACGAAGTGTCAATTGGCGGTAGGGACGGTATCGATGGATCTAACGGTGGAAGTGATGAGTCTACACTGGCCACAGGCGTATCCATAGCCGGTAGCGATTTATCTATAGGAGGAAGTGAAGTGTCCACAGATGAGAACGTCGTGTCTGCGAGAGAGGTGCTCGTCGGTACCGCAAGCGCATCGGTTGGTTCGGGAGCCTGTTTTGGCGGCTCGCCAGGTGTATTTGCAGGATCTGCCATCTCCGCCATTTCACTTGTGGTATGATCTAGAAACCCTGTTGTTGCGCGAAGTCCAATGATTGGGACGGGTACTGGAAGAATCAATTAAATTTCTTCGGGCGCAAGCTCGTTACCGTAACGCAGGAGTTATCTCCTCGATGGTTGATAATCTTATCCGTAGACTAAAAAAAAAAAAAAATATCTTTGTGCCAACCAAACAACCGTGACGCTCTGTCTGCAGCTTTAAGGCATTGTTAGCCGACAGATTTCGAAGCAGCATGAACTGAATCGACCCGGTAATCATAGGCGTATAATTCCAGGGACATCTGACTAAGGGTGGGAAATATGTAGATCACAGCAGAAGAGAAAGAGACATGGTTCCTTCGGGGTTGCGCATAGCCGGAGAAGAATTGTGCAGTGGTACGAGTACGTCGAGGACCGTCTGCGTATGGTAGGCCCATATGCATATTTGCTATCCAATAATAACTGTATAGCGTATATAGTCACTCTTCCCAAAGATCACATTGCACCAAAGCCAGTGGCATGATGGGTGGTCGTGCATTTGAATGTCAAGCAAACGCGACTGCTCGCAACCTTCAATCGCTCGTAGCGGGGAACAACCACAACCACCGCGCATCACCCAATGCAGACTTCGTATGCGACATTGGGATAGAAAACAAAGAAACAAGGCCTCGAGTGCAGAAGGTTGAATGGCTGAAGTGCCGGGGCTGACAAGAGGGGAAGAGACGTGTCTCGGATGCAAGTGACCGGGGACAAGCGATAAAACGAAGCTTTCTCGTTTACTTACCATGTACTGGTCCAAATAAGCGAAAAGAAGCGAGCCGAAATACTATTCCACCAGAACTATCAAATCGGAACCAGACAGACTCCGCATTCGGAGTGGGTTGTGACGAGGGAGTTGCGATAAGGTCGGGTTGCGCGACAAAAGAGAGACTTAGCTTTAAGGGAAAGAAAGTCTCCTCCCCGGACTTTGTAGAAAAAAAAGAGTTGCAACGGAAAGGGAAAAAAAAAAAAAAAACCACCAACAAACACCCCAAGACAACTTGTGGCAATACAACAAAAATCAACTTTTTTACTCTCTCTATTCTTCTTTCTATACCAGGAATTTATCCTTACAACAACACAACAATATCTTTATTCTCTCCACATATTACTCACAATATACCCGGAATGGCCTTCACATAGGCTATCTCATCCGACTAACTGACTGTTCAATAATCACCGTCGGACAGCCTCATACAACCAATACGAGACTGTCAGCCCTCGGAGAATTTATTCGCGAATATCACCAAAAATTCAAAAGGTTCAAATATTTTATTTAGAATGGTTTTCTTCAGTCCTATTCTTGCTATCTAATTTTCCTTCGTATACAGTCGCCTTCAAGAAAAAAGAAGACCTCGAAGTTCTCCCGAATTTTCCGTAGATGCCAATGCATTGATTTATTCAACCGCTGAGTATCTCTAGAAGGAGCATGGCACTCTTCAGCGTATTTCACACCCCTGGACAAGCTAAAAGCTCATAACCGAGGATCCATTCATCAATGGATGGGTGGCAATGATGCTGGTGAGATTGAATGGCAGTTGACCCGGGATTCTTTCCCATCGGGTGACCATTCACAGTGCATGTAGTCAAATTGGTATATTCATCATCCTTTCTCAACGAGCTTTTAAAAGTAAGCAACAATTGAGAGAACAGCATACTTTATCCTTGGTCAAGTATGGCCGGGATACGCACTAGACTGTGAATCAACACCTCGGTATGAGCGTGACATCCATTTGATACATGAAGTGGCGCAACGTAGACATCCTGTAGCGCATACCCAGTGTTCATCTATTTCCTCATAACCTTCGGCTTGCGCTTTTTGAAAACAACGCCTGAGGTCGGCTCTTCTGGCTCACTCTTGGCTGCAGGCGTTAAGGGCACAGCAGCAGCTTCAGCCGGTTCATGTTCAGTTTTAGGCACCTGGTCAGACTCTGTAGCCACGGGATCAGCTTCATCCTTGGCTGGTACATCATCAGCCTCCTTGACACTCTCCGTCGGAGCCACCTCAGAACTCGAAGGTCTGGCTTTCTTAACCTCCTTCGAAGATTCCAGCAGCGCATCCAAGTCCTCGTCATCCTGCGCACCAGGATACTCCCGAGTCCTCGATCCCCAACCCTTGCTAACAAACCTCTCCGCCTCCCGTTTCGCCTCCTCTTCCTCCTCATCCCCCTCATGCTTCCGCTTGCGAACCCCAAGCGAAGGGCCAGTCTTCTCCCCCTCTTCCGCCCCAATTACTTTCTCGGAGAGCGTCTGCCACTCCCCAGCAAGCGCCATATCACCACGGTACTCTTCCGGAATCGCAACGCCCATGTCCGCCAATTGCGCCATCTGCTTCTTCCGCTCATCCAGCGAAGCCGGGCGCCGGGGCACTTCAGAAACCGGAGGTGCTCGTTTCCAGGGAGCTGCATCGCTACTCTTCCCGGGGGCGTTGCCGGCGACGGTTTGTCTTAGTCGTTCAACTTCATTCTTGGCTCTCTGGGTTTCACGTTGCTGGCGCTCGTTGTCGCGGTGTATGTCTCGTAGGAACCGCTTCAGGTTTCCTTGATGTTTGCCTGTGGCCTCGTGTTGGGCTTTCTCGAATGCTGTGTCTCGTATGAAAATCTTGCATTGTTTGCACCAATATCTGGGCTAGGGTGATGTTAGTTGGCTGGCTTAATGTGTTGCGTAAGGTGTAGATGGGAGATGCGAAATGAATTAAGAGGTAGTAGTGAGAAACTTACGGCTGATTTCCAGTATTCTGCCATATTTGGATTTATAGTTTCAAGAGAATGGATCTGGTATACGGAGAATAGCAAATGATATATAACACTTCGAATGCGATAAATGATGCTTCCGGGGTGCGATCGGAGCTAACCCGATGGAGTAATCACGGAGCCTCCCCAGGTTATCATTGTCGATATGTCCATACTCGCCGCTCTTGATATTATCAAGTTCTATTGGGGATTCGTTGTAGATGGTTCCTTTCCTAATACTTAGCTAGATCTTTTCTATAAGCTATTCATTCTCCGGTGATCTGCCGCTTGCTTTATTTTTGCGAAAAGTAAACACGTTCATGAATATATATATCCAGCATCACCAAGGTATTCATCGTAATTCATTCAAAAAAAAGGTCTAGTTGCATTTTCCACTCTACGAATGGTTGTGGCCTCAACTCTGACTCTCGCCTCAGCAAGGTCAGACTGGAACAGGAACCCAATATCCCTTGTACTATCCACGAGCTCAACCTCTCTTTTGACAAACGCAGAGCCATCACTTGGATGGGGTGGGTTGGCGCCATCATCTTCGCTATCCCATCTGTCCTCATCATCTATATTCTGCTTGCTGACTGGGTCCAGCTCGTCTGTCTCCCAAACCAGCCTGAATTCATATGGTGCTAGACCAAACAGGCGAGAGACAATGGCCTTTACCTGGTATGTATCAAAGGACCGAGGTATCTCCTTTACCTTGATTTCCTCCAACACATCGTCTGGATTGGTGATTGAGCTGTCGGAAACCGGCAATTTTCGGCGCAGGTAAAACGCCATCTTCAATAATCGCGCAGCAACAGAGCGTGGATTCACAGCAACACCTGACCCGATCGATGCCGAGACTCTCGTAAGAACAGGTTCGCCGTATATCTCACAAAGCTCATGATATCGAGGATGCTTGGCGAGAATATCCCGCTCTGCGCTTTCCGGGAAAGCCGAGAGTTCCTTGCCGATAAGAGAGAGATAATAGAGATCTCCGTTGCTCCGGTCCTTTGCTGTTATTGTGCTATAGTTGAGCACCTCCAAGGAGGCAATTCGGGAAAGAGTTAACATATATGCCTCGTCTACTGTCATCGTTTTCTCTGGCAACCCAGTGATAGCTGATGGCCCCACTGGTTGGTCGTAGAGGGGGTTCCCGGATATACGGAGAGATTTCAGACCTGGAAATACAACTGGGAGTTGATTGACGAAGAGCCAGCTGTCAATTTTGTTTCTCGACAGATCCACCGAACGGAGACTGTTTGAGAACTGCAAAGGGCCTGCTTCGTCTGAGCTGGATTCGCAGATTTTATCAATGCTATTTCCGCGTAGTGAGAGATGGCTCAGGTTGCTCATTGACGTGAGTTTTCTGAGAGAAGATAGGGAGGAAAGGTCATTATCCTCTAAGGTTAAAGTCGTTATTGTGTTCGTGAGTGGTGACGAAACTGAGGAAATCTGGTTAGCAGTAGCGGATAAAGTAACCAGGGACGGAAATTGATGTGTTAAAGTCGAAACCTGTTAAACGAGTTAGCCGATACAAATTATATCCCAAGTCAATATGATATACCTCATCCCAAGAGAGAAGGGTGTCGTCCAGCTGAAGCTCCGTAATCCCCGTGAATCTCAAGTTCTCCGCAACTGAGTCCATCCGGTTTCCGCTAGAAGTTGTGTCAATCCCAAACATTTTCACTTATAAATCGCCACTTACTTCAGCTTCAAGGTCTTCAAACGCTTAAGTGAGCTACATATGCTTGCAACATCACTCCAACGATTCAGTAGATTTCGACCGAGGTCAAGTTCGATGATCTTAGGGCAGGTTTCCTCAATCTCTCTGCAGGCTGGTTGAATTTGCTCTGCGTTTCCTTCATGGGACAGAACGCCTGCAAGTTGTAGGCCATCCAAGAGAACAATCCTCAGCTCTTGGAGTTCTGCAAGCTGTTTCCGGATTTTGTCAAAGCCAACTTCTTCTACAACTTTGCCGCTGATTTCAATAGGCTTGTGCAAAGCATCACCAGCGGCGTCGCCACCTAGCTTTTGCCTGGCCACTTCTTCGAACTCAGATGCATATTTCTCACGCAGAGCCTCTAAGAAGCCTCTAGGCTTGTCTGCAGCTCGAGACGGACGCACAAACGACCCAGCGGTGGGGTGCTTGCTCTTGCCTAAGATATGTGTTAGTAAGTGAAAAAATAATGAAGAGGGTTATTAAAAAGACTAATCATCGAAGATAAGGGAAAAATGCTGTACATGTAAAGTATCTCACTCCCTGATGCTCTCCGGAGTGCTTCCCCCGAGTTGGGTCGTCCCATTCCACACCGAGCCACTCGCCGGTGGTCCCTTCGACTCTTCCCGCGTAGCGGACGGTGCACAAATTACCATTGTAAGATCGCCGTTGGTTCACATAGCAAGTAGGATCCATTATCGCAGTCTATTCTAATGCGGACTGACCTAAATGTAGGCGTCCCTTGGCAATTATATAGTTGGCTTTGATACTCCATGGACTGTCGATTCGGACAAACAACTTCCCTCGTCCAATGACAGTCGACGAGATCGCTGACATAAGACTTCTATAGAATTTCCAGTTGAAGCTTAGCTTTAATCACCCGCCGCGCTTCTCTCCTTTCCTTGTATCGGATACCCCCAAGGTTTTCAAGGGAAATCAAGATGGATTTTCAGGTAAGTTGAATTGTGCCTTGGAAGGCATTTTGTCCATCTTTTTGAGTTGTATGTTAACGTCGTTGAAGAACCGTGCAGGATCTAAATTCGGTGGCGGCGGTGTCGCATCGCAATCCGCGACCAACGCAGACCGTCGCGAGCGTCTTCGCAAGCTCGCCCTCGAGACGATCGACCTCGATAAGGATCCGTACTTCTTCAAGAACCATGTAGGAAGCTTTGAGTGCCGTCTCTGTTTGACGGTCCACCAGAACGATGGCTCCTACCTCGCCCACACCCAAGGCCGCAAGCATCAGACCAACCTGGCTAGACGTGCCGCGAGGGAGCAAAGAGAAGGGAAAAACCAGGATCCATCGACGCTACCGGGTGCGATGGGTGTTCAGGTCAAGAAGCAGACGATCAAGATCGGCCGGCCGGGTTACAAGATCACGAAGATTAGGGATCCATTGACGAGGCAGCTGGGCCTGCTGTTCCAGCTGCAATATCAGGAGATCACGCCGGGTGTCCAGCCTCGAGTACGATTCATGTCAGCCTTTGAGCAGAAGGTTGAGGAGCCCCCAGACAAGAACTTCCAGTATCTTGTCGTCGCTGCAGAGCCATACCAGACTTGTGGTTTCAAGCTTCAAGCGCGAGAGATTGATCGTAGGGAGGGTCGGTACTGGACTTGGTTCGACGAAGACAGCAAGGAATTTTGGATTCAGATCATGTTCAAGACCGAGCGAGAGGAAAGATTCAGTGGTGTTCCAGGTCTGGCACCAATGGAACCCAAGGCGTGAGCTGCTATATAAGTGATGCCTACATATGGGTTTGTATGAGAAGAAAAGTTGACGAGAGTATTATTTATTCAAGGAAGGTGCACTGGGCGTTTGAGGATTTCTGTTTTATTGCAGCTTTATATGACTGATATTCATGTTACCCCTGCTATTGTAATTTGGCCGAGAGCGGCCTTCCGATAGTGTCAGATATCATCCACCTCTCTCTTTTCTCTAACTCAGTTGATTCAATGTTGAGAGTCACTGAGGTCCAAGGGAATTTCAGAAGAATCGAAGCCTATTACCAAGTTGAATGAAGAATTTAATGGGATTGCCACCAGCTATGTAATGTGCAAACTATTTTTAAGTAAAAGGTACAACGTTGTACTTTGGGTATTTCCGGGTAATGCATTGATACACCATGCTAGAGAGGACAAAGTAGCCAGCCATTCGTGATCGGCCCTTGTGGGCTCGTCACAGGTTCTATACTTTCAACCGACGGACGATGCGCTCACTTGTAATTCTTAATGCTAGACACAGTGTGCAACTAGCGGGCGTCGTCTTGCGACATGCAAACAGAGTAAGAAAGATGCACAAGTCGTTATCAGTGACATAAGATGCCAAATGCGCTAGACGCTAGATGAAATCAAATGAACAGAGATATTCCGAGATTAGATCCTAGATAAGCCGCCGGAAAGACTTCCGCGCAAGCCTGCCCGCTGACCGGCTTTCCGAGGCGCTCATCCTGCATCCATTGATAATCCCAGATATCAGTCCAATTCTCAATTATTCTGAAAGGCGTTGAATGCCTTGTATGTGTAACCGATGAACGGAAGACTCATTTCTGCCTCCTGCTCCTCGGGCATGGCACGAGCCTGAGCACGGTGGATAGCGCTGGTATCCTCCTGAGGGATCTCGTCAATGGGGAAGTACGACACATCGATGTTCGAGCTTAGCCGAGGTTCGAATGGAGCGCGGATGTTGCGAAGCTGCTCCCAAACGACACCGCGGAAGAACGGATGATTCTTTATTTGTGTTGCGCCTCCAAACTGGCCACCTTCGTTACCTACACGATGTTCTGCGTCACACAGGAAGCTGTATGCAATGGTTAGTCTTGTGACGGACCTATAGTGCTATGAATGAGGGGTACTTACCTTCGGATGAGGCCCTCAGACTCGCGAGAAAGGGTAAGCTCTTCGGGGAAGTAGAGACATTCCCTCCAGTTAACGATCTTTCGGTAGGTATCGGTGGTATCCTCGGCACAGAAGGGTGGCCACCCCACAAGACATTCAAACATGATAGCACCAACCGACCACCAGTCGCAAAGATAGGTATATCCTTGGCCGTTGAAGATTTCGGGTGCGATGTAGTCTGGTGTGCCAACCGTTGAGTAAGCCATGGCTCGACGGGACTTTCTCCACGTATTTATTTGTCCACGGTTTGATACCGTCAAGTTAATCGCATCGTTGAAGTATCCAGAGTTACGATTCTTATCCTTTGAGGTAGAGTTTTTCAGCAAGTTTTGGTAGTATGAGTTGTCATGGGTCTTCTTGCCGCCAGTCGAGAGACCGAAATCGGTAAGCTTGACATGACCACCACGATCGAGAAGAATATTGTCGGGCTTAATATCACTGTGAGTGTATCCCCGTCAGCATATGATAAATCGTAATCTTCAGATATAGGAGAAGAAAGGGGGATCAAAAAGAACAACGATGGTAAAACAAGCAACCAACTCACCGATGAAGGAAGCCCAGTTTGTGAACCGCCTCAATAGCCATCACAATTTCTGCCATGTAGAATCTGGTGATGTCTTCAGAGAAGATTTCGTACTTGATCAACATGGTCATCAGGTCACCACCAGGTAAGAATTCCATCAAAAGGTAGAGGTACGCAGAGTCCTGGAAGGAAGCGTGCAACTTTACGAGCCATGGGTTATCCTTGGAGTCAGCCAGGATATCACGCTCGGCACGAACGTGGGCCAGCTGATCCTTCTTGAACATTTCAGTCTTGATCAAAGATTTGAGCGCATAGATCTTGCCGTCAGTCTTCCTTTGCACAAGCTTAACCTCACCAAATGCACCCTTGCCAATAACCTTGATAGTTTGGAAATTCGTTGGCGATTCCTTGGTGCGAAGGAATCGGAGGAAGTTCGACTCCTTTTTCGCAATAGTTTCTCCCTCTTGACGCTTCGTCTCCTTGGGGACATTAGGATCTTGAATCATCTTGTCGAGATTGGTGGAACTGTTGAAGATAGTATTAACGTTGGTTGAACAGGCTCCATCATAGATTGTAGCTCCATCTTCGTTTCCTTTTCCAGTGTAACTTACCGCATGTTGCGATCGCGCGCACGCTCGATGTTCTCGTGGAAGAAAACATTCACTAGTTCCTTAGCAGCCTTACCACGCTTGTGGATATTCTCTGAGTATCGCTCCGGATAGCGTTGAAGCTCTTCATTCTCGGCAGGAGTTCGAGGGCTGCGCGGCATCGGGGGGGCTAAATGGCCAGGCTGCTGCTGCCCGGGGGCGGACGAGCCAGCGGTGCGAGGTCTCTGAGCAGGTGAGGCTGCGCGACCGAAGAATCCAGTCCGGTTCGAGTTCAGATCCTGGTTGGAGAACTGCTGGATGAGGCCGTTGGTTCCGTCGTTGGCACTGTACCCCATGCGGGATTGATACGTGGGCTGCGGGGACTGCAAGTTTGGTTGCCCATAGTGCTGCTGCTGCTGAGCATAGGCTGCCTGAGCAGGATATGGGTTTGCCATGAAATATCCCTGACCGTACGCCCCATTTGGAGCCTCCATGTAGTCCTGAGGGCCTTGGTTTTGGTAGATCGGTTGAGGGAAGGCGGAAGGAGTGGTGGGATATGCGCGGTTGTTGGCCGCCGCATTGAAACCACGCTCGTTGTACCCGAAATTCAGGTGGAGACGGTTATTATTGGGATCCATCTTGACACAAATTCTCTCCGGTGAATCAGCCGTACAGGATGAAAGGCCTTAAAAATGGGTAGGAGCGGGAATGGAGTTTAAAGGTAAGGCCTCAAGGGGGAAAGGAATGAGCGGTGGCTCAGGAGGTTGAGTGCGACAAGTCGTCAAGAGGGGCGGACAAAATAGTGGAGAGGTGGGAGGGAGGAACAACTCCGTACTCCACTGTCAGACAAAGGAGAGACACTTGATTTCTATTGCCTCTCTCTCATGGAAGTCGTAGATAATATTCAGGAAAATGAACGAAGATCCAAAGGAAGTGGAAGATAAATTAGATTGGGGGGGGGAGAAGGAGGGAAATGGAAATGAAACGCCCGTGGTGAGACCAAGAGAAGTAGCGTGAGCCAAGTTGCTACTCCTGTTGTCCGACTAGTCCAAGTCTGTATCTTTTTTGGTGAGTCTGGACTTTTTGGGTTCTTTAGCCATTGCTCGGTACGGCACACCACTGGGGCCACGAGTGCGGAACAGGGGGCGGATTTCATTTATTGGCCTGGGGCTGCCAGGCACATTGCCGGTCTTGGCATGAAAGTTCCAACCAACGGATCGCCCCGATTGGTCCAAGGGGCTCTTCCTCGGCTGACTCAGCAATATATACTTCTATTGTTTAAAAACTAAGCAGGTTCGTGATGAATAGGCAACATAGCTAATTGTATTATGTTCTACGAATATTAACAGAAGACCATCATCTCAACTCTATTTCCCGGATTCCCGTCAGTCAATGAGGGCTTCTTCTGGAAGACAAAGTCTATCGCCCCTTCGTAATCTGAACCCAGTACTCCATACTAATCTCCATCTCGCAGAATGTGGGCCACGGGAGCTTCCCTCATTTAGGTGTTGATGTCCCCCTTCCACTTTAAACCGTGGCTGTCGAAAAGAGTGGGCTTTGAACTGAACGAATTAATCTGAATTGAAAAGACAACATATGTCAGCACATATGCACTGTATCTCGCGAGGGTCCCGAGTAAAAGAGAGATGAAGAACCCAAAAAACTCTCCCATGTCGGATTAACAAATCTTCCGAATGACGGAACAAGCCCAAAGATCCCGAACTTTTTTTGGGGGCAAATAGACTGAAGACTATGTATGATACATGTTATGTGGAAGGGATACTTCCTGTCTTGCAAATTACCCTTTTGGCTTCCATATAATTCACATTTACTATTCTTATCATTAAATCCCTCTGTATCTGATTTAGTCACATTTCCTCCGCCTCTCTGCGACCATGGCGGAATCCCCGAATTCCGCTGCGGCCTCTGGTCAGACTCAGACTGCAGCGAAGCCTACCAAGGCACCGAACCCAGTATGGAGGATGCTTGGTAAATCTTTGAGGACGTCCCATGTGTCAACGCAAATTAGTACTAATGTTCTATTCAAGGAATGCCCAACTTCCGACTCAAACTTCCCTCTCGCAATTGGATGATCTTCTTCGCAGTAACGGGTTCTTGGACCGCTGCCATCGTCTATGACCGCAAAGAGAAGAAGCGCGCAAAACAGAAATGGTGTGATTTGGTGGCGCACCTTGCCAAAGAAACCCTTCCGGTGGAACAAACACGGCGGAAGCTTACGGTCTTTCTGTCTGCCCCGCCCGGTGACGGTCTCCGCGTTGCCCGAGAGCATTTCAAAGAATATGTCAAGCCTATACTAGTCGCCGCGGCCTTGGACTATCAGGTGATCGAAGGTCGGCGGGAAGGTGATATTCGCGCTGGACTTTCAGAGCGGATCCGCAAATTCAGAAGGAAATCCGGCGAACCAAGCACAGTGGTGGAAGAACCCGGCCTCGAAGAAGTCGTTGCGGATGCTAGGGAGAAGATCGGTGTGGTAGACGAGCCAGTCCCAAAGGGAGACTTGGTCATCGGACGTAACACCTGGAGAGAGTATATCCGAGGTCTCCATGAGGGTTGGCTTGGACCACTTGACCCTCCCCAACCACCTGTTACAATCGATACGCCATCACCTTCTGAAGGAGCAGAGACAAGTACCCCTGCCAGTGACGTCCCTGCTGCAGAGAACACAGAGACGAAGGATGAACCTAAGAAGAAGGATGAGAAGTCCTCCAAGCCTACTGGCCCAACCCCAGCATACATTACTCCCGCCGACTACTCGTCACAAAGCCTTCCGCCGTCTCTCCCTGAATCCCTGGACGGTTCCGTTCCTATCCATTTCCCACACATTCTAGGATTCTTGAACACTCCCATCAGAATCTACCGGTACTTGAACCAACGCCATGTCGCTGATAGCGTCGGACGAGAGGTTGCTGGCATCGTTCTCGCCTCGACTACCCGGCCATACCGCGATGGCTCATCTAGCACAGACTCCGAATTTACCCCGGCGGGTACTGACGCCACTCCAGTTGCAGATAATCTGATGGGTGGCAACTACGAACAGCAAGTCCTTCTCGAAGAGGAAGAGCGGGAATGGCATAAATCGGTGCACAAGAAGGACGAGTCAAACCCTGATAAGGAACGCGAGTGGCTGGACTCTGTCGTTCTGGACCCCCGTATCGCAGCCCGGATGCAGCGCTACGTTATCTCCCCCGAAGATGAAGCCCGTTCGCAGCGGATTGCCGAGGGAGCGGAATATATCCTGGGCGAGGAGCGGCCCACCCCCATCCCTTTCTGGCAGCGTATGTGGATCAAGTATGGATACGGCGAGGATGAGGAAACCCTCAAGAGGAAGCCTATCCTCGGAAACATTGATGGAGAAGACGTCCAGTGATTAACGCCCAAATTTTAAGTCGAAAATTTCGCACGGTTACGGAATGGAATCCATAGAATTGTTCTTGGTTTATTATATACACCGGCATTGGCAGGGATGGTCAACACAGGAAAAATCTCATGGACTGTAACAACAACTTGATCTATACTGTACATTAGTCTAGTCACGGCATTATATATCTGCTCATACATACTCGATCTAGATGTGTTGCTGCTCCGTGTTCAAGTAAAATAGCCTTCCCTTCTCTTTCTATCTATCCCTCAAGAGTCATGCATTCAGAAGGAATGACATCTAACCGATTCTAGTGCCCCTATCTGCACTCTATGCAATGCTGGATATATTTACGCAACCTGGTTTAACGAGAAAGAAACACGAGAAAATATAAAGGAAAAGTTTGCTTTTAATCCTTCCACAGACTACCTGGTTAGTCCCAAATTGACTGGTGAAATCTCAGCTATACTAGTACTGGTACATCATCTCCACGCGTTCAGATAGATTGATAGGTTGTATCAATAGATTCGAGCGGCTTGTTTCTTTTTCGTTGCTATAGCAGTTTAACTCCATCTCCATCTTAATTTAGGCCGTAAATATCTTGACTTCTATACTCAGATTTGGAAAACCAACTCAACTAGAGAATATTCCCTGTTGTTGGAAGGTAATGGAAGAGAGAAAGTTTGGTGGTAGCCTTGCCCCAACGATTTCATCTCTTAACTCAGCTGGAACACCGACGACTCAGGCCACTTGCTCTTGGCCTTTTCGGCGTAAGCGGTCTTTGCAGCCTGGTCACTGCCCCACCTGTCCAACAATTGCAGACCGGCAAGAGCTGTTTCAATAGTTTCAACCTGCGACTCGAGGGTTGCGGTAAGATCCTTTTCACACTGTGCCTTTGACTCGGCATTCAGTAGGTGGCGGCATGTCAGGGCGGCATGTGTGTGGGGAGCGCTGTCCTTGTGCGTCGAAAGATAAGACTCGTTCCACTCTTCAAGCTTCTGGGCCTTTGGAAGAAGAGTCTCAAATTCGGAATTCACCACCTCAGCCACTTGAGCTGGCAGTGGCTCGGAGAGGCTGTCCAGTGCCTTGCGAAAACGAAGGAGTTGAATATGAAGGGTGGGGTTGGAAGGATCAATTGCATGAGCTGCCGAGAGGCATTTGAGCGCAAGTGCATATTTACCTGTAAATCAAAGTTAGTTAAAGTGCGCTAGGATATCGCGTAGCGTTCAATGATCTTACCTCTCCTAAGATAGACCTCAAATCCAAGGTTTTGGGCTTCAATGTTATTAGAGCTGAACTCGAGGAGCGGAGTCAAAAACTTCGTGGCCTCCTTGAGCGGATCCTGAGTCTGGACGAGCTTGTTGCCAAGCGGATCAGGGTCCTCCTTCTTCACTTCACCATCACCACCCTTGGTGCTTGCTGCTTTCCGTGCTGCTATCTTATCGGCCTCAATCTTTTCCAGTCGCTCTTGTTCCTTCTTGGCCTTCTTAAGAGCCTTCTTCCGCTCAGCACTATCGACATTACCGCCAGCACCGTTGGGCAACGGACCATGAGCAAGATCTGGGTGATCATGGAGGAGCAGGTACGCCTTGATGGCGGAAAGGGCCACGCGAGTGTAGAAGGGATGCTGGCGCAGTCGATCCTCCCAGCGAACCATGTCGACATATGCTCTAATCATGCCCTTCCTCAATGAGAAGCTATGAAAGTCGAACTGGTCCTCTTGCCAGGTGTCAAAGATATTGTATACCCCGTGGAAGCGCTTGAGCGCAAGTCCAAGTTTCTGCTGGCGCAGATATGCCTCGCCGTCCTCAGTCAAATACCAGACACACTGCATCTCATGAAGATCACCCATTGCACCACCAACAGTCTCATTCCGAGTAAACTTGCTCATGTTCTCAAGTCCCTTGTCGTTATTATTGTTGCGAAGTTGATACTTGGCAGCCTTGGAATTGATGTAACGATCCTTCTCATCCAACTTTCTAGCCTTCTCCATCTCCTCCGCCGCTTTCTCGAGATTACCATAATGTTTCCATATCCTGGCCTTAGTCATCTGATATTCTACGGCTTTAGGAGCCAGCTCGATAGCCTTGTCGACATGTTCCGTGGCCTTGGTCAAGTTGCGGCTGAGGTGATAGTTGTAGTGCTGCGCAAGGAAATAGTGGGAGGAAGAAAGGAAATCCGTGTTGTCGCCGTTCGTCTCACCCTCCGCAGAGCCGTTCGACTGAGGTACAGAAACATAGCCTTCCACCAGCTCCTGAACCGTGTTACGTTTCCATGTGTTGGAGTACAGGGACTTGATGTTCGCAAAGAGCGAGGGAACACCTTTCTTGAGCATACGCTGCAAGTAAGCATCAGCAGCTTGCTTGAAATCGTCGCCCTCCAAGAAGTCCAAGGGAATTCGACGAGGGGCATCGCCTCGGGGGTTCTTCTCCACCCAAGAGTCATACACAGCCTTTAGAGCCTTGTGGTCGCTGTCGGGAATACCTTTAGCTCTGATCAGAGCATCATAATAAGTCGAGTTCTCGGGGTTGCGATCAAGAAGGGCGGTGTACGCAGCCTCCGCTTCAGCCTTCCTGTCAAGGCGCAGAAGATAGTCCGCCTTCATCTCCATAACGGCCAGCACATCCGTAATCCTGTGTCCCACGGCCTCGAGATGCTCTAAGGCCTTCTCAAGCTTGCCTGCCTCTGCCATAATCATGTTTTTGTACAATACGGCCTCCGAGTGTTCCATGTCGGAGAGGGGCGGCGTAGATTTCAGTGTCTCCTCGTACGTCGTCAACACCTTCTCCGCCTCTTCCAGGTCTCCTGCTAAGTGGTGTGCGATAGCCAAAGCGGTCCAGTTCTGTCGAAAAGCGGGTCGAGCCTGGAGCATAGTGCTTCGGCTCTGGATATACCCCTGGTAATCCCGCATTTGCATCTGAAGCAGGGCCAGGTCGCGTTGGATCGGCTGAGACTCGGGTTCAATTCTCAATGCGAATCTGTATGCCTTAATTGCCTCCTCGTAGTTCTTCTCCGCTCGATATAGCAATCCGTAAACATGCCAGCAAATGTGCGATTTCATGTCGTTCTTGAGAGCGTCCTTGGCCAGCGCAAAAGCCTCTTCTTGCTGACCCAGATTGCTCATTATCAATGCCTTCATCGCCAGGGTATCGCCATGATTGGGGTTTTTCCGAAGAATCTGCTCCGCGGTTTTGATACCTGTCGAGGGCAAGCGACTTTTAGCTGTCTGGTAGGAACATCGGGCCAAGATTCAATTCCGCACAGGAACTCACCCTTCTTGTGTTGTTTATTCTCATAGTGGCGAACCACCTGGCGGAATAAGGATGCGTCCTTAGAACTCAATGGTTGTGGCATGATGGGGTGGTGTGAGAGGTGAGAAGAGGTGAGGGTAAAGTTGGCTTGTGTGTCGAAGCTGATGTGCGCGGGGAGGGTGGATTGTTCCTTCGGGACCGACGAGCGGCGATTAGGAAATGATAAGCTATGACCAACGCTACTTCAAATCAGAAGAGAAGGTCGGACGGTGAAATTTTACGTTGCAGCCCAGAGGGAGTTGCCCACTGCAATTCTTCGTAGTTCGATAGTTCTACCCGATCGAAGGACCGGCCAATAAACGAAATAATAATTTTATCCGAGACAAACGCTTGCGTGCATAAAATCAGCCCTAAATTCGCATCTATGCCCAACAACCACTCCCAGTTCATGATCAGATGTACTGGCATAGTTATTACGGAGACGAAGTATTTACTTCTTCGCGATACATTGTGTCATTGTCCCTGTGTAGATAGCCCCTTTGCATGCTTGAATTTTATGACTTTGTTATCAATGATCGCTTTTTATATGCAACTAGTGTACATGTCGATTACTATATACATCATATCCCATATCATGATTGGATAGCCATATGGGGAGAGAGGAACATCCAGGCCAGTTGCAGCCTCTCCACTCTCGAATGCGCTCTCTGCAAATAGCTCTTATTCTTAAGATTGATAGAGCTAATCTGTCAGCGATCATCTTTGCTTCCTCTCCCGCCAGCTATTGAGTGCTTCCTCCCAGCTGGCAGACGAGCCACTGCATCTTTCGTTAACAAGACCCCATGTCCGCGCACGAATGATCTGCTCAACGCTGCGCTGATTCCGAACAAGGTTTGCCAATGATTCAGTTCGAGCCTCGCGAGGGAAGAACCGCGCGGAATATGGATCTAGACGCTCATTGACAACTCGCTCTCGGTCCTTGGCAGATTCAGTCTGTCGAAGGATAAGATCCGGATCGTCCGGATCGGGACTTGTAGCCACGCCGGCGCAGTAGTTCAGTACGTCTGACCGCGTCTGCCACGAAGGAAATAATACATTGTCCTTAAAGTTCTGACACGCAGCAGAGTCTATTGTAGTCCCTTGTCTTGAATCTGTTTGGCGTACAGCAGTCGAAGACGGATCGAAGCCCTCCCGTGCCGGAGTGAACAAAGCGTTGAGGTTCTGAGTGATTGAATCATCTATCGTTGATCTAGAAAGACGTAGGAAATCTATAGAGTGGCGGAGCTTTCGATGAGCCTACAATTTTCACCGCGGAAATCAGACACAGTTGGCGCTAAGGCATACCTCTGAGCAATTTCTCATTGAAACAAAATTGGGGACTCAGTTCAGGAGCCAGCGTTGAAGTTGCCCGAGACATCTTGGGATTCTCGGTTCTTGCGGTCTCCCGGCCTGATTTGTCCTTCTCAGTCCAAAACCACTCCAGGTTGTAACACGTTGACGGAGAGCGCTAAAGTAAAATAGATAGGTGGCGGAAGCGGGCGATCACCAGTGATAGATATCTGAAAGCCCGGCGACAGTATTGATTTCGCTTAACCGGATAATGCGATAAATTGTAAATGAGAACGAAAGAAGTTCAACAAAGGGTAGAGGTGCCTGGGCTCTTTGTCAAGGATTCAGTGTAGTTGAAGGATTGCAGACAAGGTCAGAACTGGTCGATTGATATCATAAGGTGGTTTCCTAAAACGGTTAAACTGAGCGATAGCTCAGAGTCACGGGACTTCGTGACCCGTGACGCGTTTCATGCGATGTAATACAGAAGAACTCCATCTCTTCTTTGATGTTTGTATTGTGTCTTATATCAAAAAGCGAATTTCATTAGCATTTTCCCACACAGATACCCCTTTGTGTACATTTCTTCGTGAAATTGGTATTTATTTGGTTTTATTGCGCAGTCCACATTGATCAAACATCATGCCTGAGCTAGCCGAAGTCTCACGTATCGTTCATTTCATACGCCAGCACCTTGTCGGAAAGACCCTTACCAAGGTATCTACGCAGAATGATGACATTGTCTACGGTAAAGCAGGAACCAGTGCTTCGGAATTCCAGAAAGCAATGGATGGAAAAAAGATCGTTGGTGCAGGACAGCAAGGCAAATACTTTTGGATAGCTATGTCGACGCCGCCGCATGTTGTAATGCACTTTGGCATGGCAGGCTGGCTGAAGATCCGAGATGCTGACACGTACTACTACCGGACTGACAAGCCGCAAGACAAGGAATGGCCCCCAAAGTACTGGAAGTTCTTGCTGGAAACAGACGAGGACCCAAAGACAGAGGCTGCATTCGTTGACTTCCGCAGACTATCTAGGATAAGGCTGGTGGATTGTCCTGCAGAACAGATTCGAAAGCATAGCCCTCTCAAAGAGAACGGCCCAGATCCGGTTGCGGACAAAGACACGGTGACAGAAGACTGGCTTGCCGGCAAGCTAAGGAACAAGAGGCTTCCCATAAAGGCCTTGCTTTTGGATCAGGCGAACATAAGCGGGATCGGTAACTGGATGGGGTTTGTTATCAATCAACCTATCGATCGATCTAGTGTCAGGGACTAACTATCACGCAGGGACGAGATTTTGTACCATGCGAGAATCCACCCGGAGCAGTACAGCAATACCTTGAACGACGATCAGATTAAAGAACTCCACTCGGCCATGCATTACGTCTGCTCGACCTCTGTGGATTTGCTGGCAGACTCTGATAAGTTTCCAGAAGACTGGTTGTTCAAATACCGATGGTCGAAAGGGAAGAAAAATGCCTCGCCTACTCTACCGAATGGTGAAAAGATCACCTTCCTGACTGTCGGTGGCAGGACAAGCGCCGTGGTCCCAAGTGTGCAGAAGAAGACCGGTGCTGTAGCGAAGGACATCAAAAGCGAGGAAGATGATGCCACACAAAAAGTGCCTAAACGAAAGCGAGGGACAGTGATCAATGCTGAAAGTGATGCAGAGGCAAGCGAGGAAGAACCGAAACCAAAGAAATCAGGGTCGAAAAACCAAACTCAGCCGACTAAGAAAGCTGCCGATGAGAAGAAACCCGAACTAGACAATGAAGCGTCTACGGGAAGAAGGCGCTCAACTCGGCTCAAGAAGTAAACCCTTCGAACTGCCTACCCTTTACTGTTTCTCAGACCTTTGATATTTGGAATTTGTACGTTACATCTAAACCTCACATGGGGCATTGTTTACTACACCGTGAGATATGCATAGTTGGAGGATCGTATAGCCTTGTCATTTGAGTTGGTTACACATTAAGTCCATGCAACCTTGTGTGGAAAACATCAAAGTTTCCCTTGCTTTTGGCGAGATCGATCGTGTTTTCCAGAACCGCAAACACCATGTTTTCCCACCATCCTTGAAACTCTGGTTCCTGCAAAACCTCTGCCCAACAGTTAGTGACCTCTTCCTTGGGGTTGTCGAAAGCACCACAGCCAAAAGCACCTAGGACAAGATTCCGATGCCTGTTGTATGCTGCAATACGGAGTATCACACGCATTTTGTCCTTCATCAGGGCACGATCCGCGACGTGTTTGTACCTTGGCGGTTGTGTGCTCCGATCTACTTCCGGCCTCCTCAGAGCGGCCATACTGACAACACTGACCACGGGCAGAACCTCAGGCTTTTGTAGATCCATTAATTTGTGCCCGTCTTTGAAACTGTCACGGAACACAATAACAGTCGGAGAGTAAATCGCATCACGGCTCCCTAAGGGGTAGTATCGTAGCTTAAGTGTAAAACTAAGACTACTGCGATAACAAAGCTCCTCCTCCTGAGCTAAGGCTCCTCGAAGCCAACCACCACCTGCCCTCTTCTCACTAGCCATGTTCAGGACACAGACGTTACCAGTGTTCATGCTCGTGGTGGATCCCGTGCGGTTACCGAGATTGATCGCTATATTGAAAGCGTCTCCATTCACAACTTCGACCTGGGTGCTAAGACGTGGATTATACCTCGAATCCAATATTGGCATCTTATCATGTGAGCAACGAATCCCAGTTGCAGGTGCCTGTGGAACAACAGCTAATATTTGAGGCAGCAGTGACTTTGTTTCCTTTGCAGTTGACCTCAAGATAGCTCGTCTATTCGAGCTGGTGGGGCTTTTTGGAGACTCGGGGTTTGGCATAGTGGTGAGTTAGGTTGATACAAAGACAACAGTGATTATATTAATGAGACTTGTATATGTGATTTCTAAGAAGAGTGACGTTAATGATAACTTCCAAGAGGATAAGATATTCTCTTTTACGCTCCTGTATGTATGTACCTTGAGTCACTGTCAACACGAAATAAGCGGCAGAATATGAGGCATGATTAGGCGGAAGCAGCTGGGCGGTAAGCTTATCAGCACCGATCGCGGGGTGCTAATCTAATCCGCAGCCTGGGATTCGCCACAACCGATGACAAAGCACAGCTATCTCCCAAGTTTATTCATTAGTAACGATTTATTCTCCTCTCACTTGTTCTTCAATCTATAGATCTACTTTTTTTTCCCACCCTTTCCTTTCACTGACTCACAATACAACCAATATTATTTATTTCTAACGAGGCCAAACCTACGCGCATGGGATTCGAGTTCTAGGAGTGTATCAAAGGAAACCCATCCAAGCACTCCGAAGTGGCGTAATCTCTTTCCTTGATATTCGTCTTGCGGGGCTTCTGCGATATCCGCCACAATGAGTGCAATCCTATCGGCAGATGACCTGAACGATTTCATATCCCCAGGTGTTGCCTGTATCAAACCAGTAGAGACGCTTCCAAACAATGAATTCTCCGATTCTCAGGTATCTTCGACTATCTCATTACCTGCCCCCTCATATTAAAGCTTTAATAGATACTGACTCCTCCCCTCTATAGAACGCATACGAAGTGACAACGGAAGACAAAGTCCAACCAGAAAACCTCCCTCCAGCACAGATATCATTAACCGATTGTCTCGCCTGCTCCGGCTGCGTCACATCCGCCGAAGCGGTCCTGATCTCTCTGCAATCGCATGCGGAGGTCCTCAACACACTTGACGCTTATCCCGAGATATCCTTGATTCCAGACCAGATTAGATCATCTCTTGATGGTAACAACGCGCAGGATGGAGAAAGTAGGGTGTTCGTTGCGAGTGTTAGCCCTCAAGTGAGGGCAAGCCTAGCTGCCACTTATGGCATTTCCGAAAAAGAAGCGACATACATGATCGACCAATTTTTAAGCGGCCCCCAGGGCTTAAGGGCCGGAGGAAAACATGGTAGTGGTTTCGCTTGGGTTGTCGATACGAACATTATGCGTGAAGCAGTCCTCGTTCTAACGGCAGATGAAGTTAACGAGACCTTGAAAGAAGCATCTGCCAGGAAATCTTCGAAAGATCCTTTCCCAAAGCGGCCAGTCTTGTCCTCAGCTTGCCCGGGCTGGATTTGCTATGCTGAGAAGACACACCCTTTCATTCTCCCGCACCTGTCGCGACTGAAGTCCCCGCAGGCACTGACTGGCACTTTTTTAAAGACTGTGTTGAGCAAAGCATTGGGCGTGTCACCCTCCCGTATATGGCATCTCGCTATCATGCCATGTTTTGATAAAAAGCTCGAGGCTAGTCGTGAGGAACTAACCGATGTCTCGTGGTCTTCGCTTGACAGTGGGGCGGCTTCTACTGAGACCCATAAACCTGTCCGCGATGTAGATTGTGTCATTACCACACGTGAACTCCTTTCATTGGCTTCCTCTCGTGGGATATCTCTCCCTGCATTACCGTTGAGACCTTTAACCTTGGCATATACACCTCAATTCCCAGACGAGACTCTTAACATGTTCCTGTTCCGCAAACACAGTGGATTAGAACAGTCGTTAGAAACCGGTACATCGGGGGGTTACCTTCATCATGTCCTCAAGGCTTTCCAAGCGAAGAATCCCGGAAGTGAGATTGTTGCACAGCGAGGGAGAAACGCTGACGTGGTGGAGTATTTACTTATGTCCCCCGGAGGGGAACCCCTTATGAAAGCGGCTCGCTATTATGGTTTCAGAAACATCCAGAATCTCGTCAGGAAGCTCAAGCCCGCACGCATGTCAAGACTTCCAGGGGCTAGAGCTCCCACAGCTTCAGCAGGCGGCAATCGGCGCCAGCCAATCTCGAGAAACAGCGCTTCTACTGGATCTGGGGCAGATTATGCATATGTGGAAGTTATGGCGTGCCCTGGAGGCTGTACCAATGGAGGGGGCCAGATACGGATTGAAGATGTCAGGGAAGCCAGTTCAAACGCACAGTTGGTAACCTCATCGGAAAATCCAAAGCCATCCCCGCACGAGCAGCGGGCCTGGCTCGCTCGTGTCGACGAAACATATTTCTCCGCCGAGTCTGATACTGAAGGCGAAATGGACCGTCAGACGCAGCCTCTCTCTATCCCCGAGAGAGAGGCTAGAGTCCACGAAGCTTTACAACATTGGTCTGACCTGATGAAGATCCCTCTCGCTAAACTTGTCTATACTACTTATCGGGAGGTCGAGAGCGATGTTGGCAAAAGCAAAGACACCCCTATCGATACCACCCGCGTTGTTGAGTTGGCTGGGAAGATTGGCGGTGGCTGGTAGCTGCTCGCTCAATTTTAATGACTTGAATACCCCGTGATGCTTACTGATTTATGACTTTTATAGATTTCTTTGTATGGACAAAAAGCATGTCCTGCATTTTGGTTGCATTTACAAGGATAGAGAGATACCAGTTCTTGTACTATTCCAGCATTTATCTAGAGACGGGATTGTATATAGCATGCAGAATCAAATGTCTTCTGGGATAGAGTATCATTTCGATACCTAATTCATTCTTATAAGCCAGCAACTCAGGCTTCATACCGATGTCATTCATACATAGATCTCATCGTTTCCATAGCACGGCTCCCAACATCCAGCCGAGGGAATCGCCTAGGACAAAGAAGGACGAAAACCAGGCCGCTGCTCCACCAAATTGACCAACGGGGAAAACAGCTTTTTACTATCGCCGCTCTCCTTCCCGTCAATCTCTTCTTGAGCTAACGCGACAATTTCTTCCCAAGGCACCCACTCCCAGGCCTCACACTTCTCCGGCTCCATCAACTGTCAAGAAGTCAGCCATACATCGTCACATATACCTATCTTGATAAAATAGTCCCCCGGGGGGGGGGGGTTAAAGGAAGAAGAAAACCCTACCTTCGGCTCAACAATGTCACCATAAATACTCCCGCCAACAAAAACAGTCACATAATGCTTATTCTCGGAGAGCATAACATTATTGGTGGCCGTTAAGAACTGAACATTGCGGATGGTAAGACCCGTTTCTTCGAGAGTCTCCCGCTCAGCGCAGTTCTCAAAGGTCTCATTGAACTCGAGATGGCCGCCGGGTAAGGCCCATGTACCTGAGTTACCGTGTTAGCTCGATTTGAGTGAGACTCGGCCGGGGTTGAAGGTCTATATCGCTTAAGGCTTACCTGCGCCGTGGCTGCCCTTTCTCTTCCCTAGGAGAACTTTGCCCTCATTGTTGAGGATGAAGGCGCCGATGCCTACTCTTGGTACTTGGGTTGACATGGTAGTGATCGTTGACTTTTCCTTTGACGTATTTTTGGCAATTCGAGTTGTTTCAAGGATAGACGGGAGTTTTCTGGTCTCTCGTAAGAGTAGAAGTAGGGCAGAAATATTAGGCGGGAAGGTTGACTGCCCAAGAGTGGCAGTGTTGTTGATAAAGGATTGTTGAGTCAGAATACTTGGTACTAGTAATAAATCATTAAGATGTTGTTGCGGAGTGGACCTGATTAGTCGCCCGGATATACGGACCGTTAACCACTACCTACACGTAATTATATTCGAGGATTCTATTATAATTAAGAACCTTATGGATACAAAGTACCAGGGAGCAAACAAAAAATGAAATGAGAATAATTCCACCCTCAACTCGGCCCCCCGAATATCTCTTTAGCAGCCGTCACAATGTTCACCTTTGCATTCCCGCTCGCGATATAACTAACCAGTGCCCACAGACTTTCGAGAGCTTGTACCCTCTGACCAACGTCTACCATGTTAAATTGGATTGACCGATTGACCTCCGGACCCATAGACAGATTTTGCCGGCGTCTGCCTCACTATACCGAGCTGTCTCGGTATATCTGACATATTCTCGCGAGACATACGCTGTACTAATATAGAGGAATGGCCCATCAATGCTGATAACAAAGGTTTCCTGGTCCCCATGTCTGAGGATAAGCTTATATAGCTGGGTAATCACACCACCTATCATCTCAGCAACCTCCTGGGCAAAGATCGGAGGGGCGAAGGCTATGGGCTTTTCAGAGTTCCCGTTGATGCCGCCGATACTCCGAGATGTGCACTGAAGTTCTCTCAGGGTAAGGGCCACGGTCTATAAATGGAGACACGTTATACGGTTTACCTCTAAGCTGACCACAGGCGCTCTAAAGCTTTTACGCGAGCCAGAAATGTTGTGACAAAAGTAGACTCCAATAGATCCGTGGTCCACTTCAGTCGATTCATCGTGGTGAAGCTGCCACGGGAGTTCGACTGAAACGAGACTACTAATTGATGGGGTGGGTCTGCTAACCAGTCCAGAACGGCCTCCCTCCTTGCGGCCAAGCTCGGAAGCTCCCCCATATTCATTAAAGCAGCGTTGAGGAAATCCCTAAGAGCCTCAGAGTTGAGTGTCACTTATAAGGTTACTATCAGCATTGTCCTTGTCAACATCATCTTCACTATCGGAGGTGGAATGCTCGGTACCGATTAAATCAGCATCGGAATTTCTCCATAAAGCATCCATGATCGATTCGACGGAGGCTCCGGTTGCTGCCATCTGTGAAAGAACGTTGAAAAAGGACTGGAACGGATTGCCCAAGTACTGATTACTGTCAAACTGTCTGATACTATGTGGGTTTGCTGCCAGGAGGGACTTTTGAAGGAATATGAATTCCGGATTACCATCCCTTGGGAAGTATCTCTCAGGTATGATGCGCTTAGGATCAAGGTCAATCAGAGGGATTGCTCGCACGGCGTTGACTTCTTGGACATCCCGCCCCCGGTCTCGTTGAAGATTGGCGGTTGCTAGATATCTCGCGCTTTTCAGATACTGCTGTGCTAGAGAGTGCTTTCGTTCTGCCTCTTTTGGAATTAAAGGAACGAGAGTTTCCATCTTGGATTGAGGATGAGATTTCTTGGTCTCGAGGCTCTTTGTTTGGATTCTTTTTAACGGTCATATATGCAAGGGTTAACTGGACAGTCTCCAGCCTGACGTAGGCTGCTCCACGTTTATGCCGCAGTTGCATATTCATGGCTTGGCAGCGATTCGTGTGAAAGATATCTGCTATATGAATATAAGTGTGAGGTGATTTGGAAGATATGGTGACTAGAGACAGGAACCACAGTCTTCATTCACTGAGACTTTCCACGGTGACTTCTCTCATTATAACAATCACTCCCGGTGAAACACTGGCTATAGGAAATAGTTTTACATTTAAGACTTTTATACGTTCAACCTTAAGAAATCTGTCTCAAAGTACACAGTACGAACTCACAGGCGTAAGAGCTAGCCTAATAGCCATTACTTAAGTACACATACATGATCTCCTCTTCAGCATAATCTATTACCTATCACGTAACCGTGGCAGGAGTAATCATCTTGGAGTACTTAGTCCACTGAACCGTAGTGAGGGTTTCCTATCCTGAATTGACGAAATCTTTAGTTAACCCAATATGGGGTCCCTTCACTGGATTGTGCCCTGTGGTGCGTTTTTAGCCACGTTCCTTGAGTGCTATGGTCCCAAGTCTGTTTGACAACTAAAAAAGATCAAGCGCGAGCCCTTGTAACGCCATCCACGATATTGGAAAGGGTGACAAAAAGGAGCTTTTTCAATAAGACAAAAAAAGAATCTCCCCGACTGGGAGTCGAACCCAGGTCTCCCGCGCTTGTTCCTATGAAGGGATGACAAGCGGAAATCATGACCGTTAGACCATCGAGGATTTTGTATATATGAGCTGCTCATATTTAGTATAATAAGGCAAATTGATCTGCTTTATCTAGGTTTCACATTACCCCAGACACTTCAAGTAGAGCAGATGAGAAACGATCAACTGTCAATTTTCCTTCTATCAATAGGGTGATAGGGTATCTTCATAACTGTACGAAATAAGGAAGCCATCAAAGGGAGAATACAAGTATTAGACACTGAAAGCAGTCTTCCTTAAGCCAACCCACTGCCTATATCAGGGCGAGTCTAGGCCAAGTCTTCTCTCCCTCATCCGTACAACACTACTACGTATACGAGAGTTTCTTAGTCTAGGCCAGTATTGCATGTATGATACATATAGTCTTCCACACAATTTATAGGGTGTACTCTATAAGGCCATTCTCCGGAACTTTTTCACAATTAACCTGTCAAACCCAGATAATCAGCCTCGACCTTATAAGAGAGTACAGGGCTACTCCTTCCTTGGTCAATTTGAATACTGCATCATGATGTCAAATAGAACAAGTAACCTTCATCCTTAATCCTCGATGGTCTAACGGTCATGATTTCCGCTTGTCATCCCTTCACAGGAACAAGCGCGGGAGACCTGGGTTCGACTCCCAGTCGGGGAGATTCTTTTTTTGTCTTATTGAAAAAGCTCCTTTTTCTCTCTCCCTCTCGCTCTTTTTGCCCTTCAGAGTCTTCTTGGAACTATCTCAATGGTATCGTAGGAAACGCAACTTAATAGTCGGGCAAATGTATCTTTGGCACTCTGGTTAGGGTTACCTTTTCTGTAGTGGTTCCCAATACTCGATATAGATGTACTTTATATATTCCACAATAAAATGGTACATATTGTTAAATTACCCTCAAGACCATATAAAATGCACCACAAATTCAACTGAAAAACAGAAAAATAGACCGCAGCGTCTGCCCCTGAGTCCAATCCCAAACCCCTGCAGGCCTCCTAAGCGAATCCTCCGTCTTCTGAAGTATGAAACTCGCATCCCTACACTGACGAATATACCCCAGGTAGCATTCCTCATCATAAACGGTGGCTGGCTCAATCGTATCATCCGCCGTACAAAAAAAGTGCTAGAAAACCCGTTAGAATGAATTCTTCCACCCCACAGAGCCAACAAACACAAACCAGTACCAAATAAACCAAACAATGCGCAGTATGTTCCTTATCCATCTGCCTGCCCCCATGCGAATGCCCACCCATATCACCAGACCTATGCTTCCCCTCACTTGACTCGCCAATGTGTCCCTAATCCTCTTCAGACAATGCAGACCGTGAAAATGGACACGCCCCAGGCCTCGGTCTCGGCATTCTGGACCCAGAGGAACCTGCTCTTTCCGTGTGGGAAAAAGGCCTCCCAGGCTTGGTCGCCTCGTGTGGACCAGTCTTCTAGGTTTGAGATCTCGTTGAACCTGTAAGCCAGGCTTGAAGTGGGTGGGGGAATTGTCATGCTATTGTGGGCTGCTGCGAGGAGCTGGGAGGTTACGGCTGCTAGGCGATCGTTGAAGGTGGCTGTATGATGAGGGAGGGGGCTACTAGGGAGATGATTATGATGAGGCGGGCTTTGGAGCAGATTTTTAGTCGGGGGGCGTGGTCTGTGTAGTCCATGTTGTTTCTAGGGGTGTAATGTAGATGGAGGTAATGGGACAAGAGGATGAGTTGGGCTATGGGTGGGATCCGTGAAATGGGCAACTGTATGTATAAGTAAGGCCTCCACGAGATATTCTATCAAGTCTAGATAGAGGATAGGGCGTTGGGTGTAACTGTAGATAGATGGTACTTAGCCCTAATTCTGGCGACCATAGATCTCCGAAGATGCGGCTTGGGTCATCAGTCAATAGCGCCTACGGTTGCATATGGCTCTAGTTTTAGTGTTGACAATGCAAAAATTGGATCATGCAAGCCTTAAAATTTGAATTGAGATCTAATGGACTGAATCTGAGAGGTTTGCGGTCTAAATACTTATCTTGTAGATCCACAATGCTTATGCTTGCATCCTAGCTACGGCTAGGCATTTGATACCTTAGGATTACCTGGTGATGAAGAGGATATTAAAAAGAAATCCAGGATTGTCTAACACTATCACCAGTTGCATGTTTAGTGAATGCCGAAAGGGTGTTATCGACATCTAATCCAATGTGAGGTAGTACTATGAAATGCTAGTAAGCATGAAAAATCATAGGTAAACAAGATACGTAGAACAGTGAGTATCTAATTCAACACTAAAAGATATTGGCAATATCATTGGATACTGTATTGGCGGACGACCTAACCCCACAGCTTTGACCAATCTCGGCACTGGTGTGTAATATTCCATCCGTTGACTGTAGGGACGCCCGGACCAAGTCCATTCGGGTCTGTAGCCATGAGTGTAGTATCACCGGCGCACATAATGCCCTGTCGGATGTAGCCAAAGCAATGCTCGCTATGTTTGTTATGGACATGTGCTTTGTCTTGGTGAATATCAGATGTTTCGTAGAACTTTGTTCGGATCATGGCCTAGTATATGAGATAAAGCTCCTAGTTAGACCTGATATCGCGAGACCCATACCAAAATAAAAAATAAAAATAAAAATAAAAAAAAGAGGCAAAGGAGAGAACCTAGAAGGAAAGCAATCTCCACAAGCCAAGCAGTATATTTGGTGAAAGGCCGAGACCGAGTATCGCTCAACGCCAGGAGACTCTGGTAGCCCAAGCCTCAAACAAATCGTGATTCTCTGACTGTTTGACTGCGATAAACCCGCCCCCGACTAGGGTCACTCGATTATATTTTACCTGGTGAAGGCTTAGGAAAGTCAAGCTTACTGGGCGATAGACTGTTCCACGCCGCATCGTTCACCTCCGATAGCAGCTCAGCAAATCTTTCATCGATAGTAAACATAAAAATTGTCGCAGGCACTGTTGTCTCTTAACATTCTTAGTAGGCTTTCTATTCAGCATCGTAACATACAGTCTGGCACCAGGCCGCTTCCTTCTGACGACCTTGGAGAGCGATAGCCAATAAATGGTCGACCGAAGACAATGATGACGGTCTCCAAGGTGCAGACACATTGCCAACAGAAAGAGACAGACGGGATTAACCCATGTCAACTTTGAGGGTGTTAGCTTCTAGGCGGCCGCCAAAGCGCCATCATCCGACTCTGCGTCAGGTAGATCTTGGTATGGGTGGTTATAGAGAGACATAATGAGTGCGACAATATAGGAATGGAGTTGCTTCAGAGGTTGAGGTCGTCTCAAGTTTAATATTTGCTTAGGGAACCAGGGAAACCATCACGAGATAAAATTGGAGGATGGTGCAATATTAGAGGGATAAACTAAAGACACAAAGGAAAATGCCTAGGGTAAGAAATCTATGAATTCATTTAACAAGAAGCTCCTTCGAGCCTTAACATTACTCGACTATTTCCAGAGATAAGCCACAAATAAATATTACGGCAGTGTGAGGAAGATCTTCTATCCTGGAACGATTAGCCACTCGTCAGCATCTGGTAGCTTCTGCGCAATGTGTTTCCCTTGATCCAGCCCTTAATATCTTCGAAATTCCGGCATTGATGCCAGGTATTGAAGTTGGGGTATGGTCGTGGAGAACGTTCTACCCACTCGTGCAAAATGGTGCCCACGTCTGCATTGCACATAAGGGTTGTGGCGCAACATCTCAACAAAGTGATCTAGAGTTCATCAGCAACGGGATTTATATTGTTTGAAAATCGCCAAAAAAAAGGCTTACCTCAATGGTGACGGATTGTAGTTGGCTTAACAGTGAACTCGACAGCCTTGTCCTTATAATATACATATTGACTCTACTTACGCAGGAAATCCTAATAATCGTCAGCAGTGGCGCTTTCACTACAGGAAACAGCAGTCATACTAGACAATGCAACTAGTGTGCTACCTCGACTGAAGTGATGTAGCCACCGTCTCCAAACTCTGGTGGGAAACGGACTGAATCGACGCTTTGTCAAGATTTAAGTACCTGGTCCCTGGTGACGCTCATGAGTCCCACTAGATCGTCGTCAGTTGTTATCGTCTATTCATCAAGGTGAGCGACTCACATCCAGCTAATTCATCCCAAGCGGCATCCACCTCTGGACTGGGTGGGCCGCGATATGAGGAGGCAAAATCAAGAGATCCGTTGAACTGAACAGGGTGATACTCAATTTTCATTTCATCCAATGCAGGAGCTATGTGTTTATGTCAATGAGAGATGTATATGTGTGGGGAAGTTCGAGAAGTCTCACAATAACATGAATGCCTGCTGAGGAACATCTGTTCAGCGTTCAATTGCCATCTGAGCATCTGAGCACGACGCATTGATAAGCATAAGATCGAGGATTATTTATTATTTATCTGTTTATTAGTTGCTTTCTTCACGAGATCACCAATTCTATCCCTAGATCTAGATGGTCATGACTAGGATGAAATTCAGCCTGATCGATTCATGTCGTCAAATTCAACCCTAATCGGCAAGATGCTAAAAAAGTAATCCACACTTGATTTAATAAAGGATATTGTTCCGCCGGCGGAACGCAGAAGTTTGTCGGCAGGACGACCTATCCCAGCCAATGTTTAAGGCCTATATTTAGTCTAAGATTAGATCCTACACTAGTAGTGTTGCATTGACCCCGAAAGGATCGAGATCTAAGGGTGTGGTCGTTGTCTAAACCAATCCTCGTTCATGTTTAGACAGGTGAAGCATTCTAATCAGCCCTTGGCTCAACGGCTTAGCCTTTCCTTGAATCATTGATGAATGCTTGAAGATGCGAGGTATCGCTTCTTATCTACTGATGCCGTTATCTGAGTCTCGGTTGTATCTCGAGTATCTTCTTAGTTTTCCCCGTGGAAGTTTTTTTCCTTGGAACGGGGGTGCAATAACGAGCTCAGATGAAGGCCCTTGGGTCTCGAGTATTATTATCTATTTTTCAAGCAAGGTGGGTCTTATTTGTTTATGTAGGGCCTTGTCCTATTTGGTCGGCTATGATTGTTTCTCATCCTGGTAATATCTATCTATCGCTTTTGTGTGGCAGGGGGGTAAACAGAGTCTATAAATTGAATCTGCTCGTCCGTTTCCTTCTCTATATGTATCTACCGTTCTTTGTTATACTCGAACTATATAGCAGGGATCGAGGCTTCAGCTGATCGAACCTAGTCTAACATTTTCCCGTGAGTTGCTTATATACTTATTGCAGCCCTAAACTTGAAGACAGTACATTTCACCCTAGAACTATAAAAAAAGAAGACAACTTAGGGCATGTTCTCACGATGTGAACAATCACTTACTATTATTGCTGCAGCCCGCAGGACTGACAAACAGTCTGTCTCAGTATATAAAAAGGAAGGATAAAAAAGATAGAGGAAGGTTGGCAATGGAAGGAAGAGACAAAAAAAGAACCTCCCCGACTGGGAGTCGAACCCAGGTCTCCCGCGCTTGTTCCTGTGAAGGGATGACAAGCGGAAATCATGACCGTTAGACCATCGAGGATTGCTAGTGACAAAATTAGGTAATTTTGCATATATGAGCACAAACTAAAGTCTGGCTTGTTAGTTTCGATGGTTTTGCGATGGACCAAGTTTATACAAACCTATCTAGGGTTGTAGGATTTCCCGGTAGATCATCCTCCTTGGAATATAGCCGTCAAGATTTACAAAACCTTTGTCTTATATTCACCTTTCAGCACATAACAGTCACTCCCGTTTTAAGCCAAGATTACAAAACCCCTTGGCTATATAATCTCAGAATGATGTTATGTACACACCACTTTTCCCTTGGTAGCGGCACCTCAGCCTTCACCAGACCTCAACATTGGCCTAAGCGAGATGTTAGCATTCTTGATCTAGAACACAGCTTGACACTTTCAGCCTATTGGTTACCAAATCCTACTCAAAAATCGATATGCCTTCCCTAGACTACCTGGTCGCTGTCGATACTGGTGTACGCCTGGTTATGGCCAAATACCCAGCTGCACAGCTCTACGAGGTCACAGCCACGGCCTCGGATTCGCGATACGTTAGCCATCCATCCGAGCTGGATCACCTGAGATTTGTGTTCCGCGCTGGCCTTGGCACTGCATTTCTAGCATCAACCACCCAGGAGATATATGGCCCTATCCAATACGATCCTGAACCGTGGCTGGACGATGTGGTCATCCGATGGCCGGTCGGTATGGATGCTTCTGAGGCGGATGGGCTTTTGAAAAGTCAAGGCTTTACTGCACCATACAACAGCATGCTCCTGCGCCATCCCGTCTACCCTGGCCTAGATGAACCATACTATATCTTTCACCTGCAGAAGGAGCGGTTTGTCTTTGTTGGCGTCAACTCGAAGAAAGTTTATACCCTGGGTATATCTTTGATAGAATTGGGCGACGTGGATTAGTTGTAATCATGTATGTGGTCTTTGCGCGCGAGAAGGAGAGGATGGAGATAATCCTTTAGAGAGACCATCTCTCATGACCTTGCTACCTAGACCCCTAACTGGCACACAAAATGATGAGAGGTATTGTATGGAAGTAGATCATAATGGGACTTGCGTTTACTGGGGAACTTAGGAATCAGTAGTAAATCATGAGGAACCTTCCATATATCCTAGGCAAGTAAAATGATATTGTCGCACTCTGATTTCTGTGCCGTAAGATTACTACGGATAGAGTATTGAATATTTTCAGAATATGACTCCTGGTCGGGTGCCGACTAGAGCCATGCTTCCATTTCTTCAGTTTTCTCCGGAAGAAAACAGGAGAAACGATGGAAAAGTTGTATGATTCCATCGTTCGTCATGTAATTGGATTGAGTGCGTCCTCCGATCGCTAGTGAACATACTACGACCCCTTCTAACTACATTCAGCTCTTAAGATGCATCTCTAAGATGGCCATGACTCTTCATCAGCCGTGCGATTGGTGGGGTTTTCGTGAAGCTATACAAGCCCACAAGACTTGTCGCGGCCATATTTGGAGTATTTCCGGTGGGATGAGTTCATGGCATTTCCCCACACAAACACATCTGGGGTCTGGGGGAAGACTCTAGTCTAACGGTCACTATAGTCACAATAGTCGTCGTGCCCTTATAAAAAGGCAGCTGAAAAACCCCCTGTCTCTGCTATGGAAGAAGTACGTCTGCAGCTAGAATTGCGTAGGATTGTCAATCTTAACTAATGCATTTCCTACGGTTCCTTGTAGCCGCGCCGTTGGCTCTCGCGACGAGCATCCCTAGGACCGTGGCCCCAACTACTTTCTCCGAAGCCACTGTCTTCAGTCCGCCATCCGACTATGTCGTTCCCCGTACCCTCTATGCTCGCAACCTCCAATTGCCCAATGGCGATCTATTAGCCACCTGGGAAAACTACTCTCCCGAGCCACCAGCAGTCTTTTTCCCAATCTATCGATCGACCGATGCCGGTAAGACCTGGAGCGAGTTGTCTCGCGTAGAAGACACGGCCAATGGGCTAGGTCTGCGCTATCAGCCATTCCTATACTACCTGGAAGAGTCAATTGGGTCATTTGAGGCGGGGACTATCCTACTGGCTGGGAGCAGCATCCCCACAGACCTCGCGACTACTCAGATCGATCTCTATGCTTCTCGCGACTCCGGCGCCACATGGGAGTTTGTGAGCCACATTGCTGCCGGTGGTGAAGCGCTTCCCAATAACGGACTGACTCCAGTCTGGGAGCCCTTCCTCCTTGCCCAGTAAGTGTAGCACTATATCCCCCATCATTCCCGAGCAGCATCTAACGATCGTCCAACAGCAACGGAAAGTTGATCTGCTTCTACTCGGACCAGAGGGCCAACGAGACCCACGGCCAGAAACTCGTTCACCAGACAACCACTGACCTGAAGAACTGGGGTGACGTGATCGACGATGTGTAAGTTGGCAGGCTCTTTTCGACCGGCACCAAGGTATCTATGACTGACAGGACCCGTTCCTTACCAGTGTGTACCCAACCTACACTGATCGCCCAGGCATGCCAGTAGTTACCAAGGTACTCTACCCCCCCTCCCTTACCCACCTACACCACTAACCCCCCTCCCCAACAGCTACCAACCGGTGAATTCATCATGACCTACGAATACGGCTCGTTCTTCAACACCTCAACCTACTCCTTCCCCGTCTACTACCGCATCTCTGTAGACCCAGAAAGATTCCTCGAAGCCCCGCACCAGAAGCTCGTAGTATCCAGCGGGACCCAGCCAACCGGTTCCCCTTACAACGTGTGGACTCCCTTCGGCGGTGACAAGGGCACTCTTGTCGTCAGCTGCGGCAACTTGGGGTCTGTCTTTGTCAACCAGAATTTAGGTGAGGGCGAGTGGACGGAGATCTCTACCCCGGAGAGCGCGAGCTATACACGGTCCCTGCGTATCTTGCAGGAGAAGGATAACTACCTCTTGATTAACGGCGGTGGTGTGCTTCAGGGGAAGTCCAATAAGGTTACTGTTACTGTGATGGATTTGGAGAGTGCTTTGGCATAGAAGCTCGATTTTACTTAGATATGACGGTTTTTGTCTTCTTGTGATGATGATGTAAGGCATGTAGAGGGTCCTTGGGTGTTAGAATCCATGATGTGATGTTATTACAGTCTACTGTGTGCTCAGTATATTCATTTGGTTATTCTAGCTGTTACACTTTCTTTCACGTTCTGGCTTTTAATCCGAAGAAATCTATCGTTTAACGTTACAATACAATACAAACAAGTATGGGTGATGGTACTGGATATAGCTTGTCCGAACTTTACAGAAAGCTGATACACATAAGAGCACCAAGTGCCCGGGAAAGGTAGTGACACAGAGGGCTGGAGGTGGGAATATGGGAATACCAAAGACCTATTCCACTGGGTGTTTGTTCCGCCAAATTACGTCGAAGCTTGGAACACGACAGAAGCGTTCAGGGGATTGTATCCGAGCTGGTAAGATTCAATGCTTCTCATGGTCGATCAGCCTTGACCGGAAGCAGGAAAGGTGCTATTTTGGAGACTTTCCAATTAGGACGTCTAGAGTTTCAACCATGCTACACAGAAGACGAGGATTTTATATCTATTACTGTGCCAAAGCAACCTTGTTAAGGGTATGAAGGCGAAGCTTTGGGGTTTATCAGGTATGCGAAGCTGTCAGGGGAAGTTATGTTGGTCAATGCTTGTGCTCAGCTTCAACCCGATGCCCTCCAGCTTGGGGAGTCCTCGAAGCAAAACAAGGACGACCCCGCGGGTTCTTACGGAGAAGGACTTAAACTTGCAGCTATGGTCATTTCAAGGAACGGCTATAAATATCAGTATTGCATCAAAGCAGCTGTTCTTGGAGTTTTTTCGCTTAGGGGGTCATTGAACTCCCGATTTTACTGTCTCTTAACGCCCCCCAAAATTGGGCAGCCCATTGGACCAAACCGACCATGTCCAAGATATGGCTCGCTTCACGCCTCGTATCTGGAGAGACGTATCCGTTTCGATTGGACCAGGGCGTATAAGTCCGGCCCGGCGGGTTTCGATTGAAGAATTTAAGGAATGGCGGGATATATCATTAGACATCCGCGCCTTATCCTTCTTCCCTTATTAAAACGGATTATGGCGATCTAATAATTGATTTAAAACATCAAGGAAAAATCTATTTGAAAGGGTTATCTCTTCCCTTATCTGTTTCGGATGCGAGACTATACAAGCTAGGCTATAACTTCTTTAACAGGAAGGTTAACCGTGATAGAGAGCGGTTAGCCAAATAGGCTCAAAGAAGCAAACATTGTGTGACGTATCTGGGAATTTGTCATTCTAAAAGAGGAGACTACTCTATATATATATCAACCTGCTGCACAATTTCCCATATGCTCCCGATATCGAGCTGGCGGACTAGCTACTAGACAGTCAGTCACACAGGGCGTTTGATCTGGAAGCGTCTCCTGGAAGAAGTAAATAGCAAGCAGTTCTATCACAAGGAGAAGTCAGGTATACATGAAATGGATCGGTTAGTGGATTGTACGGTGAGCTAATTTTTACCTAGAGTGCCGAAATCATCAAACCTAGCCTCAAGAAGCAGCCCACTTACTTACTGAATATCCTATAGCAGTTGCTGAGAGCACATTCGCTAATAAGGACAATGTAGGAAGAGCGGTTAGCGTTATTTATAGAGGCAGAAGTAAATGAGCTTCTAGAAACGCCGTTTGTAAAGGCTATATAACAGGAACTGAAAGCCCTGTCCGGCACTGTAGATGAGGACTAAGGGAACGGAAGTCGCTTTTATAAACAGTGTAGAAACCGACGTCGATATTATTTCCGATTCCGAGAAGAACATGCCGAAGGTCCCCCGCAAATGGCTAGAAATTACATCAACGCACAGGATGAATTAGCACAAGGCTGTGCGGAACTGCATGATGGGTAATGCTTTTCTCTGTGGCCATGCCATCAAGGAGCTGATTAGGACGATAATCCGCGTATTGTTCAGACTCAATGTCCGCGATCAGGATTGGCTCGTACATGGAATAAGCCAGAGGCTTCAGTCGATGCCACGTGATATAACTGTTAAAGCTTTCCAACGGGGAAGCTTGCAAGTGAGTTGGCGGGATAGTGAAACAGAGACGTTATCATAACTATATAGCTATATGATAGTCTATCATGCCGTTCTCCATAAGGAGATATACCCGGATGTGATGACACAGGTCCTACATGGGAAACCAGGTTAGTTTAGTCAGACCAAAGCCATTGTTCACATTCTAGGAAGTCACAAAAATTGACATGGACTCACTTATCTAGTTAATTCTCGGCTTAAACACGCTTCATGTGGCTGCCAACAGAAGTTTATGGCGCAAAACTGCAAGCTGCTCCCTTTCTCCAGTTGGATTGTACTCGCAGGTATTTTCCAATAGTTACCCGGAATCTTGAACATACTTTTCTACAGGGTCCCTCCGCGGCGCACCGCCAACTGGCAGCCACCAAGGCTCGCGGTCACTTCGGGCCATCGGACTCAAGGTTTTGATCCCCCACAGATTAATGGCATTCAGCAAGCAATCAAGCCTTTGTCCTCGGACTAAAAATACCAATAACAGTATACCTAGAACCGAGACGGACAGCGCACGGTGGCAATCCTCATTTTCCATCCCCTACTTACTTTTTATCTGGACATGCAATGACCAATTGCTGGTGAGATCTGCAGCTGTACAAGCTTCTCACGTGCACATCAACTACAAATATAACACGGCCTTTCTATAGTACTGCTTAATGCAGACTTTCTTGCATCCCGCAACGGGTATAAGCGATTCCTATGCACATTCAATACGTCACTTCATGTGCGGTTACAAGTGTTTATATCACTTTGCAGATTTTAGAGAGCCATATACTAAGGAGTCACTCTTAAACATAGCATCTACCGATAGATGTAGCCCCCTTTGAATGAGAAATTACATGAAATACTTCTTTTGATGAGGGCCATATTTTACATCCCATGGTAAGATGGAAGCACTTTTTTACTGGAAAGCAGTACCGCGTCATGGATATCTTATCCTCTCTAGTAACTAGTTCCAATGTCTACTGTATTAGAAGCACACATACGCAGGGGGGATATAAAAGAGGGCAGCACCAAATAAAGACGAAAGCAAAGCAAAGCATGAGGAATGGATAAAAAGACATTATGGAGTGAGGAAGTGGTAAAGCTCTGGATAAAGCCCAATGTTCCATTTTTTACCAGATATTTTATTGATTATTTTCAACAAAGCTTGCGCGATCTGATTCTGTTACACACTCAATCGATAGGACTCTCAAGTGCTGTACAGACTGTGAAGCTGAAACTTGGGCTGGCTTGCCCTTGAATAGGAAGAAGCTATTGGCCTCCGGGTTAATGGAAGTTGAGATATATAATCCAACTTCAGGAATATGGGTGAGTAATAGATGAGATATCCTGGCAAGGAACTAGATATAACCCGTTTTAGATTCTGTAATAGTTTAAGTGACTCTCAACGCACTACTTGGTCCGTATTATGTCTGTTCATTATCTATTCTATTACTTCTATACACGTTTAAACTATGTAGTGTCTTAGATAGGGGACGCTTAGACGCCGCAGCCCTCTGCCCGGCCCTGCACAGATTAGAAGTGTCTCAAATTTTCACCCTTTCAATATCTAATCTATGACACATATTATAAAGCATTGGAAGATGAGCATTCTATAGGACCATTTTACAATAGCCTACGAATCTATCGTATAAAAATTGGCGCACATGAGATTAGACGTGTGCCTGACCGCAGTGTATATTCACGGACCTGAAGGATAGCCCCGGAGCTTTGCGAGGATATGAATTAGGAGAACAGATCTCGCAAATTACACGGTAACTTGAAATACTGGTGGGCAATCCAAGGCGTAGAGTTTGAAAATTCAGGGTGAAGTACTAAGACATAATCACAATCCATGTATGAACCGCCCCGATAGTCTACGAATTATAGCCTCTGGGTGTTTGCTGCTGGGGTGATAATCACCTTGTCGCAAGAGGGAAAAGTGGGCGTGACATGAAAGCCATTGAGCCGAAGGTACTGGCCGCCGGTAGGTGAAGCCAGTATTAATTATGAACCACTCTCCCTGGCCACACCCTATCCTCTCCAGTGGGGGCTTTCCCTGTTGACAACCCGCCCTCGAATCCTACAGATCTACATCTCTATTTACCCTGAGCGTTTATCGCCCTGTGCCACGCTTCATCTGACTTTTATCATGGTTGGAAATATGTCCGATGATTGGGGAAGCCCCTACGGGTTGTCATTTCGCAGGAACAGTTCGTGCCTGAGCACTGACTCAGACTGTGGTCAAACATGGGCGCCATTCCACGCCTGTTGCCCAAATGGCACCCACTATCCCACGCAGAACAACGTTAAATGTTGTCCCAGCGACGCAGACTGTAGCGATCTCTTCAAGGAGAGTCCACACTGTGCAAACAGCACGGGCAACCTTCTCAAAGCAAATGGCTACTTCTGTTGCCCTGCTGGGACAGTAGGCGTCTCGAGAAAGGACACTGAGTTCGTCGGCTGTGCAAAGTCCGTAGACGATGTGGGAGACGCATATAATCTATTAGCTACAATTTCCACCGGGCCACGTACGTATCCAAATCGATCACTGAATCTTTGCAGACATTGTTGAGGTGCGATCCTAATGACATCGAGCAGCAAGCCCAACCCTAGTTTTCAGCTTCTCGTCTTCGACATCGTCCTTTGCGACTTCCACATCATCGCCATCCCCGAGTCCATCGCGAACCGACTCACTAACAGAGACATCAGCCCCTACTGCAACATCTACGGCAAACCCATCAGGTTCATCTGCACAGATCAACACTGGTGCGGTCGCAGGCGGTGTGGTTGGTGGCGTTGCGGGTTTCGCACGCATCACCTTTCTGATCTGGTTTTATCTCCGCCGTCGAAAGGCGTCATTACGCGAGGGTGCACGGGTATCTAGCTATTCCTACTACTCAGGAGCTCCGAAGGGTGCTGTCGCGGGACGCAACTCGGTTCTGCAGGAGCCTGACAACTCCGCTGGATCACCGCCACAACCGCCGATTTACGAGCTAGCGACGGCGAATACGCCCACAGCATGGGAGATGCGGGTGAGCCGCCAGCCATGAAGCGGTGCTGCTGCTGCTGCTATGTGGCGTTGGGGGGCTTTTTGGGCCTGGTGTTACTCAGTAGGAGCAGTATGTCTTCAACGGCGTTTCTCTAGCCTATCTCATGATATCGAAACGATCTACTTGTCATGTTTGCAACGTGGATAATAGCACCAAACGCTTAAGGTACTCTGGTTTGTCATGCTGACTAGTGTAGATATTAATGAATTTTATGGAGGTACGGCTTACCGTGCATTGAGGGTTATGATCCTTGTTTATACTAAAACTGGCAAGGAAATGAGACATCTACGGTTAAGTAAGTTATGCTAGCTAGAGTCGGTCTCTGAGGCTGTTCTAAGGCGAGATTTGAAATATACTCTACTATGTAGGCTATCGGTTGCCTCATCATGGACGTCTGCTAGGACGAAAAGCTCTTGCGAATGTCAGTGAAAATATCTGTGCTAGTGGTTAGATGGATGTACGCGGGGACGACTATCTTTTGAGGAAGAGAAGAAAACCTGGCTTTCTGGTCGGGTAAACCCTTGTAAGAACATAAGAAACAAGCCGAGTAGACCGTGAACAATCATAATCAAGGAGCACCGCGTTAAACCTGACATTAGTAGTCGATCCGGGTAGGTTATCTTATCATACAACACGTAACTAACCCTAACAAGGCATTAATGGTCGGTGTCATTACTTTCCACTTCAGCACATAAGCAAGATCTCATGCAGTACAGGCTGCGGACGGCGTGGTACAGACTAATACAGGACAAAATTGCAAAGCACCAGCTCTAGTCTAGCTATCTACCATCAAGGGAAGAAACTTCACTGACTAAAGTGATCCACTTAGGGTCTTGGCCGTACCGGAAGTGGATTCCGTAGTTGCAGCGCTTTTGCGCCAATCACCCTGGATGCAGATCTCAACTTCCGGACCCCGGTCCCCATTGCGTTGGTAGCTGACTACTGATATCCAATTGTTCAAAGCTAGCGCGCTTTAGAGCCAGGAGCAGACATCGATCGGCCATTCAAAGGGCGTCCGTCATATGCTCTTGACTTTGGGTCCTATCCTAATCTCCTGCTCCTGCGGCGGTTCCCCTTTTCAAATGGCACCCTATATTAGTACACACATATAGTAGGGTAATATCCTGTTTAATAGCCTCAGTGGGCAGCTAGGGTATAGCGTATTGGCGGCAATTTGCGTGTGCGCAGGCTTAATTTGCTGTGTCTTGACTGCGGCAGCCAGGGATCGATCATCTGAGTCAGGCCGGCACGGGCCGGGTTTGATGGGCCAAGACCATCCTGCCTGTATCGGTTTAGAGTTGTTGCTCTGGGGCGCTTGTGGGTAAGGAACTGGTGTGGGTCTTTGGGCGTCGACCGTTGCAGGAACCAGAGCTTTTTCTCGAGTGTTTGAGCCATGAGGAAATGGAGCTTTCCCGTCGTCTTCCTGCTGGGGGTGGGGTCTTAAAGATTAGTTAGCCTGGATCAAGTTTCGGTAATAAACACCCAGACACTCACCCGTCTTGAGCCCAGGATCAATTCGGGACTCATCAGGATTGTTACGTGAGTAGAAGAGTGAGTCTGGGAGGACGGACGACGCCAGCAAGTATACCAGGCCTTCTCATCTTAGCGCTGGCTCTCGCCCTGCTATATATGAAAGGTGGTACTAGTTTCCACCCTGCTCTCCACCGTTGTGATCAGCTTCCCGTACCCACTGCCCTAACATATCTCGGGGATTTGCAAGCCCTACGCAATTATATAATAAAGCCACGAGTCCACGACGTGTTGCGTGGATCTCGATAGGTGGTACCCCGACATTGCCAAAATTGTGCTATTACATGGCAATGATTCAGAGTACCTGATGTCTAGGCTATAAAGATGTTTGCGAAAGCATTTGTTCATGGCGAGGAGCAAAGGGAATGCTAGTTCAAAAAAAAGTACTCTCTATCAATCGTCCGTCTTAGGTCAATAGCTCGTTGTTCACCACCCCACTCTATCTCTTTCATTCCACTTTTTTCTCACTCCCTAAGTCACTCGGTTGGCGCACTTCTCTATCTCTTTACACTTTAAATGCTTTTCCCTTTTTATTTTTTTTCCGGGTTCATCCCGGGCTGCCTTTGTTAGGGAGCATTCTTCGTGTGCTCAATGCCGACATAGACGCCATACTAATAATATCATCGTTTCGTGAACCAAGGATTCATTATACGTTCATACAATAGTAGCCAACAATCTATATACATTAAACCCGCCAAATTCAAGGCTCCCATAGTAATATATCAAATCGCAAGATTGCCTCTGTCATGGAAAAAGGTTTCCATCTCCTGGATCACATTGCGGAAATATGATTCGACCCCCTTGTCGGAGATCGGGCGCCACCACTTCTGGTGCAGAGATTTGAAGTTTTTGAGATCATCCATGGTGGCAAACAGTGGTTTCTGGTTCCACCCAGGCCCCAGCTCCCTCCACGGTATCCTGCCATCGACTCGATGGGCACAGTTAAGAAGATTCTGCTCAGGATAGGTGGCATCGAATCGGTCTGCCGTGTCAAGAAGGTGTACGTAATAGTTGAACAGCGTTTCGGAGGGCGAAAGGACGAAGAAACCCGCATTTATATAATTATCTGCCGCGTAGAAATCGTTTTCTGGCACGGGTGGAAGAGCCTGTTCCACCCAGCGATCGTGGATACCAGAGAGCAGGTACGCTTCAGGCAGCGGAAAGTCATTGTCCACGCTGTTGCCCAGACCCTCTCGAGGGGGTATGGATTGTTGGAGAGCAGTAGTATTGTCTGTGAAAATGTCGTCCAGAGGTTGGAGAACGATGGTATCGGCGTCCATAAACGTGATCTTTTCGTATTCCGTCTGCCTCCACAAGTTCAGCTTGGCGAGGACGTCGATCCAGCGACTCCATTTGGGATGGATCCACTCTCGTGCAAGGCTTTCTGCCGGAATCACTGTGGCACCATCTTTCACAAGTCGATCTCGTTGCTCCTGGGGAACGTCCTTCGTAACCAAGACGAGGAAGGGAATATTACCGGCGCGTGATTTGGTCTGGGGGCCGTAGAGAAGCTGGTAAGTAAGTAGCCGCGTTGCCGTGAAATAGGCGTCCTTGACGTCGGACTCGACGTCGCCTTCGCCGGTAATGATTGTTGCGAAAGCATATTTCGGCTTGGGTTTGGCTGCCGGCGGCTCTGTGGTAGCTGGTGACGGGGGTGTTGGGCTTGGTGAGCTGGTCGCCGTGTCATGGTGAGAGACGATCGGCTTGGATATTGATGGGATCCTCTCTCTCAGAGTGCCCAAGGTAATTATCATGGATATGCCGGCAAGGACGACTAAGATTTTCCCGGATCGCGACAACGGCCTCCACCCCAAAGAAACAGGCATGTTGAGGATTGGCCAACTAAACAAGGATTTCAATTAGATCGGCCACGGTCTAGGAGACAGGACCAGGATAGCTGACGAGGAAGATGCATTAGGCACAGGCGTGATATGCGTGTAAATCGCCTACTTTAGCCCCCACCAACTCTCCCCTGACCGCTCTAAGGCTTGCTAAGTGTACAAAATAATATCCATTCGCCAAGCTCGACGGCTTAGTACGATGTGGGCACTCGTTGAGCACTGCCTCACAGGCTAACTAGGACTAGGGAGGTTTCCGTTAAGCGTTGCTTCGCTCGATCGATGTGTTGCAGGACACTACGTATCTTTTCTTCCGTTAACTCGGATTGTAGCCTCAAGTCAACTTCGAACAGGAAACCGTTCATAGTACTAGCTTTGCTTTAACAGTTGTACGTGATATAGATAGATAAGTACTACGGGGTACCTAAGTATGAGATGCCTCTTTGCTTGACAAACTTATACCTACTTGAATCGGCCCAGCCGATATTCGTCATTTCAAAACTACCATTTACAAGCCGGTGGCAGCCTCTCCATATATGGATCATCTCCAAGCAATGAATAGAAATTTGCGTTTGTTTGCTTCCAACACCTGCCATAGGAACTTCTAACTATTCCACTGATTCAACAACTCCTTCATCCCGTGCCAAAGTCATTCGGACCCACAACAACTTATATTAGTATTAAGGTCTTCATTAATTTGGGAAATTAAAAAAAAGGGGATAAGCAGATCGAACAAGAAACGCATTCTTGTGTTATGGGCAACATGGCACGGCTGCAATAATAAAGGTACCCCAGTCATTTGACGTGAAAGGTCACTGTATGTACATAGTGGGCAGGCCCGCCTAAAACGGGCGTTGCTTTTCCTCACTCCCATGGACATTCTGAGTATTGTCGGGTAGCGATAAACCATTCCCTTAGTGTTGTCTTCTCCGAAATACCTTCGTCGTCATGCTGAGGGTAACGGCTAGAAGGACGCACACTATGACGCTATACATAGTTGTGTGACGGTCGAGGCAAAGCCGTCGATTGGTTAAGGATGAAACTCTTCCTCCCGATGCTATAGAGCTCCGTGAGCTGGATGACTGCACAAGGTAACCATGCGATGTGGTCTGCTTCTCATGATCTTGCAGCAATCGATTGCAGCTTTTTCTACGCTCGTCGGAGCTCCTGAGCTCTTCCGTGCCGGGTCCGTAAAGTGGCCGATCCCCCGGCCTGAAGTTCTCATCCTGTCCACGAAGCCATCGTTCGTAGTCGGTTTTCGGTCTATCTGACCCTTTCTTCTGAACTAGAGGAATTTTCATTTTGTGAGAAACTGAGCAAACCGTAGTGGCTGGTCAGTGCATCGGATTACGCTCAGCAGATAGGGGTACTCACCTTGGGAATCGAACGATCCAGATATGTGCCGCGAGCCTCACCGTTTATTTTTTGATAACGATATGGAGCTTGCCCGCCCCTGTCTCACATTCATGCGGTTCTTGTACTTAATAGTGTTCGCAGTCTAATATCATCGTCCTGCGGGCTTTATGGATCAAGCATACACGGCAGCCCTTAGCACCCGGGGAGCCCCTCAGCCCTTGGGTAGAGGATCGATCCAACAGTCCTGGTAGCACTAGTAAACCACTCACCCAAAAACAAAGCTGACCAGATCCCTGCCAGGTACAAGGCTTACGAAACTGCTCAGCCTAAAACGATAGTAGCAATAGAACTCAAATATGGCATCTGTCCTCCTATCCGCAGTCAGACCTATGGAGCGCCGGTGTCAGCGGCTAATGCAGCTAATGGCCTGAGCACCACCTGAGTAAACTACGATGCGAGAACCCTTGCAGAGCCCATCGGAAATTCCCAATTTATTCATAATTCGCCTTTTCCCCTCCCGGCCGGGGCCTAGAGACACTAGAATAACGCATGTATCCTTGCCCCATGCTCGGACGCGGGCTGGTGGCTTTTCCGCCTCCTCCGCAAAACCCGTTTAATGCATTACGACTTCCTCTTCGCTCACCTTCTATAATTAATTGTGCCGGATATTATGTCTCAGGGGTACGCACTTACGGCGGGAGAAGCTCTGTAAGGATTTTGAAACGAACTGCGGCGATACTTAGGGGGGGTGTTGTTTCCTGTTGCCCAGAAAACTCGTACTGCTATACCCAGGGCACGACCTCCCGTTCCTGAAAATTGCGCGAAGAGTACGTGGTTTCTTCCACGCGAATGATGTCTTCCGTTGTGACCAAAGGGGAAATTGCCTTCAAAACGGTAAACACAGACCCCGATGGGGTGTTGGGCTGCGTGTCGCCCGATTATGAACTAAAAGATTGGCAAAGCACCCTCACGGTGATGAAATCCGGGACAGGTATGTATATCGTGCGAAGCATGCTGTGACCTATTACGGTATTGCGACTATCTTGTTTCTTTTGTCCCTGACAAGGCCTATTCGTCGTCTCATCATCCTCATCCACTCCCGCACCCTCATCGACAACCACTCCGTCAACAGTCTCAACTACACAGACCACAGAACCCACAACTTCACGGCCGTTATCATCACTGTCCAAATCTAGTACAAATACCGGCGCTATTATCGGCGGTGTTGTCAGCGGTGTTGTCGGAGGGGTTGCTGGTGTAGCTATCCTTGCTGCCCTGGTTTGGTCTTTTGCATGTTACAAGGCTAGACGACGAAGAAAAGCCGACCCCGCGATACCACCGCCATTGGCCACTTACGGCGTCCAGGATACACAGATAATCCAGCAAAAGCCCAAAAGCCGTGCGCCGATTCAGGAATTTGACACTGGCTTGGACTTCCCATCAGTCCATCATCCTGTCGAGTAACTACCCACCACTCCCACGGACCAATAATCAAGATCCCAGGGTACATTTTCTAGACTTGGAGTGTCCATACATTGTTGACAAAGACGCATGGCCTCAAAGGCGTAGATTCGACCAGGGGAGTAAGGTGACACTCCATTGAAAACCGGGTTTATGGAGAACCTATATATCTACGGTCATTGATGCGGGCAGGGCAGATGAATGCTGGGTCGAATGAAGTATATTAGCACATACCTGGCAGCCAGTGCACTCATGGCATAGACATGCTTCATGGGTGCTTTGCCTTCCCTCACTTGACACATGAAACTCGGCTCGTGGAACATGGTATGCGCCATGTTGTGAATACGATGGAAATACAATACAACCAATTCCAGTAGAACTTTACGCGCTTTCAGTGCTTCCTGGAAATCTGGTTCTGATAGTGGTACTCGAGCAAAATTGCGATCCGTGCGGCCATCCGGTGACGATTGGGTTGTCACTCTGGCTGATCTGGTACCATGTCTCAGACCAAGGCTGCATGGCACTGACAGCAAACTACAAAGTTGACAACCGTGTCCTTCAATTGCTGGAATGCAACGTCTTTTACGAGCTGAAATTGATACTCATTTAGTACCATTCTTACATGTAGCATCATAGTGCATACTCACCGGCAAGTTGAGCAGGCACCAGCCCTTGGCCTTTTTGAGTGTTGGGTCACCATGAGCCCTATCAAGCCTTGCAGGTAGTTTGCACAGACCAATGAGTTTTTATTGGAGTAGAAGACTCTTTTTTAAGCTTGTTGTTGATAACCATTGTTGTATTGTCGATATTAGACGTTGGATAGATATAGGTGTTGGCTGCGGGCTTTAACCGTTCGCACTACGCCTGTCACGGGACCCCCGTAAATAGGGCTTGGGGTAAACGGCGATCGACATTTGATAGCATTTCGATGTCCCACGTTTTCAGTTTGAGTAGATTGACACGCAGGAACGGTGCAGCAATTTGGGATCCGAGAGGGGGAGTCGGTGATAAGCAATGGTAATATTAAATGCAAGTAGGTAGTGGGACAGCCTACAGCCTATCGGATTAGTGGATGTTCGGGCGGCCCGACGCGTTGAATGGTGTCAGTGACTCGTAGCCGCTCAACAACCTATAAACAAATACTACGTACAACTGTACGGAGTACCACCTTCTTAATTCATGCAGCAGACACTCCATCTTCATGGCTACGCCTTCGGTACAGAATAATGCTGCACGGTACGGGGAAGAGAATGTCTTTCTCTTCGTCCCAAATCTCATTGGTATGCCCTTTTAAAAGTAAAAAAGGATAAAAGTAATTGTAACATTTTCCAGGGTACACCCGCGTGATATTTGCGGTCGCATCCCTCTACTACATGCCCTTGCACCCTCGAACATGCTCGCTCCTATATAGTTTCTCTTGTCTCCTCGATGCGCTAGATGGAGCCGCTGCCCGGCGTCTAGGGCAATCCACTCGATTTGGGGCGGTTTTAGACATGATCACAGATCGCTGTACAACGACTTGTCTACTAGTCTTTCTGGCGAGTGCATTCCCCAGATGGAGTATCGTATTCCAAGGGTTGATTAGCTTGGACTATTCGAGTCATTACGTCCATATGTATGCAACCTTGGCAATGGGTGGGAACCGCCAGAGCCATAAGCAGATCGATGAGAGTCGGCCATGGGTCCTGCGAACCTACTACTCCAACACAGTACGTTGACCCGCTTATAATCTTATTTTCAGGGTTAACAATACCTCAGAAAGTCCTTTTCACGGTCTGTCTGCTGAACGAGCTCTTCTTCATCGCACTGTATCTACTCTCATTTTCGTCTCCACCACCGCTAGCGAACAGCCCCAATTTTGAGGCACCTCAATCAACTCCTTCACAGTCATGGAGCTCTCCCTGGAGTGCGGGAGCAATGGAACTAGCCCGGTCAGTTTACAAGTGGCAAACGTTCATAAATATCTATACTTACATTGGTTCTAGCGCAAATAAGATAGACGATTCATTCCCACAGTTCCTACTTGGTGTCTCATCAGTTTTCATGATTTTCAAGCAGTACGTGAACGTGGTTCAGTTAATAGAAGCTAGTAAGTGGCTTGTACGACGAGGTGACCTTGAAACGAGAAGGAATGCACGGCTCGGGAAGAAAAGAGATCAGTGACAACATTACGGCCAGCAAAATTGATGGATTATATGCAGTACATATTGTTTCAGCCGTAAAAATACTGCAAGGACATGAACATAACAGCGATTCGAGGCTATACATAATCATACCTAGAATGACTCTGGATATCTTCTGTTCATATCCTTCTGCGGATAAACATAGCATGGAATATCGGTGTTACATCGGTAAGATAGCTTCGCCGTGCGCAACAAGACTCTTGAAGTGAATCAGGATTGGTTGGCAGCTATACATGAGAAGTAATAAGCTAGAGCCATACCATTTGTCCACTTTTCTAACATTACCATATATATGGCGTGGGCCAGAGCGAACATCCTGGGCAGCTCATGTATTCCTATCACCTCAACCTTCAGCCCTACCTAAGTACCACCTAACTAAAAATCCTAAGATACCTCGTGAAAGGCAAGACAAGAATTCAAATCTATATGACAAGGTAATAAAAACAAAAATTAAAAAAGCCACAGGTATTCTAGAATCCGACCAAACCGCCCATATTTTCACACTAACCAAAATAAGCTAGCGGCAAATGATCCAGCCTGACTCAGCAAAATTAGGTTTGCGCAAATGAATATCCAGAACAATCCAAAGCTCGTCCCGGCCCCAAAAAACACCGCAATCAATCTCCCTCCAGCTCGCATACTCCCGTCATTCAAATCGCGTGACGTTCTCAGTCGCTCGTTTCCATTCAGTTCACTATCTCTAAAGACAAAAGTCGACTCATACCCACCAAACATGTCTCGCGAAGCTTATCAGGTTCCTTCCTCTCTGGGCGGACAGAATACCTTTGGCGACGCCGGTGCTAGCTCTCTGGACGGCCCTATGGTTGCCTATCTCTGCGGCGAGTGCAACGCTCGTGTGTCTCTGAAGAGGGGTGACCAGATCCGCTGCAAGGAGTGTGGCCATCGTGTGTTGTACAAGGAGCGGACGAAGAGGTGGGGTTTTCTTACTTTTTCTTCCTGTTTGCAGAGTTTTTCGTGGACATGTTTACTTACTGGGTTTGGTTGTACAGGATGGTTCAGTTCGAAGCTCGGTGAGGTGGAAACAAACCGGTTGCGCGACGCTGGCTTTTACCTTTTACGATCGTGATATGCATTTTCAAAGGGCGCTCTGGAGTTTTGATGGGACGAAAAGATCGAATATGGCGAGGATTTTAACGGGTCGAACGGCTAGCTTTGACCTGTGAATCGGCGGAAGGGCCTTGCGTTGAAAGTTTCTAAGAGTAAAGTGTACTTTTTCATTATTCAATACATATGTCTCTTATTTATTGCCTCTATCTTGACCAATTTGTGTTGAAAACATAACCAACAAGAGAAATTCATACCCGAACTTGAAAAAGAAATGTTTTACTGAAGTTTGTTCGTCACTTCGATAAATCCCTCTAAGCACTTTAGGGCGGCGCCACTTTCGATAGCCCATCTAGCTCGTCTGACACCTTCCTTCCAGCGCCCACCACCTGGTCCACGCTCAGTAATCACCTGGCCATCATCGCCGGGGCCCATGTTACTAGTGTCGGAATCACAAACGCCCGAAATCACCAGTAGTGCAGCCACATTCATGAGAACGAAGGACAGGATTGGATCGTCGCGAGGCAGTTCGTTCCGCAGAATGCTCATGATCTTGGCTGCATTGTCTTTGGGCATCTTTCTGCCGTACACTGCAGTTAATGGATGGGTTGGCAGACCAAAGTCGGATGGTTGCAGCTGGAAGGTTTCAAATTTGACCAGGGTGCGGGGGACTAGGTGCTCGTCCTCGTCACTTGAGGTTTCACCATCTGCCGAGCCCTTGTAGGCAGGATTAGGGTATTCGGTAAGTTTCCAGCAGTTCGTCTTTCCAGCGCAGCTGATCTCATCCAGGTCCTCCTCACCGCAAATGACCATTGCCTTTTTGCATCCATTCTGTCGGAGGGCCTCGGCAAAGACAGGTCCAAGGCTCTGGTAGGCTACACCAACCACTCTAGCCTCGATGGCCCAGTCGACAGGATTGGCGAGTGGGCCCATCAAATTGAAGATTGTCCGTAGTCCCAACGCACGACGTACTGGGTTCGCATACATCATGCCAGGGTGGAAATTCGGGGCAAACAAGAACGCATAACTAGTCTCCTCGTACACCTGCGCAAGGTTCTCGGCATTGACAGCGGAAATCTTCGGGGGGACAGGCGAGATCGCATTGAGGACATCTGCAGATCCAGAGAAAGAGGTCTGCGCACGATTTCCATGTTTGGCCATCGTGATAATCGGAGAGGCGATGATAGAGGATGTGGTGGAAATGTTGAACGTGGAATGTGAATCTCCACCAGTACCAACAATATCGCACTATAGGTGCACAAATATTAGGTTACCCTAGCTTTACAAGCTATGAAGCAATGCCAATGCTTACCAGGCCTCCTTTGTAAGAACCCTCCTTCTTGCCGCGGGCCTTGATGGCCCTTTTCAAGGTGGGCCTGTCGACTTGACTAGCCGCTTCTCGCATGCGATGAGAACATTTAGCAATGACCTCTGCATCTCGATCCCGTCCGGTAGAATGTAGAAGCGTCAAAAGAGCAGCGGTCTGTATAGCGGAGAGACGATCCTCGAAGATCAATGCGAACGCTGAAGCAATATCTGCAGCATCCACACGAAGGTGCTCGGTGGGGTACGCGAGCTTCTGTAGGAGGGGGGAGATGGAGACCTGACCCGGCTGTAGGTCAAAAGGAGCAGCGGACATGTTGGCGAAGTTGTTTCCGTAGAGGTATACACCAAGTTCTCCGAAGAATTGGATGTGAATTTATAGGCGCAATCGCAATTGGAAGGATCTCTGAGTCAAATTATCATACCCCTCTTAATCAATCCGTCATCGGTATAGGCAAAATTACACCGCCCGCAGATCCGACTATACCTTTTCCGGCACCCAAGAATTCTTGCCATATTTTCGTCCCGAGTGGTATATTGCGGAAATCACTGTCGTCGGCATCCCCAATTTTACCGGCTTCAGGGCCCCCTTTCTATCCCAGGTGCCGTGCCTTCGATATCCTGAATACTGGATACACTTTTAGGTCCTTCTTCCTTCTCTTCTCTTCACAATGCCTCCACGAATTCGCCTTTCAAGTGGCCACATCGCTCAGCCGCTCCGCCGGCAAAGGCTCCTCTGTCAATATGAGTTGCCCATTCTCACAAGATACACAAGTACTGCCGCGACAGCTACAACTCCTGCCGCATCGCATGAACAGATGACACGCTCCGCTGCCCCAATTGCCCAATTTCCTTCGTCCCAACCTCCCTCACATCGCAACCCTGAGTACCGTCGGTCCCAGCTTCTCCGGCAATATACCTCTCTCATTCGCACAACACCTCTCATGGTCTTCTTCCAGCATGACAACCTCCAGTCCGTGGAATGGGCGGCAATCCGACGAGAACTGAGCAAGGCTCTGCAAAAGGTCGACGAGCAGATTGCCTCCGAAGGACGCTCTGTTCCTCCGCTTGCTCCTCATGTTAAGGTACAGATTGTTCAAACCAGTATCTTCGAGGTCGCTCTCCGTATTGTCGAATATTTCCGTCCCAGCGCTTCCACAATTGCAGCCGGAAACCCCCCAAGCGCGGTCAACCCCATCACGCAAACGTCTGCCGAAATCCCTCTTTCTGGATCGAAGGATGATTCCACTCTCTCACACGATCTCTCCCGTGCAGCTCACGATGCCGTGTTGCATATGAAGGGCAGGCATGAACTTTCGCCCGTTTTGGTTGGACCAATTGCGGCTCTAAGCATTCCCCAGATGTCTCCGGAGCATCTGAAGGCTGCGCTGACGGTTCTTGCTCCCAAGGCAGCTGGCTTCCCTGCTCCCACTCGCAAGGGAAATCCAGGATGGCACGAGTTACCCGTTCAGAACGGTCTGAATAAGTTGGCTCTTCTTGCCGCGCGTGTGGACGGCAAGGTGTTCGACGTCGACCAGACCAAGTGGGTTAGCAGCATCGAAGGTGGCATGGATGGTTTGCGGTCACAGCTCGTTATGGCCTTGCAGAGCATGGGATCCAGCGTTGCCAACACCCTGGAGGGCGCTGGTAAGAGCTTGTACTTCACCCTCGAGAGCAGGAGGAGCGTCCTGGAGGATGAGGAGAAGGGCCCGAGTGACGACAAGACTGAAGCTTAGGTGTAACGTGACCAGCTTGGTTTCTATGTATAATACTACCTACATTTTGTACTTTTTTCCTTGTTCAATTATCTAAGACCATGGGTTGTTTTTAGCACATGAAAGTTGACTTAAACATGAACCAAAATAGAAAATGCGACATTCTTTTCTATAAATGTGCACTAGCTTTGTGCTTATAGTCTTGGTCTCGACGTATTCAATTGGTTAGCTTTCGAGGTGCTGAATTAGACCTTGCACGAAGTTTTAAAGGTGCTGCAGTGTTCAAGTGGCCAGAAGTCTGAAAGAAAGCAGTGGCAGGTATATATGTATAGTTTATTCGTTGAATCTCAAAAATTACAGCGGTGGATATCATTTGAAGTCTTCATGAGGGCAAGCAACTTGCCTAGATACAAAGGACATTGCTATGCCCTAGTACATCTAGAAATCTCTAAGGCTAATTAGTACCCCAGAGTATCTAGCTGTCACTTTCGTGCCTCTCTTGCCTCATCTTCAACCGAGCATTCATGCCCACAATGCATCGCACAAGATCCCAGTCGCCATCCAAGCCAACCCAGTCCGTGACCAGGACACCAGTAGACCAGTCACAACCATCCTTTTCACCGTGCTTCCGACAGAGATAGTCAACCGCGGCCGGGTTCAGCTTAGCTGCAATCTTCTCTGGCCATGTACCAAGCTTCCAGAAATTGCTCGCGCTCAAGAAGTTGATATAGAAAGGATGCGCCCTGGTTGCCCCGGGATCCGGAAGTATACCGAACGGATAACAGGTCTCAGCAGCGCGGAAGCAATGCTCCGTGACATACTGGATCTTCTGTCCGATATTCTCTGTTTCCATGACCTCGTAGAAATCCTGGATGCACAATTGTCCGCTGGGACAAGTCGCGTTGGCGCAGTTATCGGCCCAACCGGAGGCGCAGATGCCCCAGCCTTCGCCTCCGTGGATGTCCTTGAGATGATCTAGGGGTTCGAACCTACGGAGAAGGACGACTTTCCCGCGCACCTCGCCGAGAGTGGGTATTTTGGGATTAGTGTACCACCGACTGTCTGGGCGGGCGTAGTGGTCGCTTAGGATCCGGCTGAGTTGTTGGTCGGTGTGTTCGCCGGGTCCCTCGCGTTTAAGGGAGATTATCAGTGTTTCTGACGGGTTTTGATCGAGGAATTCGTTGACGTCCCGCATCAGGTCACGGAAATATTTGTTTCCTGTTAGGGAGATGGGGAAGACGCTGTGCACTAGGATGAGCTCATCCTTGTCGGCATCTTCTGGGTACTGCGGCTGTACACGGATGTCGAAGAATCGAACACCATTTTGAAGTTGCTCTCGTGGGCTGACTGCCTGGCAACGAACAGATGGTGGCGCAACATGGCAGGTGGGAGAATTGTGGGTGCCCGGGATCGAAAGCGAGGAGAGTAAAGTGTCGTCCTTTAACTCGCCCATCCACGCATTCAAATTGGCCGCAGAGTAGATTGAGAGGTGTGACTCGGGCGTGACATAGACGCCAGTAAGTTTAAAACGAGGTTCGTCGCATAGTGCCTTCATAGTGGCGGACTCGGACGTAGGCACCGGAGTCTGGATTCGATGTCTCTCCCCTTCCACTTCGAAGAACCAGCGCAAGCGTTCTTTGTCCGACTCGATACACGTGCGAATCTCGGTGTGAATTGTCTGAAACGGTTCGATATGGATATCAACATCCTCATGAACAAAGGGCTCGTCGCCATCGTTGATGATGGCCACTGGTGCATTGGTGCGGGTCACATTGGTCAAGACTCGGGTGAAGTTTTTTGCAAAACTCTGGAACTCATTGCGAGGATTGTGATGTGGCAGAAAGCGCTCAATGCGCTTCAGAGTAATTGGCGTAGAAGTGAGATTACGAATGGTCAAGTGTTCGGCCCCCATTGTTGTCCGTGATCGTCTAGGATAGCAACCCATGAGATTCTCCGAGGGATTGAAGTACCGGGAAGAGTCTCAGGAGGTAGATAAGGCCGGAGAGTTCGCTGAGTACCAGGCTGCAAGGTTAAATTGGTGCCCATTATTGGCCTGGGTGGTTCAGGATGTATGGTTGTGCTGGAGAAGTGCGACGGCACTAAATTAGCCACGATGCGATACACACCAATCGTGATCGGCATGGCGTTCTTGGAATCTTTCCGCACAGATGGTACGCTGGGGCCAGAGAACTTACACGAATTTAATTCGAGCACACCCAGTGTACCTTAATCCAATGTTCCACACCTCAGGCAATCATGTTTCTGTTTTCTATTATTGACGCATGAAACTAGCAAGTCTTTGGCGCTTCTGTTCCATGTACACTCAGTCTGTCTTTTTTTTTTCCTCTTTTTTTTCCTTTTCTTTTTCCTTTTCTTTTTCTTTTCTTTTTTTTTTTTTTTTTTTTTTTTTTCTTTTTCCCCCCCCCCTGGGTAAGGCTGAGCACTGACTGGCTTTGTCTGTCACTGCCATTGCTCGAACCCCTGATGATATGGATTTATTTATCTCTTGGTTTATTTTTCTTAGTTTATCTTTTATTTTTTTTATACTCTCATTCTTGGGGGAAAAAAAAGAAAACTTTATCTATTCTTATGCTTTTGTTTCTTATCTACTCCATATTCCCCTCCCTTTTAGACTCATCAGGGTTAATGTACATAACTTGAATGTTCGTTCCTAGTATAATACGAGCGATAAAAACCGGCCTCAAGTTTCTCGCCTACCAATTAGGATGCGAATGCCTGCAGCGGAATAGGATTTTACATTGGTTTCAATTGAGCCTCCTCGGCCATCTTTTCTCTTTACTTCATATTCCAATCAGGTTCCCCTTTATTTCTCCGCAATACATCCGCGGAAGCAAAGATGGACCGAAATGGAAAATGCGGAGAGATATGATCACGTGGCATGACGCCGGGGTCGGTTATCGTCGGCGCTCGGAGACCAGAATGCGGAGGAAGGAGGGAAATAATAATAGTCAACTACCATCATTCCGCAATGAAATACGACGTCCTCACCTCGAAAAAAGACACTCTCTACTCCTTCATCACCCTGGTTTGATTCCGGCTCAACAATGAGCATCTTACGCTGCAATAGCGGCCTCTCCTGGGCTCTCCGCTCCTGCCAATCTCGCCGAGTCCTGCCGATAACTCGTTCCCCGCCAACTATATCTATTCCCCGTCGGACGTTCCATGCTGCTCCGTCTCTGTGGGGGGTCAAGTCCCAAGTCCTCAAGGATGTGGGCGAAGGTATGTCAAATACCCCGACAACCTATTTTGTCCGCCTCTATCGTATGGCTACTTACCCTACTGTTTCCGCAGGGATCACGGAAGTCCAGATCATCCAGTGGTATGTCGAGGAAGGCGCCCATATTGAGGAGTGGAAACCTCTGTGTCAATATCAATCGGATAAAGCAGTGGATGATGTGAGTCACATTCAAGCCAATGGCTAGCACATGGAGATCTAACGGCATCAGATTACCTCGAGATATGAAGGCATTGTTAAGAAGCTTCACTTCGAAGCGGATGACACGGTTCCCACAGGAAAGGTACGCATTGGCTGCACTAGTCCGACGACGGCCTTACGAGTATGTTTTGCTAAAATAATCTCGACCACAGGCACTCTGTGATATAGAGGTGGAGGATGGGAAATATCCAGATGATAACCCACCGACCCCAGCACCCACACAGCCCAGCCCTGCTCCCATACAAGCTGAAGCAATGCAACCTATACAGGGTACGCCTGTCGCTCCTCAAACGCAAGCTCCATCAGGGAATAGTTCACGATACGCCACGCTTGCCACCCCGGCCGTCCGTGGCATGTTGAAAGCTCATAATGTAAACATTCAAGATATTCCGGGAACAGGGAAAGACGGACGCGTCCTTAAAGAGGATGTTCTTCGGTTTGTAGCCGCACGAGAACATGCAACTACAGCCCAGCCTATGGCCCCTACAACAACTGGGCCACCACAAACAGAAACCGCTGTCGGCTTGACGCCGATCCAGTCGCAAATGTTCAAGACGATGACACGGTCGCTCAACATTCCGCACTTTCTATATGCAGATGAGCTTAACATCAACAACATCACTGCTATGAGAAAGAAATTGGCCAATGATCCGAAGGATCCCAGGAGAATTACCTTCCTCTCCTTCGTCATCAAAGCCGTTTCGCTGGCCCTAAATGAGTATCCAATCTTGAATGCTAAGGTTGACACAAGCAACCCTGACAAGCCACAATTAATCATGCGGCCCAAGCACAACATTGGTGTTGCAATGGATACTCCGCAAGGCTTGATCGTGCCGAATATTAAAGACGTTGCCAACCGTTCTATTGCAGATGTTGCAGCAGAAATCTCCCGCCTGAGTGCTTTGGGTAAAGAAGGGAGGCTCACCCCTGCTGACCTCAGTGGTGGGACCATCACGGTCTCAAACATAGGGAATATCGGTGGTACATACGTTGCACCGGTGATTGTGTCCAACGAAGTAGCCATCCTGGGAGTCGGGAAATCAAAGACCGTGCCTGTCTTCGATGACGCGGGCCAGGTTACCAAGGGTGAATTGGTGAATTTCAGCTGGAGTGCGGACCACCGAGTCGTGGATGGCGCGACTATGGCCCGAATGGCCAATAAGGTCCGGGACTGTATCGAATCCCCGGAGTTGATGCTCTTGAATCTACGATAGTTTGTATATAGATAGAAATTCAGGTTCAGACCTTCATACCAACCAAGCAGTGAACCCTACGCCCGCGTAATCGCTCTTTTGGAGCTCCATGATGGTCTCTATGAAATCCGACTCTTTGGTCTACAAATGTTGTGGACGTAGCCCTTCATGATTTTGTCGTCAAGAAGGTAGCTCGGGCATGACAGGTATGCCCTAGACATCATGTATTCTCCATCTTAGCCAACACAGGTTAATGTGAAGAGATCATGATATTTAGAGAGAATCAACAAAAAGTGCCTAATCCAGTAAGAATAAGTTATATGCCTAGAATGCCACCTCACCATACTAAGCCAACTATTTTTACTTCGACTACACCTAGGCATGCGGACCCAAAAGGAAAGAGAAACCTGGGGGATATTATATGCTTCCACAGTGAAGCCATTAATAGAAACCCGAGTAGATGGGGTAAGGCCTACCTCAGAATTTCGTTCATGGGAGCATGGGCGAATGGTATAGCTTTCTTTGAGAATCATAGTACAGGGGCTCATCCTGTCAACAGTATGCATTTATGCAAAGTCTAGATACAATTTCACCTCAGCATGCTTTCAATTCGTCCGTCTTAGTACAGATCTGCTCAGGTGCTCTGGCTGCACGGATCGGATCCCCGACAAATGAAGTGTAAGCTGTAGGTCACCCAGGATACTCCGCAGTACATGACGGACACCTTCTCTGCCAGCGATGGCAAGTCCATACACATAGGGCCGGCCGATAAGGACCATCTTGGCCCCCAGCGCCAGAGCCTTAGCGACATCAGCACCACAACGCACGCCAGAATCGAAGATGACTTCCAGGTCCTTTCCCACCGCGTCCACAATGTCCGGAAGCATGTCCAAAGAACCCACCCCGCCATCCTGTTGGCGTCCACCATGGTTAGATACCACTATCCCCTGCATACCGTGCTGCACCGCCAGCTTTGCATCCTCCACCGTCTGTATGCCCTTTAGGACGATCGGGCCGTCCCAATGTTGACGGAGGAACTGGATATCTTCCCACCCATGGCTCAACCCGGGGAAGATAGTATGTGCCCATTCAGCCGCTGCAGTCTCCATGTCCTCCTCGATGCTTTTGCCCTGCTTTTCTGCAAACTTCTTTCGAAACACGGGATCAGAGAAGCCAATCTCCACTCCGATGTTGTCTTTCCGAAGGAATGGATTATAGCCATTCTCCAAGTCCGAGGGCCTCCATCCAAGGATATAGGTGTCCAAAGTGACCACCAAGACCTTGTAATTGGCAGCCTTAGCGCGTTTTAACAAGCTGGCGGTGATGTCGTTGTGGTCATTCGACGGCCAGTACAACTGGAACCAGCGAGATCCATTCCCATTGGCTTCTGCCACATTCTCGATACTCGTCGAAGATGCCGAGCTCAAGATGTACGTGATCCCTTCATTCTGCGCAGTAGAAGCAACAGCAACCTCTCCATCGCGGTGGAAGATTCGCTGCACTCCCACTGGCGCAATGGCGATTGGATACTCGTATTCCTCGCCGAACAGCGTAGTTTTTAAAGATGGAAAGTCCGATTTCACCAGACGGGACGGGACAATGCCCCACTTCTTGAATGCCTTTCGGTTGTTCTCATCCGTTTCTCTCGTTCCGGCGGAGCCCCAGACGTATCCGAAGCTGTCTGCTGAGAGGCGCTCCTTGGCCAGTCCCTCCCATTTGAACGGATCAAAAGTGATAGCGGGCCTTTTATCACTGAGTCCTTCGGTATAGACTTGTGTCTCATAGGCGTATGGCAATGGAGTGTGTTGTGCGGTAGACATATTGATGAAGCGAGACTGGTGCGTTCCTGTTCTTCTCTTTGGTTTGATGTATGAGGTTCACTGGCATTGGAATTAAATTTATAGCAAGCAATTCGGTAAGAGACCGGCTTCTTCCATGTTAACAGACCCGGTCAACCGGCAATATTATCTCCAGTAGAAGTTGTCCATGAACCAAGGCAATTAAATTGATGTCATACTTTCCAGACCCGCTCAGGGTCCAGTGAGCTCTTTTCGGCCGATAGAGACATTCTAAAGCATCCTCTACAAAAGCTTGTCTCCTAGCATTCATTACCCACTGTTAAATCGGGAAATTGCCCTGATTATCGTACGATCTCGGACAGATTTCCAATTGGATAAAATCTCTACTTTCTCTTTAAATGTCCTTCTGTCGCATGACGTCAACTAGCACAGTCCTCGGGGAGAACTGGTCCAACCCCGAGACTCTTGTTCATGAGATTAACACCTCTGGTTTCGGTTGACGCTTAGGAGAACGCTACCTCTGTACAGTATTAGACAAAAGATCCATTCGACCGGCCAGAACATCTATATCAAGGCCATCCGCTATAGCCGAGAAAGTGGAACCCTAGGCTCTCCAACGTCTTCAACCCTGGGAGACACAGTCGTTGTACGCTCGGTACGAAGCTAGGGATTTTTTTTTGCCTCTACTCGCTTCCATAGCTATTAGCACTAAACTAGAAAAATACCGCGCTCAAAATATGCTGAGGGTCGGCGCACGGGTAAGTCGCCCACCAACGTGGGCCATCACTTCCAGACCTACTAGGTCGACCTATCATTCGCAGAGGATAAACAGGCTTTTGGTTTCGAGGCATTTCGTGACAGTGGGCGCCCAATGCAGGCAGGAAGCTGGTAAGGATCAAGTTCCGACTTTCAAGGGTGCATCAATGCTAAGGGGGTGAAAGAAGATCCGGGTCAGGGGTCATCTAGCCCTCAGCAAAAGCAATGGACTACAGGAGCTCGCTTTGCCATTGCTTCCTCCAGTATGTGCAGTATTACTAATTCTCAGTATTAGCGTATTACAATGGGAGAGACCGTCTTGCTAACCGAGGCATGTCCTTTGAAGCACTCCTTCTCTCAGGTCTCGCCGGCTATTATATAGGCATCGGAAGAGAACTAGAACCAGGATCGACATCTACCACGTCGCTAGAAGAGTTCCCACTACCACATCATGATACCTCGCCATCCAACATTCAAGCCGCTATTGAAGAGTTCGTGAACGTTCTAGGTAAGGACAAGGTCACCAGTGATAAGGAAGCTTTGGCACCCTATGCGACCTCCGAATGGTCGTCTTATTCTCCCAAGGAAACCGAAGTCTCATCAGTAGTCGTATGCCCTTCGACCACAGAAGACGTCTCCCGTGTGATGGAGGTCTGTCATAGACGCAGACTGCCAGTGACGGCATATGCAGGAGGGACGAGTCTAGAGGGGCATTTCGCACCGACGAGAGGAGGCGTCTGCATTGATTTCCAAAGCATGGATCAGATCATATCCGTTCACAAAGATGACTTGGACGTCGTGGTCCAGCCTGCTGTGCCGTGGGAAACGTTAAACGAAGAACTTGCCAAAGACGGGCTCTTCTTTCCTCCAGACCCTGGCCCTGGCGCTATGATCGGCGGCATGGTGGGTACCGGTTGTTCAGGAACAAATGCCTATCACTATGGAACAATGCGTGACTGGGTATTGTCTTTGACTGTAGTTCTAGCCGATGGAACAGTTGTCAAGACCAGGCAGCGGCCACGGAAATCCAGTGCAGGCTACGACCTGACTAGGATGTTTATTGGGAATGAGGGTACGCTGGGCCTGGTTACGGAGGCGACTTTGAAGCTGGCCGTCAAGCCGATCAACGAGGCAGCAGCAGTCGCATCTTTTGCGTCAATTCATGATGCAGCCAGTTGTGTGTCTGAAGTGGTTAAAAGGGGGATCAATATTGCCGCCGTGGAGCTCCTTGATGATGTGCAGATGAAGTGCATCAACGCGAGCCAATCCACCAGTCGTTCATGGGACGAGGCCCCGACTTTGTTTTTCAAGTTCTCTGGCGCGCCAGATGAAGTGAAGGAGAAGATATCGATTGTCCAGAAACTGGCTGAGAGTGCTAACAATAAGACCTTCACCTTTGCCCGCAGCGCGGATGAGGTTGACGAGCTGTGGAGCGCAAGAAAGGTGGCGCTCTGGAGTATTATGCAGATGAAGCAGCAGCCTACTGACCGTGTCTGGACCACGGATGTTGCCGTACCAATGAGTAGATTACCAGATATCATTGAACAGACTAGGGAGGAGATTTCTAGCAGCGGTTTACTTGGAGGCATCGTCGGGCATGTAGGAGATGGGAATTTCCATGGTAAGTACTCGCTTTTAATGTCGGACGATTCCGAAAACTAACCGCACCTCATAATAGCCATGCTTCTCTTCAATGACGATCAACGTGAAATTGCAGAGAGGGTTGTCCATAACATGGTCAAGCGTGCTGTTGAAATGGAAGGGACCGTCACTGGGGAACATGGAGTGGGCATGGTCAAGAGGGACTACCTAGAACACGAACTCGGCACGACAGCGGTTGACGCTATGCGCAGAGTATGTTAATTGTCCCCGTTCTTCTTCTCTCATCTGGACTATTCAACGTTGACTTCCTCCAGTTAAAACAAGCCTTTGATCCTCTTTGTTTGCTTAATTGTGATAAGGTTGTGCGAGTTCAAGTCCCAAAGCAGGGAGAAGTCCCCAAGTGGTAGAGAGTGAAGGTTGCTGCACTCGTAAGACCTCATTACATGGAACTAATGGTACGGCACCAAGTATTGCACTGGCGTTGATTACTGGCTATGTCTATACTTGATGCTTTAGTGCCTATACCTACCTATTATCTAACGTAAAATCCAGTAAAACGGTTCAGAGAGCTAAGACCAAGGTTACTATACTTCTACTACACTTATTAGTCCTGGTACTTCTAGTTCTACAAGTACTTTTACTATATATTGTTTACCTATTGTTTCTAATATCCCTTTGTTCTTATTCTTTTCATTTTTATGTTATTATATTATTATTATTAGTCCCGGGTAAGCCTGAGGGTCCAGATGGCGTGTGATAGCTACTATTAGCCTAGGGAATAAACTCCGGTCAGAGTTGATTACAGCAAGACTTGTTACCTAGGTGAAAGGACTTGTCAACCCTAGGGCAGAAAAAGGCGTTGTTAAGAGTATCCAAGACCATATTGGTGTTGAGGGTACCCGTCTTAGGGGACTTATGAGGTTCATTGTGTGAGGACACCCTCACCATCGTGGCTTTTGACTTTTACTACATCTTCCACTGTGATAATGCCCCCGTTATCCAAGGAAATGCAAGCACGACTAGTTTCCAGTTTGTTACAGCTTGTACAAATCCCGCGCCTGTTCGTCGTCCAGTACAGATGATTTCCGGAAACGAGCCAATTGCCCTCAAAGACAAGGATGACCGAGCGGAGCTTGAGCAATGGTTCAAGTTCTTTTGCGACAAAGAGAATTGTGAGACGGAATGGGATCCACTTACGGAGAATTACCCACTGTAAGACTGCTACTACCAACGGAAGCTTCCAACACAGATGATTTTCGGTGATAGGTACTTAGGCGGGCAATCCGCTCTCATACGAAGGTAGTAGTAATATCACTCTAAGTTTCTAGTCTTTCTAGTCTATGCTTCCGCTGTCCTTATGGTCTGATATTGGTCCTAAGAGACATAAAAGAAACCAGGTAAAGTGGGTAGCATTGCCCAAAAAACAAAGCAGTTGTAAGTCTAACATACACAGTAGGTATAGTATTTAGGAACCACAATAGATCCAAACAAAGAACTCCATCCATAGATCCAAACAGAACATTTTCCAATAATAAGGAAACTCCGCAGACACCAGACCGGAGACGGTCATCCATGCATTCCCAGAGCTTCTCAAAGCAACCATCAAACTGAGAGGGAAAAACAAAACCAGCCATATTGCAGTGGCAACGCTCACAAAACAATCAGGGAATCAGGGAATCAAAAATGGAAGAACGGCATGAAGTAAAAGAAGCAAGGCTACTACGGATACTCAGCCAGCTTATCCCTCACGGCCTCCAGAACGTCGCGCATCACCTGCTCCGGCGGCGTATGGGCGTTGATAGTCATCGCATCCCATTCACCTTGAGGCTCCTCGAGATCCTGCAACTGCGACTGGACCATGGTGCTCTTCATGTAATGGGCCTGGCGCGCCATGACCCGCTGCAGGAGCACCTTCTCGTCCAACTTGAGGTAGACGAAGTGGATCTGCACGGATGGGGTGCCGTAAGCAGCCACACGCATGACATCCCGGTACTTCTGCTTCAAGGCGGAGCAGGCGACCACCACTCCCGACGGGGGGTGGAAACCGTTAGCCTCTGAGGGGGACAGCGCCTTGATGGCGGCGTTGCGGAGAGAGATGAGCCAGTCCCAGCGGTCCGCATCTGTAAGGGGGATTCCGCTGCCCATCTTTTCCCTGTTCTTTTGCGTGTGGAACTGGGACGGAAGGGTTAGTCTGTGTAAGATTGTGAGAGGGAAGAATTGTCTGCGGCTTACATCATCTCCTTCAAGGAAAGGGACGCCCAGTGCGGCCTGCAGGCCTCGTCCTACCGTGCTCTTTCCACACCCCGCAGGACCCGTTACGACCCAGATGTGTTGGATTTGTTCCGCCTTGGGTTGGACGGTCCACATTGGGGTGGTTGGGTGACTCAGGGACGATTTGTTGACGGGGTTTCGGGTGGCAGTGACATTCTTGTTCATCGCCGGTTGGGGTCGTTCTCCGGCGGACAGCATGGTGAAGTGTACGGCTGGAGGGTTTTTGGGTGGGAGTTGTATGACGTTTAGCGATGAGCGCAATTCGTGGGATGGGAATTGATGGCTCCGCCAATGATTTGCGCCTGTGAATATATCCGGATGTAAAGGGTGCGGGCGTTTCAAAAATGGGCGAGAGGGAGAAGGCAGTTATTTGCAGGAGAGACACAGAGAGGAGAAAGGAGAAGAAAAATAAGGAACAGGACATAAATCTCCTTCCACCTTTTAAGTATCAAAATTGGGTCGGTGGGTCAAAGGCCGGGGACGGTATTTTCTCAATTTATATTAGAACCTGTTGGTATTTGGAGTCATGTATAACACGGGCTATTATGGATAAATAACACTTAGGCAGGAATCCATCAGTAATAATTTTAATTTTAATTTTTGTTTTTATTTTTTTTGGAAAAGAGGGAGTGGGGGGAAAAGAAAAACATTCAGTTCAGTTTCACGCCGTTTGGAAACCCCCGTGATTTGAAACTGAGAGAGTCCGGCGGTCTGGTCATTAGCGGGAGATCCGTTTCTAGTTCCAGTCTTTATCCACCCCGATCTGTACAGCACCCTTACCGAATCATATCCCTCCCCACTCATTGGAGAAGGATTAAATAAAATAAGGGGAGTTTTGCCTTTTTCTTTGTCTTTTTGAATTTGGATTTTCCCAACAAAGAAAAGGAAAAACGTACTAAAAGAATTCAATAAAATACAAGACGGGGGAATGGCGGCAAGGAACTGGAGGGTCAATTGCCGATGATGTCATGTCAGCCCCCGGGGCTTCGGAAACGATACAAGGATGTGCAGCGTTACAATACCGGGCTAAGTTCTCCCCCACACTATTCCCCTTCCGGTATAGAATCATCCTTCCGTGATTCTTCCATGAAGTTTCCAGGGATTGTTTTGGGGTATGACTCTGTACTGTACATTCAAAGGACTTAGGTACAACGGACAAGCCCAAAAAGGAACAAGCTTTTGGAAACTGATAGCTTTATTGACTTTGGGAAGATACCCTCAAGCCCCTGTCTATCTGTGGTCTTTTAAATTTTAATTTATTTTTTTTTTAGACTTCCCGCCCGAAAACCCCGTGTTCCAGAGTCGCGGGTAAAAATTGCCTAGGTACTTTTGTACCAAGACGACAGGTCCATTGGACACGGGAAGAAAGGACAAAACATCCCGGAAATTTCTCCGCCTTTTACTACTGTCGTGTGACATAAACGGCCTTAGACCGCCAGTTTTGCTAGGACCTGAGTCGACTTGTTAAAGCACCCAACGGATATCTTCCCCAGAACGTGACAGTGATGCTGCGGGCGGATTCTGGGGAAGCCTGTGGGCATGCAATGCATGTATGTAGCCCGTATTCTGACAGCGCAACCTTATTTGGTGTTCACGGAGTCGGAAATCTGTTTCCACTGCGTTTCTTCCGGCCAATGACAACCAGAATGTTTCCAACGTGTATGTGCCCAACCTTGCAGCTTCATAGGGTCAAAGCAAGGGCGTGAGAAGACATCGACCGGCCACACCCAATGCGCCTGACCCCTCTTCCCAAAAATATATAGAGTTATAGGACGTAGTACAGATTATGTACCGACAATTGTCGTGGCTCCTGTCAATGAGACGGTCGTTGGCCGGATTATATTCGTGTTTCCTTGGAGGTGACGGTCAGATGACACTGGATGTCAATGCATATCTTCATGATGGCTCCGTGAGATTTTCCATCCAGTGATTTATCAATCTTATCATAATGCCCACCTTATATGGGCTAGGGCAGGATCGATCATTGGTACAATACAAGTTGCATGGATACTAGTGTGACCACCGCCATGGCATTGGGCAGCAGAACTGCAGTTCGAGCAGAGCTTTGACCACGGAGAATGGTTCATAGTCGTATTTGGATTGACGATGTGTTAACGATTCATCCTCGACTTGTTGACTGTTGACTGTTCATACTTCGTTGAGGGGGGAAGGCGGTGAATTACGTAAGCCATAATCTGCAACCACTAGTCATCCGTGGGAAATGGTCATACTTCGCGATTTATCCAATCTAACTGGTGTCTTGGAACGAGTGCACGAATTACCAATCTAGCTTAGGCATCTGGTCGATTTGCTACTGGTCATTTCTTAATCTATCTGATCCACGATGACGTCCCTCTTCTTCTCCACCCCTGTTGACATCGATGTTGTCCTCGAAGATAGCGATGAACGTCAGACGGTGGATGTCAAGCTCGACAAGGGCCGTCGCGAACGGGTCCCCCTATACATGGATGGAGAGTCCGTTAAGGGTGCTGTAACGGTGAGGCCCAAGGATGGAAAGCGGTTAGAGCATACGGGCATTAAGGTCCAATTCATTGGCACAATTGGTATGGACGATCGGTTTTGGCATCAGCGTTCTGCGCATCCTCCCGCACCGTGACTGGATACGCCATCAGCAATGCTACCTTGGAGATATGCTAACGTGAAAATAAACCACTTCTCCAGAGATGTTCTATGATCGCGGTAACCATTACGAGTTCCTTTCCTTAGTCCAAGAGCTCGCAGCGCCTGGAGAACTGCAACATCCACAAACCTTCCCGTTCAACTTCAAGAACGTCGAAAAGCAATACGAATCCTACAATGGCATTAATGTGAAGCTGCGGTACTTCGTCCGGGTGACCGTGTCGAGGCGCATGGCCGACGTCATCCGGGAGAAAGACCTATGGGTGTACTCTTATCGCATGCCCCCGGAGACCAACAGCCCCATCAAGATGGACGTCGGGATCGAGGATTGTTTGCACATAGAGTTCGAATATTCCAAGTCCAAATATCATCTGAAGGATGTCATTGTGGGTCGCATCTACTTCCTGCTAGTGCGATTGAAGATCAAACACATGGAGCTATCCATCATTCGACGTGAAACGACCGGATCTCCCCCGAATCAGTATAATGAGAGTGAGACTTTGGTGCGGTTCGAGGTAAGCTTGCGACCTGTTCTATGACCATTGGACCATTGGAATATACGATAGGACATGTGCTGATTGGTACGCGACAGATCATGGATGGTTCGCCTTCAAGAGGTGAGTTCTTAGCGCCAAGCACTTTTCCCTAGCTTAGGCTGTCCTTTGTCGCCTTCGTCTAGGGGCATGCAAGCTGTGGAGGATGGCGCGGCAGAGCAGTTTTACTGACTAGGTCTAGGCGAAACTATTCCTATTCGTTTGTTCCTTGGAGGCTTTGACCTGACCCCTACCTTCCGAGACGTGAACAAGAAATATTCGACTCGTTATTATCTGAGCCTGGTGCTCATTGATGAAGGTACGTTCACACGTGTATGCATGGTTTCAATTTTACCTGCATTTCGCGTCTTTTACCTTTCAATACATGCCATGGTTTTTTTTATCTCTCATGTCGATCAAATGTTACCTACAATGTCGTGGGTCTGTGGATACATGGGGGCCTGAAAGCCTCAGGCTGCAACTCTCCTACCCAACATCCCACGGCATCCCACTTTCTGGGTCAATAACCGACCCGGCTATTGACCAGTCGTCCGACCATTCAAGAGCGGCTAATCGGGCCGGGGACCTTGCAACGAGGTCGACTGAGCTGAAGAGGTTCTCTTCCGACTTTCCCCCCGGTTGGCCGCCCCCACGCTAATCCGTCTCTGGCAATATCCTCGCGTGGTGGCCCCGCCCCCAGTTTCCACCTGTTTTGCAGAAAGATACGCCGCATTACCGAAATTTTTCCCGTGTACTGACTTGAATATCTACCTAGATGCCCGTCGCTACTTCAAGCAGTCCGAGATTGTTCTCTATCGTCAAGCTCCCGAAATTGCTACAACCCCGCAGATCGCCCAGCAGCAATTGATTCAACAACAACAACTTCAGAACCAGCACCAGCAGCAACTGCCTCCGGGCTCGGCCACCGCGGGCCCTGGACGTGAGCGCGAGCCACTTCCGAACCCGGCTGTCACCGCTCCTGTGGCGTAGCATCGTCTTCTTCCGATCTACTTATAAGGTGTCTCCGTGAGAACGACAGCACTTTGTTCATGACTGCTGATATGCCTTGTGTTCTACATATACCCAGTCTAATGCTTTATACTCTGGCCCTGTTCGTCTATCTATCTATTCTGTATTCTTGTTCCAATCCTAATCTCGGTGGGAAAATACTCGCCCAGATGTCGTCCCTCTCTACTTTAACTGAGCCAGTTTTTGAGTGAATAGCTGAGCATCCATGTAACGGTTGTATGATCTTTCTGAGGACAATGCCTTCACTGTAGGAACGAAAGTAGACATTGAATGTTACCATCCTGAAATTCAGACTCTAGAATTTGCAATAACTACCGTGATTCTGCGCCAGGGTCTATATATTAGTCATTAAAAGCCTCCGACCTCATGTAACACCTTCCCAAGAGCTTGGAGTAATTCTCCATCATCTTTTTCTCTCCCTGCTACTTGCACAGCCCGTACAACGAGAGGATAAATCCACTCGAGATGCTTTTTATGGTTCTGCTCACTAGACGCGGATTGTTCTGTCGGCAAGACTGACCCACTCATAGCCATCGGTGGGGGAGGAACGGCGGATGGTTCGCTCTGTAGATGCACCATGCCCGTGAGGAGATGCAAGAGCACCTTTCGCGCAAGGGTGGGTTGAGGCATGAGTCCGCGGAGGGGTTGGTCGGCAATATAGCCTTTCAAGGACACGGCACACCGGAGGATAAGATATGGGGAGATGGAACGAGCGAGTGCGATGCGCGATGAAGCCTGTTTTGAATCCTCAGCTGAAGGCGACGACGCCAATTCGAACAAGGTGTCGGTTACAGCGTATGCCATTCTGATTCGTGATGTCGGTGGCGTGTCAAATGTTTTCCCGGGGCGGATGTTATATAGCCCTTCAAGAGGATTATCTTTCAGGGATTTAACAGGAAGATCAAATCGTTGAGGCATGTATACGAAGGAGGAGCCCAATAGTGCACGCGCGAAATCCTGTCGGATGATGTCTGAGATGGCAGATGCCCCGAGAGCCGGGATGATGAGGGTTTTCAGTCGGCTGAAGGAGGCAATATCGAAAGACTCGTCTGCATATATCGTCTCTCTAGGGATAGGAACGGTTCGATAACCACGAGCTGAGACCAAGCCATTTGCGATGTCCACAACGCACTTCCAGAAACGGGAGATCTCTGCCTGGGTTGACTTTTCGCACTCATTCAAAACATAAGGAAGGGCTACTTGAAGAATGTTTAGCGACGTAGTTGCTGATATTTGCCATAGGTTGGGCTCGCGGTCCTTTCCAGGCCATTCATATCTCTGCACGATAGGGTTGGCCAGGTGCTCGAGAACAGCTGCCAGAGAGCCGTTGCCAAATATCTCTCTTTTGATACCAAAATCAGTGATATACCAGCTCAAGAGGTCTACTGTGCCTTTTGAAAAGGCAACGTAGGTTGGTTTTCTCGGATCGCTCCCTGGTGACCATTTCGTCAATGCAGAATCAGCAAAATCCGCAATACATGCAAGAATTTCTGTTTGAGAATCTTCCTTGTCGGCACATATCGTTCTCATACAATCTATAACCATTGATTGCAGTTTAGATGGGCGGTCAATGTCTGTAGAATATCGCGGTGAAATAGAATGCCACACAAGTAATCGCATACTGTAGAGGATCTTTTCAACATCACGGCTTCTCAGATCATCTTTATATAAGCGATACACTTGCTGGAAGGCTTTTAGATATGCTATTGCAGCGTCTTGATTCGAGCGGTCCAAGTCCAGCAAGTCTTCCCTATCGGCTGGGTGGCCGTCTAGCCATAGTGCCCATGTAGACTGTAGGGACGATTTGCTGAACTTATCTGGACCCTGCACACGGACGAGGACATTAGACAAACTCAAGTACACTGCTTCACTGAGTTCTAGTATCCGCAAGGTGGTTAACTTCTGGAAGTAGGCCAAGAGTCGTTCCCAAGACTGGTCAAACTCCGCGTCCCGAATGATAGGTTCAAAAAAGTTCGTGATCAGGTCTGACAACCCTTTGATGGTAACAACAGATGTTTCCACCCAAGACTTGAATTCATCGGAGACTGTTTTGGTGACCGGACCGCACACTTCTACCAACTTCAGTTCGATCTCCTCCATCATCCGAAACAACACGCAATTGAGACATAAACGCCATGCCTTAGGAGACAGTTGTTGGCCATAAGCATCGAAAATCCTTAGGAGTGTGTGAACTGCACAGTTTCGAATTTCGGCCCTGTTGTCTGTTGTAAGGTCTACGATCCGCAACAAAAGTAGCAGCCACAAGGCATTCCGGGATATGGAAGAGTCATCGCCATTAGCTAGTGCCACGAGAGTTTCTTCGCTCACCGAGACATCAACGTGGGACTCGATAGAAAAGTTTTCGATTTGTCCCTGAAGAAAGTCTGATACGTTCCAAAACGATGACGTCGTGGTCAACGAGATATTGAAATCCTGTTGCTGTAGAGCAAACTTGGAAAACGAATCCACAAGGCTCAAACGACAGGACTGTGGGAGTAGCGCGATGAAATCAGATGCAATAAGCTGTAGGGACTTATAGGCAATTCGAATAAGGCGATGCGAATCTGCTACCAAAGCCGTCTTGTGGCTATTAGTAGCGGTCTTAATTCCTCTCTTTTCTTCAGCTGGACAGTGTCCAAACACGCTAGAAATAAGGTCAAAAACAACAGCCCATCCACCTGTGAAGCCTTCTGCATATTGCTCTAAGATATTTTTCACGGTTTCCAGGCTTTGCTCATGGATCTCAGTAACAGGCGCAGATGGTGACCCCGCTGAGCAAGCACTTGAATCGTAAAGCAATTGAATCTGCATCCTCAGAGTTCCTAGATTCCTCATTTGCCGAGAATTCCGCGCTTGGTCATCGTCAGTTCCCATCTGCTTCATAGTTTGAAATACAAGCGTGTTCAGTACTTCGTTAGCTCGTAACCGGAGGTTTTGGCTAATTGATGCGTCTGCCGCAGTTGACATAAGCCTTTGCGTCAGTAGCTGCCAAGCTTCATGGTCGCTCTCAACTAATGATGACAACCGTTCCAAATTCGCTCTTGATAGCTCGCTCGCTTTGTCCAAGACAAATTTTAGCTCTTCATCTTGTGTCTTGAACTTGCCCACGACGAGCGAGACACGGCGAGTACTCCTGCGCACAAAGCCAGGTCGGGCCTGTGCTGAATGTATGTGGCCTGCTGTTTTTTCAGATGACTCTACTGATGGGGGCATCTCAGTTGCTTCGGAAAGATCTAAGAGTGCGGCTAGAAACTCCCGGAATGAATCACTCGGATAGTCACTTGTGCTCTCAAACATCTTAGCAGAGGCTGTTTGGACAGCAATGATCTCACCCCCAAGGCTAACCCTAGAGCCATCAAGCGCTGATGGAGCTTCGGCTCCAGTTGAGTACGTGTTTATTAACAAGCCTGTATCCTGCAGCGTACCTAGAATAATAGACCAGGCCGGCTGGTCTAGAGTAGGACCAAGGGCAATCCCCAGGTTTAGGAGCGCACGCAAACATAAGAGATTTCTTGTGTTGATAGAGACGGAGGGAACATCTGAAGGTGTCTCGGATACCGGAGCACCGAGAGCCACCTCTCTGCTTTTTCTTCTCTCCTCTGCGGTATGGCCATGGTGGGAAGCAGACGCGACCGCCGGATGAGCCATGGATTTGACACCACCTCCATCAACTGGCATGGCCGCCTTTCCGAGCGTTGTCAAGAGGGCATCCCTAGGGGTAGATAGCCTAAGAAGACCAGCAACGTGGGTCAGTTTCTGAAATGATCGAACGAGGTTGTGGTAGAAATCGTCATCTAGTGATGCGTATAGGAAGGTGGAGCATGCCGCAAGGACAGCAGGCCAGCAATTCTCGATGATTCCAGCACAAGTCTTGATTGCCCCAAACTGGGAATGAGATTCCAAATCCAGGGGATTAAGCGGTACGGGTGATCTCTTAGCATCTTGCTTCTGAGTACTTCTTGAGTCCGTCCTCTGAAGATCATGGGAAGGTCTAGCAGAGTCCACACCTTGGTCTGGGTGTGCAATCCGACTTCTCCGTTTTTGTTTTAGATCGGGCACCGTTAACGGAAGGATGAATTTGGCAAGGCCTTCAGCGAAAGACGAAATACAATTAAGCACAAGGCTATATATATAAGTCTCTGGAGGCGGTGGGGGATCGGTCTTGTCAAGTAGCTCCATGTAGAGTGTGCGGACAGTACTCCACTGGTTGCTGATGCCCGGAACACTAGTATCCGGGGATGAGACAGAGGTTCCAATTACACCCGCGACACCACCTGCTTCGAGAGTAATCTGTTCCTCAGTAATGGATCTCGAGTGCTCAGCCTTCGAAGGCACTGTTGAACGACTGCTAAGGCCAATCAACGAAGGTTTCTCAGACGATAGACGAACGAGAGCAGCCATATGCTCTTTGAGAATATTTTTCCTCCTCTCATCGCCATCGTAGAGCGAGTAGATAAGCCGTACTTGCCCCGGCTCGGTATACAGTCCTCGAAACACCTCCATGCAAAGGACTCGCTTCCATGGCAAGTTTCCATCGGGTTCAAGGAGATGTGTTAGTAAACCAAGAGCCATCTCGCATTCTGCAGGAAGGAGAGACATGTGACGCTTTAGGAGGACGAGGAGAATCCGAGCGACGCGCACAGTTTGAGCGAAGGAGTGCCTTTCAGACAGATATCTCACAGTCATCGGCATAAGCCGGGTTCTCAGTACGTGCGTGAGCTCCGCATGGCCAACAAAGAGGCGGCCAGTGTTGATCAGAACGCTTTCAATAAGCTCTAGAGTGAATGTTGGAGATAGCGACTTGATTCGTAGAAACTGTAACTGCTCGCCATCTGCAAGACGACAAAGATCGTCTAAGACCTTGGATGTATATTAGTAGACTGTAAGTACAGTATTAGGTCAAGTGCTCACTCGTAAAGCATCGTACGCAAAATATCCGATATCTACGGAGCTACCATCAACTTTGACGGTTACCTTTGGCCCAGACTCCTGAGGATTTTCTAAGAATAAAACCGCATCAGTCAATAAATCTAGGGGGACTATAGCTCGCATGTGGGATCTTACTGTCTTCAATCGAAACTCGCTCAAAGGTCGATACTACTAGCTGTTGTAACGTAGCCGCTGCCGTACTAGAAAGCGCAAGAGTCTTGCTTGCTTGTAGCGTGGCACATATCTCTAATGTGGTTACAAGAAGCTCTCCGCCTAGGTCATTCGAGTAATGCTGTAACAGAGAAGGTAGAGATTGGAGAATTTTGAGCTGGATTTCCAGACCTAAAGATCATTAGTATTGTACGAACGCTCGGAAACGAAGACCTACTTAGATTCGTTGTTTCCTTTAGCCCACCGAGAACATCTTTCAATCTCCCGGACGGCAGCGCCCGGGATGCCACCAGCCTTTGTAGACAAACAACCCCAATTCCTGCGAGTTTCGTATGGCGAGTATGGCAGGCTAAGATGAATGGATCGACAAACTTAGGTTTGCGCACCAGATCTCTTAGGCCTTTAGTAAATCCGATGTCTGGTTAGGATAGGAAGCATTTTCGACTCACCCGCAGCAATTTGAGCCTCTGAAGTCGAGGGCAATGCTTTGAGTTCATTGAGAGACTCTTCAGCCGCCTACCGTTTCTGAATTAGCTAGGATATCCCTTCTGACCGGCAGTGAGCTTACATGTCGCAAATCAGAATTCTTTCTCTTGGACTCTTGAATGAGGTTCAAGAGCTCTGCCTGTAGAAGCTGGGAGGACATTTCCAACTAGTTGTTGGGTCAGATCATGGCAAACGTCGCTCGAGGTTGCCTTGAGATCAACAATTAAGTAGAAACCAGATATGGTTTCATCCAGGGTTTGACTGATTGTTTGTTGGAAACCACGAGATATACATAAATGGTTCAGGATTTTATGACCAACGATGCCATATACGTTCATAGGAATGGCGTGCGAACCATCCGTGCCTTTTAATTATCCCCAAATTGCAAAGTGTATGCCTTGCCAACCAGAAGCAACCCATAGCATCACAAGTGGCATCTCCGCGGGAAAGCCAAGGCGCTAGTCGATAATAGGCTTCACACGTGACGCACCCAATCCGTTATCATCACGTGTGGGTGACTCTTCAGCCCGATAGTACCATACTAGTATTGTTGCTTTGCAGGCAGATTGAGAGAACCCCTCATTCTTCCTCGATCAAAGAATTTCCTTTCCACCAATATCCTTCATTTTCGTTTAAATCTTTCGTTTTTGTGGAATCCTTTTATATAACAGTTTTTTTTCTCTCTTTTCTTTTATTGTCGCAATGTCAGCCAAAGTTCCTAGGAATTTTAGGCTTCTCGAAGAGCTCGAGAAGGGCGAGAAGGGCCTAGGAGCAGGTAAGTGCGACCCCCATCAACGGCTATATGCACCATCCCGCTGATATACATTGTGTTCACAAATCAGAGGCATGCTCCTACGGTCTTGCAGACGGAGAAGATATGATGATGAGCAACTGGAACGGAACTATTCTCGGCCCTCCTCATGTTCGTCTTCCGCCGAGCCCCGCCAATATCGTACTATATATGGCAGCGTCGCTAATCCGATAACATCCAGAGCGTCCATGAAAACAGAATATACAGTGTCAACATTCACTGTGGTCCCGACTATCCAGACAATCCCCCCGAAATTCAATTCATCTCGCGGGTCAATATCCCTTGTGTGGACCAACGAACCGGCAAGGTGCGGCTTCATTTATGATCTCTTTATGTTGAAAGGCAGCGGTATTGATATGCATTTAGGTCGATCCCACGAAGCTGCCGTGTTTGGCTCAATGGAAGCGCGAATATACTATGGAAACTATCTTGCTCGAAATGAGAAGGTATGTAATATTCCGTTCTCCCTGGTAGATCGAACAAACGCTAATTATCTCAGATACATGGCCCTTCCGCAACACAAGAAGCTTCCCCAGCCCCCGGAAGGCTCGAATTTCTAAGCCGATGATCTTGCAAGATAATCATGATCGGTGGTTAGTTTTTCGCCAAGTCTCACCATCTCATCCTTTCTCTCCTTTATTATTAGAGCGTGTACAGTCTATGCATAACGGTAGGCATGGCGTGGTATCTTTCTTAAGTCTCCTTTCTGTTCATCAAAAATTTTTTCTCTTTAGAAAATATCTCGAAATTCCCTAATGCCTCTAAACGGTGGGTTTACTACCTAGACGGCCAAGTCCTCGACTTTTGGGAAGCAACCAAGCGCATGAGTACCCAAAGCACCAATCTGGCAATATATCGGACTAGAAATGATAGGAGTGCTAGACTAACTAGCCAAATTTCTCTTGTGCATGAACGGACTAGACTTGGAAGAATCTCCAGTTCAAGAGAGTTACACAAGATTTGATGAGTATCCAGTACACCAAGTGAGCAAACAAAATACTTAAGCCTATATACAAGTGAAATTTATTATCGCAATCTGCGAATATGAACGGTCGTGTGCATGATCTTCATTCATTTGTGCAGCACGTGACATCACTTGGTGGCTTTATTCGTCACATGCTCCCGTAGTGATCCTCTTAGCAAGGTTGTTCGATCTCGAATAACTAATGTATAAGTCTGTCGTCCCCAAGTTGTCTGGGGTGCATCGGTTCGCCTGTGAGTTCAAAAATTAAGAAACCAAGTCTGTATTGAAACCCCATTTACAAGATACTCGTTCAACAGGTTTAGCACTTTATCGGGCGCTTCTCCGACAATGCGCAAACTTGCCGAACACCGCGCCGGTGCTTAGCACTTGCAAGCTGCTCGTCCAACAAAAGTTCCATAAGTACAAGAAACTCCAGAGTCCGTCTCAAATAGTCAATTCCTTAAAAGCAGGATATGAGGTATATAAAGGCTACGCGATTTCTTCGGCGAACCAAGTCCATGACTAATTCTTCCCCTATCTAAAGGCCCTCGATCTCCTCCATTCAGCCTCTCAAGGAAGTCAACGTGATATACGACGCATTACAAAGCTCCTCTCGGACGTCCAGTTGGTTAAGCAGAGGGAGTCTGCGCTGCAGAGGGAACGCTGTAAAAAAGAACCGAAGCCGTTATCTCGGAAGCAGCAAAAAACAAGCGATTCTCGGCGTTTTCAAGAAGAAACCGCCCGACGACATCCGGAGGCGACTCCTATCCTTTCTCGTCCTCGACCCGTCGTGAGCGGCAGGCGACGGGTTCCTGTTCTTGTAAACGCGCGGGGAGTACCTTTCCTGCGTATCAAGAAGCCCCAGCCCAAGAATCTAAGTGGCGTGATACGGACGAAACTTGAGAAACGTTGGAAACGAATTGAACGCCGTGACAGGCTGGATCTTGAATTAATGTTTACCAGAGACGAGGACGTATGGGATACTTTGACGACTGGTTCCGAAGAGGAGACATGGTCTGGGGAGGTCAAAGGTGCAATAGAGGCTCTTAACCGGCAAATCCGGGACACCGACAAGAAGAACATGCAACTCGCAGAGGCCATGTGGAACGTTGTCCTTGCTGAACGCAAGTTGGCGGCTGAAGAGCAAAAACAGATGCTTTCTGAGAAGTCAGCTGACACTTGATTTCCTGCCTATAGCCTGATCCCTTATGACACCTTCGAAATGCCCAATTCACGGTCTTCTGCTCGGAAATAAATTTCAAAACTAGGATCGTTAGAAAGAACCGATCCACCTGTCATTGGGCAACTGCATGATAGCAACAGCAGTCGTATCGTGAATATGCTGGAAAGCATAGACCACTTTCGATGCGTGCGGGTGTAATTCTGCATCACCAACTTCCCTTAGGGGGTAAATAATTTCGAAAACGAAGCATTCTCTTATGAAGCACCGTGTATTGCAACGGAGATGGAATTTTTTACTACTCAGCTGCCTAGTTGGCATCCTCTATATAAAGAGGCTATGAAGTCTTGGAAAATTTAAGAGGTTATGTGCCTACACATTTTTATAATTTTGAAAAATATCGGTACTTACAGAATTTCATCTATTTTCATAGCGCTAGATTATAAGATTGAACGACTCATAACAGAGGAAAGTCATAAAGATAGCGATGCGCTATGCAGCAACCTTCAGCTTTTCAACAGCAGGCAAAGCATCTTCGCCTTCCTCATCAAGGTCTGCCTTTCCAGCCAAGCCACGTTCCCATAATTGTTTCCCAGTCAGCTTCTTCTCTTCCTTGACCGGAGTCTTTTTATTAGCCTTCTTATCGTCTGCCTCTTTCTCTTCTCGTTGCCTCCTCTCCTCTTCCTCCATCTCCGCCTTGAATTTCTCCAGCCACTCTGTGAACCTCTCTTTAGTCACTGCTGTGCCCTGGAACTTTCGATTCTCCTCTTCTTCAGCCTTAGCGGCTTCCATCTCCTTCAGTGCATGAACGGCATTCACCCGCTCAGACATCAGAAGCTCGGCATTCTCCTTGAGAGCGCTCACAAGAGTGAAAACCATGGCCATCCCCAGGTTCTCCTCAATTGTAGGTTGTAGGGATTCAAGAAGCCGATCCCGGTCCTCCTGGATATCTAGCCGGGGGTGTTTGGGGGCATTTGGGGGAGCGGATATTTCGAGCCCCGGAGCAACATTGGGATAATCTGCAGGATATGAGACCTGCAGGATCAACACTGGCTGTTCAGCTTCCTCGACGTCATTTTCCGGCGCGTCAAGGACGATAGATATCCGGTATGAAGTATCAGAAAGATCTGAAAATTAAAAAGTTAGCCTCGAAGCATTACCCAGTGCGCTTACGTTTCGCGAGAAACCCCCACCTGTGATTTCCTCTGGAAAAATGGAATCGAGCACCTCGCGCTCTTCAATCTGATCTTCGCGGCCCATACTGCTTCAATTCTGCCGCCGACGGGGTTGGAGGGGTACTAGTTCGTAGATGTTCAACGGTGAGAACAACCGGATTTTCGCTCCTGCAAAAGGAAGGATATTTCACGTATACAGCACGGCAGATCTCAGATGCGATAGGACGACCGAGAAATCCTTCACTGCTTGAATTAAAGCTGGACGGCGTGGGATTTGGTCATGGAATACCCCATGTATAATATTGCAGTCCCACCTTTATGCAAACCAGACAAACAGATGAAGTGCCCCAAATTATTTGATCCGAAAAGGGAATTTCAATGCTCCGCTTTCTCGACTTCTCAAAGCTCGCGGTTTTATATATACTTCCTTACAGAATTTTACTCTTATCGAATTTCCCCTCCATTATTTTCCTTTCCATTGCCTAAAGTATTCGAGTACGTTGAAACATTCTCTTATATAATCTCAATCATGGGCAAACCCAGACCTCAGAAAAAGAAGTCATCTAAATCCAAATCTAAGTCCGTTCTCAGCGCTGGCAGCTCGATCTCGAAACAAAAGATGAACGAAGATCCTTCTAAGCTCCTCGAGCAAGCAACAACACTTCTCCAGTCAGCACAGCCTGACTTAGCACTTCCGGTAGCCCAACAGGCGCTCCAACTTGCACCGACCAATTCGCCAACACAGCTTTCGGCCCTAATCCTAGTCGCGGAGATCTACGTCGAGCTGGGAGAGATCGATATTGCGAGACAACATTTTCTGAGCGCGGTTGAGTTGGATCCGAATGGAACAACACCCGAAAGCCAGGGTGGTGGTGCCGAAAAGTTCTTATGGCTTGCTCAATTGAGCGAACTTGGAGGCAAGGATAGCGTTCAGTGGTTCGAGAAGGGTGTCTCCTCTCTCAGACATACTATTCAGCAACTCGAACAGAACCCCGGTCCTGCAGAGGCTATCGATTTAGAAGAGAAGAAACGGAAGATGGCCAACGCTCTATGTGCCGTAGCTGAGATTTACATGACCGATCTTTCGTAAGTTTTTACTATTCTGGTCTTGATTCGCTTAGTAGATTCCTTTTTGGTCTTGATCTAACAGTGACTAGGTGGGAGGAAGATGCCGAAACGCGTTGCGAAACTCTGATCGCAGAGGCTCTTTTGGTCAACCCACATGCGCCGGAGGTGCTACAGACTCTCGCATCGATTAGAATTTCACAACTGCGGACTGACGAGGCTCGGGCGGCGCTCACCAAGAGTCTCGAGTTATGGAAGGACCTACCGCCGGAGGACCCAACAGTCCCGGACTTTGCTACAAGGATCAGTTTGGCTCGTCTATTGATGGAGGTTGGCATGGAGCTTGAGGCTCTTGAGGTCCTGGAGCGCTTGATCTTGGAAGACGACCAGAGTGTGGAGGCATGGTATCTAGGAGGCTGGTGTCTCCAACTTCTCGCGGAAAAGAAGCAAGCGCCAAAGGATGAGGAAGCTGACAGTGAGACTCCCGAAGCCAGACGCCATGCATCACTCGTTGCTAGCCGTGAATGGCTGAAGCAGAGCTTGACACTCTACGAAGCACTTCAATACGAGGATGTAAGGCTCAAGGAGCACGCGGAAGAGCTAGTACAGGAGATGAACAAGGAATTGGGAGAAGAAATGGAGGATGACGGGGAGGAAGGTGAGGAGGGAGGCGAGGGTTGGGAGGACGAGATTGAGTCGGACGGTGATCACGAGATGGCCGATTCATGAAACAAAAAAAATTAGTATTGCATGATCTTATGAGAATCCTGTCATGATACCAGCCTATAGAAAAAGTCATTGCCGTTTTGAGAAGTGAGAGCCGGTCCTTGTTTTCGTCCGAGGTCCGCCGTAAGGCCACATTCTCGTAAATCCCCATCCAACAGTGATTGTTTCTTTGTCACTTGATAAATACTTATCATCCCAAGAGTCGGTGTCGGATAAACCCGCTCCGACCACTCTCCCCGGAGATTCGCAGAGCCAAATTTATCCCGGCCAATCGAACATCGCGTGGCGAAAAGTTCAATGTGAATGAAGGCGTTGTCATAGAGGTAGCTGGAAGTGTCCTATATCCCCATACAGGATGGACCTTGTACCAGCGCCCGGCGGGGAGAGCTCTCCGTTGAAGAATCCGGTGGTCGAAGTGGAAGCCGTCGATATGACCTCCGCGGAGGTGGAAGTTGCGACGGAAAATCCAGTCTCTGCGCACGGCGATGTGTCTCTGTCCGAGGAGGAATCGGATAGCGGCGACTCTGGAGACGAATGGGAGACGCAATCCCTCTACGAAGACGCTATCCAAATCCTTCGTGATGAGCAACTTCGGGAAGGGGGTAAGCATTTCATACTTCGCCATGCGCTTAGGCCTTCATTCATGTACAATTTTCACCTGTTGGTTCGTTGGCTGACAACCTTTTATTTTTCACTTCTTCAGTAGTACCTGATGCTTGCACATTGGACGAGGCCATTGCGTTTCGAAAGCGCCTGCATGAAGTTGGCAAGGCCGCATTCGTTGAGGAAACCATTGGCCAGGATAAAGTGACGGCAAAGAAACTCTGCACTGCATTTGGGATCATGCCCCCGGCTTTCCTTGACGGCGCACCGGACGAGGCTTACCATGCCTTGCTTGCCATTGCGATTTCGCAAGAGTTCTCTCGCCGTCAGAAGCTTCCACAGTACAACACGGTCGACGATGCGGTTAGGTTACTTCAAGAGTCGAAGAATATCATTGTCCTAACGGGCGCTGGTGTGAGTACCTTATTTGACTTCTCTGTGACGTATATATGCACTAACGGCATTGTCAGATCTCCACGAGTCTCGGTATCCCCGACTTCCGGTCCAAGGACACCGGGCTCTATTCGCAATTGGCGCATTTGGGATTAAGCGATCCGCAGGAAGTCTTCGATATCCAAGTTTTTCGCGAAGACCCCAGCATCTTCTACTCCATCGCAAAGGACATCCTGCCTACCGAAAAGAAATATTCGCCAACTCATGGGTTTATTCGACTCCTGCAAGATAAAGGAAAGTTGTTGACGAATTATACCCAAAACATTGATAATATCGAGGCGAATGCAGGCGTTCTTCCCGAGAAGATTGTGCAGTGCCATGGTTCATTCGCGACGGCTACATGTGTCAAATGTCAGTACAAGGTGTCGGGCGATGTGCTCTTCGGGGATATCAAGAAGGGGAATGTGCCTGAATGCACCACGTGCCAGAAGAGGATAGAAGAAGATACTTTGAGACCGCAGGGGCAGAAGCGCAAACGTAGTGCTAGTGGGACACAAAAGAGCCGGAAAACCGATGGCGAGGAGAGCTCCGACGAGGACGATTATGAGCTCCCTACCCCTGGAGTAATGAAGGTCTGTGCAGTTTATACCTATCTGCCGTTTCTCTCTTCTTCCGCCTGCTAATCTCTCTTTAGCCTGACATTACATTCTTTGGTGAAGATCTTCCCCATGAATTCGGACAGCGCCTGATCCACCATGACCGTGACAAAGTAGACCTCGTCATTGTCATTGGTACTTCGTTGAAGGTTGCTCCTGTGGCAGAGGTTCCGGGCGTGTTACCCCGTCATGTGCCTCAGATCTATATCTCTCGGACTGTAAGTCATGCATAGCTTGTATTTGGTTGCTATTCTTCTCCAACTCTCGATGCTGACGAAATGCCTTAGCCTGTGTCACATACTGGCTTTGATATTGATCTATTGGGCGATTGCGACGTGGTGGTGTCTGAGCTCTGTCGACGAGCTGGATGGGACTTCCAACATGAGATGATCCCTCCAGATGAAAAGGTCGAAATCACCTCTGAGGAAGGATATGAATCACGACATGTGTTTAAAGTTGTCGGCGCATAGCGACGGTGTTCGGTCATAGGATCTTTGGCTCCTGTCTGTTCAAGGACGGCGTACTTTTGCGGTTCTTCTCATGGTGAAGTTGTTGCTGTGGGTTATTATTCGAGGGGTTCCTGTGTAGGGATGGGCATTTCTTTCTCCCTTTCGTTGTTTCTTTAGACGTGTTGCTGTGCTTTTTTGTTGTCTGATAATTCTCTATAGATTGAGTACCTATGGATTATGGATGTGGGTTTGATTTGAACATTAACCCGCGTAGCACGAGAGAATATACTCGACAGTTCATATTGGTTGTCATAAATGGCCATCTCACTGTATCGTGTAGTTGTGGTAATATGAATCTAGCACCCTGCGAAGCGTAGTCTACATAAAATCAGGGAGATAACTCTGAGCGGCCAAAAAATTAAAAGGGAAAAAGGGAAGAAAAAAATAGAAAAGGGACAAAACCATCTCAACTCGTACCACAGCCATTGACACCCCCAGTCCACCGAGTAAATACCACAAAAGAGTATTCCAATTTGAACTAATTATCTGATTAGAAAATAGAACTTCTCAGCAAACCCTCACTGAAGACCTCACAGTCCGGTGGCCTTTAGTCGCCATGGAATATGTGATCCGCTTTGCGCAAGTCCACGAGACTTTTCGACAGCCGGAAATCCAGGCTCTGGCCACCTTGGCCGGGATTGATCTGGAGATTTTGCATTATGATGAGTTTGTATGTTTCTTTAATTAATTATTCTTGTTTTATGTCCATCTCCCAGACATCTCTTGCCGCATATTGCCTCTTCTACGGGCATTGAGGGGCAATAAATTGTTCCGCACATTTTCTCCCCGCCTTGTTTCATCCATATACTACGACTACCAAGCCAATATAAGGAATATACAAGTAAACTAACGCCTACATTAGTCACCATACTGTGTAGTAAAGCTACCAAATGAAAATGCAGCTCGCGCTCTGATCACACGCAGTATCCTGGCAAAAGATATCTTCGAACTCTGGGGCCAAGGCACCAGCTATGAAGAAGTGCACGCTGATGTCCACAAGCGGACACAGCATCGCTGGCTGGCGTTCAAAGATGTCTCATTCCGCTTCACCATTGACTCCTTCTGCGGGAAGCGCAGCATGGAAGCCAAGCGGGCAATCATCCAATCCTTCTCGTACCTGGGGTTCGACGGTCCGATCCGGATGAAGAACCCAGACGAGGACTTTTGGGTTCTCGAAGACTTCGTCTCAAATCTTGAAATCGCAACGAGGGCCCCCGGGACAACACACGCTCCCGGTGAAGCCCAGGAGCCCAGAATGGTCTACCTCGGCCGTTGGATTGCCGACAGTAGTCGGGATATTATCGGCAAATACGATCTGAAGAAACGTCGGTATATTAGTACGACGTCCATGGATGCCGAGCTGAGTTTGGTCACGGCGAATATGGCCCTGGCTGCGCCCGGGAAACTGTTCTATGATCCTTTTGTGGGGACGGGAAGTTTCTGTGTTGCGGCGGCACATTTTGGGGCCTTGACTTGCGGGTCGGATATTGATCCTCGGAGTTACAAAGGGAAGGAGAAGAAAGAGAAGGAGCCGATTGCGTTGCTTACGAATTTTCAGCAATATGGCATTGAGTGCAAGTTTATGGATGCGTTCTCGTCGGATGTGACCAATACGCCGTTGTTGAACCGGCAGTTTCTGGATGGCATTGTCTGTGATCCTCCCTATGGTGTTCGCGAAGGACTTCGGGTACTGGGAACTCGAGATGGCAGTGGTCGAGAGGAAGTTATTATTGATGGTGTTCCGGCCCATTAGTACGTGTGCTGCTTTTCTTTTCATATCTTTATATCTTGCCAAAATCTAACTGACATGTCCAACTTAGCCGACCTGGTTACATTCCACCCAAGAAGCCTTACGGTTTCGAAGCGTTGCAGAACGATGTCCTCGCTTTTGGGTCTAGAACTCTTGTCACCGATGGCCGTCTATGCATGTGGATGCCCACCTCAAGTGACGAGGACGTGGAACTACGGATTCCCATGCATCCACAGTTGGAAGTGGTCAGCGTTTCCGTACAGCCATTCAATAATTGTCAGTAGAGAGCTATAATCCGCCCCTATATCCCTTGTGTATCTCTTATTAATAGTTTCTAGGGTCCCGCCGATTAATCACCTACCGAAGGCTCCCCGAAGGACAAGTCTCAGACATCTCAATGGCCCGAAAGAAGGATGATTCCGCCGGTATCAGCGCCGATGACCTGAACGCATTCAGAAGAAAGGTAAAACTCTCCACAAGATATACGGCGTCATACGCACGACAGCTAACAAGAGGTCTAGTACTTCACAAAAAACGCAAGTCTAAAATCCGAGAAAGCAAGCCCAGCACCACAATCAAGCTGATATGCGAAAACGGAAGAAGAAAACTATGTACTTAGATCTATAAACAAATCAAAAAAGGCGTCAACCTAAAGTTTCCCTCTCCTCACCCCAACGTCACCATCTTCTAACTCCAAATCATCCCCAATCCTCACCACCTCCCTCGCCAACTCCTCCCGTAACAGACCCGCCAACCTCTCCCCCTCCTCATCATCCAACTCCTCCCTCTGCCCCCGCCCGAACATCACAAAGCTCATCCTGGACGCACCAGGCACTGAATCCGTAGAGGGCCTAGGAATAATATGAAAATGTGCATGAGGGACCTGCTGAGCGGCCCTGATTCCTATACTACAGTCAACACAATTTCTACTATCTCAGCAATAACCACTTGGGGGAGAGAGTAGAGATACCATTATTCTGCACGACGTTCCAATCCCAATCCGAGCTGTTGTCTTCACCGAGTACGATCCGCATAACGACGCGGGAGATGATAGGAAGCCATTGGCCAAGCTGCGTGTTTGTTAGAATTTGGGATGTAGAGGATCAGATATACAAAAGACAGCCATGAAATTCATTCAGGATATCGAATACGGATCATTATGCATATACGTACCTCACGGCTAACCCTAACGTCTACGTCGCCGAGCTTTTCGTAATGCGTTCTCGGGATCACTAGAACGTGTCCTCGGGTCAAGGGCATGATGTCCAAGAAAGCTAGGACGTGCTTGGTTGATAGAATTAGATGCGTGGCTGGGTCGGAGGGGCCCGGTGATGCGATCAACGAGGGATTTGTTGTAGATGGTGATTCTGTTGGTGGGTTGGTCTGTTCGGTTTGGTTGTGAGTGATGAAGGCTGTCGGAGAGATGGGCGGGTATGCCTTTGCGATGCCACAAAAGGGACATGTGGATGATGATGGCGATGATGGAGAAGACATTATGGTGCAGATTGGGGCCGCAGTAGATGATGTGACTTGGCTGAGGCTTCCGGGGTTCTAAACAATGTGTAGACAGAGGTAGAAGATGTAGTAGGCGTTAGGGTGGGAAATGAGGGCATAAATGATATCTCGGAACCTCGGTTCATACAAGTTGATCATAATTCTCGGCTCTGTTCTTCAAGTCAACAAGCAATACTTACAGACTAGAAAATAGGCACAGATATTGTGAAAGCTGAAGAAGCCAGCAGCTCCACGATGAATTAAATTCCCTAAAACACTCATTACGAAGACCCTCCCCTCCCTTCTATCCGATTGATCGCCACTAATCCGCTAGACAAACTAAAGATAACTCCAAAACCGTTTGCTTCCCTTCCTTTTAATTTTCCCTCCATCAGAGACGTCATTTACCCCGTAACCTGTGGCCTTGGAAATGCAATGGCACTTACATCGCTACCTGCGCTCGCCGATCCAGACGATGCAGAAAACGTGCCGACAAAAGAAGACAAGTGGAACCAAAAAGAATTGCAAGTACATTTCCGACCCTGAGCATCCGGCGCCTGTAGTACAAACAGGGGGGAGGAGGGGAATGTAAAGGTATCAGAGGAAGTGAAGTGTGAAACCCCAGACACACTGCCAAATCGAACAAGGAAGAGAAGATGAGGAGAAAAAGAAAAGAGCTTGAGAAGAGCGCCAGACGCCCCGAGAAGAAGTGAATAATGCAAACATCCGCAACTGAAACAGAAAAATGCCGTCGTAAACATATGCAAGAGGTGTCCTATACCATCGCAACCGAAGAAATGCCATATATGGAATCAACCAACTCCTCCCCTTACACCCATCCCGCCACATGGCGCGATCGTAGCGTAGCGCGGGTACCGCAACATTTGCACCTTATTTATTCGTTATCTTTGATATAATTGTACGGTTCTGACAGGGAGCTATCGATGTACTGGTGGTGATATTTCTTTGCCCATTGGCGGGTCAAGATGGACGCTATGAACCATGTCAGATGCAGCAAACGTGGATTGAAAGGGAAGGATACGTACCCTTGAGGAACTTCTTGCTGGCATATTTCTTGAAGAACGCTTCGTGGCAGACTGGACGGTGGAGGTAGTCAATCATGAGACGGAAGACAGGGTCGATTTCCTTCTCATCATACCCAGCATAATAAGCAAGGGTGGCATCCTATGTCCAATTAGCGCTTATTAGTGGCCTGAGCAAGGAATAGCAACATACCCAAGGTCCACGCTCCAAGATTAGTCGGGCCAGATACATGGCGGCAGCCCCCACGTGACTTTGACGGTAGGCCATGAATCTGTGGTCCAGTAGGCTGATCTCCATGAGGTACTTTCCAAGGGTACGGGTTTGAATATCGTAGTTGTCCGCTTTCGAGATACGACGCAAGAAGTTCATGGGGTTGGGATAGCTCATGTTGTACTCAAGAGTCGCCAGAATATGGCGCTCGGCGTCCAAGATCTCCTTGTCAGAGAAAGTCTCGTCGGCGACGTGACTGAAGTTAGCCACATGTGGCGAGAGGACTTCCTCATACTTGGACGCAATAAACATGGCGGCAACTCCAACAAGCTGAAGCCGATCCAAAGCTACCACCTCAGCCGAGAGGAAACGATCGATAATGTTGACAGCGAGGAAGAGGGTTTCGGGCAGAAGGCGGAAACGAGTGTGAACCTCGATGAGCCAGTCAACAAGGATACCGCGCATCTTCCATTCCAGATCAGGTTGATGGTCGATATAATGCGGGTTGGGCAGTGTCTCTAATTCAAGGTCCTTCATGTATTCGAAAATCTCCACCACATATTCGGCCACCATCAAGGGGTCATCTAAGTCTTCAGTATCTAAATCTTCCACAAGGTCTTCAGAGGGCTTCTGAAGGGTCTTTGACGCGGTAGGAGCTGCAGCATTTTCTTTGCTAACAGAAGCCTTTTCAACGGCAGACTTCTTTTCGGTAGTCTTCTTTTCCACCTCGACCTTCTTGCGGGGAGGCTCCTCAATCAACACGTTGTCCTGTATCGGCTTTTGGCGTTTCTGCGCACTGTCCTTGATAGACCCCGATCCTGAACGTTTATCCTTGTCCTCACTGGGCTTCTTCGGGTTGGTAGTCTTGGGTGCTAGGGCACCACCAGTGGTACGCGACGAGTTGGTCCGGGTAAGCTTCGCCACACCGCCAGCCTGCATTGTAGCTTTCGATGTCAAACCGACCTTTGCTGCGGCTGGCTTCTTTCCCTCCTTCGCCCCACCGTTTTCGCCCTTGTTAACATTGCTCACGTCGCCCAATGCTGCGCGTCTCCTTGTAGTACCAGTCGTCGCTGTGGAGGTAGCAGCCTTCTTGGACTCAAGGGGCTTCTTCGCCGCGGCGGTGGAGTCTCCAGCGGATAAAGCAGCAGCCTTAGCCCGGGTGAGACGCGTCGAGGGTCTGTTCTCATCGTTCTCGTTCATAGTGCCCCGTGTACGGAGGCTGCGAGCCTGCTGCACTGCGTGTTAGAAGGCCTGACAATCGACAGAAGAAAGCAATGCTCGATTGACGTGACGGTCTGGTAAGAGTCAACGCGTCATAGGAGTTGTGGATTGCTTACCGTAGGCATTGTGAAAGAGAAAAAGTGAAAGGGATGTTCAAAGGGGAAGTAAATATAAAAGCTTGGATTATGGTTACTGTGGTTCCTGTCTTCGCTGTCTAGTCAGCATTCCAGAGACGAAATTACCTTGGTGGAGCTCAAATACCAGGAGAGCTGAGGGAGCCACACAGTACGTACAACGCGTGGATATTTGAACAACCTTAGCAACGGGATATTATGCGAGGTACCTGGAGTCGGATTGCCAGGTATTTGAAAAGAATTTGACGTGGGGAGGTGTTAAAATTGGGACATATATGACTTTTGTTGACGCTGTTGACCAGAGATCGGGATCACGTAAGTTGCCACGGCGCGCCCGTCCAAGTTAAGATTTGTACAATAGAAGGATATAGAGGATGAAAAGGTAATGATTAAGGTAGATGACACGAGAAAAGACAAGTGGAGGGGGGTAAATTTTCCTCCGTTGGGCCTTAGGTTCCCCGTCGAGGAGGTTGATTGATGAGGTGGTTGGCAGAGAAAGAGGTGGTAAACTTGACAGGGCAAAGACGATATTTGGCCCTACTCTTAGCGTGAGAATCGGAGAGAGATTTGCCCCACACAGCACCACCAAGCCTGTCGAGTCAAGTCGCGTGGAATGGTGGATTATCACTCTGTACGAAGTACAGCGTAACGTAATAAATTATTCAATCGATCGGCGATATATGCAGATTGCCAATTTGCTGTCCTCAAAAAATTTATGATGGAAAATTATGTACGTGGCGGAGATATTAGAGAGAAGAAAACAGAAGCTGTTGGGGTTTGGAAAGGGGGAGCAGGAAGAAAGAGAGAAGGAAGAGAGAGAGAGAGGGAAAGATGGAAAGATGCAGAAAGGGGGATGCGAGTGTATAATAAAACAGACTACTGAGGTCATGCAAGTTCTGGTTCCAGGACTCCGTCTTATGTATGCGTATGTATGCTGGCGATGACATGGACGACTGCTGCTCTATCAACACCCTTGAATAGGGTGGTAACGGTACTGTCACCGTCGGAAAGAATAATTGGCTGTGGTGGAACAGATCGTCGTCCGTCGATGCCTGAAGTTGTCCAGGCAAGAAAACGCCATCGCGAGAAAAACGTGAGGCAGCGCGGGCCACGATTTCCCCCCAAACAATGCCCCCGTTGCCCAGCAACCGTACCGTCTTTCTTCGCCTTTGGGTCCTCTCGTCCGACGTGTTGCCGTGTCGCGCCTTCCCGTGACCAAAACCAGTCAGCCACAACTTTGAAAACCGTGGCGGTGTCGTTGTATCACGTGATATGTTAAACACGCCACAACAGCCAACCAAGTCCGAAAAGACAATTTTGCTCCGAGAAACAAGAGTCGGAGGAAGACGACGCATCACCAGCCATTGACAGCGCTTCCGATTGGACTCTTGGTGGTGTCGGTGTCTTTTAGTCACCTGGTCCAAATTCCTATACTCTTGTTCAAACAGGCATGTGTAAGCAGTAGTCCGTTCGCACGTTAGCATACACTATTCGTGAAAGCTTGCGGTCCTGCTTGGAACAGTCTCCGCCCAATCCCTGGAGTTGCCGTTCGATTCCCTACCTCAATAAATTTTTTTTTCCTTTCGTGTTCACCATGCTGCAACCTCGGTTGGCCTTGACTGGCCTCCGTCTTCCGTTTAGATGTCTGTCTTCGGTGTCGTCTAGGTGCTACTCAACAGTCGTACATGCAAAAGAGACTCCTCCGCCGGAGGAATCATCGACATCAGCTTTCGACCCGAGCATTGCCTTTGCTCCACCTCCTACTCGAGATGATGCGGGCGTTCTCATTCGATCCTATAAGCCCCGGACCCCCGGTATCCGGCATTTGCGGAGGCCAATTAACGACCACCTTTGGAAAGGACGACCAATACAAAAGTTGACATTTCCCAAGCGGGGGCAAAGTAAGGGTGGCCGGAACAACACAGGCAGGGTAACGATCCGGCACCGTGGTGGTGGTCACAAACGCCGTATTCGAATGGTCGATTTTGCGCGCGATGCCCCCGGTCCGCACTTGGTGGAACGGATTGAACATGATCCTGGACGAAGTGCTCACATTGCTTTAGTCCGCAGCCAAGAAACCCAGCGCCTGAGCTACATTCTGGCCGCGGAAGGAATGAGAGCTGGGGATGTTGTGCAAAGCTACATGTCTGGTATTCCGGAAGATCTGTGGAAAAGTATGGGAGGTGTCGTGGATCCTGGTGTGCTCGCAGCGAGGACCGCTTGGAGAGGCAACTGCTTGCCATTGCACATGATCCCCGTCGGTACACTGATATTCAATGTCGGCTTGCGGCCGGGTAAGGGAGGCCAACTCTGCCGGAGCGCCGGTACATTCGCAACCGTGATTGCAAAGGGCAGCAATACGCAGGCTGCACAGAACGAGGCTTTTGCTCGAGAACAAGATGGAGCTGAGGAGAAGAAGCCCTTGTCACAGCGCGAGCAGCAAAAGCAGGAACGCATTGCGCAGCATATTACCATTCGTCTACAAAGTGGTGAAGTCCGGTTGATTCATAAGGATTGCTGCGCCACCGTTGGTGTTGCCAGCAACCCGAACTATCAGTACACCCAGCTCGGAAAGGCCGGCCGATCGCGCTGGTTGAACATCCGTCCCACCGTTCGTGGTCTTGCTATGAACGCCATGGACCATCCTCATGGTGGTGGACGAGGCAAGTCCAAGGGTAACGTTCATCCCAAGAGTCCTTGGGGTCTTCCGGTACGTGTTCATTATAGGCGGTTACTTGACATTAGGACTAACCTTTTTTTTTCTAGGCGAAATCTGGCTATAAGACTCGCCCCAAGTGGAAGGTCAATAAGGCTGTGGTTGTCCCCCGAATCCGTAACCAGGGCAAGCGTCGCAGAGGATACAGCTAAACATAGCGCTGTTCGTTTTTCATCTCTTTCTCACCCTTGCTTGCAAGTGTAACTATGGTACCTTTTGTGGATGGTCTCCAAAACAGCGCCAATGCTGTTCAAACCACTATTGCTTTCATGATGTTTTGCGAGGATTCTTTTTTCTAGTTGTACCTGCTTTTTCTTGGGATGGGCATGGAGATGACCGGTTCGTTCAATCTTGTACTATACATCAACTCTACATGGGCCCGTAGGGTGTATGATCTGGGATGCTCTACATGTCTCTCTTGTGACCACGTTTCTCCGACGCTGCTTGTTTGATCTATACCGCGGCGTTGTGTTTGTAATATATGCATTCAGTGTCTAGAAGTCATAGGGGACTCAGGAAAGAGATTCTTTAAGTATAATTTCGCGTGCATTGACGAGTGAAGTTGATTGAAAGTTAGTTCTGATGCATATACTAGTCGTAAGGACCAATTGGTCCGAGAGGTAAAAGTTGCTCCGTGGGCTTTGGTTGGTGCGGCGGTGACTACGTAAGCCGGAGATGGATGGATACTTCCAGAAAGAGTAACGACGTCTTTCCTCCTGGAGACTCGAAAGTCCAACTCCGAAGACTAAGTATGCGAATGACGTCCTACATCTACTACTACTTATGAGTGTCCATTTCGCTCCTCGCCGAAGAAGGGATGCGTATACAATTCGTTTCACTCAATCTTCGGCTTTTGTGGCGCTGAACCCGAAACCTTCTCCAAATCAATCCGATCCCAAATCCAGCTACTTTACTATCTAAACCCACCGAGACACCCCCTAGATCATGGGTCTGGACCTCCTTCATACTAATGTTTATGGTCCTTGATCTTTTGTCTCATGATCTAATGCTCATTTGGCTAACCCTCTTTAATCTTTTTTGTTACTGAGGTCTGGCACCTCATATCTCTGGACGGTTTTCTGACCTCTACTTGATCGCAGTGGGTGTCATTTAATCATTATCCGATCTCCTCACTCCCCGTCGTCCCATCGTTTCCCGCCACACCAGGCCATGGCGGACTCACATAACGGACATTTTCTTCACTCGACCACCCCGACCTCCTCGACCCAGCCACAACATGCTCCCATGGGTCACGAGACTGTACCGGTCCATGCAGGCCACAGCGATCCGGACAGTTCTTACGTTCCCCGCCCGAAGCGCATTGCGTGTGTTGTCTGCCGGCGGAGAAAACTGAGATGCGACGGGAGGAAACCGAGCTGTGGTACTTGCTCCAGGTTAGGCCACGAATGTGCGTATGATGAAGTGCGCAAGAAAAGTGGCCCAAAGCGGGGTTATGTGAAGCAGCTGGAAGCACGGTTAGGTATGCGAACCAGACAGCCATGCTCCCCCATCGTCATCGGTACTAAAGTTGTACTCCCTCACAGCCCAAGTCGAAACCTTACTGAAGACGCAGGATGGAACCCCCGTCCACAGTCAAGGGAATGGCTTCAACGTCGCAGCATCGAATCCGAATGAGTTCGTCGCCATACCGGAAGTGGCCCCATTCGCGAACAGCATGGATGCGCCTATGTCGTCTCCCGACGAAGATATCAACAACGTTCAGTCCAATCAGACATTTTTGACGCCGGGATTGGATCGCACGGGAAATTTCGGCTGGGACATGATTAGTTTGGGGCTGGAGGAACCTCTTCCTAGCCGGGAGGTTGTTGACGAATTGTATGTATTTGATTCGGGTTCAGTTTTCAAACGTCGCAAACTCTCCGCTGATTGGATAATTACAGAAACCAGGTTTATTTTGAGAAAATTCATCCTTACATGCCCATTTTGCACCGGCCCAGACATCTGGCAGCTATGGATCTTGCTCCAAGCGTGCGACCCCCCGTATGTTTACAATACATCACTTGGTGCCAAGCTGCGTCTGTCAGCGAGAAATTTTCGAATTTGCATGCACTCTTCTATCAGAGAGCCCGCAAATACGCGGAATTGGATGAAACGAAGGGACTTGGGGAGGGCATCTTGTCTTTGCCATACTGTCAGACATGGTTGCTCATCGGCACATATGAATTCAGAATGATGTTCTTCCCTCGAGCATGGCTCAGTGTCGGAAAAGCGGCAAGGTTGGCACTCATGCTGGGCCTGAATCGGCTGGATGGCCCGGGCCTTGAGGTGAAACAGTCGTTGCCGCCAGCAAGAGATTGGACCGAGAAAGAAGAGCGACGAAGGGTCTTCTGGATGGCATTCTGTGTCGATCGATTTGCAAGCGTGGGGACAGGGTGGCCCGTCTTAATTGATGAGAGAGATGTGAGTGCTGTCTCTTTAGCGTCCTTTCCCTTTTGGAAGGTTTAATCTACTAACTGTGGTTGAACAGCTCAAGACAAACCTACCCGCTACTGAAGAAGCATTTATCAAGAGCAAACCACACAGAACATTACGCGTCGAGGACATCTTGGCGGGCGACGGACTGTCCACGTTATCGTCGTTCGGGAGTGTTTCTTTCATGGCGTACATGTTTGGACGAAACCTCTCGCATCTACATCGTCCTGACCCGCAAGACAACGACCATGACCTGAATGGGCTATACTGGCAACGGCACAGATCGCATGATAACGTTCTACTACATTTTGCTCTAACGATGCCCAATCATCTCCGGCTACCGGCTGGGATGTCTGATCCCAACGTCATCTTCTGCAATATGGCGATTCATACGTCCACGATATGCCTTCATCAAGCTGCTATCTTCAAGGCTGAGAAAAACAAGATGCCTGAGCAGATCATCATCGAAAGCAAACGAAGGTGTATTGTCGCTGCCGATCAAATATCCAACATTATGAAGATGATCAGTCACATGGATCTAACTAGTGTAAGTCTTGAGGAGACCGTCGCTATACTACCTCCGTTATCATGGACTAACCAATCTTAGATGAACCCGTTCATGTCATACTCCGTGTATGTCGCCGCTCGCGTCTTCGTCCAGTACCTCAAATCCCGCCCCGATGACTCGGCTGCCCGTTCCTCTCTCAGATTTGTCTTTTCTGCTCTTGATGCCATGAAGAGCAAGAACCCCTTGACCGAGTCTTTTCTGGTTCAGTTGGATGTTGATATTGAAGGCACTCCATTCCGAGACATTCGGCAAGCCAAAAAGCCCCGTATGACGAATGATGTGCAGCAAGACAGGGTAAGCCCATGCAAAGAAAGACATGTCCATATCACGATTACTAACTGCCAGCATCAGAGTCTCGGTGAGGAAGATATTAGAAGCTGTACTCCACTTTTGGCAATAGCTCAACAGCAAAAGCAACAACCTGCAAATGAAGGAGGATCGGCCAGGCTATCGACTGGCACCCAAAAACAAACCTACTACACGCCGACATCTCTATCCAAGCGAGAGAAACAGACTCCGCCGCAACGGACTAACATGAACAATCCTTGTACAGATCCTTTTGCCAAATCTCCTTTCAATTTCACCTCAGGAACCGACTCTGGACCAACAACTGACATGGAACATTCCCCCGAATTCACCGACAAGAGCTCCAACAATAGCCCGTTGTCAAATGACGCATCAATCTTAAACCAAGCCTCCGCACACGACCCATCTTCTTCCACCTACCTATCTTTGAATCAGTCCTCGTCTCCAAAACAACCGCAACAGCCACCATCAACGTCAGGTTCCAATCATACTAATCATCTACAAGCACATACCGCCCTCGAAAACAATGGCCCCGTAAATATGACCTTGGGAAATGCTCCAATCGGCGCGTTCGATATCGCCTTTTCCTCTCAGTTGTTTCAGACGGGCATCATGACTCCCCTCGAATCCACCGGCTCTGAAGGATCTCTTCCAATCCCTACAACGTGGGACTTTGGTCCGCCTCAGAATTCAAACAATGAGAATGTCGACATGACTACGACCGGGATGGATACCTTCAATGAGGCACAGTGGGCACAATTATTAGGTTCAGGGACAGGTTGGGACTCATGGCGAAATCAAGTATAGGCTCGACTACGAAATTTCTGGTTATCTTTTTTTCCGTCCTGTTTTAATACCCCATTCTGGAGCGGCGCTTTTTATACGAAAGTCATGTGAAACTATATAAGATATCTCATTATCCGATACACTAAACTACGCGAGACCAATATCAAATAATCCAAAGGAAGTCAAATTAGATACTCTACTGCTCGTAACGATGTCAAGAAAGGATAAAAAAGCGATAAAGAGTGAGTCAAGGGAAAAAAAAATAACAATATAAAAATAGAGTAAAGGTAATGAGTGTCTAGGCCTAGCATGGGTTAGGGAACTGTCTGTCATCAGGAGACGCCGGGAAAACACCAGCATCAAGCAAATCACCCAAATCCCATCCAGGAGCGCCCTCGGTCTTCCAAGTCCAGAACACCCAGCCGGACTTAAGCTCAAAGGCGCTCAGCTGGGCTTCAATGAAGCGGCGCATATCTGCCCGCTCTCCCTCAGGGAGATCGGCTACAGAGCCGGTAGCCTTGTTGGCGCAATCGCCAATCTTATCAGAAGGGAATGTACCATCATAACGAACGCCTTTACCTTTACCGTTGAGGTATTTAGCACAGTCTGTCAATGCACCGGTCCACTCACCCACGATAACGGGCTTGTCGGATGCTTCCAGGTGCTGGTGACCGAATTGGCAGACGGCATTGATATGGCTGTCAATATCCATGGCGAGTAGTCCGGTGTCGAACATATGGTAATGGTGCGTGTCCATCACAACCTTGCTGCCCTCTGTCTTGTAGCCGTTCCAGCTTTCCACGGGCAGGAAGCCATCTCCATATACGATAGATGTGCCAGGGCTGTATTTATTGACGATTCCATAAGTGGTACCGTAGTACTCCTTCAGCTTGCCCTGGTCCAAACCACCGGGGACATTGGGCTCATTGATGGCTTCGATGGCAGCCACGGTGTCGGAGTCAACATACCGTTCGGCCAAGCGGTCGAAAGCATCAAGTGTGTGCTCGATTGTGTCCCCCTGTTGCCACTGGATGGACCCTCTGCGACCGCTGTTGTCGAATCCATTCTGGGATCCCGGAGCTAGGCACATATTTAGCTATGTTTCGACTCTCTTGGCAAGTCGTTGAACCCAGGGGTGCATACCACCATGTAAGTCAACCAAGACCTTAATACCAGCCTCTTTGGCCCAGTCTATCGCTCTGTCAAGGTACTCCAGCTGACCATCAACATAAGGGTCTCCCTCGAGGGGCCCAAGTGCCCAATAACCGATGGGAATCCGAACGTGGTTCAGTCCAGCTGCAGCCATTTGATTGAAATCGTCTTGAGAAATAAAGGAGTCCCAGTGAGCGGACAAACGAGCTTTGGCTTCATCCTTACCCAGGATCTGGGTCAGTGTCCATTCGTCCACAGCTCCGTCACCGGCCTCATCAAAAATTGAAGGGGTAATCCAAGGCTCAAGCACAAGCCATCCACCAAGGTTGACACCGCGAACTTTTTCACCTCCATAATTGAAGGAGCTTCCACGAGGATCTAAGCGACTACTTGGCGGTAAGCAATCTATGCCGGAAGGACGGGTAATATCCCAATTATACTGACATCGTTGCAGCTTGCGTGCCGGCTGCAAGCAGACCAAGCGCCAGAAGCACCTTATTCGAAAAACTAGCGAACATCTTTGAAGAATACTCTATTCTTTGACACAGATCTTCTAGAGATGAAACAGAAGGCTGGAGTTGAGATGGTGAATTGTTTGCTGTGGCAAGATGCAGCCTCAGTTGGAATGGAAATCACTTGGTTTAAGTAAGGAGTCCTCACAGGCTGGTTTAACCACCGGACGCAGCCAACAGCAGGCCTCAGCCAAGCACCAAGTTTGAGACAAAGCCCACACTCGCCACTGCTTTCAGTAGTGTCGATCTCAGATCTGATCGAGCATCTAGGGATGGATCTACGCAGGTGGGGTTATGACAGCTCCGAAAGCAGGATATAAGAATAGGATAATGATAAGGGGAAAGATATTAGGAGCGCAACAAAGGCTTTCTTCCCCCTTTCCTTGTCCAGGAACGTCGAGGGCACGATCACGAATGTCACAGAACGACGCCTCTTTTCGATGGATCCATATGAATGGAGCTGCAGGATCCAGAGAGGACCCATGGAAGTTCTGCGTTATTGGGTCACAGTGACGAGCGCGGAGTTGCTGAGAACTATTGTGGCGCTATAGAAGACGGCGAACCCCATATTTGCGTGGATTGATAGTTCCATGGGTCCATGGGTTCTTTGGCATCGGATCCGGGGAAGAGCGACCCTGATTAGGACCCATCGATTTGTCGGGTACCTGATCGGGAAGTATATAGAGGCCGAACGATAGCAGTGTTGTCTTCCGCCGAAGCGAATATAGATGAAGGAATAACACATTTAAGTAGGGTTGAGTACTGGCATACGTCTAGATATTTTTTTCTCTCTCTTTTCTTTTCACCAAAAGGGTGAGTCGTCATCTTGGAACGATGAGCGTCCTTTGTGGCAATGGATGTTGGTATACGAAATGTCAACAGCAAGGTTTACTGAGCCTTGAAAAAAGCCGCGTTCGGAAGGAAAGGAATTCCAGAGGATGAGATGAATATGCGAAAGGAATGAGGTCGAGGGTTACGAATCACTGACGGATTCGGAAGGGCATATATTGGTCACGTGGGAGGACACACGTGCATCGATTGATCTTCCTCTGACCTTCCGGTACCCTAATTTGATATGATCGACTTGGTACTTGGAACGGAAGATTTGAGACATGAGATCTATTCCCTTTGTTACTTATCATGACTTCCACAGCTAATTAACATTAATGCCATCTGTTACATCCCCCAACCATTCAAAGATTAGTATGGAAAGTCATTGCCTCTACACCCAATATCTGGTGCCCCAATCTCCCTGAAGACCTTGTTGTTCATGAAACATCTCCACAGTACCCAAATGGGCGTCGAGAACTTTGCCTCCCATTCATAACCGTCCGAATCGGCTTTGTGGAAGTAATTGAACTCCCAGAATGTGAGACCTCCTCCGACACAGCTTTTCGCCGCATCACGGAGTGCTCTACCATGGTCAGTGGTGCCCCAACTTTTACCCTTGATATAATATCTTGCGTAAGCATAATAATACCATCCGAAGCATGAGCCAGTAGGTTTCGGAACAGGCCAAGGGCGCTTAGTACGGCCCATCTCCAGATCGTATGTGTAATCCCCTTTTCTCCATGTCCCCCCGTGCTTGAGGGACAGCGGGTTGTCGTCGCGATAGATGTCGCACCCATGAACAATTCTCAAGAAGCTATTAATGCATTCTTGCTTGCTAAAATGCTTAGCACCATTCTTGAGCTTTATGGAGTACTTGTGCTCTTCCGGTGTGCCCTCGTAGAAAACGCGCTCGTCGTGCCAGTTAGCCACATTTTCGGGCGGCTTGACTTCGTCGCAGTATGTCTTGTAGGTTCCATCCACCAAGCCTACTTGTGCATAATGTCTGAGGGATTTGCGTCCAGTCACCCTACAACGAAAGTAGTCCAACTCCCCTTCATTGCAGATCGGATTGTCCACAGCCAGAAGTGATGCCCGCGCGGAGACGATCTCATTGAGCACGAACGACGCGATCGTTACGTGGCCCTTCTCATTGGGGTGAAAAAACTTTCCCCACCGATCTGGAAGCCCAAATCCCCAGTCTCGCTTGTTGTCGTGATCTGCCATGCAACGATCGTACGGGTCCCTACCCCCGAGCGTGTGCAGGACCTCGGCCGCAGGATCCGCATTGTAGAGGCTTTCATTGACGCTGTAGTGCGTCTCTTCTATGACGGGCTCCGGCTGACCCTTGTCTACCGTGATCTCCCTCTTCTTCACCTCATCGTGTTTTGCGCGCTTTTTGGTATCCGGTTTGAAGAACTGCAGATTGGGCTGCTTGTCGTCAGGGTACTCTCCAGTAGACCCTGGCCAGCAGAACTGCCCAGCCACCCGGGAATCGGAGGCCCAGTCGTCCCAATCTGCGAAACGCAGCCTGTACTTCACACCTTGCTCTCTCATCCGGTCAATTGTTCTATCGATGCCTGCATTCGCAAGCTGGACCAACTTATTGAGTACTTGTCTTTTTCCCAAGTCCAGCGGAATCCCCTCCCAAGGGCCTCCAACTGGTGGGAATCCCCAGCGATGATGTTTTGCACATTCATCAACTTCCGTTGGCTGATCATGGAAGAACTGAGCGTAGCTAGCAACGACCACAATACCGCTGCTGGGTTTCATCTTTTTTTCAAGCTCCCGAAGGATCTCTGTGAGCCTTGGCTCTAGGAGTTCCTTGGTATTTTTCTCAGCGATCGCAATAGCATCTTTGCATTTATCTGCGCTCCAAGCCATAAAAATACAAGACTTGAGAACGTCAACCTAGCGAGCTTTATGTTAGCAAAAGAGGTAAAAGATATACAAAGAGACTAGGGCTCTCCCTACCAAGCATAGGTCGTTCCCTCCCGCTGTCATCACCACCAAATCCATGGCGTTGTCGAGTTTTTTGACTTGCTCAAGGATATCTCTTGTCTTGGCCCCAGAACAAGCCAGCCATTGGAACTTTTTTGGGGAAGGACCAATGACCCGTTGGAGGAGTGGGACATACGACTTGTCATACCGAGAACATGTTTTGTCATCATCATTTTGATTGTATAATTGACCAGCTCCGATCCCTGCAGTGAAGCTATCACCGATAGCGGCCCATTTTGTGATCCAGCCCATATGATTAGGATCAAGATCGGGAGGGGGAATGGGGTCTGGACCCGGAGCCAAAGGCATGAAGGTGCTATTAAGGCTAAGGCTAACATTATCATGGGCGGGTTGACCGACGATGGGCCCCAGCAATAGTGCCAGTGCCAACCATAGTATAGTTAGAGCTACCATTGTGATGATGTTCTAGAAAAAAGGGTAGCTTTCTTAAAATAGAACAATCTCGGGATGTATTCAGGCTCCATGAAAGATTGATGGAGGGCAAAAGTACTCTCTTAGCAACCTGACAAAGATATATACTGCACTCCGTAGAACATGGCTGATTGGCAGAGTGAATTCGTACTGACCTATGTCGGAAAACTCCTTAGCATGAGAGGCCCACCTTGGTTATACTGTGAATTGAAGGATCAGAGATCAGTGATAGTGAATTGTAACTATAATTATCTCTCCCCGCTTGACTACACGGCACAGCTTTGAATGAACGGGGCTGTGGCTTATCAGTTGTCACATTAGCTACTTCTTTGTTAGCCATTGTAATATAGTGGGCAGGTACATACAAACTCATACCTTGTAGTAGTTATGCTTCTGGACAGTGTGTATCTCGAGTAGATCCAGGACAAATACTGAAATGATGAAATGATAGACGCTACTGATGCGCATAAACTAGGACCTGTACCTCTTTCGAAACAATTGATTGATCGACGTCACACTACAAATAACAAAACACCCAAAGCCCTCATTCTAGCTTCTAGTAGGCACCAATCGAAGGCCAAAATATCTATCCCTTCTTGTGAGATCCACGCCAAGTCCTATTCCGCCCCTTCGGCCAAGGTGAACCAAAGCAAGGCATTTGAACACGCCCACCTTTACGAATCTTTCCTGCCTTCTTATCCATTGCCGTCCCCAAAGCCTTAATGAGAGTGCCATCATCCAGGTCAATTGCCCAAACCATCGTTCCTCCCAGGCACCGCTTGTTTGCGTAGTCAATCTTGACCTTTAGGGTTTCCACATCGTCCCAGCTAACCCACTGGTTGGTATTCCACGTAGCAATTTTCACAGCAGCCTCTTTATCAAAGGAAACTGAAGCGCCATTTCTGACAATCTTGTGGATCTCTGTCGCAGAAAGAACTCCGGGGACATTCGTACATTCTCCAGCGGGCGCCTCTCCCTTTTTAAAGGGACATCCGGGGGTCATGCACTTGGGGTCCTCCATAGTAAAGCTACGTCCGTAGAAGCCCAGTCCCATAACAACCCGGTTCGGATTAATATTGCTGCGCCAGAGAAGCTCAAGGCCCATGTTAATCTCTGTCAGATTGGTGTGCGCATATGCATGTGCCCCAATCTCCTTGCCCTCTGCATCCCAGAGACCATCTAAGAAGGAATAACAAGGTTAGTGTCTGATTCCGGACTGGACGCGCGAGTATACTCACGAATATCATACGTCATGACATTAAACCAGTCTATATGTGGCTCCAAGTTCGCAATATCGAATCCTCTCAGATACCAGTAACTGGCAGGCTATAGTGAATAGGAGTTTAGCATTTCAGAGCTTAGGAGTCTGGAAATGAGCGAAGCACATCTTACCAGGGTTAGGGTGATACCAAATGACTTTGCTGCCCCGTTCAGTCTCTCTCTCAGTCGTTTCACCAGAGTAACATAGTTGGCAAAGTCCTCTGGCCTGCCACCTCGATCCTCTGCAGCAGGATATTCCCAATCAAGGTCAACTCCATCGAAGCCATTATGAAGCATAAAACTAATCAATGATTCAAAAAAGGCATCCTGTGCGGGCTGTGAGGCAGCGAGATCCGAGAAGGTAGTTCTCGTGAGGCCAGGTTCATTAAAGTCCCACCCTCCAAGTGCAATATACACTTCAAGTCCGGGCTGGCGTCCCTTTAGCGTTGTGAGGGTCCGATAGCGCTTTGCGGTTTCTTCAGTCATAGGAGCAATCCGGAATGTTTTGGGGTCAATCGAGGCAAAGGCAAAATTAATGTGGGAGTATATCCCCAGAGGGATATCTTTTGGTTCCACCTCTAGAGTAATCATATTGTCAGTTCAGTAAGAGACGTAGAGTTAAGAAAACCTACTATCACAGAGTCGTCGCTCAGGGTTCCATGCTTCGTAGTAGCCGATGGTTCTTTCTCGTGAACTGTTCCCATTGCATTGGGGAGATACTACCTTTTTATCGCCGCAAAAGAGTGCCGTGGTTCCTGTTTATGGGTTTACTTAGCTACAATCCATAATCCGATGAGAACGAAGGGTTACGAGTCCTCACCGCAGAACCCATGCTTACTACAGCATACTTTCAATGGACAAGTTGACTTGTTAGACCATTCCTTTCCCCAGCCCGCATCGCATTCACTCTTTCTATCACAATTAGAGGTACACTTTGGTCCACAGAATTCGGGTCCATAGCCACAGGAGCCTGCACCGGTTATATCTCTGGAGATCTTGATTAGGGTTTGCTGTATGTAGATGTGGAATAGGGTTCTTACATTGGCCCACAGCACCCTAGGCGGCAAGGTTTAGTCTTAGAGCATGTAGTATCATCGTTCGCGGAAGACAAGAGTTCCATGCTTGTAAACTGCAAAGCCAAAGCTTTGCCTGCAATTTGACAGAGGAGAAAGCATAAAATGCCTATAATCGATCTGTTTAGGGCCATGATAGCAGAGGGGGAGGGAGAGAAAGAGATAGCAAAGATAAGGGGTTCTATTGGAAACAAGTGAGTAGCAAAAAGGCTGAGAATTTGTCCCACAGGCTAATATTACCCCTTAAATACTGGGGTGATCTTGATCATGTTCATCCTGGTTGACTCTAGTATGCTTCTATTCACTGTCTTACAATACAGCATTCACTTCATCAGAACGCCACATGTATAGGTCGAGTTGATAAAGGTGACAAATATCTCATGATCACCATTATTTAAGCCAGTACTGTTATATGCCCCATCTTGCCTCTTAGAACCCTTTCTTACACAAGACCTCTCATTCCTTTGTCTAAGAGTATGAACATTCACATTGAGTAAGCTCGGGATCTATCCCTTCTCCCCCAACTCTCAGCATGCATTAACATTTGTGTGGCAGCTCCTTATGGACACGATAACTCTCTATACTATCTTGGAGGTCATGTTTGCCCTTTTACTGCTCTTTGCGTCTCTTGTCAGCGCCGGCCACCCAGCCTGGGAGGCAGACGCTACAACCATCGCGCCCGATTGGATAACTATCGCTCCCACTGCCGAGTTTCAAACTTGGCCAAATACGATGATTAGGTTTTGCTTCGAAGACGAAGAATCGGCCAAGAGGTTGGAAGAGTATATACGAGCGGCAATGCAGCTCTGGTACGCCGCTGGCTTACCAGAAGGGTTCAAATTCAAAGAGGTTTCGAAGAGTGCGTGCGATAGAGACCCAGAGAACCATCTGTTAGTGTCGGGATCCGACAATGATGGTGCATTTTGGACCAGTATTGGACACAACTTCGAAGGGGATGATGGAAGGCCCGTTATGGTCTTGAATTTTCAGGACAACTATATGGAAAAGTACAAGCCCGCCATGATTGCTCACGAAATCGGACATGCTTGGGGTATGGAACATCAACATCAAGACCCCATGCTGTGGCGATGGCCTCGTAGAGGCCAGCCAGATCTCTCATTGGTTATATTCAATTGCCAGAATGTGGAAGGCTACAATGAGCTAGTGAAGGAGTACGAGTCACCCATGATGCTCTATGCTCACGACGGCCCCTGTCGCAGTTCAACGGCTGCGCATGACAAAGATTTCCTTGCAGCCGAAATTCTTCCACTTGAAACAGAGAATTATTACACGCCACATAGGATGTGGCCTTGGGACTCGGACGTTGATTGGAAGTCTATCATGATTTACGAATCCCACTCTTTCGGGGCTAAAGATGAGCATGGCTACGCTAAGTCTACGCTACTTCGAAGGATGGGACGTCAAGTGATCGAAGAGCCTATGGTCGTGACGCAAGACGATGTGGAAGGGTTAATGACTCTCTACAACCCGAAATGGGGCTCTTTGCGTGTAGATTTACACAATGAGAATAATAGTCCGTGGTTCGAGATATTCAAGGAGAAGCTCAAGAGCTGCTTAAGGAAGCATTGAGGCAAGAGCTCAGATTCACTGTTTGTAAGGGACAATGACACGCAATGTTCTTCAAGTGGAGTTATTTTACTTGGTCGTCATATAATGTCAGTGAATATTACAATTCTTTGCTAATTTTAGAATCATGGCCTTTCTGAAGGAGCAGAAGTGAATAAGGTCTTTCCAAATATTTTAATCCTCCTCCACTAAGAGGGTTAGGGGAAGGTGAATTGCCCTGCTCATTCACTGGGAGATTTATATACTGTAGATCATTCTTTCTCTTTGCTGAATATAAACTCTCATATAAAACCCTAGTCCTTTCTCCTATACTGACTGCTTGCTCACGCTTTTCTTCATCTTTTGTCATAAGGATGATAGCCATGACACCCGTCCAACTAACTCTTGCTCTGCTCCTCGTAGCGATAGCTGCTTTGGTTAATGCTGCAAGCACCACCTGGGAGACAAATCCCTCCCAAGCAACCTTGCCAGGAACCGCTTCCAATTGTAACAAATGGCATACTGCGAAGAAGGACGAGGATTGCTCCACCGTGCAGCGTGCGTTTGGTATCTCGGCCGATGACTTTTCTCGTTGGAATCTGTCGGTCTCCAAGGACTGCAAGAAGAACTTTTGGGCGGATACTTCATACTGTGTTGGAGTAGGGCCAGCCATCCCCAGTGGAACCCCAACCCCAACCTCGACTCACAGCTCTTCAACAACCACGACTCCTGTAAAGACTCCCCCAAGCGATAGTGTGACCTCAACGGCAGCTAGTTCTAGCCCCCCCATGGCTAGTGCTACTTACACAATCAATCATCCTATTACCACCCAGAGTATGACTGAGCCTACTCTCGAGACAGCGTGGCCTCCCACCAAGACCCAGGCAGGTCAACCCACATCTTGTGTCGGGTGGCATGAGGTCAGGATCGCTGACACCTGCGATACAATCGCAGGCCGCTACAGCGCGTTCGCCACAATTGAAGAGCTGTGAGTGAAAATCCTACCGTCATGGAACCAATCTAGGTAAACTGATATGACGCGCAGTCTGGAATGGAATCCGGGCCTCAAGGAGGATTGCGACCACCCCCTCCTGGGCTATTTTGTGTGCGTCATGGTCAAGCCAAATGGCCTCACATTATCCTATCCAACTGCTACAACCCCGGTGACGATTCCTACCCCTACGCCGTACACGCCCCCTCCTCCAGTTTGCCCTAATAGCACTGACGCCACGGTGTTTACGCCGTCACCGACACAGCCTGGAATGGCCACAGGTTGTCGGGTTTATCACCATGCTACAACGGTAATGAATTGAAACAGTCTATTACACTCTATGTACTCTGGGTCACTAACGTTTCGCCATACAGGGAGATTCATGCTCCAAGATTGTATCGAAATATAAATACATAAACGAGAAACAACTTCAAGAGTGGAATCCAGCTCTTGGTTCAGTTTGCAAGGGTCTAGTTCCCAACTTCTACTACTGTCTCTATCCCAGCACATTCGTACCTATGCCGCCCACTGTCACCACAGCCCCAGCTCCCACTCAGTCCGGCATCGCCAGCAACTGCAAGGCTTGGTATCAAGTGAAGGACGCGGAGATCTGTTCCGAAATTGCGCTCATATTTGGCACGTTCTCGGAGGGTGACTTCAAGGCCTGGAACCCTTCGGTTGGCAAGGGCTGTACTAAAATCCTCGTAAGGATATCCTTCCCACGGGAGAGCGTGAGTTAGCAGTGCTAACCAACCCCTAATTTATAGAAGGATAACTGGTACTGCGTGGCAGTGCCTAGTACTCCTTCCACTCGCACTGCGCCTGTTCCGACTTTCCCAACAAGCGTTCCACGCCAGCCAAACGTGATTAAGAACTGCACTACGTGGTGGCATGTGTCTGAGTAGGTTGATGGATCCTCTTCCTGGAGTTCCAGCATGAGATTTTGACAATAACCTAGGAACGAGGATTGCTACGACGTCTCCCGGAAGAACTCTATTAAGGTCGAGGAGTTCCTTAGATGGAACCCCGACGTACGCTCTTCCCAGAATGACTGCAAATTCCTACCCGTAGACCACGAAGTGTGCGTGGGCATACGACCCAAACCGCCTATCCCCGGGTGTCTGGCAATTCCGGGAAATACAACCACCTCGTCCTATGTGGCCCGGGCATTGCCTACCAAGACTGGCTGGACTAAGACTCTGACCACTACAGCCATCGTGACGCAATGCGAGGGTCCATCCTCGTCCACCTGTGCCACTGCCATGGTGACCACGACGGCAATTGTGACCCTGTTCCCGTTGCCAACGGCCGAGGCCACCCATACCAAGTTTGTGACTTCTACAGTGACCATCACTCACGATGGGAGCTCGTCCTCTAGGAAGCCACCGGAGACCTCCACACCAATGGTGACTCCACCTCTGCCTCATCAGACCAGTAAACAAGGTTCGACTCTCATCACCCCGTCAACTAAAGGTCCAGTTTATAGCGGCAGTAGTTCTACGCCAATCATCCGGTCAACTACGGGTCCTCATACCAGTAGTTCTGTGCCAACCCTGACTGGGCCTCTACCACCGCAGAATCCTTCAACCATAACGGTGACTACAAGGATTACGACGAAGTGCTCGACTTCGTCTACGCTGAAGACAAGCGAGCCGGAGTATACCACGATTGTGACTACTACGAAGACAACTCCTTGCTCGACTTCGTCTACCTCGGCTCTACATACGAGCGTGCTGGACTATACTACGACAATAGCAACTCGATGCTCCTCTTCGTCTAACTTGGGTAGGCGCTCAAGGAGTCGAACAGCAAGTGTGGAACTGCCGATGGCGATTATATTCTAAAGATTGTGTGTAGGTAGCTTTCTGTCAGAAGGAGGACAGTAGTGAAGGTTTGTAGTAGACTGTTTGGGAACATCTTGAATGGAGTCTGTCTGGTTGAGTGGGGACGAATTACTGTCTGTGAAGCGATTCAAAGGAATGCTTAGATGTATGTAAGGTACCACGTGCACGAAGCAGATAATTAACTCGAATTCAACCTTCAGATCAACCCTGAAGAAACCTAGCAAGGATTGTATTCAAAGTCCAGGAATAAACTCACCGGCAGATCAAGCCAAGTCTCACCAGATGATCAACAGCCTATGTATACGCCCCGAAAGAGAAGGCACATAATTCCTTTCCTAATACACTTCCCACTCTAAAGCCACCCAATATCAAACAAAAACCACCACGACCACCAAACCTATCCTCATCCTCCAGCATCACCACACACCACGTCCCCAAAAATCCACAGATAACAGCACCATCCAGCCCTCCAGACTAATTAAGGGTCACTTACCCAAGTTAACCAGCAATAACACACCTACATATACCCTAATAGAGTAAAAGGAAAGAAAAGAAACTGCCTTAAAAACCCCAGCCAAGCGTCCCAGCCACTAAGCCTCTCCCATCTCCGTCCCAACCCCCCCAAAAAAAAAAAAAAAAAGACAGTAAAGTACACCCACTAGCCCGCAGCTTGGATCATGGGTTCTGCAGATATGGTAGCATAGATGCAGATGCAGCAGTCCTAGTCCCCACTAATCCCCCCCAAAAGGCGGCCCATAGATTAAAAAGGACGCACGCACGCGCACACAAACATCTGACAATCATCTCGGATCTGGCGTGGAGCCACCGACGGGAACGGACGCTGGGCAATAAGATCACAATCTCGGCTTGGGCTTTGGGGCTGTTATCCACTTTGAAGTTTGCAGCTATTACTGAGCTAATGCTGCTAGCGGTGGAGTTGCAGTCTATTTTTTTTCCCCTCTTGAAGGGGGGCTAGGACCAGCCACTGACTGGATTTCTGGATTCTCGCATCGATTGCCCGTGTTGGGGAAGTGGTCTGGTCTTTAGGCTTTAGGATTAGGGAAGAATTGGGACTCGGGATTTGGGAGGTTGTATGGAGCTGATGGGTCGGAGTCAAGGAATAAGAGTTTGGCTGGAGTCTGGAGGTCTTGGGATGGGCTATCTAGATAGAACTGGTAGGGGACGTGAGTATTGGCATCCTGGGGTTTGTGGTCAGCTTTTGGAGGATCTGGGGCTTGAATGGGAGACTTTGGATGGAAGGACCAGGTTGCTATTCTGGTTGAGATCTATATGAGATGCATCGGGTTCTATATCGGAGATCTTTAAGGATGTTTCCCACGGATGAGAGATATCAGATGCATTGTAGATCTACCAAGGCCCGCGGTATATCGCGCACGGAAGTCCATCTCCGGTGGAAACAAAGGCGACCGCGACTTACATCTTACGGAGAAACCCATGCCTCTCCCAAGAGCGAGGACCAAAAATTAAGCGCTTTTCGGGATGCTATACACATACACAGTGGAGTGTCTTCAAGGCACGGGGCAGTCTAGACACTGGACAGTGTACTGTACCTCGGTGAGCAGGAGCAATTAACACAAACGCCGATAAATACGATTACGCCGTCAGTGGACCTGTCAGACCGTTAAGTGGAGAGAGAAAAATGGGGAAGTCAATCTCCGAGATTCGTTGGATGTCCGTTCCGGACGAGCTCGGCTATGGGGGGACATGAAGCCGAAGCTGTCGTGTTAATCTCACGCTACAATTACATATATCAGGAGAGGTTTATTAACCAGGATGTCCATGAGTCAGTTTCTATCTGGCATGTGCTCTAACTTCTAATATGAACTTTCCCCCCCTTATGGTACCCGGCATTTGAGTAAGGCAAGTCAAGATCAGAAACGTAAAGACGAGGGGGGGTAAAAAGGCCATTCCACGTTTTCCGTGTTAACAATTACCATGTTGCCGATCATACCGAGAGGACCGGCGAATCACGACCTTTGGATTTGACTAACATGAAGTTTTTGATATCTTCTCTCCATACGAACAACCAACGGCAGAGGGATTTCAGTTCAGCCTCGCATCCTTCGCAACCCTAACCGAAAAGCAAGTCTACACCAAATTGATTATACTCCCTCAACCGAGGTCAGAGGTCGCTTAATTGTGAAAAGATCAATAGTTTACCGTACAAGGTAAGTAAGTAGACTATCCAAGGATAAAATCTATTATCGTGTTGTTAGTCACAGGTCGGGAAGAGCCCCAGAATCAGGCCACAGCGGCATTAAGTTTTCTTTCTAAAAGTCACCCCATTTGGGTCACCTTATCCACTCTTTTTTTTTTTTTTTACACCTAAGCGCTAGAGTAAGGTAGTAAGTAGACTATTCACCGTTTTCCTCATCACACGACATTTCCTCTCAACCTCGCTCTCTTTTCCTTTCTCATCCGTAGTTAGGATGGACCCTTTCCGGATCGGGGTGGCAATAGTGTTCCTTTTCTTCCCTTCCAATCCTTCGATACGATCTTTTCCCTATCTTGTCTTAATCAATATGAGATCCATGCTAATACGGAATATTCCGACCGACACGCGTAGCTACTGACTGCTAATTTTATATCGATCTCCCGTGATAAAAACCTGAAACAGTACTGGCCATGATGTCAGCCTGGAAGGGAGCACCGTTTAGGGTTAACCCAACTAAACTACTCTATATGTACAGACTAATATAATACATAAAAATCTTTCTAGACTCGGTCGGGAATCGGACCCGAATCTGCTCGGGTCCGCCAGTCGCGCCTTATCCAGGGGTTTCCGTTTTTCTGTTTCTGTCACGGAGCTAGCACTATGGGGGTTGTCCCGTACTCCGTAGTCTGTAGGAAGCTATGGGGAAGGTAGTGTTGATCGAAGGAGCAGAGTACGTATGCTTGCACAATGTATACATGGCCTCAATTAAAGAGATATGTATCCCCAATGGACAAAAAAAAAGGGTCCAATTGCCCCGGGATTCGATGACCTCATATATTGAGATAGTATTTACGATCTCTCTAGTGAGAGCTATAATTCTCTAAACTCATCCTGCCGAGAAGTCAAAGAGAAATCATACAAACGAGAACTGCACGTCATTCCCCATCCCCGATAAATCCCATCTCTGAATGACCAAGTGCTATAAACGTCAAAAAGGCCAAATCCAATCAAGTCAAAGAGAAAATTAATAGACGCATCCTCTTGCCCCACCAGCACCACGTGTCTCATGAAGATAATAGGCTGTGAAATACACAGAGGCCAGGAAGATCCTTACCATGGAATCACAAGAGCGAGAAGGGGAAAAAAAAAGCAAAGACAACATCCTTCCTATCCCCGGTTACGGCCCTGCATCAGACCACTAGGAAAGAAAAAAAACACCCCTACTATCCCTCGGCAGGGAATCTCGCCAGCTTTCGGGATCATTTTCTTTCCTCTGGCCTGACGGGGCGGAGGAATTGCTCAGTAATTTTCCTCTTTTTTTCCTTAGCCTGAAACGATCTGCTCATGAGTTTTTTTTGCCCTGATCTCAGGCGTGGTTTTCCGTGGTCTTCCTGATCCGATGCTTTTTACTATTATCCTTAATTTTTATTTTATTAGTTCTGAATTTGATTTTTTTTTTTTTTTTTTAGTTTGATATTTTATTTTTATGCACTGGGGACCAAAGTCTCCCGTAGATCTATATAATCATGCAATACCTCGACCTCTCCCTCCATATCTTGAGTCATTGATTCTAAGATTCTTCCATTATATTTCCATCTCTCCCCATCTATAATACCTTACCTCAAGCCAACCCCAGGCGTTCGTGCCCTTGAGATCTATAGTTTCAAATCCTTCCAAAAGAAGACCCCCATTTTACATCATCCCTCACATCCCCAAACCCCAAGCCAATGGAAAAAGGGAACAACATGGACGGATTATTCTTCGATCACAGTCGTCCCATTAAACATGTCGACCGAAAAGCCATCTACACCCGGCTAGAAGCGCGCATCAACTACCTCCAAGACTTTCTGGACTTCAATTCGGGTATGCTCATTCTTCCCTAGACAAAAGCTATCTTGTGGAATATGCTATTGTCGTGAGGGCGGAACCCTACATGAACGATCTGGTTAAATGCATGAATGAAAGGCTAACGTTGGACATCAGCTGACATCGAAGCCCTGACCACCGGCTCCAAGTACATCAAAGCTCTCATCCCCGCCGTCGTCAACATCGTGTACAAGAAACTCCTGGAACAGGATATCACGGCCCGGGCCTTCCACACGCGGGACACTGCCGACGAGAGACCTATCGAGGAGTTCTACAATGAGGAGAGTCCACAGATCTTGCGCCGGAAGATGTTCCTCCGCTGGTATCTGACCAAGCTCTGCTCCGATCCCACGCAGACTGAGTTCTGGCGGTATTTGAATAAAGTTGGGTATGCTAGGACATGTCTTTCTTTCTTTTTTTTTTTTTTTTTTTTTTTTTTTTTTTGCACAATGGATGGTCGGGACATAAAAGGCTAACAGATGATTTATGGTAGAATGATGCACACCGCACAAGAACGCATGCACCCTCTCAACATCGAGTACATCCATATGGGCGCCTGTCTCGGTTTCATCCAAGACATCTTCACCGAAGCGCTGATGTCGCACCCGCGTCTCCCGCTGCAGCGCAAGACAGCGCTCGTCCGCGCCATCGGCAAGATCATCTGGATCCAGAACGACCTCATCGCCAAGTGGCGGATCCGCGACGGCGAGGAATACGCCGAGGAGATGTCGCAAATGACGCTAGACGAGCGCGAGGGATTCATCGGCGACAAGAAGATCCTCGGCGACAGCAGCACGTCGGCCAGTTCCAGTGATGACGATCGGTCCAGCGTGGCCAGTAACCCCAGTATAATAGCGCCTAGTGTAGCGCCGTCCACGGTCTCGGCGTGTCCCTTTGCCGATATGGTGGTGAATTCGTCGGCAGCGTCAACGTCGGAGACGAAGATCTGGGCTGGGAAATAATTGACCGATATTATTCCATAATATCGGTCGGTCGTCGTTTTTGTTCATTCCTCTTCTCGGAGGGGGGGAACACCTTATCTGGAAAGATATTTTGATGCGCCACGGCAAGAGAAGCATTTAGGGATTAAAAGGCATGGCTGGCGTAAGGGACTAGATTTTAATTTTTCTTTTTTCCTTTTCTTATTGTTTCGCCCTTTTTTGGATTTGAGAAGTCTGTTGATGAGGGTTTGTTTTTTTCTCTCACCCTTTTCGTTTAGAAGCATGCATGGCGGGTGTTTTGGGCTTTTCTGATCGATTACTATATATAATCCAACGATATCCACTTCCCTAGTCTGTAAAGGACTCTAGCTGAACCAAATAGTTGATTAGGTAGTTTATCACGAAGAGACTAAGCTGAAAAGAAGAGAAGAAATCATGAAGCTATCGCGTACGCGATCTTATGTGTTGCCCTTCTTGACAAAGCGTCACATGACTGACCAGACTCACTTCTGATTGGTCTAAACCTCTATCCCCTCTCTATACTTAGCATAGAAGATAAGCTCATATATTTCGGGGTTTTTTTTCATTTTATTGTTATTATTATTATATATATATATATTTTTTTCCAAAAATGGTTCTTCTCTACGGACATGCAACCTGTCTAGATCTTCTGGCATGGTCATACAGAGTTGTTTGCCCCAAAATTGCAGGCGAATTAAGTCGTGTGCAACCGTCATCCTCAAAGAAAGTCAAAGTTGGAAATTTTCGACAGAATCAATGAAAGGATGGATTGAATGCATGCTGGATCCACCCGGCCAGCAAGGGAAGGTTGTCAAAATTCGATCATTCCTCCGATTAAGCTTCCATTGCCCTCAATTATTGACAATACATGGGACGAGTTATTTCTTTTCTAGAAACATAGAACAGGGTTAGAACTCTTCTTCAATGAGCAAACTGATCGTCTAGAACAATAAATAGGGAGCTATCTAGATCTCAACGGGTTATGTATTTTTGTCGGTAGGTGCATATATTAAGTGGTCCTGCACAGTCGATCACCCCAACTAACCTCTTTCTAGACATCACTCAATCCAGGGGCGTCAAATTTCAATAGAATCAACTTGACAACGTTATTGGCCTAGGGACCCACTTCTCGGGTTTACGGATTAAGCCATGTCAAATTCTCGTATGGACGATCATCCCTCCCCCCCAAAACCGCCCGGAGTTAGGGATTCGGCCTACAGCAGGGTCGGGGGTACCATACAGAAAGACAGGAACGGAGAAGGATAGCGGCAAATAAAGAACAATCCAAGATGCAGGAGGAGAGTTGTGATTGGATCCCATTCTGTCCCCACCTTCCAAAGCGATCTCCATGATGCATGGGATGGGTCAATGTCATCATGGCTGGGGCCCACAATGCATACCACTTTGAGAGCGTTTATGGACCCCTAGGATATTAGAGAAAATCAAAGAGAAAAAAAAAAGCGGAAAAGGTCAAAAAAGGGACTCGAATCGTATCCGAGATTGATTGATAGTCGAATCAGTCTTTCAACCTCCTGTCAATCTTATCTGCTGTGGAGAAGAACAAAGAGTTACCACCATCACAATCCCCGACTGTGCCGCAGTTGGGTTTCGAACGAATACGCTCAGACGGGGTGAATGACAAGGTTCAAGCACTGACAAGGAGCCATACAGTAGCCTCGAGATCGCCGTCTCCTTGCCGTCTCGTTGGCCGGGAGTTGCACAAAGTTGGCTCCACTGCCGGAAAAGTTCCCGAATTTCCCTCCCCTCACTTGACAAGCTGCATAAGTGTCTCCAACGGACAGCTTATTGCGGGTTAACAGTCCTTTATGTCCGCGCCGTCGGTTCTAATCAACCTTCTCTCCCCTTTTTTTTTTTTTTTTTGCCCTTTTTCTCCCCCTATAAAATATGACACACCCCTCCTCTCGGAACCTTACCTTGGCCTCATTGTTTCGCTTGACGTTTTAAAACAAGCCCGATTCCCATCCATCAGGTGGTACTGATCAAGAAAGAGAAAAAGGGGGGAAAATGTCTGCAACCGATACGGATTGTAGCCATGGGATAATTCCGCTCATTGTCAACAACGAATCGGTCGTGACGGAGACCATCTTCGATGTGCATAACCCTGCAACGGGTCAAGTGGTTGACCGCTGCGCCAGTGCGTCTGTTGACGATGCCAACCGTGCGGTGGCCGCTGCCAAGGCGGCTTTTCCCGCGTGGAGCAAAACAAAGCCATACGACCGTAGAGATATATTGATGAGGGCGGCTGACATTATGCTTTCGCGACGAGAGGAGCTAATAAAGTATCAAATGGAGGAGACTGGGGCGGGCAGGCTGTTTGTGGAGAGGACGTTCGAGTTGGGCGCTAGATTCATCAAGGATTTCGCAGCACGGATTCCGTCCATCGAGGGCTCAGTACCATCTGTATCTGAAGACGGAGAATGCGCCATGATTATCAAAGAGCCTTATGGGGTGGTCTTGGGAATTGCACCTTGGTATGGACTTCCGCTCGTAGATACAAAGGATCGATCAGCGCAGAAATGAACTTTGTCATGACTAACCACCTGCATAAAGGAACGCTCCCTACATTCTCGGCACACGCTCAATCGCTCTTCCTCTTGCCGCAGGGAATACGGCGGTTTTGAAGGGATCCGAGCTATCCCCCAAGTGTTTCTGGGCGATTGGCGATATATTCCGAGAAGCTGGTCTTCCGGCGGGGTGTCTGAATGTAGTCTACCACCGACCTGCTGACGCCGCAGCTGTCACTACTGCTCTCATTGCCCATCCGGCCGTTCGCAAAATCAGCTTTACCGGTAGCACCCAGGTCGGGTCTATCATCGCTTCAACGGCCGGAAAGTATGTAAAACCTGTCGTTCTCGAACTGGGCGGCAAGGCATCCGCTATTGTTTTAGATGATGCAAACCTGGAGAGAGCGGCCATTTGCTGTAGCCTCGGAGCATTCATGCATGTAAGTGCACTCTTCGATGGTAAGTCTCCAGCGTTGACTGACACGATCCTCAGTCCGGTCAAATCTGCATGTCCACAGAGCGCATCATAGTGCAGCGCTCCGTTGCGGACAGGTTCCGCAACATGCTAGCCGATGCATCAGATAAAGTTTTTGGTCAGCATGCACCAGCACCCGTACTTGTGACATCTGCCGCGGTCAAGAAAAACCGGGACCTGGTGTCCGATGCACTTTCGAAGGGTGCTGACATTGTTTTTGGAGATGTCAACGCTTCTGAGACGTCCAGCAATGGCCTGCGACCAGTGATCGTGGGTAATGTGACCAAGGAAATGGATCTTTACTGCACAGAATCATTCGGCCCTACCGCTTCTCTCATTGTAGTCGACTCTGAAGAAGACGCGGTGACACTGGCCAACGATACTGAATACGGTCTCACATCTGCAGTTTTCACGGGTAATCTCTTCCGAGGACTACGGGTAGCCAAGCAGATTGAGTCTGGGTGAGTACTTCTCCCCGCATGGGTTTACTCATGGCACTTGCTGATGGCTCCAGGGCGGTCCACATCAACTCCCTCACCGTCCACGATGAACCAGTCCTGCCACACGGCGGATGGAAAAGTAGCGGATATGGTCGGTTTGGAGGACCCGCCGCGTATGATGAGTGGTTGCAAACCAAGACAGTTACCTGGGTACAATAGATACCCGTACTTCTGAGACATTCCCCGAAAGGTACCGTCTTCCCGCAGGAGCCCGTCGACCCTGGTATATAATTAGGTATCCATACGGAGCCGTTCCTTTACTATAAGATATCCCATCCCCTTCATGAACCAAGTTTTCAATAGTTCCGGTCCTGTCTCCGAAGTAGCACCGCATGTAGGCCATCTCAGAGGGAGGAACCGCCAATCAGCGCGGTATTTGCAGAAGGGGGAGCTGGGAGACAATAACTGTAACGTTGCATCGTCCTTCCGGAAAGCACACATCCCATATTTGGCAACTCAGTGCCTTTGGATGTGTCCTGGGGCGAGGTTTGACCGCTATTTCAAATTGGAAAAAGCTCAAGTGCCTGTTTTGTGTTAGATCGTACACTAGGGCATAATAGTTAGCCGACCAAAATTTACACTCATCTTTTCCCATTTAAGCTAAAGATAGCTGGTGAGGGCTTTGCAAGTCTGACTTTGGATGAGTCCAACTAAAGTAACCTCCTTCTTGGCTGTCGGACAACCAACCTGTTCATGTTAATTTTGGTCCCAGCGAACTACGGTGATCTCCACCCTAGCTAAACCATGGATTAGACAGGACTAGGCAACACGCGCTCAGCAATCAGAATCCGAGACACCTGCGCTAGTCTCCGACGCCACTGCAGGCTATGGGCACATGGCCTGTGATACTGTCGTACTCTGCGGCCATAACGGACACCTTCCAGCCATCCGGATTGGATTATATCTGAGTCACAAGAACCTGTGCCTGGCTTGGCCCGGAGTCTGGGTTGCGGGCGATTTCACATCGGAGATTTCTCTTCCCAGTGAGTTGGCTTTGTCTCTGTTGGCTCATTATGGTTGGCCCTTGAGGTATTGGGTAATTTCCTTTTAGCGCCCCGTAATTAAACCTGGTATCAAAATGCTTCCTGGTTGGGCTGCTTTGAGTGGTCATTGATCTCTCGGCCGGCTCCACCGACGAAGTCAGGAACAAGAAATGAGCGACAGAGCCAACGAACATCATCCCTCAGTCGAGACACGGGATGACTTCATCCAAAGTTGCGATCTTCTCTTTGCGGGGATCTGTTATGATTATCTCTATCGGCTTATCGCAAGGATCAGAGTCAGGGGTCCTTCAGGTCTCAAACAAAGGTTTGTGAGACAAGTTGATCAAATCGATCCGCGACCATTTAGTAAATAAAGCATTCGTATTATGTGCACGCACTGCAGTGGGGGGAGACACCACAATCATACAGTAATCCACTGTATTTTGAAAGTGGACACGAGATACTTAGTTTCATTACTTCAACGAGAATAAAATTAAAAATCGCTCTTTCTCTGGAGTCTAAAGTAAGTCCGTCAGCCTTGTGGCGCAATTATCATCTCGTCTGATAAAATAATTGTGGGAAAAGAAATACCCCCCACGAGAACGTTAACCGAAAATAAAAGTCCGAAAAGGTGTAAACAGACGAGAAGTGACGGATACTGAGATCAGGGTTCAGGCATCATTGTGTTGGTTGACAGGGGATTTCGGATATTTTCCGGAAGTTGAGTTAGAAGTTTTACGGAGTGTACAAAGTCAAATGTACGGATACATGAACAGATCACGCCCCCACGGTGTGCCTGGGGCCAGATATCAACCACAGCCCCCGCGTTGTTTTTTTTATTTTTTATTTTTTTTTCTTTTTGCTTTTCTAAACTGCCGATCAAAATTATTCCACCATCATTCATTCCTCAATAAGACAAAACTCCACATCTTCTTGCTTCTTGACATGCCACATTCCGTGACCTGCAAGAAAACAATGCCGAAAAAAGAAAGGAAGGAGAAAGGAAAATTCCGCGAGATAATGCACCTCGGTTTCCATGCATTTCAGTTATGTGCTTTCCACAACGCCCAGGGTGCACAACAGGCTAATATACTTCATAAGCTCGGCGCCGTTGGTCCTTAGTTCCTGATACTAATGAACTGAACCAATTTCTTCCCAAAAACGAAAAGGCTCCACGAGAGAGGAGGGGCGACAATTTCGGCCCCTCTTCCATGATAGTTCTATAATTCCCCTATTGTTAGTGCTTCCTAATTGCTGGACACTCAACCAAAGATCCGCCAATCATGGAGGACGATTGAATGACCCGAGTTCAGGCCCTTCACAAAGTTCTTGTTAGCTCTACAAGATCTTGCTGGAACTAATACTAACTAAAACTGCAACAAGCCAGTCAGATGGCGTCAGAAACCAGCGAGGTAGCATCCCTCCATCCCTGCCAGGAGCCTGGACGTCCAGCATTCCACAATTTCGGATGTCTCAACGAATCCCCAGGCACGCTCCCTTCAGGATTGGCCCTCCATATTGAATTTCATTTCTGAATGCCCCACTACCAGTGAAATGAGCCGCAGAGAGAGACAAGACTCCCCTTCTCAAGGGGGTCGTACAAGTCCGCCCTAAGGCTTAGCTGCTGTGACAGGAATCCTTTTAGGTTCCCCTTCTTCCCTCCTCTCCTTCTTTTCTCTCTTTCTTCTTCTCTCAGTGTTGTCGTTCTTTTTCGCACACCAGTCATTCTTTTGTCTCAGACACTCCATCCCACTCCAGTCATTCCTTGATTCACTGCTTCCCAGCTCACTCACACCACCTTGAGGTTATTCCTATTTTCGTGTCGATATCGAACAGATTGAAATAAAAGAGCAAAAATGCGTTTTATCCTCGCTGCTATCTCTGCCCTTGCGGCTGTGGCTACCGCCTACACCAAGCCTGATTACAACCAGGCTCCCACTGGCAACCCAATCATGACTCCCGGCCTGAACGAGCAGGTCCCGGCTGGAAAGCCCTACGCCATCACCTGGAACCCTACCACCGAGGGTACCGTTTCTCTGGTCCTTCTCCGTGGCCCCAGCACCAACGTTCAGCCCCTCTACCCCATTGCTGAGCAGATCCCCAACAGCGGAAAGTTCGAATGGACTCCCAGCACCAGCCTTGAGGCCGACGTGACCCACTACGGTCTCCTCCTCGTGGTCGATGCAACTGGTCAGTACCAGTACTCCACCCAGTTCGGTGTCGAGAACTCCAACGTCGTTTCCTCTTCTGCTGCTCCTTCTGTGGCTCCCACCTCCACCGCGGTCGCCGAGCCTAGCGCTTCGTCTACCTCTCTTGTGACTTATGAGATCACCACGACCATCTGCCCTGAGACTGAGACCGCCCCCGCCGCTATCCCTACCGCTGCCACCAGCTCTCCCGTCATTCCACCTCACTCTTGGGGTACTGGCCGTGTTAGCGTCCCTGTTGTCTCTCCCACCAACACCCCTTACCTCCCTACCACCCTGCGCAGCTCCTCCGCTCCCTCCGGCACTGCCTCCAGCACCACCCCCGGTGTCCCTCTGTTCACCAACGGAGCTGACCGCAACGCCATCAGCTTTGGTGCTGCCGCTGCCGGTGTTCTTGCTGTCCTTGCTTTCTAAGTGCACGACGATCCGGGTATACCGGCCAAATTTCAATGTACACAAGAAACCCTTTATGTTCTCTGAAAGCCTGCCTTCTAGCAGATAGTAATATCAGCTCTTCCTTTAACCTCGCCTGGGTGTGTTGATCCAAACCATAAACACGCCGTGGACCTTCTACTACTCGAGTCGTCCGCTCGGCTCATTTCGACTCCTTTTCTTCATGTAATGAACTTCTCATGTATTCTTTCAATGGACATGACTTAGCATTCTTATTTTCTAATGGCATATGTGAAATTTTTCCCCAATCGCCTCATTTACCCTGCAGTGTAACTTAATAAGTTCCTACCACTGACCCCGGGCAAATGGATTATCCTACGGAGTATAATTCTCTTCTTAGTAATGTACATTCCAGTTAGGATAAATGTAGAACCCCGTTTTACCAAGACGCACTACTATAATAGACCAACAATCCATTCACTAGCCGAAAGACCAAGACAAACAAATAGTTATCAAATCCATATTAGTCATATATAGGGATGTAGTAACCCATCATCACGTGACCGATAAAGAACCACCCGATAAGGATTTTCTTTTCCTCCAAAAAGAAAACCCACGCCAGGCAAAATAAACCACCACTTTCACTTCTCCCCTGGTGCTGCAGGCAGTACGCTACACACACGTACGCTCGTCAATCCAACACCAGCAACCACATAAACCATGGTTCAAGGATCGCTAAAAAAAAAGGCCACTGCAGCCCCAAAACGGTACGCCAAATATGCCCTGGTCTCTGCCAAAGGCTAGCTGTGACAAGCTGGATTTGAAGATAGCTGTATCGTTGCCGTGCAGAGGCTAATTATCTTGTTGGAGGTATAGGCCCACTGCTCTTGGACCTAAGCCGGGTCCGAGACAAATTGCTCCTAAGAAGCAATCATTGATTAAGCAGAAGAAGATGACTCAGGTTTGTTTCTTTCTCTTCTTCTATCTCTCGGGCGTTTCTTTTTCTTTTCCTTTTTCTTGTTTTATTTTGTTTACTGCTTGATGAGCTCCTGCTGTGTTGGGTGCAGATTTGCTGATGATGGTTTTACCTCTATAGAAACTTACGGCCGGGTTGGTGGTGAAGACGGAGAGGAATCTTGCGCAGAGAGCTGGACATTTGGAGTTGCTTGCTGGAGGGAAGAAGGATAGGAAGAAGACTGACAAGGGGAATGCCACCAATAACAAAGACAACAATACCAATAAGGGTGGGAAATACTAGGAGAGGGGGACTTCCTTTTGCCTATCTTGGGTTATACTTCGCTTGGAATTGATGAGATAGATCTTGTGAGGTTGAGGCGAAGGGCTGCCGGTCGATTTGAAATTTCTTTGATAGTATAGCGATACGAGTAATGATATTATAGATACCCTGTGGACTTATCTAGGGAAGGGAACCTGTGTTTAACCGTCTGCTATGTACTATCTGTAGGCACATACACGAAATCTATCGGCAATCCCAAATCGTAACCAAAGATATACACAAACACCAAATCATCGTAAATCATGAAGACCAAGACGACGACGGGAAATTGGAGAAAGGAAATCCAAACAAAAGAAAAAAAAACCAAATTCTAGGTAAAAAAGTTCACCGTGTAGGAAAGACGCTGTAAAGGGTATCTCAAATCTTGTTTCCGTTCCAATCCACCACCATTTTTGCCGTTTATTTTTCTGGACTTTTGCCTCGTCACAATCTAATGTGCGATCTTGGAGGTGCCATTCGGGGCACCTGCTTGTTCGACCAATTCCTTTCCCCTGTCGATCCATCTCTGGAACCCTTCATCAGTAGGGTCCACTGGGAAGTCATCCCAGACTGCATTCTCAGTGTCGGCGTATGTAGACCACACACCCTTGGGAACATCAGCAGCGCACCACGAAGGAAGTTTAGCCAGCACACATGTGTAATAAACGTAAAGGATCCTGCAGAGCAAATCCACTCGGTCAACGTAGTGCTGCTTGCTCGGGTCGGGCTCTTGACCACCGTCTCCAAGACGCTTCCACCAGGAAACCCGCCAACGGAGTGTGAGAAGAATATTTCCTAGCTCGCCTAGGAAACGTAAATGCGTATCCTGGGATATCTGCTTCCATTTGATGTTGTAGAAGTCTCGTTCCAACTTTCGGAATCCTTCCACTTCCAGCATCCGACACACAATGCGAGACAACTGTGCCGCGAGGAGAATCTCACGTCGATCGTCGGTATTATGGATATCCATAGGCCTTTCTTGCGCTCCTGGATGAAGAGGAACAAAGCTATAGCTCGCCCGACTAGGCATGTTGTTCCATCGTGAGAGTAGAGTCTGTGGTCCCAAAAACGTCAATGGTCTTGCTCGGATGGTAATAATGGGCTGTAGTGAAAGCTTACGTAGAAATTATTCATGGGGTCACAGTCCTTGACGCAGGTTAGCCAGTTCTTTGACTTATCCTTCGACTCGACTATCCGTCGGTCAATGAACTCGAGGAAATTCGACCGGGAGTTGCCGTTGTAATCACTCAAGCTTCTCAGGAATTTGTAAGCTTCTCCCAGATCCAGAACATATAGAGAACCCCAAGCTTGGCTGGCGCGGATGTTGAATCGGCCTTGCCGTTCGCCGAGGAATGAAAGGAGGTCACTCAAATCAAATTCCACCGGAATATCCATCCGAACTCGGCCTGTCCGATCCAAAGTAGGATGGTTGATAGCTCGTTGAGCTGGGGTGCACGTCAGTAAATGAACAAAAAGAGGCAAAAGAAAAATAATTATACGTACAGACGTAATTGCAAGTGCCATACTCCACGATATTAGCAAAGCAGGCGCGTGCACATGGTTGTTCGTGGAGCGTAGGGCGGCAAGCGTCACACGGAGCGTTTCCATCACACTTCCCTCAATTCATTAGCACGCGCTACCAATCAAAGTGAGAAGAAACAAACCTTTCGCTTATTCAGGCGACACTGTACGCAAGTGTCCTTGTTCTTCCTTCGCATACCCGCGTTTGCCCGACCAACCATGGTCAGAGGTCCTTTGCGTCGCGCCCCGCGCGGCGGTGATACAAAATCTGCCGAAGCAATGGATCCGCCTTGACCATCCTCTTGTACAATCTGCAGTGGCTTCGGCTGACCGAGGTCCAAGGAATGATTCGAGCCGCGCTGTTTACGTTTCCGGACTGTCGCGACAGACTGCAGCGCGAGCGCCTGGGGCCGAGAAGAGTTCCGCTGCACTGCGGACGACGCCCTAGACTTTGAAGGGGCCGAAGCAAAGAACGACTCTGCCGGCGTCTCGCTCACCATAAAGGCGGTCGCGTTCCGGAGAGGCTGCGACATCTCAGTTTCATCCTCCTGTACGCTCTTCCAAGGACCTTCTTCGCCCAGCTGTCTCTCAGCGAATGCGGGGGCATCATCACTCGTCGCAGAATAGGAGCATTCATATACACCGGCCGAGAAATCACCAGACACCGATGAGCTCTCCGACTTGTACTGGAATACATCCTGCCCCGGCTTTTCCTCTTTAAAAAATGCCGGACCTTGCGGTACTGTCGACAGTGAGGTCGGCGAAGTCATGTTTGAGGGAAGTTGGGACTCGAGGCTGTCAAGCCACCGCGACTCGAGTGACCGCAAAGGAGCCGAGAAATCGCGGACTGGGTTTATTTCTTTGTTTGGCAGTTCTGGTCTCAGCGAAAGCGAAGCCGTAGGTGCCTGGCTCGCCACATTATCCACGGCGGGATTTGTAGAGGGCTCCGTCCAATTCTCCGCGACGGTAAAGGGGAACGGCTGGGGCATATTCTGGAACGACAAAAAGTGGTCCGAGGGGATATCCGGCAGCCCATGCTCCTGCGGAAGCTCCCCGACATCATCGACAATGACCGTGTTTGTCGACGCGGCGGGTTCTTTGCTATAGGGGTAGAGGAGTGGAGTCGTATCCATGGGTATTCCGGCCGTGAGGACGTTGAACAGTTGATACTGTGGCCATGACTCATCCAGTTGGAAGTTATCGTCGGCCGAGGATGGTAAGGTTCTCGGACTGACGGTGCCGCTCACAGTGCCTTCGATCGGTCCATCGGAGATACTGAATTTCTCCGGTGATGTGGTGCCTTGCTTACTGTTGGGGCTCACCCATCAGCTTGATGATACTTGAAAAGGTCGAGGGGCGGGGAGGGAGGTCCGCACCTATTCTCACCACTGTGGAGACCACAGGATTGATCCAGATAGGGCGCATGGGAGTGAGTTTTCGATAGAGACCCGTGAAGGGTATTCAACTCGACGATATCAGCATCCTCTTGAGTCGAGTCTTGGCTGGTGTCCCACTCCAGTGGTTGCTCGTATGGCGGATGCTCCCACGAGAAAGCAGCGTCGGTTTGCCAATTATCAAGAATTTTGGGGTCAATGCCCGCAGCCGTACCAGTACCCCCGCAGTCCATACAGGGGAATCGAGAGAAGGGGGAGGGTGGAGATATATGGTTGACCTCGAGAAGCTGACAAGGCCTTAGCGCGTCTGTTGTTGGGTTGTGTCGTGTTTCGACTCTCGCACGACCAAGAGCACCGACAACGACACGGGAGTCTTAAATAGTGGTGCGATTCTTTCTTTCTTCTTTTTTCGGGAACGGCAAGAAGGTGTGAGATGATGGAAAGACGATGGTGTGACTTTGAAAAGAGGAAAGGCAAGAAATTCGAAATGCGCTGACTTGTTCCCCACCAAAGATTTTGCGGCGATCGGCCTTCCGGTGCTAAAACTGATAAGTCCAACCCGCACAGACCAATATGTTTGTGTGCCTCACCACGTTTCACTTCCTTTCCTTTTCACACGGGGGGAGGAATGATGTGCAGGTTATATTCCTGATTCGATTGTCATACCAAGTCTTGACAAGGAGGGGGGGAAGGATCAACCACAAGACGGCCGAAGATCAATGCGTGGGATTAATTGGAGCGATTATTGTGGTGGTCGTTGAAATACTCTGCGAGTTGACTCCCGTACTCCGTGCTACACAGTACTAATCAGTCCAGTCTGACTAGAGGCGGTTATCTGTACTCCATCCATAAAATTCCCATACTTGATCTGAAAAATAAAAAGTAAGGAATAAAATTAAATTAAATTATTTTCTGTACGACCGCTGCATCCGACTGATCCGCACACTATTCTGGTTGGTGGCTGAGATCAAAGCCAAAAGATGATAATCCACTAGGATGATATAGAGTAGGGCCTAATGATGTGACAAGACCAGGATTACGCGACAGAATCATCTCATAAGAAAAGGATGCAGTGGAACGGGGCGTTCGGTCTCCGTCGCGCATTGCCCCATGTTGCCTCGTTGAGCATTCTGACTCGTGTATCTTGTTGACCCGCTATCTTGCATCGTAGGTGGATTTTAAAACAAGGGAAAAAAAAATAGAATAGAAGAATAGAATAGGAAAAAAGATAATGTGGTTGAGAGAAGCTGCAATCAGTCAAATCATGAACAAGGATCATGTTATTCTAGAAAAGCATTGTTGGTTGGGATCGATTGGTTCCACACCAACAACCAAGGTATCATGTACGGTACGATCAGATCATCTTTCCCATAGGGTCCGAAGTCGCCTCATGCGTTAAACAAAGAAAGCCAAAGTCTGATAAACAAAAGAAAGATATAAATAAACATGAAAGAGCCAAATAAAATTGTTGTGCGCCCTCAAGGACACATAGCACTCATTCATGGCGTTCACGCTAGATCGTCAATATACCGGCCAAGATAATATGTGTAGAAAGAACATCCCTGCCACTCATCAAACGGGCCATACTCACTATATTCAGAACAAAGGTGTGCTCAATCATCAATTGAGGAAGATAAAAACTCTGACTTCGATCTTGTTCAGTATCTCATGATCATCTCCTGAAGGAGGTCTAGTGCCCTTTACATGGAACCTCTCTTGTGTGGATATAAGACATTGCTTCCAAGCTCTTGGAGGCCGCTATGCCTTTCCAGGAAAACACCACACGAGCCCAAGTGATTGATTGATCTATGTCTGCTTAGCAGTTATATATTGGGAGTTTCAATCAGACCGTTCATCTGTTGATCCAAACACCATGTCTGGTCCTTGATGAACCTAAATCAGGAGATTTGTACTATATCACAGTTGACCATACTTAGGGATATTGGAATCCGACTCAGTTGGACGCGTGGTGTGAGACAAGATCTGGAGCACGCACAAACCCTAGAAGTACACAAGTGTGACCCTTCCGGTTCAAGTCCATATCCATCCAGCACTGTGCATATATAACTTATACACTGTGGATTGTCTTGATAATCCCCTTCGTGCACAATGGGCGATATTCCGGAATATATAACATCACCCAACCCAACAAGGTCTCCCACGTCACCTGATGGCCACATGAGAGAAAGTGTTCCGATAGAGACCATCTGACCATTCGAGATTTCCATTGCCGCGGCTTTGATTTGTTTTCCAAGCCCTCGCTAACCCGTTATTTGCGGACGGTGACATTGTCGTTCTCCACGAGTGCGATGGTCCTTCACCGCAGCCTCTTTTTGGGGCTCTCATCGTCTGGTCATGTTTGACCCCATACGGTAATCTTTCCAAGGTTACCAAGCAGCGCGACCCTTACCTGGATGTACGGTATCCGTCCTAACTGATACACAATACCAGCAGTTCCGATATGGGACCCCCCCGCAGCTCCAACATCTTCACCGTGACCACTTTGGAGGCTACTTTCCCCGGTATGTCTTCGGTAGTAGTCGGGGTATGCAGTAATGGAAAATGGCCCTCCAAGCTCAATCATTTACCCATCAAAGCCCACCCTATAAATACGATGCGGGCCTCTAACTCGGAATCGGAAGAAGAGATTCGCAATTACGGACAGCGAAGAAACTGCCGGCGGAAACCCGATTCCATCACCACTTGACTTCACACGCCGCCAAGCCCTATAGATCGACGTCCCGGACTCTCTGTATACAACATGCATATCTTGGTATGGATTTCTGACCTTGTCGCCTTTCCCTCAATGGTTCACTTCTAGCCCCATCCGTCACAAGACCAATCCCCATTTCGGACAATCCGGGAAATGCAACCAGCCCAAACCGGAGATCATACATAGAAAAAAAGAAAGAAGTCCGATTAGATGAAAAAGAAAAGAGAAAGGAAGAAAGACTAACCAGAAACTCCGGATTCTCCTGAATAGGTAGTTAACGACGATGGACCGCCCTCGAAGCGTCTGTCCCCATACATCCACCCATTCGTCAGTGCCCTCCAAGATGCGGGTCACCTCGTCTCCGTAGCCATCCCCGCCGCATCGCGATCCTGGATCGGCAAAGCACACCTGATAGAAGCGTCCCTGAAGGCAACCTACGTACCCCCCGACGCCTTCCGAAACGACGGAACGTGGGATGAGCATCACAACTCCTCCGAGACTAAACAACCACAATCCGAATGGGTCGTCATCAGGAACGGTACCCCTGCTAGCTGTGTCCAATTGGGCCTGTTCAATCTCTTCAACGACCGTCCCCCGGTCGATCTGGTTATCTCGGGACCCAACCATGGTCGGAATGCCTCAACCGTGTACAATCTGTCGTCTGGAACGGTCGGCGGCGCCCTCGAAGCAGCGACCTGCAGTAAGCGCGCTATCGCCATATCCTTCGGAAGTAAGGATCCGCAGCCGGATGAGATCATCCGCGCCGCGGCTAGACATGCCGTGAAGGTTGTCAATTATCTCTACGAGCACTGGCATGATAGTGTTGAGCTGTATAATCTCAATGTGCCGATGCGGAAGGACGTGGAGAGCAGACCCGTCCGGTGGACCGAGGCGCTGCCGTACTACTGGCCCCGAGGCTGTATGTATGCCGAAGCGGCGGGGGAACAGAAGATGGTTAATGGACACACGGAGACCAACGGCGAGGCTGTCAATGGGACTAGCGGGTCGCATCTCAAGGAGATCGATTTCACCTGGGCGGCTGAGTTGTCGGAGATGAAGAAGACTCTGCAGTCGAGTCCGGAGGGAACCGATGCACATACGGTGTTGAATGGGGATACAAGGTACGGTTATATCACTCTACTACTACTTCTTCTTCTTCTTCTTCTTCTTCTTCTTCTTCTTCTCATCATTTCCCTGGCTTCTACTCTGTGAAATGCATTTTCGAGCAAGAGCTGACTTAGCTTTTCTACAGTGTCACGGCTCTTCGTGCGAATTTCTGGCATGTCCCTAATCTAGAGGGGCCCATAGATCTTGATGGTTGATATGAGGATTACGCACATTACATGATGAGATAAATAGATACCCGTGGAGGCTCTCGTTTTGCTTATTTTGCCGGAGACTTCCCTGTTGGTTTTAATCATTGCCTTAGTAAGGAAAATGATGCGGGGCATCGCATCAATTCTCCTGTTGCATTACTTGTTATCTATCGATATATATATAAAATCTGTCCACAGGACTTGGAGATATTATGTACGCCTTATTCGGCCAAATGTATTTGCAATTAGTTCTGTTAATGGCATGATTGTTAATGAAGCGCACATAAAACAACACGGAAGAGAACAGAAGGGAAACGGCATTAGAGTGTCATCTGATCGTAGTCTTTAATAACAATAATATCAATCGCAAGTAGAACATGAACAAACGACAGTTATCGGGGAAAAAATACTAAAGCGCCCGCGCTGCCTCTCCTGCACCGCTGTCTACGACTGACGTCTGCTCAGCACGCATCTTGCCCTTTCCTACTCCTGCCTCACCAACCCCCATCCTCCGGGCGACGTAACGTTGCGCGATGATGCCAACGGCCAAGGTGAGCGATTCTTCGATCCACTCCGCTGCCCATTCACGGGGATCAACGCCACCACTTTCAATAATCTCAGCAATATCATCCGGAACGGGGGCTCGATGCCACATGCTATTGGCGTCTGTACCTTCAGTAGCTGGGACAGCAGCATCAAGCCAGTCGATCCACTTCTGAGGAACCGCCTGGGATATGGTGTGGAAGGCGATGCCGTGGATGGGATCATGGAGATAGAGAGCGAAGGCTACCTCCTCTGTAGCGTTGGGAACATCAACCACACCCGGAGGGGTGGTGTTGTCAGTGGTAGGACCAGCCTGGAAAAGTTCAGTGGAAGAAGATTGGCTGATAGCCTGAATGGCGAGGAAAATATCACTGCTCCGGACAGGGTTAGATTCACTTAGAATCTGACTAGCTTGTTTCGCGGCTTCTTCGACCCCGCCCTTTGCGGAGAAATATTCGGTCGCATAGGACTCTGCACTTGCGCGGGCGAGCTTGCTGGCCTCTACAGAGCCACGGACGGATGAGATACTGCGTGGGGTTCCAGGCATAACTGTGCGCCACCACGGGCCATCCCGCCAGCCAGGAGTAGAATGGCTACCGGTTATATCTAGCCCACGCCTCGGTGCGGATTCTTGGCCTCGTTGAATCACAAGAAGATCTCCACCTTCTACCTGAGACATTACGCGTGAGAACACAGCGTAAACAAGAGGGTCAATGGCGGGGTAACCCGAGATATCATGGGTGACATGGATTTGAAGGCGCTCATGGGATGAAATTGGGGGCGCAAGGGTGTGAATGAGATTGGTAAATGTAGGAATGGCCATATTTCGAAGCTCGCCACCTTGATAAACATTCGTTAGCTATGTAGTAATTGGTAAATCGTACGTAGACAACAAATACCGAAGTCCTTCAGGGCGCCGACATTTCCTTTCACTTGCTGAGCCCATTTCTGGGCCTCTTCATTTTGTTGGATTTCTTTCACAGCCGCTCCCGCCTGCTTCATTGCAGCACTGGCGGTCGCACTAGCCGTCGCGAAAATGCCTCCCCACCATCCACCACCGCCAGAAGCCGACTCTTGAGCTGCTGGCTTTTCGGTCTTGGCTGGCTGCACATCCGCATCTCTGTTGCCTGCGAATGAAACCCGACCACTCTCCGTGGACTTACGGGGCGCGGGTTTCTCTTCACTAGAACGACCAGTTGAGGGTGTAGCTGCCGCAGCTGCAGCAGGTTTAGGGGATTTGATAGACGGCCGGGGCTCGTTTGTCGACAGGCGTGGGGTACCAGGCCCACTACTTGGACGCTGGGAAGCTAAATTATCGAGTTCGGCAAGGATGTCGTCTTCGGACTGCGCCGTGGTAGCTGTGGTTGTTGACTTGGGTGGTGGCTGGTCTGCGCTAGAGTCGACCCCTAGGTCGTCGAATTGAGCAAGAAGCTCATCACTGGTAGGTTTTGTGGATTTGGGGGGCATTGTGTCACCACTATTTGTTTAGCACGGGTGATGATTTGTTGTCAATCGAGAGCCAAAGAGCGGAGATTATATGTATGGAGTTGTCTGGTTTATGCTCAGGGAATTCGGTGTTTTGGGGTGGTGGAGACCTGATGACCTGTGCCAAGAAGCGTTAGCGTCCACTGTAAATAAGTTTAGTAGACTCATGCATATCATAGTATTGGAATACTAGTAGTATCCCGATGATTATTTTGCGACTATCTCAGAAGGCTTGGAATTAATGAACTCATGATGATAATTACACTACATGATGGCATCGTGACTGAGTACTACTACTAGGTAGCCAATACGGGTTGTGACAAGTTATAGAATCGCTCTCACACGACCTGAATACTGTAAATGTGCATGGCATACCAGGGAGAAAGCTGTGATATTAACCATATTATTGGCTGTTAGTTATAGGCTTCTACTAGTACTAGTGCTACCGCTTATGAGCCATCCCTCCGGGGTGGTTATGTGAATATAGTAAAGCACTCATGATCAGGGTATTTGTTGCAGCAATCCCGTCGAGTTTTAAGGGCCATGAGGAAGAAAATATAATGGTTTATCACATATACAATGGCAAATTCGTAGACTCTTCTAAAATAATGAAGACCTCAAGACTACGTATAGTACTGGAACGCCCTTGATTGTAGATATAGTATGCCACTGTATGACGAATAGAGCCTCAAAAGCCAATAGACGTAACAGTAACCAAGATAGATAAAGGGAAAGAAACAGCAGAAACATGGTAAGCCACGGGCGCCTGAGATATTATATATCTGATCCGTGGATATCTCGATCACTGACGGTAGACAGTTTATTAGTCTATATCAACTCGACACCGTTTAAAACCATAACCCCCAGAGAGACTCTAATATTTCGCTGAACAGCACCAACCTATGAAAATTAAGATAGAATTCTTAGCTAGATATGCTTGAATATCTGGGTTGGTAGATCAAGTAACTGGATTTGCTTGTAGAAACCAAGTACTGATTGTGTTTCCAGTAATTGGCTTCCTTGGAGAGCTTTTGATACAATTCCCCTAAATTCCAAATAGCCATATGGGGGCTTCAGGACACAAAGGAATCTTCAGCCCCAAAAGTCTTGTTTTCCTGTATCTAGAAAAACTTCTATACCGGTTGTTGGGTGCCATAACGGGTGTTACCATGTTTTCTACATATGGACTGATCCCGATGACCGAGGGAATTTGCCTGCGGGGAGACATTCAATTTATAGCTCTACCCGCGGCTTCGGCCTTCACCCGGTGCGCATATTTCCGCGACCCGAGGGGTTGGACATGACGATAGAGTGACTTGGCGTAAATAGCGGCAAATTCCCACTGCGGATTATATGAATCAAATCCTCCCTTGAACAAGCTTTAGGATTTGTTCTGACTAATAACAACACTTATTCGAGTAAAAGAGTTAGTATACCCCTTCCCAGGCTAATTGACCCATGACTTACTTCTCAATAGCTAAACAAGACAATCGCTGTCTACCCTTTTCTCCCGATCTCTAGCAATATAAACATTAAAGCTCCTAGCGAAGCTGATCAATATGCGCCTCCCATATGTCCCCAACCCGCCCCCCACCAGTACCCCCGAGGAGGCAGATATCCTCACTCGGGTGCAAACCCGACGCGGCGAAAAGGGATTAATACCGCTCGATCTCGCGCTTCTGCATTCATTCCCAGTTGCTGATGGATGGAATTCGTTCATTGGGGCTATCCGAACCCGTACAAGCCTCTCGCAAGTTATCCGTGAACTGATCATCTGCCGTATTGCTGTGCTTAACGGAGCCTGGTTTGAATGGGATTCACATTCGCCTCTGCTAAAGGAAGGTGGATGTAGCGCGGAGACGATGGATGTTGTTCGCGATGCCGAAGTTGATCTCCCTCAAAAAGTGCAGGACAAAGTGATTAGCCCCAAGGAGGCAGCCGTGCTAAAGTACACCGATGCCATGACAAGGACAGTTAGGGTACCCGAGGAAGTATTTCAAGAAATAAAGGGGCTTTTCAATGATCGAGAGGCTGTGGAAATAACTGCCACTGCAGCAGCTTACAATTGTGTTAGTAGGTTTCTGGTTGCATTGGATGTTGGGGAAAAGAACGAATAATAAGAAGTGTAAGGTGGCTTGTGTGTATATAAACATGATAACAATGGAACTATACTATGTATGGTACGTACATATTCCGGTGGTTTAATTCCCGTTTCTTGTCCATTATTGTTTTACATTGATCTAATTTTCAATTTCTTATTTTCTAGTAAGAGACACAACTTAATGTAGGTATCTGCTAAAAACTGACTGGACACTCCCCTTATTGTCGTTGAGTCGAGTTGGGTTTAAGAACTTTTGTATCAAGGAGTATTAAGGTAGCTGGCTCCCCCTCCTTACTAGTAGTACATATGTACCTAAGTAGCTGGCAGTACCGTCCACGGTACCTTTGTGATTACTGAATGCAGACATGATGTCAGGATTAGTATCATAAATTACGGAACAGGATAAAATTACATCCTCCCGTCCATCCATTGGGAAAATTGCAGGGCAGATAATTGGCGGCGTCTTTGAAACATCCATTGGTAGAGAGCTATTGATAGCCTCCAATAATATGATTCTTTATTCTTTGTTTAGACTGATAGAACCAAGTGGAAGATATCAAAGCAAATAAAAATCATTATGTGGTTGGTATTCACTCAAGATAGTACTACATTAAGTACGGGTCCTTTTCAGAGATTGGAAATGGGATGGGCAAGATCAACTGTCCACTTACATACATACAGTCAGGTAATAAGAACAACTACCGTGGCTCAGATTGGTCGAAGGGTACTATGTACTGCGGCTAGACGGAAGATCTGTTCGGAGGCGACTTTTTTCCGGGAGGTCCATCAGAATCGATTTGCTCGTCTAGTGGGTCCGGGCAGGTAAAATAAGGTAAAAAATATGGCACTACCGTACTGGAGTAAAATGAAGCCCTCCAGACTTAACCACACCCGTCGATATTTCGACCAGGTAAGGTTAGGCAGGTAATTAATCCGCGTACCACGAATACCGTACTGTACCAATAGTAAATTCACGACCTTACCTCCTAATTGTATACAGTTTGTTGCTGCCGGGCTGTTACTTAGTAGAGAGAGAGAGAGTCCTGTCATTTTTTTTTCATCTGCCATCGTTCACTACAACACAACACAACATTTCCTCCTCTTCTCCTCTTCGAATCCTGTATTCTATTCCCATTGTTGTTCTCTGTGTTTCTTCTAGATCCCCTTCTTGTCAGATTCTCCCTGTCTTTTCCCATCTTCCTTCTTCCCTTCTCCTACGAACCTTCGTCAGACTTTCATACTTCTTTCTACTACACTACATGACAACAACTACTCCATCTTGATCTGCCCAACTTCCTTCTACAACGGAATCTCTACTACAGACCTCCCTATCCACTGTTTACTACGTCAATCTCTTCATCACAGACCGATGACCCTTTCTGCTCTACTGTGCCCATCTCTCTTTTCCTCCCAAGAACGTTGATTGGAAGCAAAACTTGCTTACCCGTTCAGGATTTTACCGTCTTTACGACTTGATGCTAAACGTTCCAAGCGGAGTAGGATTTTTCTAAAGATCCCCAATCTCTCTTCTATCAGATCTGTTATTGTGTTCTGTCCTGCCGGCAGAGCATCTAGTTGTTTCGGTTTCACCCGTGGTTCAAGAGCATACGTCTTTTTTTTTCTCCCTCTTTTTCTTTTTCTGCATACCCGCCCGAATTCCTTACCGCGACAAAGTTCTACATTGCGAACATCTAAAATTACTACACTACGCCGATCTTCTTTTCCCCCATTAACATCACTACTTCATTTATTTTCTTTGGTTCTGTCTTGATCTTGGTTGGGACATAGTTTCTCTGCTTACCGGCTCGGCGTTCGACTTTTCCCTTTCAAGAGCGCAAACTACGACTTCAATTGACTACTATCCCTGGCAGCCGTTCGCGACTAACCCACGGTTTGCCAGCATTTGTAGACCCAAACAACTTTTTCGTCAACTTGTCATCCCACGCAATCTCGACAAATCTTACCGCCACGAGTTTTATTTCGACGGACTGGTTCTTCACTTCTTCGACTTAATAGGTATGCTACATCTCGCCTGCCTGGCCGGCACCACTCTTCTGCGTAGTGCCACCAGGATTATCCGCTTCAACCTTTCCCAAGAATCTCTTTTTCTTCTTTCTTTTACCATTGTTATATACAGTGACTAGAACACTTTTCTAGCGTCTCATCTGTGTTTTTGCCCTACTACTCGTTGCGTCCTCTCCCTTTTCCACTATCGCACCTGTCGTTCAAGATTGCGTTACGGAGTACACTTACTACTAATGTCTTGGCACCGGAAGCGAACTTTTCAACCCCAAGTCTAACACGGTATCTAGGTGCCATCCTTGGGTCTCAGAGCGTGCGGAATCTACATTTATCTCTTATCGCTATTACTGAGTTACTTCTCCTTTTCCCAGTTTTTGCTTTTGAAACAAGTTTTAACTCCACCTACTTCCTGCCATGGCTCCTGTCGCTCACAGCGACATTGACATGGACAGCCATACTTCGGATATGGCCAGCCACGACTCGCAGCTGCGCCGACAATTCTCCGAGCCAATCCATGCTCGTTCTACATCTACTCATTCGCCATCCCCTTCACCCATGACTACTCCTAGAGCCAAGTGCGCATGGTGTGGGAAATCTTTCGAGTCTACTAATGACGATCTAATTTCTCAAAATGAGGCACTTGAAGAACACATTGCTACTATGCATCCGCACATTGCCAAGTTTTCTATGTATGACGGCGCTGCCGATGAAGAGAAAGAACAGTCATATGGTCTCGATGAACAGTTAGAAGATGACACCGCACTTACAGCTCCAGCGACAGAAGCAGATGATGCTCTTGAGGCTGAGGAAGATAGCCTAATGGAAATCCCTGACGATGGCGTGTTGGAAGGCGCGGAAGCTATAGAAACTTACGACGATAACGAAAATGATCAAAACGACGTCGATGGACCTGAAGTTGAAGCTGATGGAGAGGGTAACGAAGGAGAGTCCGACCTTGCTCTTTTCAATCAACTCCACGAATTTTCCCGACAAGAAGACTCGGTGTCCTTAGAAAAACGTATTCACAACCTCTGGAATCTTAATGATATTGACAAATTCTCCGGAGGCTTTGAGGAGATATCGGACAACCTCAACGCAACATGGACGAAAGTCTTCAATGACCCAAAGCGTAGCAAGAAGCGCGATGCATTTGAATCGTTCGTACGACCAGAACCATACAAAACAGCTAAGGTCTCCAGAGGCGAATTTCTCGAAATATCGCCTCTTGAGGATTTCTTGGTCCAACTTCGTGACCCTGAACTGCGCTCCAGTGATGAACTTTACGCTATAACCGAAAACGTGGCCAATGTTCTGAAGGTATGGCAGGATGAGCACTTAGCCATCGAAAAGCTCTGCAAACATGCAACCAGGCAGAACGTAAAGCCAACTAGCGACCCGCGAAAGCTCGAAAGACCTGAAGTGTTTGAAGATAAGAAGGAGGCGATGCTCTACGGCTACAAACATGAAACAAAAGAAGACAAAGTTCGCAACCAGAACCCCTTCGTTCAGGGGGGTTTCAAGCCTACGCCCGCTCAGTTCAGAAAAATGACCGCCAAAGCGGGCCCGAACAATCCTAACCCTGACGGCTGGCCAATTATCATGAAGTTTGGCGTGGAGCATGTTCCAAGGTTTCAGAACCCTCCACGTGAGGAGTTCGTCGGCAAGGCAACCCGCAAGCGCAAGGCCGCAGAGTTAGAAGCTGCCAACAAGGCCAACGAGACCGACGAACCGCTCGCTGGGACGCCGACGCCCGGGGAGGAAGAGGCGCCAGTCAAGCGACGCACTCGCCCCCGTCGTGCTGGGGAGACGGACACACAATACACGGGGTCTCCAGCCCCAACACGAGCCTCCACTCGTGGCCGTGGCCGAGGTCGTGGGCGGGGAGCTGCACGCGGAATGTCTCGTGCGGCGTCTGAGGCTCCGCAGCCCGTAGCGCCAGTGGCCGTGGCTCGGCCAACTGGTCGAGGCCATGGCCGCGAGACCGCAGCGCCAGCTGGGCCGTTGCAGTCGCGTCCTGCAACGACTCAGCTGGCGCCAATTGAACCGGCGCCCAGTGGGGGCCCAGCAACTGCGACTCCCGCCAGCACTTCAGCGGGAGTTGCCCGGGATGAGTTGTTGGACCCAGCTGAGAAGGCCCGCCGGGAAAAGATCGCCAACTCCAAGAATCCAAAGCGGACGGAGGCCATGCTCAATCACTGGGCTCGGTTCAATCGGGAGGGCCGGACCCGTAACCCGAAACGGTCCAAAGCCCAAATCGAGGCCGATCGGGCGGCCGAGGCTGCTCGAAAGGCAGTTGAGCCCCCAAAGACCGTCGGCAAGAAGAAAAGATCGGACAGCCCGGTCTTTGGGGGCTCCGCGAGGACCGATGCAGGCATTGCTCCAGCACCAGCACTGCCTGCGCCAGCCTCGCTGGCGCCCGGTCCTCCGGGACCACACCCCCAACTTGCACCCATGCCCGCAGTCCGGGGGTCAATAGGTGCATACGGCCCCATTGACCCCCGGGCTGTAGCGCCCTTCCCTCCGGGGCCCCCTGGGACCCATGGGCTCCAGCAGCCGTCGCCCCAGCCCTACCACACCCCATACCCCGAAATTTATTTCCCCTATGGGGCGGCGGCTGCCGGACTGCCTCCACCAGGCCACACGCGGCCTGCGTGAAGCTGATGTCTTTATATTGTGATTTGTTTCCTTTCTCCTTCTGTACATGTTTGGATGTCTTTTCTTTCATCTGGGTGGAGAGAATCGGGCAATGTATACTTTGCATTTATGTCAATATGTATTACCACCCTACGATTTTAAGATCTCACTTTGTGAGCAACCGTGCGTTAATTCTTACTTTTGTCTCGCGGTTTGCATTGTCTTTGTGGTTAGCGTGTTATGCCAGCAATCGGCGCTGAGGTTTTTTGGGTTCCATTTTTGTATAATTTTTTTTGGCATTTCGTGGCTCGTTGTCCGCTGTAGACAGCACTAGCCGAATGATGGGTGATAGGTACCTGTACGTTTAGGTGTTTGGAGGGAAAGCCTTGGGATCCAATGGATCAATAGCTAACAGATGTTTCATGTCAGTGTGGAGACTTCGCTATTTGGAAATATCAAAAAGTTGTCATGCTATCTCCTCCCTGTGACTAAGAGGTTCTCTTGAGAGTAGTAAGGACTAACGGCCAGCCCTAAGATAAGCACAGGAGATTAGATTGAACCGTTGGGCTACCGAATGCGTGGGATCCATGTGGGACTAGATTGGCCAGCAAGCACCCATAAGTACAGGCAGTCCACGTGTCCATACCGTAAAGGCATAGTAGTACTAGTAGAAAAACAAACGACGTACTAGCGAGCACTGCGAGACGGACCGTGTTACCCGACGAAATCTGCCTGCCCAGTATACGAGACTACTAATAAACTAAACTAAGAGAGGGCAATCATAGGAGGTAGGGACCTTCCCAATCTGGATAAGGTAGGAGGAATAGATGGTCTCTTTAGTAGCTCTTTACTAGTAGAAGAGTCGTTTTGCAGGTCTTATTTTTATCAATGTCACTTCAACGGGGATTTACCCCCAACCATCCCGTACGACGGGGCTGATCTTCATTACTGACCTGCGGTACGGCCCCAATCAGTGTCGCGACAAGCTCTGGGATTCATCGTGGTCAGCAGCCGCCAAAGTGGAGGATCTTAAAAATTACCTAAAGCGGCAAACAATATACAAGGCTGTCAGTGGTACGAGCGGCGCATACTATTGGGAGGAGAGATTAGCGTTGCGGGGATGGCGACCCCCTTATTGGCTAGGTTTTGGTTCTCGATCACGGATCAGTGATCAGCACCTCTTGAGAATTTTTAGGTATCGGATTTTCCACTTTCTTGGACCTTCCCGAGTTTAAGGGACTACCGTACTAGTAACTAATCTCTTCCCCCCCCTCATTATTCCGTGCTCTTATTAATTTAATGACCTTTGTGGAGTCGGCCTATCGTCAAGCAGAGGAACCGTCCAGTCCGACGGTTTCCATGACAAAAAAAGAAGCAATTGCTGTGTATCAGTTCTTTGTACATTATTCCCCCTTGGAAATAACCGTTATTTTTTCTTTTTTCTCTCTGGTGCCGTGACCCGGCGAAACTTTAACAAATGATTGTGATCCCACCTTGTGGCTAGAGCATCACATGATTGGGGCTTGTTCGAGTCCCACCCTCTTCGCGTGCAAATCCATGTCAACACTGATCCTTCTCCATTATGGGTTACGACTTCTTCTGCAGCAGTGTGACTAGCCCTCCAGTGCACCAGCGGAAACCCCCAATTGGAAGTCTTCCGGGTTGCATGTATGCACACCAAGCGGGCGGGAATAAAACGTGTTGAATTAAGTGATTCTGCAGCTTACTCGGATTCCCCCTTTTGTGGTTCGGAAATACAGCTCCTACTCCGTTATATGGAGCTACTGCTCCATCGCGTGGCCTTGACTGTGACGGACAGAACGCCGGTATCACCGTTTCTCCAATAACCCTGATTTACTTCTCCAACGTCATGCATTGTCGCCCGGCATACTGAAGAAATGGGGTTTTATAACGTTTGCAGCTTGAGCGGTTTCTGTCAGTTATCGTCGCCGACCTTTTCAGTTCTTTCGCTGCGCTTCCGTGAATAACATTTAAGGGTTCCTTTTTTACGCTAGCCGGCAAACCATGTCGGCTCCTCCCTCAACTCCTGGTGAGTCGGGGATACTCCAACATTCGGCCCCCACCCAGCAATTAAACCGGTCGTGTGAATCTTGTCGAGGTCTGAAGGTTCGCTGCCTTCCTGACCCCAATCTTCCCAATCAATGCCAGCGATGTGCAAAGGCTAAGAGACCTTGCGTGTTCGTGGCCCCCCAGCGAAGACGACCACGCAAGCGAACGGATTCGCGGGTCGCTCAGTTAGAGAGGGAGATGCGACAGATGCGCTCTCTGCTCAAGGACCGTTTCCGCATCGACGAAGAAAGTAGCCTGGATAGCTCTGGAAGTGAATTTGATGATTCTGGAGAACTTGAATTTGGAGCTGAACCCCAAGAAAATTTATCCACCGTGCCCGATGCCCCGAGCAGTACGTCGGGGTCGATCAGACACATGGACCTCTCTCCCAGCGCTGCGGCGTGTTCTTCATACCCAAATACCCTGAACAGCGGCTCTGGCGCATTCGTGTCTGCCACGCCGATCCCGCCGGGCTACTCTCTGGAACCACCCTCGGGCGGCGGCGACATCATCGACCGGGGGTTGATCTCGCTGGAGTTTGCCAATGAGTTAGTGGCGTTTTATATCACAGAATTAACCGCTTTTGCCCCGATGGTCCTGCTCCCTCCGGATACCACGGCCTCACAACTGCGTCGCTCGAAGCCCACACTTTTTCTTTCCGTGATTGCCGCTGCTGCTATAGCTATAGACGATGGCTTGGCCGTCATCCTGAACCGCGAATTAGTTCGACTCTACGCCGAACGGTTCTTCATCAATGGTGATAAGTCGTTCGAATTGGTTCAGACGCTGCTCCTGATGATCGTCTTCTACTATCCACCAGAGTCACCCTTGAAACTGCAGAATTATCAGTACACCCATATTGCGGCCACAATGGCCTTGGAAATTGGATTGGCCACCAAACGTAAGGTACCGAATAGCGCAAGCCGCAAAGCGAACAAACGTAGTTCGTACGATGAAGACATGGCGGAACAAGCTAGAGCGATTTTGGGCTGTTATCATTTAGCTTCCAAGTAAGAACGATGTGCACGTGCATATAGGGTAGTCGCTGACATGACACAGTGTCGCCATGAAAACGCGCCGTCCCAACTTGCTTCTCTTCAATGACTGGATGAACGAGTGTGTGAAGCATTTGGGGCGCTCACCAAATATGATAGACAGACATATGGCCACTTGGTTCGAATTACAGAAGATCGTTGACCAAGCTATGGTTTCCTTCGGTCTTGATGACACCAGTTCAACTACCCCGTTGACAGAGTCGCGGGTCCAAGTTGTGTTAAGGTGGTTTGACACCCAAATGCAGGCCTGGAAGAAGAAAGTTCCCGCGGATATGCTCACTGGTAAGAGTACCCGGTATATATAGAGATCGTACGTATAACGGAAAAATGCTGATTTTTTCCCTCTCTTCTCTTTTGTTAGTACCCATGACCCTCGAGTACCATTTTACCAACCTCGCGATATACGAACTCGGTATCGGTGAAGGTTATCGAGATCCTGACGCAATTCAGCAACAATATTATACACTCCCAGCACCGGAGAATGACAAGCAGTCATGTTCCCCTTTGAGCGCTGTTCGCGTAGACCTCACGATCAAATGGATGAATGCAGCTCAAGAGATGCTCGACTTCTTCCTTAGTTGCGACACAGATCTGATGCGAAAAATGCCCAACCTGATTTACATGCGAGTCGGCGTAGCAGTCATGTCGCTCCTGAAGATCTACTTCTCGGTCCAGTCCGGGGCGTTGGGAGAATTCGTGAACCCTCAGACCATCAATGTTGACATGTACCTGGAGGCAATGACGAAGAGGCTCACAGAGGCAAGCGGAAATATGAAGTATAAGGTTCCAAGCCGGTGGCTGTATGTTGTCGGTGTGAAGGCTCGAAACTGGTACGACCGGTTCCAACAACGGCAGATGCAGACTGAAGCAGGCCGCGTTCCACCAACGAATACAAGCCCACAGCCATCCCCCGATCAGGTTCCCATCCAGAACACACAATACAGTTCGGCCGATTCATCGCAGCCCACAGGAGCGCTTGCAATGGGTACTGATGTACCACAGATCACAGCTTTACACCCTATAGGTGGAAGTTATGGGGTATCAGCGGCCACGAATACGATCTGGCAGTCAGATCAGTCGAACCAACAAGCTTATCTCCACATGAATCAATATGCCGGCTACCGCCCGCCTATGCTACCTTCTCAGTATTCATATGAAATTTCGCACAGTGTTCCTCTGGAAACCATGCAGCCAAACCAGCTTCCCGTTCCCCCTAGGACAGGAATGGAGCTTGATGGCTGGCTTCCCGATGGGAGCATCTGCGGGGTACCCCCATTGCCTGGAATGTAATGTGGTTCAATATGCGATGAGATGTTTTGATGGAGTTGTTTTGGTGTACATTGCTTTCGGAAGGCGCCGTTGGTCGCAATCTTGTTCATAGTCGCCTCTACCAGTATAAAGTCGACTTAGTCATTCAGAATAATATGACAAGCGCAGTTGAGAGCTGGCTATATCATAATTAGACAGAACTCTCAAAGGACATAAGGATGCGTGGAGGGGGGAAGTTGAAAATGAAGTTGGAAGCTGTGGGAGAAACCTCGGAGGAACGCCCCCCGACGATTTAGTAGCGGCGCGTATTTGCGGCGTATTTGGACATTCCCTTCTCGGAGTCTCGGTCGACACGGAAGTTCCGACGATCGTGGAGATTTATCCACTTTGGGAATGTTTCCAGAAGGTCAATATAGCCTAAATGGATAAATACTACATGAAGTGCTGTAGATCTTGGTTGTCGTAGAACTATACTGAATGTCTTACGTACACTGATCTTACAGTTGTGGTCAAGGCAAGGCAGTCGTCTTAAATTGTAACCCTAACTCATGACTACAGTGTACAAACTTCAAATATCACAACATAGGCTTATCTCAGGAACAAAAATAAATAAAAAATACTCATAAATACGATTATATTGTCCATTATATCAAGACATATCGAGTTTCCAATAACGGGAGACCTATGACGTATAATGTCGTAAAGCCGAACCCTAACACTTGACGGCCATATAGAAATCCCCATGATTTGCATAGGTAGAAGCGATAGAAGTAATGAAAGAGCCACAAGTCTTCTACAATTAAACACCCATCCATTATGTCTGATTTCACAGACCTCTCCCGCAAAGAGCCCTCGACCAGTAAGTCCTCGAATCACAACCCAAATAGGACTCTTGAGCAAGAACTGACCTGGTGGATCCTGGTGAACAGAAACTCTACTATAACAGGCCAAATCGAGAGTGAACAACGCTAGAGAAGACCTTTCGGATCCACATTCAGAGCCGGCGTGCAGGCCGACCAGAGTCGGAACCCTCGACAGGATCTAGATAAAAATGGCACGGTGAAGTCGTCGGCGGAGGGAGGCCATTCGTCTAGCATGTGAGTGATTCTCTCCGGGGTTCTAGGGCTATGTTAATTACTATAATGAGAGGATGGCTGCTGATATATGATTGTTTTTGTTTAGGGCTGAGGAAATGACGGGACCTTCTGGCATTCACTAGATGAGATGGGGTACAGTGTGTGATTGATTGGAGTTGTGATATTGCTGGAATGAGGCTACGTTGTTATATTTCTCTTATATATTATTGTTTTATTCCTTTCCTCTGGGGGTATTGAGAGCTATACTTCGCGCCTCTTGTTGGAAAACTTTTCAGAATATTGTTTTGGAATATGGTGTAAATGTGGTTGTAGTGGGGTCGGGATTTTGGTCATCGGCCTCTAATCCGAACACTTCTACAAGAGTACGTAAAGTATCGCTGCAAGTACAGAGCGTTGTAGGAGTATAGTTGCCTAGGGGTTGCATGAAGTTCGAATATGCTCCATATGAAAAAGTATCTAAAACCTGTCTCACAAGACCCTGGATTATATAATCACAGTGTATCAAAAAGTGTATCAGGCTGTATTGCTATGCCCACGAGACTTAAGGACTTGTTGATATCGTCGGATGTAACCTAATTCAGAATTATAAATATTTATTATAGATCGTAGATCAAAGTATATTTAATTTCCTTACTCTGTGATTCATTCTCGTATGCTTCTATACTGGACAATTTGTTGAGGATAACTACTAATTCTATGCCATTTGTGGGAAACTACACTAAAGTAAGCTACTAAGGTAGACTGACGTGACAAGAGACTCATGTCTTCCGCAACCACCATTCATTGCCGCTTTCGGTACTCCCGAATTGCACGATCCCGGTCGCAGAGAGGCTTGCTACCCAGCCAAGTCCCAAAATCGTGCATATCGACAATAAACAAGAACGAAAGATCCTCCATACCTCCCACAAAACCCCATTGATTTCTTCCTCTCCACCAAAAATCCCGCCACCACTTTCCTGTTGCCTGTCGGTCCGAGAGAAACATTTCCCCTGAATCCCATGCCAGGGTATATAGCCACTTTGCCCTCCTCTAGCTGATTGTCAGGACGGTCTACAGTACGACTGAGCTCTCCTTACGGCCTGAGCTCGCTACGATCCGTGCTCGGAGAGTGCGAGTACACTACAATCCCGGACACTGGTGGCTTTGCTTTCGCGCGGATGGGCGATCATATGTGCGGTCTATGCGGGAACTTTCACGGAGGTTAAAGGGCGAATTGAAGGAACTGGGCTATTGATCTATTCTAGTCTAGGAATACCGATGAAGTATGACCTCGAGTGCGACTGCTAACCACTCTCCCGACCCCGCTGTCAACCGTCCCCAACCTGTTTCACACAATTCGGACCGTTCCCGCAGCGCGACCACGGAGTCCAGCACGGTATCTCCGGATCATAAATCACAGGGGGAAAATGTGAATCCCCTCGAGGGCGATTCGGGGAGTGAACCGATTGCAGCACACCCTGAGCGGGATACGGGCCCAACGCTGGAGGAGGTAGATGAGTTTGGGCTCCCGATTCGAGTACGTGCTAGGCCTGTACGCTCGATGAGCGAATCCTCGGGTGGTGAAGAGTTTCATGATGTTGAGGAGGTTGTCTCAGACCCGGATCGTGGTGGTCGAGCGAATGATCAAGAGAGAAAGCCCGTAAATGAGGTATTGGAGTCGAGGGTACACCAGGAGGAAGGTACAACATCGGTTGCGAAGGCTAAAGACGAAGAGATGGGGACACAATCGTCAGCGGCAGCTTTGGGGCCTTGCCCTGTTGAGCATCCGCAGGAGAAGGGCGCGAGCGTACCTGAGGGCAAGGACAAGCATCCCACCGCTAATGGCGCACTTCCAGGTCATGGGGATGAAGCTCCACCTCCTTACACAGAGAAGCCGGCTGTAGAGAACCCCACTGCTGCTGAGCACTCGGATGCCCTGCAAAAGAAACGGTCGAGCATGAAAGCTTCGGCATGGTCACATCAGCGGCTCTATGAGTCCAAGGACTCCGAGGATGAGAGTGAAAAAGAAAGCGATGGTGGGTGGCAAGATATGCCCGCTATCGACGAATTTGATGTCTACGATGACCACGGGCGGTTAGTTGCTCGCGGTGCTAAACCGGAGGATAATGACGCCGTGTACAAGGGTTTGGGAGGTGCCGGAAAGGGATATACCAGAGTGCAACATGATGAGGATGCTCAGTCGGCGACCAGTCTAGATGAAGATACAAGCTATCTTTTTAAGGAAGCCGCTCACAACTCCGCTGGTGTAGAAGGAGAAGAGTTGCGCGATGCAGTCAGTCAATTGCAGGCCACAAAAGATCTACTGACTGAAAGTCAAAGGATAGCATACGTTGGGGTCGCCAGATTAGCCATATTCCAGATGACTAGAGATCTGGACAGGATTCCCTCAACCAAAGGTGCACGCAAGGCGAAGCAAAAAAGTGTTGACTCAATGCGTAAATGGGGCCAAACAATGATGGCTCGGATCTATGCTCATATGGATATCGATACTGCTGAGCAGATCATGATTGAGCAATTGGCTGAGCATGGTGTCCAACCTGCGGATCTCGTCCGACCTCTTATGCAGAATGCTCGAGTGAAAAATCCTCTGGCTGAGGAGGTCGATACGCCAAAGAAATCCGTGTCGCCCCCCACCTCCCCAAGACCGAAGGAGGAATATCGAAGCAGCCCATCCTCCGAAGTTGATAGGTCCCCGTCACCTCCACCTTATGAGACACATGAGGGTGAAGACCTCCCCGAAGTCCGTACTCCCTCCCAGCTACCTACTTCGTCGAAAATTGATATTGATCTCCGGTGGACGGTGCTTTGTGATCTCTTCCTTGTCCTCATTGCAGATTCGGCCTATGATGCGCGTTCACGGTCCTTGTTGGAAAAGATAGGTGAATCTATGGAAGTGCCCTGGTTACAGATCGCCCGTTTCGAGAAGCGCGTGGTTGATGCTCTAGAAATGCAGGAGGAAGCAGACAAAGAAACCTGGGATGAATCGGATCACATGGAAAAAAGGCGAAAGATGGCTTTGAAACGAAAATACATGGTTATGGGCTTAGCTACAGTTGGTGGAGGCCTAGTCATTGGTCTCTCTGCAGGATTGTTGGCCCCGGTTATTGGTGCCGGTCTTGCCGCTGGGCTTACCACTGTAGGAATCTCGGGGACAAGTGCTTTCCTGGGAGGAGTAGGCGGCACAGCACTTATTGCTTCTGGAGGCACCTTAACCGGAACTACAATTGGGTTGAGGGCTTCCAACAGACGTACAGGAGCTGTCCAGACTTTTGAGTATCGCCCTTTGCACAACAACAAAAGGGTCAACCTGATCGTCACCGTGTCCGGTTGGATGACTGGTAAGGTGGATGACGTCCGATTACCCTTTAGTACAATCGACCCTATCATGGGAGATCTGTACTCGGTTTTGTGGGAGCCTGAAATGCTTCGGAGCATGGGAGATACCATCAATATTCTCGCTACGGAGGTAGGTATCAGGGTGTCTCAAGTATAGACAGCTGGTTTTGTGCAATTGCTAATTATACTCATAGGCCTTGACTCAGGGACTGCAACAAATCCTCGGAAGCACCGTACTAACGGCTCTAATGGCGTCTCTGCAATTGCCACTTATCCTCACCAAGCTTTCATACTTGATTGATAATCCATGGATCGTTTCGCTGGCTCGCGCTAACGCAGCTGGGCTTATTCTGGCGGATTCCTTAATGGAACGCAACCTCGGGAAACGGCCTGTCACGCTCCTGGGCTTCTCTCTCGGGTCACGGCTTATCTTCTCTTGCTTAAGGGAACTTGCCGATCGGGGTGCCCATGGGCTCGTGCAGAATGTCTATATGTTTGGATCACCTATTGTGGCCAATAAAGATGAATATTTGAAGGCCCGTAGCGTCGTATCTGGCCGCTTTGTCAATGGGTATTCCTCAAATGACTGGATTTTGGGCTATCTCTTCCGTGCAACAAGCGGTGGGATCATGCGTGTGGCTGGTCTCGCGCAAGTGGAAGGAATTCCTGGCCTTGAGAACTTCAATGTGACCAAACTTGTGAATGGCCATATGGATTACCGAGCAGCCATGCCCCGACTCTTGAAAGAAGTGGGATGGGAGGTCCTCAGTGAAGAGTTTGCAGAGCTCGAGGATCCAGATCCAGACGACCATGCAGAGCGACAGAGAGAACTTATCCGCGAGATCGACGAGGCTCGACGAGAAGCCGAGGCCAAACCAGAAAAGAAAAGATTCGGTTTGTTCAAACGAGGAAAACTGGCTCAAAAGAAAGGCTGGGAAACATACGACGTGGAGCGTAATAATGCCATCCCTCGGGATTCGAGTGACAGTAACGGAACAGGAAATGTGTTATTCGATATCGATGCGATCAGAGCTGAACTTGCATCCGAGAGCATTGAAGTTAAACAACTCGAGTCGACTCTTCCTCCTATGAAGTTAGACTTAAACTCCCCATCCAGCTCAACCACAGCTTCGCCGACACCATCAGATAGTAAAGATGCTGCGAAGGCCCCCACGCTTGATAAACCCGTGCCTCAATCGCCGCTTGAATCTCAGTCTCGGCCCAAGGCTTCTATTGATCAGCATTCTTCTACACAAAAAGAAGAAGAGATAGAAATGACTTTTGACACATCCTACCATGAACCTCTTCAGCGTTCGCATTCGTCCTATGAACCCACAGTTGCTGCTTCGTACAATGCTCAACCTACACGGCCAGGGCTGCGATCTTCGTTGACGACGCCGGCTGGTGTTGGTATTGGCATTGGTGCCAGTGCGCTCGGTGCTTTGGCTCTCGAGCCTAACGCCTGGGCTGATCATGATGTAGGGTATGGGGACGAGGGAGAGATTCAGATGAGCTTTGAGTGATGAACTTTCACGACTATAAAACTAGAACGAAGATGCATTTGTCAAGCTTGGTTATGTGAATTTTGATGTCGAATGTTCGCTGGAGTACAAATAACTTCTGTTGGCTTGCCTTTTTTCTTTTCTTTCCCTTTTTCTTCATCTTTTCCCCTTTCCTTATTTATTACTTTTCTCTTCTTCTACCTTAGCCACTACCCCCTTTCTCTTCTTCCATATTCATAGAAGGTGCGACCTTATTGATCTTACTCTGTGTTGATGGAGATCCAAGATTCATATTGTTACTTGAGATCCGACCTCTAGTGCATACTTATTTTTGCTCTTGCACATCATTCTATCGGGGCACAATACAGCATTATAATCGGTTCATAAGCCATTGTCTTTCTTCTATTTTGGTTGAGCGCTTCGTCAGTTCATGTCCGGATTGCGGGCCGTTATTCTTAACACCCATGAGCTACTGTATTAACCCGTACAAATTACCGTTTCTGTCAAGTACCAATTAATGATTTGCTTAAAAAGTACCTACATAATAGTAGAAATAAATGATGGCACGGAGTACAGTCAGCTCGTTCAATGAGTGGGCAGCCAAGGATTTGATTACCTGGAAAAACGAGGCTTTGAATGGACTTATTCTTAGCGATTGATGGAAATGCGGAGTTGCAGCCGATAGCGTGTCACCACACGCGTTTCTCTTCTTCCTGCCACCCTCAATTCCCGTTTCACATTATTCTCACCCATTTCTCATTCTCTATACGATAACTTCTTACCTAACAAATGCGCAATTCCTCCGTACCTCGCTGCACATCCAAAGTTGTTTTCCGGCCCTACCCACTATGGTCAGCACCCTCCGGCCGAAGCCCGATTCGAGCTTCGCATCCAACCGCCTAACAACGAACAATTTCCACGGAAAACATCTCCTTTCTACTTTCAGAGAACAAGAAAAAAGTTCCGAGCTAGTCATTAAACCCGAACCCGCGACAGACGATGAGCCTGTTAGCTCCAGCGACGAAGAAGAGATTAAGAGCAACGCCAGCCTAAATGAGGCTCTCGACAACGAGAGCACGCCTCGTCGATCAGGGCCGACCCTCGAAGAAAAACTAGCGGGGAGCTCCCAGGGAAGTGGAAGATTGTCACAAACTCCGCGAACGAAGAAGGGGATAGAAAGCCCAAGGCCCCAACGCTCGAGCCGTAAAAGGATAATGAACGATGCGGCTCCTATAAAGGGTGGAAGTGACAACGGCGACCCCTTTTCGGAGTGTGGATGGTCCTCCCAACCTCAGAAGAGACACAAGGCCGCTGATTATGGATCCAAGAAAAAGCGCAATTCAGATATCTATATGAGGACGCCGAGTTCCAGTATGACACCTTTACGCACGGATTCCCCTGACCGTAAGCCGAAGTCGGCAGGCAATTCACCGCATACTGCGAAGAAAACGAAGGATGATGGATTTAAGGTCCCGAAAGATTACCACGTTGCCAGCCCGTCGTGTAAACCACGCTCGTCCCCCGAGTTCAAGGCTCCTCCTTTGCCGAACGATACATTCTCTAGTTCCTCCTTTGCTCCTTCCTCCGCTCGAGAGCCTGCAGTCTTCGACATCGATGATGGGGATGCCTCTCCTCTCAGTTCTCCGCCTAGCTCGCTATCTTCTACTGGTTTAGAGGACATGTTTGACGATGTGGGCGACTTGCCGAAGCCGAAGCCGAAGCAGTCTCTGTGCCCTTGGTGTAAAGAAACTGTAGATCCGGAACTCCTGTTACGGTTCCAGTCCCAGCCGAAACAGCGCCTTCGGGAGCAGCAGCGGTTCTGCGATTCTCATAAGCAGGCCACAGCCCAGAAAGAGTGGCAGGACAAGGGCTACCCGACTATCGATTGGGATACGTTCGATGATCGGATCCGTGGATATTTCGACGACCTTGAGACTCTTCTGGTTCCAGATAGCCAGTCATACTACCGAAACATGCTGGATTCCACATTGAAGTCGGGCAAGGCCAAGAACTTCCGCCTGACGCTAGAGGGAGATGGTCTGGAGACAATCTCTTGTGGTTATTACGGTACTCGAGGTGCTGGTAAAATGTAAGGTACCTTCAGTTACTTGGCAAGGCTCAGATCTCCGAGATTAATGTGAAATTTTCACAGGTTGCAAGCTTTAACCGTGCGCTTCTCTCGTAAATTGCGCCGCCTGGCAGTCAGCGACCACATTGTCAAGTTGGCTGGGGTTGTCGGTTATGCACAAGCAGTGCTCGTGCCTGAATTGGCAGTCCGACTCGTCAAGGATGATATGGAGGTGAACGATGATACTGCCCGGCAGATCTTGCGCGACAGTATTGATATTGGCGAGAGGTTGAATTTCGAGTTGAACGACAAGGTTCCGATGCCTAAAGAACCCGAACTTTCGACTTATGTCTAGTTTGTTTATCTTCCCCTTCTCCCAACACCCCCCTTCTCTCTCTCTCTCCCTCTCTCTTCTTCTGCATTTACCTATTTCAGTTTCCTTTTCGGACTATTCGGATATTGCATGTCTTGATTGTATATAACAGAAGCGTGACACGTGATACCTATTGTGTTTGTGTTTTGACGGATGATGGAAGATTGCCTCATACGCGCCGCGGATGGCGTGCGATGGATTGAAATGACAGGAGTATTTGAGAGTATATTGTTATTGACGGAAATATGTTAATAACGGGTGATGGTAGGTCATCACCCAGGTTTTATGGTACGATATGCTATGTATGTACAGTATAATATAGTACCACCATTCTGTCGGAACGTAACTCCGAACCAGAGCAACGGAAGAAGAAATTTAGTAAGCTGTCAAATAGCCAACCGATAAGCTTTTCCGTCTCCGCTTTGGGACGGAACTCCGCACGGGACTTCCGATAAAGCCCAATGACTGAGCATTACGTAGGAGGGAGAGCTCTCGATTAGATAAAGAGTTCCTTTGCCGCCAATGCCCCCCATACTTCCCCGAACCAATTCCTACTCTTTGCTGACGTGACAAGAAGTCAATGCTGACCTTCATCTGTCCCATGCCCTACCCTCTTACCCTCTCATCCCCTCAATTCACCTAGTTAAACCATGTCACCTAAGATGAGAGAGAAGTCCACCATGGCTTCTGAATCCACCCCTCTCCTCCAGGTCGTCAGTGTCGCTCCCCAGCGACACCGGTATCCCCATCACAGGCTACGTCAGCTCTGTACCTATAGTCTCGGAATGCTGCTCGTAGTTTCAGTGTTCTTATTCCTTCTGCCCTCGGCTGTCTTGCCACGAGAACATGGCTCCATTTGGTCGTATTTCCCTGGAGCTAACCCCTTCCCTCATAATGCCTGGCCTCACGGTTACGGTCTCAGCTATGAAGAGCTGCAGGCCATTCTCCAAATTACCCCTTCGGCTGAAAAGGCCCGGGAATGGAGCAGCTACTACACGGCAGGCCCTCATCTCGCTGGCAAGAACCTGAGCCAGGCGATTTGGACTCAGGAGCGCTGGCAAGAGTTTGGCATTGAGGATGCCAACATTGTGGCCTACGATGTCTACATCAACTACCCCTTGGATCATCGTCTGGCTCTGTTGAAGAAGACGAAGGATAAGACTGAAGTGACGTACGAGGCATCCTTAGAAGAAGACGTCTTGGAGGAGGACCATACAAGTGGTCTTCCTGATCGTGTACCTACTTTCCACGGCTACTCCGCTAGCGGAAATGTCACCGCCCAATTCGTTTACGTCAACTTCGGCACGTATGCCGATTACGAGGACTTGGTTAACGCCAATGTCAGACTTGCCGGCAAAATTGCGATCGCTAAGTATGGTCGCAACTTCCGTGGGCTGAAAATCAAGCGGGCACAGGAGCTGGGCATGGTGGGTGTGATCTTGTATGATGATCCACAGGAAGATGGTGAAATCACCGAAGAAAACGGATACAAGGCGTATCCGGAGGGTCCCGCGCGGAACCCGAGTGCCGTGCAACGGGGTAGCGCCCAATTCCTGAGTAAGTTCCTTCGGCTTTCATCCGTGTGGTATGATTTAATTAAAGTTGACTGACGATGTGTGTGAATTAGGCATTGCGCCGGGCGATCCTACGACTCCTGGTTGGCCGTCCAAGCCTGGGTGTGACCGTAAAGACCCTAGCGGTTCAATTCCGTCTATTCCCTCAATTCCAATTTCATACAAGGAGGCCATACCCTTGCTGATGGCTCTGAACGGACATGGCCCCAAAGCGTCGGACTTCAATGAACGGTGGCAAGGTGGAAAGCTCGGTAACAAGGGCGTCGAATACAACATTGGCCCTTCGCCCGATGATGTGGTCATTAACTTGCATAATCAACAGGAGTACGTTACTACCCCCCTATGGAATGTCATTGGTGTCATCAAGGGCGCCATTCCAGATGAGGTGGTAATTTTGGGCAACCACCGGGATGCTTGGATTGCTGGCGGTGCGGCAGACCCGAATAGCGGCTCCGCTGCCCTCAACGAAGTTGTTCGCAGCTTTGGCGAAGCCCTCAAGGCAGGATGGAAGCCATTACGTACGATCGTCTTTGCCAGCTGGGATGGAGAGGAATATGGGCTGCTAGGATCGACGGAGTGGGTGGAGGACCAGCTTCCCTGGCTTTCAAAAGCCAACGTTGCCTACCTCAACGTGGACGTGGCTGCCTCCGGGACTAAACTGGGCCCCGCGGCGAGCCCGTTGCTGAACAATGTGATATATGATATCACTGGCCTTGTGCAGTCCCCCAATCAGACCGTTCCAGGCCAAACGGTCCGTGATGTTTGGGATGGTCATATTAACACCATGGGAAGCGGCAGTGACTTTACTGCCTTCCAGGACTTTGCGGGCGTGGCCAGCTTCGACTTGGGCTTCAATCGCGGCCCCGAGGATCCCGTATACCACTACCACTCCAACTATGACAGCTTTGACTGGATGGAACGATTTGGTGATCATGGGTGGCTTTACCACGAAGCCTGCACGAAACTTTGGGCTCTGGCTGCGGCCAAATTGGTCGAGACCCCTGTTCTGTCCCTGAGTGCGGCTGACTACAGTGTTGGTCTGGGTCAATATCTAGAAAATATCAAGCCCGATGCAAAGCATTTGCCGGGCGGCGAGTTTGACTTTGGGTCTCTGGACAGAGCAATTGCCGAGTTCCAGGCTGTGGCTAAGCAATTCGACGCCTATAGCGCCGACCTGACCTCCCAATTGGCGGAGGACCTTCCCTGGTACTTGTGGTGGAAGAAGGTGTGGCTCTATTTCCAGATCCGTATCGTTAACGACAAGTACAAGGCCCTTGAGCGGGCCTTCCTGTATGAACCCGGACTCGATGGGCGTAGCTGGTTCAAGCATGTAGTGTTTGCGCCCGGCATCTGGACCGGATATTCGGGTGCGACGTATCCTGGACTGGTGGAGAGCTTTGACGCCGGCGATGTGGGTAATGCTCAGGTGAGGAATTATACTGCGATGCTAAGCTTTTAGAGCGGCCACGCGCTAACGTAAAGTTTTTTTTCTCCCCAGAAATGGCGCTCTATTATCGTTGAGCGTTTGGAGGCCGCCACGAAACTGCTTAAATGATTGGATGATCTAAGGGTATTGGAAAAGATGTAAGGGGGAGAATCTCTGGTGCTTAAGGTCTACAACCAAACAACAAGGATAGGGGAGATATGACGGTGTGGGGTTGGTTGCTAGGGATATAAATCATATAATATACATGGCAGCTGACCCTACACTTACTATATAATAGTTGTTGACCTTAGTTCTGAACCAATCAATATAGACAGACATACTCGAGACAAAGATCGTGAAGGATTCCGGAATTAATACGAGAGGGTTGACTCAAAGAAACGGAAAAGAATCCGCGGCGATATTTATCGAGTTAGATTAAGCCTGAAGCCAGTCACGGGTCTCTCTCTCTTCATGATAGTTCTAGTCTTTCGACCCACTCGCGCCGTCTCCACTGATTTTTCTCCTCTCTTTATTACTTTTCTTTTACTTTACTTCTGATCGATGATCAATTAAGCTCCATCTCACCTTCTAAACACATCTCCTTTCTTTCTCTTTTTCTTTCTCTTTGTCCGTGCTTCTTCTAGGGCTCGCTACTGGGATCGACGACCTGTTCAGCGCTCATATATACAGGATCTCGTGCAGCATCCTTCTTCATGCTGGAGAAACAGCCAAGGCTGCCGGTCCGGCAGCTAGTTATTCTCTGTAAGTCTCCATGAAATGCTTCACAGTCGGTACTACGCTAATCCCTGCTTTCTACAAAACATCTAGCGATATGTCGCTTTGCTGAACCTGGTATGTTTATGAAAACTCAATATATCCATTCTGCAAAGTTTTCCGATTCTAGCGACTAGATCGGCGGATGATGGCGCGATCAAGTGCTAAAATGATCTATCCCTACCGCAGTTGTTATAACTTCTGTTTTGCCGTATCTCGTATGCATCATATTTTAATTTATTTATTTCCCACTTCTTGTTATCCATATTGTTGTCCCCCTTGGTTCTTACCTCATCCCACACTGTACATTTGGTATGTCTGTCTCACAGGTATCTAACTGCTGTATAGCCGGAGATGATCGAATATGTCGGCGTTCCCAAAGATGAGGTTGCAAAATGGGTCGGAATTTCCTCTGCCGTCACGTCCATAAGCCAGGCGGTCATGGCAGTCACTTGGGGTACTGCTTCGGACCATATGGGTCGTAAGCCCATCATTCTGTTGGGGCTTACCTGCACCATGATTTTCTCTTTGCTATTTGGCGTCTCGCAAACCCTAAGCATGATAGTGATCACCCGCGCGTTTCTCGGGCTTATGAACGGTAACGTTGGCATCATTCGTACGATGGTGGCCGAAATGGTCCCAGAGAAGGAGCTGCAGCCTCGCGCCTTTAGTGTTATGCCTCTAGTATGGACTATTGGGACCATTTTTGGCCCTGCTTTTGGCGGTGCTCTAGCACGCCCAGCGGAGAAGCATCCGGAAATTTTTGGTGACTCGGAGTTCTTCAAGAGGAACCCTTTCATCCTGCCTAATCTAGCGTCTGCGTTCCTCTTTATCATTGGAATCGCGACAGGCTTCTTGTTCCTCCACGTAAGATGACCACATGAACGACGAAGGGACATCATCTAATTGGAGTACAGGAAACGCTGGCAACAAGGAAGGACCGCCGCGACTACGGCTTAGTATTAGGTAGCATGCTAGCAAGTTCTTGCACTTCACGGGAAAGGAAAGAACGATATATTGTGCAGGACACCGAGACTACCCCTTTGCTGGGTGAAACCCCATCTCAGCAGAAGAAAGCTCCAGCCAAAAGACCCAGTTGGAAGGAGGTTTTCTCGCCGCAATCCAGACTGGTACTCATAGCATATGCCTTGCTGTCGCTGCATACGATGGCCTTCGACTCACTACTGCCGGTGTTCTTGCACACTCCTGCCCAACAGATACATGACAACCCAGATGTACACCTGCCATTCAAATTCATAGGAGGATTTGGTGTCGGTAAGCTTATGTGGGATCAAGCTTGATTTGTTACCTACCATCTAACCATGTTTCTTTCTACCAGACTCCCAGACCATCGGCATGTATTATACCCTGATTGGAATCATTGGGATGGTTTTACAATTTATTGTCTTCCCAATGGCCGCCAAACGATTCGGTGTGCTCAACTGCTTGAAGGGCGTGGTGCTTGTCTTTCCTATGATTTACTTTGTGACACCGTTCACCTCTCTTGTCCCGGAGTCTTTGCGCCACTTAACCGTCTTTTTCCTCATGCTCTCAAAGCTCTCTGCTTCCATCTTTGGATTCCCTTGCATCACGATCCTACTTACCAACTCTGCGACTAGCTTAACTGTGCTTGGGACTCTGAATGGTGTTGCTACGAGTGTCAGTGCTGTTGGACGAGCCGCCGGGCCAGCCATCTGCGGAGCCGCGTTCTCGTTCGGAGTGAAGAAAGGCTACATCATCTTCCCATGGTGGACGCTCACGATATTCGGTATCTTGAGCGCTATCCCCATATACTGGACCGTGGAGACGGATGGGTTCCAGGGCAACGGCGTGGTTGAAGAGGACGAAGAACCTCAAGAGACCGAGTACGGGGCAGCAGATCAACGTCGGTCTCCTGAGAGCAGGGCTTGCCACTAATCAACTTTATACCGTATCAAAAGTTGTACAAAAGTCCACGACAATTGTCTCCGTCGCCTCCATGCATACCAAACAAGAATGACCCGCCTGACAATGCTGTAACCTAAGCTTAATAATCACCGCTCGTTGCGGAGACAGGATCCCACGAACGCTGATAAAGAAGTGATGATCATGAACAAAAGTTATGCCAGCGATAGCCATTTAAATGAATGATAGTCAAATATGCTCAGTCGGTGAAATTGCAAACCCACCTAGTTGTCTCATCAATATAATATACAAGTGGAGTACTCCAGCTGTCTCCATGAAATACCGAGCGCCGAGCTCCCCATTGACCAATCATGACGACGACAAACGGAGCCTGTTCCCTTAACTCCGATACCATACCACATACATAGCATCACCTCATCCCCCCATCTCTCACTCTTCTCGACTTGAAACATCTCTTCACCCAAATCCCAACTATCCAAATCCAAATCCATTTAAACAAAATGGTCCGTCCGCCCATTTCCTATCCTCACAACCTCCACCATCCCAGACCCCCACTCACTCCCTCAAACCGCATATACTAACCTTTCCCGCAACCCACAGACATTGGAAACCAACTCCGCCCTCTCTCTCTCCCTCCTCACCTCCCTGGGTGGAATCATCGGCTACGCGCGCACCGGCTCTGTCCCCTCCATCGCAGCCGGTCTCTCCGTCGGCGCCCTCTACCTCTACAGTTTCCAGCGTCTCCGCATGGGCCAGACCTACGGTGATGAGCTGGGTCTCCTGGCATCCGTCGTGCTAGGCGGAAGCTCGATTCCCCGGGCGTTCAAGACGTGGAAGCCGGTTCCTATGGGGTTGAGTCTGGTGGCGATTTACGGACTTTTCGTTTTTGGGAGGGCGGTTTTGGCGAAGAATTAATCGGGTTTCTTTGCATGATGGCATGGCATGGGTTTAGGTGGTAGTTGTAGTGGGTGTTGTGGATGTTTGTATGTATTATACCTATTAAGCTTATTTTTTTTTTTACTTTGAGTCTCGAGTGATTGGTTCGTGGTGGTTGTGGCGTGGATTATTATCTTATTCCAAGTTGTTTCTTTGTTCTAAACGAGAAGATACACTGAACTAATCCGAGATTGGTTGATTTCCAAATGGATGATAGCCTACCTTCACCAGGACTTACGGGTAAGTAGACCGGTTTCGCGCCGATGACAGTAACAGAACGCATTCGCGAAGATCAGCTCCTTCAGTAAAATTCGACGACCAACTCACCAACTCTTATCGTTGCTCATTCGCGCAGCCGTGTCTCGAACACCATGGCAGGGGAAAAAGGCGCACGGGAAAGCCACGGCGACACTCATGCGAAACTGGAGCGATGCCTGCTGCAAGGCCCGCTCTTTTCTTTTTTCTTTTTGCAAAGGCCGCCAACTACTGACAGAAGATCAGGGTAGGAAGCAGTAAAGCATGACCAGAAGATAGATCATCAAAACGTGTATCTAGAATTTGACATGCAATCGAACTTAGCTGGATTTTGTGGTCCATTCCTGTCCGCTGACCTCGCAGGTCTTGCGCGTATCGGGCCGAGCATCGAGAAGGTCGGCTGAGTTGTCCCCCATCGCCAACCGTTCTGGTTTCTTCGGTAACTAATCCGTTGCGTCGAATATGGTGTCCGGGCCCCGTTCGGCCCCAGCGACGGCCGCAGGAACTTGTTCTTCAAGCGCCGTTTCCCCTAAACGGTTGGGAACGAATGCGTACCTTGACAACTTCGCCATCTTTTCCTCCGGACTGGTCTCATTGTCAGAATACACCAATCTTGATTGCTTGGACTTGTCCTTTTTGGTGGGCTTTTCTTCTGTGGGAGGGGCAGCGGTTGCAGCTGCTTGGTCGGCTTCTTTTGCGGCGCCGGATATGAGATCGTCAATAGACGACGAGATCGGCGTGGCTTCGGCTCCTGGTGGTTTCTCGCCGTTGGCGACTCCGGTCGGTGCACCGGCGGTCGGCACCGGATGACCCATATGCATCTGTTGTAGCTGATAGGCATTGACCTGGGGAGCGCCCACGGCGGGTCGTTGCGGAAGACCGGGGGCAGCCGGCAAGCTCCCAGATCGCTGGGGAAATGCGGCGACCTGTGGGGGCGTATTGGTCTGAGGAGTTGGTTGTTGTTGCTGTTGTGGCGGGAATGGTGGGGGTGTTCCATAAGCTGGACCAGTCTGTCCGGGGGTACCCTGAAACGATTGCGGGGAGTATCCCGATGGAGTATACTGCGCACTAGGAGGAAATTGCGATTGTCCGCCTGGTGAGAAATTCTGGTAGACTGGACTTGCCGTTTGTTGATAAGGGGAGCCCGCACCTCCGTACGGCTGAGGGTATGTGTACTGTGAGGGGTTTGGGGCGGTTGTCGAGGGTGACTGGCTCTGTATCACACACGGTTAGTTGTCGGAGAACCCTTCAACAGCTGAATATACTAAGGAAAACCTACAAAGGTACCCACATTCTGTGTTTGTCCAGCACCAACAGGCGTCGCATCGCCACTGCTTTCTCCCGTACGTGCCTCGGCCTTTTTAGCTTTGTGTTCTGCCAGCCGCTTCTTCAGATCCGATACGTTTTCGAGCTTCGGTCTTTTTGCTGGCTGTCCACCGACGCCCGCGCCCGGGGGAGGGTTTCCAGTCTGGGCCTGACGCTCGGCCTCGGCTTGGTGGAACTGTGTTACGACTCGCTGGTTATGAGTCTGAATGATGTCTTCAGGGACACCTTCCATGCCAAAGATCTCAACATCAAGACTCGATCGGTTCGGAAGCGCATTATCAACAGCCGATAACTGCTCCTTATGTACTTGACTCATATGAACCGACAATCCTGTTCGCGGGTCGTTAGAAGGTCAATCGGCCTAGAACCGAGAAATGCGTCGCGACTCACCTCCGGCAGTATTAAGCCTTCTCCCGCATCTTTCACATTTGAAATGTTTAGCTTTCTGATGTGATATGAGGATCTTGAGGTCATCGAAATCGCGCTCGCAGTAGTAACACCATGGACGAGCTAAAACCTCTTCCAAGGTTGGTCCGCGTCTCTTCTTTCCCATGGTTGCTGAGGCCTCTGGTAATGATCTACGCTAATAATAGAGGATATCCGACGTCTGATTGACGATGGTTGTGGATGCAGCCAAGGTCTGTCGACGCGTTTGCGACTCGTCGCCGGTAATGGAAGCAAGTGCTTTGAGGTGAGGCTATAACGTCACGTGCAGATCAGATTTATCTTGGTGTTTCTCTGGTGTGACGTATCCGATACTAGTTCCATACATCCCATGCATGATCACGTGGTGTCATCCTTCCCTTCCATCGTTTTATACAAGTTGCATGAAGAGCATGCTATAATATCGTCTCGGTTGCCCAATTGGTGAGCACATATGACTGTTAAGGATTTATCCTCTCCTGGGGCGAGGAGCTTTATTTTGCACCCTTTTCTACCAGATGATCTCTGCCATTTCTTTCTTTTTCATCAAGGAAAGCAGGGTCTCAGGATTACACAGTTATCATCAAATTCCTTGTTTCTGGGAATGCTGTGCATGCAAGACTTTTGGCATTTCTTGAGTGCGAACTATTCGGTACATATATATCCCCGTTATAATATAAAATGAAAAAAGGCTATTCTAGGTCAATCGCGATGCAATATCCACTGTGTCTAGTCTCCTTATACTATACTCACCCTCGCAGGCCCTAATAATGCACTCAATCTATGACGCCGGGTGATCTTTTATTGACCATTTTCTAGCAATTGTTTACCAAATATCTATTCATACTACTACAGTGCTCTCGTGGCATTTCACAGAGCTTGGAACCGACCGAGATGCCACCCAACACACTCAAGGCAGTAGTTTGGGCAGCGACCTGCGCATTGTTGCGGGAGACATGGTGGAATGGCATACAACAAATTTCGGCGGCCAGGATTGCTCGGAGAAGACAGGCGTCCTCGGCCAAAAGTGGCGTAGTATGGTATGGAAGGATGCAAGGAGCTAAGGCATGTGAGAATGCAGTCGAGAGTTAACGAGCCCCAGCATCGACTCCCTCTCAAATAACGGAACTGATACTTTTGGATTGCAACGGCGGTGCGTCATGAAACTGCCTTGGGATAAAGCTGCTCACAAGACAGTGGATACAACCAGAAGACCGACATTTGATAGATATCTTGCCAAATACCCCAGCACATTTATCCAAGACAGTGTTCCTTGACGAGCAGGGTTGAGGATGCTTTGATCCTAGTGTTCTTATACTATATGTATCTGAAATATGTTTCTTGCGGAAAGCTCGAAGCGATAGTGAGTTGTTTTCTGGATGGGCATTACCCTTGAGCCCACCTCTGTAGGGATTGTCACGAGCCTTACATTTATGAATGGCATGGCATGTTAATATACATGTATACAAGTTAAGTCGCATTCCACGTAGGATTTGCTACTAATGCCCATGTGCACAGAAGTAAAGGAGGCATAGACCAAGCAGATTCATCTTCCTATGGTTTTGATCTAGAAAGGGTTGTACATAGCGAGTCAGATAAGGCGCCTTTCCGTAGACAGGTGCCGAATCATGGGGTAAAGAAGTGGACAAATGTCCACTCCTTCGTTTGACATCATGTCTGAGGCGTTAGTGATAGTAGTATAGTGTTGGCATCTTGGCGGTGGTGCTTTAGAGAGGAACTGAAGTTGCTGCCTACTGAATACGTATATTGGCACGTCTTTCAATTGTGGGGCGATAGGAACTAATCTTGAACCATCACTTTATACACAATACGATTATTGTGATAGAGTCTGGCGCTGTTTACCTCTTTCCTTTTTGCTTACTTTTTCTCTTTTTCTTCTCTTTTTCTTGGGACTTCTAGTCGCTGTGTTAGGGTTCTGTTTGCCTAGTGGGGACAGCGGTCTCCACCCTTTCGTACGGTGTAGTAACAGGTACTACATGAGTACTATAGATAGTACAAGAGGTACGTTAACGCGGTACAGGGATGTGCCCTGACAATTCTATGCACAGATATAAAGGGAATAGGGGGATGAAGATGAAGTTATGTTGCAATTCATCCAAAAAACTTAGACACTACAATTACGATAGTCAGTTCCAGAGGGATATATGAATCAAGCTCTATTGGAAAAAGCGGGATTTGTACGCGAGCATGACGCGGCCTCATCCCCATCACTTCCTATTCTTTCCACCAATGCCACCACAAGTCTCAAGATTCTTCTCAGTAGCCGCGCGCCCACGATGCCTTGGAACTGGTGGAACTATTGTGGCAAGGATGGGCTGTACTAGCCTAAGTATGTCGTCGACCGTGTTTCTTGTCGGATGCCTCTAAAAAGAAATCCAGAAGAAAAGAAAAACAGTAATTATGACAGGATTTATGTACGGAAAGTATGGGAGTATCAAAAGAATCTTTAAAGCAAAGCCCCTCATAGGGGTGGAGTTTGCGGACTTCTAATAATATTAACGCAATATGAATGGTTCGATCTAGATCCACAAGGCTTTTCCCATAAACCTGTGCGTATCTGCCATGAAAATGACTTGCCACCAATTTCGGCAAGTTAACTAGTAGTTGAGCACGCGACTGACTTAATTAGATAATTTAAAAAAAAAAAAAGTCCTAAACCCACCCGCCGATCTTTCATTCCTGCTGCAAATCCAATATATATGATTGACGATCCTTGTTCCTGAAGGATATCTTTCCATTCGCCCACAGTTTACCTCAATTCCTTCTCCCCTAGTCGCATACCGGCCCTGTCGCATATCGGACTTTCCGCTCTTTCCGTGCCCCCCCCCCCCGGTCGACTTTCTTCAGCCCTGAGCCACTTATACTTTACTATTGGGGCATGCAGACTAATTCGTTCCTGAACTGAACACGAAAGGGGGGGAAACAACCAAACAAATAATAATTAAAAGTATCAGAATTTGGAGGATATCTCGAGGGACAATCCTTCCACACGCTATGTGGATTTCCACATCCCGATGGCTTCCTTATCTTTACGGGCTAGCCTTCGCCGTCGGTGGCTTAGCCGCCTCTGATGCCGATACCGATTTTGCCAGCGTGAGGTCGAAGTTTGTCAAGGACTATAGTGGTACAGGTCCCAGTGAACCAGCAGAAGAGAAATACTTTCGTAAGTGCTTGCCTATTCAAGGGATTTTGAACGTATTTCTGACCAGTCATTAGAGGAGTCTAGGTAAGGATCGCGACGTCATCGGTTTGGCTGTCCTGGATTATCTAAACTAATATGGTGGGACACCAGTTTCCATTATCACTACGATGGAAGGTATGCTTAGAGCGATCTGCCCATGGTTGCGTCCGTACTGACTTCATTTCTAGGTTCGCCGAGGAACCTCTTCCAGAGGAGGAGACGCTTCCACATCTATCGCAACTCATCCGAACGTACCTATCAACCATGGCTGACGTAGGTGCGGAGACATGGATAATGCATGGGACCCTTCTGGCGTGGTGGTGGAACCAAAAGGTAGCGTGACGACCATGGGGATAACAACACATGACGTTTCCTAACGGTGGCTAGATCTTTCCTTGGGACAATGATATCGACGTTCAGATTTCGGAACCAACCATCCATTTTCTGGATGAATACTACAACATGACGGAGCACCACTTCGACATTCCCGGCATTGAAGGTGGACGCACCTATCTCCTCGAGATCAACCCGAACTATGTTTTCCGATCGACGGAAGACAAAAAGAACGTGATCGACGCACGGTGGATCGATACCTCTTCTGGACTATTCATCGATATTACTGCAGTGCGTCCGGATGATGGGATGAGGAAGAAGGGCGATACCGGAGCGCTGATGTGCAAAGACGGACATAGATTCGATGTATGTGGCTCGCGCCCAGGGTTGCACGACAGTAGGGCTGACTCTTGTTCCAGGAAAATGATATATTCCCGCTCCGGAATAGTCACTTTGAAGATTTCCCGGTTAAGATCCCCTTCGAGTACGTTAAGCTGCTCCAAGAGGAATATGGCTCCAAGTCTTTAACCGTCACGGATTTCCAAGAGTACGTTTACACCGTTTCGGATGGCTTTTTTTTTTTTTTTTTTGCACGCCAACTAACATCCATTCCCAGCCACCATTTTAATGAAGAGACTCTGGTCTGGGACCCTCTTTCGTAAGTAATCGTTGGTCAAGTGGCTGGACTTTATGCTTATGCTGTGCTCTTCAGGAAACGAAAGAGATCTTTGCGACGGGAAGGGGGTGATATCCCCGTTCGAACGACGCCCCTCCTCTACAAGTTGTAATGATCACGCAACTGCCTTCTACAACATATATATATTCACCTGATGGGCCATATACATATATTTGATTTACTTTGTAATCACGACGCCGTGAGCCAGCACTGGGTTCGGCCCCAAAACAAGCCCCTTCTTCCATATATCAGGCGTTTCTGCTATTTCAGGTTGCGCATTCTTCTGGCATGGGTTGCACATGGCGTTCGGTTCTTATAACACATATTTTGGCCGCATTCGCTTTCTTATCGAAGAAACTCCCGCGAATGCGCTTCATAGACATAGGCTTACGAGCTTTATCTTTTGGGGTTGTATCGATATGGTTGGTTAATGGATGTACATGATGTGTATACATACTATATACTGGGTTTTGGATACCTGAATAGATCTATCTGAGCTTGTGGTCGGACAGGAGTGACCACCTTTCCATACTACCCTTGACCATCAGCCACGTTTCACGACGTGATAACCCTATTCCGGCTCAAGACGCTGCTAGTATCTAACGTGAGCTGTCTCAACTTATCAGGGCAAAGAATACGAATGGACGAATCGGATCGCTGTTCCGGACGTCAGCCTCAGCCCTGACCCAGTGATGGAATCTTACTTTCTACTTAGTACTAGAGTAGTCGCACAGTCCACCGGCTGGGGAACTAATTACGGAATTTCCCGGTACGATGGCTTGTTTGACTCATGCAGAGACTTTAGATTACGATCAGATAAGAGACCTGGTGACCTGAACCATCGTCACCTAAGGCTGCAATATTAGCTTCGGTTGACTCGAAATGGTTTCTTTCCGGTAAAGTGTCTTAGTAGCCTTAGGCATGACGTCAGTTTGTATTATAATCTATACAATACCTATGGTTTCAGACCACTACCTTAGGCTCAAGAAGTATATCCCTCTTTCACATAGTGCAATGTAGTGTCATGGTTGGACGTACGTGCAAATAAGGCAGATGGTGCCTTTTGATAGAATTGTTATCCGAGTACAAATTGTTCATTGGAACAGGAGTTGAATCACTTTGTTCGTCAACCATGGGGAGGGAAAAAAGGGAAAAAAAGAAAAGAAAAGAAAACCCTCACTTGGCTGATACATGTCGGTACCGATAACGTACCGAACGATACCCAAAATATGGTCCCAATTTTAGTACCAGTGAGAACTTCAGGTAACGGACACATTAGTAATCTTACCACACCTCTCAGCCAATCAACCGTGCCAAAACCCCATCGTTCGGCCTGGACTATGGGTGGAGCCAATAAAAAGAACGCTTGCCCTCACGCAAGCTCCACTATGAGTCGAAGACTGAAGATCCCGTCTCACTTACTTTTTGATAATCAAGAGGTAGCATTGGCGCTCGTATCCTTTTTTATAAATCCATGGGTGCTTGCAATTTCTCTACTTTATATCCCCAGGTTTTCCCCCTGTCAGGAATGTTACAGATGGTGGGAGGTTTTCCTGTGATCTCCACTTCTCCACCATGTCGTTCCCGCCTGCAGAATCTACACACTCTGTGAACCACCAATATGGCTCCGATCCCCTGCTAAGAACAAGCCCCCCCGCGATCTCTCATACTTCACAGGACAGTGGCTCGCGCAGCTGTATAACCTGTCGAAGGAGGAAGGTCCGCTGCAACAAAAAATGCCCGTGTACCAATTGCGTCAAGGCAGGCGTCGAGTGTATTTTCCCCCCACCTGGGCGAGCGCCGCGCAAGTCGAAGCGACCCCATGATGCGGAGCTTCTGTCCCGTTTGAAACGCCTAGAGGGTGTCATCGAGCACCTCAGTGAGAAGAATGCGGCTTTGTCCACGGTGCCCTCTCCCCAGCAACAGCGCAGTGACTCCGCAACCACCTTGGAATCCCCAGGAAGCGCCGAACCCCAAATTCCCGAGCCCGAAGGGTGTCCGTTTGACCCGAAGCGAAAGCCGCGGAGCTTGGATCATGAGTTTGGGAGATTGGTGATTGAAGAGGGTCGGAGCCGATATGTCAGCAATCGGCTGTGGGCAAGCTTGGGGGATGAGGTGAGCTTGTACCCATGGTTTAGCCGTATCTGTTTTCGCCTCATTGTAGTTTGTACTGACTTGGGAGCGTTAGATTGAAGAGCTTCAGGACCTCTTAGACCCATCCTCTTCCGAGGATGAAGATCATCCGTCCCCAGCGTCTACTTCAACTCATTCAACCAATCACGATGGGTTCATGTTTGGGTTCTACTCGCTTGCGCACTCGCTTCGTAGCTTCCATCCCCCTCCATCGAAAGTTCCCTTACTATGGGAAGTCTATCTGGAAAATGTGGCACCTTTAATACCCATCGTTCATAACCCCACGGCCAAGCAGCTATTCACGAGCGCCACCGAGCATCCAGACTCGCTGGACAAAAACTCCGAAGCGTTGTTACTCTCAATGTATTTCGTATCGATAATTAGCCTGACGCAGGAACAATGCCTTTCTCTGCTGGGAGAAGAGCGCGACTCTGCTGTGACTCGCTACCGGTTTGCTGTCGAACAAGCACTGTCAAAAGCGAATCTTTTAAATACCCAAAGTCTGATGCTTTTGCAAGCCGCTGTGATTTTTCTGATCGCGGTACGCCGGGAGGATGATACAAAGTTTGTTTGGTCTATGACCTCTCTAATCATTCGTCTGGCCCAAGGGCTTGGACTACATCGAGATGGAACGAATTTTGGCCTGAAGCCCTTTGAAACGGAAATGCGACGGCGATTGTGGTGGCACATTGGACTGCTGGATATACGGTCATCCGAGGATCATGGCACTGAAACCCAAATCAATGAAAGAATGTACGATACTCGGCTTCCACTGAATATCAATGACGACGACATCACCCCTGAGATGCAGGAGCCGCCCCAAGAGAGGAGTACTTTTACGGAGATGACTTTCAGCTTAATGCGTTTTGAAATCACTGTTGCTCTCCGCCGGGTGAGCCATGCGTGTCCGAATACTAATATTCCTGGGCCTCAACAGCCGTTCCCAGAAAAATGTGGCAATTTGATCCAGATCATCAACAAACGCATCGAGGAACGATATATCCAACATTGTGATATGAACGTCCCCATACAATGGGTTACTGCGACAGTCGCTCGTCTCATTCTGTCAAAGTTGTGGCTGGTGGTCCATCATCCGATGACACGGCCGTATCAGGGCATAAACTTGACAAATTCTTCTCGCGAAAGCCTCTTCCTTACCTCAGTTGAGGTCGCTGAGTTCGCGTGCCTATTGTCGGCCGATAAGAACACACAGAAATGGACCTGGATGTTTGCAATCAACATGCAATGGCATGCAATCGCCTTCGTCCTAGCCGAACTTTGCGTGCGTCCCATAGATCCTCTGACAGAGCGGGCTTGGGCTGCTGCGAGTGCACTATATGGGGGATGGGTGCAGACAGCGAAACATAGAAAAGGCATGCTTTGGCGGCCACTCGCCCGGCTGATGAAGCGAGCAGCCGATCACCGAGCTAAGCAGCAGCAACAGATGCAATCTAACCCCAGCACAGTCACCTCGAGTGCTACATCTCGCAGTATTCCCGAAGGGCCGAAGATCATGGATCCCCCGGTTTTGCCGCGAATCCCGGGCTTTCAGGCTTCGTCGAGAACCACACCGAATGCTACATGGAATAATCCATCATTGGGTGACATCGATCTCAGAAAAGGACCCATGGAGGTAATGAGTGAGCTGTTCCCTGATGTGGACTGGCTCGCTATTTCGACGCCCGGACCTGTTGGTCAACAGCCGGCTACCCATCCAGGGCCAGCTATTCCTATCCCCGAAGGGCCTACTCTACCGGCTGAGTTCCCACAAGATTCGTCCAACTTGCAGCTCAACTGGGAAGAGTGGGACCAAGTAATGCGTGACTTCCAAATGGACATGCAAGACGTGCAGCCCGCCAACCCTATGGCCAACATTTCAAACAATGTTTCTGGTTGGTTTGCCTGATCATCTCAGCGTTTTATGACGTCTGTTTCCTGCCGCTCGGTGTTTGTCCTCTTGCCGACTTATCTGTGACCCTGGAGGTCGCTTTCTTTACTTTTCCTTTCAAGCGCGAATTGGCAAACAAGTCAATAGCTTCTGCATTATAATCCCCGGTTGCGATCATTATCCTCTCAACTCACTTCTGTAATGTGAATGCCTCTCACCTCTTGTTTTTCTCTCACGTCATGACAAAAACTCTCCATTCTTAATGATATACGATCTACGATGTATGGCTGCCTGGTGCCTTCTCACCGGTTGGACTGGGGTTTCATGGAGTTTTACAGCTCTATAAAACGGTGGCTTGCAGTCTTATTATTCCCATGTATTATAATGCAATGTATTAGTATACCTCTTCGACACATACGGAGCATGAAAATCGATATTTATACTTTCCGAAGACAAATCTCTTCCGGGCCTCGAAAATGTTGTATTCGAAATACTAAAACGAAAGAAACAACATCCATCATCCCGAGATGTATACCGTGTAATACGACGCGTCTCCCTCGGACTATGGGTCACGTGATGTATCCGGAACAAATGCCGTGTACAGTACTGTACACAGTAGCTTCATCAGCTCAACCTCCAGCGACCAACCGTGTTCATCGACTCCCTCCCTCGCGCGAGTCTCCCTAAAAAAAAGAACAAAAACTACTAACCCCCAACCGCAATGCCTGCGAAACGCACCACCGCCGCCCCCACGGCTCCTCCCCCAAGCACCAAATCCCTCTCCTCTGGCCCGAAGACCCTCACAACCAACGCCTCCGTCGTCGACATCGCCAACCATGTCTGGCAACAGTACCTGGCGACCACGCCGCAACGAACGCTCCTCCTGGACGCCTTCATGGCCTTCCTGGTTCTCGTCGGCGGAATCCAGTTCGTGTACTGTGTCGTTGCGGGGAACTATGTACGTGGATTCTATTCAATTCATTCTTACTGTTATGGTTTACTTTACAACGATGCTTTGTTTTGGAGTGCATTGAGAATGGCAATGCTATGAGTCATACTGGGGAAGAATGAAAGCTAATTGGGGATTTTGGCTAGCCCTTTAATGCCTTCTTGAGCGGGTTTTGTGCTGCTGTTGGGCAGTTTGTTCTTACGGCTAGTTTGCGCATGCAGACGAGTGATGTGAAGGAGGGGGGTAAGGCGAGCGCGAGTGGGAAGGGGAAGGATGGGAAGGGGGTTGGTAAGGAAGGGGTTTCGCATGAGAGGTGAGATTTTTTTTATTTCTTTTTTCTTTCTTTGTTGGATGGCGTTGTATGCTGACTTGACTGGTTTGGTAGGGCGTTTGCGGATTATATCTTCGGGAGCCTGATTTTGCATTTCTTCTGTATTAATTTTATTAACTAAGGGGTCTTTCTTGTTCGTTTGGCTCTTGTTGTTGTTGATGGGTGGGTGACTGGATGGGGTTCCCTGGTGGATTCTTGTCTTGTGTTTCTTTTGTAGTTAGGGTTTAGATGGATGGAAGGGAGAAGCTATTCATGGAGTTCCTGATAACGCCTGTTTGTATTTATTCCCGTACCCAATCCATGCAATGCCTAATCAGGGTATATAATAGTCTATGCGTATACTATGTACATGTGTTTAAACCATCAAAATGCTCGTCCGGGTCGTCTCTTGATCTGTGGCTTCTTGACCACGCTTCCACCACCAGAAGATCCATTTCGTGATGTGGATGAGGCCGTGGCACCCCCAACCTTTCTACCGGTGATGGCTGGACGTCGCACAGCAGACCCTGCTTCGACTTCTTGCTTCCGTCTCGATGGGTCGTTCCGCTCGATTTCTCTTTGCTTTTCTGCTGCAGCCCGTTCACGGTCCGCGGCCATCTGGGTTTCAATCTCCATGCGTCGGTTGAATTCTAGTTCTGTCACGCGGCGTTCCCGCTGGGAATAACCCTTTTCTTTGACGGAGTAGAAAACGCCTCCGAGTTCGGCGAGCCACTGGTATAGAGTTAGTTACAGCTTATCGACACTATGAGGGGTATATAAGTAACTTACATGAGGATCCACGGCAGTGACAGTGGACATGTACTCCTTGCTAGTTAAGATCAATTCGTGGTAAACCACATGCTCGGGCACATATCCCAGACCGTACAGCGCGCTAGTTGGATGCAGTTGCATAGTCACACTAGTCCGCAGATTAATGAACTCGCCTATTCCCTTCACCTTCGCTGCTTGATGATAGAATCCAGAGCAGATGCATTTACGGATCACATCCCAGTCTGTTCCACAGCTGACGAGTGACATTTTCTGCATGGCCATGATGTCGTGAAGTTGGTCGCGGACTTCCTTGGCCCGTCGCAGGGCCTTCGAGTGAAGGAAATGCTTGACACACCAGCCATCTGAATAGCCGTTGGTTTTCCATTGCGTGTAGACATGAAGTAAGGTTAGGTGGTCCGATTCGGGAACGAAGAACTTCTCACGGGCTGCATCCGACTCTTCCTGGCGCTCTTTGGGGCGGTAGAATACACTCGGCACAGACAGCATAGATACGATGGTGAGCATCTCCTCGCTACAACCGTAATCCTCGGAGGCCGTTATAAGAAGCTTGGCGAGTGGCGGATCCATGGGGAATGGAGTCATACGACGTCCCAACGGGGTGAGATCACCAAGGTTATCCAGCGCACCTAATGACCAGAGCTCGAACAATGACGTTGTGATGGTTTCCTGTGGCGGCGGATCCATGAAGTCGAAGTCCAAGAGATCCTTGACCCCAAGAGACTTGAGAAGGAGAACAGTGTTGGACAAACTAGTACGCTGGATTTCCGGTATGGTTTGCAGGTACAGCTCATTTTTGTACGCCACCTCAGTGTAAAGACGATATGCCTTGCCAGGTCCTGTCCGCCCTGCTCGCCCGGAGCGCTGATTGGCATTGGCTTGCGAAATAGGCGTGATCTGCAGCGTGTCCATACCCATTCGGGGGTTGTAGACCTTCAACTTCGAGTACCCAGCGTCAACAACATACATGATACCATCGACCGTCAAACTGGTTTCCGCAATGTTTGTGGCAACGATTACCTTCCGTACACCAGGGGCTGCTTTTTCAAAGATCTTCGCCTGTTGTTCTGCCGGCATTTGACTGTAGATAGGTAATATGCTAAGTTTTGGCGGGTCGTTCAACATCTTTAATCGCTCATCAACTAGTTCGCAAGTCGCTTCAATATCCTCTTGACCTGTCATGAAAACAAGAATATCACCAGGACCCTGCGAAACGTGGATAGCCAAGACCTGCTTGACCGCACTATCGACGTAATCCTCGCAAGGCGTACGTGAGAAGTGGACATCCACGGGGAATGTCCTTCCAGGGATGATGAATTCCGGAGCACCACCGAAGAATCTTGAAAATCGCTCTGCGTTCATTGTGGCTGAGGTGACAATCAACTTCAAGTCCCGTCTTCGAGCGAGGACCTTTTTCAGAAGTCCCATCAACACGTCAGTGTTTAAGGCTCTCTCGTGCGCCTCGTCCATGATGATACATGAATACTTATCAAGGTCAGGTTGAACTAGCGACTCTCGTAGTAGAACACCATCAGTCATATACTTGATAGTCGTCTTATCGCTCGTGCAGTCTTCGAATCGAATCGCATAACCAACGAGATCACCCAGGTCGACTTCCATTTCCTCACTCACACGCTTTGCGACACTCATGGCAGCCACTCGACGAGGCTGTGTACAGCCGATCATACCAAACTTCGAATAGCCGTCTTCGTGCAGAAACTGCGTCAATTGGGTTGTTTTTCCCGAACCTGTCTCACCAACCACCACAATCACCTGGTTATCTCGTATGACTCGTAACAGATCTTCCCTCACAGCGAAAGCCGGCAAGTATTCTCTCTGTTCGCGAAGCGTCTTGCTCTTGCTAAACGAGCTCTGGCCACCCTCGTCCTTCTTCAGGTGCTGTGCGAACTTATTCCCGCTTTTATACGCATCCTCCACTGGCATAGCAACAGCGCTGTCACCTTCGTCTTCCTTGACCCCCATCAAGTTTCCAAGTGCCGTTCCCGCCATGGTCGTCGCCTCCTGCGCTTGTTTTTGCCGCTCTCGCTGTTGACGTCGTTCCCGGACAACCTTGCTCCCTTTCCGGCTGAACACAGCCATATCACTTTGCGGATCACGTACGGCGGAAATGGGCTCCAACTGCTTGGTAAAGATGGTGCGGCCATCGAGGAAAGGCGGGCGGAGGTCATGAACGAGCAAATGGACACGAGTACCCTCCTCATCTTCGGGCATGAAATCGGCATCAAAATCCCGCCTTTGAGCGACACCGGAGGTAAGCATTCGGTTCGTTTCCCAATTGTCGATATCCTTGCGCTTCGCGTCGCGAAGTGGCGCCGGTAGGTGGGAGCTTTTCAGCCTCTTGGCCGGGGGCAACTCGTTGCCTGCCATTGTGAAGATGTGAGTCGATTTTGAGTTCTAATAATACTTGTCGGATTGAGGGACCCAAGAGGTATCGAAAATTGCACGAAAGGGCCACCCGTTGCTTGTCCGAAGCCGTGTAGATAAGTGGCAGCGGAAGAGATGGTTTGATAGGAAACTAAGCTATCGATTATCAATGGACAAACCATGCAAACCGTGAACGGTGTCACGTGCTATAAGCACCGCACTGAGGGATCAAGCTTGGGGGGAAGAACAGTTGGACTTGCACACGCTATATTCACTGTAAAAGGAAGCTAATAGATTCTCCATATCAGTAGTGTACAAATTTATGTATCTCCGTGCTGACCATCCATCTGGTCTTGTTTGATAGTGCCCATGCCCCATAGGGTATATAGATAGTGGGATCTTGGCTTGGCTGCGGACAAGAATACTGCACGAAACATCAACTCCGATAATAAAACGCCCCGCCCCGCAACTCCAGCTTTGCAACAGCGCGCTATTACGACCCGCAGACGAAAATGGCCAGCCAACAGCAAGTGAACCCCAAGAGGCAGCAGGGTATGCTTATCAACTTTTCAATCGAACCCTAACTACGGAGATATGTGAGAATCGAAGCTAATGCGGCGCAGAGCTCCAGCTCCAATACTCAAATTATAAAAACACACTGCAACAGATGGCACAGAAGATTGGGGATATTGAGCAAGAGGCAGAGGAACATAAGTGAGTTGATTTGGCTTCGGTTCTTTCCATGGGTCGGCGGATTATGGATAATCTAGAATTTTTCCGTCAGCTACCTCGGAGAATATGGGCATTGACGCTGCTAGACTGGTCATCGAGACACTCGATCCCCTCCCCGAAGAGAGAACGTGTTTTCGCATGGTTAATGGTGTTTTGGTCGAGCGGACAATCAAAGACGTTCTACCTACATTGAAGACCAACTCGGATGGCCTGAAACAAGTGTTGGAAGAACTCCTGAAGCAGTACAAGGCTAAGCAGACGGAATTGGACAACTGGAAGGTTAGTTCGTCTTTGCTACCTGTCCGAAATTGGACAAGGGAGACCAACTAAACGAGATGATATATGGGCTAACTGGCCTCGCTCTGCAGAAAAAGAACAATATCCAAGTCGTACAACCTTGAACGCCTATCTGATTTGTATTAGCGATTCGTTATCTCTTTCTACGCCCCATTTCTAATGCGATGTATTGGTTCATCTAGGGATAGAGGGAGAACAAAATGGCGTTCCTAGGAGTCTGAAACCGGATTCGATTGTCTTGTTGGACCTTCGTAGCCCTTTGGAGCCGCGAAACTGGAGACATAGTCCAGCAATGTATGCAGAACCTACCTGTGAAACTAGGCGGGTGTATAAGAGAAGATTGTATCGGAATATTCGCTCGCTCCGATGTCTGTGCCCCATGCGAGGAACAGACACAGTGAGGGAGAGGTATGAAATGGTATTGAAGACATTTCTCGGGTTCCCAGATTCCCTTACTGTGGTAGATTGAGTCAAGATGAATGACACGAAAGACCAAACCTAGAGACTATGAAACACAACAACTGGTGATATATGAGGTAAGGCCTCAACTCTTAGCCAGCATCGTTAATGCTCTTATAATCTATATCTAAGCAAGAGAGCAATACATTCGGTCTCATACGCAAAGAGATCGATATTGCCTTCTTTTCATGTCTTACCTTAGTTTTTTCGCCATGTCTCGTCCAATGATCAGCGTCGTTCCTTGTTTTGGACCTAATAATTCACCATGGATATTCTATTGGCATGACTTCCCTTCTTGTATACCTGTCTTTCCTTGATTCACTACCTCTGGTGAGAAGTACATCAATCCTGCAAATGAACATGGTTGTTGTACGCGTGTGTTGTTGTATCTCACACAGGATAGGGGATTCCGGACAGTATCATTACAAGGAGATTGTTATTGTCCGATGTAGTAGGGGAATGCTGAGTTAGCATGTTGACTAGAAAGTAGTCATCATTTATCCATCCATCCATCTATACTGCCAGCTGTTTCTGGTGTTTGGGGTTGGAGCCAATCACGGGGCAAGATGGCGGATTTGGTGCTAAGAAAAGGCTGTTTCAGAATTAGTACTTACTCGGGGTAAGAACTCGCCTGACTGGTTGCTTCATGTTGGCCTCGGCCAATTGCCGATGAACCGGCATAACTGACTACTATAAGGTCAACCTGGGCCAACAGTCTCACATGTCGTTGTTCCTACAGCATGTCATAGTCGTAATGTCCAGTTTCCGGGAACCTCGAGAGAGATAGGGCATACATGACCGATTCTTGGGTAGGAAAAAAAAGTGATTGATCCACCATCTTCAGCAGTACCTATAGATGATGGATGCCTTGCGCCATGGCTGGTCTTGGGCTGCGAGTGGGCTGGGGGATGCTGCAGGTTTGCCTGATATAAGAGATATTAGGGCTTACAAGGCCAACTGTTCCCTGGTCTTTGTTTATATTATGGTTGATCCATGTGTTTTTGGGTGCCTGATCCGGCGCTCTTTTTCCTTGTATCCCAGGTGGAGTCTTCCTAGATAGCAAGGGATACGTTCTTTTCTTTTCTTTTCTGTTTTTCTCTCTTTCCCTTTTCTGTATCTCCTGCATTGGGATGTATACTAGTATGTGATGAGGCGGGGGTGGTATTCATCGACTGAACCCAAATCGTAGACTAAGCTAGTCATCCAAGAGGTTGATCTGGTGACGGGAAGATAACTCCGTTTAATGATTACGGTATCCTAATATCTCAGCGGAGTGCTCTCTGATTAATGATGGAAGTATCCCTCCCGACCACGGTGCTTTGACCTAGATCAGTACTAGCTCACCAGAATTATCGTACACGAGGCAATAATATTTTGAGGAGGATATTGTTGACGTTAGGTTTACTACAGTAATCCATAGTCATCGCACCTCACGTGCCATACGGCCCAATACACAAATACACCCCACCCGTAGGGATCCGCGCAGAAGCCTTTCCCAAATGGCGGGTAATACCAGAGGCCCGTGTATGAAGACGGTAAAATTTTGGAGTCCTGAGGCCATACACTTGTCTTCCGTCACTTGTCTTTCTCTCTCTCTTTCCCTTTCCCTTTCTCTTTCTTACTCTTTCTGCATCCCGTTCACTCTTCCCTTCAGTCAATCTATCCGATCAAGCGATTCAATCAATCGATCATCAAACCCTCTTTGCTCTCGTCGATATCCATCCATTTTCCGTCTTATCACGGTTCTGCGTTGGAGGGAGGATCAAATTCATAACTCCATTGAATCTCATTGGTCTTGTACTTTCTCCTCAACAGCCAGTGATCGTGCTTGACTGTCAGGGACTTCTGGTTCGCCAATTGATTGCCTGCGCGCATCGTGGCCTTCCCCAGTCATATCTCTGCTATCTACTGGTCCAGAGCGTCGTGTGGCCCCCCTCGAACAAAAAATAACCCGATCGCCTTTTCCTCATTGTTTGGTTCCTTGACATTTCCACCACCCCATCTGAGCAACGTGTGACCCACTGGGTTACCTTTCGTGTTGCATCACCCGCGTCACCTCCCGCTTTCCCAGATCTCTCCCGTATTGGAGTCCTGCAGTTTGTAAGTCTAACTCTTTCTTGACACGGCCCCAACTACGCCCTGGAGGTTCCAGAAGATCGGTGCGCCATCCACGTCGCTGGGCATCAAATCAGATTTAGTCCAACCCCCCAAAATAAATCCCAAATACCCAAAAAAAGACAATTTAACATTACTCCCCAATCATCACCAAAAAAAAAAAAAAAAAACAAGCTTACCGGGCGCGCCTTTTCATATGATCATCGTCGAATAACCATCCCGGTGGACCTTAAACTCCAGCAGAGCTGTCGCAGAAGCATTGCCAATCCCCCACACGCGCGCTGACTCTGTGTCTTCATCCTCCCCATTTAGGCTGCTGTGAAGCGAATCCAATCGCTGCCCAGCCAGGTACTCTCTTTCCCTTGGCGCAAAGCTATCCTCGCGTTCAGGGCCGAAAGCCATCGTGCGCCGCCCGCATCGGTGACGTGGTTTGCCAACAGAGCAATTAGAATCAGTCGTTCCCTTCTAAATCTAGGACCCGCTGCGCACTCCGAAAACAGCTAAAAATCATGTCGTCGGCCTCTCCCTCGAAGGAACCTGAGGTGGAACCTGAAGTTCAATCGGGTGAAGAACAGGACCAAATGGACAAGGAACAACAGGACCAGGCACAAAATCAGGGGGAGTTTGAGGTGAAGGAGCAGGATAGGTGGTTACCCATTGCAAATGGTTAGTTGCGTTTCCCTGCAGCTTCTGATTTGCGCGTACCTTACGTTTGGCCTGCTGGTCAACAGCGGTCTTCCCAACTATATTTGCCCATCCATACACTTCCCTTTCCCGTTTCCCTTTTATCATTTATCTATTTATTTTTTCTTTTCTTTCCAAAAAAAAAAATGGACGAAAGAAAGCAAAACCATCTGTTCTCCTTGCTTGCTGCTTCTCTCTGAATTTTCTTGTTACGAACTACCATCCTGTGCCCCTCTTTGATTTGGTTTCGCTACCATGAAAGCGCACTAGAGCCATTATTCGACGCGCACCTATGATTACCTTGCGCGCTATCGAGGTTGAAATTTTGAAGCAGAAGTGCTAACGTCTAGTCTAAAGTTGCCCGCATCATGAAACTGGCTCTGCCCGACAACGCCAAGATTGCCAAAGAAGCCAAGGAGTGTATGCAAGAATGCGTGAGCGAATTTATTTCGTTCATCACCAGTGAAGGTTCGTATGGTCGCATAATCAGTTTGTGAGAGATTTTTTTTTGCTGATGCAATGTTACTTGAATCACAGCGTCCGAGAAGTGTCAACAGGAAAAGCGCAAAACTGTCAATGGGGAGGACATCCTGTTTGCCATGACCTCACTGGGGTTTGAAAACTATGCGGAAGCCCTCAAAATTTATTTGTCCAAATATCGTGAGGTGAGACTTGTGCAACGCTCTGAGTGCCCTGCCCTCCCATTAGCCGTCGGCAGTGTCCTCGATCGGGATGTACAGTGCTGATTACTTTCTTAGACCCAATCTGCAAGGGGTGAGCACCAGAACAGGCCAGCAAGCAGTGGGTATGCTTCTGGCGGGCCTGTCGGTGGTGTAAGCTCCGCTCCGGCGGGACGTCCGGGAGCAGCCTCCGCGGGAGCATTCCCTGACGCTGCTGATAGTGCCAATAGCATCATGAATCCGAGCTTAGACCCCACTGAACAAGATGCCTCTGCTTATGGGTACCCACCCATGGTAGGCCAGGCGCACAACGGAACGGCTGGCGATTCCTACTAATGTCTGTGCACGTGAGATCTGAGGAACTAACCACCTTTCTCCGTCAAAGATCGACCGATGTTGCCTTCGACGCAGCTTGAGGACTTGAAGCCAACTTTGTGTCATTGCCAGGCCTAGAGCTCTTGGACCGGATGAAAGGTCTTTTTCTCAATCTCACAGCGTCCTTCTGTACAGCATCTTAACGACGTGGTACGATGCAATGGGTTCTTTTATGGGTTATTCTACGGATTGGTTACGAGTACAGAGGTATAAAGAGAGGTGTGGAAGGTCGGCGCGTTTTTCTTTTTTCTTTTTCCTTTTTTTTTTTTTTTTTAATTCTGTTTGGTGTTGGTGCCTATTCGATGTCTTCTTGGACTCAGAACAAGACTTGTACAATTGCATGTAAAGTGGGCCACTCCAGATCTTTACGATTCTTTTCTACCTATACAGTCATACTTCTCATGTTGCGCGTTTGATTAGGCAAGAGTCCAGCTCACATCGACTCGATTTTTGGAACCCCTGTCTGTATTTAGTGATCCCACTTGATTTTTTTTTTCACCCCACGTACGAAATAAGTGTAAGAGCAGCCGATAGAGAAAGAATGGAATAGGACCTCGCGGTTCTCGATGAATAAATTTTCCCAGGCTCAAAGTTCAAAATTGCTCTTCATCATTATGTATGTACGATAGGTCGTGTCATGTATTATTCAGTATCGCCATATTATCATCAAACAAAACCAAAACAGGTATCATGATCGTCGCCATTCTAATCAAATTCAAAAGCTAAAATGAGAAACGAGAAAATATATCCACGAGAATAAGTATGTATTATTACCCGTGCATCCATCCTCCGTCCTGGAGAAGATCAGACATGGGGGTCTCCTGCCAGTAGATTTGACGCCATTCATCTTCCAACTCCGGCAGTCCTTCCATGGGCACAGGAAGCACGGACTGATCCGGATCGGTGAAGGAAAAGAGCTGTCGCCAATCTAAAAACTCTCTTGGTTGATCCATGGGCTCCACGGAAGCGAGATGGCTAGACGGGATCCAACTGTCAAACGGCTGGTTCTGCTGGGGACTCACGGTTGTCGAAGGTACGCGCGGAGATTCAGGAGTAGGGACTTCATATGGAAGCCGTGGCTCGGTCTGAGGGGTATGCATAGTATTTGAATTGGGATTGGGGGTAGGGGGAGGATGAAGGTTAGGAAGGTTATTCGTATTCTTATTCTGATCTTGTGTGCTGCTGAAACGCCTTGGCCTTTCGCTAGTAGCCAGCCGTAAGTCTTCCTGGAGTCGCTTGGAGTCTTCGAAGAGCCTCAATATAGTGTTGGCATGGGACCAATACTCCGCGAGCTCACGGAGAGAATACGAGGCCGAGTCGAAGCGGCGCAAGGCGTTGATCGCGAGAACAGGATTTGAGAATCGAAGTTCGACCCGAACTTGGATCATTGCGGTGAACAGCGTGTGAACCCCAGAGTACCATAAGAACTTCAGTCGGTCATTCAGGCGGAGTTCCTCGAAGATGGAAGCGATAACTCCAGCAGCTGCACTGCAGATTTCCGCGTCATGTGGACCGTAGTCGTCTGAGTACGCCGATGCTCTTGGGTGCGGCCGATGAAGAAGAATTAAGAAGTTGTTGTAGGTTAGATGAAGCATGGCGGACCACGAATCCATATCAGACGCCCGTAGACGTAAACTGTCTGGCAGCCTGAGTGACCAATTTGCCAGAGCTTCGTCGGCTTCTTGCAAGGCAGCTTTGCGACGCTCAGCGCTGACTCTTAGCCCAAACCGTTCCCGTACAATATACGAGATCATGGTGCACAGTTCTGAAAAATGAATCGCATACTCAGTTTGGACTCGAGGGCCACACCCTTCAAAGTCCGAGGGAGTCAACGGCGAAACATCAGAGTCCTCGAGGTTGCTGAAGTGATCTATTGGTTAGAGCACAAAATCTCTCGATTTGGTTAACAAGCGAGTCGGTACAACTTACATAGCCTGCGGCCGGCCATATGATAATGATACCAGGACATCAAATTGGACCAGAATATACCACAACCTTCGCCACATCCGGCGGTCTCGGGGTACAAATCTGCTAGAGACCGGATTACGGTGCATACCGAGACCCGTAGCAATCCTAGCAGCTACCCCCACCCAGTAGTGAGCATTCGCCGCTACGTCGTCATCGGCACTATCCGAATGCCACGTCATGAGTAATGCAGCTTGAACCATGATATCTCGATTGCGTTCAATGCGACTGTCAAATAACCATTTAGCCCGGCGGAAGAAGATTTCCTTCAGTGCATCGCGCTCCGCCTTTAGGCGTGTGACATGGGTCCCTACCAGCAGAATAGCCTGCAGAAGCAAGATTGGAGGAGGATCAGCGGGATCGCGGTTACGATACTGAGTCATAAATAGATCCTCCTCGATGATAGGATATCCTGGGTTTACGTGCGTAAAATATGCATGAACCAGTTCATCCGCAAGAGCTGGCTCTGGTAGTGTGAGAGCATCCATCAGGAGCTGGTCATGGCCAGTTCTCAACTGTCGTCGCGGTATCTCATTGCCCGCGAAATGATACACATCGTCATCCTTATCTCGTTGTTGGCGGATCAGAAATGACATATTCGACAGTTCGTGGCCAACGTATATTGCCCTCACACCTCTTTGTATTTCTCGACTGCCCGACTCCTCTTCATCAATCAGCTTCACGAGTCGTTTTTCTAAATCCGCGTTGGTATCCGGTTCTATGGATCGGTCGGGACCCGGCTGGCGATTGAACGCTGGGGTTTCTGTAATTAACTGGGTGCCATGGGTGTTCGGAATGTGAGTACCATTCGTGTAGCTCGAGTGTGGGGATTGAATTATTTGAGCACCAGCTGCGACAGGGCTCGTCACTTCGGGCTGGACGCCCCGAAAGGCAGTTGTGAAAGCAGTAGGCTGGATCGGCGTGGTGGGCAACGGCTTGGGAGTAGAATCGGCGTCGGGGGTAGGGCGACAGAGAATGGGAACTGGATCGAGGATCGAGCGGACCGCTAGACGCTTTTTCTTCTCATGGATGCGGCAATCGGACTTTCCCGCGGAGCGACAATTCGAGCACGGTAAACCGACGACGCGAGCATCACATCGGACTTTCCGGCGATGGCAATGGATACAGGCTGCGGAGCCTAGATTGCAGCATGAATCAGCGGAGATTGCTGAAGGATGAAGACGGGTAGGGACCGCGTACCTGACTTGCGTTTAGTCACACCATTGCCGGTGGAAGCTTGGCTAGTATGCGCGGTGGAGGACATAGCAAAAGCATGGACGCGAATTCAGGGTCCGAGGACTAGAAGCTTCATTATTCATAAACGGAGCAACCCTAGCATTAAAAGGGATTGTCTAGGGATTCAAGACATGACGAAGAAAGAAGCAATTGTAAAACGTAAGAAAGTGGGAAAGAAAGAGGAGAAACACGATTAGAGTCGGAGAAGAGACAAGGTGGGGTACCTTTTCCCTAGAAAACAAGTCGAAGTCCGGGGCAGGTCACGTGTGGCTGATGCGGAGAAGTTCCAATTGGGAAAATATCACGAGGATCCTTGCAGTACAGGTGTGTAGTACTGACTAATATATAGTAGTACTTTTGACTAAGGTAGTATCAGCAAGGTTTAGGGAAGGTAGAAGTAGTAATGCTGGTTTCCACTGTTTCTTCTTGTTTATGATTGATTTATGGATATCACTTTCTGGTGGAGACTCCAAGCCAAGATCAAAAGATAAAAAGATAAACAGATAATCTTTATCTATCCACCAATCACACACCCAATCCTAATTGACTTTTGTTATCACACAGATTGCTTACTAGTAGTACATTTTTCTAAGGGACTTACAATACATACTTGTACCAGTATATATATACCATACCCTCAGGCAAAAACTTCAGATACCCTTCATTGACGGTAGCTTGGAGTGCTTGGAGTCGTTCTATATGTTCTTACCGTTTATTTACCCTTCATTGTAAGTATAGTTGTAGCTTTCTACATCAAAAGCAGGTGTATCTAGTCGTACAATTAAAAATGTATCACAACAGCCCCCTCTAATCATATGTAAGACAACTTTACCTTTTATATAGTATCATGTGAGCTGTCATCTAGGTTGTAGTGGAGACTCTATTTGCTCCATCATCCTCAATAACCTAGATCTGTCCAGTACAGTGCATCCAGAAGGCAGATCGGGAAGATGTATCGCGATGATTAACCGAACACAAATCTTTTCCAATTGTCCGCAAGCTGTTGGACCCCTTGGTGCAAATCCCATCCACGCAACTCACAAATTTGCCGAGCGACTTCCTCCAACAAATCATCCATCTGTTTCCCAGCGGTGTGTAAGTCGCTTTCGATGAGAATTCGGTCATCTGGTAGGGTTTTGATGACTTCAACGACCTTTTGGGGCGTCGGTCCGTGGAAATTGATCACGGCCGAAAAGGAGAAATAGACATCTGAAGGGTTCGACGGATTCAAGAATTGCTTCAAGGGGTCCACGGGGCCTGAATATGAATGCATACATATCCTGGGTGGGAAAGGAAGCGGCGGTGCCTCGGCCACAGCCGGTTTTTGTTGTTGCTCTTTTTCTTCTTCCGCATCGCTCTCCGCGTGAGCATTTGCAGCACTGTAACGTCGCGCCCTCTCTCGTCGTGACGGCTTCTTACGCTCATAACCAGACCACAGCTTCCTAAAAAGATCAAATACTGCGCCATGGGCTTGAACGCTATGTACGGAGACGGGTCGCCGAAGCTCTCCTGCCAGGCGCAACTGTGCTTCTAACACTGCCTTTTGGTGTTCTAGCTGTACCTTATAGGGTGAGAGGGTCCGGCCTTCGCGTGACCCGGGAGTCATCTGCGAATCCCGATTTTCCTTGTCTTGTGGCGTCCAGGCCTGGGGGAGCCTGAAAGCACGGTCCAGGCCTATCTCTCCGACGAGAGCGGCGGGGTGAATTAGAAGCCGCTCACGGGTTTCTGAGATTAGCTGTGAAAGCGATTTGGGGTCTGGCAAAGTCGATATAAATTTGTCATCCGGCCGGGGAGTAAGGGCTTTGCTATAATGCGCTTGTTTCTTATCGGATGCTAATGTGACTTCTGTTTCCGTCTTGCCCGTATCGTCTAGGATTTGGTGGGAGAACCAAGGGTGCCAGCCAAAGCAAGGCAATACATGTCCGATGCTTTGTTCCGGAAGTGATGGTAACTGTTCGCCTGTGAGCGTCGCAGCTGTTTGATGCACCAGGTCTTGGTCCTCTCCTCGAGTCGCCATGACTGTGAGCGTTGTTGCCCTCATTCTAGGAATCTCGGCTATGGATGACATAGTGTCAGTGGGATGACAATGGGCGTCGAACACCCCAATATCCCATGGGAAATCATCTTCGCTCTTCGTCTGCACCATATTTATGTGGATTGCGTTGATCTGGGAATGTTTGAAGCAAATAGGGATTGGATTTGTCACTGATGTAATTGGTTTTCCGTGCCAGATTGCTGCCTGGGGCAGCGGAATCATCACATGCTGCTTCTCCGCATATTGTTCACCAAAACGAGCCGATGCAACAAGAAAGTACCAAGAAGGATTTCCTTTCTTTTTCTTCTTTTTTTTACTTCTTCTATGATTCAATTAGCAAACATGCCTTCCTCTTAACGGCTTATGCCTCGAATATTGAGATTCTATATTACGGCCCACTCACTCTTAACTATCCATCCATATCTATCTATACATCTTTCTACTAGTCTACCAATATCCCATCTACAAATCTTCATGTCGACTACCACATTCTTTACTTTACCCTTTCTCGCCCTCGTCTCTATACCTCTCGTCATATCGGCTTATATAACGATCTGCTTCTCTGTACTAGCCCTATTCTTACGGCTTTCTGTCATCTACATCGAACTATGTTATGCGATTATTGCGAATTACTTCGTCATCCCAACGTCCAACACCTCGTCCCTCTTAAACTTCGCTCCGTCTGAGCCGACAACACCACTAGCCTCTACGACCCCAAAGCGCCGATCTTTAGACCATGGTAGGACCGTTTATTTCTCAGGTTCTAGTTTCCATCAGTCCACCCCAGCTTCCCGTAGCCAGAGCCGTCCAGGTTGCGGCCAACGGCGCAACAGTTCATATTCCGAAGAACAACAGAACAATATAGACAGCGCATTTTATGACCGTGACGGCCGACACTTTCGGAGAGGGGGACACCAGAGGGAAGCTTCCTATCCGTCGCTACGGGGCTTTCTCGGCCTGATCAGTGGTGACGAGAGAAGGGACTTCGAGGGCGTAGGTGGATGGCGCTGTTGGGCGTCATCATCGAAGTTTTATGGACATCATTCAAGATCAGTGTCTTCATCCTCAAGCAATAGCGTAAATGAGGAGGCAGACGAGAGGGCTTGGCTGTCTATCAATAATCGGTTGGAATTACCATCGCAACCTCTCTGCATACGGAACAACGAGCTCGTGGAGCCTTCACTACCTTGGAGACATAGGCAGACATTTACTAGCCCTGATGGTAGCCATAGTCTTCACCATCGACGTTCGGCTACCACATCTATGCTATCAAGTTTCAATATCCGCACTCCGAACTCATTATCGCTATCTTCTTCTATTCGTCCGGATAACCATGCGATGGAAACGCGGTCCAGAGCAGCATCACCGCTCTCACAATCCCGACAGCCGGCCGGAGACGCCCCTTCTGCTATACTGAGCTCCTCGAACTCCAACAACTACGTCTTTAGCCCACCAGAAGGCCCTGGCGGTTACTTTACTTTAAGAACCAGCAGTGGCCCGAGCAGCAGAACCACAACGCCGGGTAGCACGACGCCGAATGAAGAGAATAAGTCTTCGGAAGCCATAGGTAGAACTATGGCCCACTATGCTGCTGGTGTGAGATACCGGAGGAGAAGTATATCAGGTCCAAATTCCAGCGCTCGAATAGTGAGGCCGCCTTAGGGTTGGAGGAAGCGGCTCACCGAGACAATGGTGAAGAAGAAGTACGTATGTATAGTTGAGATTTGAGACAGTTCTATCCGAATGAATACTAGTTCTTCTATTTTTATACCCCCTTTCTTTCTTTGTTTCTCGTCCTTCGTAAAATAGCAGCAGAGAACCAAGTCATCCAGATAAGGTGGTTATGTACATACATACATACATACATACAGTATGTACTGTACCAGATAGAGTGGGGTTATGATACCATACGGTACGGGATCCGCCTGAGGTTCCTTTTCGGTACAGTTGAGCGTCATCATCCTTGTTGGGAAATTCCTACTGCCACCCAATCGTTCTTTTTCAATTATCCTGTCCTTTTGCTTGCTGTGTTTTGAAGTATACGACTACGATTACCTCGAACGCTCTCCTCGCCACTTCTCCCTAACTATCTTGACTACGCGCTGATCCCCAATTCTTGCACATTCCTTTGTCCTCAATTTTGTGGTCGTCCCCCGTTGCCTACCTCGGGGTTAGCTCGATTGGATCGGAATTAAGACGGTCTTTGGCGGTAATTGCCTCCCGGCCTCTGCAGCCCTCGATTACTATTTATATAAATATCGCGGCTGTCCTTACTTTTCTTCTGGCCTTTCTCTACGGGTGACAGAGAACCTTACTCTGTCGCTCTCTGCGCTGTACGACAAAGTGTCTACCGCGCGACTTCATTCGCTTACCTTGCAGGTCTCGCGACCCTGGGTCTCATTCGAACCTCTACGTCTCTTAGCGTCCTCCAGCTCCCCTTTCCTTGGTCGTTACGCCTCATCCATGGCCTCGGAACCTTTGGAATCATCCAAGGACGATCTACGTCATCGCAGAGAGCCAAGTCCGTATGCCCCCAGGCAGGACAGCACCCCTCATGCAGCTCAAGGTGCCAGCGCAACACCTGCGCCCTTAGCATGGTTTCCACTAGGCTACAGGGAGGGCTTCAGTCAATGGGTATGTTGTCAAACCCGGGAATAAGCTCAAGTGTCAGTCACTGAGATGGATTTTCCAGTGGTCATGCTTGCCAGCCGCCGCCGCCGAACATAAGGTGCTCTCATACTTGCCCTATCTTCAGCATGAACCCCCGACGCATTTACAAACTGGTAAAACCAGCAATCCCCCAAGTGGCGAACTGGGGAGTTTACAATCAGCCGACCACAGCCAGGAGGGCGAGGTGTCGGCTAATTCACTCAATGATCCGTATGGTCCTCGAAGGTGGCGCTCTAGCATGGTAGAGCTAAGCGGCAAGAATCGAGCGCTCAATGAATTTTCAGTGGAGCGAATCGGGGAGGAAGCAAACCAGCATTTGGTTATGGTTCATGGTTACGGCGCTGGGTTGGGCTTTTTCTACAAGAATTTCGAGCCTCTGAGCCGACTGAAAGGATGGCAACTTCACGCGCTGGACTTACTGGGTATGGGCCGTAGTACTCGCCCGCCATTCCGCATCAAAGCAAAAGACCGCGAAGATGCCATCAGAGAGGCCGAAGATTGGTTTGTGGATGCCCTGGAAGAATGGCGCGTCAAACGCAAAATCGATCGCTTTACGCTACTCGGCCACAGCTTGGGAGGTTACATGGCGGTTGCCTATGCTCTTAAATACCCCGGCCGCCTGAACAAGCTGATCTTGGCTTCTCCGGTTGGAATTCCAGAAGACCCGTATGCTGTGGCAGCAGAGATGCCGTCCGAGTCTACTATGACCAATGAATTCTCCCAGGACCAGCGCAACATCGCCGAGTCAGCCTCCTCAGTGCCACCCGCGACAGTGCAGAAAGGCGACAACAATATCCTCCTCAAAGGTCCATCGACAGGTGCTACTACTCCTGATCGGCCACCCCGTCGGGTGATCCCCAAATGGTTTGCCTATCTGTGGGAGGCCAACATATCTCCTTTCAGCTTGATTCGATGGGCGGGTCCCTTAGGCCCGCGACTTGTATCCGGCTGGACATCTCGGCGCTTTTCGCATTTGCCTGCGGACGAGGCCAAGGCCCTCCATGACTACTCATACTCGATCTTCAGTCTACGGGGTAGCGGAGAATATGCCCTTGCATACATTCTTGCCCCTGGTGCATTTGCACGCAGTCCTCTCATCCGGCGCATTCAGGGAGTGGGACGACAGGTGCTTCAATCGCCCCAACCGTCTATTCAGGAGTCTGCAGCCGCCGTGGACTCATCTAGCCAGAGGCTGCCCCAGCCCGGCACCACCGTCGAATCAAGCTCCTCTTCACCAACGTCCGTCAAGCGCGAGAGCGGTCTCCCCATTCTCTTCATGTACGGTGATCATGATTGGATGGATGTAAAGGGTGGGATAGCTGCCAAGGCTAAGCTCGACGAAGAGAAGCGCCGTGTGCTTCAGAATGCCACAATAGAAGAGCGAGAGGCGGACAATGGGTCGGCCAAGGTTGTGGTCATCAAGAATTCGGGACACCATGTTTATTTAGATGGGTGGGAAGAATTCAACCGCCTGGTCTTGTCCGAGATGGAAGAGGTGGATCGGAAGGCTGGCAAATAAAAAGGGTGTTCATGGACATGCTGGTTTATATGATTTGATTGTTGATAAAGAGCGATTTTCCTATTATTACTATTACTATTGTTTTTTTGGTCGGTGTCACATGTGGATACGCAATAATGTATTAAAGAAATAAAGTACAGTACAATACAATACACTGCAATGGTTGGATTGAAAGACAACCACCGTAGGCCATGTGACAGGCTCCTTGTCCCGAGTACAATACCTGGAAACCTGACCATACGGTAACTTATCAACATTTCATCGTCACTGACCAGCTGTAAGCTTCCAACCGATTCAACTGCTACTTTTTCTTTCTCTTTCTTGGATCAACCTCCTACCCTTCAAGTTCTTTCATACCTCCTCTCCTTCCATGCTATGAAGTAGCGCCTGGCCGTGAAGGCCGGACTTTTTCTATCCTCCCCTGTACTTTTTCTCCTTCTCTTTTCCATTGACTCTTAAGAAGTATTTCTTATCTACATTTGGTTTCTCGCCCTTTCGCTTCCCCGTCGCGGACATGGCTCCCGCAAGCCTGGATCACCTGGTCAAAGGGTCGCCAGCTCCTGCAAACAATCTCTCTTCGGTATCGACCCCATCTGACACATTGGATTCTGCTCCACGATCGTATCCTCAGAATTCCTCGGATCCATCTTCCCCGCCACGCCCGTCAACACCGGACCCGCTGTCCACGTTGCCATCCTCTCCACCTCAAATCTACTTGAATCTCCTCATCCTAGAAAGCTCCCTTCGGGCTCAATATCTGGCGCTGCGAGAACGCCGACGACAGAATACATTCTTCCTACTCTTGCTCGCCGCCTGGATCGCCTACTTTGCCTACGCGCTGTTCCTCCGTCCCCGCGAGGATGGCCGCGGGGTAGGAGGTTCTGTTTACTGGGTGGTAGAAATGTGGGAGAAGGTTGCGCTGCTTGGGGGAGTAATCACAGCACTGTTAGTCTGGGGCACGGGGCAATGGGAGCGTGGAGTGCGTTGGCCGCGGCGCTGGCTCGCCGTCGCCAACCGTGGCCTTCGCACAATGAATACCAAGATTGTTGTGATCCGCGGTCCCTGGTGGCAGGAGCTGTTATCCTATCTTTCCTTCCTCTTTCCCTTTTCCATTCCTTTCTTCCCTTCGCCGGTTGGGGACTTCCACTACATTGAACGACCTGCGTCGGAGAAACGCGCTGGTGGTCGGCAGCACCACCAACCGTACTACAACCTGGATACTGAATCGGGTATGGTGGAAGAAGACCTCAGTCCGGGAGGCGATTATATCCGACTCCTTCTCCTCCCTAAATCGTTCTCGCCAGAATTTCGAGGGAATTGGGACGAATATCGCACCGAGTTCTGGGACAAGGAGAATGAGCGGCGTGCTCAGCTCCGCCAAAGGCTGCGCCAGAAGGAGCGCCAACTAGCCCAACAGAACGGAGGCTGGTTTTGGTGGATTGGTATTGGATGGAAGGCATCGCAGCGCCGTCGGCTGGCTGCAGCGACGCTCACCAAGTCTGCCGACGACAAGGGCCACCATCGCCCTCACCATCACCACCACTCCAGTATCTCTCGTCTCAGCCATGAGCCTAAATCGCCCGCTCGCCGCAGCACGCGCTCGGACTCTCATTCTCGGACTCCGTCCCGAAGCACCACCCCCGTGGGTACCGATAACCGGCCCCCGTCAAGGTCGTCTGCAAGTGGTCGGCCCCGTCGGGGAAGCCTAACTCCTAACTCCACAGCATCAGGCTCCGAGCAAGGGCAGCAGCACCGCAGGAAGAAGTCGAAGACATTATCTCGGGGGATGTCACCCCTGACCCAGGCCCAAGTCAGGGAGGGTGTGCGCACGTCGTCATTCTCTTCCGATGACTCCGGGATATTGGGCGAGCCGGACAAAGTTAGAGATGAACCTCTAGAACATTGAGGACCTAGCATATCAGTTTTTAATCCAAGCTTTGAATCTATACCCCAGTTTGTAATGTTGGATGCATCATTGCATTGTTTGTCCATTTTCAAATGCGACCATGTTCCATATCTTATATTCTTCTACACTCTTCTCATGCTACATCTTTTATTTCGGTATATTACTTTCTGTCCATACCATGTTTTGATAATAAAGCGAGGGCCAAGGAAAATAAGTTGGTATAGTGTAAACAGGTATACATACAATGACGAAGACATTTCCCCCGATCGTCTTACAAAGTTTCAAACTCACAAGGAACAAAGGATAAGACATGCTTATTTCTTATTTATGCAAGGAACCAAACTTTGTTGCGCAACATGTCAGGGGACGAGAAAACCCTTAACAACTGCACTGATAGGCTGAGACAAAACCCCCGAAACGCCAAACGACCCGATGGGAGTGAAAGTGACATTACAAGTTAACAAGACGTGTCTGACATAAATTCGCTTTCCTGCTCGCAATCATCATACATCTGTAACCTCAATAGGCACTCTATACCATTAAATTCTGTAAACAGTCTCGTCATCCTCAAGGAACCTGTTAGAAAACCAAGTTAGTCATCTCATGTTTTGAGACCATGTGTTTTGGTGAGGGGTGCTTACATCAATTCGTTTCTCTCATTCATGGCCCTCAGGGCCTGGATTGCTTCTGCGCGTTGGAATACTTGACCTTCTCCGAGGGATCGGTTACTGCGCACTGCCGTGTTCACAGCTCCGATGAGCTCCTCTACGTCGGCCGTGTCACCGCTGGTGAACAGCCGTGTACCCATTAGCGGGCCCAGAGCCTGGCGGAAGACCGTCAGGCGGGCGGGCTGTAACGGTTCCGATGTGCTGGCGGAGGCCGCCTGGGATTGGGAAGTGTCTGGCTGGGACTCGAGGAGTTGTGAGGCCGGTTGGGATGATGCCACAGACATCTGAGACTGGCTTTGCGTTTGGGTACGGTTAGTCTGGCTCGACCGCAACCGTTGGCCACGAGGGCTGGCGCTGTATAGACCGTCACCATCTTCTGAGACGTCATCTCCATCGGCGTCCATTTCGTCAATGGTGGAACGGTTGGCAGCCGCACGCGTGCGGAGTGTTCCATTTCTCCGGCTTGACCGTGGTGTGGCACTGGCGGTTTGCGCAGGAGTGTCATCTTCATCAGAACCCTCTTCTGACTCGCTCTCGCTATCCTCATCGAACGAAGTAACCTTTCTCCTCTTGCGGCGCTCGTCTTCGAGAACTTCCTTGAACATAGCGAAACGCAGAAGAGACTCTGCAACCTTTGCATCCTTTTCTTCAACTCTGTTGGACAGACGCGACTTGGCGTGTGCAGTTGACAGACGAATCAATGTCTCCAGGGTACGAGCGGTGATAGGCGATGTTCTGCGCTGGTTGCCAGACAATTCATCGTTTCTCAGTGCTGAGTAGGTGGAAACAATGTGGTCGGCAGCTCCTTTGGTCAACACTGGCTTGATTCTAGACTTAGCGTATTGAACGTATTTCTTGATGAAGGGAATGCTAAGAATCTCGACGTCCTTCTTCTTGTTCCGGCCTGTGTTAACCATACCGGCATGAAGCATGGCATTGAACTTCTCATACACATCGGTCGGTTGATTCGAGTCCCGAGTATCCTCGAGTCCAACACCCAAGGTCTGGTTGAGCTGTTCCCTAACCGGAGCGCCCTCTTCGGTGCCGGGCTGTCGATACCGGTGCATGCGAAGGACGTGTTCGGACACCATCCTGTCCTTGGCATCCTCAATGTCATCCGTCACCACGAAGAGCAAATCGAAACGGGACAAGAGAGAATCCGGCAAGGCAATGTTTTTGTGGGGGTCTTTATGTGGATCATATTGTCCATATATGGGATTTGCGGCAGCCAACACGCTGCAACGGGCGTTCAAACTCGTGTGAATACCGGCCTTAGCGATGGTAACTGTTTGCTGTTCCATAACTTCGTGAATAGCCACACGGTCAACATCACTCATCTTATCAAATTCATCAATACAAACCACACCGCGATCTCCCAGAACCATTGCACCAGCTTCCAGCCTGCGCTCTCCGGTTTCTTTATCAGACGTGACAGCAGCCGTGAGACCAACACCGGATGAACCTCGTCCAGTTGTTGCGATTGCTAACGGGGCAGTGTTCAGGACGAAACGGAGAAGTTGGGATTTAGCGGTGGAAGGATCACCAACCATCATGATGTTAATATCACCACGCAAATGTGTTCCGTTATCGAGGTTTTTCTCCATGCCACCGAGAAGCATGAGCAAGATCGCCTTCTTAATATAATCATGGCCGTAAATACTCGGGGCGAGAGAATGAGACATTAACTCGAAAATATTCTTTTTCTTGGCAACTTTGTTGATGTTGCGAATGTCAGTGTCGGTAATGGTGGCTTGCGCGATTCCCCCGCCAGACTTCGACGATAACTGAATGATGTTGTTTGCCAAAACAAGTGTGCGGAATGTCGACGAGCCCGCGTTTGCGTTTCTATTTCCCAGAGACCGGTATATTCCTACCAACTGGATTCTGTCGCCAGGCTTGGCCCGGTCCACAAGGTCGTCGTCTAAGATAACGTCGACACTTCGAGGAAGTTGACCGGCCGGTGCTCTTTCAGGCATTTCTTGAATGGAGATGGTTTGATGATCCATATATGTCGAATAGCCGTATTCGGTAGTGAGCTGCACGAAGAAACCACCATTAGCCAGGTTCAGGATCATTTAAAAGTTTTGAACATACAGGATTCTTTTCATCATCTTCCTGAGGATAGACGTTTAAGCTCGTTGCGCCGCTAGCCGTCATTGTTTGATCCCTATATTTCCTCGAGAGGAACCGGTCTTTTCTTTCACTATAATGCACACTTTGTATGATCTTTGGTCGCACCAAAGAGCATTTTGTCACAATGCCCTCAAGGGATATCATTCGGTTCAGGTGCGACGATCCCAAGGTACGTGGGTTACAAGAGAACTCTCCAAAAGCTCCCACATAGGCGCAATAGTAGTTCTAGAGGTTGTTAAGAGCCATCCATGTATGCGTGCACATCATCAGAACATACCACTTCGTCCGCTTTTTCAGTGGCAGTCCGACTCGGTAATACTTTGATAACCTCTTTCAAAGCGGTGTCGAAGGCTTGGGAATAGTCGAATGGGGATGTAAGAAGACTTCATTCAATTAGTACATAACACGTTTTGTTCGAGATGGTTGTTGCATACCCATCGGCCAATTCACGGTTGTGTGCTCTAATCTCATCGATGCTGACCTAGGTGAGAAGAGAATTTTAGCTCCTTGTCTCCCGAGCACCATGATGGAGCAGGCAAGAAAAGACGTACTATTAGCCGCCGAAGCCCCCGATTTAGCATCAACACAATATCAGCACGGTAGCTATTTTGCAGGTCAGAAACCACGTTCAGAAGCGATGTTTTTTGACCAGTAACGATATATTCAATATGACGGACCTTCTTGCTCTAGCATCGGCTAAAAGGAAGAGAAGAACCGATCAGTTTTCAGGCACCAACACCAGTCTATACTGCCCATGGCAACTTACTGGGATCAAGAAACTCAACAGCGGCTCGCACTCGATCTTGAGCGGCCTCATCCCGGAGCTGCACCCCGTCCATAGTGGCTATGTGTGTCGCAAACAATTATATAAAGGAGGTAAATTCGGCAGGGACTCAATCGATTTAGTTAGGTTGCAGAGCAAGGAATGAAAGAATGGTGATCCTAACTTGTAGAGGGCCACGCTAACACTGAGGGGTGGAACAGAGATGTCTTTGCGCCCTTGAGCCCGAACGGGAGGATCTTTGAGCTGTGGATACACGCCGTCCCGATCGGGCATGATTGGAACGCGTGGTTTCTCGCGTTCGACGCGGTATGGATGACTAAGCGTTGCGATGGGTTACCTGCCCTAAGTTGAAGTAGTTTGTTCTGAGTTGAATCATATCCAGTAAATATTCATACACTCTAAATATCTCTTATACATACGTAGTACTATACACTTGGCGCTTTGATATATACAATGCAAGACAAATCTCTTACTCCGTAACTAATTACCCTCTTTCGACTGTTCGAAAGTCGTTCGCTCTTCGTCTTGAAAGTCCCCGGAGAATTTATCAGGCTCAGTATCTGTAGTCTCCTCGTCTATGGGGAGTATATCCTCCGTCAAAGTAGAAACATCACCTGCATGGTTACTGCCAATGCTCTCGCGATGTTCGTTGTCCGACAATTCATCATTGGCTTGCTGTGAATGGCGTCTGCTCTCTAAGAGCGATTCGACCTCAATGTCATACTCATCCGGATAGTCGATGGTTTTTTCTGGAGGCGCGAAGAAACCCTCGGAAGGTCGCACTCCATCAGATTCAGGTTCATCAGTCACACCTTCCAAAACCTCTTTTAATTGGACGTCCGGCTGCGATGGTTGTTCAGCTACTTCGTTATTGTTGGTTGGCTCGCCTGTCGTTTCATCGATCTCTAAGACAGGCCTGCGTTGGCCGCCAACTCCAAGTATGCCGCCAGTCCAAACAAAATGCTCGCGACCATCCAAATCGTCCCTGCTGTCCCCTTGTTCCTGGCGACGCCGAAGCAGAACACCCTGGAACTTCTCGCGCAGATAAGGCATGTCGGCGATTGCCTCAATAGTCCTAGGGGCCGCTTGATGAAGAGAACTGAGCTCAGCTCCTCCATCAAAAATACTTCTTTCTCGAAAACCGAGTAAGGCTGAGGCCAGGTATACCATGGAAACGTATGTAGGCTGCATGAACTCCGGCTGAATCTTGCTCCAATACTTGCGGCCTTCTTTACCGAGCAGGTTGGGATGTTTTCCGCGTGTCTTGTTTTCGATAATGTCAATGCTTGAAGGCACACCAGCAGGTTTCAGGCCATATCCTCGGCGAAGGTGTTTCCATCCAGGGAAGTTGGGCATGAACCTTTGCTCAAAGACAGTGAAGGCCTCGACCTGGTCGGAACTCTTCTCCGAAGACGCAAGCATCTGGACGAAAGTGGACCAATTATAGGTGGTCAACGTAAAGCCTGCCTCCTCGACGTCCCTCACAGTTTGAGGTATCCTGGAGGTTTCGTTCCGATAGGCGAGGGAACGCATGTACAAAGACAGTGGTCGGGACAGCAGGTACTGATATGCCGACAAGATTAATGACTTCTTCGAGGAGTCGGGAAGGGAATCTTCTGTATCCAGCAAAATATCCTTGTGATTGCTGGCTGAATTAGGCAAAGATGGCCGAGGCGGCTCAAGGATGTCCGTGGAAGGTAGCTGGCTAGAGAGCCATTCATCAACTGTAGGACGGCGGGCCAGCTTTTTCGCACGAGAAAATGCCATCTTCCAGCATTCTTCCACCTTTTTGTGTTGATCTGCCTTCAGGTAGGCGAGCATCAATGCGGAAAGTAAACGAAGAGGTGCCATGTCGTAAACGTTCTCAGACGAAGTTGACGCTTCTCGGCTCTTGATAAACTGATCAAATAGCTCTCGTGCCTTCGCAAAAGCCCCCCTCGTGCCATATGCCGTGATGATGTATTCATAGTACATAGCGGGGAAAGCATCGTTCATGGTTTGTTTCCCTACACCAGGCATTGGTAGTTTCGTAGCCAGCTTGGTGGTGTCAAACTCCGCGATAGTCTCGGCAAGGAATTTTTCAGCATTATCGAGCCGAACAGCCGCGCTATCCACCTGCCCATTCCCGCTTTTGACTGACTGCAAATCGCGTTGGAGCTGGCTCTTCAAGACAAGCAGGCTTGAGCTGAAACCAGGTCGGTTGAAACGTTCTTTGATCTCACGAAAGATGATGTGAACCATATCCCGGTTCCGATCTTTTACATAACCATATAATATAATGGCATAATGGAACTCGGTAGCATACATCCGGTGACTTCTGTGGAGTGTCCTCAGGATGCGACGCGCGGAATCCGTTTGCCCAATGAGCACCAAACTGAGCATAAGGGCAGCATATGTCATGCCATCAGGCTGTAGGCCAGCAGCTTCCATACGTGAACGGACGCGGGTGATTGAATCCAGGTCCATTCGGAAGGCATAGTTCCAAAGAAGCACGTTCCACATTCTCACGCGGGAACCTTTCACTTCCAACCCAAGACATGTCTCTGCCACACTCTCAGCCACGTCTAATTTCTGATTGTTACAGTACGCCTCCACGATGGTGTCAAGGAATGGAGCCGTGATCTGCACCTTGCGCTGCTTTGCCAAAGCGAGAAGCTGGCGGACAGTGTCAATATCACCCCTGTTAGCGCAAAGTCCCATGAGTGTGCCGAAAGAGTGGGAGTCTGGTTCCACCCCGTCTTGGACCATCTTTTTGAATGTGGTAAAGCTTCCAGACAGATCACCAGCATTGGTATATGCTGTCAGAAGGATATTCCAGCATACCACATTCGGTTCCAACCCAAACTCTCCTGATATCCTTTCGAACTGGCGGAGAGTCTCTTGTACATTACCATATCTCGCATGTACATATAGAAGTGGAGTCAGAAGCCTCCGACTTAATGGCTTCCCATGATCCGAAAGAAAATTTTCAAACACGTCATTCACGTTCACGATGTCACCAGCTCTCGAGAAAGCAATAAGTGCATGTTTATAAGCATCAATTGAGGGCTTGCCGTGAAACAGACTAAGCTCACCTAAGAGATACCGAATACCTGTGGTAATCTCGAATGTACATAAGCGTTGAATGAGTTGACTTAGAAGCTTCGCGGGCGGCACTTCACCATCCATCTGCCAGCGAAAATTACGATATACCACAATAGACCGAACAAAGACGGATCGGATCTCAGACGATTGAAGAGTTTTCATAAGCCTGAAGTAATGCCGAGGGGTAACAATAGATAAAGCGTTATAGTCCTTCAAAAGAAGAAGAAGAGCTTCTGTCGCTGTATTTTCAATAATTTCCAGCGTGGAGAAGGCGTGGTCAAGTAGAAAGCGGGCGAGATCGCGCGCCGAATCATTGGCCACTTGATCTTGTAACAATGATGCTAGAGCAATCAAAGCATTTGGCAAAGCGGCAAGTGTCAAAGACGATGCAACATGACCCCATAAATCGCGCTCATCAGATGTCGGTTTGGATGCCCAAGCGTGTTGCGCAGAGTCCCACTGCATGGTATTCACAAAGTGCGCCAAACTGTAAGCCCAGCACGGAATTCCCAGGCTCTTATCCAGCGCTTCTCGACATACCCGGTTCGTCTCCAGTGGCCTTTCGGCCGCCAAGTATGATTTCGCCATATGCAAGTAATCCTCCGCAGACCGAGAGTCAGAGGGGATACCTTCAAACAATCGCTTAGCCCGTCTGTGATCGACATCTTGCTCTGAGTGGCTTAGGATCGCTAAGAGGGCTGGATTTGCATCAAGAGGATGACCTGCCGTTACATAAAGCGACCATGCTTTGTCGTACTCCTCGAGCTTGCAATCTGCTAACAAGAACGAAAGGTTATGCATTGCCTGCATCCGTTCATCATCTCTTTCTCTGGGATCAGAGAAATCAGAACCTGATCTATCTGCCCCAGCAGGCTGATAGAGACTGGCGGCCCCCGTTGTGTATGTTCTAGCAAGACCTGCAATGATCCTCTTCCTCCGGCGCGCGGCGAATCTTCTCGGAGATCGTATCAGACATGAGGCTGCGAATTCCTGGGTGCGCGGAGGGTACAAGAAGTCCAGAAAGGGAGTCCGTGCTTCGTGTGTAACTCTGCCTGCCCTTGCAGTTCCACTTAGAGGATTCGAAACTCGCCGGGCCGACGTTGACGAGATAGGAAGCCAATAAAGGGAGTCTGAATTTGTGCCGCTTGCTTGCCCAAAGTTCGGATACAGCGGCCTTGGACTTCGAATCGCGCCATTAGAGTCCCGGAAGAAACGCCGTCCTGCGCTCTCAAGGCATCCGGCAGCCCGTTCCAGCATTACCTCCGAAGATTGCGGCGTCAAACCCTGAAATCACCGAAATCCAACAAGAATGTGTAGCATATCGGTTCCCAATTCGTTTCTGGTCCAAAACAGAAGTCAGGCCGTTGTTCTTCCAAGGTTCGTTGGGTGTCAAAAGAGGAGAGGCGAACCGAGCAGTGTGACCTTGTCCACGAACGTCACAAAATACCGCCAAACAGTCGCTCCGAATATACAGCGTAAAGTTTGGGGCGGTATTGATCACTCAATTAAGATAACTAGCAGCAAAGGGCCGCGTTAGCAGTGTAAAGGTCGTGGTGTTGACACGGAATGAAATTTTGAGGAGGTAACAGAGAGCTTCGGCCGATGCTGGAAAAGCGAAATCAGCCGGTCATTCGTTTGGCCGAGATCTGACCACGCCAGCAACCCGCACTCTCTAATGTGACGCCCTACCCACTCTAGTCCATATCAACCAGCTGCTACCACAATGGACATTACAGATTACATTTTTAGCCAGAGGGAGGAAGTCCTTCTGACTGGCGACTACAATGCCTACCGTATCCATACCACCCGTAAATTGCACAAGCTCCGCAAGAAGGTCGGACAGACCACGCCCAAAGGCCGGAAATATACTGCCAAACCCCCTGTCAGCGCAGAGAATGTCAATGACAATATAGCGTACGTCCTTTCGTGTTGCATCTATTATGGCGCTCTCCTCCCCCTCACTGCTTGTGCTGACTCGCGCTTCTCATCAGATATGTTCACATCCTGCTCATGAGCTCGGAACGAGCATGGGCACAAGCGATGCAAATGAAGTCCGCGCACTCTGCAGATCCGTCAGCGAAGGGAATCACAGGTGCTGCCCGGCGTCACATCATCTCGCGACTAAATAAATCGGTCGTCTATGCAAACGAATTGGTTCTCTTGTTGCAAGACCAAGCTTCTAGCGCCACTAATACTGATCTTCTTGAGGCGCGTGCATACCATGCGTCGCTTTCCGGAGCCTTGTCATTAGAGAAGCGGAAATGGGAGGAGTGCATGCAGAACTTCTCCGTGTCCAGAATCATATATGCAGCACTGGGTCACAACAACAAGAAAGATGCTTTTCGGGATCTCCTCACCGGTACCATCGACCCGAGCTTGAGGTACGCAGCATATCAGATGAAGCTTCCACGATCGAAGCCTCTCCCCTCCCTGGCGATCAGTTTTTTTCCATCCGACACAAATCTCAGATCGGAGGTTGAAAAGGTAGATCCTAGCTGTCTCAAAGAGGACGCGGCGGGGACAAGAAGAACTGCCGACGGTGACGTGCAGCAGCTTCCTGAGTCTATTACCTGGCGGTCACGGACTGTCGCTTTGGAAGACGCCGCCATCTCTCAGGCTCTCGCAGCAGCCGCCGCGGCGGAATCTCGCCTCGCCTCGTGGCTTGTGGATGCCTCGGGCAAGGCTGCCTCATCGAAAGACAAGGCAGCTGCCTATGATAACGTCATCATTGCTAGCCAAGATGCAGTAGATGCTACAAAGACGGCCATCGATGACCTTGCCGGCGAAGGTGTGGATCCGGGAGATAAAAGGATGCAGAGCCTGCAGATCACCCGCACCGCCGTCAATTTTGCTTTGGTGGGATGGAGAGTCGGGCGTAACCGCGTCCTGTGTGGCGAGCATGACGGCGGTTACGATGAGACTGACGCAGCCAAGGGATCTAAGGGTGGCAGGGCTTCTGTCAAACGCGAGGAAACCAAGGGCAAGAAGTTAGCTCGGCTGCGTGAGAGGGTCGTGCTCTATGACTCTACATTGCAAAGCATTGAGTTCATCCTCGAGCTACCTGGTGTCGCGGCCGATTCTACATTTGTTCAGGAGCTTGGAGGTAAACGGTCCTACTTCCGAGCTTTAAGGTATGAAGTCCTAGTCCCCTTCAGAAGCGCGATCCTCTAACACGGGGTTTAGATGTCTCACCATTGGGCAGTCTCATGGTATTCTCGGTAACAATAAAAACGCTCTTGCGTTGTTCTCGCAAGCGTTGGCGCTCACTCTAGAATCCGCGGGCTCAGTCCAGTCCTCTGCCGATTCGGAAGAGCCCCCCAAGTTAGACATCACACGCAATCAAATCCAAACTCTTGAGTCAACCTTGCGCGCTCTGGTTTCACAATACCGCGGGCTCGTTACGCTAGAGGAGATATCAGAACAGAAGTCGAAATCTGCGAACGAGCGCCCGATGGTTGAGCGGCTGCACGAGTATCCCGGTGATGGTTTGGATTTGAAGAATCTCGTCCCATACCCACCTCAGATGCAGCCAGTCCCTGTGAAGCCATTGTTCCTTGATGTCGCATGGAACTACATTGACTACCCCCGTGAGAGCGCGGGTGCCCAGGTCACCAGTGAGACGCCGCCTGAGGCAGCCACGGAGGAAAAGAAGGGTGGCCGACGAGGCTGGTTTGGCTTTGGACGTTGAGATATGGGTCTAGCAGATACATCTAGATATGAGTTGGAATGATGGCCTATTTATTCAATGTACATAGAGCATGGACATCAGAGTCATGTCTCCATTGATGGACCAAGTTCATTGAACAGCCTCGGTCTTCCAGGATTTCTAAGTAAATATGAACAACTACGACACAACGCCATAATGCAATGGGCTGACTAGCCCAGTGCCCTTCATAGCATATGCAAACTACCCGTCCAAACACTGCCGATGGATGTCTCTGCTTGTAGTCCTTTCGCCGGCTATGTATACCGGTGTATGTCCCCGGAACTTCTCACTGCTTCTGTGCTTGAGAAACTTGCTGGTCTTGAGATCGCAGACAGCTCCTCTCTCTGACTTGCCCATGGACTAGTTGGATATGGCCTTTTTATCCAATGGTTTCGTCTCCACTATATGCACACCATAGGTTGTTTCTATTGCTCTAAGCCTCACGTGGCCATGTAAACTATAAGAATGTATTACACCGGCTCGCAGCTTCTTAATAGGGTGCCACTTGAGGAAGAGGGAAAGTGTTTGACATTTTTGAGAATATACAGCTCTATTAAATATGTCACCAGTGGTAGTACTGTATTTACCATCAGAGCTTAAGTTTAAGTCAATACAACAATAACTCATTTAATAACAAGTAACACAAGAGAAAAAAGGTCAGGGCTACTCTAAGATCTAGTGTACACCTAAGTAAGTTCAAGTAAATAAGTACATCGGCTTTATTAGTACCACGGCGGATTCTTGAACACATCCATAGCTGTTTCCACCGCTGGATACGAATACGCGGATCAGTCACCCATCAGCGCTAATACCACGGACCAAGGCCCCATTTATACTTAGGAAGAGCTTAGGAGCTTAGCTTCAGCAATGGACAACTTATGATTCAAGGTCCAGGACCCGAAAAGTGACTACTCGTGATACGTATCCAAATGGATACATTATTTCCCGTCCTGGAATGGAAGAGCACCAACAATCAGGCAATTGGATTGCTCTAGAGGTGGGTTGGATTGAAGTTGTTTGCCTTGGGATGCCTTGAGAGGACCAATCGGGACATGGCCAACCGAATCACGCAAGACAATATTGGTTGCACTCGTACTAAAAGATCAGAATTTACCCCATAATTGCCTAGAAATCTATCCGCTACTTGTATGGTGGTATTGTACTTTTTAGGTAGACAATTTATTCAATTCATGTGATTTGTTGATTTGACAGGTTCGCAACCGATGATGAACACATCGCAACTATTCAATGTGTAAACGTGACTATAGTACCCTAGTGGCTCATAGTTTTGGAAGGGCTGATAGTATTAGACCTTAATAGCCTCGACCTGAAGAAAATGAGAAACAAAGAGAGCAAAAACGCCACCTGATCTGATGCTGGGATTATTTGTACAGGGTAGATTTCATCATGGAAAACTACTGGTCAATGGGCTGTCAGGGTGGCTGTCAGGGGGGTTGGAGTTGCAGAACAGTAGTAGTAAGAACTTAGTATTGGTGCAGGGTATGTGCAGAAAAATTTCAGGGAATCTGATAGGTGACTGATGAAGCTATTGGGTGGAAGCGAATTGTCAATACCGCCAAACGGTAAGGGAACACTGGGCCAGCATTCCGTCCCTGACTAGCGAAGGTCATTCTTTTCCTCCGTTAATTTTGATAGAAACTCCCCTTGACTAAGTGGGGTTTCCTCCCTTTCCTCTTCTTCTTTTCTCCCACTGAGATTGCGTTGTGTCTCTTGGGTTCTCCGGTTTTTCCGTAGCGGTAATTTTTCTTTTCTCTTCCATTTTCATTTTTTCCAATCCGTTACCCGCCCCGCCGATCTATCACCATTATTATTATTATTATTATTATTATTCCCTTTTTTTTTTTTTTTTTTCCCTCTTTCTCTCTCGGGGGTTCTAACTATTCTCGCCAATTTCCGAAAAGTTGTGGTGTGCTCTTCTCCGGGTAACCACTACGCTTTCTCTTTTCCTTCTCCTTGACCTCACCATTGGAGAGAGAGAAAGAGAGAGAGTTCCTCGCACCATCACTCCAACATGGCCAACGTCAACGGGAGCTTTGTCTCCCCTTCAGCTGATGCTACTATCTCCCCTCGGCTCTTTGCCCCGTCCGGTTTGCTGGCCTCTGTCCTGTCCGATTTCAATATCTGGAAGGGTCTGTTGACCTTGTTTATCGCTGCGGTTATCTACGATCAGTGTAAGTCTATCTGGCCTTCGGAATACCACCACCACCACCACCACCACTAGTATCAATTTGCATTGCTTGTGAACAATGGTTAATGGAGTGGCATGAATTTAGTCCGGTACTTCTGGCAGAAAGGCTCCATTATCGGACCAAGATGGAAGTTGCCATTTATGGGTCCCTTCCTCCAATCGGTCAATCCCAAGTTCCATGAGTACAAGGCGAAATGGGACAGTGGAGAGCTCAGTTGTGTCTCGGTCTTCCACAAGTGAGTAGTCCTTCATCTCTTTCTGCGCGTGTTGCGACAATGGCTGATCGCAAATCTCGATAGATTCGTCGTCATTGCATCCACCCGTGACATGTCTAGAAAGATCTTCAACTCCCCTGCCTACGTGAAGCCCTGTGTCGTCGATGCGGCGCACAAGCTGCTGGGCGAGGACAATTGGGTATTCTTAGACGGCAAGGAGCATGTTGAGTTCCGCAAGGGCTTGAATGGCCTCTTCACCCGCCATGCCCTCTCTCACTACCTTCCCCGCCAGGAGGAAACCTTTAACCAGTATTTCAAGCGTTTCCTCGAGAAGTCCAAGGCCAATGACTACAAGCCCACCCCCTGGATGCCGGAGTTCCGTGAATTGATGACCGCGGTCTCCTGCCGTACCTTCGTGGGCCACTACATGACCGATGAGATTATCCAGAAGATCAACGATGACTACTACTTGATCACCGCTGCCTTGGAACTGGTTAACTTCCCTATCATCCTCCCTTACACCAAGACCTGGTACGGAAAGAAGGCCGCGGATATGGTGATGGAAGAGTTTGCCAAGTGTGCCGCTAAGAGCAAGGCTCGCATGGCTGCCGGTGGAGAAATCGCATGTATCATGGATGCCTGGATTAAGGCTCAGCAGGACTCGGCTAAGTACAAGGAGAACGTCGCCAAGGGCATCCCCGCGGAGAAGCCTCCCCAGCTACTCCGGGACTTTACCGACTATGAAATTGCTCAGACTATCTTCACCCTCTTGTTCGCGTCGCAGGATGCCACCAGTGCCGCCTGTACTTGGTTGTTTCAGCTCATGGCTGACCGTCCCGAAGTCTTGGATAAGGTCCGCGAGGAAAACGTGCGCCTGCGCAATGGCGACCTCAATGCGCCTTTGACCATGGAGCTGCTCGATCAGATGGAATATACTCGTGCTGTGGTGAAGGAGACTCTGCGGTATCGCCCTCCCGTCATTATGGTTCCTTACTTGGTCAAGAAGGACTTCCCCATTACCGAGAAGATCACTGTGTTGAAGGGCTCGATGATCATCCCGTCCGTATGGCCGGCCACCCACGACGAGGAGGCGTACCCTAACGCCGACTCCTTCGACCCGGATCGCTGGATCACTGGCACCGCTGAGCAGCACCCCAAGAACTGGTTGGTTTTCGGCACCGGACCTCATTACTGCCTCGGCCAAACCTATGCGCAACTGAACTTGATGGCAATGATCGGCAAGGCCAGTATGGAGATGGATTGGAAGCACACCACCACGGCTCAGTCAGAAGACATCAAGGTGTTTGCGACCATCTTTCCTCAGGTATGTTCCTTTGCATCCTACTACGGATCCCGTTCCAGGGTGCTAACGCAGAGTAGGATGATTGCTTGCTTACATTCCGCCCTCGGGCCTAAATTTTTATGTAATCGCTTTCTTTGTGGGTTCTCCAGTGTTATAATTTCTATCCTGGAGATAGAATGACCGCATCTTTCTTCTCTTCCTTCTATACTTGTACCTACTTTTGTACCATTGTCCACCATGGGGTTTTCGGCGGTGGCTTTTTTTTTTAACTGTTTTCATTTCCCTCTTTCTCGTTTAACGGATGAAAATCAGGGCCATGCTTGTGCCGATTCCGGGCGACTGGATATCCAGCGCTTACGATGTATCAAGCCGAGTACGTCCGGGCGTACATGATATTGAACGATTCATGCAGGGTCGTCAACTTCCTCAATAGTGAAGCGGTGAAGTGACGTACTAACTTAGATTATGCAACTTAGAATAATAATAATCGTGAGTCTTGTGATGCTGTTTCGGTCAAGCAGTGAGTATAGAAAACATGTAGTTCTGAAGCTCATCCACATGAAGTCTACTTAAGAACTTGGATACAGTACATACCTACTAGGAAGGCGGTAAGACCCGGGAGATACTGACATCACCTCGGCCCAGAACTCCCATTTATCAATCATCATCTCCAACCTCCAACCATTAAAAAGCACAATCAACAATCACTATGATGGCCTCCATACAATCCATCCGCCGCCCTCTCACGACTCTCTTATCCCGAACCGCAAAGCCAATCTCCAACCCCGCAGCAATCCGAACAGCAGAAGTGTCCCGAACCTTCACAACAACCCCATCTCCATGTCCCGCTAAATCAATCCGCGGCATCCCCCCAATCCGCCAGCTACAACCAAACCCCAAACCCCAACTCCACCGCCAATCTTGCCGCTGGAAAAGCGACAACAGCTTACCCCTGAAACAATGGGAATTCAATGATGTACGTTCATTCCCACACCCCTGGAGAGAAAAAGGAAACTACAAAAACTAACCCGACAAAAGATCAATGCCGCGCTCCCCGGAACAAAACCCGAACGGAACCTAATTCTCGTCGACGTCCGTGAACCCGCCGAGCTGAAGGCTACGGGGATCATCCCGTCTGCGGTCTCGGTCCCGCTAGCGTCGCAGCCGGATGCGTTCTTCTTGACGGCGGAGGAGTTTGAGAATCGGTTTGGGTATCCAAAGCCCGGGGCTGAGGGGGAGGGGGATGTGGTGTTTTATTGTAAGGCTGGGGTGCGGGCGAGGGCGGCGGCGCAGTTGGCGGTGCAGGCTGGGTATGAGGCTGAGAGAGTGGGGGTTTATGAGGGAAGTTGGTTGGATTGGGTGGATAGAGGGGGGAAGGTTGAAAGTTGGGAGGGGGAGGATTGATTTTTCTTTTCTTATTTGACTTGGGGCCTGGGAAGAGGTGGTTGTATAAATATTGTATATGGTTGGTAGGATAGATGGAGGTTCTGGGTTATTACTAGGTATGGACCAGGAGGGCTGTTTGGTTGCTGGATCTAATGTTCGTTGAGAACAGTAGAGAAAATTAAGAAACAAGTCAATTAATTGAAATTAAATCGCAAATATCATTAACAAGAAAGACTATAGGTATCAACCACGGCCTCTTGTAATCCAGTTCATGTACAAACATCTTGCTTTTGGACAATCCAGTCGTGATCATGCAGGTCTTTCGACTTTTTATCTTTTACCCCGTTTCATTCCCGATCCCAACAAAAGTAAAGGGATTCAATTGTTTTGGAAACCCCGTGTTATCCCTGTTTTATTTCATCATGCCATGCACTACTTCAACGCAGTACATCAAATCATCACAGCACATGAAAGAAATCACATCGCTATATGGTAAACATATACACAGATGGGTACGAGCCTGGTAGCCCGATATTCGATGGTAGAGTCAGCCCGGAACTTTGCCAAACGACCAAGGGTCGAATGCCTCATGTTCACCATCAAGAATCCTGTCGAAATCCTTCGCAGGTCCCTGGGCTTCGGAGAGTTGTAAACTTGTAGAAAATCAAGGGATGTCGAACACGGGCTTGAGCTTCTTGACAAGACCCCACTCCTCCATCGACACGTCCGCACGGTAGAACTCCTTGAGAGTGTCGATGCTGGCACGGGAAATCTTAGAGTACAGGGCGTCCTTCTCTTCCAGTTGCCGGCCGTACATGGGCTGATTAGGTCCTTCGATCTTGACGGCCACAGACGGCTGACCTCTCTTAACCACGCTGACTGGCTTATGATCACGTTCAATGGACACACTATAATGGGATGTTAGCAAGACAGAATGAAAAGAAGTATTGGAGAAAGGAGACTCACACTCTGCCAATTTCGATAATTTCCTTGGCTCCGGTGGTTGGGTTGCTCTTAACGGCAGCGAGTGGTGTATGCATCCGCAGGCTACCTTCAACGACATCGACACCAATGACGATAGGATCCTTCTTGTTGAAGACAGCGACGGGACGAAGCACACAAGGGAAGACAGCAAGCAGCTTGCTCTCCTCCTTTTTCTTCTCCGTCAGCTCAGCGATATGCTTGGTGAAGTCATCGAACAGGTGGTAGATGATGTCTGCGGTGAAGATCTTAACACCGACTTCCTCAGCATAAGCAGCCGCTTCCTTATCAACCTTGACATCGAAGCACAGCATGACGGCGTATTCTTTGGCCTTTTCCAACATAGTACCAGCCATCATTACATCACGTTTGTAAACAGGACCGATGGAAATGTTCGCAACGGGAATCTTAGAGACACGAAGGAACTCAAGAAGAGCCTCCAGGGAACCAAGCGTCGAGGCCTGGACACTGACACCACGCTGATCCTTAGAAACCTTGCTCAACAGGTTCTCCAAGTCGGACATGACTTCTTCCTCGATGTCCTCCTCATCGTCGTCAGGTCCAACGACCATCAACCGGGAACCAGCAATGGCATGCTCGAGGTCGTTGGCCGCGATCTTAACACCAAGGGCGGCCTTGACCTCCTTGTTATGAACGTATTGCGACTTCAGACGTAGTTCCTTCAAAGGTGCCGGCGTCAGCAACGCTCGAATATTGGTAGCTATAGGACCGTTGAGACCGCATAGTACAACTCGATCACCCTCCCGAAGGATACCGTTGGAAAGGACGACATCAATAGTGGTACCGAGACCCTCGATCACCTTAACCTCTAGAACAGTACATTCAACCTCCGACAAGTACATGAGGGAGTTAGTCATACGCTCTTGAGTCAAAGTGGTCAGCAGCTTCAGCATGTCAGGAATACCCTCGCCAGTGTGGGCTGAAGTGGGCACGAGAGAGACATTTCGAGCCATGGACTTATTCTCGCAGTACAGCTCAGCGTTGAAGCCCTGTTCAGCGAACAACAGCTTGGTCCGCTCGAGACGTGAGCGGAACTCGTTCTGAACTCCCTTGTTCTGCATCGCCAAACTCTCTTGGAAGCCATTGTTGTCAATCTTCTTCCAACCGTACAGACGATCGATCTTGTTCAACGCGACAATGAAAGGAGTACGACGATCACGGAGCAACCGCATGGACTCGAGGGTCTGGGGCTCGAGACCGTGCATGATATCGACGACCAAGATGGCGATGTTGCAAAGCGAGGAACCTCTGGAACGCAGATTCGAGAAGGACTCGTGACCGGGGGTATCGATGACCAACAGACCAGGAATCTTAAAGTCGAAGGTACCATCCTTATTCACTGGAGCAGTCTTCTGACGCAGAGCATCCACAGGGAAGTAAGTGGCACCGATCTGCTGTGTAATACCACCAGCTTCGCCTTCTTGGACGTTTGTCTGTCTGATCTTATCCAGCAACTTGGTCTTACCAGTATCGACGTGTCCCAAAATACAACAGATGGGGGAACGTAGGTTGTCCTTTGAGCGAGCTGCCATAGCCTCCTCATGTTGCTTCTTTCTGCGCTCAGCAGCTTCCGCTTTTCTTTGAGCAATGGCCCTCTGTGCAGCGGACTGTTCCTCGTCAGACGACTCGTCTTCCGAAGACTCCTCCTCGGAAGATTCCTCCTCGTCCTTGGTAGCGGCCTTCTTTTCAGCAGGCCTCTCAGGGAGCTCGACCTTGGCGGCGCCATTTGTAGCTGGCTTCTTTGCCTCTTCCTCATCATCGGTGGGAGCGTCCCAGGAGTCCTTCACGTCTTCTTCTTCGTCAGCTGCCTTCTCCCAGTCATCAAGTTCACTTTCCTCTCCAGCAGCAGCAGCCTTAGCAGCGGCAGCTTCAGCTTCAGCTTTCGCTTTCTCTTCAGCCTCCTTCCTTCGGCGTTCTTCTTCAGCTTCACGTTGAGCCTTGGCACGCGCGGCGGCTGCCTCCAAATCTTCCTCCTGTTTCGATGGGCCCTTCTTCTTCTTCTTGTTATCGTAAACGGGTCTCTTCTTCTCAGTACCCTGGTCTTCCAAGCCAGCAACCTTGCCTGCACCAGCGGCAAGCATCTGTTTCAGGCGCAACTCATTGCGCTCCTTTGCTTCTTTCTGGGCCTTAGTGAGAAGCTTTCCTTCTCTCTTGAGTTGCTCCTTCTTCTCCTTCTCCTTCTCCTTCTTACGCTGGCGAGCTTCTTCCCTCTTCTTCTCTTCCTCTTCTTCTACACGTCTCTTCTCCTCTTCTAAGGCCTTTTCTTCGGCGAGAAGTCGCTCTTCTTCTTCACGCTGCTTCCTGAGAGCCTCCTGTTGCTTCTGGATAGCGGCAAGGTGGGCGGGGACCTTCTTCTTCTTGCCACCACTAGGCTCTGGGGCAGCGGGGGCGGGGGCAGCAGCAGCAGCCGGTGTGGGTTCTTGCTTCTTCTCAGGCTCGGCCTTAGCAGGCTGTTGAGGCTTATCGGTTTTCTTCTTAGCGGCCTAGATAGCGAATTGGATAATTAGCGCAAATGCTATAGGGACAAAGGCTGGAACAAGAGGCCTATGAGTACCTGTTCCTTCTTCCGCTGCTTCTCTCTCTCCTTCTTTTCCCTTTCTTTCTCCTTCTTGGTCTTCACACGGAACTCACCATCCCCCTCGGCCTCCTTAGGCGCGGCCGCCGCCTTGGCAATTGCCTCAGCAGCCTTCTGATTCTTCTTGGAGAAGACGTCATCCTCATCATCAAAACCTCCTTCTTCAGGCTGTTTGCTGGCGAATTCATCACCTCCGTTCGCCTCAGCCGCGTCCTCGCCCTCGACGAAGTCGTTCTGCTGCTTTCCCTTCTTGGCCTTCTTGTTCTTGTTCTTCCTCAAAGCGGCGAGTAGACCACCAGCACCTGCTCCCTCTTCTTCGGCGGGAGCTGCGGCTTCCTGGGGACTGGTCTCGCCACCGGCTACGGGAGCAGCCTCGCCGAGGTCAGCTTCCCAGTCTTCCTCCTGTCTCTTATTTCCCTTCTTCTTGGGCGCCATGTTGGAGAATTCGAGTTATTGATTGGGGTTCAATTGACGCAAGTAGTCTTTCTACACAGAAAACCGTAGAAATATCCTTGTGTGTATTCCTAAGAGAAAGTATGGTAAGGACAAGAAGAAAGAAGAGGAAAAACGTCACCGGTGCAGGGAAATATGTGAGAATGGAGAGTGGGCAGGTGTACGAACAAGAATATCACACTCCGGCAGCGACCTGCGGCCGTCGAAGAGGAACAGAGTGGCAAATAAGCCTAATTTCCTTCACAAGAAAATTGGAAGGAAAGACAAGGTAAAAGAAGATAACGAGCACCTTTTCCCCCTGTGGTTGATAAGGTCCAAGGCTGGAGACTCGAGGAGTGCCTTTGAGTGGGTAATAAGAATTTTGGATGGTTTTGGTGGGGACAAGTTAATCCTTTAACTGGATATCCGAGAAGGCGGTTTGCCAGTTGGCCTGAGGCTCCCGGTACCTTAGCCTAAATTCCCGATACTTTCCTGGAAATATTACACACATCCTTGCCCTTTCAATGAGAGAAGAAAGTATAGTATGATCTTCTTAATTTATTCAATATACATGATAAACTCAATTCTATCTAAAACCCCACATGCAAGGTTCGTTTGAGCCACTTCATTACGCCTTCAACAGGGTTCTCGGTTTCCCCAAGAAGATCCTTCGACAATTCCAAAAATCGTTCATAAATGGCTTGCGGCGAGCCAGATTCGGGAGTAGAGGGGTTGTAAAACTCTTCCGTTACGAGCATATACATAAGGTAACCCGAGCCCCGGATCAGTAAGCGACTGAGGATGTCTCCGTCGATGTGCATCTGCGAGGGCTGGAACTCACGGGACTCGTTTCCTGAGGGATTCCGCTGCCGTTTTCTCTTTGGTGTAAAAGGGCATATGATCGCGTCGCGGATGCACAGGTTCTGCAGAAATCGCAGCAAACGCCATTCCTTATCCTCCACTGTTAAAAAGCGGTACACTGTGCCATTCATGGCTGTGCCATAGATGACCTGGGAATCAGTGGGTACGGAGGAGTGCCGGGTACCCGGGCTGAGTTTCGTTACAGAAGAGGAAAGATGTGCCTCGCACAGTGCTACGGGCATCATCTTATCGTTCTCAGTGACTCCTCTCTCAGTTAATAGGCTGACCCGACCACCTCGGCTGGAGGCAAGTGTGAGCTGCATCTCCCCTCCAATATGGACATGGGAGAGTCCGTCGTGCTTCTGTCGATCGTAAGCATGGAGCACTAGATTTTCATCAGATGCATTGAGGATCATAAGAGACTCCCTTGAAGTCGAGATGTATAGGTAGGGCTCATGGGAGCTCATCGAAACTGCGGGAGAAAGTACGGGGTACCTTGCTGCCCGAAGCCATCTTGTCTGGGAAAATTTGGGCTCCAAGGGTACTATTTCATGCCCAGTCGAAACCATTAGGGTAAAATTGCCATATGGGGCGATAGAATAAACAGGACCCTCAAACTTGTGAACGTATTTCACGCTGCATTCAATTTGCGAAGGATCTGATGATGACCTTGACGTTTGTAGAAAGATAACTCGGCCGCGTTCCTGCTGATTTCTACGGGCTGTGCCTATAACAATGAAGTGATATTCTTCATCGCCTTTCTTGGGCGTCCACTCCAAAATGCAACTGATTTTCTCACCAGCGGCCCCATGCGGCCTCCAGGGGTTGGACTCATCTCCAGGGGTATCGAGAGGACTGCAGATTGCTTGCTGCGAATCCGGGTCAACGAATTCAATGTATGACCGAGTAAAGCGCTTGATAGGATCCGCCTCAGTGTCAAATCCCGTTCGGCTGTATGCTACAACCAAGCTCTTTAGGTAATGAGAATAAGCGAGCTTAGTAGCGCTACCTGGCAAACCTATTCTCCTTGGGACCGTTTTCTCTTCTCGCTGCAAAGTGCACACCATGAGTTGTCCGTCTGCGATGCAGAAAAGGGTCTGGGGGAGACCTTCCAAGTCTGAATTAACAAATTTGGCGAGGGAAAAGCTGTAAATAGTTCTTGGGTGGTAGGCAGGCTAAGGACATCAGTGGCTGCAATCGAGAAGGTGTGGAGACATTGGAGCCTACATTATTCTGGTCCGTAATCCAAATCCTCTGAAGAGTACAGTCCGGCATCACACCGCCATAAGCGCACAATAACTGCCAAAACCCTTGTCCGCATGTCAACAATGTAAGGTTTCCTTGGCTCTGCACTTTAAGAGAAGTCTGTCCTAATCTTTGTGGGATCGCCTGTTTCATCACTAGGTCGCAAGACAAGTCAGTAAAGGCTCATTACTTAAACATGAGGCAAGCATACTAATAGAAGCTACTGTATTTACAGTATTTAATGTCACGCCAAAAGGCACCAGGATACCACTTCGTAGGCCGCAGAGTAAAACGAATCTCTTCAGCGACCCCTCCTCTGCCTTGTGCACAATCGCAACGCTGTCAATCGCCTTTGAGATGTCCTCACTATATGCAATGTCCAGAGGTCTTTCGGACACGAACGTTATGGATTCTCCATCTATGTTGTAGAGGAAAATTTTCCCATTGTCGGAACCCACGAATATGAGAGAGCCTAAGTCAAAGGTTTCGACAGAGATACAAACGGGCTCAAAATTAATACTTAGTGGATCACTCACATCAGATAAATTGAGTTGACCACCAGATGGGGTTAGCCTTTTAACATGAAGGCGTAGCCCATATTGGTCGCGTACCGCGGCGACAATGAGAGATGCAGGGCTGTCTATGGCAGCGACTATGATATTCTGGTCATGGCCATACTCAAAACGAGAACTCAGTATCGATTCCGTGGTTGCTCCCAGATGAATGGCCTTGTCCGTCACTTGAACAATAACACCCGAGTCAGTGCATCCTGCTGCTAATGTTTGAGAGCCGCAGTCCAAGCCGGAATCCGCCTCGTCGATAGCACATATCTCGTCATCAAAATCAGCGGGCAAGTCGAGAAGCAATGAAGACACAGGGTCGGAAGTTAGCACGATAACACCGTCGTTTGTGCCAGTCGACATTGTCCATATGTCTCGTGTGCTCGACAGTTCTTCCAAAGAAACAACCAAGCCTATCTGTGCCTCAATCCCATGTCGTAGCTCAACGATTGCGCCTTGTGCGAAGGAGGAAGCAGTGCAAACAAACAGTCGATCGCTCGCGACGTCTTCAGACAATGGGGATGACTGATTAAGCGACTTCACAATTACAGAGTCTGTGACAGGAGTCCAGCTCATGAATTTCTGGACACATCTAGGATGATCCCGAGCTTTTTGAATGAATAGACCACCATCCCCAGTGTTGCCTGCGGCGAGAATCAGGTCACCGCCTTCATGATCAAAGTCTAAAATATCGAATGCAGCATCGACGTCACAACAAAGTCGTCCTAGATGCGCCTGGTTTTCGACTTCGCCTTCATGACCAATTCCCAAGTAAGAAATTCGTCCGTCCTCACGACAAAGGTAGATGTCGTCGTGCTTTTGGTTGTATAGCCAATTGCGCAACGGCCTTGCCCATCGAGTCCACAGTGGAGACCTTCGTGACTCTTGATCGGGAACACAAAGAGGATACCTGCTGGGTTGCCGCCGAGGGTCTAGCCTGTTCTTGTATACTGCCATTGTAGTAGTTGTAACAAGCATGAAAGAGGACGTTTTGGTCAGCGGGATTAGCATTGTAGGCAGCCTGTCCTCAAATGGTAATAGTCTCTTGGTTACTATGGGAGAAGCTTGGCGAAGATATTCATTCGCTTCCCATTCATAACATATCGCATGGGTAATTTGATCCTGAGCAACTAAGAGAAGGAGAAGAATCTTGCCGTTATCCTCAGGTCTTGGGTATAGAAACTCCATAAATATAATGTCGCCATCAACACGAAAGAAGCGTTCCTATAGATGTTATACTCCAGCCTCGTATATACTGCAAGGAACAGCAACTGTGCACATACCTCTGCTATGGGATCTAGCTGATTATATGCCATCTGTGACTGCAGTATTGATGGCTGCTTTAAGGTAAAGACACCAAAAAAGTCAGAAGCCGCACTAACTGCTACTGCACGAGATCTATTATACAAGTTAGTCATGTTCTAGAAAGTCAAAGATATAACTACCTTGGTTCCACTGCAATATTTCGACCAAACCGCTCGAATGTACTAACATCGTTCGGCAAAGGTCGATGGTGGTGGATAAATCGATCGTTTGAGGTTGAATAGTAAAGGAACACAAGCTCTCTTGAGGCAAGACTTAGCAGCAATATCTGGGGAGGTAGATCGATCTGCGGCTCTGAGTCGACAGCTGTACTAGTTGTCCCCATTTTCATCTGCGCCTCCCAAGGTAACTCTGTGCCCACATTGATGACTTTCGCTGCCATGATATTGGAATCAAAGTCTGATTTTGAGGTGACGTCCTCCAAGTGAATACCGGACACAGCTTCCTTTATTTGCAGACTTCGTTCACCGACGAAGACAACATCATTTTGATGCCCACTTCGCAGGCGTGCAGGCAATATCCACTGGATGATTGGACTTGGCATTAGCGTGTGAGATAAAATTCCTTTTTTTGGCTGGGACTCTGAAGAGAATAAGTAATCATCTGTGTCCATCTGATCCACACCGTGACGCTTTACGAAGGCATTCATGAGGGAGGGATCAGTGGCCTGGTAATTCCTTGGCAAATCCATGGCGACCCTGTGAAGAGCTTGCGGCGTCCTAAGCGCAAATTATCGCGGTGAATAAATGCTTTATTGGAAGAAATACGACCAATGCAAAAGATGAGAGCCAAGCTTTTTGATGGGAATTCGTCTCGTTTAATTAAAGCAGCCTCAAACCTGTTCCTGCGCAGTATAACACAATACCGATGTAGCGGTCCAAATTGGTCAGGTAGGAGGAAGGGCAGGCTTGGTAACAAAGGGGGAAACGCTAGGGTCCGAGAGGAAGTTCTTCATTTAACATGCTTGGAGCAGTATAAGGACAATATCCCATTTTGTCAGGTCCGAGTGAAAGTACCCAGGATGTATTTGACCACTGATTGCTTCTCGTTCCCAGTATCTGAGGAAGCAAGTAACGGGTAAAAAATGAAATTCCAGCAGAGAAGAAATGTATCTGTTTGCATGGCTTAGAATATCCTCCTCGGGAAACGAGTGGACCTCAAAGACTTACTACAGCATACGGACTACCATACAGATGAGTTCCGTATCGATGACATGCGTTCAATTGGCCCGTTCCGCTTCCCCCTAAGCCATGCGGCACTCAAGCTTGAGGCAACAAACAAAGCAGCTAGGTGGGAATATGGAAAACAACTGCCAAGAAACGTATGGGTCCGTAACTCAAGCTGCCGGCAAGTTCAAATGGCTCTTGCGTCACCTTTAGGCACCAAATCCACAGTATTAGCCTTTCAGTGCAGGACCTGTGATATCAAATCGTGGCAACATTGTTGGATTGTGACTGGGGCTCTCTCTCAAGGCTGACAACCATTTGCATATCCTGGAGGGGCTGAAGGGTCGATGCCTTTGTTCGCTGTTTAGGGCGGTCGGCGGAAAAGCCAATGAACAACAAATCACGGGACACTGTAGGTGCTAGCCTGAGGCCTGCAGCGATGTGTCCGCTTTGGACTCAGCATGCATTTACTCCATAGTGCTCCTTAAGTCCATCTGGTATGCAAATCGTTCACGCTAAAATGCCAATCTTCTCCTAATGCCCGCTGTCAACGATCAACATAGTTCCACATCACTCTGACCTGGCATATGGCTCGTGGGGCTCTTGCTAGCTGGTAGACATAATAATAGCAAAACCAGCAGTCGAAAAACTAATACATGAATACTAATTCGAAATTCGACTGTCCTCTTGCCTTCTACTTGGAATTGGTTTCATTAACACTATCAATCACTAAACGGGGTTGTTTTCTTCCTCATTCTAGCTAAAATGGACCATCAATATGAATGCAAAGACAAACCCGACAGCGACAGCTCCCAGACATGCTTTGAAACCGCACAGGATTTTGCATCTGATAATGCGTCTCAGGACCTAGAAAGGACTCAGAATGACGAGACCGCAGCTCGCATAGCAGAGAAGGAAGATGCCATTCGCCGAGCGTGTGAGATGCGCGATTTGGATGCGTTGGTCTCTTATGCCACTTCAGAAGGGGGTTTCATTCGCGATGACATCAGACAACTAGCTTGTAAGTCCCAATAAAGTGTTTATCACGTATCAATTGCTAAGGAATAGGGCCTATTCTTCTTCAAAGTGACAGAGATCCTGAAGTTGGCGCCTGGGAAGACTTGTCGCCGCATGCAGATGAAGACCAAGTTCAACTTGATGTGAACAGGTCATTTGTTTATTATCCTAATTGTGGGTAATTTTGCATCCCAGATATTTACATAGACTAATCCCTATCTTATAGGCACTGATGGCGAGCTATCCTTAAAGAAGAACGAGCTGTCATATTTAATCAAGCAAGTACTACGGCATTACCCAATGCTTTGCTATTTTCAAGGATATCACGATATCGTGCAAGTTTTGCTCTTGGTACTCGGGGGGCAAAAGGCAGCCCCAGCAGTCACGCGACTGTCGCTCTTTCGGATAAGAGATTATATGCTGCCATCCCTTGCACCAACGGTGAAGCACTTGCAGCTCATTCCAGCCATCATGGAGAAGGCTGATCCCGTCCTACGACGCCACCTTGCGGATATCAAACCGTTCTTTGCACTGGCGGCGACTCTTACATTATATGCTCACGATATACAAGAGTATAGTGACATTGCCCGGCTATTTGACTTTCTACTGGCTCGAGAGCCCGTCGTCTCTATTTACCTTTTCGTTGCTATCGTTCTTTCCCGTAAGAAGGAGTTGCTGGAAATCCCTGAAGACGAACCTGAAATGCTACATTTCACACTCTCCAAGCTTCCGTGCCCTCTAGATCTCGAGGGCTTGATATCGAGTACCGTACAACTTTTCAATGACTACCCGCCGGAATCACTACCGTTTGGGGCTTGGAGGAAGCTGCCTTTGGCCAGTGTACTGAAGAGTACTCGAGATATATTTGGGAAGCAAAATACACAAGAAGCGATAGATCTTTTTGATAGACAAGTACGGCAACTGCGCTATGAGGAGCGGAAGGAGAAAGTGGTTGGCTTCTTGTGGCAGCACAAGAGGACAATCGGAACCGTGGCCGTCACAATTTTGGTTGGTGCTATATCAGTATGGATGAGGAAGAAGGGATTTGACACGACCATATGGTCGTATATCAATAGATTCAAGCTGGCATTCCAATCCCACGGCTTCTAGCCTTCCACTGGATTTTTTTGGGTGGAGAAGAGGGGTTCCGGCTAAAATGGCGCGCGCGCGCGCGTGTGTGTGTAAATAACCACCTTACTATACTATTATGTGTAAGACTATCTGGGTGACCAATTCTGAGCTATTGAATTTTGGTTTGTGGTTGTGAAGAAAAGTGTAAAGAGTAGTAGATTTTATGCATATTCCGTCGACATACCCACGGGTCCCACAAGGTAGTGGCTAGTGTGTGGCTGATTACTACGATGCCGCCAGCCGCTGATGTGTACTCTTCCGCAACTCTCTATTCGGATACCACCAACAGCTCTCTGAAGATATCACAAACAGCCCAACATGGCGAACCGGGGCTATGACGTGATAGTAGATGCCGACACTGAGGTGCGCGCTCATTGTTCTCGCCCACTTGACTCCAGATGAACTAATTTCGGTGACAGGGCGACCTCGGTCATACTGACCTTCAGGAGGACCTTGAGTTCCACCCGTCAAGTACGTTTGTTTGCTTATATGACGGCTTCCATTTGTTTCGTCATAGGGACTAGCTAACTCACATTCTCTGCAAGATTTTGAAAATGATCAACGCAATGCCAAAGCGCAACAGGATTCGGCACCTTTTCTCGGCGGAGGTTCTTCCCGCGGTCGTGACAGGTCACCTGGCGGCACCCCTTCCAAAGTCACCTGGTGGTCGATCCACTATTACTCGCGATTCTTTGATGTCGACACGAATGAGGTCCTGAGACGCTGCGTTGCGGCAGTGTACCCGCGCAGTAACTTCCTCGATGTCCTTGAAGGCAACGCTGACCTGTACGGCCCATTCTGGATCGCCACGACCGTGGTTGTGATCCTTTTCCTAACTGGTACTATCTCGCAATGGCTCTCGAACAACGATGAGGAGCATTTCGCGTACGATTTCACGCTCCTCTCCGGGGCCGCGGGTCTGGTCTACGGGTATACATTCGTTCTACCAATCGCCCTGTGGGGTGCACTGCGTTGGTTTGGTAGCTCCACGGCGGACTTGATTGAGTGCTGGGCATTGTATGGATACTCAAATTTGGTTTGGATTGCGGTTGCTCTGGTGAGCTGGAGCCCTCTGACAGCCCTTAACTGGGCACTTGTTGGAGTTGGCTTTGGCTGGACCGTCTTCTTCCTGCTACGTAATCTGTATCCTGTCTTGAGTGCTACGGAAGCCAAGGCTAGCAAGGCTCTGCTGATTCTGGTCGTTTTGCTCCATGCGGGTTTTGCTATCGCGATTAAGATCCTGTTCTTTGCGTAAGACCCCGTTCAATCCTACCTTTGACGTGCCGCACCTTTGCTGATAAAATTACGTCCTTAGGCATGGAAGCCCAGTTTCCAAGAAAAACAAGGATGACCATGAGAAGGACCATGACGACAAGCATGATGATGACGGCAAACGACGCGTGTAGAGGGCTCGGCCGATGCTCTCAATTTCAAACCCTCTAGGACCCGCTAGATGACTTTCATGACTCTGCTCAGGCAGTAGAGCCAGTTCCAGACTATGTTTGACATTGTTTTCATTTCTACGCTCGGTGGCTGTTCACGTATTTCAAAACTGTACCTATCACAACAAGGGATCATGAGCGAAAATTGAATTTTACAATTGTTTTGATTGCAACTTGATCCGAGAGGAGTCAACTATTAGCATTTGACTTCGGCTATAATGTTCATCATTCTAACGCCGTACAAAACCTCCCAGGCTGCAATCGACTCATAACCCCCAGCATGTCTCCACCCCAGCAACGTAGAAAAACCGTAACAAGATTGATGAAAGTAATCGTCTATTTGAGCTTCTTCTTAGGGCGGAGCTGGTTGGTGTGGCCACACTTCTTCTTGCGGCAGTTGGTGGCACGAGGGGGGAGACGGGCGTAGCACTTGCGGCAGATGTTCTTCTCACAGTTGTACTTGGAGGCGAGGGCCTTCAGGGAGGGCTCGATGATACCACCACGGAGACGGAGGACGAGGTGGAGAGTGGACTCCTATAAGATTGATGTCCATCAGCCGACCATTCGTTGTATTCCACAATATTTGTTTAACTCCCAAGCCTCAAATTCGTTCCTATCACATGATACCCGTGCGGTCGGACCTGGTACCTCTCCATCGTTTGTGTGGGAAACCGAATCGCACGTATTTCATATCGGATCACGAAAGGCTATCCAAATCAAAACACCTCGGTAATGGGATCCTTCATACCTTCTGGATGTTGTAGTCGCTCAGGGTGCGGCCATCCTCAAGCTGCTTACCAGCGAAGATAAGACGCTGCTGATCCGGGGGGATACCCTCCTTGTCCTGGATCTTGGCCTTGACGTTGTCGATGGTGTCGCTCGACTCAACGTCGAGGGTAATGGTCTTACCCGTGAGGGTCTTGACGAAACTATAATCGCATTCTTGTCAGCATCGCACACCCCATATTTTCGTTCGTGTCATGGTTTTCGCAGCCGGTTTGGTTCGCATCGGCGGGTTCAAATGTAAAATTGGGTGCGGAGAACGAGGGAAACCTACATCTGCACTGTAGATGCACGAAAAGAAGGAACACATTAGCTCATAATTCCCAGATCAAAGTAACCACTCCATCTAAACGCCGGAGTAACATACTGGTTGCGATTTTTCGTTGTTGCTGGCTGACGATCGCTAAGAGGTCCGGTCAGTCGGAAGGAACGATGTCACTCAATTTCACCATTTCTCGCTTAGCAAACAAGTGGACCACGTGATGTCTTGTGTTTTCACATAATGTACCCTAAGCCCTAGCTGACGGGTATGTATCAATGGTCCCTTCAATCAATCATCCATTCTGCCGCGGCTTCCCGACCTTGCCTGTTTTGGGGGTTTTGCTCCACACGTTCCAGTTCCACTCATGGAGACTTGATGGCATACCCTAAACTCTTCTAGGTTGTCTATAGGAACTTTGTACTCACTACATACTGCGTGTACAACTGGTAGAAACTGTTACAGACCTACTGGTAGCACAGTATGTAGAGCTTGGGTTCCATTAGTACGAGAAGTTGGTTCAGCTAAACTCCAGGCTTTGTGGTGGGCTTCAGAGGGTGTGCTCCTATTGTGCCCCGTCATTCTGGGAAGCCCTACGGAGTATGATGTACAGACCATCTCATCTCTGTATGGAACAGCCTGGGAAGGGCAAGTACCTGCTTTGTTGGAGGCTTATCGTGTGCCATTTACGTTTTCTGATGCGGCCACTATGAGCTGGTGCTTAGATAAACGGAGGACAAAGGTATATACATATGAGCTTGGCTAATGGTGAAATCAATGCTCCTTTGTTGATAACGAGCAACTTGGAAACAGATGGACCTCCAGCATTACGGTGTTCCAACGGCCCCCATTCGTAGTACTGCACCTCAACGACGAAGAGGAAGTCACATCCGACAAAGATCCAAGGTATCATAAAAAACTCCCAGCACGCTGAAAGCCTGTCAAAGTACTCACTGTTTGCAAAACCACTCGCCGAGGGGTCCTCCAAGGGTATACAGGCTAGCAACAAGATTAGAAGCATAAACGAGCTATATCCTGTCGTACAAGCCGTGAGAGCAAGCAGTGCTTCATCGAGTGACGTTCTTATAGAGTCCTTTTTATCTGGCAGAGAGTAATTCACCGTCGGAATCCTAGGGACTGCCAGGGACTGCCAAGGATGCGTGGGCTGTGGGTGTCGATGAGATAGTATGGGAGGGAGCAAAGAGGAAAAACGATGTATGGGACGAGAAGATCTTTGGTTCGGATGGGAGGATCGAATTCACCACTGACAGATACAACGACTGGGATGGCATAGCGGATGAGGCTAGAGCCGATAGAGCGGATCCTCAGGCTGAAATAGCGAGCCAGGCCGCGACGAGCTCTTTGTCCCGATCGATAGCGAGTAAAAGTTGATGCCTCAGGCAGAAAGCCACTAGGGTTCGCTAAGGTGGGGTGACCTGCAGATCTCCATGAGGAATTCTTGTACGAATCGAGGCGTTATTATATATATCAGATTCATGTATAAAAGTTGTGTAGATCAACCTGATGTATGGCTATGGGGCAAGAAGGGAAAAGGGAAAGAAGACAGATCGTTTGACCGAGTGAAGTGATGAGAAGCCCTGAGTGATAAGAAAGCAAACAAAGACCTTAGGCCGGAATGACCCAATTATAATAAACCTCCATTGCCTGCTTATATCTACTTCCCCATCTCTTTTCACCTTCTCTCTTAGTACACCCTGAAACTAGTACTAACCATTGACTTGTAAATTAACAGACAATTCTATTATTACTTCTACTGTACTATTGGCCTTTACCAACTGCAGTAGCTATGATATCCAGCAACACAGTCTACGTTGTCACCGGAGGAAACAGAGGCCTCGGCCTCAGTCTGGTAAAGTCGCTCCTGGCACGTCCTTCTACCACGGTCATCGCGTCTGTCCGCAACGAGGAGGCAGCCGTCAGCCTAAAGGCCGAGATCCAGTCCGTAAACGCAGGTGACAAGAGCAGCCTCCACATCCTCCAGCTTGACTTCTCGTCAGCTATTGCCCCCGAAAAAGTTATCGAGACGTTCAATACTGCCATTAACGTTGATCACATCGACGTCCTCATCTGCAACGCCGGATACGCGACATCCATGGTGCCGGCGGCATTGACTTCAGCCGAGGACTTGCGGGCATCCTTCGAAACCAACACAATTGCTCCGCTTCTTGTCTTCCAGGGCCTGTGGCCCCTACTACAAAAGTCCACTGCCGCACCCAAATTTATCAACATGAGCTCTTCCGTGGGCTCCATCGGCGGCCAAGAACCCGTTCCCGGCGGCGCCTATGGGCCCAGCCGTGCGGCGGGTAACTGGATCACGCGGGCCCTCCATGTTCAGCACGAGAACTTAGTCGCAGTGGCCCTGCATCCGGGCTGGGTGCAGACTCGCGCTGGAGACTTCGTTGCCCAGCAGTGGGGATACGCGCCTGGCCCGCCTGAGACTGTCGAAAACAGCGTCAAGGGAATGTTGCAAGTGATCGATGGGGCGACTCGCGAGGGTACTTCGGGCAAGTTCATTACCTACCAGGGACAGGAATTGCTATGGTAATGGATCTGCTTTAACGGAGATTCGAGTAGCAAAAGTTGCTTCAGTAGTTTTTCAAAGCAGTCCACTTAAATTAACGCTTCAATATTCGAATGGATTATCCTATTCACACAGTTACCTATAGTGGTAGCAGACTAGATCGATCATATATATTGGGTGTCTCGTATCATCCAAGAACTCAATCGGAAAGCACCACCAAAGCATCCAGCTGAAGCTTCTACTCACAAGTCTTAATTGTTTAGATGGGAGCTTCTATTGTGGATTCTACTACCCTACTATTTATAGTTAGATCTAGTGTTATCATCCCTGTCGTATATTTATGATTTTTTTTTGTTCCTAGGATTGGGGGCGAAATGTGGGTTACACTATTGTCCTAATGCTTTCAACCCTAGTTTCACTGTCGAGCTAATTTCTTCTATACGAATGGTGCTCTTTGTAGTAGAATTATAGCGTCAATCGACTCGGGTGATGAGCACATCGTGCAGATTGCTGACAGTGACCACCATATCGGAATATGAGCTCAGCATTGATCTTCTCATCATCTACTGTCCACCTTGATACCAGCTATTGTCTAGCATCATTTCTTTCTTTCTTTTCTTTTCTTTTTTTTTTTTTTTGGAATGGTTTAGCATTTTTTGTGTGAGATCCTCTTGGGCTTTGCAATATGGTAAATGTATTCCTTGTCGTAGTGCTATTATCATTGGATCTCAACACTGTAGCATATCACAACCTCCGACAATAAACACAAAATTAGAGATTATAACTGAGAGGAGAAAGAGGGAAAGAAAAAAGAAAGTACCATTTGACCAAGATCTACTCCATATCCGGCAAATGTGCGGTAACAACCGGTGCGCCCGCATAACGTGGCGCAGTAGAAGTAATAATCCCCATTTGGATTGCGTATAACACGGCGTCCTTTTTGCTTTTCTTTTCGTTGAATTAAGGATAGAGATTACCTTAAGGTGGTACAACTCGCGTGGCTGGCTACCAGAGGCTTTCTGTGATGTATGTCGAGGTCGCATAATCTGAAGTGAGATCGCCGTAACATAAATGGGAGCAGCCTGTGTCATTATTGACCACTATCTCTGTATCATAGGTCCTCGAAAATGGGTTCAATGAATCTCTTGGATGATCTGAAGCAGCATTGCTAGGTATAAGGTGTATGAGGGACTCCTCGGCTGCACTGAGTTTATTGCTGCTGCCGTAAAGTAAAACGCAAAGAAAGGCCTGTTTTTGCTCCAGTGACATGATCTCTCAGTGAAAACTCCTTTTTCTTTGACCCATCCACGTGCTGAGAGTCAAACGGAAGCAAGGCATGAGCTAATGTTAATGTCAGTTCATGATATGCGAACCCCTTGCCTACACAACTGCGAGGACCACTCGAAAACGGGGTGAACGCGCTCCGCTCCCGAGCTACTGACTTTTTCGTTGAGCCGTTCTCACCGATGATCCACCGTTCGGGTCGGTACTCGAATGGTTCCGGGTGGTATTCATTATGATGAAGGCTACAGATGCCTGTTCCAGCATCAATGCTTGCCAGCAGCTCGAGCGAGCCGATGGTCATACCGCCAGGACCAATCTCTCGCCAGAGGGCTCCGCCGACGGGGTGGAGACAGCCGCAGGGCTTCGTTGATGCATGCACAGAAATACACGCACGAGCTCAAGTATGCCATAGTGACCTGGTCGCGTGTTGCAAACTTCCCGCGGATTTCTTCACATACATGCTGGTAAGCTCTAGGGTTGCCACTGAGATAGAATAAGTTGCCGGCCAGGGTCATGGATGAGGCATCCCTTCCTATGTGAATTCAGCTCCCTTGTACTATATACAAATCTTGGATGACGAAAGATACCCGCGACGACAAGAGTAGCGTACTCTGCTCAGATTTCTGACTTGCTCAGCATCTTTTCCTTGACTGGGTCCTTAGTCGTCTCTAAAAATGTGAACATGTTGCCATTGTCTGAGAACGACGCCTTGGAGCAGCATCGCAATAATGAGCTGATAAATCCGAGAAATTGGTTCCTTCCCCGGATCGAACTTGGAAAAGGATTCTTGTCTAGCCGTCCCGTGGTCAGCATGGGGGCCTGTGCTAGAGCATTGATGCGGACGTTGGAGGCTTCCAGCGCGTGGGCAACAAACCGGTAGGTTGGCTCTCTCAGAGCATTATACCGCATGCCGAAGATAATTTCGGCTATTGCGTCGAACGTAAAGTAGTCGCCTACAGGGTAGTTAATAGGGCAGTGGCACTCGGTGTCGGGTGCGGCTTTGCAACGACATATCCAACGTTTTCTTCCCTTGATTTCGGGCATTCGCTTCAAGTTCCTACACAGGACGTTAATATGCCGCGTGAGAATGCTCCGGTATGAGAGTATGCGTGCGTCTGAAAATGCCAGACCTAGGATACGTCGGCACCAGGAGTGGCTCTCTTTGTCGTGGATAATCAGGGTATCGGGTGCGCCGTGAATTAGGGCTTGGTAAACGTGGGACTTGGTATTATTTGCGCTGTGAGATTAGATATCTATTGGGCCTTAAATATTCGTTCGGCGTCTTCTTAAGCTTTGTGCCACTATGCTGAGCACAATCGCCGATGTAGGCACTTCAATATTAGGCAGTTCAGCCGCGGCCCGGTCAGGAACAGGGAGTGGACTAGAAGAAGAGGATGGCACCTCGACTTTGAATGGAGGAGGATCCGAGAGAGTTTGGCTGTCTGGCTGTCTCTGTACAGTTTCGTCTACATTGTCCTTCGGATCGACTGGTAGCATATCTCCCTCAGCTCACCTTGCGGGCCTAGGAAGTTCTGGCGGAGACCGCGCGCTTCGTCACTAGACGCATAAGATTGATTACATGTGCGATCCATCATGTTCGTGGGGGCATTAGATCCTGTGTGGGTCAGTCATAAAATCAATATTTGTGTAGCTGAACGGGATGCTGACCGTTGTATGGGATATGCAAACTGGTGTCTGCAAATCTAAATTCAGTAGATTGCATTCAAACGAAACCCACGATTCTCTTACGCAAATAACTCAATAAGAAGAGTATATGCGAGGCCTTTTTCTGTGTCCGGATGCATCCTGAAAAGCTCGTTCGCTGCTGACACTCATGACAGTTGAAGCCCTTCCGACAAACTACTAGCAAATGCACGGTATAGAGTAAGATCAAGCAACCGTGTTCACCATCCCTCATTCCTCGATTCCCTACAGATCGCATCACATAATCCCTGATTAGTACAGTGAATTGAGTCGATTATGTTACGGCGATCGGCTTCATCTAAATCTTACGAGATGACACTGAGCTGACGATCCGCGTATCAAACCATGCCGTGTATATCTCAGTGTTCAAGCACGTACAGCTGAGAATTGTGGTTCCCATATTTAGTAGTTAGCCCACCCGGCCCAAGACAGTACAACATTATTGTCCGATATGGGCCGAGCCACATCAGTGTTGGTAGCTGTTCGAGGTCAAATCCAGAGTATAGTAGTTGCTAAGGCGTTTACGCTGTTGCTTTTGGGTTTAAATACTCTGTCTGGGCGTGCATTTTATAGGCCTAGGTTAGCGCTCACGGTAATTTCTCTGCGCCACGCGATTCTGCGCTTTTCGGCGCTCATTGATGTCTGAGATGTTTTTCCAATCTCTGCTAGAGGGTGATATTATATTTGGGATGAATAGAGTCTGACCCCTGCACTGGTATGTGCTGTCTAGATTGCGTCGTATATAGCTCGCCACCGCTGACTAGGGCTAACACAGTCAGGTAAGCTACATACTAATCATATCACTATTCCTCGAGGCTTGATTAGTGAAACGTGATGAAGAAATCAACCATCAGAGGATTATGCATACAGATGGTTGGCCAAGTCCATGATATACGGCCATTGTAAAATGGAGACTGACGAGGTACATCTACCAGCTCCTTTTACCGAGGAGCATAAGTGTTGGTTCGGCGCTCTTTGGATTTGGTTTTCATATTACCCTTTTATTTGCGTACTTCAGCTTATCGAGTCCCCAGTCTTATCATTTCAATATACCAGGAGCTCAGCTCCCCTACGGAAATTCGCCCGGTTGGGCTGAGATCCTGAATGGGGATCCTTGCTTATTCCAATCATTCACATTCGATTTGAATGGATGTGACTGAGATCCTTAACGGGGGATGTGATCTACGGTTCATGTCTCGTAAGTCCACCAATTATACCGCAGTCTGGATTGCATTCCTAAGGTTCGTTTCGGGCCTGAAGACAATCTACCAGATCATGCATGTACTATCTATCTCATAGCCCCACAATACACCACATCACACGCCTTGTTCTCATGATTAGCATGTGCAGGGACGTGAACCTCTCCTGCTTGGTCCAACCGTGCCTAGATGGCATGGGTTTAGGTTGCTATGGTATTCAGACAGCCTTGACCTATTGAGGATGATCTAGGCCTGATAGGTGTGACTTTTGGGCATGAAACGACGTTCCACCGCTCGGTATATCGTGTATGGGACATGCGAGGAGAAGATTTCCCAGAGGCGGACGTGCTTAGCCCTCAAACTCTCCATTTCAACTGATCGCTACTTTGCGAATCTCACTTCTCACCCAACTTCGTAGTTGGCTTCCATCATAGATTGCTAAACCTCATCACGAGTGCAGTCAGCGCCTCCCTCATTTAATGCTTCGAATACATCTATACTAAGCACAGCATTCACCACTCCGACAGCTTCCGCGGTTTTGCTTTTTGTGATCAATAATTGCAAATACCCTTCGGCCTCAACTAACTTGAAAGGAGTTGGGTAACTGTGACTCGCTCGAGGGCTGTGTCCCATGGCTAGTCCCCTCCAGCTTGAGTTCTTTAGGGAGTACGAGTTTTCATACGCTATCTAACAAAGGTATGATGCTGGTTGTGATGTCTGACCCGTGGCGGTAGACAACCATGTCAGATTTCTAGACCGGTTACCATGGGTTTGCGAAGTACAGTGACATAAGCGTAATCATGTCTCAGCATGACGAGAATCGCTGGCTAACCTGTATATCTTTCGAGATGTGTAGATATACCTGGATATGCTATAGTGATAAGCAAATACTTCCCTTCGTAAGTCTGTACATTAGAAAGTTTCGTGCTTACCGAGCCTGTAATCTGTGCACAATGTGCTTCTAACCAGGCAGTTCATATCTGCCGGTCAGACTCTAGACGGATTCTTCAATAACTTGATTTCTCAATGGTCTATCGAAGTTCTAGCGTATCCAAATCTGGCAGTGAAGTCGAGCAACTTACGTGAATGATAAACCGCATCTTGATAATCCTTCTTTCTTGTTTATACGCATGATCTAAAGGAAAAATGTATGATCCACAAAATATGGCGATTCTTAATTACGGCACGAGAGAATCCTTGGTGATGTACATAAGGACGACGAGGAAGTTAACTAAAGATCATATCTTTGTACTTGAGTCTGGCTTTTTATTAATTTATTGTCAAATGAAGATTAGATAATTTGTGATAGGGTAATAAATTTATCCATCAGCCGAGGCTTCTACATACAAGTCCTTGGTCAATATATGTGTATAAACGCCTTCGTTGCACTCAGGTGAACACTCAAGCACAATCATATTCAAAGCAAAAACAGTCTGCATGCTATCTGACAGCATTATTGTTCGGTACAATCTTGTAGATAAGCGTAAAAACAAGGAGTCCCGTGCAGTGGTAGCATTAGTTACTAAATCTGTAGCGCCTGGTAGAATCCCTTCCGGTCCCAGAATTCAAGGAACCTGCTTAGCATTTGGGAATCGAAAGGCACATACTGAATGTCTGGTGCATCCTTCAACGCAGCAGCCGTATTCGAACTGTCATAGTGGGGCGTGTTCCTGCTGGTCTCGAACCTGGAGAGTCCGTTCAACACAGGCTCCTGCAATAGTGGCATAACCGGCAACAACGGGTTGTTCGTATCACTCGTCCTCTGCAACATGCGAACCCAATCCCAATAGGGAACACGCTTCAATGAATATCCAGCATTCCGGAAGACCTCAACAGTCTTTTCGAGGTCCACCGAGTCCTTAGGGTCAGGGGCAACTAGGCTGTATGATTTGCCGAGATTTTCGGTGCGAGAGGCGATGTGTAAGGTAGCGTTAACTACGTAGTCGATAGTAACGTACTCCATTCTCTGATTTGGAAGGATAGGGAATGCGCCCAGTTGAATACTCCCCACCATCAAACGGGCAAAGAAGTCATCTGGATTGCCAGCCCCGTTTCGGGAATCCCCGATGGTGAATCCAGGCCGATAGATGGCGGTGGGAAGCCCGCGATCACGAGCTCGACGCACCATCACCTCAGAAATCCATTTGCTTTGTGCGTACCCAACATCGAACGGTAGTGCTCGTACGTGGCGCTCAAGTGGCTCGTCCTCGAGGCATTTGCGGGTTCCAAGTACAAGGCCTGTCGGGCCCCAGACATCAATGCTGGACATGAAGTGAAATGCTTTTCGCCGTCCACTAGAAGCCAAGTCTATCATATTTTTAGTCCCAAGGGTGTTGGAGTCAAAGTGGGCTTGGTATGGATCGCAGAAGTTAACCTTGGCGGCGAGATGGAAAACAACACTCGCCCAGTTCGCCAACCAGTCAAATTGATCTGGTGGGAGCCCAAGCAAGTCAGAAGAAATATCGCCCGTTAAGACCCTTAGTTTGTGCGTATGGGGCTCTGATCTATCCCAGAGGTCATATTGCTCCAAGGTTGCCTGCACTCTATCTTGGGGTTCCATGCCATTTTTAGGCCGCGCGATGCACACAATTTCTTTCACTGTGGGCATCTGCAGGAATCGGCTGAGGAAGTTCACGCCAACAAATCCAGTGACACCTGATACGAAGACTCTCCCTTCGTTATCTGCCTGCCAGTCGGGTACGGTATACAGGTCGTCGGCGATCTTGGAATCCTCGATCCATTTATCTGTCTCGTCCGGTGCATTCCCGCCTTCGGTGAACTCGCCAAGGTAACTGACCAGATCGCGGAACCTGGAATTTTCATGCACAGCTTGCATAGGTACAACCTTTCCAAAAATTTCCTTCAGCTTTCCTATTAGAGCAGCGGATTGAAGAGATGTCCCCCCGAGTGCAAGGAAGTCATCATCATCGCTGATTTCTTTCTTGTTCAGTAAGGAGGACCAAATATGCTTCACAACACTCTCTGTGTCACTGCCATGGCTATTTGTCACATCCCCATTAGCGGCCTTTTGCTGGTCTCGTTTCTCTCTGTACTGCTGCTCTAACGCTTTCCGATCGACCTTAGCATGCTCTGTCAAGGGATACTCTGAAGAAAAGACAAAATCCTTCGGAACCATATAGGATGGCAACCTCTGTTCCAGATATTCAGAAAGGTTACGAGCACGGACTGTGTCAGCAACGGTGGGTATCACAAATGCCACAAGAAATGATTCTTCGCCATCATTTTGGGGTGTAATCTGTCGTACGATGGCACCGGACAACCAACCGCTTGCCAGGAGGGTCTGCTCAATTTCTCCTAATTCCACACGGAATCCACCCTGTTTGACTTGGTGATCTGCTCGACCAACGAACTCGAGCACATCTGGTGTAGTTGGGCGATACTTTGCCAGATCACCAGTTCGGTAATATCTGTTTCTACCGAGGGTTACAAAGCTTTTTTCATTCTCTTTCGGACGATTGATATATCCTATAGTCAAGCCAGGCCCTCCGAGCAGGATTTCGCCCGTCTCATCCGGCTTTGTAATGATCTTTAGGTTCTCATCCACAAGGCACAACTTGGTGTCCCCAGTTGGTTTGCCGATACCTATAGAATTATGTTGGAACTCCTCGGCTTGGATCTCGTGCATAGTAGAGTAGGTTGTTGCCTCCGTCGGGCCGTATGTGTTCCACAAATGCTTTGGGGGTGCGGAGGACTCCATGATCGCCTGTACAGCAGCAGAATTAGGCACATCACCGGCACTCAAGACATGCCTGACACCGCGGAAAGCGTTAGGGCAGGTGCGACCGATAATAGAAAGCAATGCCGCTGTCATAAAGGTTACAGAGATACTTTTCTCTTCGACGAATTCTCGAAATGCGAAGGGGTCCGTCACAACCATGCGAGGTACTGGGACCATAGTGGCACCAGCGACCAATGGAGCGAACACCTCAAACAGCGAAATATCAAAGCCCGGATTATTTATGAGCGTGACGCGATCAGAGGGCTCCAGCGGTGCCAGAGCTGATTTTGTCACTAGATGAATAATAGCTGTTTCCGGTATCTGGACAGCTTTTGGTTTTCCGCTTGATCCTGACGTAAAGATGATATGGCTGCGGTACTGATGGCCTGGATCATGGGTCGAACCGTCCACTTGGTTGTCTCTCGGCTCACAGGATATGTCGCCAGAACCCTGGCCCGATATGGGGATCACCGTATAGTCGGTGTCCTGGGCGGCGTCCTTCTCGTCAGAAAGAATATATTTGGCTCCGATATCAGCGAGCATATCAGCCCGACGAAGCCTGGGGGTAGATGGCTCCATCGGAACACATGTCAGTCTTGCTCTTATCAGAGCAAGCTGAGCAATGACGAGTTTGGAGCTGACTCCCTCTAAGATGCAGACCGGTTCCTCGGGGCTCAAGTGATAGCCCTTCAGTACGGAAACTAGCCTATCGACTTCTCGCTTGAGGTCCATGTATGTCATGCTCTGGTTATCATCTTGGATGGCGGTAGAGCCCGGCTTTTGGCTAGCGTGAATGGAGAGATAGTGATCCATTGTGGCGGGTACAATCAACGAGGAATGCGTTGAACAAGGGTTATAAACGAGCAAGGTCTTGACTCAAAGAAGTTTGGTGTTGCAGGCTTAGTCTTCGTGATGCTTTTGATAGAGGCTGTCCCTTGAACATTCTGTACCTGGTCTCGAAGTATTTCACGGCCTTATATACTTTGCGAACTGCGCTACAGCGCCTCCTACATGAATAGATGATAGCGATACGCGTCATTTAACTTACAATGACTAGTCATCTATGATAGAATGTGGCACTGTTCATGGCCAAAAGATGTTGCTTTACGTGTGCTGTGAAATAGCTGTAGCAAACCCAACTCGAAATTCGCGGAATTGGAACCCACCCATCATCGATTTCGGTCTAGTTTTCTGTCCAATGACACAACCTTCCAAACTAGGTCCCCGAGTATGCAATGACTAAATAAATCTTCAGTCAAGTTTTGGCAACATCAAGATTTAAAGGGCATGGAGGCCTATGAAGCTGTCAGGTGTCAAAAAGAAGGTTTGGGAGTTTCAAAGACGGGGGAGAAAGTATTGAGAACCACATTGGACAAACCGCCACTTGAACTTACGACACACTCCTAATATCCTGATTTTCAGCATCGAAGAAACAGGGACTTTGTGTGGTGGGGGGATGAATGATATAGATCCCATGGCCTTTCTCAAGACCGTGCCCGACTGCCGTGGCGAGGACCGGCATTCTGGAATCCACAGAATATGGGAACAAGCTTATGCCGGTAGAGTGGAAGCTAAAAAGCAACCGTGCATCAAGAAGTCGAGGAAGCATGGTTGGATCATCCTTGCGAGTAACGAAATCGATCGATCCTGCAATATGACACATACGTTCACTAGTAGCCTCTTGATTGGTGCAATGGGCATCTTTCAGCAGAGAGGAACCTTCGCAAAATGAGGCGCAGACTAGGCGAATCAGAAAGCCTTCTGCTACGGGTTTGGGCTTTTTCACATCACATGGACCAGAGGTTTTGGCATTAGTTTAGGGCATAGCCTTTGTAGATTTCTTAACTATTCGTACTGACTCTACTGACTCTAGGCCATAGTGGATAGCCACGTACCTTCCATATGATGTGTACCTCCAAGAGTCGTAACCTTGAGTTGGTATCGGTGGAAAATAATTAATTTGTGGCATTTTGGGTTTAATCAGGAACAATGTGCCGCGTTTGTTGCATTCACACTTCACCACAATATTGTGAGATAGGGTACAGTGCTCGATCAAGTGCGTTGCATGGCACGCTTGCAACAGAGGAATCTTCATAACAAAAACATAATTCAATTTACCGCTCTATATGTGCATGGATATCTAATTTACAGCATAGGCTTCAAGTCATCTGCAACCTTGAAAGGAGCAGCGGTCTTGCTGCGGATCTCATCAACTGAGACGCCTTCCGCGAATTCAGCCAGCGTCAGGCCCTCGATCGGGCTAACTTCAAACACGGCCAGGTCAGTGATGATCTTCCACACGCAGCGAGGGCCGGTGAGGGGGAAAGAGCACTCAGGCAAGATCTTGGGATTGCCCTTCTTGTCGACGTGCTCCATAGTCACAACGACCTTAGTCTTCTCGGGGTTGGCCACCAAGTCCATGGCCCCACCGACACCCTTCACCTTACCGGGAAGCATAAAGTTCGCAAGGTCTACATGTAGTTGTTAGAGTGTCAAGAGTAGGTTAGAACTCAGTCAGAAAACATACCTCCATACTGGCTCACTTGAAGAGCACCAAGCATAGTAAGATCAATACGTCCAGAGCGAATCATACCGAAGCTCTCGTGGGACCCAAACACAGAAGCACCACCGGCCAGAGTGACAGTCTCTTTACCAGGGTTGATGAGGTCAGGATCTTCCTCGCCAGGCTTAGGATAACCACCCAGGCCCAGAATACCGTTCTCAGCCTGGAGCACAACCTCAACGCCCTTAGGGAGATATGAAGGAGCGATCAGAGGCATTCCAATACCCAAGTTAACGTACATTCCGTCCCGAAATTCCTTGGCAGCACGCTTGACGATGCGCTCACGACGGGCGGTGGCTTCGCCAGAGCCTAGATATTGTGAGAAATGGCATTGAAACAGAAATAACGTAAATTAAATAATAAAAAAAAAATACTTACCAGCCTTAAGCATCTCGCTGGGGTCTTTAGCGAATGTGAGCTTTTCAATCTGCTTTTCACCTTGGCTCTGGATAACTTTGTTGACGTAGATGCCTTGCAAGTGGATATCCTCCGGGGCGATTTCCCCGACCTCAACGATGTGGTCCGCTTCAACGATGGTATACTTGGCGTTCTTAGCCATAGCCTCGTTGAAGTTGTTCATCGCCTTGCGGAACTGGCAGTTACCAAGCTTATCGGCCTTGTGAACCTTGACTAGTGCGTAGTCACCGAAAATCGCTTCCTCCAGAAGATAGTTCTTGCCATTAAACATACGAGTTTCCTTAGGCTTGGACGTTTCCGCCACAGTGCCATTTTTGTTATAACGTACGGGGAGTTCACCGGTTTGCACTGTCCAGCGTCAGCTCGCCTAGCTGGCCAAAAGAGTTGGAGATTACCAACCAATAGTTCCATAAGCCGCGGGGGTATAGAAAGCAGGGACACCAGCAGCACCGGCCGCACACTTTTCAGCAATGCTACCTTGGGGCGTGAGTTCCAATGCGAGATCACCGTTCAGGTACATTTTCTCAAAGACTTTGTTTTCACCGATAAACGAAGCGATCATTTTACTGATCTGTCTAGATTCCAGTAATTGTCCTGTTTCGCATTAGGATTCCACCTAACGATAACCCAGTCAATCTCATCTAACGACGTACCGAGACCAGCACCAGGCATTCCGGCATTGTTGGAGACAACCGTCAAATCGGTGATGTCCGGACGATCACGCACAGCATTGATCAAAGTATTTGGCACACCCGAGAAACCAAATCCTCCGACCAACAGCGTGGAGGAACCCTTCATATCCTTGACGGCTTCCTCAGCCGATTCACATAGCTTATCAATTGCTCTTCTTGAGGTTGAGACGGAGAAATTCCGCCGCCCTATTGGGCGGAACATTGAGAGGAAAGGTCGCGACATGGTGTCGACCAACCTTTGGACAATTGACTCAAAACGGTTGTAGGTATAAAACTGAAGAGAAGCAAGAGAGAGAAAAAGGAGAGAGAAGAACTAAAGGAATTAAAATATCTATCGCGGCAGCGCCGCCAATAGCGATAGCACGTCCCCCCAACATCACTCTCTATATCAAGAACAGCTCTATCTTCGGTTAGATGCAAAAGCCGACAAAGTGATTATCCGCCCCGTTCTTCGTAGACCGCTTTGCCGCCTCCCGAAGCCGATGGGTATTGAGTGTTACGGTACTGTGGAGGGAAGAACACTCATCCTGCGGAGGATGGAGACAACTTGTCCCTTGAATGAAAAGGCTTTTCAGAGATTAATATATCATACTTAAGGTACAACTCTTCCTCTAATCATATAATGACCATGGCCGATAACCCCTCAGAGCCCTGTCGATCTCCCTAATCGTGACAACCAGATCGCGATTGATTAGATAAGACCGTGAGGGATAGTTAGTTAGTTAATCGTCGGAAATGTCACGAATCCATCGTAAATTACCATTCCGACAACGGGATTCGCATCGGCAATGACCTTCATCGTTCCCCCTTGGATTTCCCCTCTTTCCTACCCGTTATCAAAGTTGTTCAATGCTGCTCACAATTCTGCGATTCTACTCACTTCATTTCCGCATTAACGTTGGCCACAACACCGCCAGCTGTTCGACAATATCAGTATATTTCCTCAACTCAACTAACTGAACAACGCTCTATGAACATGAACACACATCTATCAACTTTTTCTTGCGTTCGTTCCTATTTTCCTTAGGGCTTTCGACCATAAACAACATGGCAAGGAAGGTAAAGATGCAATGTTCGATTAGAGACTTCCTGCTTCACCTTTTGCATCATCGCCTGCATCTCCTCCTCACTCCAACCAAGAACCCGTGTGTAAAGCGCAGGGGTGTAAGCCTCAATGGCTTGCATTTCCCCGACAAACTGGAATTTCCCGATTTCTTTCATTTTCGCGTCTTTGGGCCAAGTTCCGATGGGGACCTATATCTCAGACCGAGTCAGGACACAGCACTCATGTACGGTTCGCTTACCCACCTTTAATATCGTTTCTGTAACTTCGACAAAACCAACATCTTCCAATTTCTGCTTCCACTGATTAACTTCATCCAAGGGCTTGCCGAACTTTCTGCCGGCATCGCGGATGTTTCTCATCCAGTCTTGGGCAGTCCCAGCCTGGTCAGCAGTATCATCATCCGATAAGAAATGGGCGCTGACAGCTTGGAGTTCAAAGTAGCCCCCCGAACTGGTATGGTTAAATGCTTGCTGGAAAAGTTTGTCGATGTTGCCTATGCATCCCGACAGTTCACGAGCATGGATGTAATCGAATGGTGTTTTATACACCCAGTCTGACTCAAAGTTGTCTATCTCGAACTGGCAATTCGGCGGCACCCTATAGAATGGCTGTGCGTAAGATCATACTTGGGACCACGGCACCAAAGGTAAAAACATACCATTTAGGTTGGATGGGGCTCAAGTCATTCCCAATCACACGGGCCGATCCATATTCACTATCCAGATCAGACATGTCAATCTCTGGCTAGATGAGGAATACTTATACACACTTACTCGGCAAAGTCGATGGCCCAGAGGCCAGTTCCAGTGCCTAGATCGAGAACATGCCGTGGGCTCTTGCCCAGAGGTGCGAGATGGAGCTTCCCTTCTAGTAGGAGAGAGTATATGTGATGCACTAGGCCCATGCGGTCTTGTTCCGCTTCGTCATTCGGCTACAAGGCCATTAGTAATAGGTATATTGAAGGCATCTAAGGATTGGATATATACCCCTATATATGTCCCCTCATGATAAGCATGATAACGGCGTCCGTTCTATTAAGCTTTCGTTAGGCCGAACCCGCTACTTGGTGCTTTCCATGCCCTTACCTCGTATCTAATATCCACAGAAGCGTTGTTTCAGCCAGACGAATATCTAGATGAAGGGTGCCTAATAGAATTCATTACCTGTAGTCGGTAATACTAGCGCTCAGAGAAGTCAAGCCGCTTGCTGAGGTCAGACGCCTACAGGGGGCAATTAGTTACACTATCCGACGTTCCCTGGGAAAAGTAGGAAACGAACGAGCAGTCATCATCATCGTTTTCATCGCCGGAGGAGTTATCCTACGCTATGTCAGTGGATGACACGAAGGTCTGGGGTGGGTTTTGGTGCTTGCATCGACTAGTATGGGATCAGCTCCGAGGACGGAAGAATAGTGTGCCTTTTGGGCGGTTTCTTCGGACATTGTGTTCAGGGAACAAGAAAATCGGTCGAAATCTTAGTATATACTGATATTAATTGAACTGACTGACCCCGGTCGGGCGGACATTGCCGCATTTATAAGAGCTGCTTTTACCAGTGCTTGACCCTTGACATACCCCTGTCAGTGGATTGCAGAATCGATCCAATAGTATGACGGTTCAATGGCCTGTTTCACTGGCATCGTGTCCACTCTTTCTTCCCTTGGCCCGCTCCTGTGCAGGCGTGATTTACTAAGGGCCACTAGCAGCCATGTTGAGTGGAACATGGCCTAAGGTGAGAGGTGCTATCTGGATTCGAGGGGTCGAGCGTAGCATGGCGAGCACTTGACCCAGCCAAATCATTAATATAAGTTGAGAAGCTGGTTGGTCAAAAGAGCGTTGGGTGACCCACTACGAGTTGATGTGAAAGAGTACTTTTGTTGACGCGCTAATTTCGATAAATACGATATCATCCCCCCCACCGAGCAAGGGTGATAGGAGACACCTTTACTCATGTGAGCAAGACGGTCCTTTCTCAACGATCCTCGGCATTTCGACTCCGGGATAAAAAGACGGGGTTTGGCTTTGTTGCTTTGTCAACCTCTGTTGTGCTGCGAAATGGACCTGCTTGTTATCGGCTTAGGGCATTTGATGTCAGTCAGCCACGCTAAAAGATGATGATTGAGTGAATTTGCGGAGTAACGACAATCCCCCCCGTCAGTACAACTCTTGGACTATGCCAGGTGAAACATGTAGCCACAACATAGGAGACGACAGTAGTTGAAACTTATCATGTTCAAATTAAAATAGATATTGATTTTAAGCCCATCGGAGCCCCACATGCAACGTGCGGCGCAACATTCTATGACATGATGAAGCGGAGATCGATCAATGTAACGAGCTTAAATTCATACTTTCTGAACAACCATACTTAAAAAGGTGTTGGATTTTGATCGGCAATTAAGATGCTTCGCAACTGCCGTCATATCCCCCGCTTTGCGAGTCAAAACGTGACTAGCTACGGTATTGCTACCACCGTATACTTGACTAATGTAACTGTGTTCATAGTTAAATCGCTACATAGGATTACTAATTTCTGTAATGATAACTGGGTAGGAGTGTTCTGCCTTAACTGGAGTACAAAATAATTAATAGCTTCCCCACGGGGTAGATGGGGCTACCACCACATTCGTCAGACCAAAATACGTGCATGTTATAGATCTAGCAATAAGCACTTCTTTTTTCTTTCCTCGGGGTTTCTTGCAGAGAAGGAGAGAAATCAGGCAAGTTTCCAGTCTTTCAACAATAGTCAATGACCGATGTTATTATTGGCTGCAGCCATCAAAAACGTGTATTCATCATACGGTACAGTACCTAGTAAAACCAGAACCTTTCCACTTTCCGCATGCCCGCGCATTATTATTCTTCTCTTTCTTAGCGTGCAGTCTCTTGACTTGACTTTTAGTACCTCTTCTTCCTTTCTCCTTACTATTACAAACTACTAGACTGAATTTGTTCACTCTCTTCTCCCTATCAAAGGCCATGCCCTCAAGCAAGTTTTCCATTGATCTCTCTGCCCTTGTAGCCCTGTAACCGCCGTCATGGTTATAAAAAAGTGCAACATCTGTGACCGTCGGTTTAAAAAGACTGAGCATTTCAAGCGCCATGAACGATCACGTTAGTCCACTCTAGTCAGATATGAGCACATCTTCCTTTTCTCCCAAAATCCGCTCTTAACATTCTAGTAGACACCAAAGAAAAGCCTTACGAATGCAATGTCTGCCATAAACGTTTTTCTCGAAGGTACGTAGCGTTGAAGACGGTGGATTTTCCTAATCGAGAGCCTGCACGCGTTCGACCGACGAGCGATTGTGACTTACAACTTCAGCGATGTTTTGAGCCGTCATGCGAAGGGCCATAATGACCCCGCTGCGCACACGACAAATAGGGTAACCAGTAAGCAACAGCCCTCTGTGCCATCTGGTCAAGGGTCCCATTTTCAACCGTCCAGTATCCTTGAGAAAGGCAAACAATTATTCCCCGGCATCCATCATTCGATGCAGACCCATTTAATAGAGCCTCACGACATACATGCCTCCGCAACAGCAGGCCATCCTTCCTCGTTGGACTTTCTGGCGGACGCCTCTACTCACCATGCTCGAGCCGAGCCTGATGTCAATCCAATGCTGGCTGTTGAACCTCAGACCTACTTTGAGGCGCCACCGACATACCAGCCATCCTACGGGGGTGCCATGATTGACCCCATGTTGAATGAATCACTCCAGCTGTGGCTGAATCCCTCCGATGCGGCTTCTTATCCCGAGTCCATGGAATTTGGACAGGACTCGAATCTCGTTATGGCTGAGCAGAATGCGGGCGTCTCCACAACTCAACGCTCCCAGCAACATGACGCTGGGTCCTCCACTGATAGAATAAGTGCAAACACCGGTGTAACCATCCCCAGTGAGAGATTTGCCAAGGTTCAGCACCATTGGCTGGGTCCATCGCATACCGGACGCCTCATTAGTAGTCTCTGGCGCGATGTGGCGTACAGCAACATAGACAATATTTTCGCGATGCAGTCTGGGCTGTCGCAAACTAGTTCGTCGAGCCTGCTACAAAGTTCGAGATATGGCCTAGATGAGGATTGCCGAAGACAGCTTCATGCAACGTTCGGGTACATGCGATACTATAACCAGCAAAGCCGTGGCCCAATCAACACTCCTCCGCCAAATGACTCTGCACTCATTGCTCTCCCAAACTTCCCTCCTGCCGAAATTCTAGACATGGCACTTGACGTATACTTTCGCAACTTTCATCCACTCCTACCATTTGTCCACCTCCCGACATTCTCCGCCAAAAACATGAATATTTCGGTGCTTCACGTCATGTGCTTGATTGGGATGGCCTTACTAGGAACTCAGGGTACCGCTTCTTTTGTCTCTAAGAACTTTACTGTAAGTCATGGTTTTTGAGACTCCTTACCGCAGTCATACTCTAATCCTCCTTTCTGATAGTTTGTTCTTGAGAAACTCTCTGCCGAAATGGCAAGATGCTCCGTCGGAACCGAGAGCTTAGGGAGCACTATGTCTGCCTTTGCAGCAGCGATTCTGTTTCTAAATCTAGCCGCCCTGACTGGGGTATGGATATAACCCTACGGTTCACCTGAAGCGCGACTGACCACTAATGCGCTTATAGGAGAAAGGTCATATTGAGAACAGTCAGATGCTCTATGTCAACCTTGTGTCGGTAGGTACGGAAATCTACTCGTCCTTTTGCTACTAACACATGATAGATCGCACAAAGACACGGGTTATTTTCAGCTACCGAAGGTCAATTGCTCGACAAGAGTCTGTTCGAAAGTATCTCAGATAACGATCTCAAATGGAAAGCTTGGAGCAAAGTGGAATCTGTCAAACGGTCCGTCTCCTGACACAATTGGGAATATAGGCACACACTGACCAGTCAGGTTGATTGCTGGACTACTCATGCTGGACGCCTGGTGTTCATCCTTCCTATCTACGAGTCCTATAATTGTGCCCGATTCAATTCAACTGATTCTACCCTGCAGCGAAGCACTATACGAAGCCAACAATTCAATGCAGTGGATGCAATTAGTTCGCGGGGGGCAGTGCATGCTGATGCCCACCGTAGTATCTCCATCAGAAAATGTCGAAATCGCTGCACTGGACAGCCATATTGATAGATTTGGTATGAACGGGGTATTATCAATAGTGCAGCTTCGGCTTTCCGAGTCATACCATCGCCTCCTCTCCAAGCGGGCTAGTTATCCTTTCGCTCCATGCCATACCTATGCCATGGATGGCCGTGCAAGGTGTCTCTCGGCCCTTCAATTACAGATAGCTAGCAAGTATGGTCGGAATCTAGACCGCCTCGATCCGAACGCGATTATCTTGTGGGATAATATGTGTATGAACCTCACGGCTGACATTCAAATATTCGAGCTGGCTGCTGGACGTGCAGGTCCAGACCCGGCGCGAAAGGCTCTCGACAACATTGCTGCTTGGTCGCAAACACCAGCGGCTCGGAGGGCTTGTATGCATGCAGCCCACGTATACAAAGTTATGATCAATCGCAAAGCATCGGACCCCATTACATTTCATTCAGTCGTGTCTCTATTCTCCGCAGCGCTTGTCCTAGGCTTGTACATATACACGGTGCCTAGGAGTGCTGAGCCACAATCTGGCAGCACCCCAATCGAACTTCTGGATGATATAGATTGGAATAATCTGGGCACAGAGGGGTTTACCAGTTTTATGGAACCCAACGGATCTCACTCGTCTGTGGCAACTCACAATCCAGTGGTGGACTTCATTCGAAACGGAGGCACTGTTTATCTTCGCGGGGCCCCTTTTCAGGGTGGATATCAATCGGCGCGACGAATTCTACTAGACTATGCGGGCCTTTTGAAGGATACTGGAAAATGGAGCGTTCGAAAATTTTCACACGTGCTCTACATAATGAGTGACGTACTGATGGATACGGACTGAACCTGCTGTTTGGCCATTGGCAAGAAATCATCGCCGGGGAGTCTTAGAATATACTAAGCAGTATATGGAGGATGTCCACTCTCTATCTGAAGAGTAGCAAATTATTTGTTCTCAATAAGCTATACTCACAGGTGTCGATCGAGAGTCCATCGATGCCACGTCACCAACTAGAGCTGATTCGTATAACTCTCGTTCAGTGATACAGGTGAAAAATTCTGTGTGGATCGTGCACATTGATGGCATAGCATATATCTTCATTTTGATCTAATAAAGACTACGCTGGAAAACAAGACAGAAAGGATCGTATCTCGTCACACCTTGTCAATAACACCATTGCAGCAACATCCCTATGCCATCCAGCTCCTATTCTTAACTCTCTGCCACAATTTCTCCATTTCATCGTTGGAAGCGAGCACAGAGAGCGTATAATTCCCATTGTCGCTCAACTGTGACTCCCCTTGGGGTTCTCCAGCGAGCACAACCCTTGATAGACCACAAAAGCCTTCCGCATACCATTCCGGCTCCGACCCGTCGTCACTCCGCGCCTCGAAATGTTCACCTTCACCACCAATCCCGGATAACGGGTGTGCTTCGCGGTACTTGGGTAGGCTCAGTCCATTGCACCGCGCATTCGGCATGTGCAGCACGTTATCAAGGACCAAGGTGTTGGTCTGATTATCGCCTGAGCGTCGTCGAACGCGCAACTCCACACTCCCTACGCCCAGGACGCGTGAGCCGGCGACCTTGCCCGGTGCTCGTCGATAGCTCCGGAATGTCGAGCGGTTTTTGGCGTAGTGGCAGTTACCATCTGTAACGATCCAGTCCCAGCATCTGTTGTATGTGTTGGATTGTTTAGATTTTGACTGAGATTTGGACTTGGACCTTTTCGAGGGCTGAGGTTGAGAGTATGGGTTGTGACGGTGGGGGTGCTTCGAGTCGCTACGATCTGATGTTTGACCTCGCATTGTCGTTTATTTTTATTCTTCCTTCTTTTCTTTTCTTTTTTTGATTATCGAAGTCAGTACTCTCAGGTAAAATGTAAATACACGACGAGTAAGAATGAGGCCGAGTGAATGAAATACAACAATGGAAATGAATGTATGTACAAGTCAATTGAACCGTGGCGAACAACGTCCCCCTGGAGAATATAAACGAGTAAAACAATGCGATCCAACAACCATGGGGGTTCCAAATCACTCGTACAATGGAAAGTGTTGACGTAGGTTAAGACTGGATGGCGAATTGACTCTGTTTGGTTACCAATAAAGCATGCGAACAAGCTTAATAAGGTGGAGCGATGAGTAACTGCTTCATAATCCCCCAGAAGGGTTCACACTTGTTACATTGACAGTACAGATCGACCAACATATCGAGGATATGGTATCTTTCTTTCTTGCTTGTTTTAGAAAAGTTGTCTATGCTATGCGTCTATGTATGTACATCGGGTATATGTATGTATATGGTGAGCTAGATACGTACTAGACCATGATTACTATCTCCCATACAGTAGCCCTTCGACCATCTCTCCTATGGCCAACGAACTCGTCAGTCCCGGACTCTCAATCCCCAAAAGGTTAACAAACCCAGGAAACCCTTCCTCTTCCTGAATGATGAAGTCCTGGAACCCTTTGCCCACGTTCACGGCCCCACCACGCCCCAACTTGGGTCGGATCCCACAATAGTCCAGACTGATGGCACCAGGGTCCACGTTAGGTAGATACGCCTTGATCTCCGGGAGCGCCTGCTCCAGCCGGGCGGGACTGGGTTTGAGATCGTTCGGGTCATCCACCCATTCCACGTCGGGGCCGAATCGTATACGGCCGCCGAGGTCCAGAGTTAGATGGGTGCCTAGGCCGCCATGACCGGGCAAAGTAGCCGGGTACACCAGGACGGAGGTTTTCGGGAACGACGCCGAGTAAGAGAAATAAGTGCCCTTTGCGTAGTACGGGGTACGGTGTCGGCCAGCCGGGAGAACCATATTATTGATAGAGCAAGCGTAGTTCCCGGCGCTGTTGATCAGCGTCTCGGCCGTGATGGACGTCTCTGTGCCATCGCTCGTCTCAGCCGTGATCCGGTACCCATCCTTCCCGCCATTCAGCGCCTCGATACCCGTTACATCCGTCAGAAACGCACAGTCGCCGCCCCGGTCTTCGAAGTCCCCTTGCAAATAGGTCATCAAGGAGTGACTGTCCACAATCCCGGTGGTGGGACTCTCGACGATCCCCGCTAGGGCCTGCACCTCCGGTTCTAGAGCCTGTGCTTCAGCGCGCCCGATCAGCCGAGTCGGGACGCCTATGTTTTGCGCGTGGTCATGCGTGGCTAGAGCGGCGGCCCATTGCTCTTGAGTCTGCGCCACGATCCATTTCTTAGTGTTGCGGTGGGGGATTCCGTTGCGGGCGCATAGATCGTACAGCAACTCTTTGCCTCGGATGCAGAGCTTCGTCTTTAGGGTATCGGCTCCGTAGTACAGCCCGGCGTGGATGACCTGCGCATAAATTAACCCAATTGGTGTCAGTGTTATAGTCTAGAGTCATGATTCCTAATTCGAAGGGGGGGGTGGAGACACGAACCTCAGAATTACGACTGCTGGTCTCCGTGCCTGGTGCATCGTGCCTCTCTAGGAGAATGGTTGATGTGCCCTCTCTAGAGGCCAATTGCCGGGCAACCGCTAGACCAACCACGCCGGCACCGATTACCTTGTTGCCTTTATGAGTTTTTGTCTTCATGATTGCGATCGTGGGGGTCAAGTAGGGGTATTTACCGCATGAGTGACATCGGCACTAGATGCTCGCCCGCTGGAGAAGCTGCGGCGCGGGGCGAGGAGCTTCTTGGAGATGGAGAGACTTGCACGCGTAGTCATTGCCTCTGAGATACGGTGTTTATTCAATTCAGGGGGCTCATTGACCACGGAGTAGTAGGAGGGGAATTGATGTCAATGGCGGAATTGTTGAGCTGGTGCAATGCCGATCGGCGATAAGCGTGCGGCGATAAGAATGTTGGTTCTAGGCTCGATTGAGTAAAAGCTCAGATGACAATCGCTGTATCTACTTATGGCTTAGTAGTTACTGTGCAGATGCATAAATTAGTCCAATCAGTTCGGATCGTGCTAATCATTTACTAGAGGGATGGATGCACATTGATTCATATATTACTGAGATATAGATATCGGAGTGAGTATAGTCGAGGCTACTATCCATTATGTCCTGAGCGCTTAATATATACTGGAAGCATCTAACCACGCTTTCCAACGTTCTTGAGCATTTCGTCCAAATGCTAAACACCATTAGCCCACAGCCTGTGTATAGGGACAAGAGTGTACAACTTACCCGCTTTTGTTCGATTGCTAATTTGCCATGGGTATCCTGTCGGACGTCAATAAGAGTCCTGTCCTTCCGGGTGATGGTAGTCAACATACGCTAATGATAGTCAAAATCAAAGAATAGTTATTGAATAGAAACCTCTCCCGTCTCTTCGCATCTCCGCCAATCCTACTAAGCTTTGCGAGAAGGTTATCAAATTCGGTGGCTAATCGTGATAAGCTATTGGAAACCGGCTCGTCGTCTCCGGCTTCGCTACTCAGCACTAGAATGCCATGCAGCAGCTGGCCAAACCTCTGCGTAAGAAAATGAGGCGCTGACGATTTGTTCAAGTCATCGCCTCCCGCTAGAGATAAGGCGGTTACAGCACTTCGGCCTGTGTGCGAGGCTACCCGCTTCAAGGACTCGCAGTGGAGGTCCATAATAACTTGGAGCCGAGGCCAGAGCTGCATATTCACGCCGTTGATGTACGTGTCCGCAACGGGCACTTTCCGACGTTGGAGCTCAAAAGCGGCCTGTTGATTCAATCGGACGCAGATAAGAACTCCTAGAGAGTCGGTCGTATGTTCGATTAGCTGTTTGGTCAATCCTTGCCCAAGAGCAAAGACGGGGTCAAATATTTCGACCGCTTTGCGGGATATCTGGTGGAAAGACAAGGTGGAGAACATCTCGGTCATAAAGGAGTATTCTGCAGAGATATTGTCCATCAGAGCAAGGTTGAAATTCCTGAAAGGGACCTCGATTCCGTGGAAAGAAGTGTCCTCCTCCGCCACGTACGATGATATGGCCATGTGATTGCCAGTCCGCAGAATTTCAATTCTTCTTCCAAGAGAGAATGGGTCGTGCGCCGCGGCACCAGTCCGCCCACCAGGGACGAAATTGCCTAAAGAGGGGTCAGACCCTATGGAAGAAGGGGGTAGATGAGGAGCTTACCTGACTTTGGAGCTGAAGGATCCCCCCCCAGAACCTCATTCCGATCGCTGGGGTATACCTTGATTTTCTCAAGCGCGTGGAGATAGCGAGTAAAATGAGATAAATAGTACCACCGCATCGTGTTAACATAAGCCTGAGTAATCTCTCCGGAAAGAGTTGGATGTGCTCGGGATACGTAACTGTACAAGTCCTTGAACTTCACGAGGCGCTGTTGTTGGATAATCTGGGCATTGATGTTCGGGGAACGCAAGGCTCGAATCTGTGAGACCAAGTAGTCTCGGATTCTCTCAACTGCTTTCTTCTTAATATCGCCCAGGAGGGGGCGCACATCCTCGACTGACTGGACACTGCTAGGGCTCTCAATCTTGATTTCTATGCTGGCTGCTCGGCTCTCAATCTCGTTCAGCGCCTTGACCCAATTCTCGTCAATTGGCCCTTCTACAATTAGTCGAACGGCTTTTGGAGAAATACAAATTTCTTCCACAGCGGGTCCCAAAAGCTGTTCTACATTCCGACGATTCGCCAACATCGCGTTTAGCTGTACGGAGCGAGTTTGCAGCGTCTCAATCTCAACCGAGACTGCTCCGAGTTCTGTCTGAAAGTCATTCAGGTATTTCTCTACCGATTTAGCAACATCGTCACAGCCCGTGATGGCTGAATGTAGGTCCTGAAATTTATCTCTCTCCTTCTCGAATTGTTGAATGGTTTGCGCCCCAACATCGCTAGTCGAAACTCTCCTCGGCTCATCGGATCTCGTAACGAATTCTTCAAGGCTCAGATTTCCAAAGTCAACATCCACCTCCAAATGGGAAGGCTTTGTTTCCAAGATAGGAGATGCGATAGAGGATCCCGCTTCTACCGGACTTCCTTTCTGCTTCCTAATAATATCATTTAGTACATCGAGTGGATCGGCCACGTTAGATGGGCGGAGCTTCGTCGTAGTTTGTTTCAATAATAGATCATCGCCACGCTGCGTCGCGGATAAAGAAGTGGCCGAGTCACTAGGGGTGAGGAGATTGGATAATGACGATCCAGGTCGACTCGGTTGAGGGCGGCTGTTCTGCGTATAAGGGAAGAGCCGAGAGGCCGACCGGCGTGGAAGAGGAGAATTGCTGCGACTATCGATTGGAGGGCCGGAGGGAGTCGAATGGCCAGATATGCGGTCAAGCCACATTGTGGAAAGCCAGCCCGGAGAGGCGTGCGGATATGGAGCAGTCGTCCACCGGCCTCATTGAGAAAGGCCGGTCTGGGAGTAAACCTGCCGAGCACGCCGTGGGACTGACAACACTTTTTGAGGGAAAAAAGACAGAAAGTGGAGCTTCGCAGGAGGTACAATGAAACCAGAGGGTTTTAGAAAATACGAAAGAAAACGAAAGAAAACGAAAGAAATGAGGTCAGTATAAAGCAAGTAGGACATTTAGGAGAGTTCTCTCCAGAGGTAGATAGAGAGCAGTACACTAACCAATGGTCGAGACGCTACGGCGACTTGTTCAGACCAGAGACGTCGCACATCCGAGGCTAGGCTCGTTGCAGTCTAGCGACAGCGAAACCCCGCCACAACAAAATACTTTTTTTTCATTCGGCAGTTTGTCCATTTCTCTCTCCGTCGCTTCATTTTCTAATTTTTCTCTCTTTTCCCCCTCTCTTCTCTTCATACTCAATTTTTTTCCCTCCTTTTACCTCTCTATCTCATCTTCCCCCGACGTTGTCATTCACTACAACAAAAACGACACCATGGCTGACGTATGTGTACCCCGTCTCTAACCATGCTATCTTATTGTCGTATATTCGCTGTTTTCAGCCCCGCATTTCGATCCCCTCCGTGGTCTAATCTTGCACGCAAATGGAGATGCGAATCCCTCTGGTTATCACAAACATTTTCCGTGCATTTTGATCTGACAGCATTTTCTCCATCTAGACATTCGACGATGATCACCAGGGCGTTGATTCCGGTGCCTCCACCACCTTCCCCATGCAGTGCTCCGCTCTGAGAAAGAACGGTCACGTTGTCATCAAGGGCCGCCCTTGCAAGATTGTCGACATGTCCACCTCCAAGACTGGAAAGCACGGTCACGCCAAGGTCCACCTTGTCGCTCTCGATATCTTCACCGGCAAGAAGCTTGAAGATCTGTCCCCCTCCACCCACAACATGGACGTCCCCTTCGTCAAGCGTACCGAATACCAGCTCGTAAGTAAACCACGGAAGCAAAAGAAACCGGAAGTCTGTCCGGGCGCGGCTGTGTTTGTACTGATCTCGTCTAGATTGATGTCACCGACGATGGCTTCCTTTCCCTCATGGATGACAACGGCGGCACCAAGGACGACGTCAAGGTTCCCGATGGAGAGCTCGGTGACAAGATTAGACGCATGTTCACCGAGGAGGGCAAGGACTGCAGTAAGTAATCGATGTCTGATTTCACTGCTCGGCCCGGTTTCTAATAGTCTCATAGATGTCGTTATCCTCACTGCCATGGGTGAGGAGTGCGCCATGGAGTGCAAGGAAGCCCCCAAGGGCAACTGAATCACTGTAACCATGGACTCTTTTCCTGCTCCGCTCGCCTTTGTGTGTTCCAAGGCATTCTTGAAGTTAGCCTCTTCGATAGTGCAAGATGCGCCGTTTTGGGCGAGGTGCAACCTGGCTCTTGTATCGGTAGATTAGCCTTGGATTGTGTAGCAAAAGAAGGTTGCGCTTATTTGGCAGCGTACAGCGAACCAGTCTTAGTCTTGAGTCCAGCTTTCACGATATTTTGACGAATACCAAAAACTTCAGTGGCTCTATCTATTTATTGATTAATTCATCTCTATGCGCTTCCACCTTGTAGTAGTTAGGAAGAATAAAAGTAAAGTACTAATTTATAAGGAAGAAAAGAGAAAGAGAAAAAGAAAAAGAAACTGTCACATGTATGTATTCAAACAGTGCATTGTTCTTTATATATAAAATAAATAGATAGCAATAAAGGGTAACAAAGGTGTTCTGTCATAAATGTTTCTGTATTGGTTTTACGGCCCTGTGATCCAAGTTATGTATCAGAGAAGGGGGAAAAAAAGTCTGCCCGCATTCAATCAACCCAACGTGTACCAACACAACCAGAAGGTCGATGGCCTTTATCCTCAGTATCCCAATGAAATAAGAAACCCCCATGGACTACACTACCCGAGGGGTCTGTGGACAGGAAGGGTGCCGTGAGACACGGTATTATCTCGACAATGGCCTCTGGTTTTGCCGGCGGGGTCATCAGCAGGAGGTATGGATTCCCCCGTAACCTAAGTCAGCTAAGTCCATTTTCACCATGTAAAAAACTAATAAGTTACCTCTAGGGTCGACAAGTCGAGGAAGAGCCCGACGACTTTGGGACGCAAGGCAAGACGTATCGGGTGAAGAAGGTTGTGGCCGAAAAGGGTCCAAAGAGTATGACTCCGCCAATCGGGCTGAACGTCCGTCAAGTGCTAATGAATTCGCGTCAGCGTATCGTGGCCGACAGGCATACAGCCTCTTTCTGCAAGTGTATCAGTTGATCCTCTGGAAGCAGTGCCATGCCTTGGTGCAGGACCGAGGCTTTCCGGCTCAGTTCGAGGTGCTTACTCCCTATTAGCATGATGTTATTCCACGTCGTCAGCTGACAATCAGTGCGCAGCATGTCGTCCGTGACCTGTGGGCTCTTCGCCTTGAAACCTACTCGGACAAGATAAACAATCCTTCTGAAGGCGAGGAAGAGCCGGAGTTCTTCAGCTCACAGCCATCGGTGGGCCAGGAGGAGCCTAGCATTATCAAGTTTGGAGGAAAGAATCTTCAATGGCCCCGGCTAGTTGACTCTGTCGGCCTCTGTTATCTGGGGGCCTTATTAATGCGACTTCCCGTCGGTATTGGGGACTTTCACCGGTAAATCTTGAGATGGCTATCGCATGGTAATCGAACGATCTGACTTCCGCGCTCTAGGATGATCATGTGCGGAGAGATCCCTTACATTCGGGTAACACGGTCAATTCCTCGTGAAATGAGAGACAAATTGCCCCAGCAGTTCCTCTCGATCATCGAGACCACGGTCAGTATCGTCAACCTCGTCACTAGATTTATTTTGCTAATCCCCTAGCAGAGATTGCTCAAAGCCGAACATCTCCAGAAGGCTGTGCTGCAGCTGTCTCTCCTATATCGCCGCAAATTTGGGATGCAGTTCCCAGCTTTGAACCTGCCACCGATATTATATCGGCATATTAGGAGACTTGCTCTTCCAAGTATGGAGCAATGGCCACTCAGATATTCAACCCATGAACTAACGTATTGCTTAGTTGACGTATACTCTGCCGTGAAGAGATTGCAGGATCTTCTAGGCTTCTCTTTGGAATTCCCAAACAGTTTTGCCGGTAGGACTAGGCTTCTTGACCTCCCTGAGATCCAAGTGATCACCCTTATTGTCATATCTACTAAGCTACTTTTTCCCTTCGACGAGATCAAAAGATATCCGGCCTCAGCAAAAGAGCCCACCACTCAAGTGATTGACTGGAAGCTCTGGGCCCAAGAACAGCGACATTATGATAGCCGAGAAACTGCTGGGGGTAGAATTGGGAAAGGCAATGAAGTCTTAGTGAATGAGCGTGATGTGTTCGACATGACGCCCAGCCAGTTGGATGAGTATATGGATTGGTACGAAAACAGCTGGCTAGACAATAGCAGAGGTACGATTAATTTTGGGTAAATCGCTTCTTTCTCATCACTAACGCGAATTTACAGTAGCAAATCCATTGAGCGACTTGTTCCCCACTGGCCCAGCCAGTGTGGACCCCCAAACAGCAGCTCCTCTGGAGGAGAACAACGAGGAAGCCATAAGCTCGATGCTAAAAAGGGTTACACAACAACTCCAGCCTCGGAAAGTGATTCTAGAGGACAACACGGATACCCCTCGACCGGGGTCATCGTACGTGCGCTATAAAATGGAGTCTGATTTACCAGAGACCGCCCGATCTTTTTACGAGACGGCAGCAAAAGTGGCCGGGATATCTCTATCTACCCTCGTCAGGGCCGTCTCTCAAGCCGAATACAAGATCACGCGATGGTTAGAAGATCAGAGACGCATTGAGCTTTATGGGGATGCTGCAGGCATGGAGTTCGCGAAATTCGATAGCTCTGATGACATGGGAGAAGACATGACCGATTCTGAGGACAGTTCTTGACACGTTGTTACCTTTCTATCTGGCATATATTCGTCAAGATTCTCGATTTTAACTACTCGGTCCTTTGTCTCTACGGTGGCTCACACTGTGCTCAGTTGATACCTCCATGGCCTGACATGCATAGGAGCCCTGCGCAACGAGTTATAGAATATGCGGGGTGAATTGTATCCACGTCGAAATCAATGTTAAATAGTATCATAGGTGGATACTGTACACTTTGTAATGGGACAGTAATACCAATCACAACACAGTGATGAATCTTATCTCGCAATATTTAGGGCAAAACAAACGATGAGAAGGGAAAGGGAAGGGAAAAGGAAACGCAACGCCATAATAGATTGTTTCCAGCGACTCCTGCGTATCATTTGTAGATGAAAGAGGCGATATTAACCATGGGCATAAGCAGTAACGCAAACAACTCATGATCATATGACAACTATGTTGTACTTCAACAGGTCAAGATCCTTGTAGTACATCAATAGTCCATAGGGGCGTCTGCAATACGACGTTGGGGTAAGCCTTTTAGCCTGAAGTGTTTAGACTGGCAATATGAAGCGATTCGCTTCCTATTCTTTGAACATGGGGCAGAATACTACCATCGCTCAGCGAGCATTTAATTGTATCCAATCGCATGGCGGAAGACATTATGCTTATTGTCATGCTTACTTTGTTCTTCCGAAGCTAACAATGAACCGGTTCATGTACAGTGAAGAGACATGCAGATACGAGCTGCAGAAGGAAATCTAGACGTCCTGTGGCGTTTCTGCAAGGAGGATTTCTTCGGACTCGGGGAAATATGGTCCATCGAACGGCAGTCATACGACTGTGACAAAGCACCGTGGGTGGCATATAAATAGGTGGGTGTGGCTTTCAATTGACAACTACAATTCGCAGCATTTGCAGAGAAATTGGAAATGGCGACCTTCAAACAGACCAACCTTTTTTCTTTCCTTCATCTTCTTTTCTCTCTTGCTATTCTGGCAACTCCAGTCCTCACAGCCCCTTATCAGACTCGAATTCTTGAGACCGGCACTACCTTCAGCGCTCCGGATCCATATGGCCCCTGGCAGATGGTTCCTAGCAGTCCCACTGAAGACTTGGCCTATATCAAAACTACCAACACCGAGACTGGCAGAGTAGAAGTCCATATCGCGTCCGGCTCCTCCGGGTTCAGGACCCGCACTCTGGAAGTCGGAACGACATTTATCTCCGAAGACAATGGGACTTGGCAGTTGATCGATGCAGACGGGGACGGCAGGCCTGACTTGGTCTATATCAAAACCAGAAATACCGGAACCGGTAGGGTGGAGGTGCATATTGCGTCCGCATCGTCGAACTATCAAACACGTATCTTGGAAACTGGAACGACCTTCTACCCGGAAGATAACGGAGTCTGGCAAATGGCAGACTTTGATCATGATGGAAAGCTTGATCTGATTTACATCAAGACCCGCAACACAGGAACCGGGAAAGTCGAGGTGCACGTGGCCTCAGGGGCATCCAAGTTTCAAACCCGGATCCAGGAGGTTGGAACGACATTCTATCCAGAAAATAACGGCGCCTGGCAGATGGTCGACTTCGACCGCGATGGGAAACTAGACCTGGCTTACATCAAAACCCAAAATACGGGAACAGGAAAGGTCGAGGTGCACGTCGCGTCTGGCTCGTCGACTTATAACGCTCGCGTTCAAGAAGTCGGTACAACCTTCAACACCGAGAATAATGGGTTCTGGGGGTTGAGTGACTTCAACCACGATGGTGTCCTTGATTTAGTGTATATCAAGACCCAGAACACCGGAACTGGAAGCGTCGAGGTTCATGTGGCTTCAGGAAGGTCATAGTCTGTAGCTGTCGACGAAATTTATTGAACTTAGCATGGGTGTTTCACAATACCCCACAGAGTTTATAACCGGCTGAGGGTGCCAGCCAATGTGGTAGCTATCGTTATTGGAATTGTGCTCACTCTCATCGTCTCGCTGATAGAGAGATAGTCAAATAACCAACCTGAATGTACGGCCCATAGATCTAATTATTATGCATGTGAATGGACCATTTGTATCAAGTCTAATAGATGACGGATTCGATCAGCTATAGTGTAGACTTGACGAACGTTCTTACTCAGTTTTGGTGCAGAAATCGTACGCCCAGTTTCTCCGTTACCAGAGAAACTGTTGCTGGAAGTTGATAGGAGGCGCCCCACTCCAGAAATTGGGTTCCTGAGGTATGCTACTGGGTCCCTCTGGGGTATCTGGTTGAACCTGCGTCGTATAGCCTGTCACTCCAGGTTCGGTAACACTTTGGATTGACCGAACTGTCCTTTCTAATGGTTGTTCTCTGACTCTTATTCTGACGTTGCGAGTCAATGGACTTGTAGACTTCGGAGATAATGATACACTATTCCCTCGCCGGTTTGTATGCATGCCAGTGAGAGATATGTCCGAAGGTAAGTACTTGGGCGTCTCGTGTTGATCATGAGATCCAAGCATCGTTCCCGCGGTAAGCTCCGTTCCTGGTGATTGGGGACTGACGTTATCAGAAATGCTAGGCGTTGATGGGCCGAGACTCTGATTGAGTGGGTCAGATCCCCTGTAACTTAAGCAATCATATTGCCATTCCCGGATATCATGAGCGTTATTGAGAGGGAATTTTTTCCAGTACTCTGTGCCTTGTTTCCCCAATCGGGGGAATGGGGAGTACAATAAGTCCCCAGTCCTGCTTCTGGATCTATGTTGTTTATTTTGAGCTATACTGGCGGACAGATGGGTGTCTGAAATCCGGGACAGCACTTGAAGCAACACATTTTCTGTCTCATGTAGACGATGCTCTAAGGATTCTATGTAGCCCTTTGCGGGACCACTAAAGCAACATGAGACATTTGCGCCATGACACAAAGGTTGAGCTTCAGACGAACCGTTTAAGTTGTTCGGGCCAGTCGCATATCCGATTGTGCTGGAGGCATTGTGTACACACTGGTCTTAACCATTGGTTAGCTAAAGTGCAATCCCATGTTAGTTGTGGTTAAGAATTGTGTCTCACTTTTTGCCGCTACACTGTAAGATACGTTAACTCTGGGATGTCGTAGAAAGGCGTGAATGAGGTTTCTGTACTACCTTTTGCTTCCGGGAACGACAGGCGTTGCAAGCGATAGTAATGCGCGACGCTTTTGCGACTTTGGTCGAGGGCGCCATTTCACCTTGATCTTTTTCTGTCTATTTAATTACGGGTTGATAATACAGAGTGAGTGAGAGAAGGAGAGGGTGGACTTGACAGTCTTGACTCGAGAAGGGAGATCATTCTGCCGGATACTTCCGAAAAAGGGAGCGGTGGTATCCACGGTTGAAGGTTCAGCCGATGTAAATCATCACGGCTATCAAGTCGTATTGGATTGACTACTATACCAACTTCTTATATTCTCATGTAAGATCTAACTTCATTCTATTACATGAATTATCAGTCAGACCTAGCTTCTAGTTCTAGCACTGTTCGGCTACCCAAGGCGCCGGCTGGCAGAATCTTCTGTTGAGTCTTCTGCGGACGAGTCATGGCCGGAAGACTCGGTGAAGTTGCCTACTTCCTCTTCCCATTGCAGGAGTGCATCCCTCGCTTGCACTGTATCAGGGTGCTTGAGACCCAGATGTTTTTTTACGAAGATGGATGCACTTCCCCATCAAGTCGATGGAATCAGTATGTCTGCCTGTACCTCTCCAAATATACGCAAGATTCACCACGCTGGTTATGGTGTTGATATGTTCCGGGCCTAATTTCTTCTGGAATTCCAGCACCTCCACCCTCAGCTCTTCCGCCTGCCTCCATTTTGCTTGACTAGAGTATGTCAATGCCAGGTTATGTATACTGGTCAAGTAGAGGGATGCTCTGATCCTAGTGTTTTCTTTCTGACCTCGATTATGTGTTTCCCGAGCTTTTCCGCTTGTTGCAATTTTGCTTGCTGCCAGTATGTCAATGCTAGGTTGCTCATACTGGTCAGAGACCTAGGGTGCTCTGGACCCAGCGTTTGCTTCCGTATCTCGATTGTCTGTTTTTCCAACTCTTCTGCTTTCTTCAACTGTTTTGCCCCCCCATATTTCTTGAAAACTGAGGACAGGTTGCTCATACTAGACAAAGTGGAGGGATGTTCAGCACCCAGTATCTTCTCCTTTTCCTCTATGACCTGGACATAGAGTTTTTCAGCTTGCCTTAATCGCCCTTGACTTTGATAAACCGATGCGAGGTTGTCTATACAACTCACAGTCAAGGGATGTTCGGGGCCCATCACTCTTTTCTGGCTCTCTAGGACTTGCACGTAGAGCTCTTCTGCTTGGTTTAACCTTCCTTGACTATGATAGATGTGACCAAGATAAGCCATACTAGCCAGAGTATCACGGTGCTCAGGACCCAGTACTATCTTCATAGCTCCCAATACCTGCACCATGAGCGTTTCGGCTTGTTTGTAGTGCCCTTGCTCATAATTTATCATTGCTAGGTCAGCCATGGTGGTGAGAGTATCGTGATGCTCAGGGCCTAGAGTCTGTCTACTGGATTCTAATACCTGTGTTTCGAGGGTTTCCGCTTGCTTGAATCGCCCTTGCCGGATGTAAACTGAGGCTAGTTTACCCATGATGGTTAGAGTGGAAGGATGCGTTTTCCCTTGTCTTCTTTGCTGTATCTCCTTGGCGTCACAGAATACTGGCTCTGCTTCATTATATCTTCCATCACTAATCAAACAGCTCCCATGTTCTCAATCAGATCCACATAGCAATCATGTTGGTATTTGAACTCCTTTTCCTCCGACAAAGATAGTGCATGGGGTAGATATGCCCGCCACACTTTCCGATTGCTATGGTCATTATCTGGGAAAGCTTCATTCAATCTCTCTGCGGTTTTGCCAATAAAATCGGCGAACCGTTGATTCTGCCTCATCCAATTGCGAGTCGCAAGATGTACAAGCCGATGAAGATTCAATGGGTTTCCCTTCGCCGGATCTGATATGAAAGAATAGGCGCTAAGGAGCACCAGAGCCTTTATAAGTTTGATCTTGGATTTTACTGGTGGTAGAATGGACTGTGGAATGTTTCGTGGGTTCACACAAGCCATGAATGACAGATATTCAGCAGCTAATGGATCATGCCGCTAGATCGGTTAGAATGAGATTAGCCAGGTAGTCGCTACCGGGTTTGGGATATCCTTATAGCGTCCTTCTATCTCAAACTCTTCTCTGAGAAGCTCCACCACCTCCGGCTCCTGACCCCGTAGGAGTGTTAATAATCACAGAGGCTGACATTATTCTCCTTTGATAAATGCTGCCGCTTGCATAATTGCTAAGGGGAGGAAAGCCAGCTGGGTCAGAAGATCGACAGCTGTATCGCGTTCTTCCGACAAACCTTCTAGAGACAATGACTTTTCTAGCATTTTCATACCAGTCTCCTCATCCACCTCGGAGACCAATATCTGACAGGGGGCCAGCTTCACAGCTAGCTTTTTATTGCAAGTGGTGAAAATGATTCGGCCTTGCTCAGTCCGAGGCAAAAAATCTTTAAGTGCTGGGGCGCCATTGCCCCCGTCGATCCACATATCCATATCATCTGCATTATCAAAGATAAGAAGCCACTTTAGATCACTCTTATGGCCAAGGTATGTCTTGACTTGTTCTTTTGCTTCCGCTGGTTCGACATCTTGCATCCCAAGCACTTGGGTGATGCTCAGATAGGACTGCTCAATGTTCTCAGGGCTGGTGCAAGGGATCCAGAAAATTGAGTACCCAGAGTCCCCTTTCCGAACACGATAAATCAGCTCCAATGCTATATGTGTCTTTCCAACTCCTCCCAATCCGCTAATAGCAATCTTTCTTGGGCCCTCCGTTTCAAAGACCGATTTTTCCAATTCCGCGATTTCATCTTGACGCCCAACAAATTGTGGATTTCTGTCAAAAGGAACCATCCTGTGAGAGTCCTTAGGCTTTAAATCTATACTTCGGTTATAATTAGCATACCCTAGAAGCCTGGACTGAGAATCATCCACTGACCTTCTCCGGGGTTAGAACTCCAATACCACAAGAAAGCTTTCGCGCCTGACGCGCCAGCTGCTGCGGCTTGCCATTCGAGATCCATATAGATTGGACGTCTGATACTAGAACGGCAATCATAATTTTACAGGCAATCAGGTAGTGATATAACAGAGAAGGCGTCCGTTTCGTATTCACTGGAATATGTGGTCTCTTATGTGAGGGGGCACTGTCCTTATATGTTCATGTGAATCATGTCCAACCCACACATGCATGCACCCGTCACTTGAGATGCTATTCTAGGAATGCTGTCTTCTCTAGCCATAGTTGGTTGTCAAAGTACTGTACGTCCTACTCTATCTACTAGTGAGGTACCTTTTCAGGTTGAAGCCAAGCATTTGACACCAATGTGTCCAATGTTGGGACCATTACGGTGATACGGTTGTCTAGAAAGCTAAGGTGGACTTCTATCATGGGCGACATAGTATCCTTACACAAGCCTAGTACCAATTTTGGGCATTGTGTGGCCCTGTCGTACCCCGGGTTCCTTTCCCCTGTCATCATTCTCAGTAGTCAAGACCAAGTTGACTCCTTTGGAGGATAGGGTATCTAGAACACGGTCAATTAGTCAGTTAGCTAATCGTACTTTTTGTGTTTAGTATGGGTAGACTGGTCGGGTAGCTTTTCCCTCAAAAGCAATGCTGACAGTCGCCTATGTTTCTTACCCGATAATTCTACATCCCTATGTGAGCTTGATCTATTTTACCCGCGTGTTTCGTATAGAAGCTGTTGAATATGCATGTTTATTTCGGCAGCTGATTGTGTCTTGCATCAAACGTGATAACCAAGAAAATATACGTGTATATGGACTACAATCAAGGTGGGACCCTTAAACACCCGAATTTCAACCTAAGCAAACTAGATCAACACAATTTAAATCATCTTTTCCATCCATCCCTAGCTGGCCTTCTCAAGACGATACCACCCGGCGCTTTTTGCGGCAGATGTAGCAGATGTGGCGGCATATTGCTGCCCCTTCTCATGCTTGTGGCCGTCTGCATAGTTACCTAGGCCTTTCCACAGAAATGCATGGCAGTATCTCCCACACACCCCTGTTGACCCTAATTCGAAACCAATGATACCTTGCTCTGCTAGCCTATAGCGATGCTCTCCAGACAGCAACTCACTATTGATAGATGCAAAGGTTCCGAAGTGAACCGAGGCTTCAGGTGTACTTGTGTTAGGCTGGCGACGAATAATGTGCTCCACCTCACATCCTAGGATGTCACGATACATCGTTAACGTCCTGTTGCAGACAAAGCAGGGCCCTTTTCAACACACAAACACTCGGCAGGGATAGTTCTCTGATGATAGCTAATGGGGTAAAAAGGCTCAAAGAGTACATCATGCGTACTGCCTCGATGGGTCCATCGCTCGTCAGACTTCTGCACGTCCTTGAGATATCCAGCATGGCCACGGAGTTCCTGCCGGGTTTCCTTCAAGCTTTTAAGGAAGGGTGGGATATCCAACTTTGGCTTTTCTAATACATCCTTAGCATGACCCAGACACTTCCAGTCCATGTTGGGGTCGAGTAAAGATTCGCCGCTAATGACGTCGCCTAGAAAGATCTTGGTGTCCTTCGACTGAGGGGACGGGGCTCCTCTGCTGTGTCCGACCACCAACACAGGGCAGCTTCGGCGAAGCTCAGGTTCAGAAGGCAAGCTGTAGTGGCTGCACATGCTGTTCCACCGTTTGTACAGCACAGGGCAACGTTTCAAGAACCGATCCTTCCCAATGTATAGATGTTCGAACCACCAGCTCTTCCATAGAAGTCATTATTAAGTTTCACCAAACAACGCCAACATAGCATTAGCTCAATCGATGGAGCAAAGGATGGCAATGTTAAACTTGTCACTCTTCGGTTGCAATGTGATATGGGTTGATGTTTATAGGATTCGCTGGACAAGGGGCAAACAGTTGGTTTCTACTGACAGTTTGCGATAAAGGGATAGGGTGTCGCTATGGGTAGTACTGAGCTCTTCACATCAAAAGCTGTAGGTGATCGGGAATCCTGTATTTTATTGGAAGCTAATGGTGAGAACGGTCGAAGAGGCTTACATATTTATGTACCTTTCAACCAGCTCTTTGTGGAAGCGCTTTTGTTCCATGCTTCGCGGAGTTCTGCGAGTGATACCTAATATCACTCACTGCCACAAATTATCCTTCGTGGATGTTCGTTGTTCCCACAAACTTATACCGGTTCTTCATGTCCTCGTCGGAGTTCATTCCTTATTACGCAAACGTGAATGTAGGCCGAGCAATGCGTCAACTTGCTTTCTCCTGGAACCTCCCTTCGCTAACAGGGTAGGTGCAGCTATCTTGATATCCCATGACAGCGCTACTCCAATCACTTCCGGGCGATTCCTTAGTTGAGCCCAGCCCTTTTATCTACATTCCCGAGGAAGGCAACACCATCCTAGTAATACCGAATACTATCTGAGGAGGAGGATGCGATAATAAGACTAGCGACGGTTTGAAGGTCAGATCTTGAGTAGTCAGGGTTTGCCTCTTCTCCCGAAGTTCTGAGCAGTGAGCCCTAGCCATGATATATAACTAGGAGGTTACAACATAAATACACACCAGGTTTGAGATGATTGTCAACTCCTGGTAAGCTAAGTAATGGCCAGGCTTTAAGCTGGGGGCTTATTTGAAAGAAAGAAAGGCTGATGGAAGGAAACCCAGAAAACTAGTGTTTCGGAGGATGAAGCCTAATAGAAGAGCAATCTCCTGGCTTTCTTTGTAGCTCATACAATATAGTTTGCTGCAAGCAGCCCGTAAATGAAGTAGCTATAGTCAAAATTAGGGTACCGACTTTATGTTCATCAGATGGACTTGATCCTATGGGCATCATAAAGAGGATCCACAGGCAATTCCCCCAACTTGCTAGCAACAACCCGCCCGTCTTTGATAATGGCTACTAAAGTCTTTTCAACATGATCCAAGACCGTAATATCTTCGAGAGGATTAGCGTTGAGAATCAAGCAATCCGCAATCGCCCCCTCCTGAATACAGCCCAGCCTCCCTTTCATACCAAGTAACTTGGCAGCATTGACGGTCGCAGACTGAAGAATCTCTAGCGGGCTAAGAACGGCGGATCGAAGGCTAAACTCGCGGTTCTGTAACGGATGAAGGCCCGCCAGAAGGTCAGATCCATAACACATCGTTACACCAGCATCACGTAGGATTTCCAAAGCTTTTAGGCCACTAGCCAGAACCTCGCGATTCTTCGCTTGACTAAACTCGTCAAGGAAGCTATCAAACGGGGCCTCTGTCATTCCTTGATAAGTGATTAATGTAGGCGTTAAGACCACTCCCTTTTCCTTACAGTACCTGGCAGTCTCAGGGTCAATGAAATTGCCATGTTCAATACCCCGGACCCCATTGGCAACCGCATGGCGGATGGCCTGCGTAGTATAGGCATGGGCGGTGACATAGGTCTTGGAGTATTCGGCGGTGGTAGTGATCGCTCGAATCTCTTCCGCAGTGAATTGGAGCATATCCAGGGCATCAGATGGTGTTGCAACTCCTCCTCCACACATGATCTTGATGAAATTGGCTCCTTGGCGGAGCTCATCGCGAACAGCCTCTAAACATGCGGGGACACCGTTACAGACGCGAGCCAGCGAAGGTGAGTGTCCGCCACAACATTTATGCTCCTCACCCTGATACGTGGCTCGAAAGTCTCCATGACCCCCTGTTTGTGAGAGGGCCTTGCCCGCGATGAAGAGGCGCGGTCCTGATAACAGACCTTCGGCGATAGCGTCTCTCAATGCTGCATCTGCGCCACCCGTATCCCGTACCGTTGTGAAGCCTCGAAGAAGCATCTCCCGGGCGACGTAAGCGGTGCGATATGCAATAGTATTAGGACTGGCAGCGAATATGTCCTTGAGTGAGGTGCCACCGGGGGTGGCAGTTAGATGGACGTGACAGTCAATCAATCCAGGGCACAGATATTGGTTTCGCATATTAATAAACTTGGCCTTCGTCCTAGGTGCGGTGGAGAACGGTGCCTCAGAGCTTCTGGATAATGAAGAAGCCGGCATAATGCGCGTAATAATCCCGTTTTGTATGCAAACACTACAATTTGGGATCACACGGCCGGCCATTGCATCGACAACATTGATGTTGACGAGGGTAATGTCAGGGCTTTGATCGCGCGGTACCCATGGCTTGGGGATGAGCTTCGGACTAGTCATGATAAAATGATAATGATGGAGTGCGAGCACGCCGGATCGGTAGGCATGAAAGAATAGGTATCGCTAATAACATAAGGGGTTTTATCCAGCAGCCAAAGAGGGGAAGCGTGATTAGGATTCATGTGACCTTCAGGCACATTCAGCCCTACTCCGATAGGAGTTTGGATGTGAGCCGGACTTTTAATACGAGGTACCTTCATCCGATCACACAAAATGGAAGTTAGCAGCAAATACACCATTATCTTGGGAGTAACTTCACACAGTACCACTCCAGGTGCCAGGGTGGTTGAGAAAGAGTGTCTATTGGGTATCTGTGTCTCCCGATGCTCGTCCTTCTAAGTGACTCCTAGATATTTCACTACAAGATTATTTCTGAGTGAACTTATGCTTTTCATGCTCAAGGAATGTTTCTTATTTGAAATGATCATTTATTATGTGAGCCTGGCCTGCCGGTCGCACTTCGCACCTAAAACGGACACTGTGATTCATTCAAACATTCAGCGATGGAGCGAGCCACATATTCAACATTCGATGGGTTGAGCCCAGCGATGGGAATCCGAGAATTGCCCGCCATGTAAATATGATACTCATCTATGGATGAATGGTTAGGGTCATGGCATGAAGAAGTATCCCAGCTCGACCTACCCTTAAGCTTTTGGACGACGGTGGGAGAGGGTCCTAGGAATCCAAACATTCCAGATTGGCGAATCAAATGGTCCCAAGTGCCAGGAGCACCTGCACACTGACTTAGAATAGGTCTTAGTGACGCCTATGGAACTCACCAAGTTGAACCAGGCCGTCATACAACGCTCGTCTCATAGACCGTATACGGCCACTCATGGTTATCAGATCCGCATACTACATCTTTTTCAAAGAGTCATCGCCCAAAATAGTGCTTGCTATTTTCGCTCCATAAGCCGGAGGGTTTGACACTTCGGAGCGTTGTAGCATTTCCAGTATCGATTAAGTGTTAAATGCAGCATTTTCAGTGCCAGTTGCGAAGGGGAGACAGCCCACACGCTCACCTACATGCACGATGTTAGCAACCATAAAGCCCGGACGTCCCTAGCGAATGCCAGGTTCTCTTACCATAGGGTCCCATGTTCTTTGCAAATGAAAACTAGACTCCAGCTTCCATTTCTAGTTCATCTACGAAATAGCGCATGGCAAACGCATCATTGTCAACACTCCCCGAGTTGAAACCCAGATAGGCTGCTGCATCGAAGAGTGGGAATAATTTCCTTTCTTTCATTATCGAACCAATGTGTTTCCATTGCTCTTTGCTTGGGTCACAACTAGTCGGGTTATGAGCACAAGCGTGAAGAATGACAACAGAACTTGGCTCTGCTATTCTCAGCTTAGAGTAGTACGATTCTATATCGAGCTCTCTTTTCTCTTCATCATAATACTTGAAGGACTCGCATTGAAAACCGAGTGACGAGAAGATTTGACCATGATTCGACCAGGTCGGAGAAGGAATGTACACTTTAGGCAGCAGCCTGCAACAGCTTCTGAGAAGTAGTCCTGCTAGGTGTAGGGCACCAGTTCCCGAGAGACTCTGGCAGATGGCAAGCTATTTGGTAGTCAGTATGTGGCACTATGATGGCTCAGCGAACTCTACAGTGGCGCATCACACACACCTTAGACTCCTGCTTAGTGTATATCTCTGAACCTAGGGCCAGTTTTGTCGCTTCATTGCGGAAGTCTCGGAGGCCAAGGATTGGCAGGTATTCGTGGTATAATCCTTGGGAAAGGAGACTCTCGCGCGCCTTTTGTACAGAAGGCAAGACCCATGGCTGTCCATTCTCAACACGATAAGTTCCCTGACCAAGATTTACTTTTTGAGAAAAGGCATCGGCGTTGTACTGAGCAGTAAGAGCAAAAGTGGCATCTGGTGGGACATATGGCGCGACTTCAAAAAAATGACGCGACAGAAACAGATGTTTCTTTTGTGAGGGTCTGGGCGTTCATTTTCTCTTTCTTGCTCTTCTTAAACAGACAATCACCAGGAAAGAAAGACTAAATTTCTATCGTTCAAGCCTTTATAACCGCTGGTAAACGATCAACTCGGCGTTGGCGCCCAAGTTGTCGACTCCGCAGCCGAAGGGGGAAATTGATATTACATCGGAGAAAGACCCGCGTTTTAGGTCTCGGCCAATTACTTGTTTTATTCTATTCATCAGAACTGACCGCGATCATTATTATTCTAAATTTGAGACGTCCGAGAGGACTTTCGTCGTCGCAAGCAAGCCTTGCCGACACAAGATTATGACTGAGCTAAGCAATACATTTACCAGTAGGATACAGCCCTGTATTCGAAAGGCTTGGGGTTTAGTTCAACAGGGATCACCGATGAGATCTACTTAGGACTGCAAACCACATTGAGGGCTCTCTTTTTCTGAGAATCAAGCAGCTATTATTCACTCCTAACGACCCTCGAAGTTACGGAAACACGACTCAAATCCCGCACATCTTGATTCAATCTTGCAGCTCAGCACGTCACTAGTCCTTTTTGTTCTTCTTCTTGTCCTCGTCCTGGCCGTCATCTTGGCCCTGGTCCTGGTCCCGGTCCTAAGATGCTGTCAGTTCCCGTCATTCACAGGCAGGTTATCATACAGGACCACGTACACAGGCATCAGATTGCCCTTCCGGAGCTCGCTGGCAAACCGTGCAAGGTTCAGAGTATTCAATCACACCATCTCTTTCGCAGTAAAAGAAGGCTTTCTCAACGTTGTTATCACCATCTGCAATGTCAAGCAATTCACGTTGGCTCCATCCTAGATGATATCAGTTAGGTTTACGAGCAGCACGCCAGGACAGATTTTGTGAGCATACCCTGCGAGATCAAGGTAGATCCACAATAGTTGAGACCCTCTCTGCATCTCCCAGCGGCCAGGGCAGCCGGGAGGCCTGCGAGTACGGCAAGGAAGGGGAGAATCACTCTCATGGTGGCGGTTGGGCTTCTCGGTCAGTAACTTTGGATTTTAAGACTAAAGATGTTGGGAATTTCTTGCTCAGAGACTGTCCTAGGGGGTTCTTGTGGGCCATATTTATATTGCCTGGATGTGGGTGTTTGTTAAGAGGCCAGACTCGTCAAATTGATCGCTCAAAATATTCTTGAGTTGCAGATTCTGAGGCTTTGCTCCTGAATCATGCTCAAAGGACGTTTGTGCAGGCCTGTATCCATGTTACCATGCGCTTCGGGTTGCTCCTGCTGCCTGTCTTTGTGCTGGGTTCCCGGACTAAAAGTACTATTGTACACTTTATGCTTCGCCGTTCTCCAATAAAAAAAAGCGCATCATTACTTTGAGCCTCCCATTGTTGTACCTCGCGTAAAAATCACTGTTTCCTATTGACCCGTCTAGTGCATATCCACAAGCCCCCTGGGCACTGTCCTAAGAGCGAATGGAAACAGCAAAGTACAGGAACACTGGAGATTTCAGCTACATCGAGTAGCTGTAGCGACACCAAGCTCCCCGACCCAAACAGAGGCTTATGCCTAAGCCTTGAAAGTTGCACGATTTGACAAACAGTGACTTTTGATACTGAAATCCAGCAGTATGTCAAACACATAATCTGTACCACTGAAGGTAGCTTACAGGCTTTCAAAGACAAACATGGCTTATAGCCCCCTCCAATCCCGGGCAATATGGTATGCAACTGTTACAGAGTGTACAGTTTCAATAGGAGCAGATGGAGTTTCTAATTCCAGATTCAGATCGTACATACCACCTATGGACAGAAGGGAATATTGTCTGCGGCGAAGTTCCGTGAGTAACACAGGCATGGAACAAAGCTTAGTATCATCCACTCAATATACGAAGTAGTACTAAAAGAATACAATTGGCTCGACACTCATGGCTAAAGTCTAGTAAACTATTACTTGCTCATCAGAACGCATGTTTGGTATGCACACCGCAAGACGTCTCTTCGTATGTAGTGGAGCAATGCACAGAAGTGTACAATGTAACCACTCTGCATATTAGGGTATTCATAGGCAGCAGGACGGACCACGTCAAAACAGAAACCGCTCATCTTGCGCTACTTAATGCTCTACGTAAAAAAAAAAAAAAAGTGAAGATCGTACGACACGATTGCAACTTATTTTCAGTATCCAGTCAGATTTTAGTGTTGGGGCTCGTCTACCATTCTTTTGTCGGTTGAATGTTCAGCCAGAATATAGCCGGAAGAAGTATATTTGGTTTGCCTTCACGTCATTGACTCAAAGAATACTACATCATTATTTATAGTAGTTGCAGGGCCTTTGATTTGGCAATTCAGACCTAATCTCTCCAAACCGTACATCATTCGAAATGGTCTCTCAAAAGCCCAGCTACCGCATCGCGTCCATCCCGGGCGACGGAATAGGGATCGAAGTCGTTCAAGCCACCATACAGGTGGTAGAAAAGCTCGCCAAGACCCTTGGAACATTTGACATCGAATTCGCCCACATTCCCTGGGGAACTGCATACTACAAGGAACACGGCCGATATGTGTCAGAAGATTGCTTGGACACGCTACGCAAATTCGATGCAGGACTGTTCGGTGCCGTCGGTGCCCCAGGTGAGTTGCTAAAACAAGCCAATATGTTACTCTCGGGCCTACATTTATACTGATACGTGAGACAGATGTTCCGGACCACATTTCTCTCTGGGGTCTCTTGCTAGCGATTCGTGGACCGCTACAGTTATATGCCAATGTCCGTCCTGTGCGCACATTCCCCGGCACCCAATGCCCTCTCAAAACCGCCACCGAGGGAATCGATTGGATGCTTGTGCGCGAAAACTCCGAAGGGGAGTATTCCGGTCAGGGCGGACGCAGTCATGTCGGCCAGCCGTGGGAGGCTGCGACGGAGGTGGCTATGTTCACCCGGGTGGGTATCGAAAGAATTATGCGCTTCGCGTTTGAAATCGCTCGATCCAGGCCCCGTAAGCAACTGACGGTAGTGACGAAGAGTAACTCCATGCGGAATGGTATGGTGCTTTGGGACCAGGTTGCGGCAGAAGTCGCAAAGGATTTCCCCGATGTTACCTGGGACAAGATGCTGGTTGACGCAATGACCGTCCGCATGGTGGCGAAGCCTCAGTCTATTGACACAATCGTGGGAACTAATCTGCACATGGATATCCTGTCCGATCTGGCGGCTGCGCTGGCTGGGTCCATTGGTGTGGCTCCCTCCAGTAACCTGGATCCAACCCGGAAGAGTCCCTCCATCTTTGAACCGGTGCATGGCAGTGCGTTTGACATCACTGGAAAGGGGGTGGCCAACCCTGTGGCTACTTTCTGGTCCGCCGCGGAGATGCTGTCCTGGTTAGGTGAAAAGGAGGCGTCGAAGAAGCTCATGGATTGTGTGGAGAAAGTATGCGCCGCAGGGATTTTGACTCCGGATCTTGGAGGAACCGCGAAGACCCAGGGGGTTGTAGATGCTGTGAATAAGGAGATTGAACGCTTGGTATAGTGGTGTCTATTAGGTCTTGTTTCTATTCTATTCCAGAGAAGTAGCTTGAAGAGATTGTCAAAAGACGTTTACTTAAAAGCTATCTCTCATTTTTCTGGGCTCAAAATCATAAAAGAAAAAAAGAGCAATGTAACCAAGGTCAGAGTAACACATTATTAGAACCTGCCATATTATTGTTGTAAAGCCCGTCTGAGCAACTCATATCATTCAGGAGTCTTCGACACAGATATATGAGTTCTTCACTACCCACGTCAAGCCTTCTGCTTTCGATAATAGTTCTAATCATAATACATGACTCTGTATGGCCTGGCTACTATTGAAGAATGGGCTATATTTATCCGCATTGTTGGTATGGTATATAATTGTGCACTACAATACGCATGCTTACTAATATAAAAGTTATGTTCATAAAAACTATCGAGTCATGAATACGATTCCCACCATTTCTGGACATATTCTCACATCGTATCTCAGGACGGCTCCGTAGTTCTGGTCCCCATCGTTCAGAGCCCAGCAAGCATCATGTCCATGCCAGGATGGAGTCCTCGGATCACACGTCTGGTCCGTCAGAAATTGGTTCCCTGACGGCGCAATCTAATGAAGAGAGCCAATTTGTCGGAAGTTCGAGCGGCGTTTACTTTATAAATACTGTCCGACAGGCCTTCTCACAGAATCTGAACCCTTTGGGTGCAGCCTCAGGACAGGAGTTTCCGCAGCCAGAGGACACCCTCGTGGGCAGTGATGGCTCGCATCATGATAAGCGCTCTGCCCCGTCCTCCGCCAAAGCATCGCCGATGCCGGCAGGTGAGCAACCGTTTTGCCAATGGGAATATGATCCAGCAATGGCAGCTATACTAGGTCAAGCACCGCCATTGGACATTGCGAGAGAGCTCATGATGGTATACTTCAGAGTTTGGCATCCTTTGTTTCCCTTTCTGCATGGGCCAACCTTCCTGCAAGCAATGGAACTACTCTATTCGGGTCACCGCAAGAGTCAGTCCATTCAATTGTCGCCAGATCACCGAAATACATGCTGGACGGTGATCTTCCAGTGTGTGTTTAATCTAGCCAGCCATTTGAGGCCCGACTTATGTCTTCCGCCAGAGTCCCAAATTGAGTCATCTAGCAAAATGCATTCATTACTCAGTTCTCTTTCATTCAGAAACGATCTCTCTTCTCTGCAAGCGCTGCTAGCTTCTCAGTTGTATTTGGTGACCAAAATGTCGCTTCGAACGGCCTCGACTGTGGGCGGTTGCATGCTACGATCAATGATGCATGCCGGCCTTCATCGCTGTCCGTTTCGGTATAGAGAGCTTTCCTCACATGACCGGCAGTTGCGCAAGAGGGTTTTTTGGTGTGCATATGCCATTGACCGATACTTGAGCCAGGCTCTTGGTCTACCTCTCGGCATTCAGGATTCTGATATCGATGTCTGTCCTCCGGGGGGCGACGAGATCCATTTCCCTGGATCATTTAGTGCCCAAGGGCTCAGAATGGGCCTGTGTTCTTTCAACTTTCCCAGCGAGAGGGCATTATCTGCACCAGAAAGCAGCGCTGATGCCATACAACTGCCCATTGAGCAACCAGCTGAAGCTGACTCTCATGGCAATACGTCGAGCGACTCCGAGCCGCTCCAGAACAAACGAGAGATCGCTTTTGCAAGCTACGTTGAATCCGGCAAACTCACCGGCCGCGCACTAGAACTCTTTCATAAATCCATCCTCGTACGCTCCATCCGTCGCAGCTCCGTCCTCTTCCTCATCACCGATGTCCACAAATGGTGGAACGGTCTCTCAATCGATCTCCAAACCCTAAATCTCACCATCGACCAAGGCGCCCCGACAGATAAACCTTTCAACTTCGGGCCATTTTTCACCGTCCTTTACCAACACCTTATCCTCCTTATCAACCGACCTTCCCTATCCCTAAGTCCCTCAACGCCCGAATTCTGCTCGGGCCTCCAAACCTGCATCGGGGCCGCCCGAGAAATCCTAACCGCACTCAAGGCACAGGTAAATTCCAAGCAAGCATTATTCTGGCCCGGATTTCTTTCCGCTTCCTGGATGTCCGGCCTCGTCATTGCCTTTGCCTGTCAACTTCGACAATATGTCTTACCAAAGGGATTGCAGTACGTCCTTCCCTTTCGATCTTCCTCGCCCACAATAGCCCACAATAGCAAACTAACAAATACCGAAACAGAGAAATTACTGAATGCCTCGAGTTCCTCCATATCATGTCCACGCAATGGGAAACAGCCAAAAATTGCCACCGAGCACTAGCACTCTTATCCCGAAACATCCAGCACGCAAGCACAGCACATCGACCTTCCGAACCAATCTCCGGAAGAATCAGACCAGAAGACGATCCCGACACCAGAAAGAAACGGCGGTTAAACTCCCATCCCACCATGAGGAATTCTCGACTCGGATCCCCAGGTCTCGAAACCACGGATAACGATAGTGATGACAATGATGGTACTCGGAATTTGAATGCAACGAATGTATCGTATGCGTACGATATACAAGCTTTGAATAACCCGTCCGAAATGTTACAAAGTAATACTTCTGGGAATCGGTTGTTGTTGTCTCCTGATACTGTGGAAAGTGCGGAAGATCGACTTTTTTTTCCCGACGGAGGTGCGCATAATGCGATGGATTTTGAATTGAATATGGTCGATTTACTTCAGGGAGCGAACTTCGATAATTTGTTTGATATGTTCGGGCAACAGTACCCGAGTTTTTGAAAGTTTGTATATATGAATAAAGATACCAACTTTACCAGGACCCCCAATAAGGCTGAATGTTGAGGCAATCCTACGGGTTCTTTATCTATTGGTCTAATTGTGTTGTCAAGGACCAAGCCACGAATCCTTTGACCTATACAAAAGTCCCCCGCCTATTGCGCGATGGTCGCTTATAAATTCCCTCTCGCCTTACAAGCATATCTCATCTTTACCCCATCCCATCCTACCATAGTCACTCATGATCAAGACTCCTAAGGCCAGCAGTATATCTAGAGTTCATCAAGCTTAGCAATGACTACCGGCTCGAAGCCTCAACCCGCAGCTTCCAACAGCCGCGAAGCTAAAACCATCCAACACCAACACAGGATCCCAGATGCTCAACGAGCAGCAATCTCTTCTCCCGATCTAGCATGGTCACATAGCAATGATCTATCCAACGATTTCCGCTCAGATAGTTACACAAAGCCTACACTGCCAATGTTAGAGGACTATATGGCCAGCTTGGTAGGCCGCGAAGCCTCTCTTCTTGTGGCCTCGGGCACCTTGGAAAATCCGGTGGCTCTCTCCAAGCAACTCTCGGCACCCCACCTTACTCGATCCTTACCGACTTACGCGGTCACTTCCATAGATAGGAATGGGGCAGCGCGTCGTATCTTACCGGCATTACCACCAGACAGGCCATTCCCTCTAATGGCTACCATATTACATTGGACGACGTCAAGCGGGAGAGTACACTGGGGGAGTCGATATATGAGGTCCCTATCAGAATCATCAGCCTGGAAAACACCCTCAACGGGACCATACCTCTCTCGGACATTCGCGCCATTGCTCCATGGGCGCGCGGCCGATCCCCATCAATCCATGCGCACTTGGATGGCGCTCCTCTCTGGGAAGCAGTCGCCAGGGGAGCTATCACGCTGCATGCGATTGGGGACTGTTTTGACAGCATCCAACTATGCTTCACCAAAGGGGTCGGAGCACCTCTTGGCGGCATTGTAACCGGGAGCTCCGTCTATATCGAGCGGGCCGAGTGGGGTCGCAAATCTCTCGGGGGTGGAATTCGAGCAACTAAGATCATCGCTGCATCCGCAAGAGTAGCCGTGGACGATGTTTTCTTTGTTGGAAACTTGCAAGCAGGCCAGGAGAAGGCTAAGTACGCCTCAGACCTCTGGGAATAGCTTGGGGGAAAGCTTACAATACCACAGAGGCGAATATTGTCTGGCTTATCCTCGAGGCGTCCGGCCTAAAGCATGAGTTTTATCCAGATGCTCTCAGATTCAACCCCAAACTTCGAGATCTGCAGCTAGGACGTCTCGTTTTGAACTATCAATTTCAGACAGTGCGTTAGCGACACTCTGCAACTTGTTCAGGGCAGTCCTGGGCTAAGCGTAAATACATGACAGTGCCTACGGTGTTAGTGGATAGATAGACAATTAGATACGCTATTGCGGGTGGCAGACTGCGTCGATGCAAGTTCATAGAAGTTGCGCTGATCACTTCAAGCCCTTATAATTAATCTTTGGTAATTTAAACAATACTCCGTTTTCCTTGAATCTTTGTTTTCTAGTGGTTTGACTACTCTACCCTTCAGTATATCTTGTTTCGCGGGCTGGGACCTCATGAGTTGAAAACTTTCCAGAGAAGATGGCTAAGAAATATCAACATCAATACGTCCACTCCCCTTCAGATGTCAATATCAGTCCAAATAAAATTTTTGGTTAGACAGAGACAAAGTGAAACACCACAGCTGTAGCGGGTTGGGGGTTGTGTATATATAATGTACGACTGTGCTATGGCTTTTACACCGAGCAGAATGAGCAATTCCTAAGGTTACGAAAAAAGAAATAAAGGGCATATCCCGTGAGGAAGTTATAAGTCTATATTACACTCGTGGCAGAAAGCAGGACGAGGTAGGTAAGGTTGGGGGTCAGGAAGAGCAAAGACATCACAACTTCCTCCCTCTCGTGACATGAAAAATTGTAAAGTCATGGCATCCGAACAACTTTTTCTCCGATCCCAACATGTGTTGTGTTCTCCTTGGCTTCTCTCATGTCGTTATGCGAGGATCCGGCTGTATAGCGTCACCACAACACAACTATCGACACACGCACACAGGGAAGTGAGCATAAGCATCGGGATCCGACAACCTGTGTCGCTCACTGGATACGGCAGGTGACACTGCTAAACAAAGAACTTTTGGAAACCGAGGGATATCAGGACCAGTGGGGGGAATAGGAAATAATGAAAATGGTAAGAGGAAATAAGAGAAGAGTATCGTAAATTCGGAGAAGGGGGGGGAAGGGTAGGTCATCAAAAAAAAAAAAAAATAAGATAAAAAGTGAATCAAAACTTCCGTGCCGGGAGACCCAGTTCATCAAAAACTCCGTCCGAATCCACCGAGGATATCACGCATTGAGACACATAATTTAAGACTTGTTCTCTTCGGTAGAGGTCTCCTTGGCAGCCTCCTTGGGCTTAGCAGCCTCTGGGGTAACCTCGCTCTCGCCTCCCTTGTTCTTCATGTACTCATCATAGACGCTCAGGGCCTCGTCAACCTTGGCGCGCAGGGCCTCCTCATCCTCAAGCCTAAAGTCCCAAGTATTAGTGAATCGTTTCAAATTATCAAGACTTTCTATTCCAATGAGGCACTTACAAGCTTAGCAGCTCTGTGTTCTCCATCTCCAGAAGCATACCAGTGATCTTGCCTGCCAATTCAGGCTGCTGGGCCTGGATCTTGGGGTAGAGGGCTTCGCCTAGCATCTGCTTCTGCTGAGGAGGAGGAACGGCAGAGAGAGCCTGAGCGGTGAGACCGCCACCAACAGCCTCCTCAGGACGTCCAGCAGGGGGCTGAGCGGCGTTCTGTCCACGGCCACCCTGACCGGGACGAATTTGACCTTGCTGAACGGGCACACCACCGCGGCCTTGTCCGTAACCAGGACCGCGCATACCCTGGCCCATGTTGGGAATTCCGGGAACCTGGCCACGGCCACCACCACCGCGTCCGAACTGCACCTGACCCATACCCTGGGGGTAACCCATGCCATTAGGAATGCCACCAGGGCCTTGCATGGCGCCCATAGGGATGCCTTGGAAGTTGGGAGGAAGCTGCTGGTTGGGGCCCATGCCACGTCCACCTTGTTGACCAGGGAAAGGACCGGGGTACTGACCGGGGCGTCCACCTGGGATACCGGCCATCACCATACCGGGCTGAGGAGGGAAGGCAATGCCGCCACGCTGGCCGGGGATGAAGCCCTGCTGACCAGGTCCATAGAAAACAGCGGGCTGCATGTACTTGCGAACGGATTAGAATGACAACGTAAAAAGTAATAGATATAGGGTAAGGGGTAACCTACAGGCTGGGGCATACCAGCGGCAGCGGCGGCCTGCTGCTGTCTGATGGTGTTGCGAGCCTGGATGCTGGCCTCCAGCTGGCTTCTGCGGACATCCTTACGCTGAGCAAGGGCAACATAGAGGGGCTTGCCGTTGACCATTCTCTGGTTCATCTCGGTCACAGCCTTGGAGGCTTCGTCGGGGCTGCTGAAGCAGACGAAGCCAAAGCCCTTGCTCTTTCCGAAAGGCTTCTTGTCACCCTTGGACTCCTTGTCCTCCTCCTCCTCCCCCTCGTCCTTCTTCTCATCACCGGACTCAGCGGGCTTCTCTTCGACCTTCTCGCCCTCCGAGGTCTCCTTCACATTCTCCTTGTCGGCTTCCTTATTGTCCTTCTCCTTGTCGGACTCTGGGGTGTCAGTACGCTCAACGTTGGCAGTGTCGCGCATGACCTTGGCGGAGGTGATAGTGCCATATGGACCGAAGAGTTCCCGCAGCTTTTCATCATCAACATCATCGGTGAGGTTCTTTACGTAGAGGTTGACACCCTGGTACTTGGAGGCCTTCTCCAAACGGGCAGCCTCGTACTGTTTGCGCAGCTCCTCCTCACGCTCGTGTTTCTTCTGAGCACGGCCGACATAAAGCTTCTGGCCACGAATTTCCTTGTCATTCATCTCCTCGACGGCGGCCTGCGCGCTGTCGTGGGTAGCGAAGTTGACGAAACCGAAACCGCGGCTCTTGCCCTCCTGGTCACGGCTGAGAGTGGCTGAGGTAATATCACCGAACTTTTCGAAGAGCTGACGGAACTCCTCCTCAGTGACTTCCGACTCAACGTTCTTGATGTAGACGTTGGTGAAGTTAGCCTTCATCTCCTCGAACTTGCTCTGACGGTCCTTCTTAGAGATGTGGTGGCCAACAAAGACCTTTTTGTCATTCAGCAGCATGCCGTTGACGTGCTTGATGGCGTTGTTAGCAGCCTCGGCAGTCTCGTAGTGAACGAAGCCGTATCCCTTGGAGTTGCCGAACTCATCCTGAGCGACCTTGCAGCTGAGAATGTTGCCGAAGGCAGCAAAGGTATCGTGAAGAGCCTTGTTGTCAATGGCGCTATCCAGGTTCTTGATGAACACATTGCCCTGGCCAGTCTTGCGCAGAGCGGGGTCCCGCTGGGACCACATGATACGGCAGGGCTTGCCCTTGATCAGGGTGTAGTTCAGGTCCTCAAGAGCGCGCTCACCATCGGCGGTGTTATTGTAGTTGACGTAGGCATATCCCAGAGAACGTCTGGTAACAGCGTCACGGCAAACACGGATCGAGGCAACCTGGCCGATGGAGGAGAAAAGCTCATAGAGCATAGCCTCAGTCACGGAGGGGTCGAGTTCACCAACATAAAGAGAGGCAGAGTGGGGTTGGGAGGCGTTGGGAGCAGTGGCGTTCTCAACAGCAGTGACCTCGGGAGCAGGAGCAGCAGGAGTGTTGCTGGTCTCGGGGGTGCCGTTGACATTGCTGTCGACAGTGGGGGTGGTGGACACTTCGGCAGACATTTTGATGGTTTTTTCTTTTCTATTGATCGTAAACTGCAGGAGCAAGGGTGAAGTCAGTATTTATTTGAGACAACCCTTATCGAAAGTGGGATGGATGACGAGTGGGAAGGTAGGAGCCAAGTGTGCCCCTCCTCACATCTATGATTGAAGGTATCCTAGTCACAATGACCAGTCCAATCGTAAACGTAGATCTTGGGAGGAAGAAGCCACAGACGGTGAGCGTTGCAAGAAAGAGAGATAGGATACTCCTGTCCTGGGTGATGATCACACTATAGGCAGAACTAGCTGGGGGAAGGCAAAGAAATCCAAGGGAGGTTTAGAACCGGCGCGATAGACGTACGACCTAAGTCAACAATCCACACAGGATTCGTAGGAGTAGGTTGAAGATGAAGAGGAATAGCGATGCGAAAAACGCGATCACGAGGGATGAGGAAAAGGCGGCAAAAGGAAAAAGTTCCACACACCGCACAGTCCGGAAGAAGTGGGAAAATAGTCGCCTCAAGTATGGAAACTAGGCGATGTCTTTTTTCTGGATTTTTCAGATTTTTTTGAAAATTTTTTCTTCGACAATTTTCGAAAGAAAAGGGGGAAGGATGTAGAAAAGGGATAAGAAGAAAAAAAGGATTGCTGGTTGAGGCAGCAGAAAGGGTTTTTTTTTGGGAGGAAGAGAAGAAAAGAAAGAAAGAGAAAAAGGCGGATTGGAGTGAAAAGAAAGCGATGACCGCCTTTGGTGGTTCTCTTTTTTTTTTCTCTTTCATTTTCTCTTTGGCCCAATAAGTCACTAGTCCATATCAGGGCTAGCGTCATTTGCCCGCTTTAAGGGCTAACACTTTTACTGTTTACACTCTTTACTCTTCCCTAAGGATTTGTGCTCTCTTACCGGTAAATTACGGGTTGGTGCATAGGGCTTATCTTCGAGTCTGTTCTCATCATGTCACCCCCATCCAATCACATCACGCATTTCACTCCAACACACATCACCTTCACATTGTCAATCCCTACTACGAGCACTTAGTTGTAACTACTACATACAAGAAAGATGAAAGATTTACTCCTAGATTCTACCCTAACGCACTCAATACATGTTCCACTCATTTATAATTTCATAGACATTCCAGACGGTAAATGTATATATATATTTATATTTCTTTTTTTTTTTTTTTAAAAAAAAAAAAAAAAAAAAAAAAAGAGGGCGCAAAGGGCCGTTCGGGAGACAAGAAATTAAAATTCTTAGAATAACTGACAGAGAGAAAGAAAAGAAAAGAAAAGATAATCACAGTAATTGCACCAAGACGCCATGGCTATGCAACATGGGAACCTAAAAACTATTCACTTCATGTGCAAATGGGAAATCTGTACGTCTATGTATGTGCCATCCACGGTCATCCTAATTCTCTACCAGAATAACACAGTTTGGCTTAACTAAGATCAAATCCTGCCCCAGAGTTAATAGCATAAAGAAGCTTCTCACGCAGGGTGTTAGCATTGGTATACCGCGGCAATTTCAAAAGGTTCACGCAGGTACTGGTACTGGGAAGTCGTTCCTGATCCTCACTTGAATCGCGAATGCTGAATCGTGGGTTGAGATGGCTAAATCCCAGTAATGGAGCTCGCGGAGTGGACGTGACGAAGCGTAGCACATTTTGTCGTTCCTCGTTGGTCATCTTATGCATAGCCTCCCAGAATAGTTTGATGGTCGGGTGCTCTTCTCCATCGTCGCCAATGGTATACACCCCTCCATATTGAGTATTGCGCCTCAAATCCGACACGTCAATATCCCCGGACTCGCCGCTAACCAAGGTCTGCATTTCCGACTGGTTGAACATCGATAGCCACGAAGGTTGTATAATTTGACCCAGACCTTGAAGAAAGGCGTTTGTCTGCAGAGCGGGCTGCACCTGTAGACGATAGCGAGCAATATATGAGATATACACGAGTCGATTCTGATTGGTGACCGGTATATCCGACCCATGGGGTTTGAGGTCCCGAGTGATCATGCGACTACGTCCGTTCGACAGAGGTATAGTATCAGTCACAGTAAAGTTCAGAGAAAAGTCCTCCACATCTCCAGGGTAGTTCTTCAGTTGCAGCTACGAGGGAAGCGTCAGCGCTCAATTCCAACGATATCCACCTCTGAAAATCACTTACCAATCCTTGGTAGAGCCCCTGATCGAGATCTTTAAGGTCATTGAGATTGGCACGGTACGCCGTTTCCCTCTGTGCTGAGCCTGTACCACCAGTCAAAGCCCATTTCAGTAGGAAAAATGGCGCGAAATTGACATCGACTAGGATCCCCTCGTAAAGGCACTTCCCTATAACTCGCCCCAAAAACTCATACCGCCTGAGCAAGTCCCGGATATCTTCACTCCAGTCTGGACTGTTCTCGGCAAACCCAACCTGCCGCAAAAGCTCCTTACGATGCTCGACCGCGGCTGGGTTTGGGTAGAGTAGGTGTTGTTCGTTCTCTTCAAAAAATTCCAGGTCACTTGTAGACTTGAAAGCCTCGTTCGTGACACTAGTAAGGAATTCCTTCGTCACACCGCCACCATCAATCCCCGCTTCCGGTGTGTTGAACCTATCAATAAAAGTGATTTGTATTGGTTCTTTGAGACCTTCGCCGAGTTCGTAGAACTGATCAAACGCATCTTTGAACACTCTCTCGCGCCTAATATTCGCATGATGTCGACCAAGAATATCCTGGACCGCAGGCCGCCCATCGATCATACGTCCCATCGAGGCTTGAGCTACAGACATACGCCAAGCGTCCGGATCAATGAACCCCTGACGTCTGCGCATCTGATCACGATAGATGAATTCTCGAAATATTTGCACCCGGGTAGGGAAAGGGATGAAAAAAGGCATGTTTCTCAAGATCTCCAGTCTAGGCGCCACCGCCTCCAATTGTTTCCTGCGAGCTGCTTGCTGCTGGCGCCGTCTAAGGGCCTCAATTCGACGTGTTTGTTGAGCACGGCCAGTGCCGATTAGTCCTAGTGATGGTTCATAGTAAGCATCACCCATCAAGTCATCTTGCTCCTCCTCCTCGTCATCGTCCTGGAGTTGATGTCTATTCTCTTCTTCCGCTACAACGGCAGGTATGAAACCTTCCATGTCAAAGCGGTTCGTCATCAACCAGTGTCCATCAGGGAGGAACTTGCGCCTCGAATCACGCTCATGAATCATCCTTAGCAAGCCCGTCACAAGTCCCTTGAAATAATCTAGCGGGATCCCAATCACTCCAGAGAGCCCTTTTTCTTTATTTTTCATCTCAAGGTCCCTAACACTTGTGACTGGGTCCGAGGGGGCAGCAGAGGAGCTGAAGTAACTCCGTATACTTCCAGTGTCATGAACAGTTTCATCTTCATTCAAGTCTGCCGAGTTCCAATACAGAGTAAAAGCCAGGTTTTTCAAAAATATCGTCATGTCCTTAACATCTTCCAAATGAAGAGCGCTCTCTTTGGTCCACGAGACTCTCGTGTTTGACGACGCAGTAAAAGAAGATCCACTAGAGAAGAACTCCTCGTCATCCATAACTTTCAAAACAAAAGTATACAGCTCAAGAAAGAGGAGGATAATCATCCATTCTTCGTCGCGCTCTTTGTGTGGTATGTTCGGTAGTCTGGCTTCACTTGTATCGGTGGCGGGCTTTAGTAAAGACAGCACCTTCGTTGAATCCTGGCTTATCGTATTGAATACGTTGCTGGACTTGGATGCTTGCCAAAAATATTTGATAGCCGGAATTCTCGACTCGGATCGGCCGGCCAGCTGGTCGCTTGAGATAGCGGAGCCCAGGTACAGCCACATCCGAATATCATCGCCTCGCCGAGGAAATACTCTCAAGAGAGTGAGGGCATATGTTGCAAGAAGCTTTGCCTCCCGCGATGCATCAGATTGGGAATCCGCCAGGTCACGTTGAGACAGGTGACTAGATTGCAACTCAGATAGCAATCCCGTTATACTACCCTGATTGACAAGACTAAGCAGTTGTTCCTTGATAAATGGGTGTAATGGTGCTCTTTCGGTAGAATCATCATATTCGGTAACTTCCCCCGTGTCCAGGCGTCGTGATATGTGTACCGCAGTTGAGTTGAGCAAGTCCGATACGACCTTCACAAAACCAGACTCTGGCGCTTTGTATCCGGCCTGGCTTCCCAGGGCATACCTATGGAAGAATATAAAATATGAAAGTAACCAGAGGCGAGAATTCACATCGTCAGAGTTTTGAGGGGTGGCTTTGAACTGAGACTGCATAGGCCCCAACGCGGACGCCAACAGTTTGTAGTTAATATTATTTGCCAGCCCATCCAAAGTCCCCAGGCACGTTGAGAGGTCTGGGATAGTCAAATAATTCCTGGCAAACCACTCATAGGCCGTCAGCGTCTCGGCTGTTATCGGTCGGAGCAAGGCTAAGACACCTTGAACGACATTGTCTCCCGATAAACGACACTTTGCAGAGATCGTATCCAATTTTTTTGTGAGAATAGCCATTACAGAATAATATTCGTGAGCCAGGCGAGCCATTTGCTTCGGTATTAGGTCAGTCAAGAACATTAACACCTCGAGCAGAGGCCACAAGGCAATCGCCGGTACCGTCGGGGCGGTAGGTGAGTGCAGCACACGTAGAGTCAACCTCGCCAGGCGATTCAGAGGCGTTGTCCATTCTCCTTCAGTTGCGATCGTGGGTACCTCGCGTAGAGTTTCCTGGAATGCTTTTGAGAAGTACGCAAGTCGGAGGATATCACCGCTGTTCCACGGCTCCAGGAACTGGACCAACAGCCGCAGTTGCGACAAGCACTCGGCTGCTGTTTCATACGGGACAGAGGATTGCACGATATCTTCAGATAACTCATCGAATGACGGATGAATTTCCGACCTCTGCTGTTCAGTGACATCCCACTCTGCTCGCCACGTACCGCGCGTTATCTTCCTGTTCCGATAACCCCGCCATGTCCGCTGCACAATCCGGCTTGCGCCCAACCGTTCTCTCTCATGTTGTCTTAACATGCGCTCTTGCTGTGCAACAGCCAGGGTATTCTGGGGCCCTGCCCCATGAGGGTGCTGTCTTCCGGAAGGAAATGCGGCGAAAGGGTTTGTATTGCGGGCTCCGAGATTAACCTGCCGCGGACGGCGAGAGTTACCCGTGAACGACTGGAACATACTCCGTACTTTGTTGTTTTGCTCAAATTTTATAATTGCTTAGGAGACCAGATCTCCCGAGTTGGGAAAATACTGTAAATTATGAGAAGCAGGAATCAAAGGCCCCCATATCGCAGGCGAGCAAAGTTGGCTTGGTTCTTCAAGATACTGTGGAGGTCCGATGGGATGAGTTGTTGCGCTATGACAGACATGCGCTTCTGCAAGCTTCCCGAATATTGCCACGCATTTTGTGGCACTGTGTTCATAATTCCACGCACTCGAACGCCACCGAACCTTCCATTAGGGATTTATAATGAATGGAAGGAGTGAGAAGACCTACTTTGTTCAGGGAGACATTGTTCTGATTTATATGGTATTCTTTGTCTTTCATCTTTTTCGAAAATGAGCTCGATGGTCCATTCCCTCAAATCACTGTCAATCCTTGTTCTGGCTCTATAGCAGATCATCTAATTCATTTAGTATTTAGAAACAGTATTTCTATATGACATGGTTTGAAGAAAGTCAAAGGAAGAGGCTGAGATGCAAGACCCATAAATACGCCAACAAACGAAGATAAGATCTTTCAAGAGACGTAATGACAGTATCCAGGAGGCATAAGGTGCTCTGTCTCCCTGCCACTTTGGTATCTTGTGCGAAAATACGATGGTGGACCCACTCAAACAGGCACGAACCTATTCACCATACACCGTATATAAAGTACAATATAATAATACAGAAGAGTTCAAATCAAGCGGGAGTAGGTAAAGCGTAGCGGTGATACCTCATAAAAGCCGAGTGGTCTGCACAAACGATAGCCTACACCTATGCAAGCCGGACCGAGGTTGAAGGTTTCATCAAGGAGACCTATATCATGGTCCTGCCCTAGCTCCCATGGATATGCCTTGGCCCTTGAATGAGATAGACTATTGACGCGGTGTGGGAGTTGACGCTGATTGTTGTTCGAGTCGCTCCTGTTCAAGCACTTCTTGTCCGTTGTCTGACGCCCACAGGTCGAGGTAGTCCTTCCCACTAAATCCCCGTTCACGTTCGATTATCCGACTATTCTGGATTACGTCTTGGGTGTATTTGCTCTTGGTCGGAGCCATAAGTTTCGTGACGAACGGGGTAAGCTGCGACCAAATGTCAGCCATTCAGTTTGCTCAGTAATCCCGTGAAATAATTTCTGAGAATACCTTGAAGTCATCCAGATTCTCGGGGACAGCATAAGTTCGAACTTTTTTCCAGTCGATCACATAAGAGCCGTTCTTCGCGAAGTAACCCATCGAGCCGGTCCGGTTTCCTTTATAGTAGCCACCATTGACTTGCTTCGTCGTCAGGCGCAGCCGCGCCATCATCGGTTGTGAAGGCTTGAACATTGTGCAAAGGGTTGTAGGCAGTTGACCAGCAAGATATACAGGATATATTTGCGCAGACGGGTAACAATAGTAGGAGGAAGGATCTGAAGTCGGCGGCGCTAAGGCCAACTTAGGTCCGTGATCCGCCAAGAAGTTGAACCTTTTTTTTATCCGCAGATTTAAAAAATATTCCAACACCAACACCCCCCCATACTTACACCTGCTGAGCAGTGTACAGGAAGCTCTTAGGGGTAAAGTTAACACTGTGGATATATTTATTATATTACGTCTTCTAATATTTTTACTTAAGGGTATCCGCAACAATGCCCCGCAAGCAAACCCAGTTGCGCGGTCCTCGAGATCAGACATACAAAAAACAGCCCCAAAAGAAGAAACCCAGCAAGGCTTTGAATGCTCTCGCTATCGCAGAGGCTCAATTTCCCATTAAACCGAAGATTCGACGAAACCGACTAGGCGATGACGACCAGTTCAAGCGCAAGCGACATCCTGGTCGCGACGTGGATGATTCAGATGGGCCTGATAACAAGCGTCGTCGGACCGGTGACGAGTCATCTGATATGAGTGAAAACGGTGGCGGTGATGACGAAGGCCGTCGGTGGAGACTCGGGGAGGTCGGCAGTGATAACGATAGCGAGCTGGACAGTGACGAGGCCTTGGGTTCTAGCGATGAGGAAAGATTCGAGGGCTTCAGTTTTCGTGGCAGCTCTACGCTTAAATCTAAGCGGAAGGGCACCGAATCTAAGAAACGTGGTCGTCAGATTAACTTGTCTGAAGATGTCGAAGAATCAGAAGAGAGCGAGGTGGACGAGGACGACGACGATCTTGGTGAAGATGCAGTGGATTTGACTACCGCTTGGGACATGAACATGGCCGAAGAAGAGGAAGGAGAAAAGCGAAAGTCGTCGAAGGCGGAGAAGGAAGCAGAAGATGATGATGAACATGATCACTCAGAGGGAAGCGGCTCCGAAAGCGACTTCGATGACGACGACGATAGCAGCTTCGATGATGAGAGCGAGCTGTCGCTGTCCGACGATGAACTCGACGCTGGTAACGAGAATGGTCTTTCGAAGCTACAGGATTTTGTCAACTCTATGGAAACGGAGTCTGCTAAGAAGACAACACGGAAAACAAGCGGCGGACAAGAACATGGCAACCCAACAGAATTTGGATTGGTGTCTACACAGAAATTGACTGTGGCCGACCTTTTACCATCTATCACAGACTCTCGCTTGAAGAACTCATTAAAACACGTTGATTCAAATATATCTACGCACAAGTCGTCTGGCGTACCTGGAAAGTTAGATGCTCCTCTTGCGAAGCGCCAGCAGGGCCGGCTGGACCGAGCTGCAGCATATGAGAAGAGCAAAGAAACGCTGGATCGCTGGTTAGAGACTGTTAAGGCAAACCGTCGGGCGGAGCATCTTGTATTCCCTCTTCCCGATCCCGAAGCAAATCAGACACACCGAATGAGTGCCGCGCAACCGCGAACGGATCTTGAAAGCACTATCCAGAATATCCTAGTTGAGAGTGGTTTGGCGGAAGCCAATGGAAAGTCGGCCGAAGATCAGGTACAAGAATTCGAGGAATTACAAGCGCGAAAACTACCTATCGAAGAAATTCGGGCGCGCAGAGCAGAGTTGCGGAAACGGCGCGACCTGCTTTTCCGAGAAGAAGTGCGATCCAAGCGGATCAAGAAAATTAAGAGCAAGTCATACCGCCGTGTGCACCGAAAAGAACGGGAGAAGTTAGAGCAACAAGAAAGACAAGCTCTTCTTGAAGCTGGAGTAGACATTGAGGAACAAGAACGAGAGCAAAATGAGCGGCGCAGGGCGGAAGCCAGAATGGGTTCGAAACATAAGGACAGCAAATGGGCCAAGAGTCTCAGACAAACAGGACGCACTGCGTGGGACGAGGAAGCTCGACTCAGTACGGCTGATCTGGCCCTGAAGGAGGAAGAGTTACGGAGAAGAATTGAAGGAAAGCGAGTATCGCATGGAGACCAAGACTATCTTGGGTCGTCAAGTTCAGAATCTGAGGATGATGATCCCTGGAACGAAGAGAATAGCTCGGATGTTGAGAAGCGCAAACTTCGCAAGAAATTAGACAAGCTTGAAGAGGGCAGCGATGTTGAATCAGAAATCAAGGGTCCTCACGCCAAGCTGTTTTCGATGAAGTTCATGCAAAATGCGGAGGCTGCGCGCAAAGCGCAAAATGATTCCGAAATTCGACGCCTCAATCGCGAACTCCATGGTGAAGAGTCCCAATCAGAGGCCGAGTCTGAGGTAGGCCGGCGTAAATTCGGTCATTCCGAGCCTGCGAAGTCAGCTACGGAGGGCAAACCAAAACCTCTACCTCGAAATGAGTTTGAAGAGGCCCCGGGGTCAGATGATGAAGACCCCCAAGCACCCGAAGCTGGTCAAGAAGTTGATGTTGCCGTCAATGGTCTTGACAAGAAAAAACCGTCACGGTCTGATACCAAGTCTCGCGCACGTGGTACGCTTAGGTCTTCTGAACAGAAGGAAGATGCTATTGAGGAAGAAAACCCGTGGTTAATTCAGACGAATAGAAATAACCGTCGAACAACAACAGATGATTCACAGCAGGGACTTGATATCACTGTGAATTATGCGAAGCCTGATGGCACAAACACTAAATCCAAGTCCCTTTCCAATAACAAACAGGAGAAACCATCCATACGTTCCAAAAGCCAACATGTTGATGAGGGTGATGATAGCGATGATGAGGGTAGCGTGCCAGTGCTTCTGAAGAACCATGACCTTGTTAAGAGAGCCTTCGCTGGGGATGAAGTTGTGCAGGACTTTGAACAAGAGAAGCATGACACTATCAAGGAGGAAGGTGACCAAGTGATCGATAACACCCTGCCAGGCTGGGGCAGTTGGGCAGGTGATGGTATCAGTAAAAAGCAGCAGAAGCGACAGAAACGATTCCTTACTAAAGTCGAGGGTGTGAAGCCTGAGAACAGAAAGGACGCCAAACTCTCTCGTGTCATCATTAACGAGAAACGACTTAAAAAGGTAAGACGCATCGATTCGCCATTGTCGCCTGACCACCGGTGCTAACATATCTCTTCTCATTTAGAACAACAAATACCTCGCTACTCAGCTTCCCCACCCCTTCGAGTCGAGACAACAGTACGAGAGGTCTCTTCGTCTCCCTATTGGCCCCGAGTGGTCGACGAAGGAAACTCTACAGAACGCAACCAAGCCTCGCGTGATGGTCAAACAGGGCATCATCAAGCCGATGGAAAAGCCTATGATTTGATTGCGATGCATTGGGTCCAGGACGGTTGTTGGCGGGAGCAGGGATCGCCGATACTGTTGGTCATTATTCTACTTGATATTCTTTTTCTTTTGATGTGTTCATAGATTGCGGCTTGCATCACGATGCACTGTCATCGATTAGATGACGAAAAAGAGTTACGATCCCCGATTTGTTGCGACTATCTTTGAGTTTTTTATTATCTACCCCCTTAACTGCCGTCCGTGTAGAATTCTGGTATATACATTGTCTTATTGAAGTGCGCTTTGTACTTATGTAGTACCTATAGAAGCATCCAGGTTGGACAAATGATCGGGTCGGCTGAGCGCTTGCCTACCTTGCGGCGACTAGCCCAGTCAGCCGCCATGGATTAGTTACTTATCAGTAGTAGAAGGTCTCCCTCACTTCCTTTCCCTGACTACTTCAGATGTTACCCCAACACCTACTCTATTTTAGCCTTGCATGGGAATGGGTGGAGATCGCGACCACATGGATGATCAACTGCAAGATATCGGGAATGTCCCCGTGTATCACGCAAATTGTTGGAATCTTAGTGACAATCACGTCGCATTCAATGACTTGTTCGTCAGAGAAACCTCCGATCTGACAATCAACCCTGCAGACACATCCGCCGAAAAAAAAGAAAAAAGAAAAAGAAAAAGAAAAAAAGAGATCAGATATCTTCCTGATAAAAACTCACGTGTGTTGATAACCTCCCTAGAGTCTGGAGTATTTTAGTCGCCTAGTTTGCTCCACATCCTCTCCCCTCCCTTCAGCTCATGCGAGATCAATCAATGCATCCCACCATCAAGTCAACGATCCACAAAATCTGCTACTTTATTGATGCCAATCAGGCGATTCACTCTATCACCTAGGTAAGTCATCTACACATACCAGTACCAACCCGAATGTGGGGAAGATGCGTGGCAGAACACGAATCTTGCTGCAGCATAACGCGGATCGGTGCATTCCATTGTTGAGTCCTACATTGTTTTTCCCCTTTGAACATCCGCCAACGTGAATTGTTTTGCCTGCATCTTATACTAACATCCATGTAGATCGACATTCTCGTCACACATCGAGGGCAACACACTGCAGAATCCTGTGTCATCTGGTATCCCTTCACGCGGTAACGGAGTTGTCTGTTCGGACTTGCCCACATTCTTGCTGGTTGCCAGTGGCATCTAGCTATATTCCTGGAGTAAGCCACATCTTGTCTGTAAGTGCTCTTATTTTCTCCAGGCATTGTCGTCTCGACTTGGATCCCTTCTTCGTCCCCTTTTCAAAAATTTTTTATTTCTATTTTCTTGTTGCTGCGTATCAAAAAGCCCTGGGTTATCATATACTTCGGGTGACTACTTGTGCCCACACGGGGCTCAACACCAAGCTTCATTGTCTTGTGTTTGGGCTGCTGTTGTTCCCTGTGATCGCTTTCTGTGCTTAGGACTTTCTCGGGCCTTCAATATTCGTGGAAGCCTCAGTTCATTCAGGGTTCCTAAATCTGTAGCAAAGAACCTATGTCCCGGGGATCTATTCTTATTGCAATAGCAGTCAGCTTTCATTGTTGTTTCCTTTCCTCGTTTCTTACCTGTCCCTGTGTGTTTTGGATTTGGTCATTCTAGTATATGGTTGTTGGTTTTTGCCGATTACGGCGCATACAAGATGCAGTCGAGATCTAGCTGGCGCTCTGCAATCATACTAACAGGGCTACTTGTGGCAGAAACGGTACACTCAGCTCCCACAGCAACAGCAGCAACGACGACCTCATTCAAGACACAATATCCGCCATCTGCTCAAAACGCCAGACTGCTGGTGCCAGAGACGCAAGGCGTAAGTTCATGCCGACCCCATTAGCCCTATATCTACTTACAAGGAATAGTTCTACCCAATCAATCTTGAACGGGAAGGTCACCAATTACAAAAGCCCACTCCAAACCCTAGTGAGCTTCCTTTCGGATTATCTGATCTATTTAACAACTTAAATGATCCTGCCTCGCTCCTAGACCTACTACTTCCTGGCTTAATATCGGGTAAGCCAGACAAACCTACTACCACTCCGGCAGCGACGTTGGTGCCGTCTGTCCTCGTACCTGCTGCGACAGATACAATTCCAGCACCAATATCACCTAGTGCAACTATAAGCGCGCCTCCAGAGCCAACTTTGCTGCCTAGCACTGCCGCTCCAACGTCTACCTCAGCTCCGGTATCGACAGGTTCGACTAGCACAGATAACAAGACAAGCCATTCAGCTAAGGCTAGTGATTCTTCAACCTCTACCGAATCAGTCCCCTCCGTTCCTACACAGTCAACCGAGTCGCAAGGTCAGCTCTATTATTAGCATTATGCGGTTGACATTCTGACAGAGAACAGAATCAAGTCCCATTCCCACAATGGATGAAGGCCAGGATGTGTTTGTGCCAGTATCTACCGGCCCCATTCCCCAAACAGTTAAATCACGAAACGATCATCCTGTTTCTAGGCGGTCGATTGTAAGAGTTCCCCCTTGCTAATTGGTAGTATGCAGCTTAACCTTCGCAGATAAACGACACAATACCGATTGAAACAAACAAATTCTACGCCGGATTGTTTCTAGGGACTCAAACCAACGCAACCTTTACTCACCCATATAGTATTGCGTGGGCAAAAGGAAATGGGAACGCCCAAAGCCATGGGATGGGCGTCTCGCACATTGAGTCGAGCATGCTTGCTTTGGGACCGAAGAATGACAAAATACCCGGTAGTCCAATTCAATATTATGTCAACCCAATCGGTATTCAGTCAATCATATTATCGGCAACGGAGCTAAAAGAGTCTACTGTGCTTATGATAGAGAATCCACTACCATTCTCTGCGAATGCCGTCTTGCAGCCGCAAAATGGAGCATCTGAAAGAATCACCTTCCCCGTGGTACAAGGCATGGCATTTGTCACGGGGATATACTCTAAGCTTCAGCCCGTCATCCAGAGCAGTGTTTCCTTTAGCAAAGTAGTCTCCGCTGGCTCACCAAGACCTGGTATCTTTAAATACACGGCCAGCCTTGCAGATGGGACAACTTGGCTTCTTTACTTGACCCCAGATGATGGGAAAGACCCAAATCTCCAACTGGAGTCTACTACCAACCTCCGTGGGCCTACCGGCTGGTCTGGAATAGTCCAAGTTGCCAAGAACCCAGCAGGTACTTTGGGAGAAAAGCTGTTTGACAATTCATCTGGAGTCTTTGCGAAGCAAGGTTGGGTGAAAGGTGCGGTATCTGGGCGCGCGGGCACATACAGCTTCGAGTGGGAAAAAGATGGCAAGGATAAGGGAAGCACTCCTTTGATGATGTACGCTTTGCCACATCACGTCGAATCGTTCGATCAAGCTACCAAAGTCCGAGCGACGAACATCACATTACGAACCCCTACCAAAGGCAATGCGACTGCGGTCATTGGAGAAACTTGGTCCATGGTCGAACAAGATCTTCCGGTTGATATGGGCCTCGCCCCCTGGTCAGTCTCCGCTGGCAGCGTCGATAAACTTTCTTCAGCGGCCCAAAAAGTCATCATAGATGTGGCACCAACAGAGCTTCGGCAAGATGTCAATAATCAGTCCAATTTGAATAGCATGTATTTCAGCGGCAAGGCTCTCAGCAAATTCGCTACACTTGTATACACTGTGGACAAGTTGGGTGGTAACCCCGACCTGGCAGCCGCAGCTCTGAAGGACCTCAAAACAGCATTCGCTCGGTTTGCAAATAACGGCCAGCAATTTCCCTTAGTGTATGACAATGTTTGGAAGGGGGTAGTGTCTTCCGCTAGTTATGACGGTGGTGATTCTGGGGCCGATTTTGGGAACACATATTACAACGACCATCACTTTCACTATGGATACTTCATCCATGCCGCTGCAATACTTGGGTCCCTGGATCCATCTTGGATCCAAGGCAACAAAGATTGGGTCAATATGCTCGTCCGTGATGCAGGAAACGGCGCTATAAATGACCCGCTTTTCCCTTTTTCTCGTGGATTTGACTGGTTCCATGGTCATTCATGGGCGAAGGGGCTCTTTGAATCCTTCGATGGGAAAGATGAAGAGTCTACATCGGAAGACGGTATGTTTGCTTATGCTCTCAAGATGTGGGGGAAGACTGTCGGGGATGCGAGTATGGAAGCAAGAGGAAATCTGATGCTGGGAATTCTACGACGAAGCCTGCGCAATTACTTCCTCATGGAAAGCGACAACCAGAACCAACCCCCGGCGTTTGTTCCGAATAAAGTGACAGGCATAGTAAGCTATACGACATGTGAGCCTCATTAGCTCCATACTGACACCGATTTAGTTGTTCGAAAATAAGGTGGACCACACCACTTACTTTGGAGCTAACCTTGAATATATCCACGGGTATGAACATCTTAACCAAAGTCTTCCGTTTCTGCGTTGTCCAAAAGACTAATTCCCGGTTAGAATTCACATGCTTCCTCTCTTGCCAGCCTCGTCATATCTGCGCAACCAGAAGTTCGTAAGGGAGGAGTGGAACGCCCTTTTTGCGACCAATGCTGCCACGCCAGCAGAGAAGGTGCAAGCAGGATGGAAAGGGATCTTGTACGCAAATCTTGCCCTGATCGACCCTGTTGCGGCCTGGAACTTCTTTGCGCAACCGAATTTCGACTACACTTGGATCGACGGGGGTGCAACGCGGACGTGGTACCTTGCGCTTGCCGCAGGTGAGTTTTGCAAACGATCTTCAGGCTATGTAGCGGCGGCTAACAGGATATAGGACTCGGCGGCGCATAAAGTTTATGCTGGATCTTCTTTTTTCTTTTTTTTTTCCCCCACAACCGGCGAGGACAGTGACCTCATTTAGACTATTCAATTTCTTGAACAGGATGGTATATACGGTGTAGTTAGTATATTAATCCTGTTTGATATATTTATCATCGCAGTTCGACAACCCTATTAGGTAGAGTTCATGCATATTTCAGATGAGCTTGTGTATCTAGATTTGTGTATATTTAGTTAATCGTCTCGGGGCACCGCTGTAGGGGCAGATATCAATACTACATGTCTTGGAAGTTCAGGCGAGATGTTTGTCACAGTAGTAAACGCACGCATTCGAGGCGAAGCGACCCCAGGTGATCTTCAAAAAGTGGCTGGTTATCCACCCATGTGATCATCGAGTATACCATCATCAGGACCTAAAAGTTAACACCCAGATCAATGAATCCAGCTGTGCTGCTTTTTGACTGATCTCTTCACGTCTCCCAGCGGGTAATTAGTACATGTTTGTGTACGTCCAAATACTGTGGGTATTTTGTAAGGGAGGGGGGCGGCTGCAGGCGTGGTCCGCCTATCACCATGTAACTCTGCAATGTGACAACCATCAAATGCATGAGATATACATACATACTACATATACTTAGCCAGCCGCCGAGTCAGAATATTATTCTCTCAGGTGCGCCACATCCAGTGCCATACTGGTTGAGATTCGTTCACAACACTGCAAGGTCGGTATATAGTCTCCTTTAGAATAATTTAAAGTGTGATCATATCGAGTTATCTATCAATGTAATATCTCTTAAGCGTTATAATCGATGGTAGAGCCTGTACCATTCGGTAATATAAGTGCAATGGATATATGTAAGTAGCATGTATGTATGGAATGTATGTACAAGGAGCAGGGAGATAAATTATGGAGACAAGTGGAGACCAGATTGTGGCAGTGTAGACTTGGCAAAAACACTCTTCTAGGGTAGGCGTGGGTGGAACAGGTTCAGAGGAGCTAAAGAAGGCGTGGATGTGTGTGTGGCACACTGCAGAGTCCCGCGAGTCCAGTGATTTTAATCCAGCAAGTATTAGTGCCCTAAGCTCCTTGGAACTAGACCCAAAGGAGGAACGAAGCTTTTCATGCATTAAATGTGCCCACCGGAACAACCACCAGTTGGTTCGTCGTGATTGTGAAAAGTTTCCTGCTTGCCGGAGGGACTTTTATATTGCTGGAACTCCAATCAGATGTTACAGCCTAACGTCTACTAAATAAGTACAACCGTACTCCATTCTTTATCCTTTTTTGGGCACCCGTGTGGACTCAATTGATTGAGTCGCATCGACTGTTGCCCTCAACGTCATCATTCTCCCGGATTCAAAAGCCTCTACTGCTGCTCAGTCTGAACGCTCGACGTAATCCGAATTCCTGTTACTAAATCTCGTCTGGCATAGTTAACTAACTAATGACCACTACTTACTCATCAGCTAACCAGATTTCAAAGTAGTGGTCAACCTTAGCGGGTTACCATTATCCCTGGCCGTTGAATGATCGAGGCTGTGCACTCTCGGCGGAACAGGAAGCTTCGGTCCTTTCACCAATTACCCCATCGTCCTAGCTTTGTCCGATCACTTCCAGCCACCGCTTGTACTGCCATTGGGAAAAAGAGCAAACTCTTTCTGGAATTTAAAACTCCGCACGGTCCCTTCATCATCTCCTGCTCCACTGGTACGGTACGTGGTTGTGGCTGTTGTCCCATATTTGACCCTTCCGAGCTCATCCACCTACTTGACTTGGCCTCGCTCTCTCTTGGTCAAGGTTGGAGAAGGGAGAGTCTAATCAGGAGAGAAGGTCAAGGGAAAAAAAAAATTAATTCACGTTGTGGTACAGGACACTGAAATTGTCACTCCAACAAGCCACACCCACTAACGTCACCTCCGTCTTGGTACGAAGATAGTGCTGCTGCTCCATTCAAGTTCGCCAGATTTCGATCCGTTCTTCACACCTAATCCCATGCCAAGGTCCTAGAAATTGTTCCATGTCTTTAAGAGCCTCAGTCTTTCTGTGATAATTCTCATCAGCTTCCGATGTGTAGGTAGAAAATCATTCCTTCATCTTCACCCTTTTCTTCTGCCACCAAATCTGCAAACAGATTCCTCCTTTCTTCTTTCAAACACACCACTCGAGATTCCTTCATTTCAGCTACTTTCGTCATCCCTACGTTTGCTCAGGTACCCATCCTCTTTCCCTCCTAGTTGTGTTGTTCTCTCCTTTCACGTGGTGATTGTTTTACGATCCCATATTGATTCCTTGTCCTTCCCTCCTTTTTATCCTCCTTCCCTTCCCATGAGGTGGTTTCTTTCATCGCGCTCTAGCACCCTGTTTCTTTAAATCCCTCTCTTTGTTTCACTAGAGTTTGAAACCAGTATGTTTGTATCTCCCAATGTGACTCTCGTTCGCCGTCAATGCCCCTCGAATCCGATACGTTATGTCCAAGATTGAGCACTCAAGGCGATGTCAAGACGAGATTGGGCTAATTAGAGTTTACGAAATTGATGTACAGCGTCGAGAAATTTCCGTACAAGTTTCCGAAGTCACACCTGGGGTCCGAGGAGAACAATGTCTGGCGCACAGAATGGCTCCAGAGAGCCCAACGAAAGGGATGCCCTAATCAACGACACTAGTCGAATCAATTCAAGCCTGATTCCACGCCATAAACGTAGGCCCTGGGCTCACTGGCCTGTGAGAGTTGTTCACTTGACATGGGCTACTCTTGTACGAGATTACGTTAATTTACTACTAATCTTCGTTCCACTCGGTATTATTGCTGGCGCGTTGCATTGGGATAGTACGGCCGTTTTCACGCTGAACTTCCTAGCAATCGTGCCGTTGGCATCTCTCTTAAGCTTTGCGACCGAGGAGCTAGCAGCTGCAATGGGTCAGGCCCTAGGCGGACTGATGAATGCTACCTTTGGCAATGCGGTTGAATTGATCGTAAGTTCCATTCGACCTTTGACTGTTTCCCGAGATTTTGATCTGATAACTTGGGGCACTGGTAGGTCAGCATTATCGCTCTGAAAGATGGGCAGATCCGTGTGGTTCAAGCCAGTATGCTCGGTAGCATCCTATCCAATATCCTCCTAGTGTTGGGATGCTGTTTCCTTGTCGGAGGACTACGTTACTCCGAGCAATCCTTCAACACTACAGTGGCATCGACCATGTCATCCCTAATGACCGTTGCATCCGCTTCGTTGATCATCCCTGCAACACTATACGCTTCTCTGTCTTCAGCCAAGGCTAACAGAGATAAAAACATCCTCATTCTATCGCACGGCACTGCTATCATTCTATTGATCCTCTATGTGATGTATCTTTACTTCCAGCTCAGGTCGCACGCATCCTTCTTCGAGGAGACATCTCCAGACGCGGAAAATCAAGGCGGCGCTGAGACAGAGGATGAGGAAGAACACATTCTTTCCCCGTGGGCCGCCAGCGTTGCCTTGGTTGTGGTGACGATTCTCGTCGCCGTATGTGCTGACTATCTTGTCGGCAGCATTGATAGCATCGTGGAGAAGACGGGAATGAGCCGAACCTTCATTGGTCTGATCCTGATTCCCATCGTAGGGAATGCTGCAGAACATGTGACAGCGGTTGTCGTCGCTTGGAAGGGAAAGATGGACCTTGCCATCGGGGTCGCCATCGGCAGTAGTTTACAGATCGCCCTATTTGTCACTCCCTTCCTCGTTATTCTGGGGTGGATTCTGGATGTGGATATGACTCTCCATTTCCATATCTTCGAAACCGTTGCCTTTTTTATCTCTGGTTTAGTTGTAACGTTCCTTATCCAGGATGGGAAGTCGAATTATCTTGAAGGTGGAATGTGCCTGGGAATGTATGTTGCGATCATTCCTACTATTTATTTCTGACTGACATGCTTCTTAGGTACATTATATTGGCACTGGCATTCTATGTATACCCGGATGAGGCCACCGACGACGCCTTGTTCCATGCATAAACGGGCCTGATGAGATAAAATATATCTTCCATTTTAACCTTTTAACAGATACCATTGAACGCACGACGTGCCGTCCCCCACTCTCTTTTTTACTTTTCTCTTTTCACTCTTAGTCTTTCAAAGATGGAGGGGGATACGATGAGATACGCTATCCTCTTCAGAACATCCGTCCCAATTCTCCTGTCTCTCCTTGTGATTTTCATTTCTGTTCTAACTGTACTCGAAACGCTCGCGGACTCAGTACCATTTACGTTTCTTATACGGTAGCCAAAGGACTCGCACTGCCGGTCAGTCACTTTAGTCTATGCTATATGTATGACTCGTTAAAAATCGACACTCGATGGTCGGGCTGGGCTGCTTTGTCTAATTTTGTATTCTCTTGGTCATGGGATGGTTGGACATAGTAAATTGATCTGGTTCTCAGGTTCATGTAGTTCTAAGATCTAATCGGAACCGACATAGACAGAACTATGTAATTCATTCCCTCTTTTCCAATAAATGTATGACTTCATAATATCTCAAAAGCCTGACAATTCTTGGCGGTGATGACTAAGCGACTGTGGAGAGGAAAATCGTTCGCCGGTTTCCAGGCGCAGCGGCCGGACGAGGATCGTCAATTCAAGCATAATTTGTCCTCCTTTGACTGACTTCAGCTCAGCATTGAAAGATTGCGATTCGGAATGCCACCTCGTCTCAACCTTTTCAACGTGAGGACCGCTGCCCCGGTTTTTCGCCAAACCACTGTCAACGTTTCCCGACCCAGTATCGCGACTACCATCGGTATCAACACACCCACCAGTCATGGCTTAAAGACTAGCTTGTCGTCCTCGACACGAATGCACAGGAGATGGAATTCCTCTAATTCCGGAGGAGGCGGTCCTGAGAGGCCGAAGGGTCCCACGGAGGACCCGTTACCTCACGTTAGCGAAGAGGCCGCGGAGATAGCAAAGATCATGGACAAGAAATGCGATGGAACTCCCGCCAGTCCAGAGCTAGAGCAAGGAACGCCTATTTCGGAGGTACGCTACTTCTGATGATGCGCCTATCGCTCCCTCTTAGGGGAGGTCGGGCAATCCTATTGACCTTTCCTTGTAGATCCTCCAGCGGGACAAAGAAGCCCAGAAGCATATGCCCAAGGTCATGCAAGACCAGATAAAATCGACGACTGGTACTCGCTCATTTTCGACGTCCACCCGTCGCAGCCAGGCAGGATTACATGGCCAAGGGAAGAGCTTCGATGAGCAGACTGCCGCTGTGATGGCCAACATGATCTCTCAGGTCAACCAACAGGCCGAGGAGCTTCATGAGGGGATCAAGTTTGAACCCGTTGAAGCCCTTCCCAAAACAGAGAACTTCCGTACAAGATATGATTCACTGCTTGAACAATTCACCAAGCTTCTTATGAGGGACGGCAAGTTAAGCAAGGCTCAGAAGGTATGTTCAACTTTCAAGAGAGTGGATAACTGCTCCAATTTTTTTTTAATGCATGAGGCATTGGTGAAGATACTAAAGCTCTATTGTTGTATAGGATATGGCGTTTATTCTAGATCATCTTCGGACTGCTTCTCCGCCTCAACCCAACCCCAAGCGACCTCTACTTCCTGGACCCCCCGCTCCACAACTTCCCTTGAACCCTGTCCTGTATCTCACCTCGATTGTCGACTCCGTTGCCCCTCTAATCAAGATCCGCCAGCAGAAAGGTATCGCCGGTGGTGGTGTCTCGGTGCAGATTCCTGTTCCGCTTGCCCTGAGACAACGCCGCAGGACCGCGATTAAATGGATCATTGATGGATCTGATAAACGACGAGACACTAAGTTCGCCCAGCGAGTCGCCAACGAGCTGGTTGCGGTTGCAGAGGGCCGCAGTGGTGTGTGGGACAAGAGAGAACAGCAACACAAACTCGGCATTGCAGGCCGGTCAAATCTTGCGATGGTTGGTGGTCGTCGGTAGTAGATTTGCATGCACCTTAGGCTGCTGTTAAAAATGGGCAATTGTGGTGATGCATCCGTTGAGATTTATCTTACTTCTTACGGGAAATAGATGGATCTTTTCCTGTTCTGTATTTTATTTTGGGCCCCTTTGAGCACCTCATGCATTTGTATAGGTAGTTTTCATTATTTTACCATAGTTAAGTGATTCTTACGCTGTGTCTTTTGTCTTTATTATTATGGTGTCGGATGTATATATATATCTTTTCGAGCGGTCTCGGCTCTCCGAGTGTAAAAACTCAATGCAAGGGAATTTGTAGGCTACTCCTTCTACCACTTTGTCAAGTGACTCTTCGTGAATGTGTGAAACTTAGGTAAGGTGTTCTTTCAGGTAACCAACTAACTATCTATGGAACAATTAGAAGCTGTGATGATTTGTCTGTCACCTTTTGGTGGTGCCACGTCAAAGGAAGACACCTCTTCCCTTCTCCCTCACAAAGAAATGAGTGATTGAAGATATCAGTTTGTTGTCCAAGGATCCCTCTCGCATGGAAGAACTTTTGAATTCCTCTCCTGTCGAAAGGGAAACGCTTTTCCTTTTCGAGGTCATTGATTCGTCGACGATCAAAACGGATGACGAGGAGTCTATCCCCGATCAGGCAACCCCCTTGTCAGCTGCAGGAACGTGATTTCCATCTCGATAATAATAGTTTCCTTTCCTTGTCTTCCTACACCGTGAATTGTTCATGCGTTTTTGACAGGGCAAATAAGAACGCCTGGGATTATGCTATTCTATTAATCAATGATCTGCAACCCCCTTCCTCCCCTCGCTCCCCCGACTTCCCTTGGTACTGTACATATTCTCCGACGTGCAACGTGTGATGGGATTTAGTTGACATACTACTACTACACTACTATCGATTAGTGTGCCACCGAACACTTCAACCGGCCTGACACACCACCAACACCTTCGCACGACATTGGACAGCGAATCCAATCCCCTCCCCTTGCTCGTTTCTTCTTCTTTCCCTGTCCACCGTGTCGTCGCATGCTGGTGGACCGAAAGTGGCACGCATCGCTTCTGCGACCAGTGCCTCAGCCGAAGATCTCGACGTGACCACTCGTCCCCGCTTATCTGCCCAGGATATCGAGCTCGTGGACTACCCTGTCCCACCCTCCACTTCCACAAGGGCCCGTCAGTCGCACATCGGATCTCAGGGATTTCGTTCTCAACCGATTGACAATCCCCAATTACTCGATCGTACGTCTCAATCTGGAACGCCCGAGCGTCCGGATCGAAGGCCCCGCCAAGCTCGTCAGCACATCCAGTGGGACAAGCCAATTCGGCTCAAGTATTGGGTAGAAGCGCTTCATCGTCGTTCACGATTTTTGGAAACCCAGTCCAAAATGAAGTTCTCGCATAGTATCCAATTCAATGCGGTTCCGGAATGGAGCTCGTATTATATCGCGTACAGCAACCTCAAGAAGTTGTAAGTCTCCATGCGATTTTTTTTCTCTCTCTCTTTTCCTCTACCTCCTATGCTACGCCTATCTCCCCTATGGTTTGCATCTTTTGAGGAGTCAAAGAATTGAGTTACTTTCTCGTGGGTATCACTTTGCATGCAAGGGGACGCAAATGCCACATTACACCCGGGAAATGTTACGCTTCGTTGATCTGAAAGAAATGGCCCGTGTGGATTGCTCACTGTGTTACCTATATTCTAGGATATACTCTCTGGAACAGCAAGTCCGCAAAGCGAGTGGACAGGCTCAGGCTGATATTGAGTCGGCTCCTTTGCTAGATAGTACCCCGAACACAGATGCGATTTTTCGAAAAGCCCTAGATGCAGAGCTGGAGAAGATATGCTCCTTCTACAAGGACAAAGAGTTAGAGATCCTCAAGGAAGCCGAAGAGGTTGTCAGAGATGCAGAGGAGTATGCTTCGGAGGCCGATAGGGTCAATGTGGACCCAATGAGCGAGCACATGACCAAGGCCAGGACAATGAGTTCCGGTTCTCGGTGGCGTTCTGGCATCGGGTATCATGATTTCCCACTGGCCCGGGATCGGCGCCGTAGCAGTGTTAGCGAGTCCATCGCGGAGGATGACGATGATGCCGATAGTGACGACGAACATCTGTCGGCCCAGAACGGAAGGCGCCCATCGCACGGCGCCGACTCTGCTAACGCTGATGATGGCCGCACGGACTACATGGGAGACTCCGGGTATTTGGGGGATTCCAGGCTTTGGAGATCTAACAGGGCTCAGGTTGAGCATTTTGGAGATCCGAAAGTCTTGGACTTGTACAATTCCGGCCTTTCTCTTAAGAAACGCGCAGTCGACGCATACGTCTCACTTTGTGGGCTGAAGTCGTATATCCAGCTGAATAAGACCGGTTTTTCAAAGGCTCTGAAGAAGTACGATAAGACCCTAGACCGGAGCTTACGACGGGAGTACATGAACTCGACCGTCGCTTTGGCATCCCCTTTCACAGACTCTACCATGGCCAAGGTGGAAGCCGATATCCGTAAGATCGAAAGTGTTTATGCGGATGTCGTCACGGCCGGCGATTTATCCCTAGCAGGGCGTGAGCTTCGGCTACACTTGAGGGAACATGTCGTCTGGGAGAGGAACACTGTCTGGAGGGAAATGATCGGTATTGAAAGGAAAGCGCAAGCCGCAAACGTCGGTATACGCAGAACAATCCTGGGCGGGGATGAGGATCCCGCAGCTGCGCGACGACAGGGCGATGAGCAAGAGATTTCGCCCACCGAATTTAGAACTCCGCTGGGCGTTTTTCACCCTCCCCAGTGGCTATGTAGCTTGAGCTTTGGGACCCTCGTCTTCATCGTAGCTATCTTTGTGACATTACTCTCAGTTCCAATAATGGAAAAGCCGGAACAACAAAACTGTTTGGCTATGCTTATTTTCGTCAGCTTGCTATGGGCCACGGAGGTAAGGACAGCGTTCTACTACACCATAATATCTTACTAACAAAATACACATCTATAGGTCATCCCTCTCTTTGTAACATCTCTCCTGATCCCGTTCCTTGTTGTTCTCCTCCGCATCATGAAATCGGAAGACAAGCCTTACAAGCGCCTGGGACCTAAAGAAGCCACCAGTGCTGCATTCAGCGCTATGTGGACTCCGGTGATAATGCTCTTGCTTGGTGGGTTTACTATCGCTGCAGCCTTGTCCAAATACGACATTGCTCGTCGGATGGCAATGTTCGTTCTGAGCAAAGCTGGGTCCAGCCCCCACGTGGTCCTTCTCACGAACATGTTCGTGAGTATGTTTCTAAGCATGTGGATCAGCAATGTGGCTTCACCCGTTCTCTGTTATTCGATCATTCAGGTAATTCTGCCTACTCTTAATCTTTGATAATAGCTAATCACACGCTTCTAGCCGTTGCTTCGAAATCTCTCCCCGGATTCAAACTTCGCCAAAGCTCTCGTGTTGGGTATTGCTCTGGCTGCGAATGTCGGAGGTGCGGCTTCTCCAATCGCGTCGCCGCAAAATATAATTGCACTTCAAAACATGTATCCAAGTATCAGCTGGGGTACATGGTTCTTTGTTTCACTTCCAGTCTGTATTATCTCCATACTGTTAATATGGGCTCTTTTAGTCTTCACTTTTCACCCCGGCCGTGGCACCGCGCTCGTCCCCATCCGGCCCGTCAAAGACAAGTTCTCCGGGGTTCAATGGTTCATCAGCATTGTGACTCTGTCCACTATTGCCTTGTGGTGTGGTAGCCATCAGCTTGAGCACATATTCGGTGATATGGGTGTAATAGCCATCATTCCGATGGTCCTTTTCTTTGGAACTGGCATTCTCAACAAGGAAGATTTCAACAACTTCCTCTGGACCATCATCATCCTGGCAGCCGGTGGCCTCTGTCTGGGGAAAGCCGTTACATCGTCCGGTTTGTTACACACTCTTGCGAATAGCATCACCGCCCGCGTGGAACACCTCAGTCTCTACGGTGTACTTATTGTGTTTTCCGTCTTGATACTGATTATGGCCACATTCATCTCCCACACCGTTGCGGCACTTATCATTCTCCCTCTTGTCCGACAGATCGGAGTTGGCATGGAAGATCCCCACCCCAACCTTCTAGTGATGGCTAGCGCCCTGATGTGCTCTGTAGCCATGGCTTTGCCGACAAGTGGCTTCCCTAATATGAGTATGTGTTCCACTCTCGACTTCGCCTTGTAGAGTTTGCTAATCCCTATTCTAGCCGCCATCATGACCGAAGTCCCTCAAACCGGCCAAAGATACCTCCAAGTTCGCCACTTTTTCTCCAGGGGTATTCCTGCCAGTTTGATGGCATGGGCTGTCATCGTCACCCTCGGTTATGCTCTCATGTATATAGCTGGGCTATGATCTGAGCTCTGGTTCATCTCTGAATTTCTTTTGGTCCATTTATGAGCGACTAAGAAATGATGCATATTGTACTCATTGGTGGAAATTATCTAGTATATTTGTTTTACGATTTATGTTATAGTTAGGGCTCGCTGTCATCGGGTGAGTAGATGGGATACAAATAGAACGTTAGAAGGGGGATAATTTTTTGAGTATATATTGATATATAGCTGGATTTGCTGTTCACGCTGGTTTCTCGATTTCTTGTCTGTCTTTTTTCCCTTTTACCCAAGATGATGCATAAGAGATTGAGGATACCGAAAACATTACGCAGACTGGTTTGGCGTATCTGAAATTCATTAATCATTCTTCATGCACTCAACGATTAAATAAATCATGATCATAGTCAAGTCTGGAGTTACTTTACAGGCTTGCAAGTATCATACCGATAAAAGAAGAAAGCTGCTCGTGCCATCATGTAACTGACGCTAATAATTATATAGCTGGGGAAGGGGAAACAAGGAAAAGGAACATCTAATCCGTGCCTTGCAGTTATTATAAGCAAGACGTGCGATCATCATCCAGGAAGAGGCAACATAATGCGCAGACGAGGGTGGAAAATGACATGGTATCGAAAAATTCATAGGCGTCGACGAAGTGAGATAAATGCTTTTTCTATTAGGCATTCCAGCCAGCATTTTACATTCGTTTTAGTTGCTGCGATGGACCGGTTAGGTTGGCGCCCCTTAGGACAAAAAAGGGGACTGTGGAAACTTACAGCAAGCCAAGTGTTAGATCGCCGTGGATCTTTGCCTTGAGCTGCACTTCGATGTCCAGGTTCAGATCCAGTCGCAACCGCAACTGTTCGTCCTTGCCGCCACCATCATCCTGACTCTCCCCCTTGTTACCACCGAGGATGCCCCCCACAGCTTTACCGGCAGTGTTGGTCACTCCGTTGACAGCGTTGCCCGCTGTATTTTGTACGAGGTCTCCGGCTTGGTCTATACCACCCAGGCCGCCAAGGGGACCGCCGTCTTGTTGCTGGCGCCGTGAGCGACGCTGACGACGAGGCTTCTCAACAGCAGTATTGTCCATGTCGGCGCGATTGATGGTCTCGGTGTCCGAGTCTTGCTGATACTTCTGTGGATGGGACTTTTTTGGACGCCGTTGAGGTGTTTCTTTTTGAGGCTGGGGTTGAGGTTCAGGCTCAGCTTCTGATTGGGGTTCTTTCTTTGGCTCAGGGTCGGGCTTGGGGTCTCGTTTAGACTCAGCGTCCGACCCGGGTTCTTGTTTAGGCTCGGCGTCTGAGTTGGACTCTTGGTGTGGCTCAACGTCCTTCTCCTCCTTGGGTTGAGGGGACCCCGGGTTGTTATTCTCTTCCTGGGAGGATTGGGGATTGTTGTTCTCTTGCTGAGGGGATTGAGGGTTGTTATCCTCTTTGTCTGACATGACGAGAAGGGAGGCAAGGGATTATATTTTGTGTTAGCGGTCTCCGTGCTAGTAATATAGTGTTTAAGCATGGTCACACCCGTCCAATATCATTTATATGGTACGAGCGTCTTACATGGTTGGAAACCGGTCGCCGCAGTCGACGTCAGCCATGACCATCTCTGATCGCTGGGATTGGACCAAGAGCCGAAAAGAAATCCAACGGCGTCATCGGTGCGACAAGAGTGAGGAGGGTGGGAGCCAAGGATGATTGAATCGTTGGATATTGAAGTCCGTTCAGAATGACGTCGACTCACGCAAGGGTGTCTCAACCTTTTTGTCTTCATCTTGGAAGTTGCGCAACTTTGAAAGATCGTCGGCACTTGCAATGGTTTAATTTGATTAGCGCCAGATGTGTTGCCAGATAGGCCAATGAAACGGGGACGGGGAATTTTGCGACAGGCCGTGCGTCTCCATCTTTTGCTGGTCCACTTGACGAGATGACGCCACGCACATCAGATCGTCATACAAATTCCGTGGCATTATGGGAGGGATCGTAGAAGTATTCGATGTTATTATTGTGATTGCCAATAGTTTCGGATATGTATGGCCGTTCGGTGATCGATTTCGAAGTAAACAGAGCCGAGCCGTGGTTTCGCACCCGAACAAATTCCGTCGGTGGCTGCGATAATTTTGGAACAAGCAATATCCTTGGAACGGCGACAGGGGACCCGCCTCCCGACGACATGTCACTGTCCATGGGCTACGTTATCGACCCCAGAGTTTTTCCCCGTCGTCTGACCCCCCGGCACCCAGGTGCGTAAATAGTAGCGCCACGCTGATTAGCTGCACGACCGGAGATCTTGCAGGTAGAGGGACACCAACAACGTCATGGCCATGGCGAGGGGGGCAATTCGTAGGTGGCTTTTCTTCCATGGCCCCGACATACAGAAGAACGTCTTCATCGTCTGTCCACACCCGGCAGTTATCCTTCCAGTCTCTATCGCTCAACGGCTTTCTCCCCTACATACCTTTAGCCGTGATAATTTTCCGGTAGTATTGTGAATTATAATCCTATCCCATCATTTTGTTCCAGTGTCGTGAGTCAAGCGTATCGTTGGTTATCTCGTCTTCCTCGCCTGCAATTTGACCTTCTCTTGACCTTTCATCGATACCTCCCACAATGGCAACTGCAGAGAAGCAGAAACAAGAACAACCTGCTATTCCACCGGACGAATACTCGGATGGCGATTACGACACCGATGACTATTCACTTTCCGAAGATGAGCAAGATCAGGCACCTCAGCGGCCGAATCAGCAACAATCTCAACGACGCCAACAACAGCAGCGTAGACGTCAGGTGGACGAAAATGGTGATGAGAGCGACTTATTTTCCGACGAATATGATTCAGAGTATGATGAGGATGATGACTTCGACAATGCGGGTCAAGGAAACGCCATGCAGCCATATCAGCGCGGCACCCAGTCATTGACGAACAACATCATCTCGAATGGAGCTATGACGGACGCTCCAGGACAAGGGAAAGGCGACGAGGAACAGGAAGGCCTCAAGCTGAAACTGGAACTGAATCTTGACATCGAAGTAGAACTCAAAGCCCACATTCACGGTGATTTGACATTGTCTTTACTGTAAGTACTCCCGCGATTTGGTTCTCCAGAACAGATCCAAGCACAATCGGTCAATTTTACCCGACTCAACAGAGAATAGGACCTAACGACTGCAGTGCATGATTGGGGGAAATGTTGCTTTCGCCTCATACAAAAACCTTCGATTGTTTCGTTCAGAACGATGGACATGTCTAACGTGACGTTTATGAAAATTTTCCTAGCTGGAAGACCAATCGTTTCTGCATGTTTCCTGTCTTGTCTGATAGAGTTCCACGCTCAGTTTAATGTCTTTTGGTGCATACGTACTATACTCCACCTGCTGGTATGATTATTCGCATTGGTCCGACGTTCTTGTTTGCTGTTTAAATTTGAAAACTTTTTAACTTCTAGCCATGTTCATGTCCATTATTTTCAGCCATACATGCCCGGTTCTGTCTTTCCCTGTTTGCATCGCAAGCTTCAGGTATGTAATATATTAATTTGCTAAATAAAGCAAACGATCTAGAGATCGGCAGCACTATTCTGACTGATGTTAGCTTAGTTCGATCATGTTAGGTCATACCGGACGTAGTCAGTATCGGTATAGTATAGAAAGCCGCCAAATCCGTTCTGTTGGTATTTGGTAGCGGCATTGACCTGAAGTAACCATATTCTGCGCCTTATAGCTGAAGTTATGCATGGGTGATAATTTCTTTTCAATATTAAGTTCACCTTCTCAGTCAGGGTTAGAAACACCCATCCACCTCTTGTCATCTTAGGTCTCAGATGGCCTGCGTAGGTTGACAGAAGCTCACATCCATGTCTAGGAGAGCAGAGCCCGAAATTGCTAGACTGTACAGCAAAGCCAAGCTGAGAGAGGCATAGGGATCAAGGGGAAGTGAACTTTTAGACGATTTTTATTAACAGCCTACGCAGCAACCATATGACGGGGTTGCCTCCGATATATAGAACACGGAGATCTCTCTTGGTGAAGCGATATGGTTTCACCAACAGTTTTGAGTCATCGTTGAACAAGGCAATGTTGTATTGAATATATAGATATATATGTATACCCAAGGAAAATGAGGGAAGTCGATGTTTTGCAAAGAAAGGATTAATGGATCGTAATCATACAAAACGCTCGAAAGAGGAAGGAGAGCGATTCCTTATCAGGGAACCGATGTCACGTGCGCTTACATCTGAAGACCAGGTCCATTATAATCACAGTTGGCATCCCCTAGATCCTCTCCATTACGTGAAACTGAAGATTGACAGGTACGGACCTAACTGCTTTAAAAAAAATAGGAAAAAAAAAAAAGGGAAGCACATGAACATAGACCGTTAGTTGGCCTCCAAGCCGAGGTAGAAGCTTGGCACTACCAACTGGGGCCAAAAAGTACCTTAACTCCTGAAGCGGAGTGAATACAAACTAACCTCAATTCTTCCTGTGTCTTGACCCGAAAATACCAGAAGTCAGATTGAGAATTCATTCAACCGCAACAATGGCAGCGATCAACGACAAGTCCGCCTCGAGCAAATCCTTCATCATCAACCACATGAACGCGGACCACCAGAAGTCACTGGCCATGTACCTCCGCGTCTATTGCGACGTCGCCGCGGGAGACGCCAAATCCGCACGGTTGGAGGACATCACTCTATCTGATCTTCTTATTAGCGCCAAAGGCACACGCTACAGCGTTCCCTTGGATCCACCTATGAAGACATTCTCCGATACCCGGCCGCGCGTGGTGGCAATGCACAAGGAGTGTCTCCAACGGTTAGGGCTGTCGGACATTGTGATCAAAGAATATCGAGCACCACGAGGCCTCGAAGCGGTAAACTTTGGCATGGTCGTAGCTACGTTGCTTGTGTTTTCTCGCGGCAGTAATTTCTTGCCCGGTTCATTCTTCTACGAGTCAGTTGGCCTTGGCCGATTCCCAGCATTCGCTCAGTTTTGCTACAGCGTGCAGGCCATTCCGCTTGTACTTCTGCTGGGAATACATGCCATGGAAGCGGTTCTGCTGTCGGTGAACCGCTTGAAACGTCACGGGGTGCCATTTTTGTCTGGGGTGTGGTTTGCATGGATAGCTAGCATAATCATTGAAGGGGTCTTTACGTTCAAGCGGTTTGATCGGATGGTGAAGGAAGAGGAAGAGAAGAGGGAGCATAAGAAATAGTGATATTTTTTTTTAAGAAAAAAAGAGTATGAAACTACTAGTGGCAAAGTGGAGTGTATGAACCTAACGAATTTTTTTTCATCATTCTGTTTGTGCACAAAAGATTTTATGAGCTGGGAAAACTTGGATTGGGGACTGAGGTTATGAGATTTACTTATTGTATGTACTTCTTGGCCGCCTTAATACAGTGAGTTGATTACCGTGTACTGGAACTGGAGTTGGTAAAAAAGGCCCTTAACCGTTTTAGAAATTCAAGATTTTGTTCAAAAACAGTCTAGACGAACAGGTCACGGGGTATATGCACTAGTCTATGTTGGGTCTAGTGCGCACTTTGGACTAGGGCAACTTCCTCAAGCGAAGGCACACTGCGAAATTCACGATAGTCCGACGACAGCACTCAACTCCACGACCACCCAACGACCCTTGCCCGCTGCGTTCCTGGTGAAGGGCTGCAGGATTAGAGGTGAGTTAACTATCGTCGCTCCAAGTGTTTTCGATCTCCTCTTTGTGTTTTCACCGTTGCGTCGAGTGTCGAGCGTCCGTCAGTTATCGTGCCGCTTAGCGATTCAAAGTCGATCGGATTAGTTCAAAAGGGAGACGTCAAAGAAGTGAACGGGGAAGCCGAAGGGATCATCTGCGAGGAGAAGAAAAAAGAACGGCGAAAAATTTTCCACATCGTCTTCTCCGATACGAAAGAAAATGTTACCTGCTTTGAGGCTTGCGACTTGTTACCTGTGCATTCGATTTCACCGCTCGTTTATCTCACGCTCACGCTGCAACGGGAAACCTGAAGGGGAAATCTGAACACAACGGGATCACTGTGTCTACGGGTTTTTGATAGCTAATTGTCTCTGTCGTTGCCTACAGTCCCCTCAGACAACAGCAAACATGGGTATTTCTCGCGACTCCCGCCACAAGCGCTCGGCTACCGGTGCGAAGAGGGCCACCTACCGCAAGAAGAGGTATGACTGAAATTTGAGTTCTGAGGAATCCCCGTTCCTCGCAAAGGGATGTAGCCTAGATTCTTACACATTTTCCAACAGGGCGTTCGAGAAGGGTCGCCAGCCCTCCAACACCCGTATCGGCGCTAAGAGAATCCACCTGGTCCGCACCCGTGGTGGTAACCGCAAGTTCCGTGCCCTTCGTCTCGACTCGGGCAACTTCTCCTGGGGTTCCGAGGGAATCTCCCGCAAGACCCGTGTCATCGTTGTGGCCTACCATCCCTCTAACAACGAGTTGGTCCGTACCAACACCCTGACCAAGTCGGCCGTCGTCCAGATTGATGCTGCTCCTTTTCGTCAATGGTACGAGGCCCACTACGGCCAGCCCCTCGGCCGTAGACGCCAGCAGAAGACCGAGGCTACCGAGGAGAAGAAGAGCAACAGCGTTGTGAAGAAGCAGGCTGAGCGCTTCGCCGACCACGGCAAGGTCGAGTCTGCCATCGAGAGACAGTTCGAGGCCGGTCGTCTCTACGCCGTCATCGCTTCCCGCCCTGGCCAGAGCGGTCGTGTTGATGGTTACATCCTGGAGGGTGAGGAGCTCGCTTTCTACCAGCGTGCTATCAGGAAGTAAAAAGGGAAAATCGTGTTGTAAAAGGGTGGTATCGGAGTTTCAGCAATTTTTTCCAGAATACATTTATGATCTCTGGGGCACTACGGGTGCATTGTGTGTAGAGCTCTGAGCTGTCAACAATGGAATGATTCTCGTTATGTTCTTTCGAATTTGAATAATTTTTTCTTTTTTTTAATCTTCTTTCAGAAGAGTTAAGTGTACACTCCGCAAACGGATATACCCCGTAAGAAAAAGCCCCTGTTAGAAGAACCCGCCCATTCATTACTTTTCCTCGTTCCTATTTATCAAATCCAACTTATTGTTGTAAATATATGACGCCATGTCCGCCCCTCAACCATTTATTTACTCAACTTGACCATCAACCTTCTATCTCACAACAACTACAACAACTACAACAACCAACAACCCATAACTTCCTTTCCCCCACACCCAGTCCACCCAACCCCTCCTAATCCTCCTCAGAACAAAGACTAGAAAAAAAAAATAAAGAAAGAAGAGAACAAAGAGAAGAAAAGAGAATGGCCAACCCAACCACCAAAACCCGCATCTGCCTCATCTCCGACACCCACACCATAACCCCCAACCCACCCCCAAACACCACAAATCCCTACCGCCACCCCCTCCCCAGCGCCCACATCCTCCTCCACGCTGGCGATATAACCAAAGTAGGACTAAAAGCCGAGCACGAAGTGATCCTCGCCATGCTCAAGGACGCCCCCGCCGCACTCAAGATCGTTGTAGCCGGGAACCACGACATCACGCTGGATGAGGAGTACTACACGAGGATCGGGCACTACCGACACCGGTACCGAACCGACCACACCGCGGTGTCCGCGACAGCCGAGGAGAAAACGGCAGGGGGCAAGGAGGGGCCGGTAGAGTCAGTGCGGGCGATCAAGGCGCTGTGGACGAGCGAGGAGGCCATGGCGGCCGGGATCCGGTACGTGGAAGAAGGGGTGCAGACGTTTACGCTGAGCAATGGGGCGCGGTTCACGGTGTATGCGTCGCCGTATACGCCGGAATTCTGTCAGTGGGCGTTTGCGTATGATCGGGATACGGACCGGTTCAACCCCCCGCGAGAGGGGGCGCAGTTTGTGCCGGGTCGGCCGGTGCCGGATTATCCCGGGGTTGATATTATGTTGACGCATGGGCCGCCGTATGGGATTTTGGATCAGGTGGTAGGGTCGCATGCTAGTGTGGGATGTGAGCACTTGTTTCGGGCGGCGGAGAGGGCGAGGCCGCGGTTGCATGTTTTTGGGCATATACACGAAGGGTATGGGGCGACGAGGTTGGAGTGGAGTACGCGGAATCAGTCCATGATTCAGTGTGATAAGGAGACGATGCTTGAAGACCGGTGTGCGTATGTTGATATCAGTGGGGAGTCGAAGAGTCCGCTGAGGATAGGCGACGAGACGCTGTTTGTCAATGCGAGTGTGGTCACCGTTCAGTATCAAGCTTTGAACGCACCATGGCTGGTGGATCTGGAGCTTCCTTTGGAGCAATAATCAGTTGATGACCTATCATGATCAGTAACGTTGCGTGGCTTTTTGACCCTGTATGTATAAAAATCTCTGTAGCGGACATATTTTAGCTAGCAGTCGATATATATCTATGTTTCACGCACCTCAAGTCACAGTGGGAAATTATGTCCTCGAATTTTCACAAATGGGAATCAAACTTGAATAAATTAAGGCAGTTGGACATAGTAACATGTTTCGATTATATATAAATTCCATGGATCAATCTCATACAAAATCCAACTCCCGGGACCTCCGCCAGCCATCCTGCACCTACGGGTATATAGGGGTCCTCACGTTAAAAGGGGCAAAAAGATAACTGAACAAGGAGTGACCATATGAAGGGTAGAAGTAAGCTTTGATTTACAATGTGCCTTAGGAAAATCAGAACAACAAAAGAGACGTCGCGACGAGCAACAGACGAGAAGAGAGAAGGGGGTAAGGATAGGTATCTAGGAGGGAAAGTCTTACATGTCGTGTCCTGAATGTGAGGTATGAAGAGGGGAAATGAAGAGAAGAGTAAGAAGAACGGTAAAAGGTTAACAAGAAAGATGAAGAAAATGATGAACGAGAGCCTAAAGAAAGACCACAGGCATTGTCACCAATATCTGGTACATACTGTAGTAGGGGGAAAAAGAGAGAAGAGTTAAAAAAAAAAGAATTGATGAAGAGGAAAGCCTGCAAGAAGGAGTAGCAAAGTAAAGTTACGCTGTGATGCAAATAAAATGCTTCAATCAACAATGAGAACGAGGATAAATGAGGAGCGATGATAGAAAGTCCAGACATTAAAACAAAATAAAATGCGACAAAAAAGGAGGAAAAGAAGAAATAGGCCGAGGCAAGTGATGCTGCTACTCTTCGCGGACTGTCATGCCATGTGTGTCAGTCCTAAAATCAAGGCGGCTGTTCTTTCGCCCGACACCCTTCAGTAGGCTGAATCTTTTCTTTACCGAGTCGCGAACGCCCCCGGGATGAAAGTGGTTCTGCTGAGGAAAAGTCGGGCTACACAGGTCGGGGCTTTTGAGTGAGGTCCTGCTGCTCTGTGTTACTGGCCGAGGATAGTCGCTAATAGAAGGAATCGTGGACCATCCAGATTTGGGACTGACGGCTGATGGCCGGTCGTTCTCAGCAAATCCTTTGTTTTGAGAACTTGCTCGACTAAGGCTCTCATGCGACTTCTGTGATTTTGCGGCGGCGTCTTGAGAAGCGCTTTTTGATCGTTGGTCGATCTGCGCTTGTGTGCCTTCCGGTACAGGGCCTCCCGTGATTGATAATGATGAGGTATGCTTGTGTAGCTTCTCTCCAAAGAAGCTCCTTCGTTTATGTTGAGTATCCCGTGAATGACTGGTGGTCCGGCTGTTGATCGTTGCTGCATCCTCACGGTCTATTTCTTCGACTCGGCCATTTTCAAGTATCCCATTATCCTTGCCATCCAGCTGCGACCTCGTTTCTCCATTGCCGGCGGTCATCGAGCCGCTCGCCGCATGATTGGCACGCCTGAAGGGGTTCATTATACTGATTCGGTGACTGACTGAGGGCTTCTGGGAATGCTTGCGAGTGTGACTTTGTCGGGAAGAGCGGATCAATTCATGTTCCGGACTACTGGACCGCGGAAGTGACTGCTGTTTACGATCTTGTAAAGAGCGAGGAGACTGACGAGGAGCTGACTGGGGTGTCTCGTGTACACCAGGACTAAGAGAGGCGAGTTCCGGGGCAAATGCCTCTTCGAAGCGGCGTACCAATTCAGCTTGCGTAGCTTGGTGAGCTGGACGGTAGAAGAGGGCGAGAGCTTGCTTGATTGCCAAGGCGTGATCAATTAGAGCGACAGCTAGAGCTTGGTTCATAGGATCAACCGGAGTTGGTGTGTCCCCATGTTCACTATCACTTTGTGGATCTGACAAGAACTGTCGGTAGAGGGCCACACAACCCGCTGAAGACGTGTTAAGCTCTAACAACTGCTCTAACGCCTCAGTCAGATTCGACAAGCTCATATCTTCACCAGATGCCGCCCGTCTTTGAAGTAATGTTAGTTCTTGGGTCTTGCGCCAAGTCCGTTCAAGAGCAGTTTGCATGGGGGTAAGGACTAGCTCCTCGACTGCAACTACTTCACTTCTCCGAAGGATATTAGGGAATGGCTCCGCAGTTGTATATAGCGTCTTCTCTACCCATTGCTCCCGTACATCCGCACCTTGGATGTGCCGTTTCAATGTCGAACTGAAGCGGCAAGGCTCGGAAACCAAGAGGTGATCCCTTACGGACGACGGGACTTTGGATCGTTGATAGACAGGATGGGCCATATCACGGTGAACACTGACAGGACTAATGTGTAAGAACTGGCCCTCATAGTCGTGAGGTTCCCCCGACGACACAATCTGCGCAGCTGGATGCTCTCTTTGCATACGGTCAACAAATGAGGCCTTACGCTCGGTTGGTGAGCATTCAAAGACGAATTCTTTATCCCGTAGGGTTGATGGGAAACCAAGTCCCTTGTAAAGGACCCGGAAGTAACGCGGAAATTGCTTCTCCTCTTTTGCAATGATCTCGTAGATTTTGGCCATGGAGCTCTGTGCGCGCGAGAGCTTGGCGAAATCCATGATTGTATCTTCATATTGCTGAGCCAGCTCTTTGTAGCAGACAAGTGCATGCGCCCAGGATTTGGCATCTTCAAAATATTGGATGATTGAGAAGTACAGGGACTCCTTTCTCTCAAATGATGTCTGTTCTGGGAAGGGAGGGTTGAGGATCTCGGGAAGGGGTCGCCTTGGGTCCCATTCGTAAAGATCGGCATGAAACTGAAGCGCAAGCCCAGCTTCAGTAAAGTTACCTGCTGCGGCTTGGAGCTGAGCCAGCTCGTGAACATAGCGAATGAAAATATCTTCCCGGCCCATGTCTTTCATATACTCCATCAGCCTGAGAGAATGCAAGCTCTCAGCCATAGAGCTACTCTGCGATGCCACGAATAGATCAAGAAGCTCATCTACAGTTGCTATAAGTGCTTTGACCGCATTTGAGAGATTTTCATCAAAAGAGGAACAACTCTCGAAATGCTCTGTCAGCTCAGCAATGAAGAGCTTTTGGACGACGCCTTCGTTCATATTCTTCGTTTTGAAGAGATTATCCAAGCTAGAAATGATCTCTGTCTCGATGATGGTCAGATCCTGGTTCAGGCTCCATTCGCTGAGAATCATCGTCCGCAGAATTTCGACCGCAACATGCCGCAAACCTTCGTGTACACTGAGGCATAGTTCAATAATTGGGGCCACGAGACCAGGGACATACTGAACTTGATACCCTCCAAGCTTTTTCAACCCATACTGCTCTCTCTCTTCGTCTGTGGTATCCCAGCCTATAGATTCCCAGCTGGAATGTAATAACTCTGCGCCTTGCTCACGGACATCGCCAGCGATCTTCCAAATGGCGCGTCGTTTCTGTTCCGGGAAGGTCTCGAGGGCTAGGACATCACTTGAAACAACCTTCAGTAGAGTCATGAAATAATTTTCCCATAGTCTTGTATCAAAGGACTCTGCATCTTCCGGCGTCGGTAGAAATTTGGCGGTCAGAATCGAAGCAAGATACTCGAGGCTTTTCACCGTTGCACGGTGGTTGTACACATGGACGCTGAGCCAGCTTTCAGGGTACGCCTCGCAATTTAAGATTGAGGTATGGACTTCGAAAGCCTGAGAGAGGAAGGTAGCAAGCTCTAGGCCCTTCAGCCGTGGTCGCTTAGGGTTAGGTATTGCCGCTGTAGCAGCCATTACCGCAGACAGCTCCACCAAAGCCTCATCAAACTTTTGAGTCTGCTTGGACGGTTTCACCTGGAATGGGAAGGATTTGCTGAAGAGCAGAGATAGATAACTGGTATTTTCCACGCCGTCTGGTATGATGGCGTAATATGAAGAGACGATCTTGGGCATGAAGTCGTACACGTATGGGTCAGGCTCCCTCGCTAGCTCCGCGACTATTGCACAACTCAACCGAACTTGGTCACGGTACAAATCGGAAACAGGCCCTATTGCACCCCAGTACGGTGCCAGCCAGCCATTACAACTGGACACCAAGCTTTTCCTTTCAGGCCCGGAACTGAATATCTCCAAGCGTGTATAGTGTTGTATCAGCACTAGCTTATAAAGGATTAGCATACCCTTAACATCCTTGCACGAGTCCATAAAGCTGAGAGCTATCATGATTATTTCGTCCCTTGGAAGCACTTTTGTTAATTCCGGCAGCCATGTGTGGAAATGCTGGACAACAAGGGTCTTGCTTCCGACCATGGTGGGCGAAGGGTTCTTCATAAGAGCCTCTAAGGATTTGAACATCATGTGCAGGTCACGGTTGAACGTTGACTGAACACGGGTGATCCCAATGCCCTCCTCTTTCACCTTCTGCTGCTGTCGAGCATTGATTATGAACTTGAGGACGTGTCGTCCCACTTTGAATGTGGCACGAAGGCTACGAGACTGCTGACCATCAGAGCCACCTTGCAGCAGACGTTGATAGCTTCGAATGAGGCATGGAGTGGCAAACGGGAAGTTAAACTGGTTTTCGGCATAATGATCTACCAATGGACCAAGGTTGAATCGTCGGTCATGGACAATACCGAGAACCGTGACCAGGTCATTAAAGATCAGGTCTTCATATTCCTCGTTTCCAGCGTTTTCCACCAAGATCCCGAACAACGCGTCGAAGACACTACTGAGTTGCTTGACGATCTCAATTTCTGGCACGAAAATGACCCTCTTCAGCGTGTCCAATACTTCGCCTACTGGGCGTTCACGCCAGTTCAGCAGGCTTAGAATCACTTGGTCTTGGGAGTACTCCGTGCTACATAGGTGGGTCTCCAAGCGTAAGGTAGCTAAAGGACCGGTGATTGCTTCATCCTTGGCAGACTCATTCTTGCCTAGCGAGCTCCATGGGAGTGAGAGATAGGCCCCCTTTCCATTTTCGATGCTGGAAGTTGACTTGTCGTAGGCATGTAATAACAAAGAGTGGGGACCGTCTCGCATGAAAGCCTGATTATCCCACAGGGGCATCCAAGCGAGAGCAAATGGAAACTCAGGCGCATTTGCAATACTCATAATCAAATGGGACCCTGGGATCTGGTCCGTAGGGATGTTAAGACGAATGGTTTGATTCCAAGGGACACCTCGCGCGGCTATCGTGGTTCGCCAAGCTGTATGCGCTGTATTGTTAGACGAGGGGAAAACACATCGGTCTATCCGCGCTCCCGACGATGCGCGTACTTCGAGGGTCAATTGAAGATTATGGAGTCCTGAATCTGCCGGTACAGGAACCTGGCCTGCTTGAGGATGGGAAAGAAGTGCCTCAGGGGGGAACGTAGCATGGGAGATGGTTACATAGATATCGGATCTAGGTTTCGTCGGAGCCTGGGAGAATCCAATTCTCCTTGTCTGAACGACGTTATGCATGATAGTGGGGTTCTTCCGCACTAAAACGTCCGAGTCGGCGCTCACAAAGGGATACAGGTGTAGGTGAAGCCGAGCGGCCTGTGGGGATCTCACATACTTCCCACTGGGACTGGGAATCAATGTGCGGATTAGTTCATCAAATCCATCGGCATGCTCATCTCCATCTTCGTTCTCTTCTGACGAAGACCAGATGTTTATGACTTGTTCAGCATCCTTGTCTTGGCGAATTATTTGCGAGACCTCTAGGATACCTACGCCTATGGTGCGGATATGAGTAGTTTCCTTCGTCGGCTGGCTATTAGCTCGTTCTTTGCTGTTGCTGGACGAGCTCTCCGCAGTTCGGGGCGGACCTTTCGAATTTTCTTTGCCCTGCTCGGCACTTGGAATGCCACGTGGTTTCGACGTCCACATCATGCTGCGACGGGTCTTCAAGCCACTTTTGCTAGGTTGATTACCCCCTGTTGATGTTTTAGAAGCAGAGGAGCCTTCTCGAGAAACTGACGACCTTGGTTGTGATGCGACGCTTGTCGAGGTAGTCTCTGGCGCTCGGACTGCAACAACCAGGTATAATTTGGGGCCGTTCGCTGAGCCATCGCCAATATCCGTGGCGCACAATTCGGTGAAAAGAGTCTTGAGCTTGCTGCTCTGCCCCATACTCGCAAACTTCTCGGGGGATGGGATATCCAAAATGTATGTTTCTGACAAAGGGTTGAGTCCACCGGTCTCCGATTCAGAGCATAAGGTGATGGCAATCGTTACAGGACCGGGAGAATTGCCCGAAACAGCGTTGACTTCAAGGAGTAGGTGGTGAATCGCTGCGGCGTCGGATGGATTTGTAGGACTGCTTTCTAGCATGCTCATCTCGGATTGAAGCTTTGTTAACTGAATAGCGGAATCATCGCCGGTCAATAAACGACCCCGTTGTTCAGGATCCCTGACGATAATGTCTCCGCTTAACATTTTATTTGCACGGACTAGTTTCCAAACCACCTCTTGTCGCAGCCCCTCCTTCTCCTGCGCGGTGAGTACATTATAAAGAAGCTGTCTCCTGGCAAAATCGAGCTCTTGGACAATGGCCGACATCTCCTCCACGACGTCATACTGCCGGCTAAGCAAAAGTTGGTGAAGGTTCGTCGAATGCCATTCGCGCAAGCACGAGGCAATCTCATCCACTAAAGGTTCTGACAGCGATGTTGGCGTTTCATCTCCGATCTTAAGCATAGGTACAGGAGCCGCAGGCTTGGGGCCGTGGGGGTCTCTGGGAGTCATGGCGATGGGTGTGTGTGGCATGGACGGTGACTTCAATGTGTTACTATATGGTGTGCGTGGACTCTGTTGATCATCTTCCAGCTTGTGAATGAAAATTTGAGAGGGTTTCCCTTTTTTCGCAATCACCACGTCCGATACCTCCCCAGTCATGAACTCATCATCATGCAGGGAGGACAAACTATTTCTGACATCGCCCTCGAGGCCATCCCCTTGCCCGACACTCCTCCTATCTCCATTTGTCAGAGTTCGCTGCCCGTCTGCATCGCCAAGAACCTCTCGAATCTCGACACAATTGCGAGGGAAAATGCCTGAAAAGACCCTCGCTTCTAGAGTCTGTCCTTTTGTGCTTGTTAAGCCTGCTAACAATGACGGCGGAGCCACGAGGTAACCCCGACACCACTCCCCATTGGCTCCTCCTTGTTCTATTATGTATAACTCATCACCGAGCTCCAACGGTAAATCGGCCGGGGTCGAGGGTTGAAATGGGTATATGGCAACGGCAAAAGCGATTCGAGATAAGGGCCGCCAGGGCATGTCTGCTATCGAGGCGGTCGTTCAGAGCACACCCCGCAGCGGTCGTCACAGCTGCCGTCAGAGGAATGGGAGTACCGATGAAGCGGGGACGAGGGGGATATGGAATTCTCTGCTGATCGGGGGTAGGGACGCTACATACAGCGGTCCTATCGGTTGCGAAAAGGGAGGAATGTGGGAGTTTCCCAAAGTGGGAGGATTGCGAACAAGTCACTGAAGTGGAATCCCTAAAGGGGGGAGGAGGGCCACTAAAAGTCTATCACAACCCACTCCGTTAGAAGCTGTAATTTCCAGCAGAAACCGCGCCTGAGACTGAGGCGACTCAACGATTTAAGGAATTTAGATGCAATTGAGAAAGGTACTTCACATAGGGGGCGGAAATACAATCGTTTTAGCAAAACCAGTCACTACAGTGACAATACCGATTAATTGATCTTTTTTCCCAATTTCATTTTCCCCCTAGCAGTGGATGCCAGATGGTTTGGACTGTGGAGCCCAACCATGTATTCATCTTGGCAGGAACTGTGGAGAACCGGATAAATGAAGGGGGAGGGGGGAAGAAGGAGAGCTTACCACGCGACAAACAATCGAAAGAATTACCCCCAAAGCAAAGATGAGAATGACGGGTAGATCGCAAGAGATTGGGGGGGAATGGATTAGGGAGCGTAATCCCAAAACATCGGGGGAGAATGATCGAGACGGAGGAACCACGATCGTACTAAGAGACTACTTTAAGTGACCGGCAACGCACTAAGCAGACTGGAAATGGTAAGAGGCGGAGCGGGAGGCGGAGAACTGAGGGTTTAGTGAGTGGGTGGTGCCTGAGGCTAGACTCTCCTGGACGGGCCTTAAGCACAGGGCTTGCCTTTTCCCAGATCATTAGATTCTATCTATGACTTTTTTTCCTTTCTCCAACAGTGGGTTGAAGCTAAGTGGGGTTTAGGTGTTTTCTCTTTCCTAATCTGTTGTACTCCATACTGGATGGTGGCTTACAGATATTCGATACTTCTTCATAGAAATAGGGAGGAATGGTCAAAGATAAATAAATAAATAGATCCAAAAAAAAAGGTTCACTACGAACAAATAAGGCAGCCTGATTTTTCATTCATTTTCTCTTGTTCCTTTTTAGGTTCTTCTCGCGGTATTTAAAATGGGTCCAAGGTTTCCTTAGTAATGAATACTATAGACTTAATTAGAAGTATAAGTTATTTATATAAACTTCGGGCAAAGGTATGGGGAATTCACTCCACAACTTAGTGAACATCTCCTGTTTCAAAGAGTCGATCTATAAACCCCCGTTTCATGTACTTACTATGCTTGAATCGAACACGATCTAGCCTGCTAGAGTCAAATACAAGTTGGAATTCCGAGTATAACTCCCCACCCCCTCGAACTAGCTTATGTGCCTTTGAAGAAGGCATGTAATAGTGAATAACTGAAGGGAACCTCTACAACTGTGTCCGCTTCAAAGACAAAAACTACGCTTGCTTGGTTAATGGTTCCGCGGTGATAGAGGCAATGCGAATATGATAAACTCTGCTGGTATATCCGCTACTTTAATATACATTCAACTGAACTCGGACTCAACAGCTCTCTGTATAGACACGTACATTGTACCGTTCTGCTAAGGATAGATGAGCAGAAACAGGCACGAGATGATGAGTGGAGGGTTGGACATTCAAGAATCTGATATATCATGTAGCGTAAATATAAGGTAGTGGAGCAATCGAAACTACTGCAGAGTAACCACTATTTGCCGCCCTAGCATTTGCTTTCTTTATTCTAGATAATTGGTATCCCTGCAAGTTGCAAACAAGACCGGCGAGATATTTTCTAGTCTTCGGCATTCGGAAACATGTAGGCACCAATTTTGCTTCCTCACCTCTTTCGTTCAGTTCTTGTTATCATTCTCTCTCTCCTTCGTTTTCTTTTTGTTTTTTCCAACTTCTTTTGCTAACCCTTTCTTTTAAGGTACATCCTCATGCCATAAGTCTTGCTTCTCATCATGTACTAACCCATCCATTCTTTTCCTTGGTAACGTAAAGGAAGAGTTGGTCGTAATACTCGTGCTTACGCCCGATGTAGAAACCTCATGATATACGCGCGTTATACCAAGTGGATCGCCACTGTCTCGCTGAGTTCCTTGGTTCGTCAAGCTGCCCTTCCACTGGGAAGGATATCTTTTGGTCACCAGTTAACTTTCCAGACCCTCCAGCTTGAAACAGCTGGATGCAAAATAGCCAATGGTTGAGGACAAAAAGCCACATAATATCATGATAACAAGGTCATAGTGCATTCATCCATATCGCCATACTCCACAGGACACTTATATACTAATAGTCGTGGTCACACAGATGGAATGATAAGTTTGCCAGGCAAAAGGACGTAAACAAAAAGAGCAATATAATGCAGTATTATTCGATCCAGACGCCTTTATGATTCACGAACTTGGAAAAATGCTCCCCTTGCTCCCACCCAGCAACCCATTGTAAATAGAAGAAAATATTAGGAAGGGTACTCTTGGAACAGAAGCAGAAGGAAAAGAAGCGGAAGGCGAACATGCAAAAGTGTTGTACCAAGTGCATCCATTACTTCTTGAACATGGCAATGGCGTCCTCCTTGCGCCATTCGAGGTCCAACTGGCCCTCGTACACCGTATTGAGGACGCGTCGGGTGCGGTCATACGCTCCCTCATACCGACTTTCACATTCTCGAAGCACCTTCAACACTAGGCTTCGGCTGAGTCCAGGGTCGTCGGCATCTCCAAAGTGCTTCTCTACCCGCTTCTTAAGTGACTCAATTCCACGTCGCATTTCTTTCGCATCGTATGTGGCCAGCACTTTCTTTGCGACAGACCGTGAGTGACTAGGACGGCTTGAGATATCGGTTGGGTTGCTAGTAGCCGCCAGTAGACTTTCCGCTGATTCAACAAACTCGAGTAACTTTCCCAGTGGCCGGTGGATGACAGAGTCTAGATAGAGCTTCATATGCTCGTGATAATCTTGATATGCCCGTTCGCGCCATTTTTCTAGAACGGGCAGGCCTCGAACGTCCACCTCCTCGATATAATGGTTCATGTTCTCGATCAGGAGAATGTGATAATTTAGCGCTTCCTTATCTTCCGGGTCGCCTGACGTTGCCGCTGCGCCATTCGGTTGGCCAGGAGCCTCTTTGGCGATAAACTTAAGTGACTCCCACATAGCGCGGTTGATGCGGTTGTACGCTTCATTCACACTGATTCGAATATCGCAGAACTCTTGTGACGGTTGTGACAGCATGTTTTCAACAGCCGTGGAAAAATGGGGGAAGACTCGCATGAAGGAAATAACCCCCCTTCGCTTGTTCACCTTGACCTTGGTATCTTCGATTCCACGGATCTGTTCGTCCACAAACCGATTGAACAGGCCGATCAACCGAGAATGGAGCTTCTGGAGCGAGTGGATAATAAAGTCTTGATTGGTGTCTTCCAAATCCAAAACAGCCTTCTCCAAAGCGTACAGGATACCAATTCCTTGCCTGGAACATGTGAGCATGGTGCGAAAGGTTATACATGGTGATATACTTACAGAGGATCAGATTTGATGGACCAATCCACGAGGTTCTGCATCTCAATCGGCCAGAATGAAAATAACTCGTCCATAATCTGTTCCACTTTCCTTGCCATCCCTCGATCCGGGTCGTGCAACTGCTTAGCGCTAAAATCGGGTAACTGACGCTCATCCGGGTCGGCAGAAGCGATGAGATCAGGGAAATCGATGTGTGAGAGTGAGCTTAGGTGAAAGAAATGAACTAGAAAGTTTTGCTCCTCGGATATCATGCCTAAGGCCTCATGAAGTGCGCCCGCAAACACTTCGTAAGGCTCTAGCTTTCCGTGCTGCTTGTCACTGGAAGGGATCCTGAGACCTGCTGCAGCTCTCATAGTCTTGCCTCGTTTCACCGTTAGTTTCCGGGCGGCCAAAGTGATGCCCTCGCTTTCTTTTTCTTTCTCCTGGTGTGTAAATAGAAGCTCCTGCTCCTCTCCAGAAGGCTTCCTTGACGCCTTTTTCCAAGCAAAGCCGTTGTCACGGAACTCATTCTGATAAGGCTGTTTAGCCTGTTGTTCGTACAGATTGATAAGCCCATGCCACTCTGCTCCGCTAACTTCTCTTGCAAAGAGCATTAGAGCGTTATACATCCATAGCTCTCGGCGGAAGTATTCTCGTGCTTCGCTGTCGAGCTTCATGGGATCTTTTGGGGTATGAGCAGCAGCGTCAACCCTTTTCTGTTCAGCAACCTTATAAGCAATAACCATAAACTGCTTGAGTCGCTGCAGAAACAACCGAGACTCCGAGCGAAACTCTTCCTTCTTCTCTTTGATTGCACGCATCTGGCCAATTTCTGTATCAGCATACACGCCCACGCTGCCATGATCCCCTGCTGCATCGACCAATCGCTTCTTATTTTGCCATATATCAGAGTCGATCATCAGCATAGCTTTGTACAATGTTGATAATGCAGACTCAGTATCCCTCAGCCCATCAGGGTTACTCAGCGACGCTTCTTTCAGAGACCGTAAGTCAACAGATGAGATAGAAAGTGTTTTCAGAAGATTTTGGAGCTCGTTATGGAGTAGTTTCTGGTTGGCAGTCTGCACTTGCAGACCTTGAGATTGTGTTTCTATATATGCTACATCATCATGAAGCGTCTATTGTCCAAGTCAGCAGATCTGCAATATTGAACGGGAGCAGCGGGATGGCGTCTGTTTCTGGGCTTAGTGACTTACATTGAGCTCATGCGAATACAGAGTTAGAAGATTATCCAACTCTTCACACTCCTCGATAGTTTTATCGATCAACTTGGCAAGCTGATCAATTTTGCCCTCCTGCTGTTCAAGATTACCTAGCCAGCTAGTAGCCTCGACACGACCGATCTCACGACGGACATCCGCCTCAAGATCCTCAATTTTTTTCTCGTCATTCAAGCGCCCATTCCATCCAAGGTCGGTCAATATGTCGTCGAAATCCACACCACGCCCATCAACACTGCTGGGATCAATCCCAAGTGCCTGGCAGTATTTGATCGTGTTGTCTTCGTGACGTCTGCGACGCCGATCATGAGGAGACGGAGATACGGACCTCGCTCTTTCGTCTGCAACGACTTTCACAATGGCTCTTGAGGTGTCTCTCGGATTCTCTGGAGTCTGAACGGGGGTGACAGCAGTCTCCTCGGAGGCGGCTTGTGTTACTTCTACAGTAGGTGGCTCTAGTATAGGAGATTTAGCTGGAGATGGTACCTCCTTCACTGGAGATGCAAAAGACGGTATCTCTTTATCCGGTGTTTCGGGAGAGGCCACGAGGTCAATGGCTGTACGGAGAGAGGGCGCGGGCACAACCCCAGTAATTCCATCGGGTTCTTGAGATTCCTCGGCTTTTTGTTTCTTTGCGGCGGCTAATAGCCTCTCACCAGCACCTCCGGGTCTCGGCTTGAAAGCCCCATAGGCAGTAGCGGCCTTACGAAGTGCGCCTGTAACCTCCATATTTTGCTTTTTCTTGATCATAGGCCCAAGACCTGGGCGGTGTGCGTCCATATCATCTTCAACGGGCGATGTGGGGGTCTCATGGGGACTGGCTGATGGAGACATTGGCCCACTCTCCTGGACCGGTTCGTTGAGCTGTGATTCTTTGGTGGATACTGATAATGCCATTACCTCAACCTCGGCCGGTGCTGGACTGTTATCAGCACCTGACGAGGGCAGCTTCAACGCAGGTGGTACTTCGACAGGCTGTATATCGGGGGCGCGGTCGGATATATTGTTATCATGGGACTCTGTGGGAACCTCGGGACTGAAAGCCTCAGTACTGTTCTCATTGAAGGCTGGTTTCGGTCCCAGGTTGCTGACCGGACTTGGGTTAGCATTTCGACTTTCAGCCTGGGCCGACTGAGCAGTTGTAGGCCGGGAGCCGTCTTTGTTGTGCCTAGGTAAATTGAACGCTAAGTCCTGAGTATGAAGCTCTGACTCTGGCATGCCCTTCCCATCGCGTGATGGTGGTGGCCGGGCCTCTGGGCGTGTGGCTAGGCTACGATCAGTCTCTCCACCTGGTCTATCTCGCTGACTCGAAGCCGAAGCGGCCAGTAAGCTGGTGGGGATATCTAGACCCCTCGATTCGGGAGATACTGGTGACTTGTGTATCCTATTTTCGGATGCAAGACGCTCAACTGACCGAGGAGGTGGCTGGTCTCGCTGGTCAGGGGGTACGGGTGGGGGATGTTGAGGAGGAACAAGTGGTGGGGGTGGGGGAATACTTCTCCCAGAGTGACCAGACTGGGCTGTGGATGGTCTCCCCATTTGATCCCGACTTCGTTGAGCTCTTAGGGACTGCTCCTCAGAGGGTAGCCGTCGGGGCCCATCGCGACTGGGGGCACGACTCGAATAAGGGGACTGAGGCCGGCTACCATGGGATGAATGTGGTGGACCTGGAGGAGGAAGTGCCACTTCAGGTCGCGGGGGTCCTTGGCCAGGAGGTTTGGCACCCGAGGGGGCCATCCCAGCTAGCAACTGTCGCTCACGATCATCGAAGCCTATCAGCTCCGGTACCTTTCCGCCGGTATATTTTCGGTAGATCTTCACCAGACTACCTATGAAGAAATCCTTCTCTTTAGATGTCCTAGCATGCCAGTAGTAGGGTTTCCCAACAGTCACCATAAAGCCAACATTCGAAGCCCACTGCTTTTGCTGTTGTTCCATTGGAGATGATGGTACCCAAGCAGTGTACGACTGTATTGCAGACAAGTCGTCTAGCATCCATGTCTTGCCAATGGAAAATGAACCATCGTTATTCTCTCTTGCTTTGTGCACGCGTACCCTACCTGACCTTCTCACAGAAACAATTATCGCTCGAGGCTTTTTATTTTCGGGCGGCGAATTTGGAGGAGCCGGTGATGATGGGTACGCGGCATCTTCTGTGATGCGAACATGTGTGATATAGGATTCAACCACTGAGAACAGCCAAAAAAAAATAGTCAGCAAGCAAATTTCGCAAAACAACCACCACTTTCGGTTAACCGTATAGTTTGCCGTGTAAATATCCTCGTCAGGGTTCTAGTAGGCACAGCAGAAGAGAAGGCGCCACCTTTATACAGGCCTCCCGATATAACATGGTACCAGACCTCATTTCAAGGCACGGAAATAAAGTCGACAATGCGCAATAAGAGTAATACGTACAAGAGCCATCTCCATCTTTCTTTGCGAAGCAGCTTTGAATGATCCGTCTCTTCTCGTCTTCGAATTTCTCAGCCCTCGACATTGTGGCCTCGCCATGTCCGGCAAAACCACCACCATTGCGACCATCGCCGACTCGACGCGGATCTCTTTGAGGTGGCATATCGCCGGGCTGCGGACCCCGTGGGCGATCACGGCCATTCATGGTTGCTTTTCAATTGCCGAATGCCTGCTTCACTCAGGAGGTACCAGTGGCCAGGTGAACATGATCGGGGGTATCGGGAAATCGGGAACGGACTACACGGGGCGCGCCGTGTTCGGGGGACGGCCAGTCAAAAATTAGTATATCGGTCGAAGAATAAAAAGGAAGTTGGATAATGGCGGCATAAATTGCTAGCGCTGAATAGTAAGCCTACGGAGAGGAGCAAGTCGGTGGAATTACAGTACTAGTAGCTTATGAGCCATTGGGGGATGGACGGCGGGCGCTAGTCCCAGTGGGCGGAGAGCTCATGGTTACTAACTACCGTGACATCTTATGCAGTATGTATCCATATGTACTTGTGTTACTGAGTACATCTATGCAGTCCATGCATTCGATAGACTCAATATGTATATAAGCGCCTCATCATCTTTGAACTCTGATTGGTGAAGGACATGTCAGGATTTCTAAACTATCCCATGACTGATTTCAACATTGCCTGTGGGGTATAAGTTGTTGGTGTTGTTTGCATAGATTGGCCGAAACTCGTCACGTCACGAGGGTCCACGTGAAGGTATTGATTGTAATGCTTCGGCTGGCCAATCATAGCATGCGCTAAAGCTGACCGCCTTCATAGTGTGTTTTTTTTGCTTTTTTTTTTTTTTTTCCTCTCTTCGAAGACCATCAACGAGATTCAGTACTTCAAGTACTTCATACAGTGATAACACTGTCACTGTCTCTAGAAAGAACTGAATACCAAGCAGGCATCATGGCTGGACAAAAAGGAAAGAAATCGCCACCTGCAAAATTGGCCCGGGATAAAAAGGTAGTAGAGAATTCTGATCATACTCAATATATCTCAAACGGGATGCCCTGACCCATTTTTGCTTTGACAGGCCAAAAGCACACAGTCACTTCCTCCTCAGCTGCTCGCTTCGGTTGAGACTTTTCTAATTGAGTCCGGTTTCACGAGTACTTATGAAGCTTTCGCCAAGGAACAAACCAGCAAATCCGTTAGCAAGTCGAAGTCCGACTCTAAGAATGCACCGTCTTTGCTCGAAATCTTTCAGAACTGGGCGAGTAAGGCAGACAACGTCGAGTCTTCCAGCTCTAGCTCTTCCGAGAGCTCGAGCAACTCGAGCAGCAGCTCAGAAAGCGATAGCAGCTCCGATTTGTCCAGCGACTCTGACGTTGACATGAACGATGCGCCGAAAGCGCAGTCGAAGAAACAATCTAGAAGTTCTTCTCCCTCTTCGTCTTCTTTGTCCTCGTCCTCTTCTTCCTCTTCGGACTCCGATAGCGATGCCGATGACGAGAGCGAGAAGGAGGCGGCTCCTGCTGCCAAACCTCAGGGTACTAAGCGCAAGGCCGAGTCTGATTCCTCTTCTGAGTCCGAATCCGAGTCGGACAAGGCTCCCCAGAGCAAGAAGACAAAGATCTCTGCTAAGGAAAAGAGCTCGTCATCTGACTCTTCCGATTCTTCCTCTGATTCGTCCTCCAGCGACAGCGATTCTTCATCTGATTCAAGCTCTAGCTCTAGCTCCGACTCAGACTCCTCTTCCGAATCTGAAGAAGACACCGTCAAAAAGTCTGCCAAGAAGACCTTGAAGGTTGCGAAAAAGACCCCATTGCCTCCATCTGACTCTAGCTCTAGCGACGACTCCAGTGACTCTTCCTCGTCTGAGTCCGACTCAGATGAGAAGAATGAAAAGTCCGGCACATCCTCGTCTCAGAGCTCTTCTAGCAGCGAAACTGTTCAAGACTCCGACTCGGTTGCTCAGAAGCCTACTAGTGTTTCGACTCCGGTAACTGGTTCTTCCAGTGCCAGCCCAGCACCTGGAAATGGCTATGCCAAGAAGAAACACACTGGCGCCCGCCCTACCCCCCTGGCCCTCCTCAGCGAACAGCCTACCGACCACTTGCTCTCCAACGAATATGTGCCCTATGCCTATGCTGAGAAGGCCTGGAAAGATCTCTCGGTCACCCGTGGCAAGGGCTTCACGAAAGAGAAGAACAAGAAGAAGCGTGGCTCTTACCGTGGCGGTCCTATTGACATTTCTGGAGGGAAGTCGTTCAAGTTTGATGATTAAATTCGAGGCCCATCACCGAAATTGGGCTGCGAGGACTCCCACCGTGTTAATTTTGCTATCCTTTTACCAACTTGCTCTACAAAAGTTTAGACGAGTAGATCTAGATTCACACTTTTAGATCTTATTACCCATTTTTTTATTCGCAACTACAAGCAAGGCGCTAATGGAGCTGGAACTGATGTTTAATTTATTCATGCAACCTACTAAAAAGAAAGTATCTGTCAACTGCTTTCACTTCCCTATGAGAATCTTCAAAGATACATAAATACCATCCCCCCTAGCTGACTCTGACACAGCCCCATAAAAGCTAAACCCACGATTCAACCGGAATGTCTCATTTCGTCCAGTACATATTACAAACCTCCATACTCCGTAGTACTTACCGGAGAACACCCAATCTAGCATCAGACCAGCGGCGCCACAAAACCAATGTTCTTGCTCCCTCACCATACTCAAACCAAGCAAACAACCCGTAGCGATCACAGGAACAATCAAACCAACCATCCAATCAATCCTGACGTCTCCAAGCAGCAGATCTCTCAAGTGGTTTCCACCTCCGGTCCCAACCAGTCAACAATTCATTCCGGACATCTTCGGGCCCAACGCATGCGTATCGCTGCTGCGACCTCAACTTAGACGTAGTAGTCGTATCACCAGGCTCCGGCCGCTCATACCCAGACAACTCCAGAACCCTCTCGTGATCAGAAGTGGTTTCTCCCTGGAGGGTTTCCATGCTCAGGTCCAGAGGGTCTCGGTACCAATGCATGCCCGGGCCGGTCAGGTCATCAGTTGACGCAAAGTCCAGTCGAACGATACCATCAGTGACTCCGGCGTATACGGTTGGAGACAGGGGCGATGGCGAGGACAGAGAGTAGATGGCACCGCGGTAGGGACTGGAAGCACGGAAGCGCCTCCGCATGGGGTTTATGTACAATGGCGGCGAGTAGAACAGGAATATGTTGAGGTCTTTGCGGGGATAGCTGATGCTGTTTGTTAGGGGGGACTGTCTTTCTGCTACTCGTGGACGTGGACGGGGTTCGTTATGCTGGTAGACAGAAGAGACTCTGGCGTCGGTGTAACTGTAGGTTTTGGGCATGCGCAGGTCGAAGATCTTCACCACGGCATCTCCGCCAGCTCCTGCGAGGAACCTGTCATGGCCGAAGGGGAGGAGACAGTATATCTGGTTTTGATCACACGGGTCTTCGTAGGTATATTCGTATCCCCGATTTGAGCGAACATCATGAAGTCTGTGCAACTGTCAGCGCTATCAAGCGATGGGAGGAAGACAGAGACGATACCTAATTCGAAGATCGCCCCATGCGGCAAGAAACACATTACCGGCGGACTCTCTGGAGATCTGCCCACATAGCGGAGCTATTGCACTAATGGTAGTTCTAGAAGTAAGGCCAACCCGATCGTCGAGATTCAAAGAACGCACGTTGAATTCACGTTCCAGCGCTAAGCGTTCTGAAGATATGGAGGAGATAGCGAGAGCGTTCTCATTATGCCCTGTGCCGAGGGCAAACAGGTTCGGAGACAGAAACTTGGAGCACTTGTTACGCGCTGCGAGCCTTGATTCAATTGTAATACGGCCGAATTGTTGAACCTCAGCTTCTTCTTTTGTAGTGTTGTAAAATGAGATTGTTCCATCTTGGTTATGTGCAGCCAGAATTGGATCTGAACCTTCACTCAGATCAATATGATCGAGGCCAGAGCTAGAAGTCTTGAATCGCTGCACGTAGTCATGTCTGTCCTCGCGAGGGTTGATTGCAAGATGGAGAAGCTCGCCGCGCATGCGGCCAAAAATCAAATGTTCGTTCTCCTCTCCTTTGAGGTAGTGCCCGGGCTTCAGAAGATGGAGGCCACAAATGTCATCATGGCTGTTGACGGTATCCAAGTCATTAAACATGATCCAGTTCAGATCTTGGCCTTCTCCATACTGCCTGATACGCATGACAATCTCATGTCCGGCGCCCCAGGCAAGCACCTCCTTACGGTCGGCCCACGTATTGCCATTCCAGAACTCGTATGAGTCGATCGCAGGGCGATAGCCAAGGGTGGGATTGTCAGTCCGAGTTATGAGGTCCGTTTCTTCATCGCGTCTCAGGGGCCTTACGACAAACCGACTGATTATGGAATGTCTGTCCAAGGCCCGGGAGCGAGAAGTCAGAGCCTGGGCGGCATCTTTCCAAAATGGAATATCCCGCGACGAAGGCGGCACAAAGCCAGGGAACTGATTTTGGATGAAAATTCGGAAGATACGCCAATTCTCGGCAGATAGGACTTCATGCAACCGCCTACAGGTCTGAGACACATGCACCAAGTCGTTGGCACAGTGTATATAGGTTGCAATAGAATAGACGATCTCAGGAGGCAAGCGGGATAGCATCCTGTAGAGATGGAATATCTTCAAAATGCGAAGAATGCTAAAGAGGTACGGCGTTGAAGTTCCTGAATGACCATGAATATCTCCTTTAAGTGTTGGTGTTTGTGGACGTGTACGACTCACATATATACTCTAGTCTAACACACTAACGACATCATTATATAGCCTGTCTGTGAATACACTATATCTTTTTAGAGCTGTTTCCACGGCGATTTAGAACATGTTGCTGTCAACAATAACGCAAGACTATGTTTGGCTCATATCAACCAGTGAAAGTAACAAGGCCATGGTGTGAGTCATGCAAGAACTCTTCGGGATAATTTTGTACCCACACACCTTCTTTAGGGTACAAGACGACTATCGTGACTTTTATGGTGTTGAATTTGGTCCATTATGTCATGTAGTTATGTTCAGATCCTGCTTATTTAATCACGTAACTGATAAATTTAATCCGTCGGAATTTAATCTTTATCGGACTTCGAATAGATGTGGGGAGCGTCGCAGCAACTATCCTCCATAGAGACGACACTCATTACTAAAGAGATCGCCTTCTTGACTCATTTGGAAGTACTCATACTGGAGCTAGTATCGTGTTTCCCCCCTTAAAGAATTACCGATTTGACTCCTCGTCAAAAATTTCTATATGCGGGGAAGGCTTCCCCTAAAGGTAGGTCCACCCTGTACAACCGATACGACCGTCCTGATAGTGAGTGTAGATTTCCTTCAAATCATATAAAAGGCTTCACCAACTGTGTATTCTTCTCCCTTGCCGCACACAAGCATCTTGAAGCCTTAAAATCTAGTCACATCCATTGTTTTGCCTTCGTATCAAGTGAAGTGAGCTGTCGCAAACATGGCAGTGTCGCCTATAGTTGCCATATCAGCAATTGCCTTGGCAATCGCTCTATGTTATAAATGTATTATATATCCTACCTTCCTCTCTCCATTGTCGAAGATCCCAAATGCACACTGGTCAGTCCCCATATCTCCCGTCTGGATGCTCTGGAAGCGTTTCCGGAGTCAAAACAACCGAACAATCCACGCCGCTCATGCAAGACTTGGACCGATCGTACGGCTATCTCCATCGGAGATATCAATCAATTGTGTTGAAGGTGGTATCAAGTCTGTCTACACTGGCGGATACGAAAAGCACGAATGGTACCCGCGGGTGTTTGGTTCTCTCGGGTAAGGCTGTACCTGATCAAGCTATGACAAGAGAGCTGATAGAATGCATTCCCAACCGATAAAGGACCGTAAGCATGTTCACAATGATTGACAGCAAAACCCATTCCGTTCGTAAAAGGATGTTATCCAACATCTATAGCAAGTCATTCTTGCAGTCCTCCCCTCATATGCGCCTAATCTCCCAGACTATCGTCTTCGATCGCTTCTTGCCGATTATCCAAGAAGCAGTCGCTTCTAACACCCCGGTTGAAGTCCATGATCTAAACCAAGGACTCACCATAGACTTTGTATCAGCGTATCTTTTTGGCTTGGCGAACGGAACCAACTGGCTTCAAGACCCATCCCTCAGGCAGAGAATGCTTCATTTTTACCAGGGTAGAAAACCATATGAGTTCTACCACCAGGAAGTCCCTAATCTTGTGTCCTGGCTTAAGTCTATCGGCATCCGCCTGATTCCCAGATGGTGTGATGAGGCCAATGAGGTCCTTGACACTTGGGGGCTAGGACTCTGCGATAGAGCAGAGCAATGCCTTCAATCAACGGATGCCAGCATTGAGCCTATGGCATACAAGCAGCTAAAGCAAGCAATGTCGAAGCAGGCTTCAAAGACAGAAACCGAGGAGAGTCTTAAGCAACAGCGGCTCGATATTGCATGCGAAATGTACGACCAGCTCACAGCTGGGTTTGAAACCAGCGCTGTCGCTCTCACCTACCTGCTCTGGGAGCTTTCCCAGCAGCCGGACCTGCAGAAAGAGCTACGGGAGGAGCTCTTGACTCTAGAGCCACAGATCTTGTTTCCTAGTGCCTCGAAAGACCTACCGCAAGCCAAAGCGGTTGATACGTTGTCTCTGCTTGAGGCAATAGTCATGGAGACGTTACGCCTCCATGCTCCAATCCCGGGAATTCAGCCTCGTGTTACACCTTATCCATCCTGTACCTTGGCTGGTTACAGCGATATCCCTGCAAACATAAGGGTCAATGCGCAGGCATACTCGCTCCACCGCAACCCAGACGTATTTCCGGATCCTGAGACATGGCAGCCCAGGCGCTGGCTGAAGGACTTGAACTCGAATTCCGATCTTGAAGAAAGAAGACGATGGTTCTGGGCCTTTGGAAGTGGTGGAAGAATGTGTGTTGGAAGCAACCTAGCCTTGCAAGGTAAAGAGACACTCATGCCCCATACGCATCTCATCAGTCTAACATGGCTTAGAGATAAAACTGGTAACCGCAGCCATCTACACCAACTTCAGAACTTCTATCGTCAACGATGACAACATGGAGGCAATCGACGCCTATACGATCAAGCCTCGTGGGGACAAACTAGTTTTGAAATTTGAGACTGCGTAGATCGTATCTCTTCTGTAATCTTCACGAATTATATGAGCATTAGCGTACCTGGTTCAGTAATGAGATTTAAACTTGTCCTTTTCTTTATAGCATAGCACATATAATGTACAGATGGGGATGTCCATAATACAAGCTCACATCCACCGATTCAAACGAAAAGCCTATAACTCCAGATACATAAAGATTTCTTTCCGAACACATCAAGGCCCAATCCACACCCTCTCCACTTATCACCAATCTCAAGTAGCCGATATAGAACCCTGTCTTCTACCATCGTACAGCGGGTATGATGCGCGACGCTTCGGGATATCAACAAACATTGTATTCAAACGATCTTTTAACCAAGAGTGCCATTCTTCTTCTTGGGACCAACGACCTTGGGATACATTCTCATGAGGTGGTAGTTGATGGTGTTCTTCTTGTTGCTCTTTGGTTTCTGTATTGCAAAGAAAATAGATATAGTTAGCACAGCTGGACCGAACAAAATTGGAGAATTGACTAAAAAGCAAAGGAGGATAATTGAATCATGGTACGTACGGGTGCATCCATGCATTGTCTCAATTGCTGTTCAAGAGCCATGCAACCCTCCGCAGTGTATCCAGCCGATGCCCAACAGCCTATCAAGGATGCGAGGTTAGCCATCCGATCCATTGGAAAAATTATTGACATTCCCAGAAGTGTGATGGGAGAATGGGAGCTAGACGGGCACAGTCCTCGAACGCCCGTCTGCAAAATCCTATAGAAAAAGTTTATAGTAGGGAAACGTACTCAGCATCGAAGACATAACTGACACACAGGGGTTCTGCTCATGCTGATTTGGGCGACGGACTCGAAGGTGAGGGATGGTCTGCAGACGGACCGGGTTGAGACGAGTCGCGGCACCTTTCGGAGGCATATCGATGGTATTCCCGTTACTATTTTGTCTCCTACCAACCAAAGGGCCCAAATGAAATGTATAGGGTGAAGCGAAAACCCCCTATGGCGTCGGTGCAAGTCTAATGTATATAGCCTTGGGCTCTCAATCCAAAAGTTGTCGGAAAGCCTTCGGAGGTGCCAAGACATTTTCGGCAATTTTGCCCGCGGAAGAGGCTGACATAATACCCTATAACTAACTTAGACCAGTGAGGTATTTATAGTCACCGTGAAAGATACTATTATCTCTACGCTCATCCAGGTTATTTGGTTCTGTCTTTCTTCATTAGTTTCTTTTGACGGATATGAGCAAATTTAATGTGGGAAACTTTAATTTGAATAGTATTTTCTCACTATATATTTCGAAGAGCCTGAGACCGAGATATTTCTCCGCCATAAGCCGGCGGCGAAATGCTGATTCAAAGGCGAATGAACCCAACGAGGCCACGCAAGCTCAAGATGAGTCCAAAGAAGAAGGCGCTATGGCGCGAAGACTATCAGAGATGACAGAACAAGCTATGCTGGAAGGAGGTCGCTCGGCGCGCAAAAGTTTAGAACACGCTGGGTTCTCGGACGATCTGAAGAAGCAGCTCGAAGAGCGAATAGCAGCAACTGCTTTCAAAAGTGAGCATGCAACTGCTCATGCGATTGTTGACATGCCTGTATGTTTTGATCAAATGATGCTGGAGGCCCTAAACTAACATCTAAAAGGCGAGCGCAGGTCAAGGAACTCAAGATATCGCCTCAGCTAAGCCTTGGTCGGGAGCAGAGAACCTTCATGATGTCACACTACGCATGCTCGATAGCTCGAAGAAACCCATGCGCGTTCCCTATAAAATCCCACAACCTAACCCAGTTGATATGCGAATCACCCCGAAGCCCCAGAAATCGCCTGGTCTCCGTCTCGCCGAGGCCAAAGAACGCACCTCTACATACACATTGAGCCAAACCCCAGGGATATCGGATGAAGAGCGTGAGGCAATGCGGAGAGAGATGCGCGAGAGGTTTACTCCTGGTGGTCGACCAATGCCGGCAACGATTCAAGGATTAGCGTCGCTGGCAAACGAACGGATAGAAGATGCGATGTCGCGCGGTCAATTTGACCGAATCAAAAGAGGCAAAGGGATAAATACTCAAACCGATCACAATGCAAGTAGTGCATTCATAGACACCACAGAATATTTCATGAACAAAATGATACAAAAACAAGAACTAGTTCCGCCATGGATTGAGAAACAGCAAGAGCTGGTGCGGGAGCTTGACCGGTTTCGCCAACGCTTAAGAACCGAATGGAGGCGGCATGCAGCAAGATTGATTGCGAGTGAAGGAGGCTCCTTGGAAGCTCAAATGAGGCGCGCTCAGGCTTATGCCGCTGCGGAAGCTCGTTTGGCAGAGAAAGCTAAAATAGCACGATCATTTCAAGAACTCTGCAATGCCGAGCCTTCCGCAATTAAATCGAAGAACGATGAAACCCCAGTATCTACGCCCCCTGAATCCCAACCCCAAGAAAACACGCCTCTGTCATACGTATCGCCATTGCGTGACCCCCAGTATCTTTCAACGGAGCGCTCTTTTCATGAGCTAGCAGTCAAGAGTCTCAATACTCTCACTCGATCCTACAACCTGCAAGCTCCACCAGTTGCTCAAAAGCCGTACCTTAATTTGGATCGCGAGCTCTCTATGTGCTACGCTGATGTAGCTCCTAGTTTAGCCGAGGAGATTAAACGGCGTGCGACGGAGAGGTCCAGTCAGCCTAACTCTGTAGGCCCTAAAGCGTCCGGCATCATCGAATCCTTAAGCACGTCAACTGCCACGCGTATTTATGAGGAGGATAAGGCTAAAGGGTACGGATTTAAGGAATTCTGGCGGGACCTGTTTTCTAAGAAGGAATAGTAGTGGCTGGATAGACATGTATAGATATGTGCCAGATGTATATAATATTGTATGATATTATCATGTGTGATGGATAGGCTTTGCGGATCTTTGATCAATGCCATAAAACCAGGCGCGGCGTTAAAAGGAATCGACGCTGCAAGATATTGGGCATTCTAACCAATAGTGGTCGTTGTCCTATGCACCAGAAAAGTGAATCCTTAGTTTCACTTGGTAGGTAGTCACGTATTATGATATGATATGATGTGATGTGATGAGAAAGAAATCCGACAGTAAACGTGACGGATCTAAGTAAAAGCTTACTCAGGATGTAGTTATAGACAATCGAGCCAATAGAAGTTCAAGTTTATCGTAGACGGATTAGTAGTATTGTATTGAGGCCCAAGCTAGGTCAGAGTATAAGTACTATACACTATAGCCGAAGCGTTCCCCGAAGTGGTGTATGCAATTTATCAATCAAGGCCTAGTCAAGGGTCTCAATAAGTAAGGAATGGCATCCTTGTAGTAGTTTCAAGACAAGCATTTAAGGCCTTGGTTTCTCTATTCTCGATTTTTTGGTATATACAGCCTCGGACCTGCTCTATACCACTATTCCTTTCATATAATTATTTCAAAGTCCTCAATTCAAGATTCAATCCTATCATACCCCTTCTACAAAAAGCTTGCCCTAAGTTTGACAGTACTAGGAAGTGATAGCTGAATTGGATTGTAGTAGGTAGGATAGAGTACACCAATCAATCCACTCATCCGGGAAAGCATTCCTAGTCCTCTTAAAACTTAAGATTGCAAAAAGTCCGATTAGGAACCCATGTTTGACATGCCAATGGCCCAAGGGAGTCCAAGTGTGATGGGGGTTGCAGATGGGCGCGTAACTTGCACCAATTGAGGAGCAGGACGGGAGGTACTCCATCCCACTCCAACCTTCTCCATGGCTGGCGCTTCATATCATCACGCCCAATCACTCGGTACAAGTCTTTCAATATGTCACTCATACCCCCTCTTATTTCAGGACGTGTGTTACTCTGTCTCTTTCTGTAAGGGATTTGCAGCCTCTTTTGTGATCCTGCACTATGTTTAATAAAGATAATCACTAGGTTGTGATCTGGCCCCCCCATCAACCCGCAATGTTGCCGGTGCAGATATTCCTTGTTAGCCTTTTATCTCCTGCGGTTGCTGCTGGATCAGTAGCCCAGGAGCCGTCAAATCTCCTGATTCATATTCTGAATCTGAGCCGCCGAGCTGACAGCCACCCCACTACTTATACATTTGACCAGTCTCTCCTCGCCATCCAAATCGGCGGAATTGTGGGAGCATACGTGATCTTTGTCGCCATTCTTCTGACCTTGCTCCTCTTTGTAGGACGTCGTCTGAGAAGGACAGTACAATCGTCTAACTACACACTACAAGTAGAGATGATGAAGCCTGTCAAGCCTCCACCCAGTATGGATCCAAGTCCAGTCACCCCCATCTCCACCAATCTCCCCAGTCCAGGCATACGAAACGGGTTCAACCGATCGTGGAGCAGCCTGGGCAAGGGGCCACGATCTCACATAGCCGGGAATAGCAGCGTATCTACCATTGACGAATCGGTGGTTGCAACTGACAGGCGCCGAGCTCAAGAGGAAATGGAAATGCTATACGCTGCCGTCATGGAGCACGATGAGAGGAGAGCAGCTGAAAATGACACTACCAGAGAAGAGAACGAGATCCCTTCTCCGGACAGCGCCCAGACGAACCCGTTCACAGACCGTTCTTCACGAGTATCGGAAGCGCCGCCGCCATTCCCTCAGGCGAGACTTCCAATGAGCCCCAAGTCTAATTCTCGTCTGTCGCGGATCTCGTCCCTCTCCCTTTTCAACAATAACCCTCGCCCCGACGCAAACTCTGGCAAACAGCGTACCCCTCGTACTGCCCTTCGAAGGCTGCCAATTTCCTCCCCTGTGGGCTCCCCAGATGTGACAGCGTCCAGGTCGTATGGAGAGGACCAGCCCCCACTCACACCACGACTTTACAATCCGCCTCCTCCGCCAACACCGCCAGTGGTGACAGTTCAAAGTCCCGGTGAGAATAAAGCTCCAAGGGGTTCACGGGCGCCAGCCCCGGCTCCCTTGAGCATGTCGGTGGCTGGCCATGGCTCATCCTCATTGCCATTTCGTGATGCATATCCTCAACAAAGTGCCCCTGCTACCAAGACCACTGTCCTGGAGCGTCCCTTGAAATCTATGAATGGTCCCCGAACCGGGATGCCGACGCCATATAGCCCGTATATGCCGTTTACACCCGTCACTCCGTTGACGCCTAGTCGGATGGTCACCAAGCGGCAGAGGAAACGAGAAGCCAAGGAAAGCGGTTTGCGGGTCCTTAACGAGGATGATATAGTCCGGGATGAGGAAGATATGTGGGGATATTAGCGAATCACGTCAGTCAATTGGTTCTTACCTTTTATTTTCTATCTTTTATCTTGTTTTGTTTTCTCAGACTCATTCTCTGATTCCACAGTGGTAGTGGATACGAGGTATTGGGTTTAGGTCTAGATGCATTGTGGCGATAGGGCCATTCCTGTATACTCCATAAGATAACCAATAATTAGATCTGGCTTCGAGGACCCAAGAGCACAAGACCCATGCGTACTATCATGTTTCAGCATATGGAAGGGATTGTTATATTAGTTATATTATATTATGATACGTTAGGTAATGATCGGAATGGGTCTTCCGCTCCGCCACATCATTCGCCCGACCAGAGTCTTGACCGTCGTCATCACGCTCCTTAGCGCCGACTCTCCGACTCTCCGACCTTCTTCGCGCATCTTCATTCGATACTCAGAAGGTCTGTATGAATCTGCTAATTGTTACTACTTCCTTTGTAGAATAATCTTCTTTTTTGTTTTACGTTTATCACCCCTATTAACCCC